ACCCTAACCCTAACCCTAACCCTAACCCTAACCCTAACCCTAACCCTAACCCTAACCCTAACCCTAACCCTAACCCTAACCCTAACCCTAACCCTAACCCTAACCCTAACCCTAACCCATGTTTGACTACTATACAACGTATCATGTAAGAATCTGGCACTCAATCGTCAATATCTTCGCTCACAATGGAGCTAGTACCTTAAGGTTTTGCCGGGCCTACCCTTTTCGGGTTCTCTAGGTCCAGTTCGATTTCCGTCGATTTCCGTCGATTTCCGTCACCCTCCTTTTTTGCCGGTGATACCATAATACCTCTTGATACCATGGCCCCTTCCCAGACCCGGCGATCCCTACCGCTTATGGTCTAGTCTTGCCCAAAACAGAAGTATTATGCCTTAATACCTCCCTGTACTAGTAATAGGAGGGTGAAGAGGAGGTTTCGGTGCGGAGGGTGTTTGTGTCTGCAAAGAGAGATATCAACGCTCTGGAGGAGCTTTCCCTGAATCATTGGGGGGTTTCGTACGAGTTCATGGAAAAGGGCAGCCCGTATTGCGGATGTGTGAGTCCGCGGTGCCGCAACCCTGTGCGTGATCAGAAGAGTTTAAGTCAATACGTTAGGTCCAGGTAGGTAGGCAGGTACATGAACAAATCACAACTTTGCTCCGAGTACCCTGACGTCCTAGCAGTTGGGTACGCATGGGGTTAGGGTTAGGGTCAAGATGGGGGTGCATCTTGGTAAGGCGAGTCTGCCTTTTATCTGAATAGATTGACTATTACTGAAGATTGGGAAAAGCTCATCCCACCCCGCGCCTCAGGAGCCATGCCCGCAGCGCGCGTTCCGCCACGAATGACGTCGACGTCGGGACTTCTTCACGCTCCGCTTCTGCAGCTGCTGCACTGCCTCACCACCAAAGCACCACGTACACCAAGAAGCACGCAACAATCACCACCATTCCACCCAAGGCTCACGACTCATCACCATCATGAGCCACCTCAAAGAAACCCTGAAAGAAAAGTTTCACCTCCGCCGCCGCTCAAGGGATACAGACTCTAGCCGAGACCGCGAACGCTCGACTTCGATTGAATCCGTAGGCCGACATCAGCACGAGCCAACACATGATGAACCTCTGTTACGAGAGGGTAGTCTGCACAGCAGGGATGTCGGTGGTTACTTGACGACCGACGGTGTTGCGAATCCGAGTGCTGTGAGCATGTTGGGCAGGGAACAGACGAATTTGACCCAGGTTACGACGGGGGGACCAGTTACCGCCGAGACAGTTTTCCAATCACCGAACGCCACACACCCTCTTCCACTCACAACCGCAGCAGGAGGTGTTACGGGGAGAAGAGGTGGATTACCGCCGTTGGACACAAATATCGCACACACCGCTAATGTCACCAGTCCCAATCACCCCATCGTCCCAATCGGGATCGTACCGCCCACCCCACAAGTTGGCTCCGAAATGTCCGCCGACGCAATGTTCGCACAACATCCGCAACCGCACCGGCCACACTCTGTCTCGGCCCCACCAGCTGTCGACACTCATGAAGACGGTGACGGAGGGTTTCTGAGTACGCTTGTGGATAAAGCACAGCAGGCGCTGAGTCCGATCTTACCTGCCGTTATGGGGGGTGAGACGCCGGAGGAGCGGACGCCGAACAACAATACGACAGAGACCCCTGCTGCAACAGTGAGGGATGCGGATGGCGACGTTCCTACCGCGGCATTACCCAAGGCCGCAACAGCGCACGAACACGTCCCAATCGGCCAGGGAAGTCTCGATCTCGGACAACTGAACGTAAACGTCGACGGACACGGAGAAGGCGCACGAGTCAACAGGGCTTTGAGTGTATCAAGTGTCGGAAGCCAGCGGAGCATCAACGACCCCTCTCATCCCAGCCAGCACCCAGGCGGCCACGGCTTCACCCACGCCAGCACATGGAGCGGAAACACCCAACCCGGCTACAGCCTCAACTCCTACCCCACAATCGCTTCAACCGCAAGCGGCGTCCCAGGCCACAAAATCACCGGCTTCGCCGTCGCGTCCAATAAACGTAACCGCGACTTCCATGCACTCTTCCGCTCCGTCCCCGCGGAAGACTACCTCATCGATGACTACGGCTGCGCGCTCCAGAAGGAGATTCTTGTGCATGGAAGGATGTATGTAAGTGAGGGTCATATATGCTTTAATTCGAATATCTTTGGGTGGGTTACGAATTTGGTGATTGGGTTTGGGGAGATTGTGGCGGTGGAGAAGAAGAGTACGGCGGTTGTGTTTCCGAATGCGATTAGTATTACGACGTTGCATGCGAAGGTGAGTCTCCTTTGTCTTTTTGCAAGGTTGTGGTTTGTTGTTGTGGTTGAGTTATTTGGTGAGGATTTAAATCGGGAGGGATTAAGGTGTGCGTGCATCCGTGCACTGACGTCGATGGATGTGACGTCATGCCTGGCACGCGCACCAAAGTTCTCCGGATTTTCCTCGCTGGAGACACAACACCAAATCACAACCCGCAACCCGACTCGACCTCAACATCTACTAATCTCTTCTACAACAGCACGTCTTCGCCTCCTTCATCGCGCGAGACACAACCTACGACCTCATCGTAAACATTTGGCGCCTGTCCCACCCCTCCGTACGAACCGAGGCGAACGGCATCCGCGCGATCGACCCGAACGGAAATAATCACGAAGGACACGACGGAACAGCAGACGACGACGACGCGATGAGTGTCGATGACGATACCTCTGTGTCGAGCGTAGAGGATGTTAATGGTGCAGCGGCGGATGGGGTACCTGTCGATGGTGCCAGTGGTGGTGGCGCGACGGCTGAGGGGGGCCCGGGACCTGCGACGCATGGGCCTACTACGTGTGATCCGTCGGAACATTATGATAAGCAGTTGTGTGATGAGACTATTCCGGCGCCGCTTGGTCGTGTATGGGAGTTGCTGTATGGTGATTCCTCGACTTGGGTCAAGGATTTCTTGGTCAATACGGAGAAGGTCAAGGACGTCAACTGCGGCACCTGGGAAGGAAAGACGCGCAAGTCGGATTATATCAAGCCGCTCAGTGGTCCCATCGGGCCGAAGCAGACGCATTGTCATATCACTGAGGAGATCGCGGAGAAGGATTTCGAAAAGTATTGTTCGATTGTGAGTACGACGCAGACGCCTGACGTACCCAGTGGGAACTCGTTCAGCGTCAAGACGAGGACGTGTTTAATGTGGGGCGAGAATAACTCGACACGCGTCATCATGTCCTTCACCGTCGAGTGGACGGGTAAGTCTTGGGTCAAGGGACCAATCGAAAAAGGATCCGCGGAGGGACAAGCGGCGTATTCGAAGAACTTGATTGCGGCGTTGAAGAGTGAGTTTGCTGGTGGTGCTGGACGGCCTCGGAAGAGTACGGCGAGTAAGCCTGTTGCTGTCGCCGAGGCGGAACAAGCTGGGCAAGCGGCTGGTGGACCCACGAGTGTCGTTTCTCCTGCGCCCGCGACCGCTGTGGATGAGAGTGGAGGTGGAATCGCTGATATGCTCGGTCCTGTGGGGGATATCCTAAGACCTGTGTTGAATACGACTGGGCTTCTTACGTTGTTGTTAATCATCGTGATATGGAATTTGAGAGGGGTGCAGCAAGCCGTGCGGGACGTCGCCACGATCGAGGCGAGAAGGGGCTTGGAAGTCGGCGGGGATGGACTCAGTCCCTTGCTGTGGCGGGAACAGGAGGAGGGCCTATGGCAGTGGATGGAAGCCCGCGCGGGGATTAACACTGCGAACAACGGAGCCGCGATCCCTGACTCCGGTCGTCCGAAGAAACATGGTGAGGCACTGTGGCGCCGTCTAAAACTCGAGAACGTAGTCCAGAGAAAGAAGGAGGTCATGGCCGCTAAAGGCGAAGACTGGATGACAAGACGAGAGATTGAGGAAGCGGTTAGGATTACGGAGGAGAGGTTGAGGGCGTTGAAGGGTGCTGTTGAGAGGAGGCATGCGGCGTTTGATGGGGATGGTGTTGGTGTTGGGGAGGGGGTTGGGGAGGTCAAGGTTGCGACTGTGAGGGAGTTGTAGGGTTATGATTGAGGATACGAAATGATACCAGACATTTTTCGGAAGATATTGCATAGCGTGTTGTTCTGAGTTATCCTTATGCTTTGTCCTTCCAGGAATGAACTTTCCCACGTTTCAATCATATGTCACCAAAGTGCGGGGGGCTGCTGTCACCCAGCCCGTGTAGCGGCCGAGACAAGGATGAGTACGAATGAGTGTTGATGTTGCGTCAGTGGGGTTCCTAGGTCTAGTCATACGCATCGGCGCAGTGTCCGAAGAGGATTCTGGAAACGTGGATCCTGAAACGAGTAAGAGGAGGAGGCTTGAGCAGAACTTCTTTTGGAGCTGTCTGAAGAGCGAGTGTGAAATGTGTACAGAAATCGAGCTGCCCAACTCGGGGATAGGACAGTTCTCCTACCCCTACATGTTCCCCGGTCCACCATCGACGTTGAACGAGGGTGCATCTCCGGACGATGAAGAAGGGGTGGTAGGGCAGGAATGGTCCTGGTATTATTACCTGGTCGAAATTGCCATCCGTCGACAGGATAACCGTGTCAAGGGGACATTTCGTAGAGAAGGCCATGCCTAGGGTTAGGGTTACACTCCTCAGCCTCCTCACAACGGGGAGTGTCGGCAACGCGTGTTTTAATTGCCTGAGGCGAATGTTTTTGTACGGTAACGAAAAGCGGGTTGCAGAACCGTGATGCTCATACGCCAAGCAAACGAACAGTTGTGGCTCATTTGCCCCAAGATTTCTCTTTCCCGCAAGCATCTCACGCAGCTGTTCCCAGACCGTTTCTTTAGACAGACACATTCCGCTAAGCTGTTGCGCCGCGTTTGTAGCGCTGCCTTCGCTTTTAGTGCAGAGGTATAAGAAGCCTGCACCATCTGGTCTTGGTCCTAGCTTTTAATCACCATCTCTTGCATGCACAACACTCTCTCTAACAACTTCGATCGGCAACATCTTACTCACCATCCTGGGCAACAAAGGTATCACTCGCCATGACGCTCACAGTAGCCGAGATCATCGCCTCAAGGCCACGCCAAGTGTGGTACAAAATGGAGCTCGCTCACCCTTCGGATCTTTTGACATCTACTTCGCTCCTCAACACCACCTTTTACGTTGGATCTTTCCTCGCTGCCTGAATAACCTATGCAACGTTCAACATGCCAAACACGTGGGGCCAGCGCTTCCAGTCCATCTTCCAAGCGGCCCCAGGAGCGATCCAGTTCCTCTTCATCTGGTTCCTCCCTGAGTCCCCTCGGTACCTCGTCTCGAAAGGCCGCGGCGATGACGCCATTTGAGTCCTCCATGCCCAGGCAACGTCGATGACGAACTCGTGCGAGCCGAGTACGCCGAGATTAATTCGACGCTAGTCGCAAAATAACAGAGGAAGAAAGTTAATGGATGGAAAGAGCTGTTCGCTACGTGTGCGAACCGTCACTGTGCCGCTATCTGTATGTTTACTGATTTTGGCTCTCAATGGGCCGGTAAAGGTGAGTCGATACGAGGCACTCCACCCTCTTCACACAAACCATAGTTAACCGTTATATTTTCTGATGTAAGTGAAGATTCGGACGGTGAATGACTTTTAGTGGGTTGCGAGTCGAATCCATAAGGAAGAACTCATATCAAATCATACACCACGACCGATGGCGTATTCAGAACTGTTGCGCGCCACAGCACAGTGCGAGCCATAGCGCAACAGCGCGGGCAACTTTGCGCTGTAGCACAGCACAAGAACGAACCAAACCGACTGAGCGCGATAGAATCTATGAAACATCAATCAATACCGTCCCACTCATCTGGGCGATTGGAAGAAGTTCATTGTTGCTGAGCAGCTGCTCGGCCGCGGGTGCGCCCCCCGCTGGAACAGCGCTAGCCCGACACCGTTCTCACGCCATCTCCAGCAGGAAGAGCGATAAATTCGACGGGTGCTGTCGAGAGGATGCGTGCAGCATCTGGTGAGAATTATTAGTGTTCTATGTGTGCGAGATATAGGATATCATCTGATTTGTTGGGTCTCGAACAGTGTTGAACGGCAAATGTGTCTGGTCATGAGTGAAATTCCAGCTTTGCGGGGTCCCCATTCCTGTGTGTACTCCAAACCAAATGCACGATGGTGCGGTCAGGACGTAGTTGAAGCGTTATTTTCACTACTTCTCACATTGTTACAATGATCCTTCCGTATGCCTCATGAAGTTGTCCTAGGTTGTCGTGAATGCCCGGGATCAGCCCGGTGCATACCGCGGTCTGGATATGATCTCTGCAAGACAATTTTTCAAGCCACATGGTTGTATAGTGTAGCGGTTATCACTTTCGGTTCTGACGCATCGGCTTCCGAACAACCCCGGTTCGATTCCGGGTACGACCTGACTTTTGGCTGGGTTTACGAGGGGACTCACGATATCAATTCTGCTTTCAGATTCACTGACGAGAAGTATCTGTTTGGAGATGGGCTTCTTCAAGTGGGTATAGAGATATATTTGGTACACAACCGCCCTGTTACATAATCATACATCTTCCTCAACGAAACTATCGCGTCGCACTACTTCACCTCCGGGTCTTCAAACGAGGGTATTTGATCCTTCACAGCTATCCCTTATCGTACACTCCCTCCGTCCACCCAATATCATACCCGCTCAAAGCTTCGCCCCCTCATCCCTACAACACCCAAAATCAGCCCTCGTCCCACCACACCCACACGCACCCACAGATCATGGATCATACTCACCAAACAACAACCCTCCCAACCAACTCATCCCTCCCCCTCCTCTTCCCCGCCCACTCCCTAACATACTCACAATCCGGCCTAACCCTCCACCCTGCACTAGCAGCATACTCCATCGCCGCTTTCGTTAGGATAGATGCTAGACCGCGGCCACGGAGGGATGGGGGGGTGTAGGTGTGGGAGAAGGTGTAGAGGGGGGTTGGGGAGGGGGGGGAGAGGGGTTCGTAGGTCAAGTAAGCAACATCTAAAAACAGCCTTAGGTGTAGTTTTGAGCAGGGGTGATATGGGGCGTACCGGTGGAACCGGCGGGTTGGATTGTGAAGCGTTGGTTTTTTGCGTCGTGGGAGACTTGGGGCGTCGTAGTTGCTGACATGGTTCTGGCGCTGCAGGCGAGTGGTTTGGTGACGATTTGTTTTGTGATTGGGGGCGAAGTTAGGATGGATCGAGTGATATTGTGGAGCATTTGTTGAAGTGATGGTTGTTCAGGCAGGCGGATGGACGTATGATGTGATGGGAGGTGCGGCCCGAGGATTGACGTACGTGTGTGGGGAGCATCCAAGGTGCGTGGAATAACGAACAGCGAATTCATCGACGGGTTCTCGATATTCTATGATTCTGCATAAGGTACTGCGATAGCAAATAACCATTGACCGCCATTGCAATTGGTTAGTTCGAGATGCCTGTCACGGCCAGCTGCAGCTATTCGCCCGTTCAATCGCTTGATCTATCATGCCTAACCTCCTATCAACGCCCACGAGTTCCCAGAGATGTTATCAGCTCCAGTTTCTCGCTTGGCGCACCGCTGAGTTGGCCTTGGGCCGTGCGGGAGGGTCATAGCCGACGACTACCCATGAATTGACGTTCATGTCCACCTTACCCGACGACAGTGCAACCTTATCCGACGAAAGTGCTTTCTGCCGGCCGTGCTTCTGCATATGATCTGTGGTGCCCCTCTCATATGATGTTATGTACTTGATCGATAGGGATCAAGACGACGCCTGGGGGTCCTATCGGGGAGCTCATGAGGCGGGGTGAAGCCATGCGATCGGCTGTGCTATCACACCTCGAGGATGGCATGAAGTTGCTCGAGAATACTTCATAGCCTGGCCTTCCCGCACATTCTTCCCCACATCACCGTCCGTGTTTGTTACACCTCCGGCAAAGCATCCATCGACAATCGTTCACATGGAACCACCCCTCTCCCAAGGCGTAGGCTACGCCGTCGTCCTCGGCCTCGGCGCCGCCTTCGCAGCCCTAATGGTACTCCTAACCCGCCTCCTCACAAAACACCTCTCCGAACGCCAAGATTCAGAAATGTTCATGACAGCAAACCGCTCCGTCCAAACCGGTCTCATCGCATCCGCCGTCGTCTCCTCCTGGACATGGGCAGCAACCCTCCTGACAGCCACGAGTATGGGATACGAGTATGGCGTAAGTGGTGGGTTTTGGTATGGGAGTTGTGGGACGGTTGAGGTGTTGTTGTTTACGGTTGTTGCGATTGAGATTAAGTTGAAGGCGCCGAATGCGCATACGATTGTTGAGTTGGTGAAGGTTAGGTATGGGAAGGCTGGGCATATTGTGTTTTTGGTGTATGGGCTGTTGACGAATTTGCTCGTTACTGCCTCCTTACTCCTCGGAGGTTCAGCGGTCGTGACGAGTGTGACTGGGATGAATGTCATTGCGGCCTGTTTCTTGCTCCCTGTTGGTGTGTTGATCTACACCCTCTTCGGAGGCCTCAAGGCAACGTTCTTGTCCGACTGGATCCATACCGTGGTGATCTACATCATCCTCCTCATCACACTCTTCACCGTCTACACCTCCTCTCCCCTCATCGGCTCCCCCTCAAAAATGTACGACCTCCTCACCGCCGCTGCAACCCTCACCCCCTCCGCCGGAAAAGACGGATCCTACATGACAATGGACAACTCCGCAGCCCTCGTCACAGGCTACACCATCATGATCGGCGGAATGAGCACAGTCTTCTGTGATCCGAGTTATGGACAGAAATCTATCGCTGCTGCGCCCATGGCCGCGATGAATGGGTACTTTATTGGGGGGTTGGCGTGGTGGATCATTCCTGTTGCGTTTGGGCTTTCGGCGGGGTTGGCGGCGAGGGCGTTGCAGTTGTCTATTACTGCGGCTGAGGCTTCGGCTGGGTTGGTGTTGCCATATGCTATGAATGCGCTCATGGGAAAGGGTGGGTCGGCGGCTGTTTTGTTGCTGGTTTTCTTGGCTGTTACTTCCTCGAGTTCTGCCGAGTTAATTTCTGTGTCCTCGGTGTTGACCTATGATGTTTACCGCGCCTACATCAACCCCAAGGCAACCTCTGCCCAGCTCGTCAGGTTCTCGCATGCGTGTGTCATCGGCTTCGGAATCTTCATGGGTGCGATCGCCACGATTTTGAACTATCTGGGAGTGTCAATCGGGTGGATGTTGACCTTCGTCGGGATCGTCGTCGCGCCTGGTGTCGTGAGTATCACCAACACCCTCCTCTGGAAAGATCAATCCAAACTCGCCATGTGCGTTGCCGGACCCCTAGGAACCGTAACCGGTTTGGCCTCCTGGCTAGGCTCCGCCCACCACTTCGTGGGAGAGTTGAACGTGTCCAGTCTAGGGAATGGCTACGCCTGTCTCATCGGAAACCTGGTCGCGTTGGTCAGTAGTGTCGTCTACGCTTTCGCATTTTCCCTGGTCCAGCCCCAGGACTTTGATTTCACGAGGTTCAAGACGGAGATTACGATTGTGGAGGATGAGAGTACGCATCTCGCGCCTGAGATTCGCGAGAAGAGGATCGAGGAGGCTGAAATCCGCGCACACGAGGAGAATGTCTCGTTGCGCCGTGCCTCGAAGATCTCCAAGGTCCTCGGGATTTCGATGACCCTTATCTTGGTCGTGTTGTGGCCCATGCCGATGTTGGGCGCTCATTACGTTTTCTCGAAGAGTTTCTTTACGGGGTGGGTTGTTGTCATGTTTATTTGGACCTTCCTTGCTGCGGGGGTGATTACCTTCTTGCCCGTTTGGGAGGGAAGGCATAGTATTATGACTATTGCTCGTGGAGTGTTGGGTAAGGGGAGGAAGAGGAGTGACGAACCGGCAATTGTGATGGAGGGGTTGGAGGTGCAAGGGGAGGAGGAGGTTATGGATAAGAAGCTTGCAAGGGAGCGGGAGATGGAGATCGGGATTTGAGTCTTGGTGAATGCAGTAGATCATCTGTAGAGGATATATTCGGTATATGATAGGTTGCTCTTGCTTCAAGCACTATGTGTATTCTTACGTACGATCACAGGTCTCGAAATCTGGTTCGTCCCATCTATGTGGCTGCATCGTTATCCAGGGCCTCCAAGCCTTGCACGAAGTCTTTAACCAGATCCCCCGATGCCTCCACACCAACACTGATCCGTACCAACCCTGGGTCGCACGAAGCATCGCTCATGGCTCGCCACTCAACACAACTCTCCACTCCGCCCAAACTCGTGCAGTGGTTGAACACTTTCAGCTTAGACGGGAGTCCTTTCGCAAGATCCCCATTGCGCAACACAATGGCGAAGCAAGCTGGATACAGTCCCGAGGGGAACAGCGAGGCAGTGAGCGAAGGCGGCTGGAGTGAGGCGTGGTGAACGGTTTGGATGGGTGACGTTGACGAAGCGGTTAGTTCGGCCAGTTTCCGGGCTAGGATGGTAGCTGTTGTACTTTGTTGTCGTACGCGCATATCCAACGTCCGCAGCGAGCGGAGGAGGAGCCATTGTTCCATACTCCCAGGCGTAGACCCCCAGAATGTCCGTTCAGTCAGCAATGCCTTGTGTGCCCCCTCATCCCTCGTCGATACAGACCCCGATAGTAAATCAGAGTGACCACCAAAGTATTTCGTACACGAGTGCATTACGAAATCGAGTTTTAGCTCGTCCCAGATGTAGGGTGTGGATGACATGGGTGGTGGTGCGAAGGTCATGTCCACGCAGATCTTGGCGCGGACGGCGTGTGCCGTTTCGGCGAGCTGGGCGAGGTCGATAATGGTTCCGTAGGGGTTGAGTGGGTTCTCGACCCAAACGATATCGTCGGGGCCAATTTCCTCGGCATCAAGCCCAACTTTCTGGAAGGAGCCGGGCGACAACCTTGCCAGTTGCTCGATCAATGCATGGACGCCGTGATACCCGCCTTCTCCGATCAATATCCTCTTCGGCTTCAAATACGCCAGCAAAGCATGCGCAGCGGCCAATCCACTCGAGTACAATACCGTCGGCGCGTCCATAACCCCACTCAAGACAGCTTCGGTCCTCGTAAGCGTTGGCGCCGTCAGCCGGCTGTAGATATACTTCGGCTTGCCCTTGTCGTCAGTAGAGTAATCATAGATGGATTGTTCGTTCGCTGGGACCAGATCGGCAGGGTCGGAAGGATAGCGGAAGGTCGTTGAAGGATGGAGAGGGGCAGCGAGGTCGCGTGTGAGTGCGAGATGGTCGTCAGCGTGAAGAGCGACTGTTGGGAGGTCCATCGTGGTTCGTGAACAGATCGAAGTGTTCTCGAAGTTGAATTGAAAAGTTTCGGGGCTCAGGTAACATCACCGCTCGACAGCGGGAGCTAGCGGATGTGGGGCCGAGGAGATAAGATTTATATCGAAATATGATAATAATATCAGTGGATGAAATCTCGGTCGTTGAGAAGACCGGAAGGAACGTAAAGTATACGTGATAAGCAATACTCCTTTCCAACGCGATGAATGACACCCAGCTCCTCCAACTACGACACATCCATCACCAAACTCTTCACAACCAAATACTCCTCAATCCCCCCACTACCCCCCTCCCTCCCGAACCCACTCCCCTTCACCCCCCCAAACGGACTCTCACACGCACTTAACAACCCCGTATTGACACCCACCATACCCACCTCCAACGCTTCCGCAACCCTCCACACGAGGGAGATGTCTCGTGTACAGATGAATGCGCCGAGGCCGACGGAGGGGGTGTTGGCGAGGGGGAGGAGGGTGGAGAGGGTGTGGAAGGGGGTTAGCGCCGCGATTGGGGCAAAGGATTCTTCGCTGTAGAGGATTGATGAGGGTGGGAAGTTTGAGAGGATGGTGGGTGCAAAGAACGTCCCGGGACGGTTTAGTGCCTTCCCGCCCATGATCAAAGCAGCTCCGTTGGAGATTGCGTCTTTGACGTGTGTTTCGGCTTTCTTGATCCCATTCTCGACGGTAAGCGGGCCGATCGTAACGCCCTCTTCAAACCCACCCCCCACCTTCAATTTCTGCATCCTCTCCTTGAGCATTTGGATGACTTTATCGTAAACACCCTCCTGCACATAAATCCTATTCGCACAAACACACGTCTGCCCGGAATTCCGGAATTTAGCAACCATGAGCGCATCCACAGCTTTCTCCAAATCCGCATCCTCGAACACGATAAACGGCGAATTCCCACCGAGTTCGAAAGAGAGTTTTTTGAGGGTTTCGGAGCATTGGGACATGAGCAGTTTTCCTACACGGGTAGAGCCGGTGAATGAGACTTTTCTCACGATTGGACTCGCACAAATCGCTGCGCCGACGTCTGCGAGGTTTTTTTGGGTTGTGATGACGTTGAAGACGCCTTTTGGGACGCCTGCTCGAGTGCCTAGGACGCCGAGGGCGAGGGCGCTCAAGGGCGTTTCGCCTGCGGGTTTGGCAACGACTGTACACCCAGCCCCGAGTGCAGCCCCAACCTTCCTCGTAATCATCGCGCAGGGAAAATTCCAGGGGGTAAGGACGCCGCAGACTCCGATGGGTTGTTTGATGGTGAGGATCCGGGAGTTGGGGTTGAACGCCGGAATCGTCTGTCCGTACGTCCTTTCCGATTCGCCCGCGAACCATTCGAGGAAGGAAGCGGCGTAGGTGATCTCACCCCTCGAATCCGCCAACGACTTCCCGTTCTCAAGCGTCATGATCACAGCCAAGTCCTCGATATTATCGAGCATGAGGTCAGACCATTTCCTCAACATTCTCGCTCTGGTCCTTGCAGGAGTTTTCTTGAATGTCTCGAATGCGGCGGCGGCGGCTTGGATTGCGCGCTCGACGTCGGAGGGATCGCATTCGGGGAGTTCGATGATGACGTTCCCGTTTGAGGGGTCGATGACCTCGAATGTTTTCCCACTTGCCGCATCGACCCATTCACCGTTGATGAATGCTTTGGTACAGAGCAAAGAGGGATCCTTGAGGGGTTTGTCGTCGGCCGAGGTTGCTGCGCCGGGTGGCATGGTTGGTTATTCTTGACGATAGAAGTGAGGAGGAGGAGGAGGAGTGTTATATAGACAAACGGATACGTGCATCCCACGGGGTCGCATTTAAGGTTTGGCGCGCGGGGGAGGCCCATGTGATGCAGTCACTGGTGTACACTTGGGGTGATCCAGCCAGCCGCGACAGCCGACGGACGACGGACGACCACCACGACGACCATGACGGAGATGCGCTTTCTTTCAGCGATGGCGATGCTGAAAACAAGAGCACTGCGGGTTCGCCTACCTGGATCATTCCACCTGCAACGATCCCTGTCCACCTCCTCCACCCAACTCGACACCCAACTCCGCCGCTCCTTCTTCTACGGTACCTCCTCTCTCCCTTCTGCGTGTCAGATATTGATGAACCGGTGGTGCCAGTACCCGCCTCCTCCCCAAAATTCCTCTCAAAAGCCCACACAACCCCAACAGACGTAATCGTCTACGACCTCGAAGACGGCGTAGCCCCCGACGCTAAACCCCTCGCTCGACAACAACTTCGCGCTCTCCTTTCCGATCCGCCATACGTTCGCCGCTTTCCTGTTTGCGGTGGTTCCAAAGATCCCTCGCCTATCGAAGAAGCCGAGGAAGACGCCGATGTCGATGTCGATGTAGGGAGAGGCAATGGGGGGCAAGTGGGACACAGGTTGGACGAAAACGCACAAGGGCACCACCAAAAGGAAATCTGTATCCGGATTAATGCCGTCGGAACCGGTGAGGAAATCCGTGATATCGAGGCAATCGTACGTATCATCATCGTTCTTTTCGGCGGCCTTTGATGGGCTAACGCGAACGATTTGCAAGGCTCCATACGATTTCGACTCAATTTGCATACCCAAAGTCCACTCCCCGGACGAAATCCACACAATCCAATCCCTCCTAACATCCTGCCTCGGTCCGAAACGGTACATTGCCCCCCCCCCCCCCCCCCACTCCCCCCCCACTCCCCACACTAACCCCTTCTTCCGCCAAGTGCTTCACAGATCCACATAATAGCCCTCATCGAATCCGCCCGCGCAATCCTCTCCCTCCCCTCCATCGCCGCCTCCTCCCCAAACCTCCGCGCCCTCATCTTCGCCGCCGAGGATTTCTGTGCCGATACGGGGATCAGAAGGAGTAGTAGTGACGCCTTAGGCGGGCATGAGTTGTTGTATGCGCGTAGTGCGGTAGTGATGGCGTGTAAGGCGCATCGGTTACAGGCGATTGACATGGTTTGCACTGACCTGACCGATCCGGAGGTGTTGAGGAGGGAGTGCGAACAAGGCTCCGCGATGGGGTTTACGGGGAAACAACTCATCCATCCATCACAAATCACCGTGGCTAATGCGGCATTTTCGCCGAGTAAGGAGGCGGTTGAGCATGCTATCAAGATATTGAGGGTGGCGAAGGAGAATTTTGGGAAAGGGAGGGGAGCGTTTAGGGTTGATGGGAAAATGGTGGATATGCCTGTTGTTGCAGCGGCGGAGAGGGTTTGGGGGATGGCGGTTAGGGCTGGATTAGTGGAGGGGACGGAGATTCGATGAGGATGTGATACCAGCCAGTTTTTAGTTTCCAGTTGAGTTAAACGAAAGGATATAATTGCAAGAAAATGAAACGCCAGTATGTCTATGCCATGCAAATACGATCAAAACACCCTGTTCACGATCTTCTCCACGCCCATCACAACTGCAGCTCTAACCACCCTCTCGTCCTCCATAGTGACAAAAAATGCGTCCCAGAACGCAGCGATATTGACATCCTCCACAAGATACTTCAACATCTTATTTCGTCCTAACACGTCCCTCGCTTTCCTCCTCAACTCCTTCCTCTCCTCATCCGTATATGTCTTCTTCTCTACATCTTTCGCCAAAATGAGTTCCTTGACTTTCTCGAGGAGATGAATAATGCGTTCTTCAGTGATGGTGGATACGATAGCCTCGAGATGGAAATTGATACGCTTGACGATGTACGCGTCGAGCGGAAGCCATGCACTGCATTTCGCAATGATGCTGGCCCGAATTCCTCCTCGGAAGTCACCAATACGTTTCAGAACATCGAGGGCGAGATCTCGGATGGGCTCAATTTCCCATTTCTTGAGCGGCGTGAAGGCCGGGGGTTGTAGCGTCAAACCAGACTTCGGAATCGGTTTGGGCTCCTCCGGGTCATGCTCACTGTCAACGAGGGTCTTCTCCATACTATCCCGTGGACTACTCTGTCGACTACTCCGGAAAATGGACGCAAAACTCCTTCGAGGTGTGGATTCCGGTGTCAATTCGGTAGACGCCCGAGCTTTGTCACTTTCGAAATCTTCCTCGCTCGTGTTTTTCTTGCCTCTGAACATACGGACGCTGTTGAGGCTGATGCTCAACCGCTTCTTGTTGCACAAGCCGAAGAATTCACGCACACAGCGCTCCTCAGAGAGAACATTGTCAATAAGTGCCTGTAACCAAGCCTGTAGTCCGACAACATTTTCTCTGGAAGGCAATGGTCCAACACGTTTGGCCACCTTCTTCTCAAACGCTTTGAGGTTCTTGTAGGAGTATCGCCTTTCAGCCTCCTTAATCTCGGTTCCTTTGAGGAGGACCGTGATCAATAGCGGTCTTTTCTTGTTCTTGTCCGGTAGGTAGCTTACGCGGACAGTGCGAGCAACATGACAATCGGTAAAGACCTCATTGAGTCCGTCCCGAGCCTCTTCTTCTGGTTCCCCACCCCACTCATGCTCCTCTTCCTCCTCCTGCTGGGCAAAATTCGGAGAAGGCTGAAGAGACCACGACGACGCGGGTGTCTCAGAAGGAGAATCCTGCGCAACGGCGGTGATGGTGGTGTCAGAGTCCGTTAATTGCTGTGTCTCACATTTCTCTCCATACCCAAATTCATCATTCAAGGCCAAGAACTCGACGCACATTAGACTTTCAGGTTCTTCCTCACCATCCTGTGTCTCCAAAGCAGGAGGTATGGTGTTGAGAAAATCGCCGGCATAATCGTCATTTGTGAGCTTATCATCAGCTGCAATGATACACTCACAAATCCAGTCCCAATTAGCTATGACATTCAACCCATCCCCGAGTAGCCTTTCCACGCCATTGTTCATGATGGCCCTCAAAACACCGTGGACTTGATCCTCGGAGCGAGTAAGAGAGCTGACGATCCGACCTGCCATTTGCCTCATAGCAAGCACGTGTCCTTCAGTGGGTAGAGTGGTGGCCGCTGGGTTGTGGCACTGCTCCACGATAAGCTTCGCAATTTCAGTCATGTCTCGCACCATATTCGCGAGGAGTCTGGAAGGACTGATGGATAATGCACGGGTATATGCAGCCGTTGGAACGTGTCTGAGCATTACACTTATTTCGAAAAGAAGGGTGGTGATGTCGATTGGAAAGAACGCAGCTGTGAACATTGGTTCCACGTAGGTGATCGTGAGAGCGTTGATGACCTCGTCAACGACTGCTGCAAGTCCGGAGGGAAGCATGACATCTGGCTCATGTACGCTCTGCTGCACATGTGTACAGCTTGAGAGCAAACGCTCTTCCTTCAATTGTGCGATCTCTTCCCGTAGTTTTTGTACGTCTCGTATCGCCACGGCTTCAATCTTGTCCCACAATTCCATTTCACCATACCATGCAACCTCCACGAGCCCAGAAACTACCGTTCGATATAGGATCTTGAAGATGAACTTCAGACAAGCCCGGTTATTGATTCGTCGGATTGGTACCTCGCATAGGGCAACATAAACGATATGATAGACCCGGTGAGCACACTGCGCATATGTGAATCCGAGAAGCACGTAACGACGAAGCTGGATAGAATGAAAACAGTGAAGAACGTAATGGCATATGGTAAGCTCAATTCCAACGATCATCATAGCCACGATCATTTCCAGGACAGCAAGGAAGCGCATTTTGAGGGGCTGCTGGTGGTAGGTCGCGAATGAATGCTGCACCTGTGGCCGTTGGGGCGATGCCCCGATTACAAGGAAGGAAAAGAGTAATGTAGAGAAAGATGCCAAGCTGGCGTTGTATGCTGTCCCTTGGGTTTGTCAGGGTTAGGTGGAAGGCCCTCCGGGTAGTACGGCGTCCGCTTACTACGCCCGGATCGGGGTGTAACGTGGATTGGCTTGGCACCGCGGGGTCCTAGCGTGCATCTGGTTGTATCCGTGACGCTCGAGCCTCAGCGTCTGATATGGGATCCATTTGAACAGTATTCACAGAGATTTGAGGCTCAATGCGTATATTGATGTGGTGTTACTGATTTACCCGGGTGCCGGATGTTCGAGTTCCGGCCGCGGGCCTGGGTGACATAGCCGTCATCCCGGACCGCTCGTTTAATGATCGAAACTTCAATCCTTTCGTGCCTGGTACTTGGATTCCTCCTCTATATGTACTCACATTTGCACCACTGCTGATGCTACATGCCATGACGGATCACAGATCTGAGGCTTTCCACCCTGTCAACAGAAGGTATGGATCGTGAGAAAGAGCACGAAACTTACTAGTGATCAAGGGTATATGGGTATAACTATCTGAACTCTCCTTCATAATCATCTTCTAATCCGTCCCAACATCATCATACCCCGGATTCAAATACCACGTCAAATCGTGTCCCTCCTCCACCTCCCTCCTCACAAACCCATTCCCCAAAACCCCAAACCGATTTCCCCTCTTCACAACCTTCCCATCCCTTACAACATCCCCAGCATACCCCATCTCCCAGTCCTCCCACCTCACATTCGCCAAACACTCGAAATAATGGATACGACTCCCCGGCCATAGAGCGCTGATGGGTCCATTCTTTCGACCATTTTTGAACCAGGAGCGGCAGTGGGTTGCCCAGGCCGTGCGTTTGAGGAAGAGTTGGGCGTGGGCGTTAAAATCGTCTGTTGCGTCTTGTTGTGGAGAGAGCGAACGGATATTTTCCGTCTGGAGCCGTTTGATGAGCTTCAACAAATAATGACTAACATGCTCGATACACGGCAACAAACTCCCATGCGCAACCGGACTCGCCGGTCCCATGAAGAAGAAGTAGTTGGGAAAGTTGGGCACGGCGAGGGAGAGGTATCCCTCCGCTCCCGTATCTTCCCCTTGGGCGTTCTTGAGGCCCCAGATGGAGCGGAGGTCGGTGTTGTGCTGTCCGATGATCGGGAAGCGCGGGGAGAAAGAGACATCGAACCCCGTTGCGCAGATGATCGTGTCAAAAACATGCTCCTCCTCCCCACCCTCCGGAGTCCGCGTCACGATTCCTCGCTCAGTGACGCGCACAATTGGGTTGTTGATGACAATCGTGTTCTCCTGCACAATGGCCTCCAAAAACCCGTTCCCCGGCGTCGGGCGGCGACAGCCGACAGCGAACGTCGGAATCAACAACTCCGTCAACCTCGGATCACCCTTCAACTTCGTCTTCATCTCTTTCTCGCTGAATTCACGTGCTTCACGCTGTTCAGGACTATCCTTGATTGCGAACTTGAACCGCTGACATAACTCCCCTTCGATCTCTTTGCGGTACTTGAGGTACTCCTCCGGGTTCTCGCGAAACTTGGCTTTCTGTTCAACAGAATACTGGAAATTCGCCCCATCGGGACCAGCATGTTGAGGCGCGTACCCAGCCGTGATCCAACACGGCGTACGGAAAAAGTGTGAGAGTGTTTCGACACGAGGCTGAATACTCGGCACCAATTGCACAGCCGACGACCCGTTCCCGATAACCGCGACATTCTTCCCATCCAGAAACTCCGCTTCCCTCTTGGTATCCCACGTCGCAGTGTGCGTCATATTCCCTTTAAACGACTTCAATCCCTCGATCGCCGGCCATTTCCAGTTGTTGAGGACACCGCTCCCGTTGATGAACACATCACACCAATCACTCACCCTCTCCCCCGTCGTCGTGTCCTCTACCTCAATCTCCCACCTTCTCTCTTCTTCATTCCACTCCGCCCCAGCAACCTTATGGTTCAACTGCACGTATCTCAGCAAATCATGCTCCACCGCAACCCTCTTGAAATATTCATAAATCTCCACCGCACCCGGGTAATACGACGTCCAATCCGGATTTGGAGCCCAAGAAAACTGGTACGCATGGGAGGGGATATCACACGCACACCCAGGATACCTGTTCTCCAACCAAGTGCCACCGATGTCGTGGTTCTTTTCGTAGACGATGTGGGTGATGAGGTTTTCCGTGTCGTATTTGCGGAGTTGATAGATCATGTTCAAACCACTTGCTCCGGCGCCGAGGGTGATGATACGCAGGGGGCGGGGGGAGAACATCGGTTGTTCGTTGATGATGTATTCTGGAAAGGATCCATGGTTATTGCCGTCAGTGACCTCGCGATCGATGAATTCGAAGTCAGAGTCGAGGGTGGAGGAGGGATCAGCGTACGGTCCGGGAGGCATCTTGCTTGAGAATGTTGCAGTTAAGATCGAGGAGTGTGACTAGGAAGAACCGCATGGCCCTCTCAAGAAGATATAAGGGTAGATCATGGTGGGGTACTTTGCGGGGCCGTTGTACTGCGGGGTGCGTAGGCGGAGTCCCCGCGGCGCCCGGCACGATGCTACAACATGCCGACCTCCAGGTTGAGTTCACGGGGCAGTGAGTGCCGTGTTCCAAGCAACGACGTCGTTTTGGAAGCCAGCTGCCACTCGTTCAGGAAAATGCAGCAAAACGAAAAGATACAGCACCCGAGTATTCCCAGCTGGTCTCCCACGCTAGTACTGACTGGGCCCTATGATGCTTAACTTAGGAGATCGGACGGGATCCTGTGCTTTCATCATGGTATGGCCGTATCTGACAGTTACGAAAATCTGACGTCCTCGTACTCAACTCATTGTTTCTTCGACTTTATCTCAACCACTATCTTGATGAAATGCCACCCATGCCCCGTAAAACCAATACCCCAGCAGTTTATGACTCGGAATGCGTAACCCCCCACGTAACCCACGCCCAAAACCCAGTCCACGCCTTCCCAACCTTCCACATCATCTCCCCAACCCCACCCTTCCCCTCTCCACCCTTAAACTCAAAATGCCGCATCTGCGGCACAACACTCCTAACCCAATACTTCCACTGCGGATCCGGATAAAGCGTCGTATTCCTCCCCTTCTCATCCTGATACCAACTCGAACACCCCCCTCCCAACCAAACACTCCTCTTCAATTTCCGCTGGAGCCATTGAATATCGTTGATCTCGGCTTCGGGGGTGACTTGGACGCTTGTGCAGTAGTTTGACAGGATTGGGTGGATGAGTTTGAGAGAGAGGGAGATTTGGCATTCGGAGGTGAAGATGACGGAGTGGTGGCCTGTTGCGGTGTTTGGGCCGAGGATGAGGAAGAAGTTTGGGAAGGAGGAGAGTAGGGTGCCTTGGTATGAGCCGACACCGCCGATTTGGTTCCACTGCGAGTTCTTCATTAGCTACTGCGTTTGGGAGTTAGAAGCCAGAAGGACCTACGTGGTCTTGGATTTCGATGCCGCCTTTTCCGTATATTTTCATTCCGTGGAGCTTTTCTTGGACTCTGAAACCGTTTGCGACGATGAGAACGTCACACGGGACTTCACTTCCGTCTTCGAGCACCATGCTCTTCTCAGTCGCCTTGACGAGTCTCTTGTTCGTCAATTCAACGTTTTCGCGATGAAGTGAGTCGAGGTAGCCACTATCCAAAACACGGCGCTTACACCCGATAAGGTAGTTCGGAAGGACAATATCGTGGTACTTCTCAGGTGTGTGATCACGCATATGCTTCAATGTGTCCTGCCACCTCATCATCAGCCACCGATCCTTCGATATATCCAATCGACTTACCTGCGTAACCCTGTTCCTCAACTTCTCCCCCCACCAATTCCCAAGCATAAACATACTAAACTGCAAATCCAACAACACAAACAAGAAGAACCTATACCCCCTCAACGCCCATGGAACATTCATCATGATCCACTTAAATACGTCACCATGTGGGAACTTGGGTTGTGGCATGTACCATTGTGCGGAACGGACGACTTGGGTGAGGGAGTTGACTTGTGGGGCGATGACGGGGACGAATTGGGAGGCGGAGCAGCCGTTGCCGACGACGACGATGTTTTTGTTGGTGAGGGAGATGTAGTGGTTCCAGCGGGCGGAATGGAACACGTCGCCTTGGAAGGTTTCGAGGCCGGGGAGTTTGTAGTCGTTTGGTTCTGTCAGTCCACCGACAGCAGAGACGAAACACCTCGCCGTAACTTCCGTCTCACTCCCGTCATTGTGTTTCGTATGAATCGTCCAAATCGACTGATCCTCATCCCAGACTGCCTTGCTGACAGCAGTCGAGTAAGTCGTGATCGAAGGTACGTTGTACTTATTGGCGACACCGGAGAAGTACTCGTGAATCTCAGGCTGCAAAGCGAATGCTTTTGACCAATCACCCTTAGGCTCGAACGAATACGAATAGAAATGCGAAGGAATGTCGCAACCGCAGCCGGGGTCTGTTTGCGAAGATCAGTACTCTTGCTTAGAACAAGAGGGGGAAAGCGCCACAAACATGTATTGTGAAACCACGTTCCGCCGGGTCCTGTAGCTTTCTCAATGAGTCGAAGACGGATGCTGGGGTATTGCTTCAACAGGCGAACGGCCATTCCTGTAAGTCCATCATTAGACATCATGATTCGCGAAGATCAAGCAAAGTATAAGCTTACCAAGCCCAGAAGCGCCTGATCCGGCAATGACAACATCGTATTGAGGCTCCATTCTGCTCTAGTTCGTAACAGCTGGTGAGCGAGTGGCAAGCAGATATGTATATATATTGGCGTTTTGCGGGCACCAAGAAGCGGGGTCCGGAAATGAAAGTCGCTGATCTGACTTGATCCCTTGCCTTAAACGGTCTTGACTGGCTCAATGAAGCACAACTCCGACGGTATAAGAGCGGGGTTCGATCTGTTGTCTCGTAGCTGATTGATCTACCCTACCCAACTTTCTCAGCGCCAACGTGCGAGCAGATGGTCACTGCAAGGTCCCGCGTCCGTATGAACCTTATTTTACCCATAACACAAAAGTATATTGCAATAGCCCAAGAACACGCCTCCCATCAAAGCCATACAAGCAACTGTGATCAAAACCCCGTAAACGGATCTCCAGAACTCACGAAAGCAGCCATCCTCAACGTCCCCACTTCTCTGCCATTAACTTCTTCCTCCGTCCTGGGAAGACTTCCGTTCCTTCCTCCACTAGGACTCGCGGCCACGAATCTGGGTACGTTCGGCGGCGGCGCACTGTTCAACTTGTTCATTCCTCTGTAAGACGACACAGACGGCCTACCCTGAGGCGGCGTAGGCGACGTCTTTGGCGTACCGAGTCGTACAGGAGAACAGCTCGACACTGCAACACTCTGTCGAAGATTAACCGGAAGGGACGGACGTCGGGCGTCTGGTGAAGGCGTCCCATACGCGTGCGGTTGCGGCCTCAACGGATCCGTCCCACTTCGCTGAACGGGTTCGATAGATGCCTGACTACCCTGCCTCGACCTCTCATCCGTCCTCGCAGGACTAGGACTACTTGCTTCCTGCGGCTCATACATCAGCCTCGGCGACGGCGTATTTCTCTCGTACGTAATAAGCTCCGACGGATCATGGTGAACCAGGAAATGCAATGCAGACATCCACGCCGAATGCTGTTCATGCGACAACGCCGTAAACGTAACCGACCGCTCTGGCGTCGTAATCATAATCGATCGAGCCATTTGCATGATCTCGCGTGGTCTTGAATGGTAATCCTTTACTTCGGTAACATTCAGGATCGTCACTATTATACCACATTAGCGCACAGTCTTTCAAAAGGAAAGGATCGATATGACATACATTTCTTACCACCCCCTTCCCTCATAACCCTCTCCCTCCCCGCCCAACAAATCGTCATATCACTCACGCTCAACCAAACCCACCTCTTATGCCGCGTCCCCGTCCCACCGAAATCGTCATCATCGTCCATTCCCCTCGTCGGGGAGAATAATCCGTTCTTCCTCCTGACGTACTTGTACATCATCTCACCGATCATACATGACGCAACGGCATCAATCACGGGAGCAGGCTCCACGGTCGGCATGGGCATGGGCGAGGGAAGAGGCGGTGTCAACGGGGTCACAATATTGATAGCCGGTGAATTGGTGCGTGAGAGCTCGAGCGCTGATTTGACTTTATGCGGACTCTTCAACGGAGGAGGACGGTCCGGCTTTGGCTTCGGCTTCCCCATAGCACTCGCACGCCCCGGCGTCTCTAACCCAAGATCACTAAGATCCATATCAGGATCCAACAATGCCTCCGACAAAATTAACCTCGAACGTCGATCCTGGGGCCACGCCTCTTTCTCCACCTCCGCATGCAACATTCTCAACCGCTCCTTCTTGACAGATTGTTGCTGCTGATCAAGCTTCGCGCTATAGTTATTCTCCGCCAGTTTTGCTTCGAGGAGTGGATCATGATCAGACGTAGCGACGCCCAACCCATTAACATCCGTGATCCCCAGAACCTGTGACGCCTTCGTGGGGATACTCGACGAACTCGTACCCCGCCTCGCACGCATCCTCAAACTCGATTTCCGCGCCGGGATAGGGAATGGTGGAGGGGGTGTCTGCTCGCCTCTGAGTAACCCCACCGTACTGTCTCCTTCTTCGTGACTGGCTGTGGAGCTGGAGGGCGGGTATGGGATTTTGTCACCCCTCGGCACTTTCTCCGGACTATCCGTAATCGCACCCTCAGTCCACCCACCACCAGCTACCTCCTCCCTCTCCTTCCCCTTCCCTTCCCTTCGCCCCTCTTCACCACCCGACCCCTCAGGCTCGAACCACCCCCCCTCCCCACCCCCCGGACTCCTCATCACCTCCAAACTATCCGCAAAACTCCTCGTCGGACTAACCCCACAATCGAACGTGGGAGACTGGACTTCGACCGCGACCGGGCTGCGTATTTCGAGGGCGAGGGGATCGGGACGGTGTCGGTGTCGGCGGAGGGGGGTTATTGATTTTGTGGGCATTGGGGAGGCCGGGGACGTTGATGAGGTTAGGAGTACCACGCGGCCTTCCTCCATTTCTCGGTCTGATTCTGGCTCGGTTTCAATTTCCGGGGTAGGGGAGACTTTATCCGGGGACTGAGGAAGTGTGGGAGAGGAAGCCTTCGTCGATGCCGGCGCCTCCATATCTGCCTCCCGCATGATCGCACGGATTTTCTCGATGTTCAGTGGACGGATGGTGGCTGTCGAGGCGCGTTCGGCGAGTGGGCGGATCGTCGTGGTGGAGGCTCTGTAGTCAATGGACGTGATTGAATCCGGATCCTCAAATTTGGGCGGAGGGAGGGGTGGTGGGGTGTGGGAGGTGGAGACGATGCCGCTGGTTGCCGTAACGTACTCCGCCTCGGCGTCCGTACTCGTCTCCATATCCGCAGTCTCGGCATCCTCAACTTTCACCACGACCTCACGTTCAGGAATAGTCTCGACTTGTACCCCAACATCGACCCCCATCTCCACATACTGCTCAACCCTAATCTCAATCCCTGGACTCCTCCATCCCTCCGTCTGCACCTCCCTATCAACACACACCTTGACATTCTCCAACTCATCCGCCAACGTAGCACTCGGGAACCTCATGCTCATTGTTGGGGTTAGTGGTGAGTTGGGGATGGAGTCGGGGTAGGAGGTTGATGCTGCGTCTTCGTACATTGAGGCTGTCTCCTCTTGCCCACTTGCAGGATTTTGATGGGAGAGTTCTTGAGCGGCGACAGTGGATTCGAGCTCTCTGATACGCTCCAACAGCGCAGCCCGCGCACCTTTCTCCCCGAGTGCTCTATCCTCCAACGTCTGCACCTTCTCTCTCAGTACATCAACTTCTTTGACCTCCCTCTCCAACCCCCCAACCCTCCTCCTCAACTCCCTACAAACCCCCCTTGAATTCTCAAGCGCCGTACTCGTCACCCCAAGCATCCCCGTAAGCTTCTCATGCACACCCTCTAAATTCCCATACGCCCCAACGAGCTGCCGATGTTGATTCGACAATGTCGTATGGGCGTGAGACAGTGTATGCTGTGAAGCGTGGAGTGACTGGAGTTCTGAATAGAGGTGTTCGCGTTCGGAGCGGAGGCGGTGGATTTCGTGGAGGAGGGAGGTTTGGAGGCCGTCTTGGAGGGAGATACTGGTTCTTACACCTCCGCCGCTTCCGGTGGTGGAGATGATGCTGGCACGTTTACCGGCGGCGTTACTGTCGGAGGAAGGCTCGTGTGAGCTGGAGGTGCTCGCAATGCTGGAACGCCGGTTTGTGGAGTCGTCGATGCGGGAGGTGATAGCCCCAGTAGCACCAAAGACCGACCCGAACGCACTGTTCGCCCGTGACCTCGGCCTTGGCCGCACGTTCAGCGCGGGGGTCGTGACGACCTGGGGCTGGGGCGGAACAGGATTTTGGTGGTCCACGGACCAGATGCCGGAGAGGCGAGATGCACGACCGTTGGAGGTGAGGAGGACGACTTGGTTTTTGTCATCGTCATTGTTTTCGTCGGATGAAGGGTCAGAGGCGGGGTCGGGGGTTGTGAAGGGTCTGTGCCCGTTCATCGCGTACGCGTCCTTGTCAGTTCCAAAGTCGGCGTCTCAGCTGCTCAATTGTCGGTACTGCACGTAGTGAATGCTATTGTATGTGTACTGAGTGTAAAGAGAAGGGTTCCAGGTCAACGACACGCACTCCGCTCAATCAACACTCGCAAGGGTATACCCATCCTTTTATCGAAGACTCCAATGGAAGGTCAACGGTATGGCATGGGCCCATCCTTACAGTGCGTAGATATACGGTATGCCGAACCCGCACTTGCATGTGGAAATGTACCAAGGGCCGAGGGGGAAGTCTGAACCGCCGTTCCGTGGATATCGTTGTCTTCAGATTGTGGATAGAATGAAGGAGAACAGCTGTTCAATGTTCAATCGTTGTTGAAAAGGCGACCATGAGAAATCTTGTCAGCTGTTTATTAACCGGGGGAGGATTAAGGTGTGGCTTCCGCATCAACAAACCCCAGCCTACTGCACACACCCAAACCCCAACTCCCTCACCCACGAACCCCCCCCCCCCCCTCCAATTGCAATCGCAATCACACTCCCTCTCAATCATAATGTCCGACATCCCACTCCGCCCCTCCCTAGAACAAGGCCTCCTCCCAACTCACTCCACAGAACCCGCCATCTTTCGTCCATCGACAGTCTACACATTCGGTATGTAGCTTCACTTTACTTCTCTTGATCATGTCGTGTCTGGCTAACATTGAAGCCACAGAATCTTTGAATTTGACGGAGAAGATGTGGATGGGGGCTGCGTTTACGCTCGTCATGGTTATTATGATTGGTGGATGTGTTGGGATCATGCTCGCTTCTGATGGGGGTGCGTGATGGGTCTGGATGAGGTGGATATCTTGAGGAGTGATGACATTGTGTTGTGTGCGGAAGATTGAGGTGACATGGTTTCCAATACTGAGATGCTCTCGGGCTGACGCTGCGATGTTACAGATATGCCGCCGCGTATCCCTGTACGATACGGTCTTCCCATTACAAACATCCACGCGGAACAGCTCTGCAGTCATAAGGTCCGCGAGCCTGAGGACGTGCACAACCGAGCTACCAGTATCAATCTGGAATGACTCTGAGGATACCACTGCTTAACGCGTGGCGCATCCACGATGTTTCGTGACTGACGCAATGACCGAACAAACATAACCGTGCGAGTCCGTCACTGTGCAGCTGCAGTAAAAGCAAACCATGGCAACGGAACGTCCTTGGAAATGCTAGTATATATACGGTCTTGTCAGTTGCGTAGCATTCAACTACAGTGCTGTTTTTCAGTGATCAAGATTCCGTGGTGTGTTGCGACGTGATGCTATACGCGCTGTGATTGAACCAGCCGGTAGCTATGTATGGAGACAGGAAGGAAAACACATTGCACTCCATTTGCTACGAATCGCCTGAAAGCGAACGTACTTGCGATTGATCACAAACTCTTGCCGGCTTATGGAGCGCTGCTTACCCAATCCTCCCTCCGCACGGGTAGCATGCTGGCTCCCCCGCCGCCGGCGATGACGGTCGCATCAAACACACCCAATAATAAGACCAATACAATCATCCCTATCAACTGACCCAGCTTACATTACCCTCCCCTCTCCTCCCCAGGCCGCGCGTTCTAGGTCACCAAACCCTACCCTCGCACCTGACACCTCCACCCGCGCGTCCCCTCACAAAACTTCCCTTCTCACCACCAAAATTCAACTCCCGCTCGTCCCGACCAATCTCTCGCCCAACGACCACCCAATAAAAACAAGATGTACGTCGATTGAGAGGAACGATTTGTTGTGTGTTCGTGAACACCATCCCTTAGCTATCCAAGCCGCAAGCTCTCCGTCCTCCTCTCACCCTTCCCCTTCTCCAAACCTCTCAGAGGCAAAGAAGGAAGAAGGGGTGAGAGTTGAGGATGTAGGGAGATGTCATAAGTCTTGCGAACACGCTGCTGCCCCGTTCCGAGTTCTTCGGTTTGGACATTGGGCTGACATGGGAATAGGCCCAACTTGAGGTCCCAGAAGCGTCTCGCTGCCGCCGTCTTGAAGTGCGGTGAGCGTAAGATTTGGCTCGACCCTAACGAGACCACTGAGATTGGTAACGCCAACTCTCGTAAGTTATTCCCTCTTTCCTCTTACGTTGTGTGTGATCTGTTCCGCTTTTGTGGTGGGATCGGTCGCAGCAACGTGTGATTTCTGGTTGAGAGAACAACTGGTTAACTATGGAAACACACAGGTGCCAACATCCGCAAGCTCGTCAAGGATGGTCTCGTCATCCGCAAGCCCGCCGTGATGCACTCCCGCTCCCGCGCTCGCGAGCACGCTGCCTCCAAGCGTGCCGGTCGTCACACCGGTGCCGGTAAGCGCAAGGGTACCGCCGAGGCCCGCATGCGCACCACCGTCATCTGGATGCGCCGCCAGCGTGTCCTCCGCCGTCTCCTCCGCAAGTACCGCGAGTCCGGCAAGATCGACAAGCACCTCTACCACGAGCTCTACGTCTCTGCCAAGGGTAACACCTTCAAGCACAAGCGTGCGCTCCTTGAGCACATTCATAAGGCTAAGGCTGAGGCTCAGCGTGAGAAGGTTTTGGCTGATCAGGCTGAGGCTCGTCGTGCTGCTGGTAAGGCTGCTCGTGCTCGTCGTGCTGAGCGTGTTGAGCAGAAGCGCAACGCTGCCTTCGAGGCTGCTGCTGAGGAGAAGGCCGAGTAAGCGATGTATGTACTAGTACGCTAGGAATTCGGTTTGGCATGCAAAAAGTTATGTAGGGGGCTGGATTGGTGTTTTGGCATCTTTTGGATGGTCGTTGTGTCGTTTGTTTTGTTTAGCAAATGAATCTCTGGTCCGCCTCTGCTTCTGTCCCATGTCATCTTTGTAATGCCTCTGCGATTCGTGCTGCCCTCCGTATACCGTCAATCTCGCCTTCTTATACTCCCTACGTATTAGTGCTCTGTTCTGGGACGATCGTTTGGTACCTGTAGATACGTAATAGTAAAGTAACACTACGTTGCCTATCATACACACACTCTTCACTTAGAAAGAGCATGATCCGTCCGTGCACCCATCCGCAGGTGCAGCAGCACCACTGGCAGCCTTGCTCTTAACAACATCATTGAACACCCTCAAGAACGCCGGAGGCTCCTGCGCACCGCCAAGCTCGTACCTATTGTCAACAATGAAGTGCGGCACACCGCTAACACCCCTCCTCTGCGCCTGGAAAACCTCCTGCTCAACCTCGAGTTGTCCATCCTCAGTCTCAAGGAAATCCTTGATCTTCTCTTTGTCACCACCCATCAACCCCGCTTTTGCGGCAGCGCCAGCAAGGACGTTAGGGTCGGAGATATTGCTGTTCTGCGTGAAGTATTCATCGAAGAACGCGTTCACCACGGCATCCTGATTGCCCTCCTTCTCCGCCAACTTGATCAACCGGTGAGAAGCCTGCGTAGGCCCGACCAACCCCCCGTACTTCATCTCGATCCCCTCCTTCTTCGCAACGTCGATCATGTACGGGATCATCTGCGCCACCCTCCCCGCTCCGAACTTCTTGTTATAGCGTCCCAGTTTGTCTTCGACTGTCGCCATTGGGTCGAGGTAGAATGGCTTCCAGGTGATGGAGAAGTTGATGTCGGGGTTTGTGAGGCGGTAGGAGGCGATTGCGCGTTCGAGGCGGCGTTTGCCGATGTAGCACCAGGGACAGATGGTGTCAGAAATGACGGTGATTGGGATGGTGATTTTGGAAGACATTGTAGGGCGGATCAAATGGTGTAGAGGGAGTATGGAGGGGAAGGATCGGGCGTTATGTATGGCCGGTGTACGGTGGCGGGGGTGTGGCACATGATTTGTAAGCGCTGCCGATGCCGAATAGAATGCCAGCTCGTTAAGGAGAACTGGACGGTTCTGCTGTGTAGAAACTGGGGCAACTCATTGTTTCTTGGGCCGGAGAACTCGTCAATAGCGGAGTACTCGTACTGGCGTTGGCGTGCCTCCCCAACCAACTATTACCGGTATACCGGATCACGGAATTCCTACGCTGAGGGGGGTACGCGTTTGCCCATCATGTAAACTCGCTTGCAATACAATCCTACACTTGACTGCTTTGAGCGTGTGTCGGCGGCATAACTAGGCCCTTGTGGTAAAAGAACGTTGCGGTGAACCGGTCCGACATACAATCCCGCTAGCGGCCAGGGCTGATCCCGACGTCCAACACCGGACGTTTTTTATTGGAAGGATCTTAATCTGATTGTCACGCTTATGACGTGAACATTACCGGACCCATGACCACCCGGGATTCTTATGACAAAAGAGCGTTTGTAGCCGGCCTACCTCGCACCTCCATCCCTCGCGTGAACTTACATCAATTCACATATGTCTGAAGGCAATGTGATCCGTGGCCACAAGGTAGCTTTACAAACAATGATCCATAATACACTGCTGATCCACATTTATAGGCCAACCTCTCCAATAAAAGTACCAGTGACGAATCCAAGGAGAATTCCTTGAAGGTATACTTCACATCTCCAAGCATCGCTCGTTCCCACGGCTGATGATTGCTTCCAGTACCTCCAAGAACACGACCCCGAAGAATACCCTCCTGACGAAGGTTCCGGTCAGCAAAGTCACCCCCGTCAAACCTCAGGCTCGAGTACGGGGAGTGCATCCCAGAATGTGGAGAGTGTCACGCACGGCAAGGATGCCGGAAACGTTATGAGGGGTTTGAAGGCGACTATTTCGAACCCCAATGTCAGCGAGGAGGTAACTGCGAGACGTCAAGGGAACATAAATTCTTTGCTGATTTGATCGTGATTACAGGCCAAAGAGCGTGCTCATGAGAAGCTGGACGTTCTTGAAGGAGCCGAGTGAGTTCTCGCAAGGTATCATTCTGTCTGATTATGGAAGTGGATAATCCTTGGGGCCGGGTCATATCATTTATACCTGCTATCTGTTTTAAGTTGGATGAATCAGAACCGTATCTTCTATTTACTGAGATAACTCCTACCAAGCTTCCACTCCTCGTCAAAGAAGCCCAGCCCCTTGATGATTTCTATGCCCTCACCTACGATGGCAAAATCAGGTTGTCCAGAGCCCGTACGGTATGGTACCAACCTCGCAGCACGACGAAGGCCTGCTTCATCTAATCCTGCAATGCTAAGCATGAGCCTACCCTGATAAGGATGGGCGAATATCACTCCAGTTCCCGGCTCGGAGTACTTCGCATCGCCAACGACGTAACCATTCTCCATAGCCTGTATCGCAGGCGCTTGTCGCTCGAATGCCTCCGCAACGATGCTGTTCTGGTCAGGATTTCCGAGAGCAATGACATTGCCACGACAATCTTCGCCGTCAACCTGGTCCTCATAAGCTATCCTGACGTCCATCCCAAAGTAATTGTAGAATCCTCTTACAATATCTGAGGCAATGTCAAGATATACCTGACCAAGGGCCGGGATGACAACTGTCAGTGTATCTGGTGTATCTATGACATCCGCAATGTGGCCTGCCTGTCTGCCTTGACGTTTGACAAATGCATGCTGTGCAGCTGTACTGTGTTGAACTTTCGAAAGAGGACCACTGCGGACAGGGCTCCGAGATTTCCCCAGACAGTCGATCAAGAACTCCCCCAGCCTCCCCGCAGTCATAACTCCATCCCACCAGTGACTCTCGCCCTTTACCACATCCAAACTAAGAATCACAGTTAGCTACTACAGACTGTTGCGGACACATACTTACCTTGCGTCTACACCATGCATCCTCAGCAGCTCCACCATCCTCCGGGAGTGATACACCGGTACATTATCATCCGCACTGCCATGTCTAGCCAAAACCTTGGTCCCCACGACATTATTGACATACAGACTAGCATCGTATTCTGAAAGCACTTCGTTGATAATGGACATCACTTCGTGGTTCGCTTCCCACATCATATATGGCACGTATGCCTGTATACTATAATACCCAGCAATGGGAGCAGCACAAACGATGTCAATTCCCGGTTTCGGGTGAGTGATTGCATTCCATACACCTTGTCCTGTGAGTCGCAGTTAGCAAGCCGTCGGTCTCATACCGCGATCGCGTCTACAACTCACCTCCATTCGAATGGCCCGTCAATACCCACCTCCCCTCATCAGCCCCAACCCCCTCCCACGCAACCCTATCCATCCAACCCTTCACAGCCCTCGCCGCAGCCTCGGCATCCCCGAAACTCCATCGATGCCAATCATCGCCCCAGGATGTAACCCCCGCAGGCATTACCAACCAGCCCGGCAAATCAGGCAAGTCATCGTATGCCTGAGTCCACATCGGACTGGATGCCTCGACTCCTGCGCCGTGGAGGGAGACAACGACGGGGAGGATGGAACAGTTGGAGGTTTGTTGGACCTGGAGAGAGGGAGGACGGAGAATAGAATAGGAGACGATGTTGGAGGGGTGGAGATATGTGAATTTGTGCGGTGAATGGACAGAGGGGCGCACTGTCAATGGAACACTATGGACAAGGTAAGAAGCCAAACCTGTTGTCCGGTGGTGTACGGTGATATTGATTGGGAGCTCCTGCAACTCGAACGCTCCCACGGCTCGAACACGAAACTTGATTGGTCGTATCTGACCAGGGGCTAAAGAAACGGACACGTCCTCGAACGTAATTCCTATAGGCTCGTGTGCATCCTGTGAATCTGTGTCAGCATGGCCTTTCCGGCTTCAGCTGAGGCAGAGGCTGACCTGAATATGAGCATCAACGACATCAACCCACTCCTCCCCCTCATTCCTCACTCCAACACTCACCCACTCACCCGCCGATCTACCCTCCACAACGTCCGGTGTAACGATACCTCTCTCCTCTACCACTACCCCGCCGGCGACCCTCTGCACGCTTATCACATCCTCGACCTTGGGAGGTATCCTCCCACCAAATATCCGGATCTCATTAATTGCCCGAATCTCCACTCTATGTTCACCCGGGGAAAGTGTGAGGATGAGTGGAGCACGTCGGTATGCATACCAATCACCCCCATCATAAAGCTTGCCATCAATCCATATCTCGCCGACGTTGAGTGCATGAATACGGTAGCGACCTTCCTCTTCGATATGTATAGTCCCCCGTATCCAGAAGGAGAACTGGAGTGCAGCCCAACCGTATGCCGATGTGAGTCCGTCCCAATCGATATCCTCATACACGACCTCCACTTTCGCTTGAGCTCCCTCTCCGCTCTCCTCCGTCACTTCTGCCTCGAAAGTTCTCCACCCGACGGTGCCATTCAGCGAGGAAGGAAAGGTGTCAAAAGAGTCATACGTGAGATTATGGAACCCGCCTGGGTGAAGGATAGACAGTGGGTCGTGGCCCCAGGCTGCTTCGCGAGTACCGATCTGCCACGGTCCGAGTGCGTGCCAGGATTTATCGATTGCAAGCCGCGAAGATGTCCGAAAAGCATGTTGATGGCCTTCAAAGGCAACCACAGCTGTCCACAATAAGGCGAATACAATGCTGCGCAGAATCATAGTCGTGCGAAGTCTACGTTACACCCCACCCCCACATTACGGCCACCCGCGCAATCTCACATAATCGTACACACTTTCAGCATCCCAAGTATTCTTTGTTCAGAGAAAAAGTCTATTATCAATACATATTTTTGTCTCTATTAAGTGAAGAGTGGAGAAGAAAACCAGACAAGGGGTATATATCAAAAGATTGTCTAGTTCTTCGCGGCACCACCGAAGGCGGTATCGATCATGGGGATCAAGGTCTGGGCGATGGTGTAACTGTGGTAGAAATGTTAGCATCCATGTGATTAGAGACGAATGATCTTCGCTAGGCTCGCTAGGCTCGCTTCGCTCGGACGGGGATACATACGAGAACACCAACTTCGGTCCAGCCGTCAACAACTTCGGGACCAATCCCTTAAAGAGCGCACCCGCACCCTCATTCTTAATCAAATTCTTCATAATTTCAACACCACGACCCTTCGCCTCGAAATTCTGGTTCTGAATCCTAGTCTTGATGACATCCAATGGCGCAGAGACGGTAAGCGACGCAGACGCACCGGCAATGGAGGCGATAAAGTTCTGGAACCAGGTGGCATCGTTGTAATCCTTGAGGGCGAACATGTATTCCTTTGCGAATGCGGAACCACCGAAAAGGGCGAAAGATCCGGGGGCGTTACGAGCGGCGGTCCATCCCCAGCCGCGGTACAGGCCGAATCCCTCATCGGCGATGATCTTGAAGAGACCGCGACCGCGGAAAGCCTCAGGGTTGGTTTGGCGCTTGATCTTGAGGACGTCAAGGGGGAGGAGAACGATCTCTCCGATGCCGATCAAGGAACCGGCGGTAGCGTACATGATCGGCTTACCCATTCCACGTCCGAACAGACGGTCGAAATCGTCACCGTGGTGCTTGGCGAGGTAGTCCTTAGCCACGGGCTGTCCACCATACTTGTAGATACGCTGCAAAATCTTGTAACCAGCCGCGTAGCCGAGACCGGGGAAGAGGGACACGAACTTCTGACCAGCAGAAGCTTGAGCCTTTTGCTTAAAGATGACGTCGTTAAATTGAGCGGCGGTCGTGACTCTGGTCTGGTTGGACATGAGACGCTTCGCGATGGTGTCGACAGGGTGGAACATGGCGAGCTCGAGGATACCGGCGGAGGCGGCACCGATGGTACGGGCGGCACCGGACTCCTTGGAGCCGGACTTGGCAGAGGCGTGTGCGACCATGATTAATCAATGCTGTACCGTCCTGTTAGAGATGGTTGATCTGGATGAATGCCGGGCTACTCACAGTGTCCTTGGTATCGTCTGCTGTTCAACTCGCGATCGTACGGGTAAGCCAGGGATTAACTCCAAAAAGATTACACGCTAGATACGAACGTCCGGAGATGCAGGTGTGGCGGGTGAGGGGAGCTGCCCCTGGTGCGCCACGGAGGGCCCCGGTGCGCTCGAACAGCTGTACCGGTACACCAGGACATAAATAACATCGACGACCAACCTTAGGGAGAGTAGGAGCTTCTGATCTGTAATAGCCATGTCCAGAATCCCAATGTCCAAGGGCGAGGTAGCTATACATTCACTCGTAGTTGTCCCTCAAGCAAACCTAACGTCGCACCAGCTCGATGCCATCAAACAAGACTTTGCATCCTCGCTGCAAGACTTGACCTTCAATTCAAAGCCGATTATTACCAACCTTACTATCATCGCTCAAGAAAACCTCGACGCGGCGTCTGCTATCGTCTTGGCGATCGAAACCCACCTTGCGCGCTGTTCGCCCTCTCACAAGTTGCCATGTCTCTACCTCCTCGACTCAATCTGCAAGAATGTCGGCCCCCCATACACGATGCTCTTCGCCCGAAACCTCTACAAAACTTTCATGGACGCCTACACCACAATCGACCAGTCTCAACGCCGAAAACTCGAAGAACTCCTGCAAACATGGAAACAGCCCGTTCCAATGAGCCAATCAACCCAACCCGTCTTCAAATCCGAAGTCACCAGTAAACTCGAAAACGCACTTCTCAAAGCACGAACGGCGTTGATGCAGCTACAGCAAGACCAGGCGCGGAAGGCTGCTGCTACACAAGGGTACGGCACCCCACCCGCCCTCCTCGCTCAACGCGCCCAAGCACTCTCGCAACCTCAACCCCTCCCTCGTCCTGCATCTCTCCCTCCCACCGCCTCCTACATGTACTCGACGCCAACCCCAGCACTCTCAATTGACTCCCTCCTCACAACCCTTACCTCACTCCTCACCGCCGCTCGTACACGATTGATCCTCAACCCCGCCGACACTACGGCGCAAACTCAGATCGGTGCATTGACGCAGTTGGAGGGGATTTTGAGAACGACGCAGTTACCGCCGGCGCAACTGGAGGCTGTACAGAGGCAGTTGGAGGGGATGCGGGCTACCACGCCCTCACCGGTGGTTGCTACACCACCGCCGCCGCCAATGATGCCGGTGGGCGGGGCGCAGGACCCGGCGGCGTTGTTCGCGAGTTTGCAGAAGAGTGGGTTATTTGCTGGACTTGGTGGTGGACTTCCCTCTATCCCGCCCGCTGTACCTGCTCCACCGCCCTCCGCTCCTCCCATCCTCGGCGGCTTACTACTTCCCGGCTTCCCCATGCCAGGCATGCCCCAACCCATCGGCGGCGTACCACTGCCTCCACCCCCACCAACCCCCTCCTCCGCCTGGCGCATGATCGACATCGACCTCACCTCCTCCTCCCTCTCCAAACCGCGCCCCTACCTCATCCCACTTCTCTACGGCGCCCTTCCCCTCCAATGCCGAACATGTGGCCGTAGGTTTGCGGATTCGGAGGTGGGGAGGGCGGAGAGGGATAAACATCTCGATTGGCATTTTGGGGTGAATAAGAGGGGAAGGGAGGGTGTTGGACGGGGGGTTTCGAGGAGTTGGTATTTGGGGGTTGAGGAGTGGATTGCTAATAGGGACGAAGAAGAATCATCACCTTCGTCTAAAAACAATAACACTACTGCTGTTGGTGGAGCGACGGTGGCGGCAGGGAGAGATCCGAAGCTAGAGTGGGTTCCAACTCCCACCAACCCCTTCGAAGCCGCTCAGCCTTGCCCCATCTGTAGAGAGAAATTTGTGTCTGTGTGGCATGAGGATGCGGAGGAGTGGGTTTGGCGGCATGCGGTAAGGGTTAATGGGAAGGTTTATCATGCGACGTGTCAACATGAAGCTGTCGCGTCCGCTGCTGCTTTGGCGAATCTCTTCGGGTCAGGTGGAGCGGGAGTGGGAGCGGGAGTTGGGGGTGCGGCTGGAAGAGGTGGGAGTGTTAGTCGAGACGTGACTCCCGCTGTTGGTGGTGGAACGCCAAGGTTTGGGAATGCGACACTGGTGCCGGTGAAGGAGGAGCCTGCTGCTGAGCATGTGAAGGTCAAGGTTGAGCCGGGTGTTGGGGTTAAGGTGGAGGAAGAGGACGACGACGAGGAGGAGGAAGACGATTATGATCCGAGTTTGAATACGTATACGTATCCGAGTGTTCCGGATGTGAAGGTGAAGACTGAGCCGGGGACTGTCAAGAGTGCAGCGGTTGTTGCAGCAGCGCCGGCTGTAGTGCTTGCGGAATCGGGAGGGGTGCCGGCGCCGACGCAGGATTTACAGAGTTTGTTGGCGGGGATTGATATGGCTGCTCTTCAGAGCATCTTGGGAAAAAGGAAGGCGGAGGATGAGTTGACGAAGCAGTAGGAGCACACATCTTGGGAGGAGGGGTTGGGTTCGCGGGACTATAGCAGCATAGGGGAGGAAAAGGGGAGAGACGTGGTTGGGCATCCTGACGTGGGAGCATCTGGATTTGGGTTCGTTCTTTGATGGGCATGGGTCATAGGCATAGCATCGGGCGCGGTGCGTCGTCATCGTCATACTAGAGATACCATAGATACACATAAGCTGCATAGACTTCATTTTTCATTGAGGCCAAGGTGGTGAGGTGTGTCTGTACAGCGATCTCGGGCGCGATACGGCTTGAATGCTCGACGAAAGGGACCATTGAGGACGAACGCCGGAAGTTCTCACGCTCGGTGGGCGCCTTTACGATGGCTCACCGGATTGCAAGAGAACCCAGGCAGAGATTGTTGTTAACAAAAATAAAACAAAATTGATGTCCTAAAACAATATCATCTTTGACCCTAATTCATTGCGATCGGTCTTATATAAGGTTATCGATGCCGGGGATTAGGCAAGGCACTAGCTCCACCCCAGGTTTATATGAGGCCAGCTGAAGGGCCGGCCAACCTCCTTCCTCTACCCAACCACTGTCCACTCACTAGACTCACTCCTCGAATCTGCACAACGTTTGTTTGCTTGTTGTTGGTGCGTTGAGATTCGCTTGACGCTTGTTTGCTGCTAATTTCTGAGCGTACAGCTTCCATCTTCTGCATCTCCTTTTCTGCTTGAGTCCGGTGCCTTCAAAGCACACCGCATTCATTCCGTGAATATACCCGTGCTCACCATCTGCAGCTCTACAAACCTCCTCAGAGGTCCATTTGACTAGCATTTACACCTGTGAATATGTCGACTACTGCGTCTGCTACCACCGGCAACTCGCCTAACCAGTCCAAGGTCAATCCGTCAGCCAAGTCTTCGGCTCTTAGTTCCCCTGTTGAGGACTTTGAGGAGGTGGGTCAGGCGAGGGAGAGTCCCAGTCCCACTCGCTTGCAGAATGTTTGGCAGAACACTGGGGTGGGCAATTTAGTATGTGTCGTCCCTGTCTGCTTGGGATGTATGCTAATAAAACAAATACGCAGACCCTTAGTGCTGCCAGCAATGACGATGACAACGTCCGTCCTTCTACTGGCTCGGAGATCGATGAGGTATGCCACCAAGATAATTGTAAAACTACGTTCTCACGGTACATACAGTCCAAGTACCCCACCCCGGAGCTTGCTCTTGCTGCTCAGTTGTTTGAAGCTCAACGCCAAAGTCCGTGTTGTCAGATCTGACAAAGAATCTGCTAATCGTGCATATAGTCGAGGAGCAGAAAGCTCAGCTTAGGCACAAAGATCAAGACCTCCAAGCCCTGCGTGTGCAAGCCAGTCAACCTCCTCCTCTTGCGAACACCCACCGCCGCCGCACCTCGCTCATGTCTCAAACCAGCATCTTCTCCCCTGTCTCCAGCACCGAGTCCGCCAACACCTCTCTGTCCGCCTTGGAGGAGATGGCTGCTCTCAAAGCCCAGCTTCTCGAGGCGGAGAGGAAGATCGCTCAGTTGTCTGTTGAGACCCACGACGTCGAGGATCGTCACCTTCCCAGCTTCATTGCGGATGACAGGAGTGATACTAGCTTGAGTGGAAGGTCTATCCCTGATATCGACAAGCATGTTTCTGTTCCGATGGAGAACTGGCGTGCGCGGTCGCGTTCCCCCTCATGCAGCCCGCGCTCTCAGCTCAACTCGAATGCGATGCCATTTTGGCCTCAGTCTGCCTCAACAATGGTCGGATCGGCCTTGCCTTCTCCGGCCGAGGTTCAAGCCGCTGCCTTCGGTGCTGTTGGTGCTCCTCGCGCCCCTGCCAGCCCCGGGCGTATCTGGGGTTCGAGGCCTAGGAGGACGCCTAGCATGTCCGCTGCTCCTCCCGTCAGTGCGCCTTTTCTGGGCGCTCATGGACGCAGTCAGAGTGCGAGCTCGTTCGGAAGTATGGTGAATGCGTGGAACTACCCCGGCTCCCGTGGTTCGGATGGGTCCTCCCCTGGCCTTCCTCCTCAAGCCATGCCGGCTTTCGGTAACATGACTCCGCCCTTGAACGCTTCCTTCGGCGGTGCTGGCGGGTTCCCCTCTCCCGACTTTGTGCCGTCGACGGGACCATGGGCGAACCCCGGTAACTCCTTTGCTCAGCAATCTCCGAACACCATCGCTGCCGTCATCCTACCCACCGACACCGTCAACTGGCGTCGTCTCCTCCAAGACCGTATGGTCATCATCGACTGGAACGTTGTAGTTGATCGTATTGTCTGCAACAACGACCAGCAGGCATCCATCTTCCTTCAGCAGAAACTCAAGATGGCGACGTCGGAGCAGAGGCACGCGATCATCGAGGCTATTATTGCACAGGCATACCCCCTTATGCTTAACCGGTTCGGTAACTTCCTCGTCCAAAGGTGTTTCGAGTACGGGACTCCCGAGCAAGTCAAGGGTATCGCTGATGCCATTCGCGGTAACGTTCTTAACTTATCCTGTGATAACTTTGGATGTCACGTCGTTCAGAAAGCTTTCGACTGCGTCGACGAGGATGACAAGGCATCCATGGTTACCGAGCTCCTTCGTCGCATTCCGGAGACGGTGATCCACCGCTCCGCCTGTCACGTCTGGCAGAAGTTGTTCGAGATCCGTTGGGAGGGCTCGCCGCCTGTTATTATGCCTTACGTCAACAAGGCGCTGAAAGGTGAGTGGCATACTGTTGCGCTTGGCGAGACTGGTAGTTTGGTTGTGCAGAATATATTTGAGAATTGCCTTGAGGAGGATAAGGTATGGTCCTCATCGCCCACCTTTTCAAAAGGAGTGCTGACGAGTGCATACAGCGTGAGTGTATCGATGAGGTTATTGCCAAGCTCGATACCATTGCCAGAGGACAGTGGGGCAACTGGGTCGTGCAGCATATTGTTGAGCACGGGGATCCAAATGATCGTCAAAAAGCCCTTGATGTGATCATGGAGGTGAGTGTTGTCTGCTGTCACTTCTGCTCCTGCTGACTAACTTCATTCACAGAACGCCGTTGCATACAGCATGGACCAGTTCGCTTCGAAGATCATCGAGAAGATGCTCAAAGTTTGTGAGCCCCCCGTCGTTGCCCGTTACCTTGAGCGCATAACTGAGGCCAAGACTGATCGTCCGCGTGTTCCTCTCATTGTGAGTGTATGCAGCCTTGAGCAAACTTGTGATTAACAACCTATCCTCACAGGATATCGCCTCTGACATGTACGGCAACTACCTCATTCAGTATATGATTGATCACTGCGTCCCTGCGCAGCGTGAGATCATCGTTGCTCTTATCCGCAAGCACCTGGGTAAAGACGCCCCCTGGCTGTTCCCTATGCATGTTCAGCTGACATGTTTTACAGTTTCCCTGCGTGGAAGTCGTTTCGGTTCCCGCGTGGCCTTGAAGGTCGGGCACCAACAGCATTACTCCACTTCATTGCGCGGGCCCAATGGGGGTTGGGCAGGAAGGCGTTGAGCTCGAGACCTCGAAAGCGAAAACATATTGGTGTTTGTTCCGTTGAAGGATACCCTTTTTTATCATTGTCATGGTTTGTCTGAGATATCATTGTTTAGCTTTATAAGGTGAGAGAACTTTGAGGAGTTGTGGGATTGTTTGTAGTTGATACGGATAAGGCCAAGAATATGTCAAACAAGGGAGGCTTTTGTTTAGGATACGATTGAGGGAAAATGCAAACTATATTTCATCCTGGACGAGCTCGTACGTCGTGCCTGACCTGCCGGGGTGCAGCTCTCCCTGAAACCAGCGTCCGCCGCAATTACGTGCGAACAGATACGAGCTGCGACAGTTTTACTTCTTGATTCCATCGAGATCGGACTTCGCAATGGCCGACGTCGACATTCAGATGATTGATGGTCACAGCCATGGGACGAATGGCGGCCCTAATATCCATACGGAGTCGTCTAAGGATGTTCATCTTTTTAGGTGGGCTCAACGTCTAGGCCAACTGCGCTTCTGAAAGTTATGCTTACTCGTGGCCTATAGTATCCTCGGCCGTTCGGTGTACTATTACAGTACGCTTTCTCTTTTCACGTCTTCTAGTTGTCGAATGTGTACTAACTCGCTGCATAGATCAATACTATGAAGCTCGCCGCAAACGACACACGATTGACGCAGAATACCTCAAAGCCCGTCAATTCTTCAACATGAACCCCCGCATTAAGGACATGATGGATGCACAAGTCGCCGCGGCACGTAAAGAGGAGGACGATAGGAAGATGAAGTTCGAGGCTGCAGCGGCTGAGGACGGGAACAGGCTTAAGCAGTTGTACATGCCGCGCGATGAGGTCGCGAGGTGTGTCGAGGAGAATGTTTCGAGGCGGGTTAAAAACGAGCTACAGGCGTTGAGGGAGGAGATAAGGCAGAGTGAGGAGCGGATCATGAAACGTGCGAAGACGGAGGTGGGGGCGACGGTGCGGGTGCCTGAAGCAACAAAGCGCGAGATGGAGGCGAGTACGAGGCGGATCAAGCAGGAGATTGGGACGTTGAGAGAGAAGGTTGACGATCATGCGACACAACTCACCAATTTGCGGACGCAGACCCAGAACCAGAGCCAGAATCAGACCCAGAAACCAGTACTGGTCGAGGTGGACATCTCGAAACTTGAGGAACAAGTCATCCAATACAAAGAAACCTTCGCGCGTGTCAGCGAGCACCTCCAGGCACACAAGTCCGGTATCGAAGCCTGTCAGAACGCAATAACTCAGACACACTCCTACCTCACGGACCTCGATTCACGGTGTCAAGCACGCGATGAACTTATTGGTGAGCAGCTCGATGCGGTGTTGGAGGAAATCGACAAGAACGCGAAGACAAATTTGACGGCGATCTCAACGCTCGAGGAAAAGACGTCGACAGCAGCGGGTGCAATACCGGCACCGGCGAACGACAAAATCTGGGCGAAGCTGGCAGAGGTGGAAGCAAAGTTACGGGAGGTCGAGGCACAGAAAAACGACAAAATATTGGCCAAGTTGGCGGAAGTCGACACTTACTCAAACCAACTCAAAACCCTAAAAACCCACATGGCATCCCACACAATCGCACTTCGCAACGTCGAAGCCCGCACAACCGGTACCAACCTCGAGCGTGAACGCGTCGCGCAACTCGTCCAGGAATTCATGTCTTCACAACAAGGCAGCATGTTATTTGCACAGGTCATCCCGCACGCCGTCGCTACACACCTCCCTCACTGCCTCGGATTTACGACGATCGTGAATCGTCTCATGGTGGTGGAAAAACGCTTTTCGGATACTGAACAACGTCTCGTACCCCTTGGACCGGAAATCGTTACCTGGCAGAAGTTTAGGGCAAGCACGCATACGTGGATTAATGGCGTTAATAGACGGTTGGAGATATTGGATGGGCAGTGTGAGGACTTGAGGAAGATCATCCGAAGGAATTCTGCTGGGCCTGCGGGTGTTGGTGCTGGTGTGCAGAGCCGGCCTGCGCAGACGACGCCGACGCCGGCGCCGGTTGGTGTACAGAGACAGATTCCAGCACGGGCATCAGTGCCGCGAGCGTCGCCAGGTGTTGTACCGGGGCAGGTTCCACGACAGGTACCTCCTCCCGCTGCTGCAGCGTCAGCGGCGCAGGCATCGCAGCCTCAGCCGGCTCGCTTCGTACAAGCGTCTCAAACAACTCAAACAGCTGAATCACCTAGGCCTCAAGTATCTTTAGCACCCAGGCTTCAGGCAGCTCAAGCGCCTCAAGCTGCGGCTGCGGTGCCGATGGTGAAGAAAGAGTCTGGAGTCGGTAACAAGGACAACAACACGTAGACCTTATCTTTGTGGAGTAGGAAGCAGGGCATGGATTGGCAGGCGTTATCATTCATACTGGATTCACATATATTAATTAGATACAAAGTGCATAAACGTACAACAAAGCATGTTTAATATTGTTTTTGACCAAACAACCGTCCTTGCAATTGTTCATTAAAGAGTAAAGTAATACGCATACTGCTTGAAAAATGTCCCTGAAATCCGCTTCTCCCCAACCGTTACCAACCGATTCCCAATCCTAACTTACGCGTCCGTATCTTCATAATCACTCATCATCCGACGCAGCACCCCGAGCCGCAGCCTCCGCCTCAACCTCTGCCTCGGCATTCGCCAAGGTATCCGTTGCATGTGTGAAGAACAACCTCGCAGTCTTTGCTGCCGAGATGTTCTTGAAGCTGTAGTTATTACCTCTTGGTACAATGAACTGACCACCCTTCTTGACCTTGAAGGTCGTATCGTGAACCCTAACCTCCAACACACCCTCAAACACCGCGAAGATCATCACGTTCTGCTTTGATGACCTCGGCAACTTCTCGGCGCCCGGTGGAAGGTCAACGACACCGGTAGCGACGAAGTCGTTCACAGTGAAGATCTTTTGGTAGCGCATAGATGTGTTGGCGACCGCCTTTGGCTTGATCTGAGTTGAAGGACAGGCAATAACTGTACCGATGTTAGCAACTATTTCTGCATGCACAATACAGTGAGAAAATACCCTTGACGACTGTCTCATCCTCTCCATCGGCCTGCCATCCGAGAACCTGTGCCTCCATCAATCCATCCTCTTCCTCGATGTCTTCATCACTTTCTTCGTCGCTGCTGTCTCCACTCTTCAAACTCCTCTTCCGTCCCCGTGCAGTACCATTAGCTGCCCGCTTCTTGGTTTTTGCAGGTGCCGTCTCCTCAACCCTGATAATTTCCTTCATCTCTGGCAGAACAAGACCGCTAGACTTGCGACGATCGCTCGCTCCGTAGACAATCTTCTCGTTCTTCCAGAAGGCAAGAGGTGCCACCCGTGCTCGTCTACTTCTTCGCACATCGCTGCCGAGTTCGGAAAAGTCCTCAGACGGGTCCGGAGGCTTCTCATGGATGATGACCTGCTTTGCTTGCGTCAGAGAAACATCGCCCTTCGAGAGCTTCTTCGACTTCGCCTGTGCTGGCTCAGAGGTCTTGGTTTTCTTTGCGGGCCTGATGTTCTCCTTTTCCTTCGTTGTATTTTTCGGCGGTCGTCCGCGCTTCTTGACCGGTGCTGGTGCCTCTTCTTCCTCGTTCTCAGACTCCTCAACCTGTTGCACTTCCTTCGCCTTCTTCTTCGGTGCGTCCTGCTCCTTTGCTTTAGTTGCCACTGCCTTGGGCGGTCTTCCCCTTTTCTTCTGGGCCGGCTCCGGTTCTGCTTCTTCCACGTCCTCGTCAAACGCTTCCTGGACAGGTTCGGGCTCCATGTCCATCTCGGGTTCAACCTCAGGTTCAGGCATCCGCTCGTCCTCACTCATTGCCTCCTCCGCTCCATTCACGGCATCTCCAACGTGAGCTTCCAGGTCACCCGAAACATCTCCGCCATTTGTCATCGCAAACAACTTCCGCTTCTTTCCACCTTGAGATAGCAGTCCTGTTTGTTTCCTGGGCTTGGGCTTGGTAGCGGAAGGTGCACGGGCTGGTTCAGGTGATGCCTCCGCCTCAACCTCAGGCTCTCGTACGGGCTCATTATCTTCGTAGACCTCGTCGCCCATTTGAGGTTCAGGGTAATCCTCCTCCACAGGTTCGGGTTCGAACGTACGTTCCTTTCGTGCAGGCGTCTTCACCTCGTTGAAGTCGATCTTCCGCGCAACGTTTACGTTTGATCCAGAGTGGGCGCTTGATGACCGAGACGGAGACGCGCTGACGTCCTTTTTAGGGGACGACTGGCCCTTGGCAGCCGAACGTACGCGCAACGCGGGAGAATTCAGTGAAGTGCGAGCTGGCGTTCGTCTCAGTGCCGCAAAGGCCGAGACGCGTCTGTCGTCACGAACGATAGTCGCAGGCTCGCGCATTGAAGACTGCGCAAGAGACATGTCCGATGTGTTGTTGTTTGTAAGGTTCGCGGCATCTTGCAAGCGTTTGGTAAAGGATGAATTTGGAGCCTGGGGTGTTGCTGGCCGATCAGGGGAGAAGAATCCATTCATATCCTCCATACCTGCGGAGTCACGCCGCCCAGTATCTTTGACAACCAATCCAGTTTTACTAAATACTCGTCAGCAGTTGCGATTGCACCGCGCTGTCGCGTTGTACATACCGTCCCTTCACGCCAATGTCTGTGAACTGGTTCGTCCTTCCCCTCCGATCCGCCTCTGACGGCGCATGGGACGAGCTCATGGTAGTTTGAAAAGCGAGGTATAGCGTTGACAGCAAATGTCGAGCTCTTCCAGGTAGTTTCGAAGCGGTTACGTTGCGACTGGATGGGTGTATGCCGGCGCATACGCGGGTCCTTGCGACCAAAACAAACAAGGCACTGACATCGAAGATCTGTTACCCTGAGAAAAGCGCGTAAAGTGAGTCGCGTCTTCCCAGCAGTAAGCTTGAGGCCGACAAAAAGCTCAAGATGTCAGAGCTCGAATCGCAATTGGAGTCGCAAGTCGAATCTCAGATTGAGTCGGAAGAGGCAGCCCAGTCTGCTGAAGTTGTGGATCCCGAAAAGCTATTCATTCCTCAGTCAGTCACCTGCAAAAACGCGTCGTTCACAGCATCATACACCTACCACCATCCATTACCGGCTTGTTTACAAGAGAACCCCTTAGCACCATGTATTCTGGGTGTCGATGAAGCAGGAAGAGGGCCTGTATTGGGGCCTATGGTGTATGGAGTTGCGTTCTGCACAGAGGAGTATGCCGACAAGATCAGCGGACATGGATTCATGGGTACGTGAATACGTGAATAGCATTGCTGGACGGCGAGTTCTAACGATTTACAGACTCAAAGGTCCTCTCTGCCGAAGTCCGCTCGGAACTGCTCTCGCAAATGTGTGATTCAACCCACGAGCTTTACCGAGAAATCTCCTGGTCAACACGGATCATGACTCCCCGCGACATCTCAACATGTATGCTCCGATCAAAGCCATCACAGATCATCAACCTCAACGCACAAGCACATGATGCGACCATCAATCTCATCCGTGAGGTCATGGAGCGCGGTGTGAACGTCACGCAGATTTTCGTGGATACCGTCGGTCCACCCGAGACCTATCAGAAGAAACTGCAGCACTTATTTCCGCAAGCAACAGTCACTGTTTCGAAGAAAGCAGATTCGATTTATCCCATCGTCTCTGTTGCCTCTGTAGCTGCCAAAGTTACCCGCGACGCAGCTCTCTCCACCGTGCCTGAAGGCGGTGAACACATCTGGGGCTCTGGATACCCATCCGACCCACGCACTGTCGCTTGGCTGAAGTCAAGTTTCGACCAGGTCTTTGGTTGGAATGATGTTGTGAGGTTCAGTTGGGGAACGGCGAAGACGATGATGGACAAGAATTGTGTTGATGTTGAATGGCCCGAGCCGGAGGAAACTGGCAATATGAACATTATGGGGATGTTTGGTAAAAAAGACGAAGGTTTCACGACTGCCTGGTATGGGAAGGCCGTTACGCCTATGGAGTTCTAGAGTGAACGAACAAGGACGGTGTTCAAAATGCGTGCTGGTCACGCTTGGCACAATACAGCCAGGATTTCTATAAGGACTATCTACACTATAAGAACAATAGGATTGAATCTACCAGAGATCTCGTCTACCGGCGATTACTATGCCTGCAACCTCGCGCGCTCGTCCAGCGCCCACCCCATGACGGGTTCCCACGCTTCGGTAGCCCCTTAATCCAAGTGCACTCCCGCGTACGTACCGTTACGGTGTTCTAAACCCTACAAACCCAAACACCAGGTTCGGGTCCAATCATCGCTGAACGTTGCATCCACCATATCATTAACTTCAGCATGGATGACTACGACCGGGAACCTTCTATAGCTCTTGTCGATCATTCTGTTTTAACCCGCAGTGCATCCCGGATCACCCCTCCCTCACGGCAAGGACAGCAGCATACACCTCCAGTTTCCTCTCGCCCGAGACGTCAACCGACCTATGTGGCCTCTCCAGCTATACAAGCAGCTCACGCTTATCCTTTGGACGCGAGGTTGTCGGATTATATGCGTCAGGTTCAAGGATTGAATGCGGGTGCATCTCATCAGCCGAGAGGAGAAAGGACTGCGTTATGGCCAGGACAGCATGTACTCGGGCAAACGATTCTACCTATCACGGAACGACCTGCTGAGACTGTCGACAGCCTTGTTCTACACGCCCAACGAATGCAAGCGTGGGTTTTCGATCAATCGAGGCCTCAGCCTGCGACGTCTGGTCAACCCGCACCAGCTAACTACAACTATACTCCCGAAGAAGTTCACACTGCATCCGCCGAATCACCACCAGGAACATACGTGGCGGAGGGAGGCGCGACCCAACAACATGTCCCACGGTCGGAGGCTGCTCCAGTGTCACCACAGGCCGCTCCGGAACTTCCCACTGAGGCTCCGACAAGTCACATTACGCAACAACCACCACTCGAACGAACTAAAAGGACGAAGCCTCAACAGTTTGTGCGTGAAAATCGCCCCGAGGCGCCGGTGAAGCCTGTCGCGCCATCACGCAATAGTACTCTACCGCAGATCCAGGATTCCGTCGCTACACTTCCGCAAATACTTGGACATTCTCTCACTCAGCATCGTGCTTCTCAACGAAGAGGATTGGTGAAACCGTGTTTGCGTTCACCACCACCGCACTCCCCTCTACCCGATCAAAAGGCGAATCAGGAACTAGAAGCACTTTTCGAACAGTTCAGGGAATCTGACATCGAATGTGACTCAGAACCTGCTCCGCACGAGTACCGCCTCGAACTACACGTAAACAAACCTGGCAGCGGTCGCAATCTTCATATAAACCCGATTGGCTGGCGTCGTTTATGTCCGCTTTCCATTGATGCAGGCATGAGCTACAAAGAGAAATGCATTGCACAATTTCGCCTATCTGATCCCTTCCCGGAGGAGAGAGAGGAGGTGCTATGGGAGAGATACTGGAAGGAGAGGAGGGCGTTGGAGGAGCGTCAAAATCCGAGACTTTACGACAGAGCCCTGTGTGGAGATCGATATTTGCCCGCGAATTACACACCACCCAAGCATGGATACATTGATGCCATGCGCTACAAAGTTCATTGTACGCCATTCGAAGTCTTGATCAAAGCTGGTGTGGATAGGAACTGGGCGAAGACATTCTGTGATGGAGTGATGCTTGCATACAGACAGGGTGATCTCAAACCTAAGGGCGCCCTTGTAACGCGTATTTACCTCCCTTACTCTCTCCACCGAATCGAAGTCGGCGTGGTGACGCGGGCTGGGCCCGATCGCACGGATAACGTCTTCGCTCTGGGATATCGCCTCCTCAAATGTGACCGACCCGTCCCCAGCGACAGTGCTTATGATGTGATGTTCAATCGCGACATCGGCCAAGTCTTCAGTTATGACAGGTGGCGAAGCCTGGTCTGGACTTGGTGGGAGCAGCGCGAAGACGGGCCTGAACGTTGGTTTCGTGATCCCATGGAGGCTGCCGATATTGATGCGTTCGTGAAGAATCTTCAGTTGTACAAGTACATCCAAGACCCAGTTATCATGAGACAAGTTTGTTTGAAGTTCTTGCTTGCTTGCCTCGCGTCTGATCTGCATATCCCGGCGACAGAGCGTGCTGAGCCTCACAATTATGGGACATACACTATGGAGTTTGCTACGTCTATGATGTGTAAAGAGGATTTGGAGGAATAGAGGCCGGAGGCAGGAGGCGTGAGAAATGGCATCAAGAGATGAGGCGAGAGCATGAGAATGATTAAAGACAAAGACACGATGAAAGCGAGTGAACTTTCTGATAATACATTCCTGATGAACTGCGGGTTGTCCCAGGGTCATGGTAATCGAGCTGCGCCACAACCCCGCAATCCCCCACACTCCTCTCCTCACAATCCGGAGCCCACAACTTCGATGTAACCAACCATGACACTTCCAATCCGCGTACTCGAGTTGGCAGGCCTGGCTCCAGTCCCATATGCCGGCCTCCTACTTTCGCAGTTTGGTGCAGACGTTGTCAGGATTGATCGGGCGGACGTGGAGGAGAACCCGGACTTCTTGTGTGCAGGAAAGAGGAGCTTGCGATTAGACCTGAAAACCAGAGAGGGCCGTGAGGTGTTCCTCAATTTAGCCAGAAGGGCTGATGTAGTTATCGAACCGGTGCAATGTTTGCAAGCCCGGTCTGTATCCTGACTAATTCAATCCATTGCATAGTTTCGCCCCGGCGTGATGGAAAAGCTCGGGCTCAGCCCGGACGAGCTCATAAAGATCAACCCACGTCTCATCTATGCCCGGCTCACTGGGTTCCCCAGAAATGGCAAGTACTCGAAAATGGCGGGTCATGATGTCAACTATGTTGCAATCTCAGGTGTACTATCGGTATGGCAAGGCGTCGTCAATTCCTGTCGAAGGACTCAATGGCTAACAGAATACAGTTCCTGGGTTACCCAGACCGCCCACCACAGCCTCCAACGAACTTGCTAGGTATCGAACCCACCCCGTAAGCTTTGGATGGCCTGCGCTAACAAGTTTACTGTAGCTGACTTTGCCGGTGGCTCCCTCACAGTAGTCATCGGCATCCTCCTCGCACTCCTTAACCGCAATCGCACTGGCCACGGCAGTGTCGTAAACGCAAACATGGTAGACGCAGTATCCCACCTCGGAACGTTTGCTCGTCTCAGCAAGCGGTACGGAAGTGCGTACTTCAGCCCTGTAAACGAAAGAGGAGAAGGATTGCTGGATGGCGGCGCACCCTGGTACGGGACGTATGAGACGAAGGATGGGAAGTATATGGCAGTTGGTGCCCTGGAGCCCCAGTTTTATGCTGTCCTGGTACGTCTCCTTGGGCTGGAAGACGTACCCTCGAGGGAAGAGCGGGTAAACTGGGCAGCCATTAGGACGGCATTCGAAAGGAAGTTCAAGGAGAAGACGCGAAAGGAGTGGGAAGACGTCTTCGATGCGAGTGATGCATGTGTTACGCCTGTGAAGGAACTGGATCTGGGCGAGAAGGTGGATACCGTGCCTTTGGTCGAAATCAAAAGCGATCATGAAGCGCAGTCAGTGTGGACTCCACCGTCCACGGCTGACGAGGGTGGTGCATTGAAGCCCGGCACTGGAGAAGATGAAGTGCTGCAAGACTGGTTGGGGTGGAGAATTGGTCGTGAAGCTCAGAGTGTTCCCGGGAAGGGTCTCCAAAGGACCGTTGTCCGGGAAGCCTGTCGTTGCGGAGGCCGATGTCAATGCGGAACCAACGCCCGTAAACGTAGAACCACAAAGCTGTGACAAAATCGAAGAAAAGACTGGATATATTGCTCATAAAATCAATAAAAACCAAGAGCATAAAGTAACGCAACAGACCGCAGCCGTCTCAAGCAGGCATTAAACAGAAAAACCTGACTCCCAACCTCCCGTATATCGTTCGCACACACACACCGTCTCAACAGTAGACTCGCTCAACGTGTCTAACAGCACTTGCCTCCACCGACCTTGTTCTCGTCGCCGCCAGGGGCAGGGGTGACGCTGATGGTCTCTCCTGCGCCTGGACGGACACCGCCTTCGCCTCCGGAGTCAAGTGCCTTGGATGAAACGATACGGTAGATCTCTGTGAGTAAATGTCAGTGTCTGCATCGACGAAACATTGGCAATCACGCGCCTGTCAGAATGTTTTGGAATGCCAACTCAACGTTGCTCGCATCCAATGCTGACGTCTCAATGAAACTCAGTCCATTCTCCGCCGCGAAAGCCTTCGCCTCCTCCGTCGGCACCGCCCTCAAATGCCTCAAATCACTCTTGTTTCCCACCAACATAATCACAATATTCGAATCCGCATGGTCTCTCAACTCCTTCAACCAGCGAGTCACGTTCTCGTAGGTGATGTGCTTGGAGATATCATAGGTAAGGAGTGCACCGACTGCACCGCGGTAGTAGGCGGAGGTAATGGCACGGTAGCGTTCTTGACCGGCGGTATCCCAAATTTGGGCTTTGATTGTTTTTTGGTCGACTTGAATTGACCTGGTAGCGAACTCAACACCAATTGTGGACTTGGAGTCAAGGTTGAACTCGTTGCGAGTGAAACGAGAGACTGTACGCTATGGATCAGTATCAAAGGCCGAAGGAGGAGGCAACAAAGGGGCAGGGCCACGTACGAAGGTTGGATTTACCGACTCCGGAGTCTCCAATGAGGACAACCTTGAAAAGGAAATCGTATTCGTCTTCGCTGGCCTGAACAGATGTCAGCGCACCGTCAAAGCACGGAGCAATTGAGCGTACCATAGTGATTGTAGTGTTTGTTCGTGTCTGTGGTGTTGTTACAGTAACGTACGTACGACGTACGCCAGCGTGCGGTCACTCAGGGGACGCACCTCAATAAAGTTCCGAAAAGACGGTATACAAGACGTAATTCGTTATAAAATATGGAATAGAAGAGGAAAAATAGGACTACATACTTGCGTTCGAGGAAAGGCAACCGATGGAGTTGTGCAGCGCATCCACGGTTCATTTGAGGGTAAGCACACGTGAAGATAGGATCAACAACTGCTGAGGACGTCGCAAACTGTTGGCAAAGGTTAGAGGCCACGAGCTGTGTCCGACTACCAATATCGCCGTACTTAATTGGAACGAACATAATCATCAGGCCAATGGCCAATTCGTCTCCTCTGTTTCATTCAGCCCAAGAGGACTTGTCCTCAGGCGACGAAGACGTGACCTCCTCCCAACTTGGAGATGACGAATACGAGATCGCCGGCATCCTTTGCGAACGTAAAGCATTGCCTACCGACCGCGATCATCTCGCTAGGTACTACCTCGTCGAATGGAAAGGTTATCCGATTTATTGGCAAGCAACATGGGAGCCAGGCAACAACATTCCGCCGGACACGTTAGCGGCATGGAAGGTGAAGAAGAAGGAGATGCAGAAGAAGGGCGAGCCCGAATTTGATTGGAAAAGGTGGCAGAAGGGATACGAAGCCGATCTCATCGCTCATCCTGAGACTTACCCGTACGTATGGGCGGTGGAGACTGAGAAGGAGGATGCTACGCCAGAACCTCCAGCTGCGTCAGTTGAGCCCGATCGCCCTTCAATGGTATTAAAGTTAAAGATGCCAAAGAAGCCAGCTACTTCTGCCTACAAAGCACCTGCTCCTCCAGCTGCTCCACCTGCAACAGTCAATCCTCCCACAGCATCATCAAAGTCAAAAAAGCTGGCAGCTCCCGCAGCTAAACCATCAGCATTGAAGGCAACGGATGAGATCTCCTCCAGAGCATCATTTGCTCAAGCTCAACCGGCCAAAGGTTCTACAATGACATCAGCACCGAAGAAGTCTGTAGCTACTACAGCTCAGCTACCTGTACCAAGACCAAAGGAGAAGACTTTATCCATGGCTCTTGACGCTCCAGCTGCTTCAACTGGGCCAGCTGGCGGATTGGAGTTGGAGTCGTCATTGAAGAAACGAGTAGCCACCGGAGCACCGCCACAGGCGCCTGATGCAAAGATCATAAAGAAGTCTTTGTTCAGCACACTGGCCACTTCAGCTGCATCAATGAATCGCCCTGCATTGACATCATTAGCCCAAAGGGCTGCTTTATCTGGACGGGTTACCAATGTGCAGCAGGTATTTAAGAAGCCGTTAACTCAGTCTGTTACTTCAAAAGCTCCTGATCCTGCAGTGGTTTCTGCTAAATCCGTTGGCCAGCATGTGATATCAGCGATGTCCAAGAAACAGGCCGCTCCTATAACCTCGTTACGCACCGGGAAGCCGGTGAATGAGTCATTGCTAAAATCTTCAATCACATCGGCTGAAGCAGCTGGACCTGTTGGTGGTTTGGCACCTTCATCAATCTCAAAGCCGCTAGCAGCCCCTCCTGCGCCAGTTGAAGTTCAGCTGTTATCATCAAAGGCAGCGAACAAATCATCACTTAAGGCTCCAGCTAATTCATTTGCTTCAGTGGAACCGGCCAGCAAGCCCAAGTTGTCTTCTGCACCTACAAAGACCGCAGCTTCTGTGCTGGCATCCAAGACAAGTAGTGGGTTTTCCATTGGGTCTTTCTTGGCTGACATGAAGGAAGCAGCAAAGGAAGCTGAAATCCATGCTGCTCAGCCGCTAGCCTCAGCTCTTAGTTCTGCTGTACAGACGGCATCATCTCCAACCGGACAACCAGAAGTTGCAGTCCTATCTCTTGGTCCTCAGGTCAAACCTCTCAAGACAGCAAACGGGAAAACCGGTGAGGAGGCAGTGTACAATCTTTCTTATGGCCCTCAAGTCCGGGATGTGGGATTGATCAAGTTGCATTACAGCAGGTACTCTACAGAGAAGAGGATTCTCAAGGAGCTTCTTGAGGCACGACCATCAGGTATGAAAGAAAATAATCCGCTGCCGTTACATGTCACCAAGTTTCTCTCATTCTATCATCTTACACGGTTTTTTGGTCACCAGAAGGGTGCCTTACAACCTCCAGACACGATCCTGGATCTTGTTTACGTCCAGGAGGAAGCTGCTGCAGGAGCTCAATTTAGGGAAAGCATCTTGGCAATGGGTGGTGTGGGTGTGATTTTGCTCCCAGAAGTAACACTGATGGTATTTGCAGGCTCTGGAGAACCTTTGCATACCACCTTTGGCCTTTGGAGTATGCCAGTTCCCAAGAGTGGGTTGCGTATGGCTGTTTATCCACCTATCAAGAAAGGCAGTGTTGAAACCTTTTGGTACCAGGAAGTGAGGTTGTCAAAGGCGCCTGGAACATATCGGACAAAACTAGTTGAGAAAGTGTGGGATTTGCCCTTGATTAAGGCCAGACAAAAGTTCAGTGTGGTCGCATCGGATGAAACCTTAGAGGGTGTTGAGCTCCGGGACTGTTTATCATCTCGGGGAGCGATTGATACGCACGATGATCTGAATGCCGCCACACTTGTGTTCATCCATCGCCTATTGCTGCCACAGCTTCATCTACTTCCGCACCTCACGTCACTCAAATCCCGGCCTCAAACTCAGTTTTATCTTTTCGGTACAGCTTTTGCACTGGACCTTATCATCACCGACGGCGGAGACCATATCACCAAAAATGCCAAATATCAAGCTACATCAATATTTCCCCATGGTGGAGTGATTGTTATGACGTCAGAGATGATCATCAACAGTCCGAATATTGTGGAGTTCGTGTTGGGATATGCTGAATATGGTGGATGGAATGTGATGGTGTGTCCAGGCCTCATAACAGAGGTTGAAGCTTTCTGCCATCAGGGATTGACAGGCGAGAGTGACGAGGCTGGGAAGGAGTTCGGTGACGTTCTTCTTACAATCCTTGCAATTAAGGAAGCTTTGGATAAAAAACGTGTGGTGGAGTTTGTGCTTCTTGAGGAGAGGGAAACAATCTGTCAAAGCTTATTGGCAAGTTTACGATTGTATCAGGTCTGGTCGTGCGAGACGTACAGGAGGTTCATCGTTTTACATAGTGTGAAAGATGATACCGAGCAAGAGTGGACGCAGGGTATTGAAGTACATACCCCAGACCAGTTTTTGAAGATGAAGGCTGTGGCGGATTCGAGGGCAGGGGAATTGCAAAGGCGGTAGCACATGTGAAGGCAAAAATGGTTGCAGGTGGCGAGGAAGCAACGCCTGCAATGTGAATGATAATGAGAGTGCGTGTCATGATTGGCTTTATGACCTCTGGTTTCCCACACTCTTGTTGTGATCATGCAACGTCTATGTACAATCATGTATGTATCTTATTATTATGCGTTATATTGATGTCTTGGTTCTGCGTATGAGTGGTCTGATTGTTGAGTCATTTTCAGTGAGTTATTTAATGGTACCTGGTACGGCTCCTGGGCGGCGCGGCAGAAGAACGGCCATAGCAGAGGTGTAATGCGGTCGAGACGAAAAGGGATACTGCAAGTACTTCGGGACGAGATCTGACGAGTTAGACGAGGTGTCGAGATGACCGAATTACTTCTTCGAATAGAGAGACGAATTTATTGAGTTAACCAGTGAAGATCTAAAGGACGGCATAGGGCCTTTCCTTATATGCAGTTTTTCTGGACGAGGGTCTAGACCCTTGCTCAGTGGCGTTCCACATTTAGTTAGCTCGGTGGCGCTGAGAACAAGATCTCGAATGAGAGGAGTGAAGATAAGATGGGCCATGATAGGACCCAAGACAAATCGATTCTCGAGTAGATCGCGAAACTCGAAGTAGTGCTTTGGTTCATGACAAGAGGGACGGCCACAGCAGAACTTAGTCTGGATTAGAATATAAAGGGGGTTCCCTCCCCCCTTCTCTAGTTCTTCAGTTAGCAACAAGAGTCTTTGAGAAAACCAAGACCTTACTACCTCACCAGCTCAGGTAGGTTTCTGAACCTCTTGGGTATCTCGTTCGTCTACGCCACTTCAAGTATCCTACAACCAGGTCATCCCTTGTTCCAGCTCCGCATACAGGCCACCCTCGGCCACCTTGGTACGTCTTGGGTGTCAATCTTGGTTGGGGCCTGATCTTACTAGTGTAGACATCTTCCGTCAGTGTTACGTCATCTCGGTCTCGGTCCCATTTACTGGATAGACTCCGCCGACTCGTGTCAGCACTTCGGTATAAGTGTCAATCACATCAATGAGTGTTGTTATTCTTTGAGGAGTCACTACACCTGTCCCTGACAGTGCAATATATCCCTTGAGATTGGGGCAGGCACCCATAACATAACTGGCAAGGAATCTGGAGGACGGCGTTTTTGAAATATCTTTGTTACTTCTCCTTGCTCTCCCCAAACATGGCATCCAAACTGCGGGCCTGGGGTACAGTGCGAAAGAATCTGTCGAGGATGAAGCCGGGCTTGTGTTTGGGGTTGGAGGTGAGCTCGTATCTGATCATGCTGACATGATGTTGTCAGAGATGAGGCCTCCGGCATCCATGATCTCTTCGCCTCAACAACAAGGGCTGTCTTCTGGGTGACTTGGGCGCGGAGCATGTCACCGGTAGCCAAGTGGCAGACGTGGAACCTGTCCTTAATATTAGGGGCCCGGGTTCCTTTACCTGTACCCCGACATTAGCGATTCATCTGACTACGAGATGTACTGTAACATGTTCTCACCAGCTCCCAAGCCCGGAGGACCGATCCAGATCAAGCTTGAACTCCTCGGTACGGGCGACGAGGTCAGCGACCTTTTGGCTCAAGTGGGCGATTTGGTCAACCATTGTGGTTGTGTCGGGGTTGAAATAGTATTTTCGCAGGGTCGACAAACCAAAATCTAGAGATTCCCTCGATGCCCCGGCGAGGCTCGAGCTCCGATACCGATACTTGACGTTCGGAACCGCCTGGTGGTGAGCGGGTGGTGAGGGTGAAAGCTATGAAGTCAATGCCATTTGAACTGAAATGACGATAATTCGTAAAACAATGACCACTTCCTCTTGTAGTCTTCGTCACTGATGACGCAGTACCCCTCCAGCCCGCATTCCAGCGTACGTAACGGATCACCAACACCCACACGCAGCGCGAGCACAGGTAGACACCTCCAGTTAATCCCCCTCCACCAGACCACAATGCCAGCAGCAACATCAACAGAAACAATTGCACTCTCAGAGAAACGCGTCGTCGTCCACCCCCTCGTCCTCCTCTCCGCAGTCGACCACTACAACCGCTCAGCAAAGGGCACGAAGAAACGTGTCGTCGGTGTCCTCCTCGGGCAAAACAATGAGTCTGTGGTTAATGTCGCCAATTCTTTCGCAGGTCAGAACACTTTTCCTCGGTTGCTTGAGTGACTGTGTGTGCTGACAGCTTCCTATAGTTCCGTTCGAAGAAGATGAGAAAGATCCTTCAGTGTGGTTCTTGGACCACAACTACGTCGAATCCATGAACGACATGTTCAAAAAGATCAACGCCCGCGAAAAGCTGATCGGATGGTACCACTCCGGCCCCCGCCTCCGCGCCTCCGATATCCAAATCAATGAGGTCTTCAAGAAGTACACCCCAAACCCCGTCCTCGTCGTTATCGACGTCCAACCAAAAGTCGGACTTCCCACAGAATCCTACTTCTCCGTCGACGAGATCCGTGATGACGGCTCGAGTACGTCCCGAACATTCGTCCACGTCCCCTCGAGTGTGGAGGCTGAGGAGGCGGAGGAAATTGGCGTGGAACATCTCTTACGCGACATCAAAGACAACGCAGTCGGAACCCTTGCGACGCGAATCACGCAACAACTCCACTCCCTCCAAGGTTTACAATCACGCTTGGAAGAAATCGCAACATACCTCCAGAAAGTCGTCAACGGTGAACTACCCGTCAACCACCCCATCCTGGGCTCCCTTCAAGATATTTTCAACCTCCTACCTAACCTTTCATCACCAGCAACCGCTCTTGGTGTCGCAGAACCTGGACAGAACGATTCCTGCGCTAGCCAACACTCCGAACTCTCTCGCTCTCTTCTGGTGAAGACGAATGACCAGTTGATGTGCGTCTACATCTCTTCCCTCATCCGCGCAGTATTGGCGCTCCATGACCTTATCGACAACAAAATCCAGAACCGTCAGTTGAATGGTGAAGATATCGATGGAGAGGTGGAGAAGAAGTTGGACGAGGGCTTGAAGGATGCGGGGGAGAAGAAGGCTGATGATGCTGATGAGGCGGTAAAGGAGGGGCCGCCTAAGGGTGGGTTGATCTAGAGCAACGATGAAGAGAAGCATGCAAGAGTCGGAGAGTCATGAAGGGTAGCAAGCCACGACAGGAAAGCGTGAGAGAAGTGGAAGAAAGACCAGCATACCCGAGGATGATAAATATACCAAGCTACCGAGCTAACCAATGAATGTCGTCTATGCATAACCGCGTACCGTCCAATGAAAAAGAAACTCCTGCCCTGCACTGCGTTGTCCTACTCCTAACCATGATGAAGCACCCAAACCATCCAAACAAGCTCACGCCATAGAATCAACCTCTCCAAAACACCTCCCCGCCTCCCGACAATGCCCAACACCCACAGCCGCCTCCCCTTTCCCCCTCTCAACATCAAGAGCATAGCAAATAAACACCGCATCAACAACCGCACTTACCCCACCCTCCACGCCACCCACAATCGTCCACCCAACAGCACCACTGACTAATCCCACGATGTACCCGTAGAGTGAGTGGTCATGAACCCGTGCGGCGTAAATCCACCCCAGGAGGCCGAAGGTGAGAGAGGTTGTTAAACGACATGCTGAGAGTAATGATTTGGCGAGGCGGTAGACGGACCATGCTCCACCTCCGCCGCCACTTTCTCTCACACCTCCGATTCCACCACGCACGTCGTCAACCGAGGACGCGGCCAGGAGCCAGAGTCTTTCACACACTCGAGCGGCACCAGACAGTGGTACACGTTCCACACCGGCAAATGTAAGCGTCATGGGCTGTGCCATACGCCCAAACGGGGCATACACCAGCGAGAAAACGAACAGTTGAAGAATCGCATGGACGCGGCGTGGTAACGCAAGCAGCGGGAGTCGTAGCGAAATCGAAAGAAACGAAGATAGGCAGATAGTGCCAAGACACGTCGTAACCGCCGTCCCGAGCGCCGCATTCGCAACCTGTCTTGACGGCGTCGGCGGCAAGGCGTATCGATAAAAGTACCACTGACTCGTCGTCGCGGCCGTGATAACCCTGTATGACAGATGTCAGCTACAATCCTCGGAAACTAAAACCCGTCATACCTTTGGATGCCGGAAAATACACCCCAAGTCCAAACCCACATAAACGCAAACCACCCCGCGAGCCACCACGAATTCGGCATCATGACCCATCCGCCGCTCATCCCAACCTTCCCTCTCATAAGTACCCTCTCAAACATCGCTATCCACACAACTGTAAACACTCCAAAAGTCGACAATACACCCATACTGCACACGATGAGCGCCAGATTATCTTTGATGATCCGGCACGAAAGACGGATAACGCCGATTGCGCGTGCCAGGGATTCGCGGCGGCGATAAGTTGTGTAGAGCCAAACTCCGGCAACGACGAACGTGAGGAGTGCACACCATCGCATACTTCGGTCCTGGAGGCCGATGCCGGCCGTTGTGCCGCGGTAGGACATGACGAGAAGGTGCATGCCCAGGATTCCCAGAGCAGCGGGTACGCCCGTAATCACCATATAGAAGAACAGCTTTGTGTAGCGCTGTGTTAGTAGCAGAACCGCAAGCAATCCTCCCGATACCCCAGTTGCAACGACAGCATAAAATGCGATATGCGGTATTGATTTCGACAATGCTGTCCATAATGCGTCCCCGACAGCACTCCTCGGTATCGACGGACTGCAAACGTAAATGATGAATGCGGTCGAGAACATCATCGCCATAGACAAAGCGTAAATATACGCCCATGCTGCATCATGATATGGCGGGTCCAGTGGTGGATGCGAAGTCTGCGGTGGTAACGCTGCTCGTCGCCCCGGTAAATGCTGCGGAGGGGAATACCGCAGCGTTGTTGGATACTCACCCTTGAGCGAGGGATCCGGCGCAGGTGACTCGTACGCGATATCATCCGGTGCCTCATCATCGGGTATATGCTCCCTCTCCCGCCTATCTTGCTCCGTCTCCACACTCTCCTGACTCGCCTCCAAACTCACATCCCTCATACTCGAGCCTGCTCCATGCTCGCGGGTTTCATCACTCTCCAGTACCCTGCTGAAGGGCCTTAGTAGTTCTCGCCGTGGTCGCCATGAGGAGGCCATGCTGCTCTGTTCCTCAACCATATCTTCTCCTTCATCCTCAGCCGGCGAGGGCCCGAACTGTCTCCGTGAGGCTTGGAGAGCATAAGACTCCCCTCTGAGACCAGATGCGTCATCCAGATGGTCCGCGGCGGAGAAGAACAGTGGAACGGGTGTAGTGGATGTTGAGCGTGGGTGATATGTGCTTAACCGCTGAGACTGTGAGTTTATGAAGCGATTTGCATCTGCGAAACCAGTCAGCACAGTTGCTGAGTCCAGGAAAGAGGAGAGGTGGCATACATTCTGAAAACATCACCGCATTCGCGTTCGAATGGTCGGTTGGAAGCAAATGGAGAATGGTCTTTGTTTTGACCGTCTTATCAGGGTGACGTGCGCGTGCAGCGACCGGCTGCACAAGGCAAGCGCGGGCCGGGGTTGGGGTGGAGTTCAACGACGAGGACTTTCTACGGTAGCTGTATGCGCACCTGGCCGTACGTGTAGCATCTCATATCTCCTAAGAGCAGAACACGATCACCAGCATCTCGCCCGAACCCGCTCTCCCAGATTCCATCGATCATGGCCTCTCGCATCCTCCCCCGCCTAACCCTCTTCCATCACCCCGCCTGCCAACTCTGCCTCAACGCCTCCTCCGCCCTGACCTCCATCCAATCCCGCCTCCCTCCCAACACCTTCACTCTCGAACGCATCAATATCCACGAAGAGGGGAATGAGAAGTGGAAGGACGTTTATGGATGGGATGTCCCTGTGATTCATTTGGGTGAGGAGAGGGTGTTGATGCATAGGATTGGGGAGGGGGATGTGGAGAGGGTGTTGAGGGAGAGGGGGGTTTGGCCGGCGGCGGCTGAGGAGAAGAAGGAGTAGGCAATTGAGTGTGGTGTGGGAAAGGAAAACGAAGGGGAAGCTGGGGGCATCGTCGCCGGCAACGTGCCAGGTTTAGAGGAATGACCTGCAGAAGCATCCCGGTACCATCTCGGCCGCGGTTTTCAACCGCAGCTCCAACCGCACCTGTCAACTCTACAAGAGACACCTAAACGTCGGGAAAGTCATGACCGTACGCCAAGCGAGACGCCATCCACGTTACTTACGTTTTCCGTCGGATTGTATACCGGTGTAACATAGGGATGGATATCGGGACGGTTCGGGTCTGTCGGAAATCTCATTTCATGTGTATGAGACTGCATACGTCAATACTAAACCTTATCAAATTCGGTTCCGCTCCCGAACTTTTGCGATTGTATTTCAGGCTTGTCTCAAGCTCTTGGCATCGACAAGTTGCACCCAAAGCTTCACACCTCGATGTTATGTGAAAGCCGAGGTCGGCAGATCGCGCTTGGGATTTATCCGACAGGCGCCGGGGTTCGGATTTTGACGCTGCACAGCAGCCGCCGAGAGCTGGAGAGTTGCAGATTACGTAAACACCCCTCACTCTGTAACATGTCCACAGAAGAAGTCCGTGGCATTGTGGGTTTAGTGTGCGCGCGCCTCCACAAGGTCAACCCCTTGTACCGCAGGCGAAGCTCGATGGAAGGAAGCTGGAGAATGAATGGCCCGGCCGTCGCATGATCTCCTCAGATCTCAAGAGCTTAAGAGTCGCGGAGGCTTATCTGTGCGAGTCGCAAAGTCAGGCCATCCCTGATCAAGTAGAATGTGCGACCATCGACTACCGTATGCTATCTCCCCGCTTAGTGTAACCTCGTAGTGCCACACTGGCCAAACCTTACGCTGCAGCGGACTGAACCAGCACAAGCGTTTATATGGTGGACGTTCCCCCCACGATCACGTCCTGATCCCATCTTGACCTCTTGATTCCACACACCCGGCGCACGACAATAGACACAACAAGGATCGAGAGTTAGGGTACAGCGCTCAGCAGCAATGTCCGAATACAAAAAACAGCCCGAGCCGATGGCGGGAGGGTATGTCGAAGAAGGCGTCGTTCTCGAAAAACAAACGACACCGACCCACGCCTCCCGCGGAAGTCTCTTCCAACGCGCGTTCGACTCGTTCAAGCCCGCCATCCCCGGAACCGCTGGATCGATGACCGTACACACCGCGGACGGGGAGGACGTGGAAAAGGGCGTACCCAGGGGTCCGGGAGAGGGTATGAACCCCCCGACGTATGAGGAGGCGCACTTGAAGAGGAGGTTGAAGGGGAGACATTTACAAATGATCGCTATCGGAGGCTCCATCGGAACGGGTCTCTTCGTGGGTAGTGGAAGTGCGTTGGCGAACGGTGGACCCGCAGCATTGTTGATCGATTTCTCCTTGATCGGACTCATGCTTTTCTGCACGGTTCATGCCTTGGGTGAACTCGCCGTCCTTTTCCCAATTCCGGGATCATTCTCGATTTATAGTTCGAGGTTCTTGGATCCTGCGTGGGGTTTCTCGATGGGGTGGAATTATGCGATGCAGTGGCTCGTTGTCTTGCCGCTCGAACTCACTGCGGCGGCTATCACCCTCGAGTTCTGGAAAGGGTCGGCGAATGTGAATGTCGCGGTTTGGATCACGATCTTCTTGATTCTCATTATCGTTATTAACCTCTTTGGTGTACGAGGATATGGTGAGGCCGAGTTTGTCTTTTCCGCGATCAAGGTCGTGGCTGTGATCGGGTTCATCATCCTCGGTGTCATTCTCAACTGTGGTGGTGGTCCTCGTGGTGGGTACGTCGGTGGCAGATACTGGCGTGATCCCGGAGCGTTCTCCAACGGATTCAAGGGTGTCTGCTCCGTCTTCGTTACCGCCGCTTTCTCCTTTGCGGGAACCGAGCTCGTCGGTCTCGCTGCTGCCGAGACCGAGAACCCGCGCAAGACGCTCCCGAGGGCCGTTAAGCAGGTTTTCTGGCGTATTACCTTGTTCTACATCATCTCCCTCCTCCTCGTCGGTATGTTGGTTCCGTACAACAACGAGAACCTCCTTGGCGCTTCTGGAGCGAATGCTTCGCCTTTCGTTATCGCCATCACTAACGCTGGAATTAATGGATTGGATTCGGTGATGAACGTCGTTATCATGATCTCCGTTCTTTCCGTCGGTAACTCCTCGGTCTACGGATCCTCCCGTACTCTCGCCGCGTTGGCCGATAATGGTCTTGCGCCAAAGATCTTCTCGTACGTCGATCGTGAGGGAAGGCCGTTGGCTGGTGTTCTTGTTTCGCTTATTCTTGGGTGTTTGGCGTACATCAACTGTTCCGCGAGTGGAACCGTCGTCTTCAACTGGCTCGTCGCACTCTCCGGTTTGTCCAACTTCTTCACCTGGGGCTCGATTTGTGCAGCGCACATCATGTTCCGCAGGGCCTGGAAAGTCCAAGGCTACACCGTCGACCAAATTCCCTTCCGTGCCGCTCTCGGCACATGGGGATCCTGGCTCGGACTTATCATGAACATCCTCTGTCTCATCGCGCAGTTCTACGTTGCGCTCTTCCCTATCGGTGGATCACCTGATGCCGAGTCCTTCTTTATGAGTTACCTTGCGTTCCCGATTATTATCGTTACGTATTTGGGATGGAAGATCTATAAGAGGCCGGCGTTTATGACGCCGAGGACGATTGATTTGGTTACGGGACGGAGGGATATGGATTTGGATGCGATCAGGAGGGAGGAGGAGTTATTGAATATGAATAGGAGTAAGTTGAAGCGGGCGTACTATTGGTGTTGCTAATCTGTCAAGGTGGGAGGTGTACGGTCGGGTATTAGTCAGTTAGTTGCAATGTCGAGCTTCATCCAAATTCGTCTTCGGTTTCAAGATGTCCTTCCCATATATGGTCTGTGCAGGGTGCTTCACGTGCACGGTCTCGCCTCGGAGGGTCCGCGCGCCGGCCGATCGATAGAGCAAGCCGAGTGTATCGGATCTCAGAGACTGACCAGACTACGCCATCGCTACGGGCTGAAAGGCATCGAGTAACTCGTCTTCGACCTTGATACCAACCGCCAGCTCTTCCTACTCCTGCTGCTGTTGACCTCCAGAGTTATGATGGATACTTTCGCATTCCAACGTTCGGAACATCGACCGACCTCCCGATCGAGCACGCGTCATGTGTTCCAGCTGACTCCACCAGACGAAAAGCCGGCCTTCTACGAACTCTCGCATACCAAACCAGATACCGCAGTCAGCGACACAAGCAGTTTCACGCCTTCTTCTTCGGCTTCTTTAGCCTCCCGCATCCTCGCCGAAGAAGCTTCCGCTCTCCAAGCCGTCTCGACCCGTCTTGCCTCACCGACCTCCCTCACCGTGCACTCCTTCAACGCTGCCATCGCACTAATCTCACACTCCCTTCTTCGACAGGGCAAAATCATTCTCACCGGTCTTGGCAAATCTGGAATCATTGCGAGGAAGATCGCGGCGACGTGTACGAGTACGGGCTCTCCGGCGATATACCTACACCCGTGCGATGCACTACACGGAGATCTAGGAATCGTGAGGGATGGCGATGTCTGTATCGCTATCTCACATTCCGGACGAACGAGGGAGGTCGTGGAGTTGATTCCGCATATGCGGGCAAGGGGGTGTCCAATCATCATGATCACCGGTTGTCCCGAACCCGAAAAACTTCGGAGTGAGATTGGAGTCGACATCGTTATCGACTCGCAAATCCCGCACAACCAAGAAGTCCTCAATAACGCCCTCCCAGCCCCTACGACCTCAACAACACTCGTAACAGCCCTCGGCGACGCCATAGCGTGGTCAGTCATGTTCAAACGTACCCATCGTCTACAGATGATGTCTTGGGATGGACTGGATATGAGTCCGAGTGTGAAGGAGGTCGCGGAGGGGGCTACGCCTGTTTTCGCGCGGAATCATCCGGGTGGGGCGTTGGGGGTTGTTGCAAGGGAGAGGGAGGTCGAGATGGGGAAGGAGATGAGGGGGCCGATTACGCCGCCGAATGAGGAGTTTATGGAGGGTGGTGGTGAGAGCGTATAGATCTTGTGGGGTTTGCGGGGCTTGGTGCTTTCTCTTTACAGCTTGATGCTTTGGTTTTCGGTTTTGGTAGGCGTTCTTAGATCAAAAAGTCTTTTCAAATGGTATCTTCTTCAACTTTACTACATTTGTACGGCAAAGTCGTGATCGACAGCTGGTACGCTCGGACCCTGGTTTTGGACGGTGAGAACGGGTGCTTTCACGAAACGTTTGATACGTACAGCTGGACACACCTAGCAACAAGAGCCGATCTCTTGCCGAACAGACAGTTTTACCTCACAACCCTCGAGCTCGCGTGAGCTGCCTCACCCCGGTCATCGGGCGCGACCGAAGCAACCCGCAGCACAAACAAACCACCAAACATCTCCGTCACCGCCCAACGAGGCCTCCAACCCAAACAAATGACAAACACCCTCGACCGCTACCTCATCTCCACAAAACCCCACCCCGCCCCTCCTACCAAAAAGTCATCCTCCTCCTCCTCTGCCATCCGAAACATCTCAAACAAGGAAAACAACCCATTCACAACCACCCGCCGAAAACCATACGACGTTTTTAAATCAGCTGGATCTGGGCACGAAGTAAGTGATGGGCGAGCGAGGGGAGCGGGATATCTGGCGCATCGAAACGCGAAATTGAGGAGACAGTTTGCGGTGCCGATGGGGAGTGCGCATACAACCCTACAACTACAGCGGAATGAGTCGACCGACTCCACTACCTCCACCAATAGTGAGGCATCATCAATAACTTCGACGAGTACAACTGCGTCATCCATGTCCTCGACCTCGGCAATAGAGAAGCAGCCAGGCAGTAAAGACGAATTCCCCCAAATCTTCAAAGGCTGCACCCTCTACTTCAACGGCTACCTCGGCCCCTCCTACTCCGACCACCGCCTAAAACGCCTCATCGCACTCCACGGTGGCTCCATCTCCTCGACCTATCGTATCAAATCCTGTACGCACGTGATCGTGGGGCAAACTGGGTTAGCCGCCAATAAGATTCAGAAAGAGTTGGGTAGAGCGGGGGGTGGAGGTGTGAAGTTTGTGGGGGTGGAGTGGGTTGTGGAGAGTCTTGAGGGGGGAAGGAGGTGTAGGGAGAGTGGGTATCGGGTGGGGTGTTTGACTGGGGGGGTGCAGAGGAGTGTTGTGGAGGGGTTTGCGGTGGAGGAGGAGAAGGAGAAGGAGAGTGCGCCGGTATAGAAGGGCCGAGGTGTTGAACTTACACTGATAACTGCTTGAATTCCGGATAATCAAAAGAATTATAAAGTCCATTTACAGCTCGCCTACAGATACTTTCCCACGCATCCTACTGAACCAAAATCACTGCTCCCCAAACCTCTCTCCCTCCTGCCCACCCTTACGCCCCATCTCATCAACCGCCTCATCAATCTCCGCCATACACCCCTTCAGCACCTTCCACTGCTCAACCGTAAGCGAAATACCCTTCTTCGTAGGATAGAATTTAGCGGGGTCAATTTCGTCTTGAACGAATTGCCGAATTGAGACCAAGATTTGGTTCTCGAAGGGCTCGACGGAGACGCGCCGGAAGCTACCGCCGATTTCCCAGTATGAGTTGCTCTTTGCGTCGAGTTGTTTCTTTCCGATGAGCTCTGGGGCGACTTTGGTGGGGGGTTTCACTGGCGTGTCCTCGAGCTCTGCACCTCGCTGTTGTCCTTGATCAGTAAAGAGATTCAAGACCTCCTTCGAGGGATAATTTACGAACCCTCTCGAACGCGCCCGAGCGACGTTCCCTCCTGGGGCTCTGCGAGTCTTTGTCATGTCCGTATCCGTAGCCTCTGTCGGATGATCCGCTGTGGTTCGTCCTCCTGGCCAATTGCGATCCGAGAGTGGAGTTGACGGCGCGTACGCGTGTGGTAGGGATCAGTCGGAACATGGATCAATTGCGAGTGAGGGTGCTTTGGGGGGGAGCCGGTGGTGTAGATTAAGGAGGGCTCCCTTTCCGGGAGTACATAGCCAGGGGTGAACATGTCTACGTTACTAGTACGACAACCGTTCACAATACCCTCGACTCTCCTTACCATCCGGACAGCATACAATTGCAGCATGAGCTCCGCAGACACCACCCGCCAACCAACCCCCGTCTCAACCTTCGGCACCGGCCTCGAACCCGCCGAACTCCAAAACGAGCTCGTCCGAAAACGCTACCTTAAAGAAGAAAAAGTTGGAGAAGGAACCTATGCCGTCGTCTACGTCGGTAAACAAATCGACACCAACATCAAAATCGCCATTAAGAAAATCAAGGTCGGGCCTGCGGATCAAGCGAAAAACGGGATTGACTTGTCTGCGATACGGGAGATCAAGTTATTGAGAGAGTTACGGCACGAGAATATTATTCACCTCCTCGACGTCTTCTCGCAGAAACAAAATTTGAACCTCGTTCTCGAGTTCCTCGATTGCGATCTCGAGATGCTCATCCGGGACCGCTCCATTATATTTTCCCCCGGGAATGTGAAAGCATGGATGTGCATGACCCTCCGCGGCCTCCTCCACTGCCACGACAACTTTGTCCTCCACCGCGATTTGAAGCCGAACAACTTGCTCATCTCCCCCACCGGCGTTCTCAAGCTCGCAGATTTTGGACTGGCGAGATATCATGCCGATACAGGTCCCTCGGCACGCATGTCAAATAGCGTCGTGACGCGGTGGTATCGATCTCCAGAGTTACTGATGGGTGCGAGATGGTATGGCACCGGCATCGACATTTGGTCCGTTGGGTGTATATTTGCAGAGTTGATGTTGCGTGTCCCATACATGGCTTCCGAAACTGACCTCGGACAGCTCGACGTCATCTTCCGAGCACTAGGAACACCGACAGAGGACGAATGGCCCGATATGCGAAAATTACCCGCATACGAGACCGCTATGCCCCGGACGACTTACCCGCGCCAACCCCTCTCCGGACTCTTCACCGCGGCCTCGACAGACGCCCTTGACCTCCTCTCCCGCATGCTGACTTTTGACCCTCGGAAGCGTCCGACGTCACGGGAGTGTTTGCTGCATCCGTATTTCGTGAATGCGCCGCGTCCGACGCGGGAGGATAGGTTACCGAGGAAGGGAGGGGGGATGGAGAGGGGTGGGGAAGTAGTGAGGGATTTGAAGAGGAAGGCGGATGCGAAAGAGAACTTGGGAGGGAGGGATAAGATTGCGAGGAAGTTGGTGTTTTGAGGACCAGCTGGATGGTCGAGCAGAAGTACTGTTGTCAGATTATTGATAGTGGGGATGTATGCTAAAGAATTCTGATTGCAGCGAGTCGTAAGGGCGTTTGGGTAAGGGAAGGGAGAGCTTTGCTGCAATGCCTGACGTCGACACGAAGGGAGTCGGGACTTTAAGCGCTATACTCTTCGCATAGATTTGAGGAAGTTGAGCATTCCAACGGCGTACGTTAACAACGTTCACGGCCTCTCGACCATTGGGACGATCGACGACTGGACGGATTGTTTCGTTGATAGTGATACGCAGGATGTAAGAGGGTTGTGTACCGTTTAGCTAGGCAACCGAGGTCTTGTCCTAACGGCACATTCAGGAGCTCGATATGGCTGCTTCGATAGCTACCTATGATACGAATGCAATGTCTCCCGCTATAACTGTCATTACCCATTAATCATCCATCACCCATCACCATCCCATATGTCCTCCAATCCACACCCACAGTTAATCCCCCACGCCACGATTTAGGTTTTCAGTCAACGACAACCATCTTCCCAACCTCCTCATACTCCCTGAAGAAACCCTCAAAAAACACAACCCCCAGCCCAACATCCTCAGCTCCCGTCGTAGCCCGAATGGAATGCATACTCAATTGCGGTAACCCCATATCCACACTCATGACCCCCGTCATCGTACTCAACATCGGGCCAATCGTCCCACCACTTGGTTGCCCGTTTCGAATTTGGAAGAGTTGGAGGGTTGTTGGAGGGGAGGTACGGGATGCGATGAGGGAGACGAGGTATTTGGAGGGGGCGTCGGTTGTCATGTGCCCGTTTGGGTCGCAGGAGATGACGGGGCCGGTGTTGAGGCGGGGGGAGTGGTGGGGTTCGTAGGCGTCTTCGAACTGTACATCGAACGTTAGCGGTGCTCATACGCTGTTAAATGGTTTCGACGTACGTTTGGGTTGACGGCGTGAATCACGTCCGCACTGATGAAGAACGACTTTGCCCATGTCCGGTGCATCAAGTTCTGTTCGGCCAATTAGCATTCATCCCCCTTGTCTTCGTTTTACGACGTACCGCAACATCCTCACCGTTCTCCTTCAAAGTACCAACAACCCTCTCCACAACCCCCGGCAAAAAGTTACTCGCCGCACCCTGCCTCAACCGACTTCCAACCTCCTCGTCATCAAACAATCCCACCAACCTTACAATCCCACACCCCTTCAAAGCACCATCCTTCGTTGCGTTAATGAGACCTTGGATCGCGGCGTAGGAACAGAGTTTGTCGTCGCAGCGGGGGGTGGAGAGGAATTCGGAGTCGAGGCCGAAGGGTTGGGCGGCGTGGGTGTCGAACATTTCGAGGTCAAAGTCGACGATGTCGCTTACATCACGCTTGAGTTCCTTGGCCAACGCTTTCAACAAACGGGGATGGTGGTTCTTCTGAGCGTCGTTGACGGGGATGCCGCTGCTCGTCACCTTCATCCCATCGACTCTATCCTCGAGACTGTGGGCCACTTCCTTCTCTAACCCGACGATAGGTGTCATACGAGTCTCCTTATCGAACGGGCCTTGACTCGGGGCACCAAAATGAGGGGCCAAAGTCGGGATACGACCAATTGGTCGCGGCAAGCGAACGAGTGTATGCTTCACTGACCCGTCTTCCTGCTTGAGCATAACCCGCCCGGCAAGTCCGAGATCACGATCCCACCAAGTAGAGTTCATGGCTCCCGCATAAGGTGCTACACCCAATTGAAGATATCCGGACTTCGTGGGTAGATTGCTGACAGGCTTGACTGTATGCCAATGTTAGTCAAATTTCCTTTAACGGAAATCATCGCACGAAAGGGCATACCCTTCAACGCCAACGCATCTATATGACTCCCAATAAACGCAACCCCGCCCTCACCAGCCTTATACTCATCCCCAACCCCAAACGCAATCAACGAACTCTGGTTCCTGGTGACAAAGTACTTTCCACCGGGCTTGAGCGTGGATGACCAATCATCCTTTTCAAGGAGACGGGAGTACCCTGCACGAGTGAGCTCGGAGGCGAAGAAGTCGACGGCGTGGTAAACTGTTGGGGCGGCATTGATGAATTTGAGGAAGGGGGAGGCATAGGGGGGGAGGTCATCGTCGGAGGAGGAGTCTGAGTCTGTGTCAGGGGTGACTTCAGAGCGGGGAAGAGGAGGAGAAGGTGTTTGCTGAGGGCGAGAGATGAAGTTTGCTTTGATTTGCATCGTGATGATGGGGATGAATGCTGCTGTTGGAGGAGGGTCAGCGTTCTCGAGATTACCGCATCGGGTGTCGCGCGCTATCGTTATCGATCCCCCACACTGCCGACACCCAGCAGCTCTCGTCGATGGCCGGTCTTTGTGTTTTGGAGTTATAAGGGCATCTAAAGTTCTTTGATGAACTTGGAATGACAAGCACATTCTTCGTGCTAGAGATGCCCAAACGTCCACCTGGAGCACCCTCAGAGTGCAAGAGCGCAACATGATCTCCCGCTCCCGTCCCGGGCCGCGTGAATCCTGCATGATCTATCCCACCGTAATATCCCAACAGAACGCCATATGGTTTTGAGCAAGCGTTGTGGAAGGCAGATCAACTTAACCGTAGGAGTTCACAGGGACGTTTAGTGGGTACGACCCAACCCATAACCCTCATCGACATCACCGCGATGATCCTTCCGTTTGCGGCACTACCCTTGTTCTTTACAGCAACCATCTCGGCGCAGTCGACTTCTTCAGTTTCCCTGTCCGGCTCTCAGAGCGTTACATCACGGGCGAGCTCGAGCGGGAGTGCAAGCTCTGCACCCAGTACCTCCGCTACGTCGACAGCGAGCGTGATCTCAGGTACTCGAAGTGCCTTGCCAATTACCGGCACTACCACGGCAGCTACGACTGCAACAACAGCTGTCGGGACTACGACAAGCGCCAGTTCGAACGCTGCGGCGGTGGCTACGATCGTTGACAGGGCTATCCTTGCTGCTGTCGTGGCTGCGGGAGCGGCGGTTATGATGGCGTAACGAGGGTGGGAAGCAGGCATTGGTGACATCTATGATGTTAAATATGTACGAATGGACTTGTTTGGACGACTTCAGGACGGATTGCAATGATCCGCAGCCCATTTATTCCTTTCAAATTCAAGCGCCGGCGGATGCTCGAGCTCTGCCTTTGCTATTGCAACGAATTCATAGCCAGTATAGAAAACGATTCTGAAGTATTGCAATACAAATGACTACGTCATGTCACATCCCTGCTACTGTTTCTCACAATCGCAACATCCCTGCCATCCTCTCTTTCTCTGCCTCAAGTCTCGCGCGCTCGGGCCCCCCATCCTCAGCCTCCGCCAGCCACCCAGCCCCAATTGGGTAACTTACCTGAGCCATCCGTCTCAAGATTCGACGCTCGAACCTTCAAGAGTCGCGACTTCGAAACCAACCCCTCTTCTCATCGTTTTGGCATGGCTTAGGTGGGTGAATATAAGCTGTGCCGGTTCCCTCTTTTCTGTTTTTCTCCATTCATTCGTTTGACCACTACCCTTACGTTCTTTACTACAACACCGTCGAGTCTTTGACAGATCAGATCGATCAGCTACAACTACAGCTCAGGAAGCTTTATTACTATTACATACACAGCAGCTACAACAATGAAGACCTTCGGAATCATCTCTACCATCATGGCCCTCGCCGCTGCCGTCTCCGCCCAAAACGGACCCTACTCCAACTCCACCGGTGCCGCTACCACCCCTCTCGCTGCTTCCTCCCCCGCGGGTGCTGCCTCCGTCCAGGCCACTCTCTCCACCACCACCGAAGTCGTCAAGTCTTACACGACCTACATCCCCTCCCCAACGCTTCTGGTCGAGGGATTCCAGACTTACACGATTTTGTCCGCGACGATGTTGACTGTTACCGATTGCCCGTGTACCCGGACGAAGGTGTTGACCACCTCCACCGTCACCGTTTGCCCGACTTCGTGTGCGGCTTCATCTGCTACTGGGGCTGCTGTTGCGGCTGCGGCTACGGTTGCTACGGGTGTGAGTGCGAGCAATGGTACCTCGAGCAGCAATGTTACCGTGAAGGCTACTGCCAGCCCGGCGGTGTTTACTGGTGCTGCTGGAAGGACCAGCGTCGGTGCTGGTATGGCTGCTGTTGTTGGGTTGGCTGGTGCTGTTGCTATGTTGATGTGAGCAGCACAGACATTCTACTGTGAAGGAGGGGGAATGAGAAAATGGAGGATATGGATTGGGAGGAGCGAAAGGGGATGGATATACCGCGTTAATTGTGCTGGACACACGCGTTTTTCTTGACCAGCTACGACTGGGTTTTCTTGTACTTTGATAATACATTCTTCTTTCTGCGAATATCTTCCGTCTCTCCTCACCGTTCTTTGAAGTGACGCTTAATGGGCTGTATCTTATCGCGATCGATAGATGATCCCCACGGCATAGCGCTAATGAGCATCCTTATCACTCCGCGGTCCTTCATATGAAAGACATCACCTCGCCATTGACGAGTTTGAGATCATTTCCCTTGCAACTGATCAAGAGTCTCGAAGTTCAACTGCTTCACCACGGACAATCGGCATTCACAATCCTCGATCGTTTCATGCGCTGCAAATTTGTGACGTGAGTGGCCGCGCATCACCCAACCTTAAATCCGCAACACCGCCTCGAAACTGCAGCACACTCCAAGACCCCCAAAAAGGCCCTTGATCCGTCAGTCCTTCGCTCTTCACTACAAGCAGGATGATGGGCTATATCTTCGAAACAACGATCGCGGCCGCACAGGCTTCGTTTTCTGTGTTGCTCGTCCTTCTTTACGGGTATATCTCTCGACGTTATTCCTTGATCTCAGAGGAGGGGGAGAGGAATATGTCTTACCTCGGCGTCCACGTCTTCCTCCCTGCCCTCCTCTTCACCCAAATCGGACCTCAAGTATCCGTGTCAAAGTTGATCGAATACTGGCCTCTCGTACTCGGTGCTCCGGCATTCATGGCGGTTAGCTTGTTGTTGGGCTGGGTTGGGCATAAGTTCTTTGGGATGCCGGGATGGATTATGGCTGCGGCTGTGTTTAACAATGTTACGTCGTTGCCGCTCTTGCTCTTGGAATCGTTGGAGAAGACGGGGACGTTGGAGCCGCTTGCGGGGGGTGGGAGTGTCAGTGATGCACTCGCTAAGGGCAAATCGTATATTTTGGTGAATGCCCTCGTTAACAACATTATGCGGTTTGCGTTTGGGCCAATGTTGATTGAGAAGGGGGAGGAGGAGGATCAGGAGAGGGATGAAGAGGCCGAGGGTGGGAACGGTAGGGATAACGATGATGATAGGCAGCCGTTATTGAATGGACGGGGAAGGAGTAACTCGGACATTTCGCGCAAGAGTCACGATAGTGATCGCAGTATGGAGGCGTCAACAAGGGTCAAGAAGGATGCGATGACGATCTTCCAGAAGGTTAAGGCTTCGATGAATCCGCCTCTTGTTGGTGGTCTTATCGCTGTCTTCATTGGCTGCATCCCGGTTCTTCACAAGCTTTTCTTCTCCGACGATGGAGCGCTTAACCCATCCTTGACGCAATCCATCGACAAGCTCGGTGGTCTCTATACCGCTCTCCAAATGTTCACACTCGGCTCGAAACTCCAATCCAAAAGAGGCGCCTCGGTCCCAACCTTCGCACTCATCTACCTCTTCGCGATTCGGTTCCTCATCATCCCGGCACTCTCCCTCACCGCGGTCTACTTCCTCCACGGCTACTGGACATCGGACCTCATGCTCAACTTCATCCTGGCGATTGGACCAGTTGGGCCGCCCGCGATCACGCTTGCGGCCGTGGTAGAGATGAGTGGTGTTGGAGCGGCGGAGGAGGGGAGGGTGGCGAGGATGCTGACGTGGAGTTATATTGTCACGCCGGTCATCAGTGGCCCCGTAGTGGCGGCTTTGGCCTTAGCAAAGAACATGGCAAAGTAGATGGAACCTCAATGTATATAATCAGCAGTCCGCGGAGAGGAGGGGATTCCCGTTCCTGGCTGTGGTTTGCTGCGGAACAACGCATTCGAGCCGTCCCCCACCCCGAGCAAATCTGCTGGACCTACTTCCAGCCTGCAGCGACCCACAGCCCGTACGAAGGATAGACGAGCGACCAGGACGAGCAAAGCCTGTAGCAAGCAACCGGGAACCACTGTTTGCCTTCTTCTCTCGCCGCATACACTTCCTCCCGCCGCCACCCCGCCGCTCCGTGTCTGTCTCCTGACCAGTACGCCCCAGATTCCCCAAGCCAAAGCGAGAGAAAGACGCGTCTGACCAGGTGCATATAGCCTCGATCTTCTCGTGTTGTACGCGAAGTCTTACTGTCTAAAGACCGTTCTTACTCTTTTCCGCCGTTTTCGCCACTCAGACACGTCCAACAATGTCGGATCAACCCTCTACCCCCGCTCAGAACGCATACGGCCACCAGGGTGCTGAGAGCGCTTACTCCGCAACTGCTCAGGCCGTGACGACTGGTCAGGCCGCTACTCCTGCTGCGACCAGCGATGGACAGCCTCCATCTTTCGCGCAGCCCGCGCCTCAGCAATCGCCTTACCCTGGGTACCCACCTGCGGGCTACGCGGCCGCTCCCCAACCCGGAGCGCACGGAGCGTACTACGACTACTCTCAGCCATCTCCCTATGGATCTTTGCCCGGTACTCACCCCGCGTATGCTGCTGCTCCCCCACACGCGAGCCACTACCCTCCCAACCAGCACTACGGTGTTCTCCCCCCTCCCTTCTACGGCTACAGCAACCCTTACGCTGCGCACCACCCGCTTCAGCCCCCTGGTCACCAGGTGCCTTACCACCCTGATCCTTCTGGTCAGCTTGGTCCTCCGGGCGCGAAGCCACGCGTTACTACCACTCTCTGGGAAGATGAGGGTACCCTCTGCTTCCAGGTTGAGGCTAAGGGTATTTGTGTCGCCAGGCGTGAGGATAATGACATGATCAACGGTACGAAGTTGTTGAACGTCGCTGGTATGTCCCGCGGTAAGCGTGATGGTATCTTGAAGAGCGAGAAGACCCGTCACGTCGTGAAGATCGGTGCTATGCACCTCAAGGGTGTCTGGTAAGGCTCTTTTTCATCTTTAAAGTTGATCCACAACTAATGGCGCCTCCAGGATCCCTTTCGAGCGCGCTCTCGAGTTCGCCAACAAGGAGCACATCACCGACTTGCTCTACCCTCTTTTCGTCAACGACATCAAGACCTTCCTTTACCACCCCACCAACTATGCTCGCACTGCCGCTGTAATGGCCGCTGCCCAGCAACGTCAGCAGCTCCACCAGCGCCGCGACTCTGAGGCCGGCGCTGCTTCCCCCAGTGGTGCTACCGGCACTGCCGTTGCTACACCCACTGCCCAGCCTGCTAACGCTGCTATCTTGGGTGCTAACGACGCTGCCGCTTACTGGCAAGGAAACGGCCACGCGGCTACCCCTGTCGCTCCCGCCGCTGCTCCTCTCGCTGCTACCCCAGCTACTCCGGCTGCTGACACCGCTGCTGCTGTCGCTGCCGCCACTGCTGGCACTTCCCCCGCTGCTCAGGCTGGTGCTTTGAACCCCCTCCAGTACGGCCAGGCTCAGCAGGCTCAGCAATACAGTGCTTCCCTCCGCCACGCTGATTCTCTGGAGGAGGTCAAGACCGAAATGGCTCCCCCTGCTCCGGGCGTGAGGATCCGTACCACTACCAACGACGGTGAAGACCTCGTCGCTAAGGAAGAGCCCGTCGCCCCTGGTACTCCTGGCTCTGCTTCTGCTGCTGACAAGGGACTTACCGCTACTCCCTCCGCTGTCGCTATGGCCCGCCGTATTGAAACCCCGGTCAAGACTCCCACTGGTGGTGACGTCAAGAAGCACCGTCGTGGGTTGTCTCTGCTTGGTGAGACCCCACCGTGCAGGAACCCTTACCAGCTCGTCGCTGGTGACCGTACGCGTACAACCACTGAGGGTAGCACCGACGGTGGTGAGGAGTTGGTCTTGAAGGCTGATGAGGCTGAGGAGGATGTTGAGGGTAAGGATTTAATCGCTGCTGCTGATGAGGCTGCCCATGAGAACCCTAAGGATGAGGGATCTACCCCGCCTGATGCTCCTATTGCTCAGAAGCGCGAAGCTGATGAGATGGAGGGTGCTCTCGAGGATGGTCGTGTCCAACAGGACGACGTCTTTGTCAACGAGGACGGTGAGGTCGAGGGCGGCGACGAGCGTGCCTTGAAGAGACGAAAGACTGTTAAGGAGTAGATGTTGTTGCAGTTGCAGTTGCAGTTGTAGTTGGTGTCAACGGCCAAAATGGGTTTTGATATGGAGGTTTTGAAGTGAAGGGAGTCCTTTTTGTTGGTTTCGGATTCGTTTAGTGAGTCCAATGTACACACCTGTGTTTCTAGTCAATTGTCTTGTGAACTTTGGAGTATTACGAGTATTTTCGGTCGTTTTATGCAATGCTAAATGTTTGATATTAAAATGCCTGTGCGAGAATAACGTACACCATAATGTCTACTGTAGGTAAACCCTACCGACTTTTTTACTCATCAGTCATCAAAATGCTGAGCTCCTTGGACTCCTCCTACGCTCATGATCTCCTCCAAATCTTCTTGCTCGGGTGCTCTATCTCCACCAGCCTCGATTCTTTCCCTCTCAGCCGCCGCCAACTTGCTTGCTACTCTCTTTGAGTAGTCACCTATTCTTCTAGCGTCCGTACCCTGTAGCGTTGCGATGTACTTGTCAATGTGCTCCTCTCCGTCCGCGACCATTCTAAACAATGCAATCCATGCTTGCTCAGCGGCGAGCTTCACGGGGATGACCATTGTTCGTAGTTGGGAGAACATGACTGGAGCGAGCTTCTGCACGTGTGGCTCGACCATCTCGTAGTGCTTGCGAGCCAAGGTTGTGATTGTTACCAATGACAATCTCTGGCTGTCGGTACTTCCTGAAGCAGAGTCGGTCACTGCTGCCGCCAAAGTATCTAACATAGACTCGATCTGCTCAGCCTCCTTAGGAATCTCCTCTTGCAGCAAGTATTTACCAGCAGCAAGAACAGAATTCTCCGAAACAACAGCATCCGTTGACTTGATACCACGGGCGATGATATCAGCAACCTCGCCGACCATGCCAGAAGCAGTAACAGCTGCTGGTGATTCAAGCAACAGCGAGTTAAGACAAAGCGTAGACGGCCTCGTCAAACCCACGCCTGACAACTGGTTGCGGATTGAACCGGCAGCCTCCTCTGGAGAAAAGATCTTGACGGTTGCTCCGTAGAGCTTGGCGCAAAGCATAGACGTCTTCTGCGAAGGATCTTGCAATCCCTCCTCCACTAATGCCATGACGGCCTTCTTGGACACCTCGCTCATGCCGGTACCAGCCTTGCTGACGACTTGGTAGATGGCCTTCAACATGGCAAGACGGACACCCTCGTCGGGTGTACGAGCACCAGCAACAAGCTCGGCAATAAGCGGGTCGACACGAGTCTGGAGGGTGATGAGTGTACCGAGGGCCTGTGCAGCCCTAGTACGGACAACCTCACTGTCGACATCGGCAAGACACTTGGCGAAGGTACGCTGCAACTGAGGCAAGAAGGGCTTCAAGAGCGCAGGCACCTTGTCTAAGAGCACATTGAGCGTGTGCAGAATGGCCGCACGAACGGCGCCAGGAAGCTTTTCACTCATGGAACGAATCATGAGACCAGTAATCTGGGTGATGAAGGGCTTCAATGCGTCTGCACTCGTCCGCTGAACGATATCAGCCATCGCCAACGCAGATTGCTCCCTCTGATCGATGTTTCCAAACATCAGACCCTGAAGGAAGATAGGAAGGATAGCGTTGATACCCTTGGGCAAGCAGAATCCAGGGAGGTCCGCGCCCGCATAGCCAACAGCCTGGATAGACCTGCGCGCAGGGACGACAAGTGCTTCCATGTCCTCTTTCTTGACGGCCTTTGTGAGAGCAGCGAGTGCTTCGTTGGCAGCCTTGACAACGCCCTGGTCGCGGTCGTTGAAGAGAACCAGCAACACGCGGATCCAGTCTTGCACGTATCTCGAGTAGTCTGCCTCAGTCTCCGCGAAGAAGCGTGTCATGTGGTTACAGGCAAGAGCACGTTTGGCAGCGATCTCATTCTTGATAAGACCCAACATCAACGCCATCAAGGTGTTGATACCCTCAGCACCGTCGATCGCAAGAATGACGGTGTCGAAAGCAGAGTTAAGCTCAGCAACAACGTCTTCGTCTTTCTCCAAAACAAGAGAGTCCACGAGGGCATTGATGATGGCGGTCAACCTCTTGGTCAAAGAAGCTCCTGCAACCTCAGCAAGCGATGCCAACGCGCGGGCGTTGAAAGCACTGATAGGCACAGAGATCAAGGTAGGAATAAGGACAGGGAAGATAACATTAGAGCGAAGCTCCATGAGGTCACGCAAAGCAGCAAGCGCATTCTGAGAGTTCTCGCCCGACTGAAGCAAGCTGAGAAGACTAGGGAGAATCTGGTCAACAGCCTTGCTACCCAAAATCTGCTGCAAGAGCGAGAACGCCCTAGCAGCGTGCTCGCGGACGTCGGCGTCGTGGTCGACGATACTTGATCGGACGGCGGCGATGAGGAGATCTTCGTGGTCCTCCAAGGTTTCGGCGCTTGTGCTCTCCATAATCTCGCAGAGAGCAACGCAAACACCCTGTTTGGTCTCTCCGTCGCCATTCTCCAAGGTCTCGAGCAATACAGGCAAGAGCTGTGCGAGAACGGAATCGCCAAGCTTGCGGACGATATCTCCAAGGGTGGATGCAGAAACCTTCTTGCGCTCGTACGCTGAACTGGCAAGGTTGCGAATGATGATCGAAGTCATCACAGGCATGATGTCCTTCACAACCTTTGGAGTGTTGGATACCAATGACTTCCAAACAGCAACGGAAGCACTGCGAACCATACCAGAAGAATCCTGGCGAATGATGTAAAGAGCCGCAAGGACACGGTCGCGACGTTCCTGACCGAGAATCTCGGACAAGAGCTTACGGTGGTCGATGTGCTCTTCTTCCTCTCCTTCGTCGAGCTCGGTCTTGCCGCTGATACCCGTGATCTTAAAGAGCAAGTCTCCGAGGAGTTCCACGGAACTGAGACGAATGCGCCAATTCTCGGAGAAGAGACCACGCTCGAGCTCGGGCAACAAGAGATCGACAGCCTTAGTGGCATAGTTGTTGACAATCATGCGGCCGGCGCGCAAAGACGCTTCGCGTACGTAGTCGGAGTCGTCCGCAAGTCCGGACAAAATGTGAGGAATGGTTCTTCCGAGGTATGGCTGGAATCTGTTTCCGAAAGTGGCAGGAAGGTAGACCAAGAGAGACATGTAACCCTCCCTGACGTATGACTTGGTGTTCTCCGTTCCAATGAGAATTTCCGGCAAGACAGCCTCCAGGCGGTCCATACCAAGACCAGCAAAGATCTCGGAGAGACCTTGAGCGGCACCTTGACGATCCACACCACTGTGCTCTGACTTGAGAATGACGAAGAGGTCCGACAGGAGAGAAGGGAAGTTGTGCTCGCCGAGCTTCTCCACTAATGTACCAAGAGCCTTGGCGGCAGTGGAACGAGTGGCCGGCACAGGATCCACGAGAACGTCCTTGACAAGAGGCAAGAATTGCTCGAGGTAAGGCACCAAATCCTTGGGGTCCGTAAGACTGGCCATGTTTCCGAAAATCTGCGCAGCCTTCATCTTGGTTGTAGCAGATCTTTCCCTCATACCACGAGACAAGATGGGCATGAGCAAAGCCAAAGAAGGCGCGTCGATATAGTGGATAAACGCCGTCTTCAAGAGCTTCTCGAGTGCATCATCGGTGTACTTGTTAGGGTCGCTAAGAGCCTTGAGCAGAAGAGGCACAAGCTCTTGAATTTCGGGGTTGTTGATAACCTCTCCGAAACGCAACAAACTTTCGTTGGCTGCGTTTCTGACCTGGGCATGACTGTCAGTCATGACTTCGGTCAAGCGCGGGACGATAGTAGGCAAAGAGATAGAAAGCTGCCTAGGCGCACAGTAGGCCATAGCACCCAACATTTCGATACAACCCTTCTTGGATCTCCACTGAGTGTCATCAAGACCGGACAACAGGGAAGGCAAGATGAGCTTAACACAGTGTCCACTGATTCTACCCATGATGACCCTTGCGGCATCCTGGGTGGCCTCTCGAACATCGGCAACGCTGTCACCGAAAGTTCCCAAGAGTGATGGCAAGGTCTGAATCACGTAAGGTTCAAAGAACTTGCCAAGGATGAGAGACATGGTTTCAATAGCGAAGACTGCACCTTGACGCCTCTTGGACTCCTTGCGATCCTCGAATGCTTCACGCAAAGCAGACATCAACTGGCTGTCGCGCAAAATAGCAATACCGCGACCCTTGACAACACCTGCCAAACCGTACGCAGCACCACGCCTCTCGGCGTACTTCTCACCCTCGAAAAGCTGTGCAAGCGAACTGTCGATGAGCTTGGGAACCTCCTTCTCAATAGACTTAACAAGAGGAGGCAAACAGTCAGCAACAGCGGTCTGAACAGCCTCGGAGGGAGTCTTCAAGGTTTCCAACAACTGAGTGACAACGTTGGGGATACGCTTGTCAGTTGATTCAAGATGGCGAGCAGCGGCTCCGAACAAGATGACGCAAGATTCGCGGACCAGGTCTTGAGTCTCATTAGCAGAGGAACCTGACAAGTACTTCTCGAATTGAGGCAATAACTCCTCGACCTGTGCCTTGCCGTGGATGGAGATAACGGCGATACCGGCCTCAAGCATGGCCTGGCGAACGGATGCATGACGATCTCCAAGGGCTTCATCTTCAACCAAGAAGCTGACGAGAGCTCGAAGATCTTGAGCAGTGAAAAGAGGAGCAAGGTTCTTGAGAGCCAATGCCACACCAACACGTGCCTCCCATGGGTCCTTCTGGTTCAAGGATGCAGGCTTGATCATACCGTACTCATCGTAAACAGGTACCAAAGGCTTGGCTTTCTCTCGGTACAAAGTCTGCAAGGAAGTGACGGTCTCACTGACAGTAGCAGGGAAATGCTCGGATGCCTCAGCAAGAGCAAAAGCCGCTGCACGACGAGCATATGCGTTGTCAGAAACGACATGCTTGAGGAGAGCGGCGGGCGACTCCTCGTTAACCTCCATTGCGTTCTCGTTCCAGAGCTCGATGGCGATCTGGGCATTAGCCTCAGTCTCATCGTGGCAAGCCATCCACAACTCCTCACTGAAGTCGATGGTAGTGAGGTCCAGGGGCTTAAGAGCCTGGAGGACAGCGGTGCGAACAGAAACCTCCGATGACGAAGCACCACGCAAAAGCGCATCACGCTCAGCGCTCGAGATGTTCTCAGCAAGACCCTGGCAGATCTCGGCAAGACAGGCCTTCGCAGCATTGTAGTGAGCGGGCTGGTTCTTGAGGATCGACAGCAACGCATCAATGACGTTTTGGCGAGGCAAAGAGGCGTTCTTGAAGTTTTCCGCGTGCGTGGTGATAGTCTCCACGGCAAGGAGGATCTGCTCCTCAACCTCTTCCTGAGCCGTAGTTCCCGTACCGCCGTTGTTGATGGTTGCGATGATCAACGGCAGGGCGTAAGTCAGAGTAACGTCGTCAAAGGGGCGCTGCTCACCGGCAAAGCGCAAGCGGAAGAGCACACGAGTAGCGAGGTCCTTCAAAAGCTCTTCACGGAGCTCGGCCGGGATATAGGGTACTCCCATAGCACGAAGGGTAGCAACACCAACGAATTTGGCTGTAGTACCGAGACGGCCGGTCGCCTGCTCGGAACACTCCAAGTATGTCAGGACAGCTTCGTCACCAACGATGAGTCCAACCTGCTGCAAGGCAGGTCCAAGCAATGATTCGATGGCAGAACCCATCCAAGCTGCTGCGCCAACAATCTTGCTGGATGCAAGAGTCTTGATAATACCCAATCCACGACGAACAGTCACATATACGTCTTGCACCTTGGCACGAATCTCCTTCTCCTTCGCCAACTGCTGGTTAACGAGTATCTGCTCCTCCTTGGTGAGCTTCTTCTCAGTCTTCTTTTGCGCAATCTGAGCACGGAGCTCAGCTTCCCACTTGGCAGTCTCGTAGTCCTTGGTGTTACCCTTGTTGATTTCCTTCTTCGACTTGTCGAGAACATCCACGAAGAGGGATCCCTCCTTGGTGCTCCAAATTCCTGCCTCGTCAACGCCGATCCATCTATAAGATTCGGGTTGCAAGTCACGCTTGAATGCCTCGATCAACAATGGCAAAGATGCGTCAGGGGTAACGAAACCAAGGGTCTCGACCGTGCGCAAAGCAGCGGCACGAGCAGCGTTGTCAGGGCTGTTTTGGCTAAGAACGACCTCGACAGTAAGAACCAATTCCTCTGCCCTGGTAGCCACCAACACACCAGGATCAACACCTACCCTCAAGCACAACTCAATCCACAAGTTCCTCTTGCCGACCTTGAGCAGAGGGTGATGCGCAACAACCGCGAGGTCAACCATCTGCTGCTGCAAAATTTCCTGATCGACAGCGGCGTCGGTGTTAGGGCAGATTGAGATGAGAACGCTGTGGAGGTTGTTCAAGGACTGCACACCTGCAGAGGCAGCGGGTCCCTCCTTGCGAGCCTCGTCGAGCTGCACGAGCCATGACCAGACTCCCGAAGCGATTTCTGCAGAAACGAGCGCGGGACGGGCCAAGTAGCATGCCTTCAGAGACTCCTGCGCGATCGCCTTAACCTCGTGGGACACAGACGGAGCAGTGATGGCGTAGATCATGGACTGAGACCAAGCGGCACCGGCTGCCTTGAACTGCTTCTCCGACGCATGTTCTGCGACGGTCTGCAAGGCTCTCGCAAACCAGGTATGGTCCTCGGGAGACGCGAGCTTGGTAAACACACGGTCGTACAAAAGATATGAGGGTTTAGGAGACAAAGTCAAAGCAGCCGCAGCAATACCCGCAGTGTCAACCTCAAGCTCCTTCCATTGCGCAAACCTTCCAAGACCGACGGCGGTACCAGCATAAGCAGCAACAACGCCACCGTCCTGAACCGCCTTCAATGCGTCAGCAGACGCAGCCCTCCCAGCATCGAGCAAAGGCTTCGCAACAGCGCGAGCGAACTCCAGGACCTCCGCTGAGGGAGAGACACCGGCATCCCACAGTGCAGCAGCAGTAGTGGACAACCAAACGCTCTTGACGGCTCCCTTCTTGTCGGCGAAGCCCTTGACGACGGCAGCGGCGACATCATTCTCGACAGCCACACCGTTCTTCAATCCCCAAGAGACACATCCCATAGCAGCCTTCACCTCAGCAACGAGCGCCTGCTCGTTAGCCTCCTTTGCGATACCGGCGAGTAGAGATGATGGTACAGTCTTGGCGAGAGAAATGGAGGGTGGAAGGAAAGACAAGCTGCGAGCGTAGGTAGTGCGGTGTTCGGCAGACGCGAGCTTCCCAGGCTTCAAGTTCTCAGCGATGGAGGCTGCGACCTTGGCTGCACCTTCTTCGTTCTTGCAGAGAGGAAGGACGGCCTGAAGAGTCTTGAGCGCACCTTCACGCGTGCTGGTGTTAGAGCTCTTCAAACCGTTCAGGATCGGAGTGAGAAGGGCAGTGTTAAGGGCCTCGGATGGGTCGATAGACTCTCGCAAGGAGGTGAATACTGGTCCGGCAAGGCTGTTGAGAACCATATCCGGTGCACGAAGAAGAGAGTTCTTCAACGGAGTCGCGAGCTGTCCCACGAAGTCTTCACTGGTGGTAAACCCCTTGAAGAAATCACCGAGACCCTCGGCGATATGTCTTGGTACATGTGTCTTGGACGCCAAGAGAACCTTGGTGAAGTAGGTGTAGTACTGTCCATTCAGCTCCTCGACCTTCTCCTTCGGCGCACTGGTGACAGTAAGGTGCGACGCAACGCCAGCGACAACACCGAGCGCAACAGCATTCGTTGGGTTACCTCCAGCGACAAGAGTCTCGACGTACTGCTGGACAATCTGCGCGCCACGTCCTTCCGGTAATCTGAACAACGCCCGCATCGCAGCCCTCGTACTCTGTAGGGCGCCCTTCCTAATACCCTCCTTGCTCTCGTACGACATACACGCTTCCAACAACGTCGCCTGCGCAATGATAGCATCTCCAGAAACCTTGCTGAAGGCTTCCTCTGACGTGGACGCCAACACGATCAGGTCGTTGATCCATTCGAGTAGGGCGAAAGCGTTTGAGGCGGCGATTGCTCCGGTAGAGGCCTTCGCTGACTCTTTCTTGATAGCTGGGATGATCTTGGTAAAAAAAACTGCCGAGTTGCGTTCATTGAGGGCGGCGAAGGCACGGGTAACGGCGCTTCTCGATCCTTTGTCGACGTATGATGGGTAAGTTCCGAAGAGCGACTTCAATGAAAGAACTAAATCTTGAGCCGTGAAATCTACGCACTTCTTGTCAGCGAATCCTCAAAAGTTCTTTCTCCCCAATGAACGCACCTTCACTCTTAATAAAGGGTATTAACTTATGTGTAATGGCAGCGATCCTGACCGCAGGCTGCGATCTCCGCAGATCACGGCCAAAATCCTCCCAATCGAAGTCGGGCTTGCCGTTTAGCGAAGAATTAACTTCGTCGTCGGCCATTGCCATTTACTTCTGTGGGTATAACTTTATCGAGGAGCTCAATTGCGACCTCGAAGCGCTGCAGCTGTTTCTGTGCGTTGATGCAAACCTTGCAGCTCTCTCCGCCATGCACGTGTGTACAGTGAGAGTCGTGGGGAATCTTAAAAATATATCAATCAATTGCTAAGAACGCATGTGCTGTATAACAATCGGGTATCAGAGTATCAAAGGGTATCCACGCCAATCCATCCCTCCTCCTTTACCTCCTTCACCTCCCGGCCCTCGAGCTCTTCTCAATATTCGAAGATCCTCCCCTCCCCTCCTCGGTGTATGCAAGCAAATAAAACGTATGATTATCATGAACTTCTTCTAGAAACACCGCCAAGAGCACCTCTTACCCTCAGACGGATAAAAAAAACGCTAAAAAAAAGACATACAATTTCCATCCATACGTACAAGATTACACATGCATATGCGTATCGTATCATCAGCCCATGGAGATCAGGCACTTTGAATTCGAAAGTTTAGTATCTGCGCATCATCGGCTGTTGCTGCAACTGGTGCTGCTGCTGCTGTGGGCTCCCTCCCTTGGTCATGGCCATCCCCATCATCGATGGCGACTTCATGTCCCTCACAGCGGCAGGAGGCGGATACCCCGTAAAATACGACGGACTCGACACAGGCGGCGTGGCAAGAACAAGGAAAGCCGTAGCACCAGACAAGGTAGGCATGCCACCCGTTGTGATAGCCGTATTCGTCGAACAAGAAGTAGAACGAGAATAAGCCGGCGAGATGGAACCGCCCGTGTCCGTACTCGTCGGACTCCAGACGTCCTGTCTCACGTTTTGAGTGAGGGTCTGGACTTCGTAGAAAGTCGGTTGGGGGTATGAGACGCCACTGATCCTCAACCCGGCGAGTTCGGTTGCGATTTGCTGAGGGCTGAGGGCGCCCATACTCGCTGCACGAGCCCGGCGTTGTTTCTTTGCGTAAGATTCCGTGATGACTGCCAAATCGTGCGTATGAAGGAAACAGCAACGGTCGCCATAAGGACACGAGCCAGTCTGTCCTTTCATTAACACCCGCATAAATTGAGGATATAAGCAGAAGACATACCATAATGAACGTCTCACAAGGTTCAGTCTTGTACCTCGGGTGTCGCTGTACAGACTTCAACTGCGTCTGCCCGTGCGCAAACTGGCATTTATTCCCATACCTGAACACACAATTAGCTTCAATCAGAAACTGAGGAGGATGGACGACGTACCTGCAAGACCCATTCACTTCCCAACTCTTGCACAACTCCGTCTTGTACAGATCTTTCTTGATCTCGATTTTCTTCCCAGAAGAATCAAACTTGACACCCGTGCTCAAGGAAGGGCTCATCATCACCGACCCAGGACTAAGACCAGACTCGAGGGGAGCAGGCGGGGTAGGGACATACCGAACCCCAGCGATACCCGAACGAGGCATCGAGAGAGAAGTCATAGACGCACGATGAGCCTCAAGGATAGGCGCATGTGATTGAACGACGGGAATATCGAAATACCCCTGAACCTGAGCTGTAGAATGTGTGGACGTCGGAGTGAAATACGCCGACTGCCCATGTCCCGTCCTAGGCGGCGAGTAACGTTCGCGGTCGGCGGAGGCGGGGGTGCAAGGCATCTGAACCGTCCTCAAAAGCGGGGAATATCTCGGACTCGGCAAAGACCCATTCCCGAATCCCAATCCCAATCCTATACCCATACCCATTCCTATACCTCCCTGTCCAACAGAGACGTCTCGTTCGAGGAGAGGACTACTCTTCGCACTTGACTCAGGCGTCAATCCCTCCGGCATCGTAACCGTCCCCATACTCAACAAACTTCTCCTCAAGCTCATCGACGACATCCCAAGCCCATGCCCAGGCGGATAAGACAAACTCGGGCCACCACCACCAGTCGTCTCACTCGGCGCACTCGCTGACTGCGGTACAGCGCCCGAACGACGTTGACGAGCAAGTAGAGCGCGGGTAGAGAGGTTGAATGCAGGTTTTGCGGCCATAGACGCAGCTGCATTTTGGAAATCGGCGTTGGCGGGGATTGGGACGCCTTCGTCGATACGGAAGGTTGCGCCGGAACTTTGATAAGCGGTTGCGGCATCGGAGGTTGCGTGGGGAGCGAAAAAGGGACTTTCGGCAATTGAGCTGTACGCCGTCAAAGGCGGCGCACGATCACGACAACTGGACCCCGCCGGCGTCGATTTATCCTGCTGGGCGTTGACAGAAGGAAAGTAGGAGCCGGTGTTCGACGTATCCTGATGATGCAAGTACGGCGAACAAGGCAAAGACCTAGCAACCGCAACACGAATCGGATTCCCGCTTTGGTAGAATTGGTTACTCAACGGACGTTGCTTGACGAAATAATCCGTGGCCGACTCGTTGACGAAGGGTGAAGTCTGGATGGACATTGATGACAACTTCGTTGGACAGCTGGTCAGACTGATTTGAATTGCTTATGCTGACTGACGTCGACGTACTGAACAGGAGCACCTGTCAAGGTCGGCAAGGGTTAAGGAGCTGTTAAACGATCGACTCTGGACGAGCAATCGGCAAGAAAGAGGTCAATGGGCTCAAGTTATATAGGCCCCCCACTTCACAAATCCACGGGAGTAGACCGAGGTTCAGTCAATCAATAGTAGCTGGCTGGTGATGAGTAACACCGCGGGGCCACCCCTTTTCAAATTGAGTCGCCTAAATCGCGTGGGCGGGTGTTTCCACCGAGTGTGTGTTGCGCAAAGACCTCTTGTTCGAATCGATGGAACGACGTGAAGCCTTGCAATTGAGCGGTACCATCTGGCACCTGGCCATGGCAAGATACCTCTATATAGTAGAGGGCCCAAATAAGGTTAGGAGTAGCATTTAACCAGGCATGCGATAGGGTGAACCGGGCCGCTTTGTATCGCATGCAAGCCAGGCTGGTCAAGAGCCGCCGTACTATTGGTTGTACTGTCAATTGGCAGCTAGGGTGCGTGGAGGCGGCGAATGTCAGACAAACGGCTGTCAGCAGCTGCGTGTTGGTGTGGGTAGCCGTACGAGTATTACCGCGGCATCAGCGGGTTGAGCCAATGTCACAGCCCCCACATAGAGGACTCAACAAGAGATGAAGTATAGGAGTGTGGCACGCGCAACGACCTTCCGATCCAAACTGACAATTCATACCAACTGTCAAATCGGAGACGGTAAGCTGCTGCGTCCTCTGTCCCTATTTCGCAATAATCTAATCTGACAGCTGTCGAGATTTCCGGTTGCCCGAGTCATGCGGTTTTCATATGAAGGAGGGGAGACGGGTACGCTGGGGGAGGTGCATGCACGTGCTGAGTACGTCTCGCCCGTGGTGATATGGGGACAACGACACGCGAACTTAGTCAAGTTCTCAGAAGCTCAGTGACTGGAGACGGGAGACGGCCGAGTGCTGTCCCGTCGTTAGAGAGGAAGGGCGAGGCTTCAGTGTTTCGTAAGCAGTGGTTCTCGACGTTGGCGAGGGCGGGCCAGCGCTTTCGGAATGTGCATGCGCGGGAGGGCGTATCGAATTCTACGACACGACGCAGCAATAATCACTTGATCACTGATGGTGCACGCAAATTCTTTAAGATCGGACAGCTACTCATCACCTCAACCTATCATGTTGATATGCAGCGCTGGGTGCCAGTTCTTATCTCGTGGGCAGGAGGAGAAACCGTGGGACATTATGCTGCTCACTTCACTGCTCTTTTTCGTTCGATCTTGGAAGTCACACCCGATGCACCTGATACCTGGTTTGCCAATGTTGTGGATTTCAGTGAGACACAGAGACTTGGTTATATGCAGGCATTCATGAAAGTCCGGAAATCCCCAGAACTTTACTGGCTGGACCATCCTTAGCCAGGAGCACCTGGACCTGGTTGAAGATTGTCTCCGATTGCGAGTCGAAGATTTGTACCGGTGATGTAAGGAGCAATACCCGGCAATCAGTTACACGAATCAAGAATAATTCCACGTTCATCAGGTATGAGGATCAAGGCAGGTTTGAAAAGCTTGTGCTGCAATTGGTTGACTGTGAAAATACCGAAGAGTTTAAGAAAACTGCGGAAGAAATCAGACAGGAGCTTGGAGAAGCCATGGCCTGGCTAAATTGGTGGATCAAGCCGGTGCACGCTAAGATGCTTTTCCGGTCTTATCAAACCATTCATCCCAATTTGTTGGAGGGTATGCCAGGTAAGTTTACACCTAATGAAGAAGCTCCAAGACAGAAGCTGATTTGAAGACTGCAGACACCACAAATGCAGAAGAGTCACTTCATTGGAAGATTTACCTGGCGTGCGGTACCGTCCAGAGCCATCGCTGGGAAGTCCTTGAAGGTCTTTCGCAGCTGTACCGGTTTGCCCAGAATCTTCCTGAGCACTTGAGAATGATTTGAAGTAAGTTTACCCATCATTAAACTTGAGCAAGTGCCAAGCATGGCTGGGGTCATCCCTAACATGCGAACCGAAGGGGCACGTTCAAAAACAAACAACGGCCGGCCACCAGACACCACTGCGGCATGACATGCAGAAGAGCGCAAAAAGAAAACTCTGCAGCCTATAAGCAGAAGGTCAGTCATAATGGGATTTGCTTCATGAAGGGCAACAGGTGCTACCAGTCCTATCCTATCGGTGAAAACACGTGTTGGTTTGATACATCACTGGAAGTTCTGTTCTGGTTGTTTGAGGTTTATAATGTCGGAAGAGAGCTAAAAAAAAAAACACACAGTCCTTGGATCAGCCTGATGAGAATGTTCTGGCTCTTCTAACACAGCATTCTGCAGATCACAAAAAGCAGTACTACCAGGGTGAGGTACTGCCTGATTTCCAGGAGTGGTTATTGTCTGAGCGGGATGCAATCTTGAAACAAGTACGGATCCAGGACTTGGTACCCAGTCCCCAAGGACAGTTCAACAATCCCATCCGATGGTGGTGCAACTTGGTTTCAGGTATAAACCTCTTTGATGAGCCTTGGAACAAAGGTCTTGGCCTTTTTTCTCTGTCCATAGGGAGGATAACTATTGAGGTCTGTCAATCAGGTCCCTATCGCCGGATTGTGAGACCAATACAGATACAGACAATTGTTCTGCCAAGCAGTACTCCTCTTGATGTGGTGCCAACAAAGCCTGACTCAGAAGAACTGCTCAGTCAAGCTCATGATGGAACAGACGCTGATGTTCAGAAATACACTGAGTATAAGACAATCAATTACGCCAAGGCACAACAGAAGGATCGGGCATTTCGTCAATCTGGGTGTCCTGAGCTATCAATTCGAAAAGCAGCAGTTGTTCATCTGCCAAGGATCCTCATTTGCGAGTTTGAGGCACCGAGTAACAACCAGCAGCAACAACTTAGATGATTATTTCCTTTAACTCTGTTTCCCCCTGGGCAACGGAGACAAGACTGTCAAGTACGAGCTTGTTGGCAGAATCCTGGGGAAGGACATGGCGGGTACGCATTTCTTCTCATATGTCCGTAGGACTCCTGAGCCTGGGAATCTGTCTTCAGTATATCAGTATGATAGCCTGCAGACTCAGGAGAATACCAGTCAAAATCTTGCCTAAGGTGGTAAGGGTACATCGATCCTGAAAGACAAAGGTGAACAGACATGCAAATCAAGTCTGGGGGGCTACAAGCGGCATTCAAACACGGTCTTTTATAGACTGTTGATGCAGATGTTGCACACAACTGATACTATGAGTCCATGTCCTAGATACTGCATGGGCATGGATACATTCTCAAAGCGGACTCAGACGGTAAGGTTTTGCCCACATTTCAGGATGCCCCAGAAAGCGAGGTAATGGAGTCAATGTTCCAACTACTACCAGATCTCCACGACAAGCGTCCCTCCTTTGAACCTTGGCATAAACAATGCACAAGATGTGACTACAACGATTACTTAACAACAGAAGATGTTAACGACATTGTACAGTGAACAAACTGCAAACTCGGGCACATGAGGACTGTGTACTGGCAGACAGCAAGGTGGGAAAGAAGAAGTCAAGTGAGAAACAACGCCAGAAACTACTGGAGTCATACTGCTGCTTGTATTGTACTTCGATGGGGACTAACCTTAAGCCGAGAGAGGAAGTTAAGAGTACAGGCGATGTGAAGGAGTTTGCAGGAGATACCATCGAACGAGCAGTTTCAGCAGACCTCCCGGACCTGGGGAAATGTCAACTTCAACAACCGAAGAGCAGTGGAGCGCTCTCATCTTCCAAAAGGTGGAAGCGTGTGGTGACGATAACTGAATCAGGTGTGAAGAGAAGGGGAGTGGTATGCGTGGGAATTGGTCTTTGTAGTGGGAGGCATATATAAATGAGGGAGATGGAGAAGTAGACGTTAGAGCTAGTGTTGAATAGATACATTATGGGGTAGATTATGACAACTCGTTCCGTAGTTCACCCTATCACCGTCGCTTCTCTTTTTACCTTACAGTGTGTCATAATAGCCTTAACGGCATATTTAAAACGGCACCGCTCATTTCAATTGAAATGCGGCCAAAAGCGCAGTGAAACGCCTGGTGCGGGTGCCGGGTGAGGGTGCGTCGTGTCGCGCGGGTGCGTCGTAGAATTCAGGACTCCCTGCGCGGGCCGAGGCGACGGGCGGTGCGGGAGTGGAGTTACAGCCAATAGCTGCCGAGGTTACCATTGGTATAAGAATCACGCAAGTCTCTATGATGACGGTGTGAGAGCGTCGGTTACTCCAGCAACAATTCCCTTATAATCACACGTGCATATCCCGCGCATCTCGCCAAGCAATCGCACGAACCTCCAAATAGGAGACGTCAACAATCATCCCCCTGGAATCTCCTGGACGACCTGTAACGTAGACACCGCCATCTACGAAACATGTCAAACTCGACATCAGTAGACTCCTCTTCCTCCTCCATCGTCGGATCAGGAAATGCCTCACTCTACAAGGGAATCGGTATCGCACTTGCCGTAAGTTCCGGGTTCTTCATCGGTGTGAGCTTCATTTTTAAGAAGAAGGGATTACTACAAGCCAATACCAAAGACCAGAAGGAAGCTGGTGTAGGACATGGCTATTTGAAGAGCTGGATATGGTGGACAGGAATGGTCCTCATGATCATCGGCGAAATCTGTAACTTTTTGGCATACGCATTCACCGAGGCCATCCTCGTCACACCACTCGGCGCACTATCCGTCGTCATCACCGCAATTGGGTCATCCATATTCCTGAAGGAGCGGCTACCATTCGTTGGGAAGATTGGGTGTGCGCAGTGTATCGTCGGCGCGGTTATTATTACACTCAATGCACCCGAACAGCAATCCGCGCGAACAATTCAGGATGTCCAGCACTATATGCTCTCATGGCCCTTCCTCGTCTACGGCTCCCTCGTCATCATCGCCTCCCTCATCCTCGCATTCTGGGCTGGACCCAAGTGGGGAAAAGACAACATGCTAATTTACATCGCAATCTGCTCCCTCATCGGTGGATTATCTGTCGTTGCTACACAAGGGTTGGGAGCAAGTATTGTTACAGCAGCGAGTGGAACGCCGCAGTTCAATCATTGGTTTATGTATGTGTTGATGGTCTTCGTCGTCATCACCCTCCTCACCGAAATCAACTACCTCAACAAAGCCCTGAACATATTCAACACAGCCATCGTGACACCAACATACTACGTCTGTTTCACCGCCTCCACCATCGTCGCCTCGGCAATTATGTTCCAAGGCTTCAAAGGAACGCCTACGGTCATCGTTACGGTATGTATGGGATTCCTCGTCATCTGTGGTGGGGTCGTCCTCCTTCAACTCTCCAAGAGCGCGAAGAATGTCTCGGATACGGAGGTATTGAGGGGAGATCTCGATGATGTCAAAACTGCTGTACATGCGGAACAAGACGAGTATGATCCGGGGGCTGAGGCGTTGGCGGGTCCGGGAGCGATGTTGGGGAGGCGGATGTCGACGATGCGACGGGCGCGGACTTCGAGGGCGTCAGGGTTGGAGGAGGGGTTGGGGATTCGACTTAGATCAAGGCGAACGAGTGCGGCTCCACAAATCCCGGAGTTGCCGCATAGGATGAGTTCGTTCTCGGCTGGTACGGAACGCTCGATGTCCTACAAACGCGGCGACGAGGAAGGACACCTGGGCGTCCCTAGCGAAGGCGGCCGGCACATAAGTTTCGCACCACAAACCTGGGGACCAGGAGGAAACGGAAAGACAAGTTTCCAGGACCCGAGAGTGACGACACCAGGTATCAGCCCTGGCAATATCTCTCAAATGCCCGATACCGCTCCCGCGCAGCTCCAGACATTCCCTGTGTCGCATTTATCCCCGCCGTCCCCGAAACCGTCCGTATTCGAGACGTTCCCTGATCTCAGCCACGAGCACGAGCACGAAGCGGCGGTGGAGTTGGATGAACCGGTACCGAAACCACCACGCACACCACAACTCCGGAAACAATTCTCGTTTGGTGGGTTTCTGAAAAGGGAAGCGCCGACGGAGGAGGAGAGGATGGGGTTGGTGAAGGATGATGCTGTTACGACGGAAGCGCTGGGGCGGATAAGGACGAGGGATTCGGATGAGGGCGAGGGGGATTTGGCGGTGAGGAGGGATAGTTGGGAGGAGGTTTTGGATGAGAGGGGGCGCATTTAGGCTGGTTACTGATACGTGTCCGTCTGTCGTTTTGGATTTTGGGAAGAGTAAGGGGATTGGCGTTTCACTTTCGTTTACAAATGTTGCATGCATATGGCATGATGGATCAAAATATTAGGTTATTGATTACGTATACGGTGTGCTATGGATATTATCTCAGATTGTCTGTCCATTCAATTCATCATCAACGCATTCAGTCCCCGCTACAATCCTCAGGCTGGTCCTTCGTCACAACAAAGACCTCACCAGTAACATCCGCAGTGAAGTACAGCCGTCCCCTTTTATCAAATACCAACCCCACCGGACTCAGACAACCAATCCCCGCAGGAGCCTGAAGTAACGCAGACCTACACTGCGACTTATTCACGCTCGGCGATGTCCAGACAAAGTCGTAGTACCCCTTTCCCGAGTCAGCAGGAGCGGCGGGTTCTCCGTCTTTGAAGGGGACAACGACGATGCTATGGCCTGCTGGGCCGGGGAGTGAGACGAAGGCGGAGCCGACGAGGTCTTTGCCGGAGGAGGGAGTTTCGGGCTTGTAGAATGCGATGCCGAGGGGTGCTGTGTGTGTAAGGAAGGAGATACGAGGCGGGATACTGTTCTCGGCGCAGAATGAGTCAACGTGAACGGAGGCGTCAAGCAACAACCCGGTGCCGATACTGAGGTCTGCGGAGTCTGGCAATGACGAGACGTTCCAGCTGGTGTGACAGAATGGGTACCCGGGGTTAGGAGGGGGGGAGGTAGAGAACGCGTCGTACTTGCCCAAGCAGTTGAATTCGTCGCCGGGGTTGTCGGTCAAGGGAACACCGTTGCGGGTAATGCCATCGGCTCCGTTGTCGGTAACCCAGAAGTTACCACTAGCGTCCTCGGGAATCCCACGGTGTCGCGGAGACCCCAAGAGAAAACTGTGCCGTCGGTGGTGTAGTCGTATCCATCGGCAGGCATATTGGTGAGGTCGAATGCCTGGATCATACCCTTGCTATTGTCGATGAACGCGGTTGCGTTGTCAATGTCGGGAGTATCGAGACCACGGTTGATAAACAGAACATCGGGGTTATCCTGAGGAATAGCAACGGCGCGACTAATTGCCTCAGCGACCGGCCCAGGTGCCATTCCCGTAACCACAACCTTGGCTTCAGATGTGACAGAGCAAGCTGTCAATATCGTACTCTCAACCCAAGGCAAGTTGGGGAGTCGTGGCGAAGATGGTTTTGCCATCGGGAGACAATGTGATGGCGGAGGTGAAGTTCAAGCCGTCATCGGGAACGAGCACCTTGGTCTCGACGATGGTGGGACAGACATCATTCCACTCAGGCTTCAAGGCAATTATACCGTCCCCGAGCGAGGCGAAGATGAGGTTACCGCAGCTGTCGATGACAATGTCACGAGCGTGCTTGAAACCGTCAGCAAGCTTGGTAAGAAAATAACCAGGGAGCAAGACAGGCGAGGTGTAGTCGAGTCCAAGTCACGGGTAGGACGTGGATATGACAGAGGTGAGACTGGCGAGGCAAGTAAAGAGGGTGAAAACGGTCTTCATGATGGGCGAGTTGGGCGGCAAAAGGAACTACGAGGAGGGATGAGGAGGCTCTGAGAAAACCTTGCTTTATAGACATTCTGAATAGCATAGGGATGCCCGTCGAAGGGTGATCAAGTCATTAGTGGTCTTACATTCTACCGTGTCTTGACGTCCTATCATATCGTCAATCTGTACCGAAGTAGTTGTGCCATCGGCCACCCGCGTTTTATCACGGCCGGTACCGCAGATGGGCCTTCAGACGGCGCAGGAATGAACCCCGACGATCATGACGAAGTTTGCTTCACTAGCTACGCGAGTTCTTCTTGTAATAGTGGGAGGGAAAGCCCGGCGTTCGTCTCATACCCCTTGAACGCGACAATTCATCCACGCGCGTGGGAAACTAAGGAAATGCCTGTGAATACCCAAGCCTTTCGTTCTTCAAATCATACACCACCTGAGGGTATTACTGACGATCTTCCTTGCTAGGCCTGGAAAGTAATAGCCGGAATGTACGGGTCGAAACCTGCGTCCAAGGCTGAAAGCGAGGCGGCATCGGTCCGCTGACGCCCGAATTGGTGTCGCAGCGCAATTTCGGGTCGACTGACCAAAAATGACCAGGATTGAATAATAGCTTGCGATTCATACTAGGAAGGTAAAAGCTTATAAAGATACATGATAAACCAAACTGCGACTACAAGACTAGGGCTGATGAAAATGTTCCTTTCCCTCGCCGCTCGTGTTCAACCTTCGCACGTGCACTCCTGCGGACCGTTACCGTAACGGAGAATAACCCCCATATTGCGCCGCCAAGGATAGCCCACCACCAACCACTCCAGGTACATCCCCAATCATCATCTCCTTACGGGTGCCATCCATGTCGAACTGCATGGTTGCGACGGAAGCACGTCTTCCGCGGTTATACCCACCTCCACGAGCCTCATTTACAGCCGACGAGATTAGGGCATTGGCGCTTGGGAGCGTAACGGCGCCAATTGGGGCGGTCAAAAAAGTGTCCTCGAACAAGGCCTCCCATTCTTCTAGGACGGGGGCTGTGGAGTCCACGGACTGTGAGGAAGTCGAAGCCGTGGAAGCGGGCGGCGACGGAAACGTGAACTTCACTTTCTTGGGCGATGCCTTAGAGACGGAAGCTGATCTCCCGATTTTTTTGGTTGAAGAATGCTTCTCTTTTGCGTGGTTCATCTCGGCGTGCGTGCGCTTAGGCGATGCATGGGATTTTCTTTCGTAGCCTGGGAAATCAGCAAAGTCCGCCCAAGTCGACTTGTCGAAGTAATTGACTGGGCAGGTATACATCCACCTCCACACCACGTAGTTCAACTGAATACAATATTTCAGCTTCTCGGACACAAAGGTCGTGAACATTAGTCACGTACGTAGGCGTGATGCTTCTCCGGGTCTTCCTTCCTCAGCCGAGACTGGTACTCACAAAGATAGTCACTAGCGTCTGATGGTCCATGGGTAAGCAGGAGTTCACAAGCTAGATCTTCCGAGAATACTTACCTTGGAGGGAAACTTCGAGCTCGTCGGTAACACGCATTGTCAAATCGTTGGCCATAGTCACGCAGCTGCTGACACCAGCGTAGTGCCAGCCTCTCTTCCACCACCTGTGGACTAGTGTTAGGAGACCACAGACAAATGGCAGATATCACTCACGTCTCAAGACCTGTGATTTGTTCGGCAGACAACTTTGGCGAGAGCGATGTCGTTTGATCGCAGTCGGTCATTCTGTCATGTCGCGAGGAGATCAGAGAAACAAAATCAAGTACTCCTATTCAAACTCGCTGACAGTTGTCGAGTAAAGCAAACCTCCTCGACGACCTTTATAACGAAAGTAGTCGAGTTGAGGACCGCCTCCGGCCTTGTGACATTGTCAGTGGCCCGGTGTTTACAATTGCATATGGTATCAAGCAACGTTAATTCACGTGGCTGATACTTCCCGCGTGCATATACGCCATTGACAACCAAAAACCTAATTTAAGACTCGGTGTAAACCACGAATCGTTTGCAGTTCCAGCTTGTTAAACGAAGGTAATTGTTCCATGACTGGACCGATTCTTGGTGGTTCTACGCTGGACGTTAAAATAGAGGGCGGGTGACTTGGCACTACAAGCAGGTGACGCACAAACTAAACGACCATAAGCGCCATATCATATTGAAGAGGGTATTTCGGGGTAAGTTACAAAGCCGCGAACTCAGATCCCGCGCCCTCCATCAACCTCAAGCTGTTGTCCACTGTCATTACCAAGTCAGCTACAGTACTCAATGTTGACCGGAATTTACTTACGTAATGAAAGACGAGTCGTCGCTTGCAAGGAAAAGCGCTGCTTTGGCAACATCTTCCGGAGTACACAACCTCCCCATCGGCACGTTTCCCACGAACTTAGCCCGGTTCTCCTCCGTGTTCTCCATCCCCATAAACGTTTCAATAAGACCTGTAGCAGCCATAAGAGGCAAAATAGCGTTCACACGGATACCCTTGGGTCCATACTCTGCTGCAAGTGATTTGGTGACATTGGTTACGGCACTTTTACTGGCGTTGTACCAGCTGAGTCCGGGACGAGGACGGTGAGCGCCGATGGAGGAGGTGTTGATGATGCTTCCGCCGCGGTTTTGTTCAATGAGGAGGGGCATCACGGCGTGGACCGAGTGAAAGATGGATTTGACATTTACGGCGAAAACGCGGTCGAACTCGTCTTCTGTCACCTCCAGAGTTGGCTGTACGATAGTTGACCTTAGCACGAGCTCATGCACGTCCTTGATTCTCCGATATCGTACCTTGTTCTTATGAGACGTCCCAGCGTTATTGACAAGAATATCAATCCCACCGAGTTCTTCTTTGCATTTCTTGATCAAAGCTTCCCAATCTTTGAAGTTGCTCACGTCCGCCTTAAACGAGATACACTTTTCCCCTCCGATCTCCCCAGCGACACGTGCAGCCGCTTTCTCGTTCATGTCGACACAGACGACAGCTGCTCCTTCAAAAGCATACTTCTTCGCAATCGCTATTAAATTCCGTTAGACGACGAGTGAGAGCGGAGAGCTTTGAGCACACACCTTCTCCGAATCCACTGCCTGCACCCGTCACCACTGCCACTTTTCCGGCCAATCTGTTTCCCTCTCCTCCTCCACGGAGTGATTGTGTGCTCTCATCAGTTACGGGAAGAAATTCAGCTTCGTCAGCATGAGGCGCCATAATCATTGATCTTGAGTTGTTTGATGCGAGCCCGTTCTGCTACAACCGTCCGCGGAGACGTTGCCGTTCCCTTTATACGAAAGACATCGCCCCCACCTCGAATCATTGCATCCGTTGCTGGCGGTAAATTGAACGAGTCCTGATCAGACCCCGCAATTGCCAGTGTCGGAAGTCACGCGCTTTCCCACCAGTCAATGCAGCTGGCCGGCCCGCGCACAATCATAGGAGAGACATAATTCTCACGGTTTCAATGCTATTTTATTGTATACGAGTAAGAATACGCTGACATAGATAACAGTGTCCGTACAGCAGATCGCTATATCATACACGTCAAGCCCAGGACTCAACGGACGCCTTCATTCCAACAGCCCCATTCTCCTTCTCCACCCACAACTCACTCGTATTCCCCTCCCCCTCAACATCCCTCATCTTCAACTCATACCTCTCCCCGGCATAGACCGGAGTCATAGCACGATACTTCACCCTCTGGATCCTCGGCTCAGCCTTATCCTCTTCCTCCTTCACATCGTACTCCGCACTCCGCAACGCTCGAAGTGATAAGTTTTCGATTCGCTTTGCGTGCGTGTCGCGCCAAAAATCGAGAAGGAGGGTCAAGTTTAGGGGTCCATGGACGACGATATCGGGGTGGAGTTCTTGGGTTTGGGTCCAGGGGGTGTTGTAGTGGATTTTGTGGCCGTTGAAGGTAAGGGCTGAGTAGCGGAAGAGGGTCGCTGGGTCTTGTGTTACCGAACGCGTTGACAGTGGGGTTGTATCTATTAAACACACGTTAGACCTTGACTTGGAGAGAAAAGGCAAGTGCAGTGGATCACCATTGCTGGAAGCGCTCTGCAACTTACTGTCGCTCGCTACCTTCTTCCCGGCCTCCCTCCGCGCCTCATCATCCACCACCTTCTGCTCTCCTTTCCCTTTCCCTCCCTCAGCCGCAGCAGCCTTCGCAGCTTTCAGAAACACCCAATTTCTCTTATCCGTTACCGCCAACCCTCTCTCATTCTCAAACGTCTTCTTCACACCTACAACCAACATCTCCCCGCCCTTCGCTCCATGCTTGATATCACAGGACTCGAGTACGGTGGTCTCAGTGACTGTATCACCAATCGCCAACTCATTGTCTCGCTCAAAGATCATCTCGCCGCCAGCCCACATGCGGCGGGTGAAGGGCTTGCCCGGGTTGAAGGTTGCGTCGCTGCCGTCTGGGGCGAGGTCAGACGTCATGATACGCGGTGTGAAATAAACCAGATGCCATCCTGGCGGAACTGGAGTTCCTTGCTGTGGATCAAGGGTAGATGGATCAGAGCGGTTGAGAGTACACGAGAGCAGCGCGATCTGGTTCGCGTCGAGGTATTGAGTTCGGGTGTACGACTTCCCTACGTGGTGTTCGTTGAATTGCGCTGCGACCTGTTCCGTACTGATCCAGCCAGTCGATTCATGTCTGATCTGCTGGAATTGGCCGCGGATCACAGTGCGCGGTACTGCTGAGGGTATCGAGCGTGTAAACGGTCTGATCAGTGCCTTCATGGTTGATCTCTGGAGTTGGAGGAGGGCGGATCAAGGGACCTTTATGTACGGCAATTCCAAGCGATCAACATATCTCAGGTCATTGCGCAATTGCGTGCGGGGTACTCCAGGATACGGTAGGGTCTATGGAATTTCACATGTGGGGAAGGGCCCAGCGTCATTGGCGCGCTGTTGGCACCTGCCTGCTGGGAATTTCGGCCCGCACCCTCGGCCTGGCAAAAGCAAGAGATAGCGATTTTTAAAGTTCGAAGAAGGTCACACGAGCTCGCTTTTGGTATACTGCGAGAAGCTTCCAATCTTCGATAAGACTAGCTAGAATACTCACGCTCGGGCACGGGCGTCCAGTCAATCCCTGCTTCTTTGAATAACTCAATCATAGTCTGTCCAGTCTCCCCAGGATGCACAACAATTCTCGCACCCGCCCTCTCAAGCGCCTTCCTCTTCTCATCCGCACTCCTCTCCCAAGGCAACCTCACGGCCCCCGCATGTCCCATAGCCCTCCCAAACGGCGCCGTCAACCCCGCAACAAGACCCACGACGGGCTTCTTGTTCGGTCCGATGTTGTTTTCCTCAAGGAAGGCTGCTGCCTCGAACTCCGCTTCTCCGCCGATTTCGCCGATGACGATAATGCCTTTGGTCTGGGGATCTTTGAGGAACATCTTCAGCGCATCGACGAAATCTGTACCAGGCATGGGATCACCTCCCATTCCTATTGTGATCGATTGCCCCAATCCAACGTTGGATGTTGACCCCACCGCTTCGTAGGATAACGTTCCAGATTTCGAGACGATACCCACACAGCCCTTGCGGAAGGTCAGGTGTGGCATGATCCCGATACGACAGGCTTCGGCAGCGATGATACCAGGACAGTTTGGTCCAACGAGACGTGATGCAGATTGTGCGCGGAGGATCTGGTTGATGCGGAGCATGTCATGGATAGGGACATGTTCGGCCACGGATACGATCAACGGGATCTCCGCTTCAATCGCAGCCTCAATCGCACCGGCTGCAGAAAGCGCTGGGACAAAAACTGCTGTAGCATGTGGTTTGAGTTCCCGTGCTGCTTCCTCAATGGTCTTAAAGACGGGTAGACCAAGATGAGTTGCGCCTGATCCACCCTTGTTAGGAGAGACGCCGCCTACTACCTTCGTACCATAATCGATTGTTTGCTGTGCATTGACTGTTGCTTGTTTTCCGGTGAACCCCTGGTAGACTATACGGGTGTTTTCGTCGATTTTGAGGTTCTTGATTGTGTCTTGGTAAGATCCATCCCGATATCTTTGAGAGGTGGAGGAGGAGAAGAGACGACGCTGTACCGCCCTGGTAGTATTTGATCTCATCGTCGACAACATCGTTTTTGTCAATTGATACAGCTTCGGTTCTGTCCTTCAAGTATTGGATCTTTCTCCTCTTCGCGGGACAACCCGGCGTTCCCCACATTCCGCGGATCAACGTCGCGCTTGCGGTGTCGGCAAGCGGCATCATTTGGCGACAGGTCGACTGTAGGGAAGCGACCTCGGGAGTGCTACACCAAGGGCCATTGAAGGAAGAATCAACACCGGTATATCGACAAGAATGAACGTTGTACGAAGGCCATTGACGGATCTGGCGAGAGTAATTGGCTGGCGGATCAGATCCGCCAATGTCGGGATCCGCTCGCAATCCACCTCCGCCGGAATCGAGTTCGCAGGCATGGATACCTCCATCCTCTCCGAATCCCAAGTCATGGTCCGCGAGTCTATCGAGAAAATCTGCTCCCAATTCCCAGATACATACTGGGCCGAAGCGGACGCAACCGGGAAATACCCCGGTGACCTGCACGCTGCGCTCGCCAAAGACGGATGGATCGGAATTGCGTTGCCGGATGATTTGGGAGGTGCTGGGTTAGGAATTAGTGAGGCTACGGTGATGTTGCAGACTATTGCGGAGAGCGGAGCGGGGATTGCGGGGGCTCAGACTGTCCATGCGAATATCTATGCGACGATGCCGGTTGCGAAGTTCGCTACGGAGGAGCAGAGGGGAGAGTTCCTACCAAAGCTCATCAGTGGCAAGGAAAGAGCGTGTTTCGGTGTGACCGAGCCGGAGAGTGGACTCGATACACTACGTCTGCGGACGAAGGCTGAAAAACGAAGTGACGGCTCATACCTCGTCACCGGAAGCAAGATGTAGTACTTCTAAACAACCCCTTCGGATCACAAGCTGACATTTCTACAGATGGATCACCAACGCCCAACAATGCCAAAACATGATCCTCCTTGCTCGAACAACCCCCATCGAACAAGTGACCAAACCATCCTCCGGCCTATCGATGTTCTACATTCCCCTAGACCGCTCCCACCCCGGGCTAACCATGTCCAAGATCCCGAAAATGGGCGGTAGGGCAGTCGACGCAAACGAGATCTTCCTCGAGGACTACCCTATCCCAGCCTCCTCGCTCATCGGTAAAGAAGGCGACGGATTCAAGCAGATCCTACATGGAATGAACGCAGAACGCTGTCTCCTCGCCGGAGAAGCACTAGGATTGGGCTACGCGGCCCTCAAACGTGCCGCTCGCTACGCAAAAGAACGCGTTGTTTTCGGCCGTCCCATCGGCCAAAACCAATCCATTCAACACGCACTCGCGGACTCCTACGCCCAGCTCCTCGCAGCAACACACACAACCTACCACGCCGCACGACTCTACGACTCAGGTGCTCCAGCCGTCGCGGTCGGTGTTGCTGCTAATACTGCTAAATACCTCGCGGCGGAAGCGGGGTTCAAGGCGTGTGAAAGGGCGGTAATGGTGCATGGTGGGATGGGGTATGCGCAGGAGTTTCATGTGGAGAGGTACTTGAGGGAGAGTTTTGTGCCGAGGATTGCGCCGGTCAGTAGGGAGATGATCTTGAATTTCTTGGGGGAGAGGGTATTGGGGTTGCCGAGGAGTTATTGAGAGGTTCTCACGTTGGTTACCCAGTATTCCCAAAGGGGGGGCTGCACGTCATGTGGAATAGTAGGTATGTTCGATATATCCAATCACTAAACAGCGGTATATCCGCCATCCACGGAAAATGCAGTTCCAGTAACAAAACTAGCCCTGCCTCCACTCAAAAAGACAACAGCATCCCCGATCTCCTCCGGCTCGCCCAGCCTTCCCATAGGCTTATCCGCACTCAACTTCTCCGCCTTTGCCCTGATCGTGTCATTCTGAGTCAGCGCTGTATAGATATACCCCGGGCATACCGCGTTGCAGCGGATGAGATCCTCGGCATGATCAATTGCTGCGTTCTTCGATAACCCCACAACAGCATGTTTTGACGCCGCGTACGCCGCAGAGTTCTTCAATCCCACTAAGCCAGACATAGACGCAATGTTCACAATGGACCCTCGTTGTTTCTTGTCAGGTCGACGCGGGTTGTCCCGAGGCTCCTGTGTTTTCATGGCCGCGATTTCGGCTTTCGTGCTGAGAAAGACCCCGCGAAAGTTGATATCGGTAACGAAATCATAGTTTGTCATCGACCAACCGCCTTCGTGGCCATGACCAGGCTTGAAGGAGACGCCGGCGCAGTTGGCAGCGTAGTCTAATCTTCCGAATGCTTTGATGGTTTCGCTGACCATCTTGTTGACGGATTCTTCGCTTCTGACATCGACCACCACAGAGATTGCTTTGAATTCGGGGTTGGTAGCGACAGATTGTACCTGCTCGGATGCCTTCTGTAGAGCTTCGGGGCTGATGTCAGCCAAGCAGACACCTGCGGAACCTTCTCTTGCGTAAACCATGGCACATGCCAGGCCGATCCCTGATCCGGCGCCGGTGACAAGTGCGAAGCCTGGTACGTCCATTGCTGAAGCGGTTGCTGAAGGATTCAAGGCCAACAGAGTTTATTTACATGACGACGTCAGGGTGTACCTATACGAGCGGGGAGTGCGGAGAGGGCGTACGCGGGGTTGCTGCCGGACAGATGTACGCGCGGGAACGGGTGACTTCAGTCCGGATTCCTCACGCACAGTTCAGCCTTTGCATTTTATGCACTTGAAATAAGTGAATCTCACTCAATGGTAACAAACGGTATATGTCAGCTGCTTCTGCTAGGCCTCAGCATTCGCCAACTCGATCGCTTTCCTCGCTGCCTCCTCCATCCCGTCACAACTGATCAATCCCAATCCGCTTTCCCTGATAATTTGCTGTCCCTCCTTAGAATTCGTTCCCTGAATCCGGACCACTACGGGTACGTGGATATCAAGACTCTTCGCAGCCAGGATGATACCGTTAGCAATCATGTCTCCTCGTGTGAGACCACCATAGATGTTAACGAGGACTGATTTGACTCTCTTGTCGGAGAGGATAAGCGTCAGAGCCTGTTTGATGGTTTCTGAGGTTGCTCGACCTCCGGCATCTAAGAAGTTGGCCGAAGCTCCACCATAGTGAGCGATGGTATCGAGGGTCGACATTGCCAAGCCGGCTCCGTTAACTGGTATCACCGTTAGATGGTTTGTCAACTAGGAGGGAGGAAGTCCTACCGAGCGTACCAACATTCCCCTCAAACATCTTGATGTATACCAGATCAGCCTCCTCCGCTTTCACCTCCTCCGCAACCTCCTGCGAAACATCCCTCAATCCAGTCGACCCGTCGTGTTTAGACGCGGCCCCAAATAACTCAGGCTGTCTACTCCTCGCAGCATTGTCGAATGAAAACTTCGGACTAGCACAAACCACCTTGCCCTCAGTTGTCTCGATCAAAGGGTTGATCTCCAACATGAGTGCCTCCTTCTCTTTGAAGATTGTCCAGAGTTTTTCGAGGGTGTTCTTCATTTGGTCGATACCCAAACCAAGGGCACTGGCGACGCTAGCAGCGACGTAGTCGGTGATTCCTTTGGAGTATTTGATTTGAATGCGATGGATGCTTTCTGGGTCGAGGTTCTCCAGTTCAATGCCGCCGCGGCGGGAGCAGACGACGATGGGTGCGCAGGTTTTGCGATCACATGTGATGGCGAGGTAAAGCTGACGGCCATCGAGCTTCTCTGTCACAAGCACGGATGCTGTGGGGAGTCCAGCTGGGTTGGTGGTGGGTGCTGGCGTAGTGAGACGGTGTCCGAGCATGTCCCGGGCGGCACGCTCAACATCCTCGGCACTGCAATCATGATGAGTTCGTTCCGGATCAACAGACTGAGCGTATAGCATACCTGCTTGCTGCCCTGACTCCACCCTTTACACCATTCTCGAATGTCCCCGTCTGCCTCTGATTGGCCAACACCTGTGCCTTTACCATATACGCCGTCTTCCCACTCTTCTCAAGCTGTTCCGCAACGGCGCGAGCCTCCGCCGGCGTGCGGGCAATCCCGCCTGCAGGAATTCTAATCGCATGGTGTCTCAAAAGATCGTTTGCTTGGTGTTCATGAATGTGAAGCCTCCGTACTGCTGTGATCACTCGACGGAACTGAGATAGATCAGCGAGAAGTCCTAAGGCTACAACATGGAAGGAGTACAAACCGATGATCCAGCCGGTCGGACTGAAGACTTGAACGCGAGCATGTTGGATCGTCTTCAATTGACTGTTCGTTCGTTTGCCTTGGAGTACTTGATCTTACCCTCCATAGCGTCTAGATACTTAACGACGTCGAGTGTGGGGCTTTGCGGGGAAGCGGTCGGCTGGACGATCCCGACTTCCGCCTAAGTCGCTTAATCTATCCTGGACTTCAAATTACAAACGGATATACAAAGTTAAAGGGTAACGAGAATACAGAACTTCTTTCGTACACTGTCTTTCCTCTTTCCTTCCTCTCGAATTCTTTACTGCACCGACATCAACGATCCGATAAACGTCAAGATCAACCTTGAGCGAACATCTACGATATCCTCCGGTACCAAGAAAATCAAAGCTCCGACCTTTCTCGCGATAGAGATAGCCAACTTGGCGTTCAGCAAGCAATCCTCATCGGATCGTCCAGAGGTAACGAGTTCATAGTCAACGTATCCGGGCTTCAGTCCCTCAAGCACATCCAACAAGAACGTACCGTCCCTCAAAGCTGGATCCTTGAAGGAACGGATAGGCTGAGAACGCCTTGATCGGGACTTGGAAGCCATCTCGTTCGCCCACTTGACCATGTCGCCGTCAGTCAATTCCCGTCCACCCTTGGAAAGAGCAGCAAGGGTCTTGACGATATTCTTCCTCATCAATTGCCACACCAAACCCAAAGTTAACGTTCTCTGACCGTCAGTGAGATCAGCACCCTGAATACCGACGAGGGAAAAACGGTTGTCAAGACCGAGCTGCACGGCGTAGTTGGTGTTCTCGACCATCTTGAAGCGAGACAGCTCCTGGCCCTCGGCACGGGGTTTGTTGACGTGTCTCCAGTTAACACTGTTAGGGATGACCTTATCATACGCCTGCAACAAGACCAGACCATCCTTGAGATCCTCGAACAAGTCGTGCACACCAGGCTGGACGTCCAAGGAGTTGAGCCAGAGAGTGAAGACACGGGCTTCACGCTCACCCTCTGCATCGAAGTCCTCAATCTCGGGACGCTCGTGTTCCTCCAGAGGCTCGAGACAAGGGTGGGTATTGAACAAGTTGGCAACGAAAGCCAAGTTAAGCTTGGGGTTACCAGCAACGAGTGCGGTAGGGGTCAAGTACTTGCGACAGTCGAGCTTCTCAGCATTCTGCAAGACTTCCTCCGCCCTCTGCAAGAGGTCCTGGGTCTGGAGAGGAGCACGAGAGCAGACGTTGGGGCCGAGTTGGCTAAGGAGGACGGTGTAGTTCTCACCATCACTGACGTCCTTGCCGAAGTTGGTGACACGACGGTGCCAGCCCGCAGCCTTGAGGTGGTAGTTGAACCAGCGGAGAAGAATCTGCTCAGGGGGAAGACGAAGGAACTGCTCGAGTGTCTCGTCCTCCTCCAACAAACGGTAGAGCTCAGGGTGGTACTTGATATCGATTCTGCCAAGCAAACCACGACGGATGATTTGCCAAATAAGACCTAAAATCAAGTGCTCCCTTCCATCAATGATATCCTGTGCACCAATGTTGACGACGGAGCATCCGATAGCCTTTGCAGAGTTGATAACGATGTTGTTGTTCTCGGTCATCTGGAAGTTGTTGATCCTCTTTCCACCCTTGCCCTTGTTGAGAACACGCTCGTCGATAGTGTCCGGTACAGCATCATTAATCATTTTGGACAACACAAGACCATCTTTACACTCGTCGAACAGCTGGAAAGTATCGGTGGGGAAGGGAAGGCGGTCTCCGACATCAGAGTCACCGGCAAGGACGGAGTTGATGTGTCTGGTGAACTCGGTCTGTTCGTCGGCGTTGATAGTGTGAGAAACGTTTGCACTAGATCCCTGGACGGTCTTCTTCGATGCGGAAGGCTTTCCGGGGGTAGCGGGAGCGTTCTGAGCTGGAGCACTGGTGTCGCGCAGCTTTGACATCAACTCCACGTAGTCATCCAACTCGACGCGACCGGTGGCATCAATGCTACATTGTTTCAGAGTAGAGCGAATTTGGTCGTAGGTAGTACCGCGCTCAGTCTTAGAAACTGCCTGGATGATGGTCTGTTGGTCAACCGAGCCCTTGTCATCCACGTCGATGTTTCGAAAGTCATTGATCAGCTGGAAAACATCCTGCTGAGTAAACTGCGGGAATTTTCGCTGGACAAAATAGTCAATGAATTGTCAAGAGGCATGTTCGAATCAGCTTACCTGCAACTTAATTGCGTTCATGGTGGTGTATGTTTGTCTGTATGTCTCGTTGAACCTTCGAGATTACCAGCGTCATATAGCGCGAGGACGTGCGTGGCGGAGCATCGGTGCAACATGGGGGATGCCGAGACCGACGCGTACAGGGCCAAGAGAAATGGGAGTATGAATAAAGGTGGTTGGAAGCGGGTACGGATCAACGGGTTTATTGTCGGTACGGCTATCTATCACGCTGGCAGATTTGCCATGTTCCATTCGGATGCTAACTCATCCCCAAGGCCAGCAAATGATAAAACGACGAACAAACACTTGCTCGTCGTCACTAACACAATACAACTACTCCTCTGCCGCAACCAGACAACCAGTGCGACAAGACGGAAGAACCTCAGATTGCTTACAACGCCCCTTGTAATGGTGGTGGAGGCAGGGCGATATCCACAGCGCCCATCACTCCCTTTGGCCTCTTGCGAAACCAGCAGGAGCGACGAGTCGACACGATTGATTAGACCGGTCGCCTAAACGGAGTAAACCTGCTCATCGTTGGAACGTATAGTTGTAAGGTTTCGCAGTACGCGCGGGGTTCCTCGGTCTTATACCCGCAGCCCTGAGTATGCACGTGTTCATGAACAATTTTCGCAGGACATTGATCCTCCTCGATAACTGGAGACATATCGCGGCATGTCCAGCTCATCAAAGTGAATTATTCTGGAGACCGGTTCAGGCTTTTCTGCGAGTGAATTGCGGGAGTTCCCACGGCGGCCGTCCCTCGCCCTGGGCTATATATTTTGGCTGCTCCTCCGCAAACGCAACACCCAGTCAAGTCCTTGCACCGTCGAATGCCGTACTTCCTCGCTACACACACGGAAAGGATAGAGGCCCTTGGGTTGATATCCTCTCTTTTCACGCGAGGGGGCTAAGGTCGGAGAATCTCCCTCATACAACTCGACTCAGTCGTGTTAGCTCTCGAAGGGCCTGGCCTTAACAGGCTTGTGACAGTAACAGAAAGACACGGTCCCTCCTGCAAAGGATGACGGATCTTGGGAGGCTGTCGCGGGGGTTGTTTGCTGAGAAGCAACTTCAGTGCAATGTACGGCGTCTCATCCTCGGATGTGATAACTCAATTCCGACTATTCTCGGGGGTGCAAGGCCTTGATTCATCCTCTCTCTCTTCTTGTGCGATATGTTTGACGTTGTAATCAGTCGTATCGTTCTGGGAGACGGAAAGGAAGAGCGCAATGATGGTAAATACACACACTGAAAATCCTGACAAGCATTGGTCTTCGGACCCCTGCGGTTGTTGAGAAAACTTCGTATGCTGAGTGCTCTTCTGTTTCAATGGGTTATTATATTATTCAATACAATCTTGTTACTTCTACACATATCTAAAATGAACCTTGTGAACCTGAATGACGAGAACTCCATTCATATCACGTCGTAAACAGCTATAAGCAGCTCCTACCTTAAAAATATTATAGCCCAGTTGATCGAAGCCATGAATATAGTATGCAAAAAAAAAAAACACAACTCCAAAGCCGTAATAGATGATGATGTTGACTCCGTCTGAACCCGCAGACCTTGCACCAAAAACAAGAACAGAACAGCAATCGAGCAATCCGTTCACGAAAGCATGTGCAACCTAGCGTTCCATCCACTCTCTACCTGTCTTGAGATATTTCTCCAGTAAAACACTGACGTCCGCCATGACGAACTTACAGACTACACCTCCGAAGAAATCACTTGCGTGTCGGAAAGACTTGTTGAACCGGTCTTGTGATTTGCTGGGGAGATTGTGTACGTCGAAGTGTCCGTACATTTTCTCTGTAAGATTGTCAGTTAAACATATGTACAGTCCATTATAGACAACTTACCAAGCGTTTGTGCATGATCCAACATCCTCGCCAGTGCATTCATGTATGCAGCATTGGGTCCCTCGAACATAACTTCATTCTCACCACTTAGCGCATTCAGCTTCGACGCCCCACTGTCCTTCTTGCTCTTGAACTTCGCCTTCAGAGACAGCGTCGCCTGGGACATCTTCCACCCGGCACCCAAGCCTGGCCTCTCACTGCCACCGTCTCCCCCAAACTCTTCGCCGAGCTTCTTCGTAAGAGTAGCCTGGACTCCTTCCATGACTAGGCGGAATTGTAGAAGAGCTTCTAGAAGCGATTCGATGTCGCCATAGGGTACTCCACCAACCCTCCTGAGGCCGTTATCGAGAATCTCGCAGGCATTTATCTTCTCGTCCACAGCCTTGAGCTTGACACTCTTCATCATCCAGATGTCTTGAGGGATGTAAAGGTTTGGCGTAAGATGAGCTCCCTCTCTGAGCGATTTCAGAATCACTCGCATCAGCCAGAACGGACGGAATAATGTGCTTTCTGGTTGTGGTTCGATAACAGGGGTAAGATCCCACAAACTATCGTCGAAGAAGTCGATCTTCCGGTCCGGAGCCCCGCCGGACATGGGTAACGAGAAGCTCGATGCAGCCGAGGACATCGCATACTCACTGGAAGCAAAGATCGAGCTTGTAGGCGAGTAATCCTCATTTCTCGGGGTGGCACGACCAGCTAGCGTAACATCGATGCTCCGTAATGAATTCTGAGATTGCATCCGAAGCATTCCTGGCGCTCGGGGTGGATAAGCACGTTGCCCTGGCCACCCGTTCAGCATTGGCACGGAATAGTCTGTCATGACTCTCCTTGGTGTGGTCGGTCGCATTCTAGCTGAACCAGGCGGCCCGCCGCTCGAAGATGACTTTGTCATTGGTGGAGCAACAAGTTGCGGTAAAGGTGCTGTAAAATTCCTCTGGCTCATCGCAGGCGCTCGTAGTGGTGCACGAGGCGGTGGCATTGATGGCATCACTGGAGGTTGTGGAGCTGCGGCAGTGGCCGGTCTTGATGGTTCGGGTGGTTCCTTTGCTGATTCCGTCACCGTCCTTATTGACAGGTTCTGAATCTGAGGTAGCCGTCGCTGACGAACACTAGGCACCCGCAATACTTGCCCTTCTCTGTGGGACAGTGCAGCTTCAGAGGAAGCATCGGACGTTCTCTTGGAGTCGTTCAATGCGTTGTATTCATCTTCTGGGCCTTCATCCAAATCGTTCAAACCAAGTGTACGCGTAATCTCGGTCAGCAGACGATCTGTGTCATCCATGTCATCCTCGGGATCCGTATCCTCAAAAAGTTCACTCAAGCCTTTCTCGGTCCGTAATTGGACATTGGGGGAATTTCGCCCTTGCCAAGGCTGAGTATCTGCAGGATCTGTTCGCCGGCTTGATGGAGAGCTGGTCCGGCTCGACACCTCATCAATCGTGTTCAACCACTGTACGTCATTTGCTCCGAGTACGTTCTCGAAATCTCCGCTGGCTGACAGACTCGACTTCTTTCGCCGGTGGCCCCGACTTGATGGAGGCAGTTCACCAGTTTGTTGATGAAATGGCTCATGTGTCCGGATGGGTGAATTGCCCGGAGATGTAGCGATGGTAGATGCTGAATCGCGTTGAGCTGAAAACCCGAGGGATGTCCGGCTTGTTGTGGCTGTCGTCGACGTCGAGGAGGACTGACGCTCAGTCATCGGAGGACGATGCCCAGGAGAAACCACAGATGCAGGATCAAACTGCGGTGGAGGAGGCATCGATGAAGGATTTAATGCATTCATTTGTTGATAAAACTGCGGCATAGCATTCATCCCCAGAATCCCGGATTCCGGTCTCATTGGAGATGGTGGGCCAAGCCTTGAGGGAATACGTGCACCAAATCCTAAGACCGCCTCCTCGATATCGTTGTAATCGTCTTCATAATCTTGATCGATATGATCGTATTCTTGGTATTCACCGTCCGATTCTTCGCCTGCAGGCGGCGAGGGAGGCAAGTCCTTGTTCGTCTCTGGTGCTGGTGCCTCTGCAATAAGGAGGCGCATTCTGTCAGCATATGTCGAATAAATCCTCGAGAGCTTCTCGTGGTCCTCCGGGGCCTTGGTACGCTGCATAACAGTTGAGAGAAGATCGCAAGCCTGCGCATATGCCGCAATTGCCATCTTGGTATTGTTGGCAGTGTCGTACGTCACGGCTGTCTGCGCTTTTGCAAGCGCGACGGTCAACTGCACAAAGTTAGCGATACTGACCATTGAGCAAAGTGAGCATACCCACCATTGACTTGTGCGTCCTTTCGTCATCCACATTTTGATCCTGCTCGCGCGCTGGCGACCGTGACGGGCGTTGAGTCCGCGATCGTTCAGGAGATGCCGACCTATGATGCGAAAGAGCACCGTATGACTTCTTCGCGGAAAGCGACATGCCGACAGAGACGACGAACAGCAGTCAAATATGATGATTCTTTAACGCGACCGCATGCAATTGCTTCGCTGGTCTTGAGCTGGGTCCGAGTGTACACTCTGCAGCGTACAACTTAAGGTTTCTCCTTTTCGAGTTCCGGTTCACCCTACCGAGGACGCGCCCGCATTCAACATCCAGGGTCCTCCCGCACCCAACTCTGTACAACTCCGGGGAAAAGGGATTACACCTGAACATGAGGAGAACAAAGAGCCTGATGAGACGTAGCAAAATATTCCTTTAGCAGCTCGTTTTGACCTCTTCCTGGCCTGCTCCGGCTATACCTGCACGACCTGCGGCTCTGCGCAGCTTATCGTTTTGGGCCAAATGAACAAGCAACGGCATGAACGCCACCACCAGTTTTCGATCGAGCAACCGAATTACCAGGTAGATCGACCTGCTTTCTCGGTGCATTTGATTGCAATCATCGGCTCTTGTATTTGAATGGCCAATTGCTGCTGGGACCAGGGTCATCTGTTTGCCCGTTCGTGTTTGATTTGTGCGTGATCGAGTCGCCATAAGCAGGCTTGGCTCGGTGTTGCCTTACTGTCAGCGCTTGAAGAAGCGCAATTACATTCAGCATGGAAGAGTCCGCTGGCGCTTCTGTCCTCTCCAACCCTCTTCTTATGTCTTGTATTCTCCCGCGCATCGAAACTGCGCAGGCTATCTCCGTTTTACTCTGCACCTCTCGATCTGTCAGATCGGCGACGCAAATTGCTCTCCCGACAGCTTCGCCTACCAAACTTTCATTCGCCAACCTATCAAAGTTGAAGGTGAAGGATTTGAGGAGGCTTGGGCTAACGAAATGGACGAGAGGATTAACATACCTTGATGTTAGTGGGACTGGCATAACGATTCAGTTTGTCAGGGATGTCATATTGATGGTACCGTACCTGGAACGACTTGTTATTAGGGGATGCACGAAGGTGAACTCGGCAGCACTTTCGGCCTTCCTGGGAAAGTTTACGTATCGCTTCCCACCCGGTCGACCAGATCCACCCGCATCTTCAGCAAAACATCCACATATGAAGCGGCTGACATCGTCCCTGCAAAGACTAGATTGCGCGGATATTGATGGTTTTTATGTGGACGAAACACAGTTTGCGGGAAAGTCCCAGTTCTACTACAAGCAAAAGACGCCCTATCTGTCCACATACCACGGACTACTGGCACAAATGGTACGGTTAGACATAGGGTTCGATGTGATGGCTTGCTTGGGGCACAGACAGGGATGTCGTAACGGAAATCGGCGGTTCAATGAACCCTGGAATGGCATCAGCCGTTTGGCGAGTTACAAAGACGATTTCCAGAGAGTATGTAAGGAGGGATTGGGGTTGAACATCTGGGATCTTGATGTGCATATGATGCCTTTATGTGATGAGTGTGCTGCGGATTGGTCGGCAGGAATCCAAAGGTGTGTGTCCTGTGAGAATGAGCCATGGTAGGGCTCACACTCAAGCTCAGACTGAGGCTCAGACTCGGACTCAGATCTCGAGCTCATAGATTTGCTAAGCTATGCCCTGCCAGAAGGTGAAGGTGAAGAAGAGTTGTGGTCAGTCCCCTAGGTTCTAAGCATGTTTTGATACCACGTAGTAGCTAGATCTGTACACTGCTGGCTGTCATCGAGGCCGAATAAATCGGGACAAACTGAAATACCCGAATATTCCTGATGGCATTTGACGTCGTCTAATCTATCCTCCCATATTCCCAGCGGTATCGTCTACCCCCCCTCCTTGCTGTCCCGTACACGTGCGACCGTGCTCCGCAAGCTTCTTCCAGTCCGCGGCCGACTTATGCACTTGTTACGGTTTTTAGTCCGCAATCGCAACCGTTGCACGCCGCCCTTCAAATCGCGTAAGCGGGTCAAAACGAGCAAACCACAAATCGCATCCCCCAAAGGAAGGAAGGACAGTATCGTCCTTGTATATTTGACTGGTGTGTATTTTATCGTCTTTGTCCGACATCCCTCTCGGCTGACACGTCTTTGCAGTGTCCAGTACATCTGCCTCAGTGCATACGCGGCCTCCTGTGCTCGATCGCCATCGGTATTCTTAATCTCTGATCGGTACCAGTCTTCCGAGCAACAAGTCGATCGCGTCTTTCATCTATACAAATCAACATGGCTAGCAAGTTGACGCTCTACAAGCTGGTGGTCTTGGGTGATGGTGGTGTCGGAAAGGTGGGTTCCTCTCGATCAACGCGTCCAATTTCGAGATGTATGCTAATGATCTGCTTGACAGACTGCTCTTACCATTCAACTCTGCTTAAATCACTTCGTTGAGACCTACGATCCGACTATCGAAGACTCATATCGCAAGCAGGTCGTCATCGATGACCAGAGCTGCATGTTGGAGGTTTTGGACACTGCGGGACAGGAAGAATATACAGCTTTGCGGGATCAGTGGATCAGGTTTGTTGCTGTCGTCTGCCTCTATCGCATAGCGGTACTAACATCAGGGCGAACAGGGATGGTGAAGGATTCCTTCTCGTCTACTCTATCACATCTCGACCAACCTTCGACCGTCTGGCTCGCTTCCACTCACAGCTTACGCGCGTAAAAGACACCCCGCAATCTCTCCCGCCACCATGCATGCTCGTCGGTAACAAGGCCGACAGACATCAGGAGCGTGAGGTCAGTGCGCAGGAAGGTCAGGCACTTGCCAGGGAGCTCGGCGCGCAGTGGATCGAGACGAGTGCGAAGGACTGTGTTAACGTGGAGAGGGCGTTCTACGAAGTCGTGAGGGCGATCAGAAGAGGAAGGGGTGACATGCCCGGGGGCCGGGCGGCTGGTGGACGCGGAAATGGCGGTCAGACCACGGGCGCGAAGAAGCAAAAGAAGAAGTGCATCATCATGTGAGCGACGCAAGCAGAGCTAGCATATTTGGTATGGGCTGTGGCTGCAAGGCTTATGCAGCGGACAATATACAGGTTTGTGGGTCGGTTTCTTTGTGATACGTACAGGCGATAGATGCCGTGGAAAGGGCAGGGTATGTTCAGCGATAGGTTTTCGTTTTTCTTGTTTGGTTATGTTTGCAGCATCTGTTCTTCGTCTGTTTGGGTCTCAATAGAAAGTAATATTTGTCAATACGTATGCGTGGGAGGTCACCACCTTAGTGAAAGTTTGTTACACGGTATCATGTATTGTATCGAGCAAGGGACCTTCTAGATCTAGCAATAAGGATATCCAAAAAATCTTCTATGCGTTGCCTTATCAATGCGTCTCAAGCCTCCTGGGCCTATATGCGCTCATATCATCTGAGATATTCAACCTCGCAGGCTCAGGCCTTCTAGGCTCGAACTCAGCGTTCGCAATGTCATTCCTAACCACGTTGATCTCCGCCAACTCCGCGGCTTCCTCCTCTTCTGGCAAAGGTTCATCTATGTTGCGGTCAAAGACATGACCACCGTTATTCCCGTGTCCTTCACGGTAACCGCGAGGGCCCACAAGCTTGCGTTGCATCGAGCTGAGAGATGCACTCCTATGACGCCCGGTAAAACGGCGTGCAAGTTTGCTACCCTGCGTCTGGTGGCTATCAAACGAAGAACGCGAGTTTTGCGCAGAGTTCTGAGATTGCCTCGAGGTCTGCCTAGTCAAACCCTGCTCACGCTCTTGACGTTCCGCTTCAGCTTGCTCATAAGCAACTTGAGGCACAGAACGACCTTCGTCGAGCGTATGAATGTCTGTCATGTCATCACTGGCAACAAGCCTGCGTGCACCCAGAGAAAAGTCAACACGCTTACGTTGGTCCTTGAGAGACACAGGCTGCTGCTCCTCAGGAATAGGCGTCATCCTATGGCCCATCGAGTCGTGCGTATCAGCTCTATGAATCTGCCCAGCACCACCACTCGCAGACCCTGGCGGAGACCCCGAAGGCGAAGGCGGCGAGGTAGCATAATTCGGCGGAGAACCCATCGCACCATTGTTGAAGTGATGAACATACATCGGCGTAGTCTGGGTCGTGCCAGGCCAGAGGTTGTTTGGGGACTCGATCTTGAGCAGTTGCAGGTTGACCATGAGTGCACACATGAACTTGTTTCTCCTCGCGATGCGGAGGCCTTCGTTTTGCCAGTTAGAGCGGTGGAAGAAGATAACGCTGAGTTTGACGGAGTGGAGTTCGGGTACGTCGGTCAACTCTGTCAGGATATCCGGCTTGAAGTCTCGCTTTTCGGAGCGGACGAAGTCGAGCATGGCTTGTCTTAAGGCGTCGATCTGTTCCAATGTTGTGCCGAACTTGAGGATGACGGGTGCACCTTCAGCGACACCACCCGTGCGGCGCATGTTGAGAATGAAAACGGTGTTCAAGATAGAGTTGGGTGCTTGCACGATACGCCCATCAAGCATCCTGAACTCCGTTGCCATGAGGCGGATCTCCTTGACAATGAGCGAAGTGACAGTACCATTCACGGGCACATCAACACGATCTCCGACATCAAACGGATGCTTAACGAAGATAAAGACAAGAGACGCCAGGATTTCCTGCGCAGTTCCCGAGAACAGCCAAGACAGCGCAAGCAAGGTCGAGCCAGCAGTTGTGAGAATCCCCGAAACACTCCTCGAAATCAAACTCACGAAGACAATAAGCGCAATCACTGCAACGATAAACGTAAAGATATCGTCCAGCTTGCTTACAGCATTATCGAGATCTTTCAAGGAAGTCGTGATAGCCTTCCTCTCACGACCGACCTCGACACAGGCCATCTCGATTTCTTCGCAGGTAACGTCGCCGTTCATGTCTTTATCAAACATTTGAAAGGCGGCTTCGGCTTCGTCCTGGCTATCGAATGCGTCGGCTAGGGTATCCATCTTGACAACTTCCTCTTCACCTTCGTCAGTTGACACGGTTTCCCCGTCAGTGCAGAAGGATTTGTAGATTCTGCGTGCGAGAGTCTGGGAACCGCGAGTGGTACTGAGAAGGGTAAGAACAACCTGTAGAGCATCCGTGGTCATGGCGACACGACGACCTGCAATCTCGCCGGCCACCTTACCGACGACGTCGGTAGCTGCGTTGAGACCACGCTTCGCCTGCTTCCCGACAGTCTTGGCGACACTCCTGATGTTTTGTCTTGGTGTGCGAGCACCAGACGGGAGTTGATCAGGATCAGGCAGCTCAAACTCCTCATCTTCCACGTTCTTCAGTCGTTCGCGAGAGAACTGGTACATCTTCGCCAAACTCGAAATCTGGAATTTGGAAAGCGTGATACGATCCTCGTACTGACGCTCGTGAAAGTTGAGAGCGATCATCTGAATGATGACCTTCTCGACGACGTTCATCACCATAGCAATGAACAAACTAAGAAGAACGCGGTTCATCAATGTTTCCCAATCCTTTGTAGCGATATTCCCATCGACATGATTATGCTTCATCAATGGCAAGAAACTGACCCAGAAACTGAGTGTCCACAGGAAGAGGGTGATAGGGAGTTCGAGTTGTCCAGCAACGTTCCTCCATTTCTTGAAGCTGTTCGTGAAGGTACCGCAAATCACACCAATAATCGGAGGTACGGCCTTCGAGACGATCTTGGCACCCCAGAGGGTCAGCCAGAGGATTTCCACCCAGATGAAGAACCACATCATTCTCACGCCGCCAATGCTGGCGTCGTAGAATGTGAAAGCTCCGATAAACAAAGGGATGAGGATGACGAGTGCCACTGGCAGCATGTAGAAGAAGTACCGGGTGAGGATGGAGTAATGATGCAACTTCAAGAACAGCTTCCCGAAAGCAGTGATTGGCTCCTTTGGCGGTCTCCATAATCCAGGGTGCTGCCCATGCTCCTTCCGGTTCGCCAGACGGTCAAAATCATCCTGAGCAGCTGTCGTCTTCGACGTTAGCCTGGTACCCTTGTGCGAGGTCTTATCCTGAACGGTAGCTTCTTGGGCTAATTGCTCAGCTCGTGCAATTTCGAGCTCATCTTCGAAACGAAAGGTATCGGCTCGTCGAAATGATCTTGTAGGTGAGAGTAGATCCTTCTCACTGAGGAATTGATGAGAGCTGACTGATCCCGGTGGTGATGCAACACGCTGTGCAAAAGTCGGGATCGCATACGAGGATTCATGGATCTCTGCCGCGGGAGTCCCAGGAATGATGTTTACCGTAGGACCACTAGGAGAGCCGAAATTGGATGGTAATGGCTGTGATGCTGGTAGGGATAGAGTCGGTGGAGCAGCGAGAGTGGATGTATGCTGGTGCTTCACAGGAGACGATTTCTCTGGAGGATCAGGCATTGTCTATTGGTGAATGGCGATAGAAGGAGTCGATGTCTACATGGCATTTATCTCGGATCATTCGACTTGAAGGGTCTCTGCTCTTCATTTCACGTGGCAGCAGCAAGGGAGAGCCGACACCGAAGCCCTCTACGTCGAGCAATCTCGGCACGGCATGGGCAAAGGGGAAGTGCATAGCCGGGAACTCAACGCCAGGGAAGGAACCAGTTCGGTAAGTCAACAAAGCAGAAAGGATAGGTGAAGAGAAGCAGAGCAGCAAGGATAAGATAGCACAGGATAGAAAACTGTAGACAGGAAGTTTGGTACGAGAACAAGTCTCTATTATAATTATTAAGAAAGCTGCACAATGTGCGTTTTGTCAAGGAAAAAAAACTCAAAGACTGACGTGATAAAAAAAACATGCTTAGTTCTCCTTCTCGTGCTTGGTGGAAACGCGCTGCATGGAAACAAGGAAGTCCTCGACGGAGCGGGACTTGGTGTTCTCCTTCATGGGCTTTCCGTGCATCAAACGGTCGAAGGCAACGGAGTCCTGCAAGAGGTAGTAGGCACCGGCCAACAAACAGAAGATACCGAAAGAGAACATCCAGACGCGGATAACAGCGACGATGGAGGTCTGGCCACCAACGAACCAACCGAAGATACAGAAGATAGTGGCGAGGATGTCGACGATCAAGACGGCACCAGCCAACTGCCAGGAGGGAAGGGAGGACCAGAAGGGACCGTTGGCACGGGTGATGAAGATGAGCCAGTTCTCAGTCAAGGAGATCTCGAGGAAGACAACCTCATCGACCTGACCGAAGTTCTGGATGATACCGTGGCCGCGGACGAAGGTGGTGGTCAACATAATCCAGGTACCAGCAGCGAGGATGATACCGAAGACAACGGAGATACCCCAGAGAGTGGGCAAGTTCCACTTGACGGGCTTCATGGAGTAAGGAGCGTTGTCGTAAGCGATGGCCAAGGTAGCAACATCAGCGAAGATCGCAATGAAGACAACGAGCTCGAGGTTGAGGAGACGGTCGAGGATGACGATCCAGAGACCCAAGAAGATCTCCAAGTGGATGGACAAGGCGATACGGTAGATGACGTAAGAGTACATACGGTGGAAAATCTGACGGGAAGTCTTCAAAGCGTCGATGATAGCACCGAGACCAGGGGCCAAGAAGACAATGTCGGCAGCGGAACGAGCAGCGTCGGAGGCACCCTCGACAGCAATACCAGTGTCAGCCTTCTTAAGGGAAGGAGCATCGTTAACACCGTCACCAGTCATGGCAACAAGGTAACCACGCTGCTGCAAGATCTCAACGACGTTGTACTTGTGCTGGGGGAAGACCTCAGCGAAACCATCGGCAGCCTCAACGAAGTCGTAAACCTCAGAGCCGGGCATGTCACCTCCACCACCGAGACCGAGACGCTCAGCGTTGTAGATGTTGGTACCGAGACCGAGCTGACGGGAAGTCTCCTTAGCAATACCGACGGCATCACCAGTGAGCATCTTGACGGACAAACCAAGACGACGGGCCTCGTTGACAGTACGGGCAGTGTCGTGACGGGGAGGGTCGGAACAGGGCATGATACCCATAATCTCCCAGGCACCGTCACCACGCTTGCGAGCAACACCAAGGGAACGGAAACCACGGGAAGCGAACTCGGCGACACAGTCCTTGTAGGACTTGGCGACCTCGGGGGAGACAGGAGCGTCATCCTCACAAGTGCGGAGAACGAAGAGAGGGGCACCCTTAACACAGGTAATACGCTCACCATCGGGGGACTCGACGACGGCGGTCACCTTCTTGGAGACGGGGTCGAAGGGGAAGAAATCCAGAATCTTGTACTTAGCCAAAGCACCCTTGGCGCGGGGGTAGTAACGGAGAGCCTTCAAGAAAGACTTGTCGATGGCGTCAAGACCCTTCTTCTTGCGGGAAGCAGCCAAACAGGCAGTAAGAACCAAATCATCGGGCTCAACACCAGCGACACAGTAGGGCTCACCGAGGGTAAGCTTGTTCTTGGTCAAAGTACCGGTCTTGTCAGAGCAGAGAATCTCAACACCAGCAAGGGACTCAATGGCAGAGAGCTTCTGGACGATAGCACGCTTCTTGGCGAGGTAAGCAGCACCGACAGCCATGGTGGTGGTAACAACGGCGGGGAGACCGACGGGGACACCAATGATGGTGATGGCAAGGGTGAACTCGAGGATGCGGGCGATACGGGTAGAGCGGTAGAAGGCAGAGATGTAGACAACCAACAAGGTCAAGATAACCAAGACCAAGAGAATCGTTCCGATACCGTTCAAGACCTCAGTGAAGTGACCAGAACCAGCAGCGGCGCGGTTAACGAGCATGGCAGCACGACCGACGAAGGTGTTGTCACCGGTAGCGGTAACAACGATGAAGGCCTCACCACGCTTGACGGAAGAGGAAGCGAAGACGGAGTCACCGGTGCGCTTCTCAACGGCAAGGGACTCACCGGTAAGAGCAGATTGGTCAACCTGAAGGTAGGCATCCTCAGTAACGACACGACCGTCGGCGGGGATGATGGTACCCTCCTCAACCTGGACGATATCACCGGGAACAATAAGGGGGGCCTCGATCTCAGCGAGCTGACCGTCACGGAGGACGACAGTCTTCAAAGCGAGGGTCTTCTTCAACTCAGCAACGATGTTACCGGCCTGAAACTCCTGGATGAAACCAACACAGGCGTTAAGAAGCAAAAGAGCGCAAATGACACCAGCATCAACCCAGTCACGGAGACCGAAGGCAAGGGCGGCAGCAGCCTCCATGACGAACTGGATGGGACCGACGAAGAACATCAAGAACTTCTTGACGAGGTTCTCCTTCTCCTCAGCCATCTGGTTGAGACCGAAACGCTTGCGGCGGTTCTCGACCTCGGAGGAGGTAAGACCGGTGCGGGTGGAGGTCTGGAGGAACTCCTCGGGAGTGGGCTTGGCCTCCATGCCGTCACCCTCCTCCTCTTCCTCCTCGAGCTCACCACCGTCCTGGGACTCGAGGTCATCGATCAAAGCGTCAATGTCCTCATCCTCATCCTCCTCATCGCCGGCGGTAGCCTTGGGGGCAGGAGCGGCGGCAGGGGCCTCGTAGACCTTCTCGGTCTCCACAGCAGCAACGGGAGCGGCGTACTCACCGGTGGTGATGGGGACGTTGAGACGGTCGAGGTGGCCCTCACCCTCAGTAGTGTTGGTGGGAACGTACGACATCGTTGGCGATTAGTTGTCGGGGTTGTATGCTAACAGGAGAATCGCTCGAGTTGGGCGACGATTGCAACTGGTTTTCCGAAGATGATACCCGTAGATCTGGTGATAAGATCAAATCAACTCGGTGGAGAAGCTGACGGGGCTCTTGCCTTTGGAAAGGGCGAAGACTTGCTGGTGGGGGAGGTTGAGGGGGTGCGAAGACGAGTTGTTGGTGGAGGGCAGGCCGGGGGATTTTATGGGCAGCAGCGGAGTTAGTGCGGCTCGACTCTTTTCGGCCTGGCAGGGGGGGAGGGGAGGGGACGGCGACCGTCTGGGCGAGGGTGGCCTAGTGCGCGCGCAACTACTAACCAGCACAGAAACGAGGGCAAGGGTAAAAAATTCATCCTTCTATTGCTATGGCGACCACATTCATAACGGCCCGAACGGCACACTGACTGGTCTTCGCTCGCTTGATTCTGCCTGTCGTTGCACGCTCGTCTGGCCTCTGCTCTCTCTGCCCTCTCTTCCCTCACTCGGCCCCTCTTCCGACCCAACCCGTCATCCTACTTTGATCAGGTATCTCCGTCCGGCTCCTGCCCTCTTCCCCGAACGCAAACCTTGTTTCCTTACTTTTGCCGTCGTTTTGCCGACGATCTCACCGGCGATAAGACGTGCTCTCCTCTCTCTGCCGCTGTCATCCAAATCCAGCCTGATCTCCCATGTACTTTTACCCTGATGACGTCCGGATCAACATCGCATTCCATCTCGCTATTAGAAAAAGAGTATCTACGTCCAGCCCGTGTAACTCCATCCCACACTCAGACATCACCCAACCACTCTACGATTGCAGTTGACGTGGGCGGCTGAAGTGCCATACATACTTCATATGAGCAGCGCTGCAGAGATAAACACGCCAGCCAGCAGCAAACATCCGCGGCGCTCCATCATGTCAGCCTCCTTCAATCACAGACGGATATTCGGCGTCTTTTCTGCTCGACTTTTTTACGGTTTGACGCGCGCAAATCACTGCAGTCACGTCGCACTTTGGAGCGCTTGCGATTGGCGGGCACACGAGAGGGAAGGGAAGGGGTCAAGGAATGCTGTTGTTGTGACCAGTCGGACAGACCAGCAAGGAATGCTTATATGTTCATCTACCGTACCATTACAACCTGTCAGCATACACTTTATCGTCAATCACGTCCATCGAGGTCGGCTATGTCGGACTGCCAGGCCCTTCCCAATCGAGCGATTCATGATCGACTCGCGGATCCTTTTGGGGGAAGCACTGCCAGCTTGGGAAAGGGCCGTCCCAACCCACCTCACCGTTTAGGAAGGCAGCCAAGCCGTGCCGGAATAGCCGTGCACATAGCCGCAATCACGGCACTGTAAGACTGGAGACGGGTAGGTAGGCACTTTATTCACGTAACATTACAGGAGAGATGTCTAAGCCGTGATTCTTCCGCTGCCATCGCGAGCATTTCCGAAACGTCATCGCGATAAGCGCTTGTTTCCGGAGACTTCCTATGCCGTCTAAGCCCGTGCATAGTTGAAGCTGACCTGGATAAATCGGGAGGTTGTTCTGTCAGCACAGCTCATCTCCCTTGATCGAGCCGTCAGCTTTCTTTCTCTACACGCGCGCGCTCCGAAGAACTCGGAATGTCGAGTCCGGCAACTCCCCACGCCCAATCATATCGAAGTAAACATGCCCGTCCGAGAGGCACCTCCTCTGAATCGTGGCAAGAAACCCCTAGATCAGGCCTCTACTCTAGAAAAATGCTTAGACCTCTTTCCCTCAGCGTTGTTTGCCAAGCTTCATTAGTCTCAGTCGGGCACGGGATCGGCGCCGGCCTCCCCATGGAGATCCCCGGCGGGGGGGGTATGTGGGGGTTTCTTGACCTAATCTCCATCACTTTCGCACCCAACTCGAACGAATGATATCCTTCCATTTGATGTTGCTAAATCTCACTACGGGACGGGGATGTTTCTCCGCGCCCATAGTCCATTTCGTGAAGAAGATAAGAGCTTTAGTTTGAACTTCATAGCACTACACAGCCTCCACCAAAGTCCGGCTCAAGTCAAGACAAGCGACGTCAACGGCTCTTCATCTGAACACCTTTAAAGTTCGTATATCGTTGTTGTTGATTTGGATCAAGTGAGCAAGCAAGTGCACGCCGGATCCAAAAGCCATGACTTTGGCTCAGGGAAGCATCTGACTCTCCTCCGGTACGAATGACGTGTTCGATTCATGTTGATGTCCTCCCACATGGACGAAACGTAAAACCCAGTCGCGAAGCTAAAATATCTGCGTGATCAGATAAAACAAACCTGTGACTGACAAAGTAAACACATACCTCTCTCACTCTCTTTGTCTGCTCGTCATGCCCGGCCAGGTTGGGCCGCCATTGATCGTCTTCCCTGTGTAGTCGCTGTGTTCGATACAGCAGTGAGCATCGAGTTCTGTTACGCCTTGTTGACGCTGAAACACGGTTCTCGAAGCTCTGCAACCCAAGGCCTTCTCCCGAGTCAGTATGTTCTAGTCATGAGTAATGGACTGACGTTATCTTACCCTCGAACAATATGATGTCTTGTCTTCTAAATTCTTTTGCCCATTCTGCTGTCCATCCCCATAGTGATACCTCCAATGCTGACACGGTGGGATCTCCCACGACCAGTCGTGCTATTTCTAGATCCTCCCCCTTCTTCGTCCTGACCACGGCGGTCTGTCCTATATCGATGATGGCCACCAGTATGGAAAATTCATGATGTTTGTAGGTTCCTTGGGCAATCATTTTTTGTGATGGAAGGTCCTGGTCCCGTCATGTAAGTATGCGAGAGACAATGCGGGTGGTTTCATGGTTACCTCAAGGTCCGGTATGCGAATGTCGAACGTGTATGCTGGCATTGGCGTCAATGTTAACACCATCGACGTGTCTATTGGCTGGGTATCCGCTTGTAAGATAGTATGGCTTCTCTCCCCTACGTCAAGTTGTGGTCCTTCATCCTCGAATATGGCAAAGCTCTGTTCAATGTAGGTCTCCAGAGGTGTATGCGGCGTCCATCTCGTTTCCTCAGCATGCAACTGCGTCTCAGGAAACGACGATGACAAGAAGCGTACTTCTTCCAGCGGAGAAGCTTCCGGGAAGCGGACTTTGTCAGGGATATCCAGACGTCTCCATCTAGGCCCACCATTTGATGGAGTAGCGTCCTTTGCTTGTCCCGAAGCATCCTCGTGAGGCGACCAAGTGTCGAGAAGCTCCGTTGCAGTCGGAGCACCCACGAATACGATCACCCTTCCCGTCATTCTGAACTTGTCAGCATCCTCCGGTGTTTACTTTTACCTCTGTCATACGAGTCTACATTACTAGGTGATCTGCGACACAATGTCCAAATACGGGATGATGAATTCCAACAAGAATTGATTGTCTTAACTATATCGATAATAAAAACACCTTCCCAATCCCAATCGTTCCTCTACTACTGCCAGGGAGCTCCTCCCTGTTGATCCGGCTGACCAGGGTATCCGTAGCCGGGATAACCTCCAGTACCAGGCGCAGGTGAAAAAGCCTGAGGGTACCCAGGGGGAGCCTGTCCAGGGAATCCGCCGTTCTGAGGCATCATCCAAGGCATCATACCGCCCTGCTGCATCATCGCTCCCATGTCCCTAGCTCCACCGTACGGATCATCGCGCCTGGGTGCCCCGTAATCACGGTCACGCCTCTCAGACTCGTATTCCCTGTCCCTATCCCTCCTGGTCGGCATCTTCTTAGAGATGGCCTTGGATGATACACCAGCACCAATCTCGATATCCGGTTCCTCGACAATGATACCACCCGTGATAGGCTTACCACCAGTTCCTCCATATTCGGCACTCTGAAGCCAGCGCCTGTCGGCATCAGTAAGACGTCCCAAGGGGATAACACTGACACCCGTAGCATAGTCGCTGCAATCGCGGGGTCCAAACCCGACACCCCATCGTGTCCTCAACGTGGTATCGCCATGCTGGTACACCTCCATGGCACTCTTTGCCGCCTCCGCGTTAGGACGTTCGTATAGCTTGACGAAAGCATGGCGTTTGTCGTGGTTACAGATAACACTCTGTACCGCACCATACCTGCCAAACAGGTCTTTCAACTCACTCTCAGACACGGAATGTGTAAGACCACCGACGAAGAGAGTGCGGCTGAGCACCTTGATTTCACTGGGACTGATGGTGGGGTCGGGCTGGACCAGATGACCCTTCGTGTTCTTGGGCTGATCCGGTGGTCCACCTCCGGTGTTCCGCTGGGGTGAGCGCTCCCGTCCGTACCCAGGAGGACTTCTCCTTCTTTGCGGCGAACGACTGCGGGACCTACGGCCCATGGGACTCCTGTCCCTAGCTCCTGCGCGACGCCCATAATTGTCGTAGGAGGGGCTGCGACCCCGGCGAGCGGGTGAGCGGTCACGTGGGCCACCCCGGTATCCCGGAGACCTGGAGCGAGAACGAAGAGCATCATCCCTGGGACCAGGTCCGGAAGATGATGGTTGCTGCCATGGCATGGCCACGGGATTCGACGGAGCAGCGCCGCCTGCATTCTGGAGAAGGGTAGCAGCGAGCTGGGGTTGCGTTGAAAGTAGCTGCAACAAGGCAAGCTGTTGCGGGTCAAGGCCAGGCATGGCGGCTGGCATAGGATGGGCTGAACTGCAAGAATGGATGTTAGTATCTGCAGTCAAGTATTCCCGAGTCACGCACGGTGCGGGCAGCGCGACATTAGCAGGCGCGGCGTGTTGGACCGTGGGAATCATGTTGAACCTAGGGTCAGCGCTTGCTGTAGGTTGAGGAGTAGCAGTGGTTGGAGCCTGTACCGGCGGAAGCGGAAGAACAGGTGCGGGTGCGGGTGCGGGTGCGGGTGCAGCGGCCGGAGCAGCAGCAGCAGCAGTGTTTTGCTTGGCAATGTTCGCAAGCATGGCCAACACGGAGGCCGCATCTGTGTTCTGAGCATTTGGCACCGGAGTCGCCGCCGAAGCAGACGCAGAAGCTACAAGTATGTAAGTAAACGATGTGGGTTATGGGCAACATCCTGAAAATTACCTTGAGGAACCACGGGAGCGGCAGTCGGTGCAGCCTGAGCAAGGTGAGTCGGAGGAGGTCCGGGTGGTGTGGTGCTACCTCCAAAGCTCTGCGCGCGAATAGCATTTAGAACTTCTGGCGAGAACGTTGCTGCCTTTTCCCAAATGTCTACCAACTTCCTGATCTTTTCCTATGCGCGAAGTACATGGTTAGCAACTGATTCTCCCGTTACGTTGATGTCATAAGAGTCTGCAGCATGAATGAACGGCGTCTTAGGGCTGCGTTATTCACTGATGTGTGTTGTCCTGAGCTCTTTCGACCACGGAGGTCGACATACAGACAGCATATACCCCAGGTGGTTGATATCGTGTGAATATTGCAGGCGGCTCAGTCGGGGTCGATCTTATACACGGACAATGTCCATCCATACATGGCACTTGACTCTTAAAGACATCATTATAGCATACCTTATCTTTCTCAGGAGCAGCCTGGACGGCGTCATTCATAATATTATAGATATTGTCGGCGATCAAGTTAAGGCCAGCAAGGAATGCATGTTCATCTGCCGGGCTCTTACGAGCGAAGTCTTGGTAGGCACGGGCGACAGAGTCTACCACATAGAGAGAGCCTAGTTTGTGTGTGCCGGGTGTTCGGCGGAGATGGATGGTGAGAGCATTGATGATACCAGGAGCTTCCTATATCGCGAGACAACCAATGTCAGGACTCTAGAACTTTAGCATACAAGGTGCTGGGATGAATCTACCTTGATATTTTGTACAGCAATTTGCGTCAAAGCGCCGATCTTTGTTCCGGAGACACCGGGGGCCTTCATGGCGAGCAGGCCCTCCAAGATGGAGGAGAACTCTGCAACGACAGGAGCGGACATGATCTATGATACTGTTCGATTGAACTACGATCGTTACGCGTACGAGGAATGATACGAGTAGACAGGTGTTCTTGACGGTGCCGAGCAAATTGTTGGTGGAAGGTTTGCGGCCGCGCGTCAGAGGCCGCTCGCTGCCCTGAGCACTTTCCAACCCGCGGCCGAAATTCGGAGGCCTTCCAGTTCCTTAGGCTCCCTCGACCCGGCGCACCGCCAACCCAGCCAGGCCTGCTAAAAGATCCCCAAGGTGATCCCGCTCTGATCTCTCAACCCAACACAACACAACCATGTCTGCTGTCCGTTCTTCTTTGGTACGTTCTCGGGACTGCTCAATTGGCTTTTATGCATCGCATTTACTAACCTGTTCGCAATTGTAGAGGGCTGCCCTCAAGGCTTCCAACGCCAATGTCTCTGCCCGTTTCTACTCCTCCAAGACCGCCACCTTGAAGGAGACCCTCGCTGCCATGATCCCTGAGCAGCAGGAGCGTGTCAAGGCCTTGAAGAAGGAGCACGGCCACAAGGTCATCCAGGAGGTCACCCTCGACCAGGTCTACGGTGGTATGCGTGGTATCAAGTCTATGGTTTGGGAGGGTTCCGTCCTCGACTCTGAGGAGGGTATCCGTTTCCGTGGTTTGGTAAGTCTTGCTTCCAGTCAATGAATGAGTTTTATGTTCAGAGTGCTAATGACATCATGGTAGACCATCCCCGACTGCCAGGCTCAGCTCCCCAAGGCCCCTGGAGGCGAGGAGCCCCTTCCTGAGGGTCTTTTCTGGCTTTTGCTTACCGGCCAGGTCCCCTCAGAGCAGCAGGTCCGTGACTTGTCCGCTGAGTGGGCTGCCCGTGCCGATCTCCCCAAGTTCGTTGAGGAGCTCATCGACCGCTGCCCCACTACCCTCCACCCCATGGCTCAGTTCTCTCTGGCCGTCACCGCCCTCGAGCACGAGTCTGCTTTCGCCAAGGCCTACGCCAAGGGTATCAACAAGAAGGAGTACTGGGGCCCCACCTTCGAGGACTCCATGGACGTCATCGCCAAGTTGCCCAACATTGCCGGTCGCATCTACCGCAACATCTACAAGGACGGCAAGGTCGCCCCCATTGACAAGTCCCAGGACTACTCCTACAACTTGTCCAACATCCTCGGCTTCGGCGAGAACAAGGACTTCGTCGAGCTCATGCGTTTGTACTTGACCATCCACACTGACCACGAGGGTGGTAACGTCTCTGCCCACACCGCTCACCTTGTCGGTTCCGCCCTTTCCTCCCCCATGCTCTCCCTCTCCGCTGCCTTGAACGGTTTGGCTGGTCCCCTTCACGGTCTTGCCAACCAGGAGGTTCTCCGCTGGATCGAGCAGATGCGTGACACGATTGGTACCGGTGTCTCCGACGAGACCATCAAGGACTACCTCTGGAAAACCCTTAACTCCGGCCGTGTCGTTCCCGGTTACGGTCACGCCGTTTTGAGGAAGACTGACCCCCGTTACATGGCTCAGCGCGAGTTCGCCCTCAAGCACCTCCCCGAGGACCCCATGTTCAAGCTCGTCTCCCAGGTCTACACCATCGCCCCTGGTGTCTTGACCGAGCACGGTAAGACCAAGAACCCTTACCCCAACGTCGACGCCCACTCCGGTGTCCTCCTCCAGTACTACGGCTTGAAGGAGGCTAACTACTACACCGTCTTGTTTGGTGTTTCCCGTGCCCTCGGTGTCCTTCCTCAGCTCATCTGGGACCGTGCCCTCGGTATGCCCCTTGAGCGCCCCAAGTCTTTCGACACCACCCACTGGGAGAAGATCGTCAAGAAGCTCTAAGCGGATGATGCTTGAGCTTGGAGAAGAAGTTATAGTTGTTGATGAGGTGATGCGTTTGTAAGACTAAGTAGGATTTAAAAGTTATATGCATACCAATGAGATTGGTGCTTTTTGCTCTCTATAAACTCCCCGTTTGCAATTGCTCTCCAGTGCTGGTCGTCGTACAGTACTCAAAGATTCACGTGAAGATTATCGACGTCACGGCGATAACCTCCAAAAAGTTTAGTCCGACCAAGAAAGCCAGATGTACGCTGTAGCTGATGGCGGATCCTCCAGACATCCCGGGCTTCTATTATGATAAGGAGAAAAAGCGGTACTTCAAAGTTCTACCTACGCACAAAGCTGGCCAAGAGAACAACTATTCCAAGGATGCCGTGAAGCGCAGGAAGGTCGAAGCCCATGTCAAGGAGGTCCGTAATTGCGCCGTGTCCCTTTGTAGTAAGTGACTAACAATCAACAGCAAGAGGAAGCCAAACACAATGCACCGAAGCCTACGAGACGATTAAACACTTCACTGCATTCCCTCGCTTCTTCCAGTCTATCCCGGGAAATCACCGGTTCTGCGGTACGAGATAGTGCGCCCAAGATCTGGAGTAAATGCTTGGACAAAACTACCAAAGATTATGAGCTTTCATCTGCATATGCTGGAGATGGCATAACTGCTATTGATGTAGAAGCCTCTGGGGAGAAACTGTATATGGGATCGGCAAGAGGACTGTTTGGGTTTGCGGCCTACATGAGCAGCACAGACGAGTTTGTTGACAGTGGACTAGTTCAACCGCCATCTCTTCCAAAGACTCCCAGACGTCATACTTGGGTCACTTCAGTTCACCCGTCACGTCCTTGAACGTATCGCAGTCAGGCCATACAATCATGTAGGTGATGGTCTCTGCACAACTCGCACCTATATGCTGACCATTGGCGATAGATGCACGTCTTTAGGAAACGAAAGAGGTCTTGCGGCGCTGCAAGTATGGAAAAATGCCCCTCGAGACCCTGCTGAACAAGGGGTGTCTGCCGGTGAAACGGGCCTGGGCTTGTCGGTGGTGTTCACACCTACAAACAAGGGGTCTCTCTGGACCTCGACCATATCTAAACACGATGAAAATACGTATGCTATAGGTGAGCACTATAGGAATGGCCCCAGTTGAACATGGACTTATACGTTCTGAAGGAGGTACACGGCTGTTAATGATTGCTCGGCACACCTTCGACAGTGGGGCCGATACCCGGCGAGCCCAACACAAGCTTCCAGTCCGGTCAGATGTTTTCTCGACAATGTTTCTTGAGCCCGATGTTCTAGCAGCAGGTTGCAGAGACGGCACTGTGCAGCTTTTTGACACACGAGTACGGGAAGCGGGTGTTATGAAGCTGAGGCATGGGTCGTCAGTGACCCATATGCGAAACGTCCAGGATCACTGCCTCGTAGTGAACGGTCTGCAAGGAAGCCTGGAGATGTATGATCTACGAGCCCCGCGACCTCATGCTCCATCTGCAAGCTTCGGTCGGCAAACAGACCCAGTCGTTTCGTACCAAGGACATCAGAACTCTCATACGTTCCAGTTAGGCTTCGATGTCGATGCAGCGCTCGGCGTTGTTGCTGCAGGTAGTTTTACGGCTCTTTCTCACGGACCTTCGCTAACAGAAGATCGCAGCGGGCGACGATGGCTCTGTGAGACTGTGGTCTCTTTACACTGGTACCTCTCTCGATACAACCAAGCTAAATCGAGGACGTAAACCCACCCAAATTCAGACTCTACGGTTTTTTCACACGGCAGAACAGGAGGATACAAGGTTATTAATTGCAACGCGCGATATCGTCGAGAGTTGGGGTTGTTGGACTGTTTGCTTCCGATGAAATTTGGAGTTCGGAGTTGGTTTTCGATATCTATTGGTGATATACACATAGTTTGGCATTTTCTGACTTCCGTATCTTCGTTACATTGCAGCTGCATGCATGTGGGGTAGACCTCACATTTCAAAACGTCGGGAAAACGCAAGCTTTGATCGTCTTCAATCCTCGATATGGTTCGATACAATTACCTTATCTCCAAGTAAGCAGTCTATGATCAGTCTCTTCGAGCTCTCTTTTCTGATCATCGTTTCGTCTAGGCGGGCTGATGTCGTGTTCGCTGTCTTTGTTGGCGTTACCAGTTATGCGTTGTACGAGGTCAGTACTGCATAAGTCCTCCTGCATTCCCGTGGATTCTAAAGTTCTTATGTTCAGGGCAATCATCCCAGAGCACCCGGACATAGTCTAGTGGAGTTGTTGAGGCTGCGGATCGATTCATGGCGGAACACTTCGAACGTGTCTGAGGTATAATAGAATTGCCCCGGATTGCGATGCTATGGTATATGGCCGAGTATATGCACTTTGGAGCCGTGCTGAAGGCGTATCAGGGCTGTTACTACGGGAATCTGATGTACGATATATAGTGTGGAGGAATGCAGAGCGTGCCAAAGGGCCAGTGCAAATATGAGGAGTTTGCTTAAGCAGGAAGGACACACTTATGAAATTATACATGCAAGTAATGCGTACTTGGATTACACACAACACTTCTGCACATACAAGCTTGAGCATCTCCAACCGAACTTTGGCATCACAAGTGTTAACGTGAAATTACTAAGAAACTAAACTCTAATTTATCAATAAGATATAGGAAAAGGGCGCACTGCACATAGGCAGCCGTCAATTCTGTGGAAGAAAAAGAATAATTGACAGACCCATATCGTACCACTAACCTCCTTAAAAAACCTCAGCTCAACTGCATCATCTCTTAAGCAATGGTCTGAGCAGGGATCGGGGTAGAAGTCGTCTGGGAAGGAGGAAAGACGTTGGCACGGTAAGCACCTTCAACGTTTCCAGGAGGTGCGTATTCGCAGACAAGGTAGTAAGGGTAAGCAGCAGTCGTGCAGTCAGTAGCAAAACCACAACCAATCTCAGTGGTGGAATCCCAGACAACCTGAGTAAAGTGGCCGGTGCTCTCGGAGAATCCAGGGTTGGAGTAATCGTATTGAGTCTCCTCGTTGTACCAGAGGTAAACGTAGTACGCAGGGTTGTTGTAGGTACCGATACCGAGGTTCTCTCCGTAAGGACCACCAGAGTGAGCAAAGTTGCAAGTATCAGCCAGGTTCTGAGCGTAGGTGGCCAAGGTGGTGTTCCAGGTGACTGCACCAGCGGAGTGGATCGCACGGTACTGATTGTGCCATGAGAGCATGGAGTCAATGAAGGAAGAAGTGGTGGTAGCCGAGGCAGCAGAAGACGTAGTCGTGCTGGAAGAGGAAGAGGCCGCGGTGGTCGTAGTGGTCCTGGAAGAGGAAACAGTAGACGAGGTCGTCACTGGGGTAGTAGAGGAGCTCGAAGAGGTGGTGGTAGCGGCAGCGGCCGTCGAGGTGGTCGACGCGGCCCTGGAGAGGGGAGAGCCCAAAGCGACGCTGGAAGAAGACTCGACGGCAGACGAGCTAGAGCTAGAGGCGGAAGTCGCGGTTCCAGTCGCCAAAACGGCACCGCCATTGTTAGCGGACGAAGAGGCAGCAACAGTGGAGGTTGCGGTGGTAGGAGCTGGAAGAGTGGTGGTCACACCAGCAAGGGTAGTGGTCTGAACGGTGACCTCGTCATTAATGATGGTGGTAACCTCAGCGGCGTACTGGTACGTGGTGTACACAGGCAAGGCAGAGACCGCGACGTAGACGGTCTGGGCCGGGTAGGTGACGGTGTCGCTGCCAATGGTGAGGGTACCCTCGGGAATGACAACGGTCTCCTCGACTTGGTCAGCAGCAAGGGAAACAGCGCTGGCCGAAGGAGCGGCAGTGACAACGTTGGTGATGGTGGGCGTAGCAGGAGCGAGGGTGGTGCCGTCCTGGACAGTCACAAGGGAGGTGACGGTCGTGGGAGTGGCAGTGGTGTACGCAACCTGGGTAGAAGATCCACCAGCGGCGACAACAGCGTAGACCTGGTTCTCAACGGTAACCTCAACGGGTCCGATGGAGACGATGACAACGGGCTGGCCAACAGCAGGGGTGCTAGAGGCGGGGACACCAAGGGTGGTGGTGTAGTAAGCGGTCAAGGATCCCTCACCAATGGTGGCAGTAGTGGTAGTAACGGGCTCGATGTCAGTGACGACGACGGTGGAAGTGGCCGTAGGAGCGGTAACGTAGGTGGTGGTGGTAGTGACATCGAGCTCCCAGACGATGTCTCTCTTCTTCTGAAGGGGCTTAGCGGAGACGGCACCGGAGAGGGCAAGACCGGCCAAGAGGGTGGAAAAGTTGAACTTCATGATTGCTGCAGGTGAAGACAGCGACCGTCGATGAAGGCGCGGGTGTCAGAAAGCGATGGAATGTGTTGATATGGATCTGTCAAAGACCAAGAGAACGAGTCAACCAGTGATCTCGGAAACGGTAATAGAAATGAAGGTTGCAAAAGTCAAAAGCACCGGATCAACCGCGTACTGAAAGGCAATGGTTTGTCGAAGGACGGAATGGGAGTGGAGGAAAAGAGCGAACAAGGACTCATAGTTATTGGAGGGGGAGGCGCGGGTGTTGTTTTTGCTGCGCCCATTGGAAGGCAGGATAGGCGGCGGGAAGGCTGGCAGAAGGAGACGCGATGGCTGGGCCCGTGCGCGAAAGTCGCAGCCGAGCGCGGGAAGGTAAACAATAGCCGCAATGAAGTCGTCGAGGGCAACAATCCAGATTCCAAATAAAAAAGAGATAGGCTTACCTTGTTGACCGTGAGCGACTGTACTGCTGGGACTGCGGGCGGTATCGAGGGAATCGGGTGTCGGATTCCAGGTGGATCCGGGTGTAACGGAGAACGAACGGAGGGGGGGAGCCGGCGTCCTTTTCTACCACCGCAATCCCCGCTCCATGGCCATGACCAGCTCGGTCCATCTGTTCTAGGAGCTCAAGGGTAATTGCATATCCGGAATCCTCACCGTTTCCACGGATCTGGCACGATTGGCGCACATCGGGGTTAGAATTGCAGATCGTTATACGCTTGCGGTGGTCCGTGCGCGACTTCCCCTTCAACACGCACCGCCGCTGACGCGAACTTATTCCCCAAACAAATGACCATGTGTAGCATCTCTCCATCGTACGAAAGTGCATTGTTGCATGGTCTGTGCACGTCGGCTATATGGATCGGTCTTTGGATCGGGGGTTGTCCGGACCCAAGGCTTAGAGGTCTCACGGCATTGATGAGAGATGTAACCACGTCAATGGCGGCCGGACATTAGTTCTGGAAGGTGCCCGCATCTTAGAAGATGATTGACTGTATTATTGGGCAGGAAAACATGCCCAGCAAGGATGGAACCTGCCGCCCCCGTACTATACGACCGTAACAAAAGCCAGACAAAACACCGCAAAGCCAAGTAACCGAGCACCGAGAGACTCATACTCCAAACAGACAGCAATAAAAGAACAGGAAAGACACTACACCAGGACGTCGAGTCATCAGAGAACTTCGCTCAGAGCTCCTCAAAACCAAAGGTGTTTTCCCCAGAGTACGTGATGTACAGGAAGCCATCTTCGTCCTTGTGCTCCTCGTAGATGGCGCTCATAAGAGCGGCTGTTGGAGGCAACACTTCATCGACAAAGATGAAGATTGCCTTCTCAGGAGAAAGCTTGATGCGCTTACGGATTACGTAGACGAACTGACCCACAGTGAGATCAGCCGGTACGAGGTACTTCTTCTTGTCGATCGTCGCGATATCTGACTTCTCCACCTTCTCGCAGATTACCTGAGCCAGTTATTAGGGTACTTGCTTTGACAAAGGTACACGAATGTAGGGTGACTCACTGGAATACGGTCGACATACTTCTGCCTGATTCGCTCGGCTTCCGCCTTTCTCTTCTCTGCACTGGAGTCAGTAAAACGGATCAAATAAACTGCGGAGATAAAGGTGACGAACCAAAGGGGTGCTCGTCCTGCACGCATGGAAAGGTCAGCATACAGCTGCTTACCAAGGAGAGGAAAGCGGATCAAACGCAAGACTGGTGCATACCTTGAACTTTGAACGCATAATAGATAGACGATTAGAATGTAGCTGGTTGTCGGTCAAGTGGATAGAAGGAGATGGTTGTTGTTGTTTGTCTTCGTCTGCTCAAGTGGTCGGGTGTATGCTGGACGGGGTTGTATGCGACATCCAGGGGAGGCGGGGCGATAAGACCGTGGATACGTAATACGTCGCGTGTGTGGGCCATCACGGGGCATGACACCAACGGAATAATCAACGATATTGTTTTCTATTTTGATATCTTCTATGCTCGTCTGATGATGACTTTCACCGTCTCCGTCCGTATCGGAGCATTTTCCCGCACAACCGTGGGTAGCCGCGAGGCGAGATTAGTAGAGGTGGTGTGGAACGCAAAGGAATTGGTGTAAAGGGTGAGGAAATAGCTAAGTTACTATATCCTCTATTACATACAAATACAAATGCATTGATGTCATGTAACGCCGAACCTTATGCTCTTCGTGGGTATAATCTCTATTCAACGCCCCCTCTGAGTGTTTTAGTTAGCTACGTGCGTTGAGGGACACCGACTTTGTACTTACCTCAAACTGTCGATCGAGCAACTTTCTCTGTTGCGCAAGCCATGATGCTGGAGAAGCTGACGCCCTGGCTACAACAACGCTGTTCTGCGACATGCGCATAGCCAAGTCATAGTAGGCGCTGTGAATAAGTCTGTTCTCTTGCTTGACAGACGAAAGTTCGGCGCGAAGCTGTGACGACTCATCGTTCTGTAGCACATTAATACAAAATCACTGTATAAAGACGGGCAAGTACGTACATCTACTGCCCTCGCGAGTTTCTCCTTCAAGTGATCCCTATCAGTCCTGGCCAACTGCAACGCCTTGTGCAGCTGCTCCAACTGATCCAGCATTACCTTCTTCTTTTCCCGTAATTTCGCATTCTCTCGTTCAAGTGTGGTTTCCTTAACGTGCACGTCGCTATTGAATCCGGGTTTAGTTTGCCGTATACGAATCATTGCATGTCACATTACCTGCTCTGATCTCCCTTGACCTTGTGATGAGCGTCATCAATCGACATTTCGTTCAAACACCTCGTTTGTTGCAAGCATTCAACCTCAAGCTCCCTAACCTTCCTTGCAAGATCATTTCTGCTTCCTTCAACTTCCTTTATTCTTGCTGAATTTCTTTCTTTCAAGATAACGATGGCTTCCAAGTCGTCCTTTCCCACCATACTCACTATAATTCGCACGGTTAGATACAATCTAGTAAATTGCGCATGGCACTCACGCTCAGTCTTTGCTTCGAACAATTCTTGCTCAAGGGCCGCCAGCGAGTCTGTGAGATCGCGCAACGCTATCTTCGCAGCTGCTAAGTTTTGTTGGGTTTGTAAAAGCTGCTTTCGGAGATCTACGACCTGATCCAAACTACGGTTCCTGTGAGACCACTTTCATGAATGTTAAAGGGTTTCGGACTGACCTTCCGCCAGATTCTAGCGTAACAAGGCCGTGCAGCTGTTCCGCAAGCAAAGCCTTCTCCTGTTGTAGTTGCACGCATTGCGCCCGAAGGTCTTTGTCGTCCTCGACTGGTTGAGCATTTGCACCAGAACACCGCCATCTTCGCAGCTCCTGTTCGAGACGAGATATCTTGATCTTCAACTGAGTCTTTGACGTCCCTGCTAACTCCAAACCAAGTTCCCCCAAGTCCTCGTTCTCGCTGTCGGGAGCAGGGTGCTGATCTGCCTCCATCTCTTGCACCTTCTGCTGGAGTAGCGATATTTCAGCGGCCGACTTGGAGCTCGACTCTATCATGCTTTGGATCTTGTCCTGTGCGCGTTCCAACTCATCTTTGAGGGTATGTATACTTGACAAAGCCTGTGCCTTCTCTTCCTCGAGCTGTGCAAATGTGGCCTTGTAGGTCTGTAGTGACTTATCAGTGTTACTGGTGTCTTGAATTTGTTGCGTTAGTGACGCATTTTCATCTTCCAGACTCTACAGCAACGTCAGTTGTTATCGCTTATTAGGATAATCTCACCGTACCTTCAACTGCTGCTCAAGTTCGGACATGTCGTTCAACTTCTTCTTATACTTTGCGATTGTGGACTCCTGCTTCTTGGCCTGCTCTGCCACATGAACCAACTCGTCAAGCTCATCCTGTAGCGCTTTTGCTGCTTCGGCTTTCTGAGACAGGTCTCCGACTTGCTTGCGAAGACTATCAGTAAGAGCTTGCTGCGTCTTTGCTTCGGTCTCTTTCTCTGCCAATCTTGGCTCCAGTACTTGTCTGTGACAGTTGTCAGTAGGCGTAAAATGCTGACAATTCCGCCGATACGCACAGTTCATCCCGCAGTTGGTCAAGTTCTCGCTGAGCATTTATGTTCGCTCGTAACGTCAGAGTCTGTACTGTCTGTTCAGAGGTCTCCAACTTGCTGTGTGTGTCGGTCCAGTGCTCCAACAGTGCGGCCTACCATACGTCTCGTTAGTACATACGCATATATGGAGCCGAACTTGTGGTAATCATTGTCTTACGTGATCAACTTGCAAATCCTGGTGTTCCTTCTTCAGTTCGCCATAAGCCCTCTCGAGGGCGTCCTTCTGCTCTTGAAGCTCCGAAACCTTTTCCGTAGTTTCTGCGTACTCATCACTGTAGGCGTTTCAGCATTGAACCGGCTTGTCTGCCGGGACCTCGGGTACTCACTCGAACACTGTTGACTTTGAAGGGTCGACTTCATTATCTTCCACGTTGCTATCTCTCATTATCTATAAATGTCAGTGCTATCTCTATATACCGTCAGATAATGCTCACCTGGCTGAGCTCAACCATCAACGCTGTCTGCTGCTCACTGCTCAAAGTTTGTATCTTCTTGACGTAGTTCTCACGCTTCTCCGATTGCACCGCAGCGACGACAGCGAGACTCATCAGCTTCCTGATCTCGGCTACATTTGCATCCTTCGCCAACATGCTAAGGTTTGGCAGATAAGCAGCAGCGAATGGTGGCTGCCCAAGCACTTCCGTGTAGTAACGCTCAAGATCACGAAAAAGCCGTTTCAGATAGTTCCAGCGCAATACCCAATTCGACGGATCGTGTGACTGTGCTGTAGGCTGGTCGAGGCCCTTGAAATAGCTATCATTGTCTATGTCTTGGAGGAGTCTCGAAAGTATGACACCGTCGGCGAGGTCGTCCAAGGTCTGTATGCTGTCGGCACCGGTGAACCCAAAGGTATTGACCCACGCAACAAGAGCAGCATCAATTGACGCTTCTGACATCAGACTTATACCTGCTCCAACTGTGCCGTTGTAATTGGAGTCCTGAATGCTTCAGCTTCACGTACACCACCGTCGGCTGTACCCCACATGCCTTCCTGCTTTGCCCTGCAATGAATTAAGGGGTGTTGTAGGTTTTGTCAATTTAGAAAGTCACAATATCCTGCAATGAAAACGAAGGCTTTTCGTTTTGACAAACAAGCAAACCTTCGAGTGTCCCTTCACGCTCACTTTTCGTTACGTATTGTATTGTATTTCGTGGGCGTTATCGATAGGGCTATGCCGTAGCCATCGTTGGGCATGCAAACAGTCAAAAACAAACGTCCGATCGGCCTCCGAGCTTCGTCATAAATCAATCGCATTCAATTCAAAATGGCAGACATTTCCGTTCATGTGACCTCGTACAATGCGTCTTCGGAGCGCAAGATCTCCCTCTCGTGGACTATCACACAGTTGAGAGGTATGAAAAGGTCTGCATTGTTCAGGACGGTGTCATTGACTTCTCTGGTAGCACGTCTCGAGCCTGTTTGTGGAATCCCCGCCGGATACCAGAACATCACGTTTAGGGCTACCGAGTCAGCCCCGCCTATTGCGGTATCTGCCAATAACGAGGATGCGGTGACTTTGGATGAACTCCAATTCGCGCCTTATGGTATTCTGAACGTACGTTTTCCGGATATGTGCGGGTGCATCAGCGGTTAAAACTGGTATTGAACAGGTTGACGATACTCGGCCGGCGGGTGCACGAGCAAACTACACCGATGTTTCTGCAGTAGAGAAATTCGAGATGGACTACGAAGACTATGAATCACGCACGGATTCTGTCCTAGCATGGAAGAAGAGGAACCAATTGGGTCGGTTCGACCCAGCACGTGAACAGGAGATTGCATCCAAGCAAGAACAATATGCAGCGGAAATTCAAGAAAGAGAAATCGCCATTGGCAAAAGGTGCCAGGTCAACGGTGACCGTCGGGGCGTCGTGCAATTCATTGGTGAGGTCATCGAGATCCCACAAGGCGGACTTTGGGTAGGCGTGCGGTATGATGAACCTGTTGGAAAGAATGACGGCTCGATCGCCGGCGTCAGATACTTCGAAGCACCAAGAGGTTATGGGGCATTTGTCAGACCAACCAATCTCGAGGTGGGTGACTTTCCAGAGGAAGAAATTTCTCTGAGTGACAGTGATGAGGAGATGTAAAGATGGTTTCTTTGTTGCGCCTTAGCTAGTTCTTTAAGCAAAATTCCACGTCAAAAGTAGCTGACTTTCCCCTCCTACACCGAGTCGCGTATGCTACTGTTTACTCGGCCATCTCGAAGTCCTCGTCATCTACGTACAGTTAGACATAGCGATTGCAGAGTGAAAGGGATTATCTTACCTTCCTCGTCCTCGGCAGCAGGCTGGTTGGCGGCTTCCTTGGTGTAGTCAATCTGCTTACCCCTGGTCCTGCGACCGCCAGAGATAATGTTGGAAGTGTCAATCTCGGCGAGGTCATCCTCCTCTTCCTCTTCTGCAACAGTCGTTAGCCCGAGTCATCCAGGCCTGAACCAACGACGCGTGACGTAGGTGCGTTCTCACCATCTTCCTCAACTTGCATGCTCTCATCGACATTCTCGTCCTCGCTTTCTTCTTCCTCCAACTCCTCGTCCTCGAAGTTAGGGATGTCGACAGCCTTTCCCTTGTCGGCGGCAGCGGGAGCGGCACTAACACACGTAGAGCCAGGTCAGCGACGGTCAAGTGCGTAACAACGGGGACGACTCACGCAGTCTCGTCGGGCTTCTGGGCCTGAATGGTGGTCTTCTGTTCTTCGGCAGACATTTTTTCTTCGTTGACCAAGGGATGGACTTTGTGTTGTATTGATGTTCTGGCCTATACTCGACTGTAGCTGGGCCCGGGGCGGTCAGTGCGTGCGCGTATCAGCCGTGCGCGCTCTATCCCCTGTTTGATGCGTGTCTAAATCGGGGCGGTCATGAGGACGGGAGTTACCAACTGAAAGTGCTACACCAAGGACAGCATTCATTCGCCAGGATACCTTCTTTTTTCTGCTCCTTGCTCTTTGAACATCGCGATGCGCTTTACCCGTGGTCGCCTTCTCACGCTTGTACGGTGCATTCAAGCCCTCTTTGCAGTCATTATCATCATTGCTGGAGCTGTATCATCTGCAGTGGGATCTAATGGACGCGTGACAGTCTTACTTTTTGCTGTCGGTGGGCCTGTATGCTCGGTGGACGTTGTTGAACTGACAATTGTGCCCAGGGTGTGTGGACCGTGTTCGCACTCGCATGTACGCTTCCAAGCATTCACTGCCGATTTCGACTGGCTCTGACGTGTGGACACAGACCTCATCATGGCCTCAAACCAATTAAGTAACAACTTGTGGTTCAATTACCTGCTGGCACTTCCTGCCGAGGCTCTGACATGCTTGTTTTATCTCGCTGGGTATGTTAGCTCCGAAAGGTACTTGTCGCTGTGCTGAGGACAGGACCAGCTTCATCGCCTTGGCGTCTCGATTAGCATCCTCCTGTTCGATTTCTACCTCTTCCGACAAACAACAAGCGGCCGGACTAATCCTCTTCAAACAATACGTTGTCACTTCTTGCCGAGCCGACCGTATGTCTGCGTTCCAAGATCCTTCAGGTCACTAACACGGCTCTTGCAGAGGCTGCCGTGGTTTTCGCATCTTTCCAGTTTGCCCTGTTCAGTGCAACGTTTTCTTATAATTGCTGGACTTGGTACTCGACTACGGAAACGGCCACAGCGAAGCGAGAGCAAAGAGGACCATCCAGTAGGTTTGATGAAGGTATGCCAGCAAATTCCGCTAACAGGGGCTTTCATGTGCAGGGCGACAGCCGTATTATGATGAGTTCTTCAAGTTGCCACGCTTACCACGTCTGCCAAACATGTCACCATTGAAATTGGCTAGCGAGGATTATCCTCCCGAAACACCACCAAACACTCGGAAATCCGTCTGCCCAAAGGACAGTCCCGAGGGATACCAGTTTCCGCTCGGATTTAGTCAGCTCGACTCAACAAATCAGGTTCCGGTGGACAGTTCACGCATTAATGTGCCTCCTGCTCATCGGTTCTCGGAAGTCAAAATCGGCTTCTCATACACAAAGACGGACCCCATCTATTACATTCCTGATTTCGGTGCAGTTGACAACGAACAGACTGAGCCATTTGATGCCGCGAAAGGGCTTGGTTGTTAGAACAAAGCTTAGAGGTGCTCAAGCCCTCTCAATACGAATTGTCCCAGAAAATGCCGAAGTCCAAATCTTTTACCCCCATCTCATAACGTCCTTCGTAGTTGGCCTACAAGCAACCCATCGGATGAAATCGATGATTCTCATGAATATGTATTGTGAGATCGAATTCCACGAGATCATAAGGCAGTGGACTGGAACGCATGCGATTTTGCCCTACGTTCGTGAAATGCATGAATTACAGGATCAAAAGCACGATATGATTCAGCGTAATCCGTAATATGGTTCAGCATAATCCGTGATAAATAGGGTCCATCCCTAGAAAAATGGCAGAAAAATGCAGTATTATCAAGACAAAAAGCAAGATCACCAGGTAAAAATATTGTACTCTGTTTATCCTGATAGAGCTACAGTAACAATAATTACGTTCCTATACCTCAGGATGTCAGCAAAAGCCAGGAGATCGATGTGGATCACGTACTTGCCTAAGAGAAATCGTGTTCAATTTATGATTATCTACTTTGTAGGGAGGCACAGTACTATTAAAGCAATTGTGAGGGATTGTGATCCGCGATTTGTCTTGGGTTTGCCAAGATGGCTTTCGATATGCATGACGAATGCGTAATCCGTGACACTGCCTAGTTGAAAATCCATAGGCCGTTGCCTAAGGAGATTCGCTTTATTACCCGATCTTGGCCCTACAAAAGTAAAATACGTGCATTGAACCCGAATCTTGTCAGGCGCGTGTGTGATCCATGTCGAAATTGTGGATTTATCTGGGATTACACATCGATTACATGCAGCGTTGTGGATTATGATTTGCGCGGAAGTTCTAGACGAGCCTCTAGCTTATACTGAAAAATGGAAATCATGGACTACATACAACCCACGACTTTTCCAAAAATCAGCTTGCAAACTGCGGTGTCGTTGCTGGGTCTGCTGCTGGGCAGCGCAAGAGCGACAATACTCGAATCTCAACATCATCATGTATACACTGGATACATTTGACCTGCATGGCATTGCGGTCCGTGAGATGTCCTTTGGGGAAGTGGTGATCTTCGCACGGGCCTTTCCCTACGAGACCCCCAAACTCTACCAAACACGAATAAAATTATCCAGTATCACGAATAGAGTTATTCGAGTTAGTGGGATATTCTGGGCGCAATCTGAATTGGCAATTCGTCTTGGAAGTAGAATTTCTTTTTTTACGATTTACCAACACTACACTGTTATAATATTCTACCTCATGACTGCACACTGCACAGACGTGTGGCTCATTGGTCCCATCTATCACAGGTCATCAATCTAGGCCCATTCATATTGTTGACACTTAAATAAGACCCGAGAATTTCAGAAGCCCAACCTTGCCTCAATTTCCACTGTCAACACACATATGCATGCCATGACGCTTTCTCTCATCTCTCCTTTGTCTACTCAGTCGAAATAAGTTCATCGTCTTCATCATCATCATCGTCAATGTCAAACTCCGGATCATCTTGGAAACTGCGATTGGACGTATATCGATTTGATGCCCCTGAAGTGCGCAAGGTCTTCTTTCCAGGCTGTTTCCTACCACGAACCTTCATTGCCATTAGGTCAGGGTGGGTTAGTAAAACCCAATGAGTAGTCGTTTTACTGTTGCTGTCAACAAAGTGCGGGACTCACCCGAATAAGAGGAGACACCAAGAAAGAGTGTCGAGATTAAATAACCATCATGTTAACCTTTCAGCAACAGCTATCATGTGCCCAGTTTGGGTTGAACGATACAAGTCATAGCATTGGGAGAACAGAGGGGAGAGGACCAGGGAGGCGTAGAATTTAATGCTTTCGTCAGTCAGCCGTGACACACCCAGGGAGATTGAGACGTTGATGGTGGTGTGTTCCTGGTTGGTGCTGAGGAGTTGGTGAAATTTGCCAGCGCATCAGCACTCAGTGCTCACATGTCACTCTCGAGAGGCGTAGGCCGAAGAACCGCCACTAAAGACCATTGCTCCTCGTCGATCCATCGAAGACCCATGAAATTTAGCCAACCTCACGATCCAAACCCGGACACTAGGAATTCCACTCTACTTGAATGCTTTCCGACTTTATTCGTGTGTACTTGTACAGTTGAATGACTTATTCGAGTGCCTTTGCTGGGAGTGGAATATGTTATTCCATATTTGCGCAATCACGAATCAGGTATTCGTGACACTCGAATTCGGGGGGCTTGTAGGGTTTGCACGGAGCACCAACCTACCTCTCCCTTGCTCACATAGGATGCGATCTCCCCACACAACTCAGAAGCGGCAAACACTGTGTCGTGGATACCAGACCTCCAGGTAATCTGCATGAATGGATTGACGTTGAATATAAGGCGAGTTGTTGGAACAATGTGTACAAAGCCGCCCCCTTGAAGAAGGGATCCTCCGTTGAAGGCCTGCCTGGATCATAGATAGCTACACCTACGCATGGTATAACACTGCTAGATTACTCATCGATGAGGTATTACAGTTTAGTGATCTCTCGAACTTCATGGCCCGGCGCTTGTCATGGATTTTCCCTGACACCTATAGCTATCGTGGATCTTCCTTGAGAACTATTGTGAGAAATTCCTGACTTGCAAACTCCATGATATGTCAATTCAATCATCATCTCAAGGAATTTCCCTGAGCATATAGTAAGTTTCATGGAAATTCTCTGAGCGTTGAGGTCATTGTGCGGTTGCGAATATTAGTCATATGTGCTAACTGGGAATGCTGTGCCGTCATGTAATCAACGGGAGCTTGCAATCATCTTCGGAAGCATGGACAGAACACAGTATCCATTTAGGATCATATGCCAGACACGCACGCTACGGTCGCAGAAATCATTGATTACAAAATCTCGTTAAATTCATAGTTTCTCGATTGTGGATTTTCAAACGGGACCAAACCGCAATTTGAATTGGCTTAATCCATGATTTCTTTTTGGCAAAATCTATGATAATCGACGATACCAATTGCTATAATCCATGATCTGTTTTTGAATAGTCCTTGATGCCGTTGGCCTTAATCCCATAATGGATCATGGAAGATGCGAAAGAGTGTGCGGGGACATTCACGGTTATATGAGGCGGTAAGAGCGAGATTACCAAATAAAAGAGCCCAAGGTTTATTTTGAGTATTCTGATAGCTATAATAGGTGGAAACATAGCCGCATGACTCAGAATATCGGCCCAAGCTCAATCTTACACAGAAGAATCTCCTTCACCTGTGCTTGCTTGACCTATGCCGCTCACGAATACATGTCCCTACGAGGGGGCTTGGGAATTTTTGGGAATTTTCAAAGGCGTGAGAATGTTCCAGCGGATATGCACACTAGCGTGCACAACCATAACACAGCGATGCATTAAACCATAACAATCAATCAAGATGATATCGTGACACATACATAACATCATATGACATCATTTAGAACTTCACGTAGGTTAATTATGTTTATATATAGCAGTTGGCCCTCTGGGTAAAATACATGAGAACAGTTGTGTATAGCCTTCAATCTTTCGAAGCATAGAGGTGTTGTTTTTGCAATTTTCTCACGCATTTTGTTGGGACTTTTTTTTTCTTGACAGTGATCCATGACCTCGTTATTGGGCTTAATCCATGATGATATCAAGGAATGTAATTCACAATTTCGTTTGGGATTTCTGGAAATTCTTCACTCTGGTGGTGTTGTGTGGTGGTGGGCACAGGGTGGGGGCAGCTACAATTTAAGCTTGTGGTGATTTTGGGGTTGGCCTGTTCCGGAACGGCCCTGTTCACGTTTGGGGCAGAACTCGTGTATTCCCTATAGACGCTGTCTAGTTTCCTACATCAGTACCTCCTTCCTCCATCGTGCAGCATTCCTCCATTGTATAGCCTCCTCCCCAACAACGCACCCATCGTCTGTATGAATGGACGCTCGTATAAAACCCACGAGCGCCGAGTCCCTAGAGCCAAGTCCTACATATGTAGTGTGTAATTTACGTGATCGCTTCTGTGTAATTTACCTGCTATCTAGTGCTGGTTTACAGACTGGGTAGTCTGTAAGTTCCATGACCGTTTACATGCTATTTGAAAACAGAACGGGGCACTTCGCAGAGTAGCCCCCAATGTGCACGGCATCAACTTTATACCGCGTTCTTTCTCGCCGTTCACTGCAACATGACTGATGCAACAACCATCGCATTTTCGGTCGCTTCACTTGAGTGTGGAGAAAATGTGCAGTGGCCACCGCGGCCTCTTTCCGCATCATTGCCAGAAAGAAGAATCGTGCGAAAATATAGTGAGGGAGATCTTGTAACGGATCGGCAGAACATCGGGCATTAAATGAGAACCCCTTTTGATGTGCAACGTCCGGCAGGTGTAGTTTGAGTGGGCTGCACAACACCTCGAATTGGCCCTCAATTAGTGGACGGCAGCGGTGCTCACCAATAGCAGTTGAACTTTCAATATACGGCCGGCGCGAACTCCGAGACCACATGTCAGAGGCATGTTGGGAACCAAACTGACCGCCTTGCGTTTGTTCCAATTCCCGCAGAACAAAAAGCACGGTCGCCTTAGAATGTCACCGGTAGATGTATCGGCGCACATCGATCACCCGGCAATCGGCTGAGAACGTGCGCAAGTCCATCCCAGCACTTATGCGTATATTCTAATAGCTTGTATTGCGGACAATCTCCTGTAAGGAAGATACGTCTTCTATACACTCTTTCGTCAGAGGACGAGGTTCCCCCGGTCGAGCGGGCATATGGGTGCTGCAACTTGACGTACTCCACCGCAACTCTAAACGTCGCGTCCGGCCGCGAGGGACCCCCATCTGCACTACGGACCATGTGAACATAAATAACGGCCCTGGTCGTCCAGGCCATCCATCCGTAAGCCCGAACACTTATATAACCAGCCAAGCAAGCGAACGACAGACACCCATATACACCCAGCAGATCATGCCCAACCCCGCAGTACAGAACGACACTTCCCATGATGCCTTCGAGAAGGACTCGAAGGTAACCTTCGCGTACCAAGAGAAGCTGGAGAAGCTCCCGATCCCACCGCTCGAAGAGACCTGTCAGAGATATCTGTCAGCCGTCAAGCCACTTCTCACAGCCCGTCAGTTCGCCGACACGGAAGGCGCGGTAAACGAGTTTCTGCACAACGAAGGGCCGGAATTGCAAGAGGCATTGCACGAGTACGCTTCTCAGAAGTCAAGCTATATCGAACAATTCTGTAAGTAGTCTCGATGCTACTGTTTGTCCCTAATTAACAAAGCCATCAGGGTACGATTCATACCTCAACTACGACAATCCCGTAGTTCTCAACCTCAATCCCTTCTTCGTTCTTGAAGATGATCCTACGCCGAGCAGAAATCACCAAGTACCCCGTGCAGCCTCTCTGGTATCCAGCGCACTGTGCTTCGTGCGGGCTCTGCGGAGAGAGGAGCTTCCGCCCGATCAAGTCCGCGGACAGCCTCTCGACATGTACCAGTACACTCGCCTTTTCGGAACCAGTCGTATCCCCACCGAGCAGGGTTGCATCATGCAAAGTGACAACACCAGTTCGCACATCGTAGTAATGTGTCGATCTCAGTTCTATTGGTTTGATGTTCTCGACGAGAATCACGACGTTATTATCTCTGAGAGCCAATTGGCTTCAAATTTTGAGGCCATCAAGGCGGATGCACATGCCACACCTCAATCTGACGCTGCAAAAGCAGCAGTCGGTGTACTGAGTACGGAGAATCGCCGGGTATGGGCGAGGCTCCGCAACACTTTCACCGAAGACATTCAAATCAACCCTGACGAACCGTCGAACAAGGAGTGTCTGAAGATCCTGGACTCGTCTCTTTTCGTCGTCTGTTTGGACGATATCGCGCCGCATACCGCATCGGAGATATCCAGTAACTTCTTGTGCGGGACAAGTGAGATCCGAGATGGCGTACAGGTGGGTACTTGCACCAACAGGTGGTACGATAAGTTGCAGATCATCGTTACGGAGAACGGGACTGCGGGTGTGAATTTTGAGCATACTGGAGTTGATGGGCACACGGTTCTTCGCTTTGTGAGCGACATTTACACGGATACCATCATGAGATACGCCAAGTCTATCAATCCTAGCGCACCTACCTTGTGGCCAACCAACAGCCCTGATATCTCCAAGAAGCAATCTTTCTTCAACGGAGAGGATGGTGACGGAGACATTGACATTACCCCAAGGAAGCTCGAATGGACTTTGACAGGTGAACTCAGAACAGCCCTTCGGTTTGCCGAGACACGCCTCAGTGACTTGATTCAGCAAAATGAGGTCCAGACTCTGGAATTCACGAGATACGGAAGCAACTTCATCAAGCGCATGGGATTCAGTCCGGATGCCTTTGTTCAGATGGCCTTCCAGGCAGCGTACTACGGGCTTTACGGGTCCACTGCATGCACGTACGAACCTGCCATGACCAAGGCTTTCTTGCACGGTCGTACTGAGGCGATTCGCTCTGTTACCGACCAATCAGTTGAGTTTACCCGCAAATTCTGCGAGGATTACCCAGCGGAAGAGAAGGTCAACGCACTTCGCAAGGCTTGTGAAAACCATGTCAAACTCACAAGGACATGCTCGGCTGGTCTCGGACAGGATCGTCACCTCTATGCGCTCTTCTGCATCTGGAGGAGAAGGTTGATGGGTAACGGCGGGGATTCGGATCCGACGGCAAACGGTGAGAAGGCAAACAACGAAAACCGTCCGACGTCTCCCGATGACGACATCAAGAGTGAAAGCAGTGGGACTGGTGGCTCTGGTAATAGCGACGCGATTCCTGCCATCTTCAACGATGTTGCTTGGGACAAACTCAACACTACTATCATCTCAAGTTCGAACTGCGGAAACCCAAGTTTGAGATTATTCGGCTTCGGTCCCGTCAGTGCCGAGGGTTTCGGTATCGGCTACATCATCAAGGACAACTCCATTTCCATCTGTGCCAGTTCAAAGCATCGCCAGACTAGTCGTTTCTTGGACACTTTGCAGAGCTATCTTTTGGAAGTACGCGGTATGCTCCGCCACATGAAGGGTATCGCGACGCCTGCGCCCTATCTTGTCGTTCCAGGCAGCCAACTACCGGAGACGCCAGTTGCAGTACGGCCTTCCGTCCGTCGCTCCCGCTCCGGTTTCCGCTCGGGCAAGATTGTACCGATGATTGAGAGTGCAATTCGCGAAGAGGAAGAAGAGACGGCAGATGAGAATGGGTTCCTTGGTGGTTATGGGTTCTTTGACATGGGGTCATTGGAAACACTACAAACGTCTCGAGCTGACCCAGAAGACGAGCTCACAGACAAAAAGGCAGCCACGAGGGCCAGAAGACGAAGCGAGATCGGGCGACGTTTGCGTTTAGTGTTGGAGTGAATGTACGATAAGCGCAGTGTGTGGTGACATATGTACGATTATAGCTGGACTTGATCAACATACCATTAGCAATATATAAGCAAACCTTTCATGTAATTTGAATTATCGACCACCTCGACTTTAAGGTTTGGTGCTCATGCGGACTACTGCAGAATCCAGATCTGCTCCGGCGTGAGCAAACGACGACGGCACGGGTTCGAAGAATCTCAATCGCAAGTGATCAGTAGCTGTAGAGGATGCAACGAAACGCCGATGAAGCAGCAGAGAGGTCGCCTTTGCTGCGACAGACCGTATCTCCCTCCGAGGCAGAGACGGATCATGGATCAGCCACTGTAAGGGAGCCCACGAAGAAAGATCTGGCATTGATCATGCCAGCCCTGTACATCGGTTTGAAATATACTACTATCTACTTTTTTGTACTGACCCTTGATGCTAGGCACCTTCCTTGCTTCGCTTGATGGTACAATTATCGCCGCGATTCTCCCAAAGATCGGTTCTGAATTTCAGTCCTTTAACATCATTAGTTTTGTCGCGACCGCATACCTCGTAAGCACAGCTGCTTTTCAGCCTCTGTGTGGAAAGTTAAGCGACATCTTTGGAAGGCGCGAATGTCTCGTATTCGCTGAAGTAGTGTTCGGGATAGGCTGTCTGGGATGCGGTCTCTCCCGTAATGTGGGAGAGTTGGTTGCCGCACGCGCGATCGCCGGTGTTGGCGGTGGTTGGCTCACGGCTTTGAGCACAATTATCTCGAGTGACCTGATCCCTGCCCGGGACCGAGGCATGTGGCAAGGCATTGCGAACATCGTTTTCGGCGTCGGAGCTGCCAGCGGGGCACCTTTGGGAGGCTTTCTTGCTGATAGGATGAACTGGAGATGGAGTTTCTTAATACAGGTACCACTAACTGTTATTGGTGCTATAATCGTCTTCTTCAACGTGAAAGGAATCCCGAAGAAGGAGCACGAGCATTCCGCTCTGAAAAGGATTGACTTTATGGGCGCAGTCACCATGGTAACAAGTCTGTGTCTGCTGCTGTTTGGTCTTAACACTGGTGGTAATCAGCTGGAATGGACCGACCCCATCCTGTTGACCATCCTGCCTCTGAGTGGGCTCTTGATGATACTCTTTGGTGTCATTGAGGCCAAGTGGGCCATGGAACCTGTTATCCCGATGAACTTGCTCAAACAGCGCACCATCCTTGCGGGTTCTTTGGCTAACTGGTTTGCCTGCATGTCCATCTTCAGCCTGATGTACCAAGTGCCACTATACTTCATTGCAGTCAAAGGGTACACCGCAACTCAGGCTGGCCTTCGCCTAATTCCTCAGTCTATCATGCTTTCTGTTGGATCGCTGGGTTGTGGGATATACATGAAGAAAACCGGAAAGTACTGGTGGCCTTGTGTCATTGGCTTCCTCAGCATGGTCTTAGGAGCTGCGGGTATCTCCACGTTTGACCGCATCACACCGCTGTGGGAACATATTCTCTTCACTGCCTTTCCTGGTTTCGGGTATGGAATCGTGCTCACCACGACCCTGCTCGCTCTAATCTCGAGCGTGGGCCACGAATGGCAGGCTACTACTACTGGAATATCATACGCCTTCCGCGCAACTGGATCAACCATTGGTGTGGCCGCAACGTCCAGTATCTTCAACCAGTTGCTGCGAAAATTCCTGGAGGCGAGGATCGACGGATCGCACGGTAACATCATCCAAGCCGTACGGGAGTCGGTAGGAGCTATTCGCACCATCCCAATCGAATTCAGGGATGTTGTAATAACTTCCTACCTTGATGCGTTGCGCGTATGTTTCGTTGTGTGCAGCGGTTTAGCACTTTTGGGGCTCTTATCAGCGGCATACATGAGGGAGAACATTTTACATCGCAGGCTTGATAGATCAGGATAGCATATATTCTTTAATGCGTGGCCGGAAGCTGAAAGATCATCGCCAATCTGTCCATCCTCATGATCTGCACTGCTAACTTCTCCTGAATAGCATTCATCCTCTGGATCTCCTTGTTTTCCCTGTCAGTCAGAGCTGCACCGCCCTGTCTTTGGATTTCGGCCTTCGTAATCAGCCTTGCTCTGCGCTTCTTCTCATGACCTATGCGTTGTTGCGCACGTGTGATAGCCTTGTAAATATCATCAAGCACCAGCGATCGAGCGCGATCAGGGCGGAAGAACCACAGAAAGATGGTCGCCCTGGGTGCTCGATCTGCGGTCTTGGGAATTTCTTGCAGATCAATAATACCAGCACGATGCAGTTCCGCTGACAGATCGCGTACTTGCGCGGATTTTCTCAGCGAGAGTGCACTCATCTGTAAATCCGATGTTAGCGAGAGAATTTTCTCACCATTACACAAGAACATACCTGCTTCTCATCAACCTTACCCTTGTCCTTCAGGATCCTCACTATCCGGACTGCATGCTCACTATATTTGTCGCTGACAATTTGCTCAAACTCGAACTGCTTTAGTCTCTCAGTGACAACAGCAAAGTCGACCGCGTATTCTCCCTGATTTTTGTTCGAGACCCTTTTCAAGAAGCTCATAGAATCCTGACAAAGGATCTCAAGATGCATGGCAACTTGACTAGCACGCTGTGCGGAAGACACACCACCTTCACCCATTTCTTCATCTTCATCTTCGTCTTCATCTTCATCCTCATCTTCATCGTCCATGTCTTCATCTTCATCTTCGTCCTCTTCCTTCTTAGGACCCGGTGAACCATCTTCATCGTCGTCGTCATCCCGCAGTCGACGTTTCTTCCCTCTAGGCCCTTCTTGTTGTGGTTTTGCTAGCACGGACATCAGGTCCATATCTTTCGGCACAGAACGTGCCAACGTGGCAGCGGTAATCGTTTTTGCAGACATATCTTGTTTGACACTTAGCATCTCAGGCTCCAGTTGTTTCAGGAAGTATTCGTAGACCTTGCCAGTGATCTCACCCGTGCGTCGTTTGGCTAAGTTACATATTGCCTGACTGCGCATGATGATGACGAATTTATCATGGTTAACCTTGAAGAAAGCCTGAGGATCGGCGGTGAGATTATCACCAGCAGACTTTGCACGCTTCAGCAAACTGCTTGGCCCTTTTGCTGCTTGCACCAACCCAGCAGTTGGTGAGTTATCCATCTCTTCCGAGTCCTTCAGCTGTCTATCCACCTCAACGTTCCATTGTTTGACATCCTTCGGATCCGCTTCCGACCTCCCTTTGATTTTGGCCGCGTACATCTTGTTCCTCCGATCCGCAAGCGGGGTCATGTGAACGTCGCGTACTTTCATCAAGAACTTCTGTCGCACCAACATCGTCAATGACGCCTGTAATGTCTGTAGCTTCTTCTTGTCCTCTCCCGCGAATGTATCATAGATGTACTGTCCCTTGATACGCCCGTTCATCAAAATGAACTTCATGATTGTCGCACTTTCATTGCTCAGAACTTCCTTCGCAATAAAAAGCTCGGTTCCCCAACGCGCCAATCTATATGCCTCCTCCCATACAGGCTCATACCATGTTGTATCCCGGGTACCCAATGATTCTGTCGCGTGCAAAACGAGGTGGTGCTGAATGAGTGCGACAAGACATTGCGAGACTTGCTTGGGCGTGTACTTTGTGTGCTGCGCAATCTGCTGCAAGTTGAGTCGGCCGTAGTCAAGAAGAACAGTGATGACTTTCTGAGGATCCAAGGCCAATTAGCGACATTTTGTCCCTTGAGCGCACCAGTACTTACCGATGCGACGGATCCAAAGTACTCCTCCACGAAGACTTTGCAGAGCTCAGTGGAGTATTGAGATGACATGGCGATAGACGACCGATTCTCTCAACACCTTGGGAAATCAAGCGATCAACTATACCGACATTGATGGTTGTGTTTTCAATGGCCGTACGTCCAAATTCGAGTTTCACATGCAGGTCACCGGTGCACCACCAGGGGCAACATGTCAGTGCTGGGAGCTTAACCAGGGAATCGCTGAGATCTTATATTTGAAGGTAGAAAAAAGGCGAGCGACATCTTACAATCTCATCTTCTGGCATTATCGTCTCCCCAAACCGCTCGCTCACTTGGCAGCACCGGCCCTAAGGGCGGCTCTCCTCGCGCTCAAAAGCATGAACAACTTCAAAGCTCCGACGTACAACTGCTCCTTGAACATGAACAAGAACCCAGCAGTGAGGACACTCTGTAACAACTTGGCGCCAATACCCCTGTAGAGCCCGGCGATGCCCTCTTCGCGGATGATCTTCTGAAGACCGCCGACGAGGGTATAACGCTGAGCGGCATCTTTCGACTGACGCAATTGCATGCGGGATTTGATGGTCACTATGACAATGTTAGTCTGTTCTGCATGGCGGCGACCCTTGAATGACCTACAGTAGGGGTAAGTGGTTCCGGTCGCAATAAGCTTAGAGAGAGCACCAAGCCAGAAAAAGTCCCATTGGCCAAGCGCACGCTTCTTTGCGACGGTATTCTTGAGTTGTTCGAAAACGGTGTACTGAATGACGGGGTTGATGACTATGAAATTCGGTCAGCTCACATGATATTACAAGTTCTCACGGTTTGGTCATACCCAATGCAAGAGCAGGTCCAACTCCACTCCAAAGAGAAGCAACTCCCTCGTCTTTGATGATTTCCTTGAGCGAACCGATGATTGTCATGGGCTTCCGAGGTGCGGGAGTCTTCTCATCACCGGCCTCGTCAACGGTACGTTTGTTGGCAGTAGCACGCGTGTTAACCACCTATAACACGATTAGCGATCCTGTTCAATCAATGTACGGAATGAATGCGCACCCAAATTGGGTTTGTAGCCAAAACAGTGAAGCTTCCGGCAATTGCCCCGGCTAACATGCTCTCCAAGGTGGACAAGCGTCCTTTGCGACCCTCCAACCACCCCTTGGCACCTTCGTAGAAGAAGTAGTAGACTCCATTGGTGACAGCAATTCCGAAAAGGGCGCTGTCAAGACCGGTGTAAAGACCGGATACGCCTTCACGCGCGAGGATGGCCTTCACGGCTTCGGTGGTGGTGGTGTGTTCGCGACGCGACTCAACCTGGGCACGAGTAGAGATGGTCACGAGAGGGTAGGTGAGGCCCTATGCATAGACGAGGTTAGGAATGAGTTCTGACGCAACTGGAAGAGACCGAGCGAACCATGGAGAGGATACCTCCTCCGGCACCTGTGGGCTGGTTAACATAGGTCAATGCAAGAGGAGAAGTAACGCACCAGCAACAGCGTGAACGACATTATCAGACATTGTAAATGAGCAGGATGGTTGGACAATGGACAATTACATGAGCCGGTCAACGTCGGAGTTCGCTCTGGTTCCCCGCCCCGATGCACCCCACAGCCGGCCGACAAGCTTTCACGCGCAGTAACCACCCAGACCACTACGCCATGGACAAAGTAGCAAACATCGACACAGAGGACTTGGACGACTACGAGACTGACGTGGCCAATGATCTGAGTCGCACCGCACACAACCAGCTCTTCCGCCTCTTCTGCGCCTACGACTTCACCAATGACCACGAGTTCCAATACGGACTCGATGCTGTGTTGAAGGATGTACCGGAAGAGGACCAGGATACCGTCGAGGAAGAGGCGAAAGTTTGGTTCTTTAGCAAGTTTGTCTCCGTTATCTATTCGGAGGTCGACCACATCTGACCGGTGACGTGCAGGAAGTTTACTCCGATCGATATCGAGGCGTATCGATTATGGAAGAAGGAACAGAGCCCACAAGCTGTGCCGACCTCGCCGCCGCTACAAGTAGTTTCAAGTCCAGAGATTCAAGAGCCAAAAGCAACATCTCCATCAGAAGCTCCGATCGATCTGCAGCCGGCATCGGAGGTGTTGCAGGGCGTCGACAAGCTCGAGCAAGACTCAAATGAGCCTACGCCTTACCCGTCAAAGTTTGCTGAGATAGCCGAGTTGATCAGAAGTGGCAAGGAAATACCTGGCATCAAACAGATTCCAGATCGTCTTACGGAAGAACAGCCGTCGGAAAGCAATCAGGGTGCAAGGAAGAAGCCGTGGGAACAATAGGATTTATGAGCCCGCAGGTGTAGTTTCAATTCTAAGCAAGGGATCTAATCAAAGATCGTCATCACTGCCCATCAAATCTGCCAATTCGGCCTCCTCTTCTGCGGTCAAGCCTGTTGCTGGTTTTACTTCTTCCTCCTCCTCTTCTTCCCAGACTACCTTTTTCATTGCTCGCACATCAGCTTCCACCATAGACCACTGCCTGATAGTCCCGTCCAAACTTGCACTCAGAAGTATGTTACCCCACATTGCTAGTGCCGACACTTCATCGTAATGCCCTTCAATGACTTTCACTATCGCACCACTCCCAATATCAAAGATCCTCACTTCCTCATCACGACATCCTGTTACTGCCCAAGCTCCATTAGACGTCACCAAGATATCTTTGACAAAATCGGGATGTTCCAAAGCAGTATCGCTCACTTTGGTGGCAAGATCGGTGCGTCTTGCTGTTCCGTCCGCAGATGCTGACCATAACACACCCTCATGGTCAAAGCGTAGCTTGTAGATGGAGGTTTCATGAACCTTGCTGATAGCATTTGGCAATTCAACTGCCTCTTCCGGACCGACCCTCCATTCTCTAATTGACGCATCAGAGCTAGCTGAGTACACAACAACACCCTTCACAGTCGTCGTGGCCGCACTCGGATCAAAAGTCAAATCCTCAACAGCCCTGGTGTGCCCCTTCAATGTATGCGCTTTCACCAGCTTGCCATCCTCCTGAACCTTCCATACCCTGATACTTGCATCGGCACTTCCACTGAAGAGCAAGTTGAGATGTGGTACCACCAACAAACTCTTCACGAAGTCTGAATGTGCAGAAACAGTTGAAAGGCATTTGCAGGTCTCAATGTCCCATACACGAACTGACTTGTCCCACGAGCCGGTGAAGAGAAGTCTTTGGCGCGATGAGGTGGTATAAAGTGCGACGGAAGCCACAGGCCCTGTATGACCCCGAAAGACAAACTCCTTGTTTCCTATCTATCCGACTGTGAGCACACACACTATGACGATGCCCGGAACAGTGACATACATTCAAGTCAATCCTCCTTGCAACACCAGTACTCTCTCCTGTAAACACAATTGGCTTTTCTAGCCCCTCACTGGCAAGTTCATCGATGCAAAGCGCAAGGATCTTGCTCTTCAACTCAACCGGTGAGCCATGTTTTGAGGAATGCTTTGCCTTCAGCGCCCGGCGAGCAGCAGAAGCTTGTGATGCGTCGGACTGGAAAAAAGCGTTTCTGTTTGTTGAGATATTGGCCATTTTGGCGTTGTGTTTTAGGGTTGTAACGTTGACGTGCGTGTACGTCGTCGCACCAGCTACAAGTGCCAAGAGGATTATACACGGAAGAAGTGTTGGAAGACAGATATAAGATGTGTAGTAACCAATCCAGAAACGTAACAATCAACTGCATCGCACCCGCCATTATTAAGACCAAGCAAGCCTACGAGTTCCGTCCATTCCAATCCTCCTGCTCCCACTTGACAACTCTGATATGTCACCACCGCATCCACTTAACAACACCCTCCACTCGACTGCTGGTTCACACTCTGACCTTGTCCAACCTTCACCGTGCTCTTCCCACCGGCAGTGTTCACGGTGTTGCTACCCATTCTCTCCTTAATCTGCCTAGCCATTGTCAAGAAAGCCTGCTCGACGTTGGTAGCGCTCTTTGCACTGGTTTCGAGGAAGGGAATGCCGAGTCCATCAGCGAATTCCTGGAAAGCAAAATTAGCACATTTTAACATCACCTTTTAGGACCAAAGCCAACGAACCTTTGCAACAGTGTACTCCACAACCTTCTTGTCCGTCATATCGCTCTTGTTTCCGACAAGGAGCTTGTTCACGCCTTCAGTCGCATATCTGTCAATCTCCTGCAACCACTGCTTTACGTTGTTGAAGGTATCCTGGTCGGTGACATCGTAGACAACGATGATACCATGAGCGCCACGGTAGTAAGAGGAGGTGATGGTACGGAAACGTTCTTGACCAGCGGTATCCCAGATCTGAAGCTTCACGGTCTTACCGTCAAGCTCAATGGTACGGATTTTCTGGAAAACAACACGTCAGCACGCCGGACCGATCATGTAGCGAAGACTCGGACTGGAAGGAAAACATACAAAGTCCACACCGATGGTAGAAATGTAACTCTCAGTGTAGGTATCGTCGGCGAATCGCAACCTGTATGTAGTCCACGTTAGCATTGTAAAGCAGAACGAATATTAGTCGTACAGCAAACAACTCTTTCCAACACCAGAGTCTCCGATAAGCAGGGTCTTGAAGAGGTAGTCGTATCTGTGAAGGGTGTAAATCAGTCTGGGCGGTCTTGTGATAACACACAAACGAAGGTACTCTGCAAACAGCTATTAGCGACCGGCAGCAGCAAGACAAGCAGATGGAGCATACCACTCAGGATTCATAACTGGTTTACTGGTATATATGCTCGTTCTGATCTGGTTATTCTTTGTGTTGTTGCTCAACACTCGGTGAATCCTGTTTGGGGTGACGTCGCGGAAGCCACATGCGGCGCCTGGCAAGCGCTCCGGGTTGCAATTGCAATTGCAGGTGCGATATCGGCAGTCGCGTACGGAGCAAACCTTCGTGTTATACAATTGAATCAGTCGTTTGACTGTATTGGGCTCTCCTATCCCGGCAAGTGTCTCTAGAATCTGTCTTCACTACCGTCTACATCCTCCTCCGGCCGGCTGCAGCAATGTTTTCATGAACACTTCCTCCGGATCCGTGGTACTGTACGTTTACCAGCTATCCCGTTATACCGGTATGCCGAGCGAGCACAATTCATGGCAGATGTATCATAATCCGTCGAAAGACGTGCTCTTCCGCAACACCAAGATTGTCCACACATACCGTACGACGTAGTCATAAGTAGTGTCTTGGCATACATCCACGTATTCGCCTTCGTCTGTATATAAGTCTACGTAGCCCATCTCAGTAGACCCTTAGCAAAGAAACTACAACCTACATTCACAATCATGCCTCCTCCTCCCGAAGATCGCGGACTTTTTAACCACCACCATCATCAAGGTCTCTTGAGCAAATTGACTCACATGGGTCACCAAGGCCCTCCCCCTCCCCAGGGCGGCGGCTACGGCCAGGGTGGCCACGGTGGAGGATATGGCGGAGGACCGGGAATGGGTGGTGGACCAGGTTTCGGAGGTCACCAAGGAGGTCCCGGCGGGGGTTTTGGCGGTCCCCAGGGTGGTGGTGGATTCGGTGGACCAGGTGGAGGGTACGGTGGTGGGCCCGGAGGTGGACCCGGTGGAAGCTTTGGCGGCCATCACGGCGGTCATCACGGTGGCCCTGGTGGTCGCGGCGGCCCCGGTGGAGGACCCGGTGGAAGCTTCGGCGGCCCCGGCCAAGAGAGATGGTGAAGTGCACTAGCCTGTGCACCGCCAGTCGACGTGTGTGAATAACGCACGATAATCACTGCTCTTGAATTTGTCGATTTTCGCTTCTAGGTCTCTTCTTTTGAATTTTGGATTCAGACTGCTAAGGCAGCTGTGGTGTACTAGTTAGAAATTATACCCCTGATGGATAACCTTATTTCCCTTTCTTCGCCGTAACTGTATCGTGTTCCTCTCTCGATCTTCTCCGTAGAGCTTCCATTTGGTCTTCTCCACTGCCAACCCACGCTCTGACGACCTGCAATAACAATATCCCCACCACAACCATGGAACTTGTTGACGTGCTTGGGTACACATCCCATGCCCACTCTTGTGCTGCCCAAGTAGTGATCAACAACAGTGGGTGCATCCCTGATCTCCACAGCAGGAATGGTGTCATCCATGCGAACCATGAGTAGAATTGATAGTGAAGGGAGCGAGCGAACAAGATGCCAATGACGTTGGCGCCAAACATCGTCGTTAGGACAAACTGAGGTGTCACGCCCGCACGTGCACGAGCTTCACGCAATTGAACAGCCGGACCTCGTTCAAAGACGGACACGATCAAGTCTGTGAGTGACCGTCCTGACGGAGCGTTCCACCTCGTCGACATGAACACCAGCAAAGTGAGAACATGTCCAATTAGCAAGCTCCTCGAGAAGCCCTTGGACAAGAACGTCTCTGCACTGACAGACCGCCAGTTCACCGTCCATTTGTAGAAGAATGCGCGTGTGAACTCGAAGGCGCCGGCAAGGTAACTCCTTGCAAAACCACTTAGTGTGAAGGGCAACGCCAAGACAACCTGTATTTGAGCAATGATAATGGCCTGCCGTATAGCTCGATCGCGTCCAAGTGCTTGCAGAAGAATCATCCCCAGAGCAGGCAGGAGAAGAAGAACATTCATCTTGATGCTCAACGCCAAACTGTACAACACACTACCGATGGTCCAAGCCTTTCTCTGCAAAGCGTAAATGGCAGCAAAGGCAAAGAACATAGCCCAGCAGTCGTTGAAGAGGCGGAGAATGTAGATACTGTGTAATCGTTTGGAGAGGATGAGCAATCCAAAAATATACGGCGGTGCTTCAGCACGACGGTAGCATGCCATCACCAACGCCAGCGTTGTGAGATAGAGCGCCGTAAAGATGACTTGAGCCGCAAAGACATCATTGCCGCCATTTGTTATCTTGAATAGAGCTGTATAGACGTATACATGTCCGGCCGGATACCTACAATTGGTCAGCAAACACCCTTGAGTCTCGAGAACGGTCAAACACACACTAATGGGCCCGTGCCGCCCTTGATCAAAGAATAGTCCCGTTCGCCGGCAAGGAATTGGGAGACTTGTGTCATATATGCTTTCCAATCAATCTCCGTATCTGTGCTTCAACGTTAGCCGCCGAGGAACGGTCCCGTTATCTGCTATGCCACCAACATGGTACTTTCAGTACAATTGCTGTACAGAGGAAGCATTCTGCAACCAAAAGGCAACGTGAAGCAACCTTTGAACATCGAGGATCAAACAGCATGCCCCTAGCCAAGGATATCACCGAGGAAGCCATGATGGTGAGGTCCGTACAGTCGCCGGGGACGCGGAATTAAGGTGCGAGCGATGCCAGAACGTCAAGGTGCAGGCAGTTAAACACCACAACGAAAAAGACCCGGACCACGAAGCAATCGCAACTATGTCGATGAACACCCAGCAAACCCCTATGGACGATCCAGAAGCTGTTAAGAATGTGCAGCGGCTCGATCGGTTCCTCAATGAGAGCCCACGCTCCAACTACACGTTCGATTCGGAGAGGGATTCCGACGAGTCTACTGTCTGCCGGTGTGTCCATTGCATGCGTCGTATGCCCTGAAATCAGGCTGACAAGCATTTTCAGACGCGTATCAGACGGCGGACTGAGCTGTGTGAAGCTGCGCCTGAATTCGAAGCAGATGTTTGAGCAAATGCAGAAGGTAGTTCGAAGCAAGCTCATCCTACGCTTGGCTAACGTAATTCACAGTTCGGATACTTCTGTGCGTTGCCACTGGATCCTTCGCGAACGGAATTAGGTGGGTTTACGTCTTTGAATATCATGGGAAGCGCTAACACATGTTTACAGAGTGCAAGAAGTTCTAAGGGAGTGCATTCATCATGGAGGTTACGGCACACTAGAAAGAGCCGTTGAGTTGACGGAGGAGAAGAACACCTGTATGATTGATAGTGATGAAGAGCAGATATCCAGCATCCACTACAGCAATGCCATATTCCTTAATCAAAGAGTATCGTTCCTGTGAGCATGCCATCCAGTTGTTGCTCGGCCAATTCTACTCTATATGCGATTGCGGTGGAATCCCGCTCCGCCTTGTTGTAATCCGATATCGCTGCTCGCTTACGCTTTTGTTTCTCCAAATCTTTCCGATCCAGTTCTTCATACTCACGACGCAATCGGACAACCTTTGACAAGGTTAGCATTTGACTGGGTCTTGAACTTTAGAGCAACTCACCTCCTCGTCAAGTTGAGGCCTGATAGACTCGTATCCGACACGCCCGATCCTCGTTATTACTGGACGCACAGATTCCTCGACCACTGGCGCCCATGTTTCCACCTTTTCACCCTCACCTCCTTGCACCGCTGGACTATCGGCAGGGCCATTATGTGACGCCCCAAACGTACTTTGTCTTCGTATCCCTGCCGGTGAACTCCACGATGGTGTTGCTGGCGACGCTACCGACATGCTAGACCTCTGATTCATGAATGATGGTGGAGGACCCTGTCTGAACCCTCCCCTGTAAGGTGCGCCCCCTCTAAATCCACCGCGAGGTCCAGGTGATGGACCGCTGCCAAAACTGGGATTGCGGGGTCCTCGTGGTGGGCCAACTGGAGAGTCTCGTGGGCCACCAGGGTTATATGGTGGTGCTTGACGGAACACTTGCGAAGACAGTCGAGTAGGAGCGCCGTCCACATTGCGGGAGGGTGGCAAGGGAGCTCGAGCCGGGCTGGGTATCACACCGGATCTTTGTCCGGCGTTAGAAGTATTAGAGGGAGGAGGGGGTGAAGGTCTAGACGCTTGTCGTTCAGGTCCACGGACATCGTCCGCTAAGCGGTTCATTGGTCTTTGATCAGCATAACCACCATAAGGCGGCCTCAAGTCTGGTCTCGTATCCCTTCTGTCGCGTGGGCTTGGAGGGCCTCCACTGTACCCACCGCGAAATGGCGGAGGTGACCGTCTTCTATCCCGATCGTAGCCACATGGCGAAGGTGAGCGTGGACGGTATGGACCTCCGCCTCTTCCACGGTCTGGAGAACGTCCAAATCCTCCGCGACCTCTGGATCTATCGCGACTGTCACGCTCATACTCGTAGTCGCGCCGTCCCGGTGGAGGCCCATATCTACCGCCTCTGTCACTTCTGTCTCTGCAACAGAGCAAAATCAGTACAAGTATGCGCAACCTTTCGTACACGCTCACCTGTATCGGTCTCCCATATCGTGCTGGATGAATGCTTCTCGTACGGGGTTTGAAGGTTGCTGCAACTCCATGCACGAACGTGCAACACCGACGCATAACATCGAAGACCCACAGGAAGACCAACACATTAGAAGGAACAGCCTTCCCAATTCCAGCAACGCTTGGGACCTTGAAGACCGTTGCCAATGGCACAAGCACAGCCTTTCTGGTACCGGCGGGACACATCGCGGTCATGCACCATTATCACGCCGTCGTCGAAAAAGTCGCAATTGGATCTTGAAGAAGAAGAATATGAGAATCAAGTGAGTTCGTTCTCTCACTGCTCGTATTAGGTGACTAAAGCAGTCTACAGCTCAAGCAGATCAGCATGTGGGGTTCCTCATATCTCCGACCACCAGGTCTAAAACACACGATGGATGAACTACTTGAGATGGAGCTCGAGCGTCTTGAAGTCGCAACCTCTCCGCGCTCAGGCGGTGGGTTTGATGAAGACGCATCGGAGCGGTCATCGTCTGTACCGCTAAATGAGGAGGAGCCAGATCTGGATGCGGACATAGAAAGTGCAAGCGAAGGAGATTATGATGTCAGTGCTACACGAATAACGCCGCAGACGCAGCGAGTTGTTCCGATGGTCCATGATGCAGGAATGGAGAGCCCGAGGAGTAGTCCTATGATGAGCCCTGAAAGGGATATGGACGAGCAAAGCATGATGATGGATGAAGTGGACTTGGATGCTGATATTGCTGAACCCAGTTCAGCAGGGTGGAGCGAAAGCGAAGGTGACTACGATGACGATGAGTAAATCACTCAGGCGTTACGACCTGATTCATCGGCGGCAAACGATACCTCTGGGAGAATGGATTGGCGGAGTTTTGCTGTTCGGGTTGTTTATGGAACCTAGAGGATACCCCCAAGATAAGGTTGCTTCATGATTTTTCCGCATTATCTTAGCTACAGAACGTACTTCTCATATCTGATGTTCGTTGTTGTTTAGGGACGGTTGTCTGACATTTTTGGGCATTCTCCGAACGACCGTCGGACTTCTTTACCGAAATAGACAGTTTCGCCGAGACATACGCGCGTGGAAGAGTGCAGTCAGCAGCAGGTATTCTGATGTCTTTTGTGAGCGGCAATTGCCTCTGAGCTACCGATCATGGCTCGGTGAACCTTCTACTGGGCAACCATAGACGTAGGGCATCGGAGGTCTGAGACCGCGACCTCTCTGGACCCATGTATTCAAACAAACCCACCGGAACGTCGCAGATCCGGGGGTCATCTCGTACCTGTAACGGCGAACCGTTTCTTTCTACGCGGGCTTTGGTTGCCCAGGTGGTGGCAGTGCAAGAAGGTCTCTGGCGTTGGGGAAGGTTACGGACGTTCGCGCGCGGCAAGCGTGCAAGTGAGTCTCGGTTGTCAAAAGTTGGGGTGCACGCCCCAAAAAGTTGAACAATTCCTCAACAAACTCTCGATCTTCCCTCTCTAATATAGAGGGTTGATAGGTTCCTTTGCTGGACTGAATCGTTGTTCGCCGTTCAGTTCTTCTATCTGATCAGTCTTTATCACCCTTTACGACGTGAGCGCCCGTCTTCGTTCGACGATCCATGATGCAGTACATTGCCTTCAACAACCAGTCCGCTATTGCGACGCAGACCGCCGCTGGCCTTTACGAGGCCATTGCGAAGGGCGACCACGTCTATCCTTCAAGGCCCAAGCAATGGATCCCGTTCCCGTAAGTTGGATCAATGCTCCTTCCGCATACGATCGCTAATCGTTGTGCGCCCAGTGAGACCTACGGTACCATGATGGACTACAAGACTCCCATCATCACCGCATTGATCTACTCTACCTGCGTTCACTTGATCAACAAGACGCGCGGTCGTGGCCCTGCTCCTCGTTTCACCCACTCTCTTTGGTTCAAGGCCTTGGTCCTTGCGCACAACGCATTTCTCTGCGTCTACTCCGTCTGGACCTTTATCCACGGTTTTCGTCAGGTTTCCGCCCAGTTCGGTGCTGGTCTTGCTACCGGTCAGTTCGGCAAGGCCTTCTGCGATCAGTTCCCCCTCCAGGACAACCTTGTCGACAACTTGATCAACTACTATGGTTACCTTTTCTACCTTTCCAAGTTCTACGAGATCTTCGATACCATCATCATCCTTGTCAAGAACAAGAAGTCTAGCTTGTTGCAGACTTACCACCACTCCGGAGCCATGATTACTATGTGGGCCGGTATCCGTTACCAGGCTCCCCCGATCTGGATCTTCATTGTCTTCAACTCCTTCATCCACTCCATCATGGTCAGTCACGTCTTGCGATTGTCACCCTTTCAATTGCTAACTGGTATATAGTACTTCTACTACACCGTCTCTACCCTCCGCCTCCCCTTCCCCCGCGTCCTCAAGCGCTCCCTCACCACCCTGCAGATCACCCAGTTCCTCGTCGGCGGTTCTACCGCTGCATCCTACCTCTTCGTCGACAGCTGTCTCAAGGCTCCTGGTCAGATCTGGGCTGTTATCCTTAACGTTGCCTACCTCACTCCCCTCACCTACCTCTTCTGCCAGTTTTTCATCGCCTCTTACTTGAAGGGCCCCAGCTCCAAGGCTAGCACCAAGCAGGCCAAGAAGATCAACGAGAGCATTGAGGCCCAATGAGGGTCTTTATGGCATGATATAGCATTTTTAGCGGAGTAGAAGGATGGATACAGTGGGACTTATGGTATGAGTGTATGACTATGATTAGCAATTGAAACACTGATTGCCGTTACTGCCGTCTTCGGTTTGAATCTTGACCTCAGTATCTCCTTGACCCTTCACCCTCGGCATATATGTCCTTCACACTGCCAGTACAGGACCCCGTCCACAGGTGGCAGCTGTATGCTCGGTACTGCAATTGGTGCATGCTCGTGCAGCTGTCAGCGACTCCAACACAACGAGCAAAACATCATTATTCTCTCCCGTATGCGCGGAGCATCTTCCATTGGACGGTGACTGTTGTCTTTTCGGTCAGACATTCCCTAATCATCATCCTCCAATCTGTTCTGGGGTGGGTCGGTCTCTGCGCGGATGCCGTCGAGCACCTACACGGTTCGTCACGTTTTCGTTTCCCCCCTTTTCCTTGTCCCTGTATGCTGATTCGTGACTTTCGATACAGGCGCCGTTATCTTCGCGAACGCCCTGGTCGCCCAGTGAGGATCAACGGCTCCGCGAGGCAGTTGCTCGCTTCGGTGACAGGACGGAAAAGTGGTCAACAATAGCAACGTATCTCCCAGGTCGCACCAACAAGAGCTGTAGGAAGCGCTGGTTTCATAGTCTCGATCCAAAGCTCAAGCGTGGAGCATGGACGGAAGCGGAAGATCAACTCCTTCGGGAGGGTGTCGCCAGGTTTGGGACACAGTGGAGTAGGATTGGTATGCATTTACTCGGCAATACCACTCTCGAGAAAGTTTTGCTGATGGCACCTTAGCGGCGACGATCGAAGGCCGTACGGATGATCAATGCTCAAAGCGCTACCGAGAGGGGATTTCACCCTCTATCGACAAGCTTAGCCCTTGGTCCCCAGACGACGACCTACGGTTAGGTGAACTCGTACGCCAACTGGGGACAGTATGGCAAAAGATTGCGCCGCACTTTCAAGGTAGAACCGGACTTCAGTGCCGCAATCGTTGGCGAAAGATCAACCGCGAAACCATGGCGGTGAAGAACGTGCAATCACCAAACCAGGAGGAACCGCCAGCATTCTCACCACGGGATTTTGAGACACAGCAGAGTTTGCCGGTGCAACATCAGATCGAAACCGCGTATGACTACATGTCATACAACTCCACGACAGTCTTTGGATCACCGAACGAATTCATCCCCGCCAATGATGGATCCGTGATGCATCACATTCAGCAGCCACACGAGCATGCTTCGGTGGATACACAGCTACAGCAGCTACAAGGAGGCCAACAGGCCGCTTTCACTGATCCTCAACTGATGACACAACAAGCGCAGGGCGCGATGTACAATGAATTTTCACCTCCAATACAGCAGCAATATGGTCATGACGCACGACAAACCAGCGAGCTCCCCCAATTCCCAGGCTACGCCTCTTTAGACAACACGACGTATCCGTTTGATCAACAATTCCCGTCTTATAACGTCGCAGAGGATGGAAACGCATACAGACCTTCGGAATCACCAGGCGATTACCTTATTTCAGGGTCACAATTACCGAACCAAGCTTCTGTACAGCCATCACCGGGACCATTTCAGCAAATGTCAATATCAGATATGGGCCCGTCTTTATCAGATCTGCCTATGTCAATGACAGCTGGGGCCCCTGCTCCTGTAACATTGCGCAGCACACCAATGACTACGAACACTTCCAATGCCTCGGGTTACCACGATCTTGTCGCAGCGCATGCCCACCAATCCGTGCTTCCCTCTGACATGCAATCTACGCCTCACCAGGATCAGGCGTTGAATCTTAACGACGGCAGTCTTCCGTTACCGGATTCTCTTTTGCAGGACAATCTGACTTACAAGGGCCACCATACGTTTGAGAACGTGTCGCTGGAGGAACCAATAAGTGCCTTTGGTAGTACGCACAATGGTCAACTATGTGGCTCTGCTGACAATGTGCTGTTTGATCACCCTATCACAAATGGCCGAGAAACGATGGCAGCTGCTGCTTCCGCAGAAAAGAGCAAGTCTGTTCTTCCATATTCGTGTAATGTCTGTCCTCCCTACACAGCGGTGTTCCAGACCGGTGCCGAACTTCTTGATCATGTCAGAAGTCATCCTAAGACGCCGGAGACGAACACTCGGCCGTTCAGGTGTGCTCTGCCTGGCTGTGAGCGAACATACAAAAACGTGAATGGTCTCAAATATCATATCGAGGTCGCGTCTGGGTCCTTTGGACACGCGCCATCGCCCGCAGGCGGCAAGAAGAAGGAAACTACAATGGAGAAGGATCGGCCATATATTTGCCAAGTGCCGGGTTGTGGAAAGGCTTATGCAAACTCGAATGGGCTGGTGTACCATGAGAAACATTTCGATCACGGGAGGTTTGTCTTGAGAAGCACTGGGAGCCCTATGGATAGCGAGATGAGCGCAGACACGGAGAGATGATGTGAGCCTATGTGAGACTGTGACGATGATGAAACAACGAATATGGCTATGTCGCCTGCAGAAAACGAACGGCCAGCGGCTGATCTGGTCAGGGTAGAATGAGATGAAGCATGGCAATGTTGCTATTGCATATCCCTGGTCAGTCCGCTTCGCAGTTTATGAAGCCCCTGGGATGGCAATAACGACCGGCTCGTCAAGGACGCTGCTGCCACGGAGCAAATGCGCAAGGCAGAACCCAGGTAGCTTGAGAACTTTTGAAATAGAAGAAATGAACATCCAGCATTCTCGTTGATGTAGATTTTGCAATTGCAGCGGGCGCGGCCGCGGGTTCCTGGGGAACGGCGATAGGCGCAAGGCTCCAACGTAGCGAAGTGAAGGTCAACATAGAAGGGTTCATTCACCACCAACACCCGCTGCATTCACGAGGGCAATGGAGGGCAGCAATGGCTATCTACAGGTAGTCAACCCTACGCCCTTTCGTGCTGGCCTTCGCCAGACCAGGCAGAGTGAGCCCAGCGACGTGCGAATACCTGTTGTGCCGAGAGCAGTTCCTTCCACGTTCGAGAAAGTACTTTCGTTCGTCATGAGTGGAGGAGTACAGAGAGGTACCGCGTTTGTTGGTAAGCCATTGGTTTACTTCACCACAGTCTTCGTGTCGTTAGGTGTCTTTCTGTTTGGTTATGACCAGGGCGTTATGTCGGGCATTATTACTGGCCAGTACTTCAATGAAACGTTTAACTATCCCAGTCGAGCAAAACTGGGGACCATGGTCGCGATTTTGGAGGTATGTCCTTCGATCATAGGATCTTACAACTTACTTACCGTTGGTTCAGGTGGGTGCATTTATATCCTCAATAGCCGTCGGAAGGGTCGGAGACCTGATCGGTAGACGACGGACGATCTCTTACGGTGCATGCGTATTCACAATGGGCGGCTTGATTCAAACCATGTCTTCGGGCATGGTCAGCATGATCATCGGTCGCTTTACCGCGGGTATCGGCGTTGGCCTTTTGTCGACTATTGTTCCCATATACCAGTCAGAGATTTCACCAGCGGATCATCGAGGATCCCTAGCGTGCATTGAGTTTACCGGAAACATTATCGGATATGCGAGCTCGGTCTGGATAGACTATTTTGCGTCGTTCATCCCTAGCAATATGTCGTGGAGATTGCCATTGTTCATGCAGTGTGTTATGTAGGCTCATCTCTGGCTTTCGTACCTCCCTTGGAAGCTAACACGCTCTCTTGTAGGGGTTTTTTACTGGCTGTAGGGTCGCTGGCGATTGTCGAAAGCCCTCGCTGGCTGCTTGACCGTGATCACGACATCGAGGGCCTAACTGTCTTGGCCAATCTCCTTGCTAAAGGTGACACAGACAGCAAAGTTGCTAGAGATGAGTTCCGCTCTATCAAACAGGGGGTCTTGAAGCAAAGGATCGAAGGGGAGATGAGTTACGGAGAGATGTGGCGGAGGTACAAGAAGCGAGTTCTCATTGCTATGAGTTCCCAAGCCTTTGCACAGCTCAACGGCATTAACGTCATTAGCTACTACGCGCCTCTCGTCTTTGAGCAGGCAGGCTGGGTCGGCAGGGACGCGCTTCTCATGACGGGTATCAACGGTTTGGTCTACGTCGCCTCCACGATCCCGCCTTGGTACGCCATCGATTACCTGGGCCGGCGCTTCATTCTCCTCTCGGGAGCTGTTGTCATGTGCGTAGCTTTATCGTCGATATCATGCGTCATGTACCTGGACAAATGGTACACAGCCGATCTCGTGGTGGCTCTGGTCATCATATACAACGCCTCTTTTGGCGCGTCATGGGGGTAAGTCTTCGGAATTGTTTGTCGTAGGTCTCTCACAGCTAACACACACGACATAGTCCTGTCCCTTGGTTGTATCCGCCAGAAATCTTGCCTTTGACTATCCGTGCCAAGGGAGCTAGTTTGTCAACAGCGACAAACTGGGCATTCAACTTCTTGGTAGGAGAGGGGACTCCAGTACTGCAGCAAGCAATCAAGTGGAAGCTATACCTCATCCATGCCGCTAGCTGTGCTGTGAGTTTTGCTGTGGTATGGTTCTTTTACCCCGAGACAAAAGGTGTTGCGCTGGAAGAAATGGACGTCCTGTTTGGAGATACGGTACAGGATGACGAGGAGACTACGTCTTTAGTGAGGAGCGGACGATCCTCTATGGACGTAACACCTGTTCGCGGTACACCAGAAACACCAAGTACTCCCAGCAGGGTTGGGACTCCCTCAGATGATCTCGCCCGAGGCTTCGTCGTCAAGATGAAGAGCGGCATGCAAAGGATGGCATTGAGTAGACAAAACTCTGATTATGAGAGGTTGGGCAACGGCGACCAGCAGTCATGAAATGGTTATTATGAGTATGCTGCATAAAATGGCACAGGAATAGACTTCCAGGATTATATACATTTTGCTACCCCTATAACAACGCAAGAAGTCGAGCTCGAGGATGACGTCACCACCAGACTCACCACCAACCTCCGCGACCAGATCCGATCTCATGAAGAGGACGTTGATCACGGCTAGATCCTTCCTCTCATCATCAAAAAGTACAATGGCAACCGAACATCTTAACCGTCTCGCTGCTTCTAAGTCGCCGTACTTGCGTCAGCACATGCACAACCCGGTCGACTGGTATGAATGGTCTCCGGATGCATTGCAGCTAGCTAAAGAACAGAATAAGCCCATATTCCTCTCTGTAGGGTACTCTGCGTGTCATTGGTGTCATGTCATGGAAAGGGAGTCGTTCGAGAACCAGATCATCGCGGCTGCACTTAACAAATCCTTCATTTCGGTCAAGGTTGATCGTGAAGAGCGTCCCGATGTTGACAGGATCTACATGTCATTTGTGCAGGCTACTACCGGCTCAGGTGGCTGGCCCATGAGTGTCTTCCTTACTCCCGACTTGAAGCCAATCTTCGGAGGAACTTATTTCCCCGGTCCAGATGCCGTCAAGATGCACTCTGGCCGAGGCGGGTTCCTCCAGATTATCGAGAAGATCGCAAACCTCTGGGAAACTGACCAAGAACGCTGCCAAAAGTCCGCCTCCAACATCCTCGAACAGCTTAAATCTTTCTCTGCATCTGGAGGAACCGAGAACGACTTGTCTGACAGGATTGCTATCGATGCCTACAACTACTTCAGGAAGCGGTTCGACAAAACGAATGGTGGCTTCGGGGGAGCGCCAAAGTTCCCTACGGCAATCAACCTCTCCTTCCTCCTCCGTATGGGCAAATACCGTTCCGACGCGGTCGGCGAGAAGGAAGCCGAACACGCCCGTCAGATGGCTTTGCTCACTTTGCGGAAGATTGCTTTTGGTGGTATCCGGGATCACATCGGTTATGGTATCTCTCGGTACAGTGTGACGGCTGATTGGTCCTTGCCGCACTTCGAAATCATGCTTTACGACCAGGGTCAGCTTCTGGGTAACTACCTTGACGCCTGGCTCTTGACCGGTGATGACGTGTACCTTTCCACCATGGATTCTCTTGCGACGTATTTGGGTACGCAGAGGCTTGCACACCCTGGCGGTGGCTTCTACTCTGCCGAAGATGCCGACTCCCTTCCTGGCAAAGAGAGCCTCGAAAAGAAGGAAGGTGCATTCTATGTCTGGGAGTACGCTGAGTTTGAGAAGATCCTCGGCGAGGACGCTCATATCGCTGCTGCTTTCTGGGACGTCCGTCGAGGTGGAAACGTTGATCCTCGTCATGACGCCCACGATGAGTTGCTAAAGAAAAACGTCCTTTGCATCGTTCTCACGATCCCTGAGCTTGCCAAGAAGTTCAACAAGACCGAGGAGGAAACTGAGGCCATTATCAAGAGGTGCCGTCAGAAGCTGTGGGAATACAGGCAAGAGCACCGACCTTTCCCACACCTCGATGACAAGATCGTCACGAGCTGGAACGGTTTGGCTATCGGATCCTTGGCTCGCGCGGCTGCTGCATTGAAGGCGAAGAACCCGGAGAGGGCAAAGGATTACTTGAAGTATGCTGAAGATGCTGCGAAGTTTGTGAAGACCAACTTATACAAGCCCGAGAGCGGAAAGTTGATCCGTGTTTTCCGTGAGGAAGCCGGCAAGGTGGAAGGATTCACAGATGACTACGCATTCCTGATTCAAGGTTTATTGGACCTCTACGAAGCCACGTTTAACTCGGAGTACCTCCAATGGGCCCTGAAGCTCCAAGAAACGCAAGACACTCTCTTTTGGGACGATACCGACGACGCCTACTTCTCGACCCCAGCATCTGCCTCCGACGCCATCCTCCGCCTCAAGGATGACCAAGACAACGCGGAGCCAAGCTCCAACGCCATCGCAACCAGCAATTTGATGCGTCTCAGTGCGTTCACCGGTGATCGGGAGATGGAGGACAAAGCTGACCGCACGTGCCGTGCGTTCGCCGGGACGCTCGAGGATGCGCCGTTTGCGATGACGGGTATGCTTCCGACTGTCATCGCCCAGATTGCTGGTATGCGCCAGGTCGTCGTCGTCGGCTCTCTCGAGGATCCGAAGACCCAGGACTTCCTCTCTACGATCCGTGCTCAGTTGATGCCCAACGCCGTTGTGATGCATATCGACCCCGAGAATCCTGATGCACTCATTGTTGAGAAGAACGAAGTCATTAGAGAGATTGTTGGGGACAAGAAATCGCCGGTTCCTAGGGTTCACATTTGTGAGGGCTTTGCTTGTGGACTGCCGATCACGGATGTTGGCAAGCTTCAGGAAAAGTTTTAAGATACACCGAGGCGATGTCAGAACACGTAAGGAAGCCAGCTTTTCATATGCATAGGACATACCTATCAATACCTTCGTGAAAGAATGTCAACTTTTATTCCGTGTCGGAACCCAATAGAACCCATTAACGCCGAACCTTACCAAAGAAAAACCAAGAGAATGCCCATACAACTCGTCCAGACAGTCGTCAAATAATGCCATTCTTGCTGTTGTCCATCACAAGCGATCGTTCATTAGCCCCGCCTCTTCACGCCTCTTCCTGCGCAACGGCACACAGTACCATGCCAGTTGCTCCTCTTTCCTGGATCCACTTCCAAACATCTCCCAAATACTCGTCACAACAGACGGTTTCTGCTGCCTCTCCGTAGGATATTCAACGTCCTCGACCACATGCGAACTCAACTTCCCAAACTCATCAAACTCGAACCAGAACCAGCCGGCCATACACCCCTCGTCCGAATGCGGATGGTCAAGGGCGGTTTGCCAGCGGACCATGAGACGTTCACGACCGTTCACCGTGATCATCCTTTCGGAAAGGATTTCGAGACGGACGTGGTTTGTCGGGGGTTGACGCTTCAAGATGACCGGAACAGTCCAACATGCGAGACGCAGTGCTGCTAGGTATGGGACTCGGCCAGAAACTCTGGGGATGTTGGGGTGTGTCGAGGGAAAGAGGTGTAGCTTGACTGATGGAGAGAGGATCTTGGCTGGAAGGGGAGTTTCGAGGATGTGTGGGAGATGCTGCCTGAGCGTACGAATGGCTATAGCGATTTTAGAGACGTATTAAAGAGCAGTTTAAAAGGGTTTGGACTTACTCTTTCCGAGAGTCACCTCACGTTCGTCAGGCTGACCAAGTCGACGCTGATTGGACGAGAGGGATTGCTCGAAGAACACGCTGGGTTGAGGATCCAAGCCGGGAGAAGCCCTTAACAACCGGGTATCAAAGACCTCATTGAACGTCCTTGTGCACTCCCCTGACTTCGAGACGTACTCGCCGGCATGGCTCGAGCAGAAGAATGTTGAGGCCGGCAGATCAGACTTGGTGATCTTGACGTGACCGGCCAGCGTCGACGCAAATCGACGGGAACTTTGCAAAGCCTGATTCAACTTCATGATCTGCTGTTCATGAATGGTCAAATGGATTGTTTGCTTTGACGCCGTGCTTGTTAGATGGGAACTTTATTTTCGTGGAGCCGCAGCCTATCGGACCGCTATAGCGGCAAAGGCACGTGCGGATGGGATTCTGGGGAATTCGACGCAAGATGGGAAGTTGATGGACATCGACTCGGGTGTTTATAGGCAATGGTTCATCTGGAGATAATTGCGTACCAGTTATCTCGTTCGTAGCCTGATTCCATCACTTTGCCACCTGCCTCCACGACCCGCTCCTCCAGTTCGTCCTTCTTGAAGAGGTGGTAGTATCGCTGATAGACCTTCTCTGGTTCCTTCTCTTTTCCTTCTGCTGGATTTTCCGGTGTCCCCTCTGCAGCTTCATCCTTGTTGCGTCTTGATTTCGGTTGCTTTGGCTTCTTCTCCTGGAGTACCCACGGTACCATAACGTCCTGTTCACCCCCTTCATCCCACCCTCTTCTCGAGTTCTTTTGCTCCAGAGCCCAAACAAAGATAAGCGCCTGACCGTCTGGCTTCAAAGCAGCTAGCACCGTCTTGATAGCCTCTTGCCGGCGAACGTCAGTGGAGAAATGATGGATAACGGCGATTGAGATTGCAAAGTCGAATCGTCCTTGTGGATGAGGGATAGCGAGGCCATCAGCTACCAGCGCTTCGTGGCCTCTCTCATGAGCGATCTTAATGAGATTATCGCTCCTGCAGTGATGTGAGCGGTCGGCTTCCATAGCTTGTCCGTTCGGACATACCTGTCCGAGCCAATGACATAGATGTTAGGGTTGACACCGAGGTACTTGCCATTTCCGCACCCCACGTCGATACCTATAGCACCATCTGGTCTTTCTCTCAGGAAGCGGTCCACAACAGGCCATGGCTAACACATAGAGGTGAGCCTTTGTCCATCATTAATCTGGGTTGCAGAGCACACCTTGTACCGTGTCTCGGAAAAGTGCGAGGCAATGACATTGTAGACCTCATGGACGTGTTCCCGCTCGTACGTCAACTCATTTGAAGCAGGCGACATCCTCAGACGTTCGACGACCGAAATCGGCAGAGTTTAAAGTTTCCGTGTAACGTTGACAAAGTGCCTTGCAGTCGAAGCGCACGCCACTGAACTTTTTCTGAACAGTGAAGGAAGACGGGTACTGAGCTTTCGTCTTTGATTCCAGCCGTTCTCTCTTGCGTTTGCGTCTGAGTTTACTCCCAACAGTGCCGTTCACGCCTACTTTATTCTCTTGCCGCCGCGCTCTTCTTCACATCGGTACCTCCGTTGCCGCTTCACGAATGGCTACCATGACCATGCCTGCGCAGAATGGAGACGCGCTCGGAAACATTTTCAGCATTTCCGCGAACAAACATTCGCTGAAGGATTTGCTCGCGGAGCCTGTGCGGTTCAGGAAAGCTACCTCCTCCGCGGACGGACCCGACCTTACGAAGAAGTATACGCCCCTGAACAGACCGCCACGCACAGCTGAGGACAAGTCCAAGCCAAATGGAGTACCTAAAGAGGATGAGTCAGAAGGCTCGGAGCCAACCGCGGATGAAGACGGCGGCGACGTCCTCGAAAAGCCGCAGAAAGTGCTCTTTCCCGCGAATCAACTACCTACTACATGGGGTTCCAGTGTCTATCAGCCAGCACCGGGACTGGACAACCTGGGAAACACCTGTTTCTTGAACTCGGTCATGCAGGCCATGATGCATGTCCCACCACTTGCGAGGTATTTGCTGAGCGGCGTCCATTCTGCTGAATGTCGGATGAACGACTGTGTTTTCTGTGCCATGGAGGAGCATGCTGGCAAATGTTATCCCAACGGCGGAAAAGGACGTGCAAAGGCATTTGCACCAAAGGGAATTGTGGGAAAGCTGAGACATATCTCGAAGTTGTTTAGACTGGGACGTCAAGAAGATGCTCACGAGTTCATGCGTTGTCTTATCGATGCTATGCAGAAGTCTGCTCTGCAAGGACATAAGAAGCTTGATCCAAGAAGTCAGGAGACGACTGTAATTCACAGAATCTTCGGTGGGTATATCCGTCAGCAGGTGCGCTGCTTGAAATGCAAGCATCCCTCCAATACATATCAGCCGATGCTGGACATCTCGCTTGATATTGGAGGTGGAGCTGGAAACAGCATTGAGAGTGCGCTGGCGGCATTCGTCAAGAACGAGAAGCTTTCGGGCCGGAATAAGTATAAATGTGAAAAGTGCCGAACATTGGTCGATGCTCTGAAGGGGTCTGTGATCTATCAGGCTCCCCCTGTGCTTACCCTTCACCTTAAGAGGTTCACATTCGGCGGCGGTTTCCAGTCTTCCAAGATCGGCAGGCATGTTCAGTTTGGCGAAACACTTGATATCGCACCATACATGGCCCCGAACCAGGCGCAATCCATATCGAAATACAACTTGGCAGGCGTGGTTGTACACGAAGGTGGCAGCACGCGCAGTGGTCACTACATCGGTTTCGGAAAGGGGAGCAATGGTGTATGGATGGAGTTTGATGACGCGCACTCATCAAACGTGAGCGTATCAACGGTGTTGAAACAGAAAGCATATATCCTTGTGTATACGAAAGGGTCCGAAAAGTCCTCATTCAAGCCTACTACCCCAGCAAAGGTTAATGGAACTGCTTCGACGGATTCACCAGCATCGGAGCGTGGTTCGGCACCGAAGAGCAAGGTGAACCCCTTCGCGATGAACCTGGCAGCAAAGGCAGCACCAAAACGGGCTCGTGACGAAGAACTTGGAATCCCTGTCGTCCGTGCCAATGGGTTCTCCAAGGAATTCAAGAAGAATGCATCAAAAGACTACGACAGCCGCATCGCAAAGAAGCGAAAGAGACAATCGGATGCTGGTCCAGGCGGACACATTCCGAGTCCGCCCAAAAGCAGGAAAAGTCTCGGGATTGACATGGGTTCAAAAGTCAAGAGAATAGCGATGATGAAGGCGCGCAGGTCCTTGTGAGTTGAGTAGAATACTGCCGGAGCATTGCATGCGTGGGTCAGAGATTAGAGGCATCTGGTGTTTGGGTATCATTATCATTTCTACGGCCTAATAAATGCTATCAAGAGCATGGTCATTGTCCTGGTGTAGCACTTCAAACGCGAACCGGAGCACATGTGCGTGAACACAACGGCGGGGGTTCGGTGCTGCCTTCCCCGCAAACGCGACCCTGCAGCCGTCCCATGCGCATACACCCGGCCCACCGACTTTTGCTACCCTTGGACCGTTTGATTTTACGATACGAGAGAGACGGCTATCGTCAAGCAATCAGCATCGCCCTTGCCAATTCAACCCAAGAATCTCCGCATTCATTCCCGAGAATCACAGCGTGACGTGATCATGGACTTCTTTCGCGCGTACGACAAGTTCATCCTCGCGAACGCCGGGCAGGTGTCTTCGATCGAGTCAACATTGCGTTCGTTGACATATGTACTACCTGGTTCGGAATCGTCCGTGTCCTTCAGGATGTTATCGGTAACTGACGGTTCGGTGCAGGTCGCTTCAAGGATGCCGAGCTTGCAGGAGAAACGCGTAGGTCATGGTCATCCACGGTTTATGTACGTCAGCTAATGTCTCGTCTTGCAGTGCATTCAATTCTGCAACTGGTTGGCATTTATCACGACTCTTTACTTGCTAAAGCTGTTGCCGGTCTGCCGTCTTCGGTTCAGAAGCCAACGCCGACACCACATAGCAGATACACGAAGTTCTGGCTGTCTTCGAACTCGAAGTATAAACACATCGCGCTCATGATTGTTGTGGTGCAATATACAGAGCTCTTGCTGGAGATGATGGCGAAAAAGAAGTGGGGAGAGAAGGGGAGGTGGAGGACGATCATCGGGATTGAAGGGTTCAAGTAGGTGAACACAACTTGTTCGTTGTAGCAGGGGCTAACAAATCATTATAGAGCGGCTTGTCGTTTATGTCTCTTGCAGCTGACAAAGTCGCGCCCTTTGGTTGAGCCCCCCATGCCCGGACGTGAGATTGATCCCGAAACACTTGAGGATCTGAAGACGAAGGCGCGTCACCCAATGAGTGACCATGCTTCCGTATCAGAACAGAGTGAGGTCTTCGACGACGGCCACTGGAAGATGCCGCGCACGGGGAAGATTCTCCCGACAATGACCTCAAACCACGCCGATTCCGTGACCGATTTCCTCCTTCGCAAAGTCCTTACGGTGGATGACGTCAAACCACCCCTCCAACTCCTTCACAAACTCCGCGGACTCGGAAAAGTGGCGGAGGTGTTATACATCCTCAGACCAGTCATCTACGCGGTCTTGATGCGACACTGGAGCAAGAACAAGAACAGTAGGTGGAAGCCATGGTTGGTCGGTCTTGCTATGGAATATCTTGCTAGGCAAATGTCGAAGAAGGATTTCGAGATGCATGTACCGGGCGGTATGAAGGCATTGACGCGGTTGGAGAGGGAGGAGATGAAGAGGAGGATGTGGGCTATGGGGTGGTGGGCTCTGCGTGGAGCGTTCTACGAAGACATCACCAAGTGAGTTCACTGTTGGTTTATGGTCCGACCGGAGTACTAATGCTATTGATAGGCCCTTCATGGATGGTGTTGCGGGATGGTTGGAGAAGAAGCCGCTTATCGGGCTTGCGGGTAGTCTTATTGGTGACTACCAGTACCTGTGGGAGAAGTACTACTTTTGTATGTGCCCTCAATACTCGTATGATGGACACCATGCTAAAATCTCTGCTAGCTACCGCAACATTGTGAGCGCACACATCTATTCGCTCAAGTACAGGGCGGGGTATATCTCAGGCGTTTCTTCTTTTTTGGAATTGGCGAGGTTGCATGTAGCTCGTGTGGTCGCTCGTATCTATCTATACAGCAAGAAAAAACAAAATGCGTTCCTGAATTGTAAAAAGGAATGTTTATGCAACACGCCATACCAAAGCAAAGGAGTAACAGTAACCCAACTCTGGTTAACGTATAGAATGTGCCAAAAGTAGCGGCCTAAGACAAACTTGACTCATTAAACGATCACCACCTAGTGTCCTCAAGCTTAGGCTGATCTGCGATAGCTATAGATGAAAGGTCAATAGCAGTCGGCGAGCATGGATGGGTTCACTTACTCACGAGCTGATCCTCCTCGATGTCTTGCAGGAACGGCGACTCTTCCGCTTTCAAAGCGTAGATCGCGTCAACAGGCGCAACTGCAGAGAATCCCTTGAATAGGGTGTATCGGTGCGTCAGTTCGCCGCCAATCTTTAGTGTCATGTCAGCATGAGTGCAGTGTGTTGGGGCTGATGATACAACGTACGGACTTGATGTTCTCAATAGCAGCATCGATCACCTTCTCCGGTGTGTTCGAGGCATAGCGGACAATGAACGCCTTAGTCTCTGTTCAACGAGTAAGCATCTATGCACACCCATGTCAGCAAGAAGCTCTCTCACCTTGCTTCAAGGAGCCCATCGGGGCCGCTTCAGCGAAAGCCCCAACGATGCCAACGACAAGGACGATCAAGACGGTGAAGAGTGATTTGATATTCATGATGAAGTTATAATCTCAGGCGTTATCGATAGAGGTGCGCTTATGGCGGTGGGGTTGCGATTGCGTACGGTTCTGCATGACGTTGCATCACCTCCAACAACGAACATCCCACCAAGAAACACAAAGTAGGAAGATTACAGAGAAGTGGTCTGAGTGGAGTGTCTCATGCCATTTCTTATATCTAGAAAACGCCTTCCATATGGAATACCCAAAAATAACAATCCTAATGAGATACAATACAATCAATAAGTGGCATTCCGTGACTTACATGCCAGACGCCTTTTTCCACATATCCTACATCAATCGCCTTCGTTCGCAACATGGCTGCTCGTTTAGAAGCCACCCATGCCGCCCATACCACCCATACCTCCCATACCGCCCATAGCAGGAGCAGCAGACTTGTTCTCCTCTGGTGCGTCAACGATGATGCACTCGGAAGTGGACAACAAGGAAGCAACACCGACGGCATCAGTAAGACCGGTGCGGGTAACCTTGAAGGGGTCGAGGATACCGGCCTCAATCATGTCAACGTACTCACCCTTGGCAGAGTCGTAACCACGGTTGAAGTCCTCACCGTACTCGCCGATCAACTTGCCAACGACAACGGAGCCCTCCTCACCAGCGTTCTCGACGATCACACGAGCAGGCTTCTTGATAGCCTCCTGGATGATCTTGACACCGAGCTGCTGGTCGAAGTTCTGCATCTTGAGGTCACCGAGAACACGGGAAGCCTTAAGGAGAGCAGTTCCACCACCAGGGAGGATACCGTCCTCAACAGCGGCACGGGTAGCGTTCAAGGCATCGACGAAACGGTCCTTCTTCTCACCGACCTCAACCTCGGAGGAACCACCGACCTTGATGACGGCGACACCACCGGACAACTTAGCGAGACGCTCCTGGAGCTTCTCCTTCTCGTACTCAGAGGTAGCAGAGTCGGCCATCATGCTGCGGATCTGCTCGCAGCGCTGGGATACGGCGTCCTTGTTACCCTCACCGTTGAGGAGGATAGTGTCCTCCTTGGTGATGGTGATAGATCCGGTAGTACCGAACATCTCAGGGGTAGCACGCTCGAGCTTGACGTCCACCTCTTCAGAGAAGACAGTACCACCAGTAAGGACGCCAATGTCAGCGAGGATAGACTTGCGGTTGTCACCGAAGCCAGGGGCCTTGACGGCAGCGACCTGAAGCTGGCCACGGAGCTTGTTCAAGATACAGGCAGCAAGGGCCTCACCGTCAATATCCTCAGCGATGATGACCAAAGGACGACGCTGCTGAGCAGAGATCTCAAGGGAGGGAAGGATGTCCTGAAGAGCGGAGATCTTCTTATCGGAAAGGAGGATAAGAGGCTTCTCGAACTCGATCTTCTGCGTCTTGACATCGGTGACGAAGTAAGGAGAGATGAAACCGCGGTCGAAGCGCATACCCTCAGTAATCTCAAGCTCGTCGTTGACAGTTTTTCCCTCCTTGACAGTGATAACACCCTCCTTGCCAACCTTCTCCATGGCGTTGGCAATCATGCGACCGACGTGGGCGTCAGAGTTGGCGGAGATAGTGGCGACCTGAGCGATCTCCTCGGAAGTGGTGATGTCGCGCTTGTTCTCCTGTAGGAACTTAACGACGGCCTCAACGGCAGCCTGGGCACCGCGACGGAGGTCCATGGGGTTGCAACCAGCGGCGACGTTCTTGACGGACTCGGTGAAGATGGCACGAGTGAGGACAGTGGCGGTAGTAGTACCGTCACCGGCGGTCTCGTTGGTCTTGTTAGCGACGTCCTGGACGAGACTATAACACAGTCAGTAAAAGTTCAAGCAAAGGCATAGAGGCAATTGACTCACCGAGCACCCAAGTTCTCGAACTTGTCCTTCAAGGTAACGGCCTTGGCGACAGTAACACCATCCTTGGTGATCTTAGGGGAACCGAAGCTCTGCTCGATCAGAACGTTGCGACCCTTGGGACCAAGGGTAACGGCGACAGCGGAAGCGAGGACGTCGACACCACGGAGGAGGGCGGCACGGCCCTCAACACCGAACTTGATCTCCTTGTGGCCACCGAAGTGACGGATACCAGTACGGAGGACAGAGGAAGTGTTGCGAGAAAGTAACCTTGATGACATTTTGACGTAACTCTTGATCTGGGATCAGAGGGGGACTCTGGAGAGTTTCGGGGAGGCCGAGCGGATCAAATACTTCGCCCACTGCTGTGGCTGGCGCGCCCGTCCCCAGTCCCTGGAATGTTCTAAGCTCCTCGAAAATCCGAGTAAATATCCCTGGTAAATTGCTATCATAAAGGGTATTCCTAAATCATACACTCATCCTCGTTGCCTCCCATAACCCCCTTAGAAGTCCGAGATCGGACAATCCTGAGTAATCATCTTCGTCACCTTGACCTCTCCGCTCAAAGAGTCGTTCATGTTGGCACCGACTGGAGCTACATCAAACTCAAACATATCCAAAGGCAATCCAAGGGTAGTACACGCGTTGGGGATGTCCACAATAGCTGCGATGTGACCCTCAACAGGCGCTGCGGACAAAAGAAGGTAGATCTGGTAGTCAGAGTATCCGTAACGCTGAAGATACTTCACAGCATTGAGACAGGTCTGCTTGTACGCAAGGTGGACATCGAGGAACTTCTGCTCGCCGGTGTCAGCATCGACGGAGATACCCTGGAAGGTCAACATGCGACCAGGGCTGAACTGAGGCTGCACGGGTCCAGGAAGGTACATGGGCTGACGTAAACTCAATGCCTCAACACCTCCAGGAATGATTCCAAACTTCAAGGTGATAATACCAGACATCTCGATAGCACCACAGAAAGAGATCTCACCATCACCCTGGCTGAAGTGAAGGTCACCGATGGAGAACTTGGCTCCGTCGAGATACACGGGCATCCAAGTTCGGGAACCACGACTGAGGTTCTTGATATCAACGTTTCCTCCGTGCTCACGAGGAGGAACAGTTCTAGCACCCTCCTCCCTAATCCTCTTCGCCAACTCATCATCGCCCTCAAGAGCGGGAGCACCAGGGTGAGCTCCGTCGGCGGTAGGCAACTTCGCAACATCCATTGATCCGTGCGAGTGGCACAGTCCTGACTCACGCTCCGTCCACTTGGCGAGCAACTCCTTGGAAGGAGCACAGCCCATCAATCCTGGATGGATGATACCGGGAAACCTAACTCCAGGAATGTGTCGTGACTTGGCGTAAATTCCCTCGAAATCCCAGATAGCCTTCGCGGCCTTTGGCATCTTGTCAGCCAAGAACCCACCACCATTCTTAGAGTGGAAAACGCCGGTGAATCCCCAGTTCTGTTCCTTGAAAGGCTGGATCTCAAGGATCTCAACGAGAAGTGCATCTCCAGGCTTAGCACCTTCAATCTCAAGGGGGCCGGAGAGGTAATGAACGCGGTTAAGGTCGACATCACGGATATCGTCGGCAGAGTCATTGTTGCCGATCTGACCACCGGTCCAGTCGACACACTCTACGTTGACAACTTCACCCGGGGCTACCTTGGCGGCGAAAGGAATCTCACTGAGACAATGATTAGCGATCAATTAATACTCCAAGGATCGGAGTTCTCATACGGATGCCATCTGTTGTGGATGTGGGGCTGCTCGAATGCAGGCTTGTTGATGTCAACCTTGATGGCTGTTCTGATGGTCATGACGAAATGTTTTAGTTGGAAAGAAGGTGCGGATCAAGCTTGATGATCAGATCAAGAAGGCCCAGACAAGTGGTATTTGTAGAGGATGCCGTGGCTTGGTTGCTTACAGGGTTCTCCTATCTCATCTGGTCCCATGTCAAGAGATGGGGTTCCCTTCCGCCGGATAAATAGAGATAGCGATGGACAGTTGCCGTTTTCCTTATCAACTGGCTGAGCTTAACAATAAGCTTGCCGACCCGATACGGCACCGGTGCGACCGTCAGCTGCGCGCGTCTAAAGTCACAGGCAAGCAAGGCTGATGAGTGTGGGAGAAATAAAAAAACAAATCAGAGTAGAGTTCAAGGTCAATTAGGTACACATATCGTACAATAATGCAAAGCGTAGGCTTCCTAAGGACAAACACCGACCACGGTATACCCATCCTTAACCCACGGTAACGCCACACAACCAATAACCTAAATGAAAGTGTGTATATAAACAATTGCAGTCCATCAACATACATACGCCATCTATCTTAATCTCTCCTGAAGAACGGTGGCAGCTGCCCCTGTCCGGACGGGTTGCTTGGCTCTCCTGTCCTGGGATCGTAGCGCATGCCACTGGTTGCCGGGCCTGGTGGCCCTCCTCGCAGCGAAGAAATAGGAGGAAGAATAGGAACCAACGATGTTGGTTGATGAGTCGACAAAGGCGGAAGCTGAGGGGGCATGGTTGATGAGTAGCTCGGGTATCCACGCGCATCACCATAGTATCCACCATAGCCATGTGCTACAGGCCGCATATCCGGCGCTGATGGTGCCGGCGAATTCAACAGCGTGCTCAACGAAGATCTTGGCGGAGGGTAATCCCCGAGAGATGATGTGATCGGCGGCAACGGCGAAGCGCGCGGCATAGGTGGGCCCAATGCAGTGATGGAAGGAAGCATGGGCTTGTCGCTCATTTGACTCCGCGGAAGCGGCGGCGAGTGCATACGAGACGGTGGTTGACTCTGCATCGCAGCATCGGGCTGCGGATACCATGTAGCCACGCGTGGGCCACCAACCGGTTCGTCATTAAACAAACGACCGATGCCTGGTAAGCTGCGACCAGTCTGCTCTGGTGACTGCGGGTAGCTGTTTGAGATCGAAGGAAGCGGATTGAATGGATACGCGGAACCGCTAGACGAGCGAGTGTACTCCATCTGACGTACCCCACGATCGTAACACTGATAGGAAGAGGCCGTTGAGGCTGGGAATGTAGCTTGACTTCTGTTTGCGGCAGCTTGTAAGATCTCAGATGTAGTTGGTTGACGAGCAAACCCTGATTTGTCAAGACCAGGAGCTTCCGCAGTAGCAAGAGTGCGTCCCTCAGTTTGCCTGGGGATGAGGATGACGGTTTGAGCGTGGCGCTTGTCCGGCTCGTCTGGTAGACCTTCTTCTGAATTGTCAACAGTGTCAGGTACACTAGCGCTGCCTTTGCTCAAAGGATTCATGGCCACTAGAGTATCGAATCTGTCGGCATTCTTCAAGTAATGGTTCTTTACTTGAGTTGCCGTCTTTGTGCCAAGTGCATCTGCAATCGCATACCAATCTTTTCCATATCGGACAAGCAGAGCATTAAAATCAGACATTTCCTGTACGGACCAATAAGACGACGTCGTTCCCCGGCGACTGCCCTTGCGAGCTGTTCCGTCAGCATCATAATATTCCTGCATCGTGGGAGAAAGGGGACGGTCATCCTCGGCCATCGCGCCACCTAAAATGGGACCCGTTTGCGGCACGCCTTGAACCTGCGGGGATCGCGAGGCTACAAGGATTGAAGCCGGGAAGCCGGACATGTCCACGGAGGGTGTCACAGGTACAGAGCCAGCGCCAAGCATGCCAGCCAGGACGTTAGCCACATCGGCTTCCTTAGAGTCGATTTCGGGGAACGCAGCAGGAGTACCGACTGACTCGTCTTCAGCGCTGCTGGGTCGTCCTTTATCTTTCTCAACCTTGGGAACCTTCCGCGCAGAAGCTACTCGCCCAAGCCGAGCCTTCTTTGTGACCGGCGCTTTGACGTTGGGAGTAACCACTGCACTAACGGACTCCGGTGGCTCTGAATTCGAAGTGTCATCATTTCCTCGCTTCCTCCGTGTACCCAGCGCAGCTGCAATAGGGTCTGCCCCAGTGGCACTGGTCGCATCCTCTAACAATCTCTGGGACTCGCTCTTGCGTTTCGGTTTCGGGAGGTTTTCTTGGACTGCTGTAGACGCATCCTCTTCGGGAGCCTGTGGCGCAGTGTTGTCGTCTTCCTCATCATCCTCTTCGTTCCTGCCCAAATCAGCCATAAGCGCACTGCCTTTGGTCTTGCCAGATTTCGACTTCTTGGTCTTCGACCTTCCACCCTTGCGCTTCTTGCTACCTTTCACTGAATTCAAAGATCGATAGTCGACAGTCTTCTTGGTCAAATAATAATGCAAAACACACTGTTGCGCCGTCTTCTCGGGGATGCCCTCGGCGATCTTCCCAAATTGCTTGGGAAACTGAATATAACGCTGACAAAAAAGGGCATGCTCCTCGTCTGTCCATACGTCCGGATGATTCGAAACATGATAGAACTCCACCGGGTCCACCCGAACGCGGTGATTGTCGTCGTAATACGCGAGCTCCTTCCGTTCCTTCTCGTCCAAGATCATCGACGGAATCGTCGCCGTCGTCAGTTTCGCTCTAGCGTTGGGATCACGTTGATTTTCCCATTCCAAGTTTGCCAGAATCTCCAGGAACTCGGCTTCCGAGCGTGCGGCATCGCCGTGATGGAAGCCTGCAGCGCCACCCGGGTTTCTGCGAGAAGCACGTGTAGACGTTCCATAGGATGCCGCGGTATCTTGTACTACGGGGGCAGCCGCTGCCTGTGCAACAAAGCGCTGTTTTTGTCTTTCTTCATTCTCTTTCATACTGTCGAGTTCTGCAGTATACGTCGTCCACTGATCATGGAGACGCTTGTATTGGCGCTTCAATGCCAGTTCTTTCTCATGTACAACAGCTTTCCTTTTTCCAAGCACGCGAAGCATCGCTGGCCGGAGCTGGTCAGCGGCAACAACCGCGTCCTGAATTACCTGGGTCGTGATTTCAGCCGCCTTGTCCGAAAGATAGAGTTCGGCCAAGACAAGATCTCTTGACGCATTCCTCTCAATCTCGTTTTGTTTGTACACTGCATAAACGATTGCTTCTTCTTTCTCCGCTTTAGACGCGAAAACTGGCTCACCAGCAATGCGGCCGTCGAATTGAAGAGTCGCTTTTTGTTCTGCTTGCTCGAAGCGAAGTTTATCCAGACTGTCTTCAGCCGCTCGTTTCCGGCCCTTAACGGATCCGAGCTCTTGCTCCAGTGAATGCATCTCCTTTTCAGCTGCACAAACGTCCTCCTGGCTAATCGACTTCATTGGTGCATCATCAACAGCAGGCTCTTCAGATATCTCAACATTAACCTGTCCTGCCTTTCTCGTTGCCACAGCGGTACCAGAATTCTGAACTGGAAAAACACTCTCCGAAGGAGCGTCGGGCGCACCAATAGTTTCGTTCGCTGCAACGAGACCATCGACAGTTTTTAGAACATCACTGTTGATATACTTTACCGTGTCAGGCTGCCTCGCATCTGCGATGTGCGCAGTCACTGCGTCGGCCTCTGGGACAGTGTCCTGAGGTTTATTCACGGGAGCATACTCCTCCCATTTCGCTGTAGTCAAAGGGGGTCGCTTAGCAGTCGAATCGTCCCTCGACTGGACGTTACGGTTGTCCTGTTCAACACGAGCTAATCGCTCGGCCTTACCTTCGATTTCAAGGCGCTTCACACCCTTTCTGTCAAAGCTGCCAGTTTTCTCCGCATCTGCGACTAAGAGGCTTCCCTCCATCTCACCGCGTTCTGTAACTTCCTCTCCGCCGCTATCCTTGTTCGCATTACCATCCATGGATTTCCTCTCTTGCTTGGGGCTCATCCTCGCGAACGCTTCCCGAACAGCTTTCGCGCCTTCGCTCGCGCGTCTCTGCATATCTTCCGTACTCTGTCTCCGACTGAGACTCTCCTTGTCATCTTGGGACGACTTCGCAGCTGGTTGCGAGGTTCCGGCCGCTGATGATTTGGCAGGCAAGGTTCCTGCACCAGTCCGGAAATCACCGGATCCGCGACGAGAGGACGGAGATGACGAATCTGGCGCAAATCCCCCTTGGCGGGAAGCCCTATGTCTACTCGGGCTAGGAAAGCCCTTGTCACTGCTCAAGCTGGCAGGTCCGCCAACCGAAGTGATGGAAGACGAGCGCTGAGGCGCGGGCGCGGATGGAGGCCCTAGTCGGGCAACACTTCCCGCTGGAGGCATCGACTGGCGACTCGGCGGAACAGCTGGACCCTTCCAAAGACCTTGCTGAGGCCCCCCCGCATACCTCCCCTGCGGCCCAATGCGAGGTGGACCAGTAACACTCTGCGGCGGTAAAGGCCGGCCAGCCGAAATCATCCCTCTCGGACCCGTAGGTATCGCCGATCCTTCTCTCCTTAACGGTCCAGGAGGTGCCCTTAGGGGCGTGGGCGCTGGTATGCTATTAATCCCTGGTCTCACGCTAGTTGCACCTGCATTCATCCCAGGTTTCGGCGGAGGAGCACGAAGAATCGGGACTCCTGGTCGCGAAACTCCCATTACACCTACCATCGGACCAATACTTCCCTGACGCTGCGGAGGACCACCGGCAATTCCCGTTGACGGTTGCTGCCTGGGTTTCGTTGGAGGCGGCGCCGGGTCATGAGCCGTGCTCGGCGGTGGCGGAGGGGGTGTAGCAACTGCGCTTGTTGCCGAAGACACTGACCCCGTCCTTGGCGGTGGGCCATGACCGGGACCGCGCGAGACAGAGGGGCCGCTGGGAAGTTGTCCACCTTGTTGAGGTCGAATTGTCGACCCAGAACGAGTCTGCCGTCCTGCGGGAGTGGTCACGGTTGAAGCAACAGTGAGTGTATGCGTAGATCTGGGTGCAGCAGGGCGAACAGGGGACTGACTTACGGCAGCAAGTGGCGATCGTTTAGAAGACTGTTCCTCAGGCTGTCTCGGAGTTGAAACTCTGCTCACGTTTCCTGATGAGATCACTGCATTCATCGCTTTTTCTGAGCCTGTTAATGCCGTCGAAGGTCGCGAAGTTGTTGTCGACAGAGGGGTGCGGGTCTGTTCTCGCGAGATTTGAACTGACTGCGGCTCCTTCTTGATCGCTTCTGGCTTATGAGTACTTGATTCAGTTGACGCGTTAGTAGGTCGTGGCGCCGGCTTTCGCTCAGAGTCCTCCTGCCTTCGATCACGGTTCGGCGTCGCCTCGGGTATCGTAGGCAGAGCCTTTACAGATCCTGCCGATGGTGGGCGAACGGCAGCATCACTGGCCGCCGTCACCTTGTTCGTCCTCGTAACTTCTGTAGGTTTTGGCCTCTTAATATCTTCCTCCTCCTTCACAGGTTGCGTCTGATCGCCTGTATTCGTGCTCTTCCCTGACACGGATGAAGCCGCCGAACCTGTCCCAAACCTCTTTTCACGATTTGCTAGAACCTTAGCCGACTCCTGTACTCGTTCCATGGTATATCCTTCTCTAACCCCTGATCCCGGAATATAAGAAAGCCGTGATGAAGGACGATCAGACCCGCTACGCGGAGGATAACGATCCCTATCTGATGACAGTGGTCCTTCCACTGATCCACGAGAATTTGGCCGATCCGAGAGTGGTCTGTCCATAGGTGCACGCGACGTCGGCCTGTCTGATAATGGTCCTCGAGAACTTGGTCGCGAAAGGGGCGGTCCACGCGAATCTGCTCGTCTCCGGTCATCGGCGCTTGGCCTGACAGGTGGACCCAGCCCTCCCCTACGACTAGAACCTCCGTCGGGACTCGATGCGCGGGATGCCGAAGCCGAGCCTGAGGATGGTACCTGGGTCGAGGGAGGGCGGTACGATGATGATGTTCCTAACCCGGCCGCGACAGGTGGACAGGAAGGCGCGCTCGATGGGCCTGGTTTAGAGTCTCGATCAGCTTCATTTTGCCGTTTGAATTCCTCTGCGCGGCGCGCACGTTCTTCGCGAAGCTCGCGCTGTTCGCGCTCCCACTGTTCTCGTTCACGCGCAACCTGCCGCTCACGCTCTTGGTAAGCGGCTTCCCTGTCTCGTGGATCGCGTGCGGGAGGCCTTGATGGAGGAGGTGGCGGTCGAGCATAGGGATGGTGAGGCGACGGACGGTAGTCACGCGAAGGTATCGGTCGTCGCGGATCTGACAGGGCAGCTCGGGGTCCGTTGGGAGGGCCGCCACGCGGTGTAGGAGGTGGGCGGTTGTCGTAGTACCTTCCCGGCGGAGGCCTGTCGTTGTGCCGAGGAGGATACGACATCCTTCCTGGCCGTTTCCAAAGTGCCAAGTTGTTTGAGCGGCTGTGTTTTGGAGGTAGGGTGCGCTGGACCCCGGCTGTTGTGCGCTCCGGCGTTAGCGATGTCTGAGAGTCTCGAAGGGTTGCAGGTGCCAAGGTGAAATCCATCTGAAGCGGTCGTGGTATCTTTGCGAGTCTCTAGAACTTTGAACAAATGATCTCTGAATTACAGGTCATCTTTTTCCGACGTGGTGTGACGGTTCCCTGCCGAATGTGGAGAAGGATTGTGTCGACGTTACATCGATATCGATCTCCAGAGAAGCCCGCGTAAGGCCCGCAAGGTAAGCTCAGATCCATCATAGCCTTGATCATGGCCATTACTTCACAGGTAAATCTCTGTCGAGGAAACATACCTATCGCACCCAGCTGATAGGCAAGCAAGACCGCTCGTGCGTTCTTCCGCACTTCATATTCCAGGTCTTTCTTATTGTGCTCTGGTACCCGGCAGCTCACCACTGCCACCACTGCAACATCTTTACCAAAACCTACATGGTCCGTGAGCAGTTTACTTCCGGATGATGCGGCGCCCATATCCTCAGAGATCACACCAGAAAGACTGCGGCATCTCCTCAAGCTGGCAGCCCTTTCACCACCAAAGGATCATGAGGCAGAATCACGCATGCTAAAAGACCTGTCCGACCAACTGCATTTTGTCAAACATGTTCAGCAATGTGACACGACAGGAGTTGAGCCAATGGCAGGGATACATGCTCCTTTCCAGGGCACTGGGGAATTTGCTGGAGAGGAGGGCGTAGAGGTTACCTTTGAACAAGCCGAAGCTGCGGGAAAGGCAGCATACGGTGAAGGGGATGAGATGCTTTCATGGGACCCTGTGAAGGTTGCTCAGAAGATGGAAGGACGATATTATGTTGTGGAAGGTGGTTTGGTAAGGGAGGAAGAGCAGCAATGACAAATTACACCACGGACAGACACAACCTTTGACTAGGTCCTCAGTTTCCTCACGAGGGCTGATATTATGAATATGTGAATGCGTTACACTAATACCAACGCCGCCAACTCCAAAACGGTGGATATCCCCAAATACATTCTAGGAAGTGGAATATGCGCACCTATATCCCTTTGATGACATGCGCAAGGCAATCTTTCCAGCCTTCAGCAGCTCGCGACTAGCCCGGAGGCCTTCATCCCTGTCACTTTCGCTTGCCTCCGCCTCCTGTATCTTGAAATCCCTGAGATCACTTCCAGCTGTGTGCATGGCGAACATAGTCGCGTTGCCAGTGCTTTCACCAATGATGAGTTTGTCACTAGCCGGCGAGAAGGCGGCCGAAACGATGGACGATGACATCTGAGCAAAATCCTCCACAAAGGGATTACTTAACCTGCAATCCCAGACCTTCATTTTTCCGTCGGAGCCGCCAGTGAAGAGTTTGTCACCATATGAAGTCCAGATCGACAAAGCTACTCCAGTGTCCTTGTCCTCTGCGATTTCAAAGTCATTCATGACTGTAAGAGGTTCATCGTGCTTCAGGGTATGCAAGATGTGGTCGGGACGACGTTTGTCGTACACATACGTGTTGCCGTCTGTGCAGCTTGCCGTGATGAACGTCGTACAAGGACTCATGGAGACAACATTAATGTCCTTCCCCGGGCTATCACACTCCATTAATATCTTGTAGCTTCTAGCATCGAACAGGCGGATGTGCGCCATTTGGGGGTTCTTACGACCTCCACCGTAAGCGTTGACACCAGCCAGGAAGTACGTAGCATTATCATGCACGAAAACGGAACTGTGAGGCCCGGTACCAGGAGTGATACAACGCAACAGCTTTCCCTCGCGCACGTCAAAAGCGCAGAAAGCACCTGTTATCGACAGTTCCTCGCGACCTTCGTAACCGATGAATGCAACATCAGTCCACGGCCCTAGGCCAAAAGATACAGTTGACGCTTGTATGCCATCTTTCGGAGGCCTGAGAGTATCTGAGACACACGACAAGCCATCTTCGCTGATGTTCAATACACTGGTGTTTCCGGTTTTTCCAGCTGCCGCTACAACGCGTCCGTGGATGCGATTCACACCAATGGCGTTGATCCACCCGGTGCCGCCGATCTTCCCCTTCGGCGAAAACTTATTGATTTCGAGTCCCTCATTCGACCAGACGCGGACAGTTGCATCCCAACCTGCCGAGAATAACAAAGGCGCATCCTGCGCGAACTTCACCCCCGTCACGGTGGCATGTTCAATCTCACCACTGTCACCTCGAGACGCATGCCCATCCAACACCTTGATCAAGTCAGCATTGACGTCGCCCAGTAACAAGTTCCCGCCGCGGTTATAGGCGTCACGTAGAGCTACGCTACCTAAGGCAAATTGATCACCTGTGGCCGACCAACAGATATCATGCAGATCACCGCTTGACCGATTCACTGTCCGGAATGGCCGGAGATGTTGGAACGAATGCACCTGTAGCTGTCGCTGTATCTCGTCCCCTCCGTAGTATCTTCTGCCACCCAGCGCGCGATCAGCTAATCGTCGATCAAGATTGACTCTGCATCTTGATCCAGCTGTGGCAAGATCACCATTAGACCGTGGGATGCGGACAATCAAGCGATCACCGCTAGGCATCCGTAAGTCTGGATTGTCTTGGTACAGGCGGCGGACATCCTGCTGAGTCCGACCAGGCAGATACGATGAGATATCTGAGCACGAGAATTCATCGCCTTTGTGAATGTCTCGCAAATTCCGGAGAATATATATCTCCTCTGAAGTGAAATCCACATGTATAAGCTGACCCTGATGCTCGCGGAAACGTCTCCAATCCCTCGTGAGATACTTCCTGCATTGGACTGTCATGTACGGCCGGGTAGCTAAATCGGACGCGCTGGCATCATTAAGAGATATATCTTCCACACGGACACGGTCATGTTTGACCTGCTGTCGCCTGCGGCGCGAAGGCGGAAAATCCTCGACCTCTATTTCGTTCGCAAGCTGTACACTGACATCAGAGTAGGGATCGTATGCTTCGAAGTCACCCGCTTCTTCCAGATCGCTGTCTGATGTGCAATTCTCCCATGCGTCGTCGTCGGTCATTGCAGTTCTGATTGCTTCGGACGTAACAGGTCCCACTATACTTGCTCCCTCGAATGTTGATTGAGCATTCGCGGCTCGAGAAACTGTGCTCGCAGGTTGCGATATCGGGGCTTTTGGGAGCTCAGGCGTAGGCGTAGGCGTAGGCGAAGGTGGACGTTTCAAGGGTGGTAAAGGCAACGTCTTGAGTGAAGCTTGTATAGGTGAATCCGAAGAATGCGGGCGGATGACTCCTGTGTGCGCTGTCTTTCCCCCCGTTATTTCACCTCTCACGTCCTCATCCTCGTCATCGTCTGCCACTACCATCCTTCGCTTTGCGAACATGCCACGACGGATTGACTCATCACTTGAATCACTGCTACTGGTTGCTGGCCGAAGTAACCTTTCAACAGGTCCTGTAGGCGCGGATGAATTGCAACGCTCTGCCTGGGATGCCGGATGAGCGTGAGCATTACATGTATGGTGGTTCGCTGTCGTCTGCATGGCAGAGGATTCTTCTGACATTTGAAGTCCACCTCTTTTGCGCTTATGACTTTGTACCGGTATTGGACTTGTCGATTCAGCAGTCGTTGGACGGCTCGGAGGAAACAGCAATGTCTGAAGAACTTTCGTGGGTCGGGCAACCGATGCCGTGCGAGAGGGAACAGCTGCACAAGTCGGCTTTGGCGTACTAATGGCAGCAGTCGAGGCTAGGACGCTGCGGTCCGCTTGCGCTGTTGATGCGACAGGAACATTGACAGTTGTCTCATCGGCGTCCAGAATCATGACAACATCTCGAGGGACCGCAGCCCCTTCAGACCTTTGAGGAGTTCTCGTATACTTCTGAATCCCCTTGAGTGCCGCCGCCCGAATCCGGCTTAACTGCTCCTGATTTCGTCTTCTCGTCTCCTGTCGCCGTGCATCTCGTATCGTTTTGTCCCGTGCCCTCGTTTCCTCGCCGATGTCACCGGTAAGATCAATGAGGATAGAAGTATTGGCTTCGGAGCTGGGTGGCCTTGCTGGAGTCTTAGGCGGGTCACCACCGCCGCTCTTCGTTGACTGCGATGGGCTCATCCTTGAGCATGGTCGTACCGGGTGCGAACCTAGTTGGCCTATGGTGCTGCGACGAAACAAGACAAACTGAGGGGTTTCTTGATAGGTAAGATCACCTTACAGGCTGTTGCTGGTTTTGCGACAGATGTTGTCTAATGCCAGCAGCTGCTCGTGTTGCTGATATGAGAGCGCGAAATGTGGGGAACGTCTGACTGCTCGACCGCGCCGAATTCCCCGGACTGTCATGGCTTAATCAAGGATATACCAGACGTTGGTAGATGATGAGAGAGGTGATTTAAAGTTGTCCTAACTAACAGCATCCCCATTCGGTTGACTTACTCCCTCGGCATAATCCTCATCAGGATCATCCGCCACACCCTCCTCCACGCCTTCCTCTATCCACGTCCTCTCGTCTTCACCTCTAGGCAGTCCTTCCTCCGCATCCGGACGCACGCCCAAATGCATACCCACTTCATCTATCCAGAAATCCCTCTCGGTCTCCGTCGCCCCACTCCTTACCCACGGCGAAAAGCCTACCCGTACCTTCCGCTGCCCTCGTGGTAATCTCGTCATTATAATCCTCTGCGCAATGCAATTCGACCAAGACAACCCCAGCGCCGGCGTTTTAGCGACCCCTCGCCCGCCATCTCGATGCCTAACATAATCCCATCCGCTAAACCATCGCATCTGGTGGTCGAGGCTCAAAACATCTTGCGCGACCTCGTTTCCGAAATAATCAGCCACTTGATTCGCGCAGACGATTGCGAGATTGTGTTGTCGTGCCAGAGAGCGTAGGTGCTGGCAGAGTTTATTGATATCGCGTGACCGCTTTGCGAGATCCTTTGCAGATGCTCCGGTGTTGGTCGAAGCCGCTTCAGTCCGCCAATTTGCCGCGACGGAGTCTATGACGATCAAACTCACGGGATAACGTGACAACTCTACAGGTATCTGGTATTGTAGGATATGTTCTTGCGTCTCAAGATCCGGAATAGTGATAGTCAGAATATGATCCGAGACGTCCTGAAATCCTAAACCATTTGTCGAAGGTAACGCATTGAACATGGACAGTAATCGCCGAGTCTCCATACCACCCTCAGTAGAAATGTACATCACACAGGGTCTCTCCCGGTGCATTGTCGTATGCAGTGTAAGCTGTGTGAGGAAGTTGGACTTTCCTGCACCGCTGTCCTCGATTGGTCAGATCAACTTTAGCAAAGACTAGAAATTGTGACGAACCTATCTCCAACAACTTCGGTAATATACCCGCATGGTATACCGCCGCCTAATAGCACATCAAGGTCTTGTTCTCCAGTGCTGAGCCAGCGCATATTCGCGAGAGCAACGTCTGCCGTCTCATCCGGAGCGGGCGCGGTCGCCTTCGCGATGTCGTCCACAAGTGTCCGCACTTCGATTATCGATAACTGCGTCCTCCGCACAATCTCCGTAACATCATACGTCAGGATATCATTTGTTGTGAGCTTCGCTTACAGACCGCCCGTCAGCCTGAGAAAGTCGCACAAAACCAGGCAAAGTAGACTCACTACGCTCCAACGCGCTCGCTATTCTCGATGCAAGGTTGGCATCTTCGTAATCTTGAGTCTTCGAGGAGATTCGAAGGATTTGAGATATATCGGTCATGTTGCCGTCGAGTTGGTGTACGACAGCTTCTTGCATGGGGGTGCAGCGAATCTGCAGCTCGCCGACGTTGTGTGAACCTCGTAAGAAAAAAGCCATAAGCGACCCTTGAGCTCACAGAAGGTACTGCACCCCTCCTGATCTTTCGTGTTTCGATGCTTATGTAATTCCAGTCAATCTATACGATATGGGATTGTTCACTCGCCAGCCGGTGTCGTCGGAGGTGGATCAACTATCAGCTGAGCTAACAGACGCTCCGGCACCTGTCGAATCAACGCCTTCACCTGCCCAGGAGCTCTCATCTGCATACCAATCATACCTGGACTCCCAAGAGAAAGACAAGACTTCCGAGCCCACACTCGGCCCACAGGGTGAGCCATGCGACTGGCGAAGACATTTCGACGACGCATTCATGTGCTACACCGTTACTTCCCAATGGAAACACTACTACCGTTACGGCGAGCAGAAGGACTGTAACGCAAAGTGGGATGAGTTCATGTGGTGTTCGAAAACGAGGATGTACAGTAAGGAAGAGCAGATCCAGATGAATGACGAAAGACGGAGGGAGAGATTGGCAAAGTTGCGAGCAGCGAGGAACTCGGAGGAGGTATGGCCATTACGGAGGGTACCTCTGGCGGATCCATGGAATTATGAGGCGGAACCAAAAGCAGACACCGATCTTAACGCTTGATTAAGGCTAGGCTAAGCAACACATACAAGGCAAATCATCATTCAACTCCCATACAACAGAGCCCGTCTTGAAGATGGTACATTCTACTCCTTTGCTTTATCAGCGCAATGACCCACATGCTTGCAAATGGCTCCTCCTCGCCGTCGAGTTCTCCAACCACAAATCCATCTTCCTCGCCTCCCTAACCCTCGCCGGGGGTGGCCTCACCATCTCCACATGTAAATTGAGCGTTTTGCCCATGTAATTAATCCGAGAGTTCGAAGACCGCTCATCAATCGTCACAGGCATCCCTTTATCAAGGTGATCCTGCAACTTTGTCGAATACATCTTGTTCCGCAAATTCTGCTTGACATGATGCTTGATCTGCACCTGCCTGTACCGACGAGCCAAGATTTCATTCAGCTCAACTGGATCCATCTTGCACCGCTGAACCGGAGAGGGGAGATGAATAGGGTAAGAGGACACGTATCGGGAGACCTGGAGAGTATCCGACATCGGGGTGAGCTGATCACGAGCTTCCGCTATGGCTTCGCGGCGACCAGGAGATGGGACACCGCCCGAGGTCTTCGCGATGACGGGAACCAGATCTGAGGCGATATAGGCTTCTTCAGGGGTCAAGGATGTTTCGGACTCTGTCACCGATGCCCGCTGGATCGAGTCGTCACAGTCACCGTCGTTGTGGTTGGCGGGTGACTCTTCATCTTCGTCCGATCTGCCAGAAAGGATAGAGACAGTTGGGTTCACAACAGGTCCACGATCCAGGTCCGCAGTAAACTCGTTCAATTTCTCTGTAAGCATGCCCGACGGATCACATTGCGGCGCCAAATGCGACTCGAGCTCCGCGGCGTGCCTTTCCAAAGACGAACGTCGCCTGACAAAACTAGCACGTCGCTTCCTCTGCGACGTCTTGTTATGCTTAGCAGTTTCGACGACGTGGGGCGTCGTGTCTAATTTCGCTGGGCTTTCACACCGTTGAGCAGAGGAGTCGTCGTCGCAGCCATAGTCCAAAGGCACGGTACACGCCGACTGCGCACACCCGTCGACATAAGTGCCGGCAGACTTCTTACCGGTGATTACCTTCCTAATGACGTTGGAAACTAAAGGCATGATGCTGTCAGGTGATGTGTGGATGAGGTTGTTTGTGTCAAAGTTGATGAATGGGAAGGTGGGAGTGGAGGGCGAGCGTTCAAGATATAGCGCACGAAACTCAGGCGAAAATGGAGTAACATCACTCTATGTCATCATCGCCTTCATGCTACGGCTATCGACTTCGCTCGTGATCGCACAGGGTGTATGTGAGCTCTCACGCCAACTAGCGCGCAAGTGCCGCATCGAGCAACTCTGGGGTGTCCGAAGTCGACAAATGCATCTGATGACGGCGTTGAGGGAGGATGAGTATGACACACTCTGAGCTGGCTGATACATTCGACACGATTATGACAAGATAGCCAGTCATGGATTCACGGGTGTTGTCATCCGGGGGGATTGCCCTGGCAGTGCAACTGGGTGTGGCTGCGCGCGTAGACGTAGAGGAGAGGACCCTCGAGTCCCCGTCGCAACACCCATAACCTCACACAATGCCCGCGAAGAGAAAGGATCCCAATGCACCGGCTACTCTGCCTACTCGTCGCAGTGCGCGCAATGTCGCGAAGGAGACGTCGTACAATGAGATCGACGAGGAGAAGCCCGTGAAGGCCAAGGCCGCTGCTCCTGCTAAGAAGGGGAAGGGAAAGAAGACTGCGGAGAAGGAGAAGGTTGATGGTGACGCGACTGACGCGAAGGAGGAGGAGAAGGCAGCTGAGGAGGAAGAAGCCAAAGAGGCTGATCCGGAAGAACCCGCGGCCAAGAAGTCGCGCACTGGCATTGCCGTCGGCGACGCCCTCCCCGACCTCGTCTTGAAGGATGAGGACGAGAACGAAGTCAAGATCAACGAGTTGAAGAACGTGATCATCTTTGCCTACCCGAAGGCCTCAACACCGTAATCCCTCCTCCCCCATTGATTCGCTGTTGAAACCCCCGACTGACTCTGTGAGAAGTGGCTGCACAAAGCAAGGCTGCTCCTTCCGCGACAACTACCCCAAAATCCAAAAAGCGGGTTACTCAGTCTACGGTCTCTCCCTCGACACACCCAAATCCCAGAAAACATTCAAAACGAAGCAAAACTTCCCTTATCACCTCCTCTCTGACGCACCGAACGGTCAGTTCCTCGCTTGGCTTGGAGCGTTGAAGGTGGGAAAGAAGATTACACGGTCGCATTGGGTTGTTGATGGGGAGGGCAAGATTGAGGCGATTGAGGCTGGGGTTGCGCCGTTGGATAGTTCCAAGAAGGCGATGAAGACGATCAAGGCGGAGGAGGAGGATGGTGAGGAGGCTAAGGATGAAGAGTAAGGCTACGGACTTTGCAAATGCTTTTTGAGTGATTTTATGATTAGCTACAGTATTGATACCTTTATTGACTTTCCTCCTGTATGAATTCGTCCATCTGATCCATTCGACGTCGACGTCAGTGTGGGGGTGGCGAGTCCCATCTTCCCCACGGATCCCGATATTTCTTTCTCGAACCCCCCCACACCCCATCTTCGCCTCATGCGACGATTTGCTACTTCGACAATCACCAGAATGACTTCAGCTTCCGCCCGTTGCACACTCGCCGAACTCCCCAAATCACACATCTTCACCTCTAACCTCCCAGCTGATCCCGAGATTCCCTCCCCACAGGCTTCCAAAGAAGCGCCGGCAGAGTTATTGCGGAATGCGAGGGCTGTGAAGGGTGCGATATTCACCTGGGTCAAACCCGACACCTCTGACGACTACGAATTACTCGCCACAAGTCCAAAAGCCCTCCACGACATCGGTCTAAAACAAACAGAGGCAGAGACGGAGGAGTTCGCACAAGTCATGTCCGGGAATCAAATCTACGACGAGCACTACCCTTGGGCCCAATGCTACGGCGGCTGGCAATTCGGCTCCTGGGCCGGACAACTCGGTGATGGCCGCGTAATGTCACTGTTCGAAGCCACGAACCCGGAGACGAAGGAACGCTTCGAGGTCCAGCTCAAGGGAAGTGGTAAAACGCCCTATTCAAGGTTTGCGGATGGGAATGCGGTTCTGAGGTCGAGTATCAGGGAGTTTTTGATTAGTGAGCATTTGAATGCTTTGGGGATTCCGTCAACGAGGGCGTTGTCACTTGTTAACTTGCCGAGTAAGTTCGCGAGAAGGGAGAGGATTGAGACGTGTGCTGTCTATACACGTTTCGCGCCTTCGTGGTTGCGTATCGGGTCTTTCGATATTCACCGTTGGCGTGGTGATCGCGTCACGATGAAGAAACTTGCTGACTATTGTATTGAGCACGTTTTCGGCGGACTGGATAAGTTGCCGGGGAAGAGGGAGACTGATACGGAGGAACCGAATAGGTTTGAGAGGCTGTACAGGGAGATCTGTGCTAGGAATGCGAAGACGGTTGCGTACTGGCAAGCGTATGGGTTCATGAATGGTGTGTTGAACACTGACAATACCTCCATTCTTGGGTTGAGTATGGATTTCGGGCCGTTTGCGTTCATGGATAACTTTGATCCCTCGCACACGCCTAACCATGATGATCATGCGTTGCGTTACAGTTATAGGATGCAGCCTACTATCATCTGGTGGAACTTGACCCGTCTCGGCGAGGACCTGGGTGAGCTCTTCGGAGCGGGCGAACATGTTGACGAGGAAAAGTACGCCAAGGGTCAATGGAGCGAGGAGGAAAAGGAAGCATTGATTACCTGTGCTGAGGGCATCATCGAGCGTGCTGGAGATGAGTACAAGGCTGTCTTCTTGGAGAAGTACAAGGAGTTGATGGGTAAGAGGTTGGGACTGCAGACGAGTCAGGAGACTGATTTCGATCAGCTCTTCTCGAATACTCTCGATACCCTCGAGAAGTACGGGATTGACTTCCATCACTTCTTTTACAGGATTTCTTCAGTGCCGGTGTTCTCGCTGTCCTCCGATGACGATTTTGTCCAGGCTGCGTCCAAGATCCTTCCGCCTGAGGAGGACAAATCTGTCCACTACGCAGGCCACACCCGCGAGGACGCCGTCAAGGGTCTCGTCGAATTCCTACAAGCCTACAAGAAGCGTCTCGAAACGGAGGGAAGCACAGATGATGCCAGCCGTGAGAAACGCATGAAGGAGGTCAACCCGAAATTCACCCTCCGTAATTGGGTCTTGCAGGAGGTCATCGACAGGGTTAGCAAAGACGGTGAGCGTGATATTCTCCAGGATGTCATGACCATGGCGTTGAACCCATATGACCCGGAGACGTGGGAGAGTTTGGAGATTACGAAGGAGGATCAGGAGAGGTATTGCGGAACTGTACCGCGCTCGGAGCGGGGATTGCAGTGCAGTTGCTCTAGTTAAACTGAGGAAAGCTCCACATGAATGTGATTTTATTAGGCAATTATGAAATATCCATTATATCCAAATCTACCTTTATGCCGGCATTCTTCCTGCGGTTCACTCATCCGCCTCACTCAATTGCCCATTCAGAAACTCCACAAAGAGTTCCCTGATCCTTCCAGTCTCCATGGCATGCATCCTGTTCAACCCCACGAACTGCCTCCGTAATCTCTGCATCTTGGGCATGCTTACCCCCTCCACCGGCATCTCAAACTCGATCGTACAGTCCGGGATAGGTAATAAACCCGCAGAATGCGTAGTCTGTGCGTCCAAGATGAATTTTGTGATTTCCTGGGTATGGCGGTCGAGGGTTGTTAAGTAGTCCATTGCGAGGGCGGGTTTGAGAACGGTTGCGGAATTGGGTTTGATTGCTTTGTTGTGTAGTGCGTCCCAGATGTCATCGACGGGGGCTTTCTCGTCTGTATGTGCTGGGATGGTGAACAACGGTGAATCCCATCTCGTCATCGCATTTGGCTCCTCGTATCGCATCAAGAGTGCTTCTAGGACGTCTTCGGGGTATCCTTCCGCACCCCGCGCTTTGTTCCATTCCCGGGATATATCGATGGGAACACCGACGTGGACCACACAGTGCGGTGTAGAGAACTCTTTTGCTTTGCAGTAGAGTTGATAACGGAAGCCTTTGATGTAGTTCATCGAATCGAGGATAACGATGTCATTTGGTGATAGTACACGTTCGGCAGCACTTAGCAGTGTCCCACGTGCACTCTTCTCCTTCTTGGTATCTCTGTAGATCTCTCGTGGGATGTGGAGGGTGTCGTCGGAGATGTGGTGGACCTTTAGTGAGGAGCAAGTTGATTCAATTTTGGACAGGAGAGCGGCCTTGATCTCGTTTGCGCGGGTAGTTTTGCCTGACGACGGGAAGCCTGAGATGATGATGAGAGGCATAGTGAGGATATGAGCTCTTGCAATTGCAATTGTAGGGGGTGTCGTGAACCAAGCTCGGGAAAGATGTATGTTGTCTACGTTACTGGACCGTATACGGCACTGGGTATGAGCGAATGCGGCGCGTGTCAACTTTGGTACCGCCAACACACCAGAACTATTGATCGAGTATCCAACGCAATTGATACCTGACAGCCATGAATATCTTCAGATTGCTAGGTATGAATAGCCGCTTGTCGTACAGCATGTGTGGCTCAATGGCTGATTGGTCATACAGGTGATCTCTCGCATTTGGCGAGTATCTTCATCCTGCTACACAAGATACGGACAACGAAATCCTGCGCAGGAATTTCATTCCGATCACAAGCACTGTATGTGCTTGTGTACCTTACAAGATACCTAGGTCGGTTGTGGGACGAAACTCGTATGCCCGGCATGATTCTGATGGAAGCGTACAGACCTCCTCTGGGGCCCATGGCTCCTTTACAACACCGTCATGAAGCTCTTCTTCATCGGATCCTCCGTCTACGTTCTCTACCTCATGAAATTCGACTACAAGCCCTCTCATGACATGGGTCTCGACAACTTCAAGGTCGAATACCTCATCGGCGGATCCTTCGTCATGGCTCTTCTCTTCAACCTCGCCTTCACGTTCGACGAGGTGATGTGGTCCTTTAGCTTGTGGTTGGAAAGTGTTGCTATTTTGCCGCAATTGTTCTTGCTTCAGCGGACAGGCGAGGCGGAGACCATCACCACGCATTATATCTTTGCGCTCGGCGCGTACCGTGCTCTTTATATTCCCAATTGGTTGTACCGCTGGGTCATGGAGGGTCGTGTGGAGTTCATTGCGGTTTTTGCTGGTATCATCCAGACAATTGTCTACGCTGACTTTTTCTACGTTTACTTTACCAAGTACGTGTCCTATCCAAGCACCCCTTCCCCCACACATAACTAACGTCGTGTCTTTTTTAGGGTTATCCAGGGCCAGAAGTTCGAACTTCCTGCATAAATTAGGATTTGAGGAAGGTGAGATGAGCATGCGTTTGGGACCTCCATAATAGCACAAACGTCAATCATATTCAGTGCTCTACGTCGATATGAATGGTATCCCCTACTAGTACACTCTTCGTCGTCACCCTGTCATGCAAATCATCCTCCCCTGTAGCATTACTCACCTTCGCCATCAAGTTTATCGTATTACTCCGCCGCGTGCTGACGCCTAGTCTTGCTCCGTGCCTTCAGGATCTTTCGCCAGAGCCAATCTGAAAACACTCTTCTCAACAAACCTCGGAATGCTTCTCCTTTCTGGAACCAAAGCCAAGCCAAAATAAGGACAATGCCGTCAAACAATGCATGCTTGCTCAGGAACTGTATACCGATTAGCATCACGAACGTCACTACGGTCCAACTTTCAATATACCATCAAGAAACCCTTAGATATTTTCGTAAGAGGGCTCGTACGAGAGGACGGTGGTGGAGGAGGTGGCGCCCTTGACGCCTGTAACTCTTCGCTTAATGCTGTAACCTCAACCCGCAACCCCTCCAATGCCCTCTCAACATCTTCCTTCCACCTGGACGTGCTAGTTCTCACCGCACCGCGTCCTACCATTCTACTCGAGCCTTCCTCCCATGGTCCGGCGTCGTCACCTTCGAGTGTATGCGTACGTGAATGGCGGAAGTACTGTCCTAAGGACGATGATCCGAATCGGAGATGCTCCGGCGACCGCGCAGGCGACGATTCGCGTGAGGTTGTTGCACTCGAAGCTGGTGCATCTTTGATTTGTGACCAAACGAATTCGAGCTCACTTATCAGCTCTGTGGTAGCTGGGTGTGGTGAGGCATAACGTTGCATGTTCTGGGAGAGAGTCAGCTTTCACCCATGGCGATATCAGCTGTAACTCACATCAATGAGTTTCGAGATGTATCTTCGCTTTGCTTCATTCTTGGATAGCCCGGCTTGTGCAGCCCAGGCGTCCCACTTCGCACGGGCGGAAGCTTCTTCGTCACTGTTCCCTGTCGGGCGAGGCATGAGTCCATGAACATCCCCCTCCGTAGCTTGCTTGTAGAGTCCATATAGCTGTACTCAGGTTAGCATGGATATCGATGAAGTGTTACGCTTGATTCAGTACCTCCAGACGATCGGCGAATGGCGGTCGTGTAGGTCCACCCGGTATTCGCCTGACTGTTGCCAAGGCATGAGCGAAACAGCGGTCTACCGAGTCAGAAGACATATTGCAAGGATAGCCGTTGTCTTATCGTCGGGTCTTGGGCGTGTATGCCGGACAAATGCTCTTCAACGGGGTGTTTTGTTTCTCTGTTCGCGACTGACCTTGCTCGCTCGAGCTGCCCGCTGGGCGCACTGGCGGGGTGCATGCCCGTGCTGCGTGTAGCCCCCCGCGGGAACCAAGAGGCTTCTCATCATGAATCTCCGCACTTGCAGATTTACAGTCAGTTGAGTATCAATAGTCATTACAATTGAGAGAAGTAATTATCCAAGAACGCCTCACGTGGCTATCGTACAAGGCGCTGGCCAGCAGCTTCCAATCACGTCTTGACCAAACTCCTTGTGCCACTAAGCATCCGTCTTCAAAACTGCCTTGAGCTGAGCCATCTCCTCCTCCAACCTCATGACATTTTTCTGCTCCGTCTTAATCTGCCTCCGCAAATACTTCTCACGTTCGCTGACGTGTATACGTCCAAACCAGCCTTTACTCTCCAAACCCAAAGCTCTCACCACCCGCAGCTCCTCCTCAGCCTTCTGAATACCGGAGACAGAGGCCACCTTCAAAGCCTTTCGCATGTCAAGTTCCATACGCGCACAGAACACCTTATCCTCCAGGATTGTTCTGAAGGACTCACGGAAGATCGGCTTTCCTGGCTTGATCTTGCTGGGCCGGCCGTTGACTGTTGCAATAGAGATCATCTCTGCAGCACCAAGCGCCTGAATCGCCTCGGAGCTGTCACCGAACATCGGATCAAGGAGCGCCTCATTGTACTTCATCTCACCATTCTCAGCCAGACCTCTGAGGAGGACATATGCTTGTTCCGGTTTCCATCCTCCACTAATGGCGAGGAAGTACGCCTTCATCACCTCCGCAGCGCTTGCCTTGACCATAGCACTCAAAGCAGCTTCGGGAGTCTCGCCATTCCTGATGCGCAAAGCCAAGACCTCGAGATCCGTCAAGCGACCACCAAGGACTTGGATGCACCTGCTAAGCTCGAGAGGCTTGCGCTCTACGGTGGCCTTCACCTCGCCGCCGTCAGTGGTAGTGGTGTCCTCAAGAGTGTCCTGAAGGCGTCGGATGACATACTTCTCCGCAGCCGCAGGGTTGGCATCACCCAAGGTGACAACCTTTGGCACACGGTCGGGTAAAGCTTTTGCCAAGGTCTTCGCATAACCCATATCGTTCGTCAAGAAGATGACGTGAGCAACGTTGGCTTCGCAAAGCAAAGCTGCCCAAGTCGCCATGTTCTCATACAACACCATGTTACCGCTCTCCGCCTTGTAGAGGAAGTTGTCGATGACGACAACGGGACGAACCTCGGGGTGGTTTTCAAGGTAGTCTTCATCCCTAACAACTGGCTTCGTCGTAGGTTTGTTCTCAATTGCAAGGGTTTTCAGAGCAGTCGCAGTGTTCTGGAGAATCTTGCGGAACTGCGTCTCCAACGTCTCGGTGAAGCCAGTCTTCTGACCAATAGTACCTTGTGCTGCCAAGTCAAGCATGGAGCTCATTGAGTTCAACCAGGAGAATACGGGGAAGTATCCGGTCTGGTTCGCAGCTGCCTTGATCACATTCGAATCACCATGTTGCTCCGCGAGGTTCTCACAATCCAGGACCAGCACATTTTTGCGCCCCTTCAGCACGCCGTTCAGAACCAGCTCTCGCTTTCCAGAACCTCGAGGACCCTGAACAACGATGAAAGATTCCTTGTTTTCACCAAGCCAGCCTTGAATCTGAGCAGCAGAATCACCGCGATCCATCCATGCAGCACGCTCGTCATCCAAAGACCGTCTGCGTCCACCAATGAGATGAACGGTATTTCTCTTCAACCACTGAACAGCACTAGACTCCTCCAGATGCCAACTCCTTGAGATCTTGTTTTTAATGAACCAAGTCCGTACAGGATCGAAGATTGTGACGAGGATAGTAGCGAAGAGAGCGGCGAAGGCGGGGATGGTGACTCTAGGGTGGTTAACAATCCAATCCCATAACGCACGCGCCCATGAATGCGTACGCTCATAAGTGATGCGCATTTTGATGCCACCAACCTCCATACCGTGGAGACAGTTCTTCGCAGCTATGGCTGATCGCCTCGTACCGAAGACCAACTGAGCCACCCTAGGGCTATCTTTCGGTGAAGCAGGGACGATATCCACCAAGCGTCCATACCGGCGGAAGAGCTCGTATAGCTTTTCTTGAGGCAGGTCGGCCGCCCCTTCAAATTCGACTCGAAGCCTCCTACTTGGATATCTCATTGCGAGATCCTCCAGCCAGGGCTTACCGCGCACAACCCATCCATTGAGTCCTTCCAATGGGTTGAACCAGGGGTGGATTTTGCCTGGACCAGACAGGTGCTCCTGGAGCTTCGCCTCGATCTCCTCCATCGTGAGAGCCGGATCACTTGCAAACCTTACAAAGGCACCACCGTCTTTCATCCTAGGCTGAATTTGCGTGATCTGGATTGGGAGGTTCGGTGGTATGGAGTCACGGAGGAGGTTCTCAGTCACTTGTTTCGGCTGGAACCTGGTAAGATAGCTTCGAACGTCCCACAGTGCAAGTCGCACTGGGAAGACATTCTGGAAGTAGAGGAGGTGCTCCTGTTCACTAACCTTTGACACAAATCAGCATGGATCCCTGATGAAGTCTCTCGGTACACATACAGCAATATTACCCGTGGTCTTCTCGGCATCCTTCTGAGCACTAGGGGCGGCTGCTTCTATTACAATGGTCGCGTTCAACCGTCGCTGTTGAGGTAGGATTGATCCGCTCCGAAGAGCATAACGGACCCTCCGAGCACCCAGAGAAGCTGGGAAGGGCCGGCGCACGGCTATTCTGGTCGCCCACATATACAGCGAGCAACCTTGGGTTGTCGTAATGAATTGATGAAATTTAGAGTTCCAAGGTTTGGAGGTGTACTTCAGCTCATTCTTTGGGCATTCATTACGGGTCGCACCAGCCACACTGTCATGCTGCCTCAAGCGACGGACCAACTGCGACAGAAACACCGTGTACATGATTGCCATTGAACGTGTTTGTGATTGACTCGACTCGTGCCTACAACAATTCCCATCCCTCGAGAAAAAAAGAATCAAGATGCCAGCATCTAACATAAAGTCATCAAGACTAGAAGAAAAGTATCGGGGGAAGAAGACAGGAGACAAACAAAGCCTGGGAACCACGCTTGAAACCGACACAATAACTCCGACTCCATAAAACGAACGACTGAGATGTGTCCAGCACAAATCAACAAATCAATCACCTCCTGATCTCTAGGCGTCCTTCGCGACAGCCAAACCGATCTGATTGCGGGTAGTGTTGAAGACGGTGTAGACGTTCTTGAGGAACACGTCTCCAACCAACCACTCGTTCATGGCGTTAGGGTCGACAACACCAGCAGAGATACCGAAGATAGCGGTACCCTGGCCAGCACTCTCGAAAGCCAAGTCACGAGGATCGATAGGGTAGGCGACACCACCAAAGACAAGAGAAACAGTAGGGATGTGGCTGGTGGGGATCGTGTATCCACCCGACATATCAGCCATCGCCCCAGGAATCATCTTCGTCAAAGCATCGGCATCTGCGGGAGGGGCAATCATGAGAGTCGTACCGGTGTCCATGATAGCCGTGCGGCCTTTGTTCTTGATGCCGATAGACACACCATTGACCAAAACATCGTCCAAAGCCAGCTCCCAAAAGCCATCCGTCGAGACATTCTTACTGTTATTAATCGTTAGTAAATGGTAGACGCACAACGTGGTAAAGGTAACTTACAGATACGTAATGTTTCCGACATACTTCGAAGGGTCCGTGTGTCCGAACGTAATCTCACCACCAGAGCCACCATCCGCAGCACGGCCAAGACTGACACCAACAACAGCCTCGGCGATCAACCCACGGTTGTAGAGGGCATCAACAGGGGTAGGAACGTTCTGAGTAGACAAAGCCTGCTGACCAAGACCGAGCAAACCATCGAAAGGCGAATCACCGGTGAAGTCGGAAGACTCGCAGTTGACGACGGCAAAGTCAAGCCCTTTAAGGAGCTTGCCGGATATCGAGACGTTTTCCTGACAAGTGAACCCACTGGCGTAGCCACTGCCGTAGGTGATGCTGAAAGTGTGACCGGTGTTGCAGAAAGTGGAGGAGACGTCGCTACCAAGCGCATGGTGGGTACCAAGTTGGGAACGGGCCTCAGTCGAGGAAGGAAGCCAGAAGTCAGCCGATCCAGTGTCTGTAACCCAGTTAGTAAAGAAAGATGAGCTTCAGTTCAATGGTTTGCATACCGAAGATCACAGAGTAATCTCTCAACGGAGTACCGACTCGAATAGTACCACCATACGCGATATCGGAAGTCCCAACGTGCTGGTCCAACAAGCTAACGTTGCCGCTCTGAGACGCACTGCCAACACTACCACCACGATGACGGGTAGTCTTGGACGGAGCGACAGTGGACCCAGGAGCACGGGAGGCACCGCCAGTAGTAGAGCCAGCAGCGCGGGAAGTAGCACCAGTTGTAGAACCGGAAGCAGAAGCAAGAGGCTGACCCAAAGAGCCGAAGATAGTCGAGCAAGCGACATCACTCATGAGCTCCTGGTCACCACCAATAGAAGCACCAGACTCCTGAAGCATCATCACGGATTCAATACGCGAGTGCATCATCCTCGAAAGCTCAGCATGGTCGACAACACGACGCTTGAACTGGGCCAAACGGGCAGAAGAGCGGTTGGTGTGGTACTGAAGCCAGATGAGCTTGTGCATAGAGGGGTTCGGTGCAGGCTTCTTGATGGCCACAACGACAGGAGCGGGAGCAGGGGTCTCAGCCTGGTGCTTGTGGTGCTTGGACTTCTTGCGGGACTTCTCGGAGGGGTTGGTGCTGTCACCACCCTTGGAGGAGTAGCAGACGCAGGACTTGAACGGGGTGAAGCAACCGGAAGGCATCGTGATAAGGATATTTTGTGCAGTGAATAAGAATTCGAGTTGAAGAGACGACTGAAGGGTAGTCGTAAAACTGCGGATAGCGATATGGGTGGGGAACCTTCGAGGGGTTGGGAATGGCCGGCCTTATATGCTGCCGTGGGCTCGTTTGGGAGTATCCTGGGAAGGCTGACGCGGCCAGGATGTTTGTTTCAACAGCCCTGCCGATTCATTTCTCTCTATCACATCTCAGGAGGTCCTGTCTGAAGTATCGTTAAACGTCAGCGGTGCACTTTATCGATGACAGACGAACCGTGCGCGGCTTTCCATGTCAGCATCCCCCGAGTTCGCAACAACCCCTTTCCCACTGCACACATTATTTCATCGCTTGACATTGATGCCTTACCGGTAGCATGGAGTGGTTGATCCTCAATCCGAAGTGTACATCATCGATCGTGACCGTGGTGGGAAACCTCACCAGCTCAGCGGAGTAGGCAGAAACAAGTAGAACATAAACATATCAATGTGCCCAGTTCTTTCAGTAATGCGACCAAGAATCAACCCAGACAACGCCTCCAACACCACCTTTAACCACGAACTCCCTGCATGCGTACCCCCATCCTGCCAAATACTCCAACACGGCATCTCTGACCTTCTCCTTCCCAGGTACACTGACATGACTTCCGCTTCCTATTACCACATACACTGCCCTCTCCCCGTTCATCTCCGATCTCAACAAGAATTTCTCCAGATACATCACCGCCTCCGCAGGATGTAATCCATGCAAATCAATACATCCCTTCGGCAGACCCGTATTGCGTTCTGTGAAGATTGCATCAGCAGCACGCTCATGTGCAAGACGCATGTTTTCGTTCTCAGTCTGTCCTTGTGCACTCAGATCTCCCGCCCGAGCAGGATCATTTCGTCGCCATGCATCTGATGCTTGTTGTAGAAGTTTGTTTCGCGTTACTGCATGCTGGATAGCCGGTGCACGATGTTTGGCGTACAGTGCTGCCAGTGCTGGACCCGTCTCGAGCCAAGGTAGGGCATCTGGTGGAGCAGGGGTGAGGGAGGACCGTGGATGAGCCGATGTATTCCGTCCCGACACAGACTTTGACATTATTGGCTGCGTTTCAGGTAATGCTGCTGCTAACTGGGCCATGGAAAGGGGTTCTTGAGGTGCTTCCGGATATGATTTTGGTTTTGGTGATGCCCCTAGTGCAGGGAAATCATCTTCTGAAGCAAGAACAGGCGCAACTTTTGGCGTCTGTTGTTTCCGAGGCGTAGTCGAAGCCTTTGGCTTTGCTGGCGTTGTAGGTTTTCTTGTGCCTCCGCCGAGACCCGGGAACATCTCTTCATCGTCAACCTTCGGGGCTTCCGTCTTCTTCACGTGCGTAGGCTGCGCTATACTCGTAACCACGTTTGTCACCAGCTTCGTCGGATCATGACTGAACCCACAGGCATCACCCGCTAGACATCCTCCTTGCAGCCAGAAACGACAAATCGCCTGCTCCAGGTCGTGTGAGAACCAGCAATCTGCGCGCCTGCAGTCTCCTTGAAGAAAAAACCGGCAAACCTGGCCTCCCTTGGGTTTATTCGGCGTGAGCGTAGGTACTGGTCGAGATGTCAATGAAGCAATAGCGAGGGCCAGATTGTAATTCGCGGCTTCAAGAGCTTCTTGTAGGTCGGCAGGCGTTCTCTCCGGACCAATGATGATCCGGAGCATCTCGAAGGGAGACTGGTCCGCAGACTGCTCAGAGGACATGTTGACGTTGTTTCAGCACGTAAGAACCACAGAAGACCCAGAGCGTCGGGTGTTGTGACGTCGAGTGCGATGTGTAACGTAGACGTGTGTCAGTCCCTGGCGGGGAGCAGGTGTGGGTTAAAAGGTCATGGTCCATGCGTAAAGGAACATAGCTGTGTTTCAAATATTCTATATCAGAACATAAAAGCCCGTTGGCCAAGGGCAACTACTTTCCCTGTCCTTCGCTTCACGCGTGTTAATTAAGCGGTTCGCGTCTCCTCGAATCTCGTCGCGCGTACCCCAGGGTTCACCTCCAACAAACTGAGGTCCCTCGAGCAATCATGTCAGCTCAGCCTCGTCTCATTCCAAAATATGCCCATACGAAGGGTTTGACGAGACTTGCCTACTCCACTGACGGTGCTCACCTCATCACCGTTGGCTCCAACCAGGTCATTCGCAAGTTCCAGGTCGATTCGGAAGATGAACCCGTCACCATTGAGCAGCACAACGATGCCATTACAGGTGTGGCCACTTCCTCTGAGTACTTTGCGACTTGCTCGGAGGATGCCAGTGTGAGTCTGTTTTCCATGACCTCGAACGAGTTCATCACGATGCCGACACGATGCACCCTTCCGGTTCGCGACATTGCGTTCAGCCCTGATGGCGAGTGGATCGCTGTCGCTTCCGATGAAACTGTCGTCAAGCTTGTCAATACGTCTGAATCCACGAAGATGATGAAGCTCCAGCCCCACAATAAGTCCATCAAGCACATCGCTTTCCACCCCTCCGGTTCGCTCATCTCCACATCCTGCTCGGACGGCAACATATATATTTGGTCACTTTCATCCGAGTCTCCTGAACTTTTAAAGACTTTGCCGAACATCATCGCTGCTCTCGAGCCTGAGGAGGAAACATCCGCTCGTGTCGCATGGCACCCCGACGGCCGTGCTTTCGCCGCTGCCACTAAGATGAAGGAAGTCGTTGTCGTCAACCGGAATGATTGGGAAAGGCAAGTTGTGTTCAAGAATGGACATGTAGGAGATATCACAGATGTGGCATGGTCGCCTAACGGAGCTTACCTCGCTACGGCTGGTAAGGATGGCAAGGTGTTGGTGTGGTCTACCAAGGATCAGGCCATTGTCGCGAAGCAGGAGATCAAGAACGTCGTCAGCCTTGCGTGGCACCCCAAGCAGAACACTCTGTCGTTCACCACAAACTTGGGACAATTGTTCACATGGAGGGATGTCGTGCTGGAGTCTTCCCCTGCTCCCTTTGGTTCTCGTTTCCATCCTGCGCCGCTCTTGCACGACGATACTCCGGCACCTGTCAGAGCTAATGGCAATGCTAACCCTCTATTCCACGCCGAAGCGGAGGAAGACGACGATGATGAGCCAATGGGCGATGACAACGACCTCGCCGCCGCCGCGAACGACGACTGGATCGTCGACGATGACGGCGCTGGCTACATCCCCGACCTGAAAGAGCGTGAAGCTCGGAAACGTGGCCCCGCACAAGATGACCGTGTTGCGAAGCGACGCGCAATCGACAAGAGTGTCGAGTTTTCCGGCATTCACGAACCCTTCCAGCCCGGTTCCACACCCTGGCGAGGCAAACGCCGTTATCTCGCTCTTAACATGATCGGTGTTGTGTGGACCGTCGACCAGGACACTCATAACACTGTCACTGTTGAGTTTTTCGACAAGGATGCTCATAGGGGATACCATTTCACTGACCACTTCAAGTACGACAAGGCGTGTCTGGACGACAACGGTACCCTTTACGCCAACTCCTCCGACGATGGTCAGCCCAGCACCGTCTTTTTCCGGCCACATGAAACTTGGGCGAACAAGGCAGATTGGTCGGTGCAACTGCCCAAGGGTGAGGACGTGACAAGTATCGCGCTCAGTAATAGTCACATCGTGGCTTGTACAAGCAAGGGATACGTGAGAGTATGGAGCTTCACGGGTGTTCCCGTAAGGATGTGGAGGCAAAAGCACATGCCCGTGGTAACCTGTGCAACATGGGGAAACTACGTGATGGTCCTCGGAAACGGTGCGATGAACGCCAACGGTTCTGCGGAACTCACGTATACCATCGAGAACGTGAGGAGGGACGAGGCGATTCAGTCGCAAGACGTTGTTGCTCTTCCGCCTGGTGGATATCTTCAATCTGTCTTCTTCTCTGAGGAGGGTAATCCCTGTATCTACGATTCTGATGGCGTTGTCCTTGTTTTGCTGCATTGGCGGACGCCCGGACAGGCGAAGTGGGTACCGCTCCTCGATACGAATATGCTCCCACGACGTACCGAAGGACGACAAGAGTCATACTGGCCAGTCGCAGTCGCACAGAACAAATTCCACTGCATCATCTTGAAGGGAGGCGAGAAACATCCTTACTTCCCCAGACCACTGTTTAGCGAGTTTGACTTTACCGTCCCGATCTACGAAAAGGTGGATCCGAACCCATCCTCCGTACAATCATTGGAAGAACAGCATCTGCGGTTCTCTGTACTTCATGCGCTCGGCGAGGACGCCATGTCCGGCAATGGTACGGCAGCGGAGAGGATGGATCTTGCGAAGAAGGAGATATCGATTGATAAAGCTTTGTTGCAGCTTATTCAACTGGCTTGTAAGGATGCGCGTGGAAGCAAGGCGATTGAGTTGGTGGAGTTACTGAGGAGGGAGGTCAGTTTGGATGCTGCGGTCAAGATTGCATTGCATCATAACCAGACTGCAATTGCGGAGAAGATCAATCAGGTCAAGGAACAGCGTTTGCAGTAGATGCTGATATTTGGCGTTCTGGCATAGGAAAGAGGGCGTTCCCCAATTTTGAGATGAAATAAAACGTGCTATATTATTCGTACAATGTATCCGCCACGAAACCAGTTCATGTCTAGACACCAGCGGCCTTGGCCGCCGCGACACCATCAGCGTCCACGGTGTCTGGCTTGTAACCGGGGTTCTTCTTGAGCCACACAGGGTCCTTCAGGTCGGAACCGGGGACCTTCTTCTCGAGTTTCTGCACGTACGTTAGTAAAAATGTAGCACGTGATCAGCATCCAAACGAAACGTACCAGGTTGTCAAAAACACACTTGTTCAAAGCCCTCTCCGCAGGTCTGCATGCGTAGAGCTCGTGGTTCTGCTTCTCAAGACACTCGTAGTGAGTCTTGAACACCTCAGCGCAGGACTTGTTCATATCCTCCAACACGGAAATCGCACATCTGGTAACCCTCCGGCCCTCCTTCAAGCAAGGCGCAGCTCCCTTTCCTCCAGCCTCCTGCTTACAGAGCATGTAATCGTCACTGTATGGTTGGCATCGCGCGCCGATGAAAAAGGACGCGGAGAGCAAGGGAGCGGAGGTAGCGCCGACCTCGTCGACGTGAGGGATATCTGATGGCATGGGAGTAGGGTCGACGAAGACACCGCCATCGAAGTGGTAATTAGCTTCTCTGTGAGTGGCCCTTTAACAGAACGTGTCAGTGATCAATTGAGAAGAAGAAGCAATCCTTCGCCGACGCAGCCATGACCGGCAAACGCATTCACCCAATGAGAATAGATCATGACCACAGAGGACTTACATTGCGTATTTCTTATTTTTCTTCTGGTGTACAGCAGCTCACTCCGGGGTTCCCTCGAAGTCCGGTGTGAGCCTGGCCGCAGCAGGGGCACGAATGGCGCAGTGCAGCATCAGGGCATCCATAATAAACGGCCGTGACGAGAAAGTGATCCCAATTGCGAGAGATCTGGGAAGAAGTGATCAAGATGTCGTTTGGATTCAGTACGTTTGATGCATTTATCTCGGTGTTCGTTGTTCTGACTGTCATTTTTAGATGCCGCTCCCGCTCAACAGAGCACAACACCTGCCTTTGGTATGGCTTCCTCAATTCTCCTCAGAGGATCGCGTTCACATGCTACTCTGGTCATTGTGTACGTTAGCTAACCGTGCTGTCGTTACAGGAGGTTTTGGTGCGAACAATGCTGCAGCGTCACCGTTCGGGACTGCTGGGCAGGCAACATCAGGCGGATTCGGTGGAAACACCGCCGCAGCATCGTCATTCGGAATGGGTGGGCAACAATTTAACACCACGACAGCTTCCGGAGGTCTGTTTGGTAGCACAGCTGCGCAACCCGCACAGAATGCAACGGGTACATCGCCCTTTGCGACGGCTGGGCAGCAGACTGGTAGTCTTGGAGGCTTTGGTACAAACACGGCGTCAACGTCACCATTCGGGGCAGCTGCTGGGCAGCAGGCAAGCTCTTCGCCTGCCTCTGGAGGTTTGTTTGGTGCACAACAAAATACAGCCGGTGCGTCGCCTTTCGCAACCGGTGGACAACAAACGACGGGCTTCGGAGGCTTTGGAGCTAGCACAGCAGGAGCGTCGCCGTTCGGTGCCGCTGGTCAACAGGCGGGCTCTACGCCATCTTTCTTTGATACGTCAACCATGCAGCAAAACCAGCAGCAGAACCCCGGTTTATTTGGTCAGCCTGTGCAGCAGAGCCAGTCGCAGCCTGGTATGCTCGGCAGCCAATTTGGTCAACCTCAACAGCAAAACCTGGGGGCATCCCTCCTCGGAGGACAGCAATCACAGCCTCAGTACTCGTGGGGATCTGCCACACAATCGAGACCGGCGGCTGGAGCCGGTTTGGGTGCGAGCATTGCGCCCGGCCAATCCTACATGAACCAATCTTATGGGCCATATGGGCCGGCTCAGCCTCCGTCGTTGACGGATCAGCTTCAGAAGATTCAGAGTGCGTGGGATCCAAGAAGCCCGGACTGTGCGTTCCAATACTATTTTTATAATAAGGTTGGCGTGGAGCAGGCAGCTTTGTACGCCAAGCCTGCAGGTCACGATCAAGCAAAGTGGGATAAGGCCGTTGCTGAACGACCAGACAACACCGTCGTACCAGCCCTAGCAAATGGCTTCGACGACCTGAAAAAGCGCATGGATCTCCAGGAGAACCAAGTGAACGCCTACCGCGCTCGCATGCACGAGATCGTCACCAAGCTTACCGACCTTTCCAACAAACATGACCTCCATACCTCTGTTAAGACTGCTGAAGCGCGGGCGCGTCATGCATCTCTTGCTCAACGTGTGTTGTCTTTGGCGGCGAAGGTCCAGACGTTGAAGAACCGGGGCTTTAATCTGAGACCCGAGGAGGAAGCTCTGCGACTCAAGTTTGAGGCGCTCAATAAGCAGATGAACGACCCAGCAGTATTCGGACAGATCAACGAATACTGGGCGCGAATGACTTCTATGCGTGAGCGGGCAAGGCAGATCAAGGAAGAATCCAAGAAGACGGGATGGAACTCGTCAATCAACTGGGCTCAGGATGAGAAGCAGCTTGAGAAGATAAGCAAAATTCTGGCGGATCACCAGACTGGGATTGCGCATGTCAGTGACGTATTGAAGGAGGATTTGAGGGAGGTTGATGAGATCATGACGAAGATCGAGGAGAGGCAGAGGATGAAGAAGAGTAGTGTGCGGAGATAGGGCACAGAGCACTTCGTATCTGGATGGCGATCAAAGGCAAATGTTCCTCTAGGGCTTAACTAATGCAAGACTCTATGATATGAATGTCCCGAACTCCATGCTTGTAATAATGCAGAATTAGATGAGGTTGGCGAGCGTGCTCTGAGCGGCCTGGACGGCGAATGGTGCTACACGACATTTATGTCAGAGCCAATGGATAGACAAATGTCGCCTACGTACCACACCACAAGAGAGCCGCGAGTCCGAACCCCTTGTACACCTCAAGGCGGGTCAGGGCGGAATAGGCCTCGAGTTCAGTCTGTGAGATGGCAATGAGTCTATGAAACACATACGAAGCATACAACCAACTTGCTTGAGATGGTTGGCTAGAAGGACCTCCGAGCATTTTGTTGTTGTCGTTTTCGTCTTCGTTTCAGATGTTGCTGGGAAGTTCGGTATCGATTGCGACGGAGGTGCCGAACAGCGCGCACGGTATGTATACAGCCACACCGTAATGGATGCTGCTGACGGAAGTGAATGTTTAAGATGCATGTACGGGGAGGTAAACCATTCGTAGTCTTGCAAAGAGCTTGCATAACATTGCTTTTGGGATAACTTGGGTATCGACACCATCTAAAATAAAATTGAGCTCAAGCGTCCAGCCGGCCAAAAAGCTCGATCACTGCCGCTCCCAACCGCTCCAGATCATCCAAGACCTTTCCACTGGCCAACGTATACGCATACAACGGCGCCAAATTCTCATCCATGAGCGCATCCCCCTCCGTATCCTTCACCTTCGCTCTTAACTTCCCAATCTTCCTAACCAACCTATCTCGTGCTGCTTCGGCCGTCGGAAAGCCCTCGGGGAACACGATCTTCATGCGCATAGCGCTGGCAAGGAGGTAGAAGTAGAGAAAAATCGCACCGGATACTTCTTTCCTCTCTTGTGCCGTCTCCAGAACTATGGTGTTGATACCCCCTTCCAGACCATTTTTGGTTACTGCAACACGGAGCGCGGTAAACGCATCCATCATATCCTGCGTAATATCCAACAACCGCCCATAGCTATGCGTAGGAAACGGACCCTTCAATCTCGGTTCATTCGGCGCCTGTGCCAACAATCCGCGGAGTTTGAGTAAGTTCTTCTGCATGTGTACCAGGATGTCGATGCTTTGGTCATCTGCAGAGCTCATGAACCCCTGCGAGCTGACTTGTGGACGTGTGAGATTAACCGCATCTGACTTCCAAACCCAACCCATTTGGAGCCACATGTCGCTGATACCGTCTCGGAGCTCAGTGCGTGCCTTCATTGGGAAGATGTAGACGTTGATGAAGGTGCCCCACAGAACACCTGCGATAACCGCGACGAGACGATGACCGGCGATGGTGGTAATGATAGGATTGAGGCCTCCTTCGTCATCATCGTCGTCATTGTCCACCTGCCTGGAAATAGAGTACGCGTACAATGCGCACAGGTTGTACCCAAGCAGAATAAACCGACCCGTCGTGTTATGGTTTTTCGAATACACAATCAGATAAAAACACGGCAGCGAAAATAACACACCGAACAGGCTCAACCCAACCGGATGCCCTGCAAATGTATGCCATGCAAGAATAGCCACAATAGCACCGACAGCGTTTCCGAGCGTCCGGTAGAAGCCAGCACTATACGTAGCACCTTTGGTCATACCCACCACAATCATATACGTAAGCAACCCCCACTCGAGTCGATAATGAACATAATAAGGTCTCGTGACACTGATAAAGGCGGGTGCGGCGAAGACTACCGCTCCCATAGCAGTCTTAGTCGCAAATTTGACCTCGTCCTTCCTGAACCATTCGAATGTCTTCCAGATGCGATACCCCCAACTTTCACCTTCTCGTCGCGCCACAGGCTCATCTCGTCGCGTTCGTACCCCCGGCACAGGTGTCGGTCCGGTCTCCTCATCCCTCGGCGGCGCCTTGATATCCCGCGCCCTCGGCTCCCAAAACCGTGCCCATCGCCAAGTCCGGAAACATGCTTTGATCCTATATGTCTCCAGCTCCCTTAGTGCATCGAGGTAGACAAGGAGTCCGCGCGCGAATTCTTCAAGGCTGTACGAGAAGTAGTCCATACTCGCCGCGACCTCCTCCGTCTCGATACTCGGTGAGAAATGTTGGTCTTGGAAGTCTTTCATGTGGTTCGCGTACAAATGTTTCAACGTCTTTTCCCGCGCGCCGGAGTATAAGGTGACCGCCTGTCGTAAGCTGTCAATCAACTGCGGGTTGATGGTCGCGTTATACCTCGGTGGCGGGCCATACGGCAGCTCCCGGAGTGTAGCTTTGCACGTATACGCCAGAGACTTTAGCGGCGGCCCAAGATGATTAACAAAAACACTGGCCAATTTCGTCGGTGGATCATGTTCCTCCCCACACCAGTCATTATTCTCCCCCGCCTCCCGCCTCCACCGATCTCGAGCTTGCTTTAACACCGTTGACTGCAACGTAGCCGAACTCTGCAGACCAGATATGTGCTGTCCGATCCGCTGCATCACTTTCACTACCTTCTCTTCGAGATGGTACTCATCTTCCTTTCCGGCAATGTAGTACTCCCATTTTGCTTCCTTGAGGTTCTTCGCCAATGAAGCAAAGGACGCTCGATGTTTCGTCATTGCGACCCGGAAGGAGGGATGCGAGACGTCCATGTCACTCGACAACAAGAAACTCTGGGTAATCATTGTCAACATCTCCGCAAAGGAATCCGTGGTAACGATCATGTCATGTCGTAACTTCTTCCGTCCCTCGACTGGCCAGACACTCAGACTCACGACGAGGGAGCACAAGACACCAGTGAACACGATGGCCGAGTATTGCATGATTTTGTCCAACCGGAAAGTGGACAGTTGTACTGCACCTTCTTTGGTGAGCATGACGAAGATGACCATGGACATCAGCGAACAAGCAGTACTGAACGTCGAATTCTGGAGTCGTTGCTTCGCGTACGCAATCGCAAACACAGCACCTCCGCACCAGACGAAGAGTACGGTAAGATGCCCCAAAGTCGGCATATCCAGCTCGGAGAAGAATACAGCTGTCATCATACTTCCAATACTAACAGACGACGAAAACATCAATGCGACGAACGCGAAGAATGTCGCCTCGGCCATACCACCCGCTGACCGACTAGGATGGAAGTATACCGCGACGGTCGCAACGACATGTTTTCCGTCGTTCTTCCCATACAAGTCGGAGATGAACGGGATGAATGTCGCTAACGAACCCAGAAAATAGGCAATGGCGCATTTGATTAGTCCTTTCGCAATATCCGGCGGATCCGAAACTCGTTTCCAGACTACATGCATAGTCTGTTCCCACCGTGAGCGCCGTACACGGTCTCCCAATAACCCGGTTCCCACGTCATCGTCGTACTCTCCCGCAACCTCTTCGTCTTCCTCCTCAATGGTCAGCGTGGGAACACGCCGAACCCGCTTTCCGTCAGTCAAGATGACGCTCGCTTGTCGTCCCGGCGACTCGAAGTATGAAGAGGTGTCGTCATCGTCGTAACGATCTTGAGGTTTTGGAGTGCCGTATGTGGGGATTTGATGTCTGAATAAGGCGGGTTGGGGTGTTGAAGGGTCGAAAGGCAGCCCATCGTTCCATACATGATCGCTGAAGCTCACGCTCTTGCGGACGTGACTCGATTGAGCTGAAGAAGTGCCTGCTACCGCAATTACCGGAGAAGTCGAGGGTGATATGACCAAGCCGTCTTCAGTATCCCTGTGCACTGGCATAGAGGTGGATGTATACGTTGCAAGATGAGTTGTCTAATCCGCCAATCGACCCCGCCTAATGCACGAGCGAGGTAACCTCCGAGCTCCAACCTCTGGAAAAAGAATATCAACACAGGCCTATCTAATTTGTAATCATTCACATCGTAATAAGGACTCGAATTGAACAATGACCATTGAAGCCCTCCCCACCATCCATCTCGCGTCCTACCGCCTCGACCCAACCTCCACCCAGGGACTGGCTGAATGTGAGAAGCTCTACGCTGCGCTGAAGACATACTCCGCCTGTATCATCAAGGATGATCGCGTCAACCCTTCCGACAATGATGCATTCCTGAACATGTTGCAGGAATACAGCGAACAGCCTGATGCCGTGAAAGCACAAGATGCACGACCAGAGTTGTCGTTTCAGTGTGGAGCGACGCCCGCGGGCACGGAGGTATCGCGGTGTTCGAGTAAGGGAGTCAAAGCGAACCAGAAGTGCGAGACTGCTATCAATGCTGTACGTACTCTGCTACCCTTCATGCAGGTGATGAATGAATGCTAATTGAAGCATGATAGCTCGACCCCTCCGAACGCCCCCTCCAACAAACCGGCCCAGACCCCAAATGGCGCTACATGTGGCGAATGGGCACCCCGTCCTTCTCCAAATTCGCAACCCTAAACTCTGGGCACATCATCCCTGCTGCATTTCCCGAATGGGAACAAACCATGAACGCATGGGGCTCCGCACTCCACTCCGCCGTATCCACCGTCGCGGAGATGATCGGCGACGCAATGATGGGCTCCGGAAAGGGTGCTGAGAAACTGCGGAGTATCACTCAGCACGGGCCGCATTTGTTGGCGCCCACGATGGTCGACTTAGATAGACATGGGGAGGAGAGCGCGGTCTACGCTGGCTTCCACCAAGACATTTCCCTTCTTACTATTCACGGGAAATCCCGATTCCCTGGTCTGTACATCTGGGTCGACGGCAAACGCGTCGCAGTTCGCGTACCGGATGGTATGCTGCTTCTCCAAGCCGGAATGCAACTCGAACGCATCTCAGCCGGGGAGATCCGTGCGGGCTGGCACGAAGTGGCATGCACAACCTCCACGCTCGAGGCAGTAAGGAAGGCGAAGGAAGATGGGAGGAGTGTGCATAGGGTTAGTAGTACGTTGTTTTTTCATGTGGAGAGTGATGAGTGGTTGGAGGATTTGAATGAGAGGGCGGGGGCAGAGAAGAGGGAGGGGTTTGAGAGGATGTTGGCGGGGGAGTTTGTTGCGGCTGAGTTGTCCGATATTGGGTTGTCGAAGGCCGAGGCTGAGATTGTTTCGTGATAGTGTAATATGTCAGATTCTTCGAAGATCTCACGCCGGGATTAGTCGGGAGCGCACCTCGTGATGTCCCGAGAGGTGTTTTATGAAGTTCGCTTCATGGTGGATGGTCAATAACCAAACATTCCCGAAATAAGATCTAAGATCATAGTCTCCCTTCTCAGTATCTTACATATATGCTTCATCTCCCCGTACCTTACCCACCGTGGTGATTTCGCAGCTGCACTGGCGAATCACGACGCAGCCGAAACTCAACAACCCCATATACTTCAAGATGCTTGCCGCACGAAGGATCTCCTCGGCTGCCCGCCCAATGGCGCGGTCTATGGCTACCACCGCCGCCCAGATGCCCTCTTTTTCCTACAACGTCGCCGACGTCAACGGCCTCAAGGTTGCTACTCGCGATGACGGACTCCCCACTACCGCCCTTTCCGTCGTTATCAAGGGTGGATCTAGATACCAGTCTACTCCTGGAGTTGCTCACGCTTTGGAGAAGTTTGGTTTCAAGGTTAGTTCGTGTTTGGGGTGTTGTGCGGATCAACGGGGGTCTCGGTCGTTGATCTGGATTATGTGGATGTATGCTCACATATGTTCGAATTCATAGGACACAGCGGCCCGTACTGGTCTTCGTATGACCCGCGAGTCTGAGCTCCTTGGTGGTGTTCTCTCTACCCAGCTCCACCGCGAGTCCATCACCTACACCGCCCAGTTCACGAAGGAGCACCTCGCTTACTTCGTCGAGCTCCTCGGTGATGTTGTCAGTCTCCCTAAGCTTTCTCGTACGTTTACGCTTCACAATGATATACTATTCGACAATGAATGCTGATTGAATGCTGCAGCTTACAACCTTACCGAGAAGGTCATTCCTCTCTTGAGGCTCGAGTCTGAGGCCGCTCAGGCCAACCCTCTCCACAAGGCTTTTGAGACTGTTCACCAGCTCGCATTCCGTCGCGGTCTCGGTAATGAGCTCCTCTCCGGTGGCTCCTACCCTGTCTCTAGGGAGGACATAGCCAACTACGTCCGACAGACTTTCACCAGGGAGAACATCGCCATTGTCGCTTCCGGTGCCAACGCTTCCGAGGTTCAGCGCCTTGTCGCCGAATGCTTCCAGAACCTCCCGTCCACGACTGTCGACGGTAAACCCGCTACCGAAGCTTACCCCGCTCTCGAAGGTGTCGCTACCAAGTACTTCGGTGGTGAGGCTCGCGTTGCTACCAACTCTAACATCGCTCACTTCGTTGCCGCTTTCCCTGGTGCTTCCAACAAGATCTCCGAGGGTGGTGCTGAGTACACCGTCCTCGCTAACCTTCTCGGTGGTACGCCCGCCGTGAAGTATTCTGACGGTGCCTCCCCTCTCGCCGTTGGCGGTGGCGGCAGAGCCTTCGCCACCAACCTTGCCTACTCCGACGCTGGTCTCTTCAGCGTTGTTGTCGCTGCTCCTACCGAAAACCTTCGTAATGCCGCTTCCAAGGCTCTCATGAGCATCAAGGACGCCGCCCGGAACGTTTCCGCCGACGATCTTAAGATGGCCATCAATAAGGCCAAGTTCGCTGTCTTGAGCGCAAACGAGGGTCGTGCATCAGGATTGGACAGTGTCGGTCGTGCCATTTTGGAGAATGGAAAGGCTGTGGAGACCAAGGACTTGGTTGCTGCTTTGGAGAACGTGTCTGCTGAGTCGGTGCAGAAGGCTGCTGCGAAGTTGTTGGAGGCTAAGCCTTCGGTGGTGACTGTCGGCAAGGTGCACAAGTTGCCTTATTACGATGAGCTCCTCTAGATTGTGGTGGATGGAAAACGATGTATAAATGCGGGTGGCAGTGTATGGTAGGTAGTTTGAGAGCGTGTAAAAGTATCTATCCGTAATATCCATTGAAAATCTTTCTCATACCTTTTTTGCTTTATCTCCTATACTCAAGGTTTGAAACCATGCGTGATATTTTGCTTCTGCTTTGATGACTTTGCCTGATGCTGCAATGGTACTTGTCGGCATCTTTCGCACGACCTGTGAGAAGACACTATTTGCAACACATGATCGAAGGAGATCTGAACAGCTTGCTTTGTGCAGGGTTTCACACAAGCTCGTCCGCTTGACATCGATAGGCAGTTTGGTGAATAGTTCGATTGACTTCTTGGCCTGGGCAAAGTAATCTTGCGTGACTTCCAATAGTGCAGTGGCATCTACCCGATCCACGTTTGTCACCGACTTGAAATCATTGAACGGAACAAACTCGGGCGCCCCTATCCTCAAGAAAGGCTTTAGGCGCAGGTTATACCAAGTCGACTCGGCCAACTTCGACCTTTCAGGTCTCGATATTAGCCCAAGCTTTGTCAGAGCTGCTGTCAGCCTAAAGCAACCTCGACTCAGGTGACCGTAACCGACAGTCTGGAGATGCAAACTCTCGACGAACGCCAATGCACTAGCATCGCTTGGATGCATTGGCGGAAGCGTCGGTTTTTTGTTTTTCTTCGACTTTTTCGACGATAGTTTTGGAGCAGTCTTTGGAGCGCTGATATGGACCGTGGTTCTCTCCAGGTGATGCCGATGAACGTCCAAAATGTAGTCCAAATACCAGTACATCAAGGACCATTCATACGGCTGATACAACTCCAACTCAAACCCTAAAAGAATGATAGTCTCCATGAGCTGCAGTTTGTTGTGATAGACCCATGAGCTCAGCGGATACGGGTGAGACGGCCCGCGTTCTGTTTGCAAGGGCTGCTGATTCAGGAGCGTGAGTATTTCAGCATCGATTGCCTCGGCCTCTACTTGCAAAGCATCAAACTCGTATAACATCTTGATCATATTACGTCGTAATCTTGCACGGTTATGGCAAAACACGCGAAACAGGTCGACGGTGGGAATAGCAGCCTTCTGGAGGAAATCCTGAACCAGCTGATGTGCTCTAACAGCTTGTTCCGAGGCGTCTTCTGGCGCATTTACCGAAACGTGGTGGTGAACGCCCGCGAACTCTGTAATTAGATCGACCATGAATTGTTGTAGGGTAATCTTGCCAAGGACTCGAAGTTCCTGAAGGAAGAAAACCTGCAAAGACGCCCGGACATAACCAGATGCAACGGGGCGGCGGACGGCAAACGCCTGAAAGTAGTTCTGCGGGACGAAGTTAGCTACCAAATTCCATTTCCCAAGACTCGACATACAAAGAGATCAGTGCCAGAAACATATTCCGAGATGACCATCAACCCCCGCATGTCCGAGCACACACGCTCCAAGTACGCGTAAGCATCATCAACTGACCTAATCATCATTTGCCGAGGTGGAATCTGGCTAGCCAATGTGCGCTGAACGGACATACTGAAGGCCTTTGGCACTTCTTTTGCTAAAAACCTCGTTTTGCTTGCGTCCTCGACGTGTTCTAGACAAATTTGAAAGGCCGTTATTGATTCTGCTATCGACGGCGTGCTCAAAGCCACCAAGAATGCCCACCGGAGTGCGATCCTTGACTGAAGCGCCTGGGCGATTTTGTCCGTTAGATATTCATTGTGCTCTTCAAGCCACTTATTCGCCGCGTCAAGAAGAGTAAGGACTTCCTCACATTGGGCATACTCCAAGGGCGACCAGCCGAACGTCATTGTCGATACATCCTCATCCTGTATACCACTCGGTTAACATGCCATCCTAGCCTTCGTCCCAGAGAGACATACCTCATATAACTGTCCTTGCAACATCCTCTCTCTAGCATAATCCACGCACTTGATCAGAGCAAGGACGTACGGTCGGAAGACATAGTGCATCAGTGCTTCGGGCGACCCAGAGGACTCGGGTGCAGCCTCTCCATCTCGGAGGTACGTGATGTGTGATATCCCGGCGTGAGGATTCTTGGAATACTGAGATAGTATGTGCTCGACGTGCAGCGATGTGAACACTGTTTGCGAGAGTGACGTTGCTGTATGCCAGCTCATCTGCACGGCATTGATCAGCAGCTGTACTTCTGAAAGTCGATCTTTCATACCTCCGCAGCGAGCAATTGATCCATTAGCCCAACAACCTCCTCTGGTAACATCGGTTTGCACACATCAAACGCATCAGGCCCCTCATTCGGAGGGATCAATCCCGAGTCCATCTTTGCGTCCATGATTTCCAGAGCGCCAATTGAGTCGTAGAGGGAGAAACTGTCATCTTTGACAAGCTGACCGAGTTTTAGTTCTGCATAGCTGTCAGTACTGTGCGATTGGTAGGCGAAGAAGTCGTACCGCTCGTTGCTTGGAGCAGTTCTGTGGTAGCATCGTGCCATATTAAAGGTGCACGACCAAGGGAGATCTGGGAGACTCCTGTGACTTTTGTCAGTTGAGCATTTTGAGTACTGAGTAAGATACATTACCTGCAGTCACATCATTGGCAGCTGTAGGCATAGCCATTGTGGGCCGCTGTTCTCAATGTTCGAGGTCGTACGACGCGACTTGCGAAATGACGGCTTGGCAGGTAACGTAGACACGACAACGCATAGTGGGAACAAATACACGAGGTTGACAAAGCGATATTAAAGACGTTGACGATTACAATTACGAATACGAAAGGGTTGGCAATGGTCGTAAACGGATTGATGTTGCGACAGACCATGATGCACTGGAAAAGCCGCTGGGTTGGCAACAGGCCGTCGAGGGAACTGCAGGCTCGATTGTTGAGAAGCGTATACTGTGAACTCGCTGCAGTAGACGTTGATGCTAAGTGGCATGGAAGTAATCCATGGCCGCATGTAGTTGGAATCGGCTTCACCTCACCACCCATGAATGACAATGCAAAGAAACCAAATTGATATCGGTGTAGAAACAGTCCTGTATTTTCTCATTCTCATCCCCCACAGAAGACCTCACAGCCCATGCAAAATCCTCCTGATATCGTCACACTCCAGTTTTCGCAGCGTAACCACATCTCAGACTTAAGCCTTGACCTCCTCAATCAAAGTCTTGACCTCACCCTGTCTGCCACCCTCCCACTTGGCCATCTTCAACATCATCTCTCCACGGCGCTCGGCCGCGATGCGCTTCTCCTCCTTGAGGACACGGCGGACAGTGCGTGCGCTATCAGGCGAATCAGCAATCAGATCAAACGAGAGTGCCTTCCCGGAGCAGCGAGGGGGAAATTGCGGGAAAGGAAGAGAGAAGGAGACGTACCAGATGGACGCGTAGCGGTTGTAGGTCATAACGGAGCGCCAGGCAGCAGGCATTTTGAGGTATGTGTTTGGTTTGAAAGTCTGGGGATGTGAACGCTGTAGCCGGACGGCCGATGATGTTCTACACCTGCAGGGCCACGAAGAGTCAATGTTGGCCGGGGTTGCCAAATGCTGCCCCAAAGTCGCTCATAACACTATTCAAGGATATCTGGAAAGCTGCCTTCCGGATCAGCCCAGCTTTCATCGGTGACCCCTTGGTCCTTGCGTCGCGTGCGTGGTCGGGGCAATCCTGACGCAGCCTGCAAATAATAAACACCCAGAACTCCCATAAGCACTCCCCAAATCAAGCAGGCCTTGGTTGTTTCCTCGCAATGGACGACCTCGAAGACAATCTCCCTATCTCCGCCCTTTCCGACATCGACGATGACTCCGATCTCTCCGACGTCGATGAAGCCCAATTCGCTGACATCGACGTCAACCAAATTGGAGAACAACCTGTGGAGGAGGAAGAAGAAGAGATCGTGAAGCTGCCGAGTTTTAAGAGGAGGAGGACGGCGGCCGAGGGAGAGAAGGCGGAGAAGAAGGGGAAGGTTAGGCCGGTTAAGAGGCTTAGGGAGAGGGCTGAAGCGGGTACTATTGAGGATGATGAGGTGGAGGAGGAGAGGAGACCTACGGATCCGGCCATGGGTATGATTTTGTGATGATAAGTGGTTCTGTGAACTCTGACTGACGTGATGCGTGCAGCACGGAAATGGGATCTCGATAGGCAACTTGATATGGCTTTAAAGCCCCAAAAGAAGCGAAGAGTAGCCCGCGGTGAAGAGGATTTGGAAGCAAAGGCTGATGAGGAGATTGTTGACCTGAGAGTACGTATGGAGAATGCGGCAAGAGAGGATTTCGAGGCAAACTACAACAAACTGCCATCGACGTCGAAGTTGAAGTTGTTGCCCGAGGTGGAGAATATGCTGAACAAGAACTGGCTCAATGACGCTGTGCTTGACAACAACTTGCTGGGGGCGATGAAGGCATGGTTGGAACCATTGCCGGACAAGAGTTTGCCGGCCTACAACATCCAAAAGGTCATCTTCACCGCATTGCAGAAACTTCCAATCCAGACCGAACACCTCCGCGAATCCGGAATCGGCAAAATCGTCTACTTCTACCAACTCTGCAAACACGCTGAACCCTCCATCCGTCGCGCCGCTCAGAAACTCGTCGCAGACTGGACCAGACCAATCATCAAGCGTTCCAACAAATACCGCGACCAAGAAGTCGAGTCAGTCGACTACGTCGCGTCCCAGGGAACACAGAGACAGAGGGTCCAGTATCAGGATGATAGTGGGTCGCAGAAGACGAGGGTGCCGACGAGGGACATGAAGATTTATACGGTTGCGCCGAGGAGTATGGTGAGGGATAATCAGGATGCGCATGCGGCGGCGAAACAGGCCGGGAATGAGAAGTTTAGGAAGATGATGCAGGCTATGGCTGCGAAGAAGGCGAAGCGTTGAATTGAGTCGTACAAGGGCGGGGCGTTAGCACGGTTTGTGGATTGCGTAGGATCAACGGGATAAGGCATGGATAGGTGACGTTCATTCAAACGGCAGCATACAATTGCAATTGCGATTATCAAAACTTCCCTTTCAAGTCCTCGGTGTTTTTTCCCTTTTCCGCCTTGTCCGCATTTCCCGATGGGTCGTCGGCTTCGGGCCTCCCCCGCATTTCGGGGCATGTGAAAGCGCTCAGCCTCAAATCTGGGGCCGTCAAGCCCGCGGGCATCGAAGCTGCTGACCAACCGCTTCATAAGGGCCCCCTTTCCCTTGAGGCCTGTTCAGAACAACAAACAGCATACATCCATGACAGAGATACAACCACTCAAGTACACCGGTCCAACTGCCATGCAGGCTGTGCCGTTGCCTGGTACGCAGCGTGATGGATACTCGGCTGTTTACCGGAACGTCGCTTACTCTGACAAACTCATCGAGACCAATGACCCTTCGGTAGGTTAATTGTGTGTGAAGTTGGGAAACGTACTGACGACTCACCTACAGATCCGCACAATGTACGAAAACTTCAACAAGGGATGTGAACTCAACCCGAAAGGTAAATGTCTTGGTCACAGAGAATATGACCGTCAGACGAAGAAGTGGAGTCCATATATTTGGGAGACATATGAGCAGGTTAGGAAGAGACGGGATGAGTTTGGAAGTGGGTTGGTTAAGTTGCATGATGATATCGTGAAGGTGTGTTAATTGCTCATTTCGGTTAAGTGCTTTTGCTGATTGCGCATACAGCCCTCTAAACAGTCACAGTACACGGTTGGGCTGTACTCTAACAACCGTCCGGAGTGGACAATCACCGACCTTGCATGTCAAGCTTGGTCTCTCATCTCCGTCGCTCTGTACGACACCTTCGGCGCGGACGCCTCGGCCTTCATTATCAACCATTCCGAGATGTCCACGATCGTCGCATCCATCGACCACATCCCTCAACTTCTCGAGATCTCTGAGCGTTGTCCTGGCTTGAAGGTCATCATCTCCATGGATCCATTGAATGAGGGCGAGTTACCTGGCCGTAGTAAGCTGGACTTACTCGGTGCCATTGCGAAGCAGAAGGGCATCTACTTGACGGACATGAGTGAGGTCGAGGAGATTGGACGTGCATTCCCGCGAAAGCACAATCCTCCGTCAACCTCAGATATCTCCACGATCAACTATACGTCCGGAACGACCGGTATGCCAAAGGGTGTGGTCCTCACCCACACGAATGCACGCGCTGGTGTCACTGGTTGCGAGTTGGCTATCGGAGCTTCGACGACGAGCGATATTATGATTTCGTACCTTCCCTTGGCACACATCTACCAACGCAACAACGAAGCACTCGCGTTCGCGCGCGGAAGTGCAGTTGGTTATTTCCATGGCAACATCCTGGAGCTAATCGACGATATTCAGGAGTTGAAGCCCACTATCTTCTGCTCCGTTCCTCGTCTTCTGTCACGTATCGGAGCTGCGATCAAGGCTGGTACAGTCGAGGCACCCGGATTGAAGGGAGCGATCTCGAGGAGGGCATTGGCGGCCAAGTTGGCGCAGATGGAAGCTGGTGGGTCGAATTTGCATCCAGTTTGGGATGTCCTTTGGTCTCGTAAGATCAGGAATGTGCTCGGTGGTAGGGTACGTCTTGTGGTCACTGGCTCTGCTCCCATCGCGAAGGATCTGCTGCAGTTCCTCCGTGCGGCTTTGGCGTGCGATGTCGTGGAAGGTTACGGTTTGACCGAGTCCATGGCCGGTGCAGTCGTTGGATTACCTGGTGATTGCAAGCCAGGCCATGTCGGTCCTCCCATCCCGACAGTCGAGGTATGTCTCCAGGATGTGCCCTCCATGGGATACTCCGCCAAGGATTCCCCGAATCCGCGAGGAGAGATGTTACTTAGGGGCCCATTGATTTTCAAGGAGTACTTCAAGGATGAGAAGAAGACGAAGGAGGCCATTGATGAGGATGGGTGGTTCCACACTGGGGATATCTGTGAGGTCGATAGCTTGGGAAGGTTCTACATCATTGATCGTGTGAAGAACTTCTTTAAGGTGTGCATCCAGCCATGTTGATTTTGAAAATTATGCTAACCGGTTACACACAGCTTGCGCAAGGAGAGTACGTCTCCGGTGAGAGGATCGAGAACACCCTTCTCGGTGCCACCACCCTCCTCGCACAGATCTTCGTCCACGGAGACTCGTTGCAGACCTACCTCGTCGCCATCATCGGCCCTAATCCGGATACCTTCGCTCCTTTTGCCTCAAAGATTATGAACGAGCGCATCTCCGCCACCGACCTCACCTCTCTCCGCAAAGCCTGCGCCGACCCCAAAGTCCGCCAAGCAATCCTAAAAACTCTCGACCGCGCGTCCGAAAAGCGTGGCCTTAAGGGATTCGAGAAGATTAAGAACGTGCATTTGTGTTTGGAGCCGTTCACGGTTGATAACGAGACTTTAACGCCGACGTTGAAAATCAAGAGGCCGCAGGCGCTGAAGCTTTTTAGGAAGGAGGTTGATGCGTTGTATGAGGAGGCAAAGAGGGATGAGAAGCCGATGGAGAAGGCGAGGTTGTAAGATATCGTGCAGGTCTGCCCATGGCCATGGGAAACGAGGTTATGTGTAGGATATGCTTGGTTGATTCAGAACATTGCGTTGCTTAGATTGCTACAGCTATGAAGAGGAAAGAAATCTTGCTTTGGAATTGTTATCGTACGACTGCTTTTGACTTTGTGAAGTTCGAAGGTTCGAGGAGCTTCGCACGGTTCATTTGCATTTGTTTTGCCGGCGATTGGCTTCGCGATCGGGCAACTGCGTCATATTGATCATGTGGGGGATAAGGATTGACCTCAAGGACTTTTCCTTGAGGGGTTTATAAAATGGGCAACATCATTGAGATGTTTACAGAGAACCGTCGTTCCGTGATGAGCAATACGCCAATTAAACCAGGTGTTTCGGTTGCCTCGAGCTCGAGCTCACCGGTGCCAGCTAAGGGCAAGCAGCGACGCCGAGAACGCAAAGCTCCCCTCCGCTCAAAGGCCCAGCAATCAGACGACTTTACAGCTTCCCTCATCCTCCCCGACAAAGCCGTCTTCAGCTTAACTTCACAATCCCTCAGCATCAACGCTTATCTCTCCCACCTCCCCTCCGAATTCTTCCCACGTTTCTCGGCATTGAGGATACTGCACTTGAATGGATGCGGATTGAAGAGGTTACCGCCGCAGATACGTGAACTGGTGGAGTTGTGTTATTTAGACTTAACACATAACTGGCTAAACATGTTACCGTGTCAATTGCACGAGATGTGGACATTGGAGGCGCTCAAGGTTGATTATCATAGAATGATGCGATTGGATGGGCCTGCGTGTCTCCGAATCACACCGGAGAATGTCAAAGATGGTGGCTTAACAAACGGGGCAGGGCCGCCACGGTTGACAGAGTTGGCGTCACGGAGTATACTCCGACACATTCGACCCACCGACCTCGAGCCCTCAACCTTCGGCGAACTGGATATCCCGCCCCACCTCCAACCAACACAATTCCCACCAGAGATCTGCGCGGGATGCAACACTGTCATTGCACGCGTACACCCACATCACCACCGTCTGCAGACACGGCGCATCGAGTTGAAGAGACGGCAGTTTGCGGTTGCACCGCTTTTATACACATTTTGTGGAGCACTATGTATGGGGAGGTGGGAGACAGCGTATGAAAAGAATGAGAAAATTTGGAAGTAATGGAGGAACCCGAGACGGCGGTGAATGTTGGTAACGGCAAGTAAGGCGGGTAACGCTATATGGGCACGTGATTGGGCCGTGCGAGTTTGGCAGTGTCTTCGGGTGCCGTCTCGCTCGGTTAAGGAGGCATGCGCTGACATAAGACGATACACCTAGCGTTCAAGCGCCTGGTTGACCTTGAACTGAGCACCGTGGGAGCAACGCCGACGGTGGTTCACTCACCCCGCTCTCTTCATGAGCCATTTCATCATTTCATCCTCTTGAGGATCACCGCCGAGTCAGCAGCCTGAAGAACGTCCTGATATAATCAAAATGCGGCCTTTTTGCTCGGTTGGGCCATTCGGGCGCAGCAGCGTGAACATTTTTGGGGGCATCGCGCTCAGATCAGGACGTCGCGCGCGTGGGAGTTCGCCTGCCCGCATGCGCATCCATTCCAGGTAAAACCCTCGATGATCTGCAGATCGATGACCAGTTCTATCCCCGTCTGAGGGTAGCAAAAATATCGCAAACCACCATGGCCATCAAGATTGTGTCATATCTCATTGGACGACGAGCAAGTCTGGCAATGAAACAACCAGCAATGCATATGTACCAATGGCGTTGCTGAGCCAATTGCTTTCTGTACCATACGGGGTGGATGTCATGAGTATATAAACACCGGTACTTCCTTCGGGATATGTAGCAACAACAACAGCGACAACCGTAAGAATGCGTTTCACCACCACTTTCGCTGTCGCACCCCTCCTCCTCGCGTCCACGGTGCTCGCCTCCTTCGACGGAAACTTGAACTACAAGTCGCCGTCGAAGAGGCACCCTTGGTTGGGTATCGATCAGCCCAAGGTTGTCAAGCGCGCTACCACTGACCACCACGATGCCTCGGCGTTGAACTTTACTCATGGTGTTGCGTCCGGTGATCCCTACTCAGACTCCGTCGTTTTGTGGACTCGTGTTGCTCCGACCTTCCAGGCTAGCAACTCTAATGCTACTGTCAGTGACACCCAGCCATTGTATTACCACGGTAACATTTCATCTACCAACCCTATCTGTGTCAATTACAAGGTTACCGAGGCCAAGGACGTCTCCGGTGATGTGATTGCAGAGGGCACTGCCTACACTACCTCCGACGTTGACTACACCGTCAAGGTAATCGCCGAGGGTCTCGATGCCTTCACGACCTACTACTACCAATTCTCTGTCTGTGACTCCAACAAGACCTCACCCATCGGCCGCACCAAGACTCTCCCCAACGCCGACGATGACATTGATGGAAGCGTCGGCTTGGCCGTCTACTCTTGCTCCAACTACCCTTTCGGATTCTTCAACGCCTACGGAGGGCCCGTCCGCAAGGACTCGGTTGACTACGTCCTCCACCTTGGTGACTACATCTACGAGTACAACGAGGGTGACTACGGATGGGGTTACTCCATCGACCGTACTCCCCTTCCCAACAAGGGCAGCGGGTTCGAGATCACCTCTCTCTACGACTACCGTACTCGTATCGCTCAATACCGTACTGATCAGGACCTCGCCGACTCTCACCGCTACTTCCCCTGGATTCAGGTCTGGGACGACCATGAGGTCGCTGATAACACTTGGAAGGCTGGTGCGTCTTACATGAACAATACTGAAGACTCCTTCATTCAATTCGGTAACGTCTCCTTCGACCAGCGTAAAGCGAATGCTGTCCGTGCGTACTTTGAGTGGATGCCCCTCCGTCAAGTCGATATGGACGACAACCTCCGTATCTGGCGTGACTTCTCCATTGGGTCTTTGTTGGACTTGGTTATGCTCGACACGCGTCAGTATGATCGTGATATCACGGACTTGTACTGGAACACCGACTACGTCCACGCCATCTCCGACGAGCAGAGCCGTTCCCTCATGGGTTCCCGCCAGGAGAACTGGTTCTACAAGAAGCTCTCCGAGTCCCAAGAGCGTGGAGCCGCATGGCGCGTAATCGGAAACCAAATCGTGTTCTCCCGCCTCAACGAGTCCGTCGCATACGGCTCCGAGAACCCCTTGAATTACGATGCGTGGGATGGATACCTGGCGAACAAGAACAGGACGCTTAAGCACCTCTACGAGAACGAGATCAACAACACGATTTTCCTTGCTGGTGACTCCCACGCTAACTGGGTTTCCGACCTCGTCTGGCTCGATGAGCACTCCTACGATCCCTCCACCGGTGCCGGATCCATCGGTGTTGAGTTCGCCGGTACGGCTGTTACCTCCCCTTCCCCCTTCGGTGCCAACATCACCATCGGAGCCGCAAACAATATCTCCACCGCCCTCGTCGACGCGAACCGCGAACTTCAGTGGTCCGAGACGTTCTACCGTGGGTATTACGAGTTGCACCTCAACTACTCCACTGCGACTGCGCAGTACTATGGATACCCTGATATCAAGACCCGCAACGGCCATGAGATCTCGCTTGCAAACTTTACGGTGTATGCGGATGAGAACAAGTTGGCGAGAAACCCGAAGGTTGCTGGTGGTGTTGCAAATGATGGGTACCTCCGGGGTGGGAAGATTACTCAGCTTTCCAAGTAGACGTAAAACTATGTATGATGGTGCTTTCGGATGGAAACTTCTCGTGAACTGCATGATTAGTACGACTTAGTGTCTTTAGAAATATACCTGGATTGATTTTGTTAAGCATCGTTCCCGTGTGTGGACTGCAACTGGAGGGTACGAATGATTGTTCATTGTCTATCTAGGTATAATGATTCCCGAAGGAAGTGTTCTGAGGTCGTCTGAAAAGAAGGGCGGTAGGGCGGTATGCTTATGCGTATGCCGTGAGAAGCAGCGCGAAATGAAGCTGTGGGCGCCGGGGAGGTTGGGAGCGCAACACGTACTCGGGTGGCATGGGAACCAAGAAAGTTTGCCGATTATATTTGGTATTTATTAGCCAAAACAGAATAGCTCAGAGTATGTCTGCTACATTCAAAGGTACTTGTGCTCATCCAACCAAGTCTCAACAGCCCCAGCATCTCTCTTCACCCAACCAGCATGCGCCGAAATCGCATCCAAACTCTGTCCAAGAGCCTTCGAGAATGCAGCGCAGTCCTTGTCCTCAAAAAACTTGCGGATATCCTCCGCTGCATCCTCCGAAGAGAACTTGTTGACAACAGCAGGGACGAAACGGTTCAACACAACGGGGTTAGCACCGAAGCTTTGGGTGATCCTGGTCCAGTTCTCCTTGATGCACTCCCATTGTCTCTTCCTTCCGACATAGTTTGCTGCCAACATCCCGGCTGGCGTGTGGATGTCCTGGGTGGGGAATTCGCCAGCTAGCATCATGCCAAGCAGCTTGTTAATGAGCTCGATGTCCTTGATCTCACCCAACGCAGCAAGCGCATTCTCCTTAGCATCATCAGTCGGTGCGTTCCTGTAGATATTGAGCACAGCATCAAAATCAGCAGCAGATCCTCCCTGAGAAAGAACAATGCCGTAGACAGCACGACGGAGGTTAGGGTGGATAGTGGACTCATCACCATTGACGAAGGCATCAAAGCGCTTACGGGCCTCAGCCACGATCTCCTCATCACCTGCGTGTCCAGCAACGGAGATGAGAAGAGTACGAAGCTGAGCAGTCAAGAAACTCTCGCCCTTGGCAGGATACTCGAAACCAAGTTCTTTAGCCTTGGGACCAGTAAGCTCACGGGTCAACCTGTTGGTTAATGATTAGCCACAATGCATCGACGTTTCAAACAATCAACAAACCTCTTCAACGCAGCCTGCACCTCCTCACTCTGCTCAAACCACGCAGATCTCAACCCAGAAAGCCTCTGTAAGAACACATTAGTACGTGCTTGCGCAAATAATGGACCAATTGCTCTACCATGCAAACTTGCTCCCAAACAACATAATTCTCCTCTCCCTTCAACTGACTCACCAACTCCAACAAGCCACTCGTACTCCCAAACCCACTAATTCCCATCAAGGCCGCATCAGCAACCAACCCGACACGGTCACTGGGCGACAAAAGACTCTGGTCCTTAGCCGCAACTTCACCAAGTGCAGCCAAGCGCTCGGGTGAGTAATTGACGCGGTAGACACCGACCTGGTCAGCGTTAAACTTAAAGAACTCGCCTTTCTTGAGCATGGGCAGGGTCGTCTCCTTCTCCGTCAACGCAGTAATCTTCTCGATATCCACCTTCGACAACGAAGAGATACCCGAAGCACCAACACGCAGAGCAAGAGGAACCCACCAGACAGTCTCGTCCTCCTCAGGCTTCACATCCCCAGTTGACAAAAACCTCCTCTGCGTGATCGTTGTTCCATCTTCCTTGTCAACGATATCGAGGACGGGATATCCAATGTTCTTGATCCAGTTGTTCATGAAACCACCGACATCCATCCCAGACTCCTCAGAGATCGCAGACCACAAATCCGCAGTATGGGCGTTGGAGTAGGAATGCTTCTTCAAATAACTAGAAACACCCTTCAAAAACGCATCAACACCGACATGGGACGCAAGCATACGAATGCTAGAAGCACCCTTCTGATACGAAATCGCATCAAAGATCTGGTTAATCTGCAATGCATCACGAACAGGAACCTCAATAGGATGCGATCCACGAAGAGAGTCCAGGTGAAGCGCAGTCTGAAGCGAACTGGAAACGAACTGATCCCAAACCTTCCAGGAGGGCTCGAGGTGGTCGACGGCGAGCCAACCCATCCAGGTAGCGAAACCTTCGTTCAACCAGAGTTCATCCCAGAATTCCATGGTAACCACCGTATAACTTGTCAGCTCTGTTTTCCACGGCTGAGAAATCATACATACAGTTTCCAAACCACTGGTGCGCCAGTTCGTGAGCGACGACGTAGACCACTCTCTGCCTGTACTTCTCGTCACTCTTGCCCTCATCGAAAAGCACCGCAGTCGTTCTCTGAATGTTCGTCAGCGTTGTCCTGCCTCATTCAGTTTTGCCACTCACGTATGTAATCAATCCCCAGTTCTCCATCGCACCCATTGCGAACTCTGGCACAGCGACAAGGTCACACTTGGGCAGCGCGTAGGGAATGTCAAAAACAGACGAGAAGTAATTAATGATCTTTGTTGCAGCATTCAATGCCACATTCGCAGTCGAGGAAAGACCAGGGGTGGTGTAGACACGAACGGGGATGTTGGGGTTAGTAGAGTGTGCCTCGACATACTCCATCTTCGCAACAACAAAAGCCAAAAGCTATAGGAAGAACGATTAGTCCAGCATTTCCGGAAAGTCGAATTTTTCTTCTTACATAAGTACTCATAACCGGCGTCCTCTCAAACTCCACGATCTTCAACCCCTCTGCACCCTCAGGACCAGGACCCTTCTCTCCTCCCTTCTTGCCGTCCTTTGCGGGCTTCTCGGATTTGACGGACATGTTACCCAAAGCTGTCAACTCATCCGGTACAGTCACGGTACAGTCAAATGTCGCCTTCAAGGCGGGTTCGTCGAAACAAGGGAAGGCACGACGGGCGTCAGTTGCCTCGAATTGGGTCGAGAACATGTATTGAGTCTTTCCGTCAAGTTCATACTGAAAAACAAGTTTAGTATATCAATGCAGATGACTTGGAACGTGCTGTACCTTCGACCGGTAGAATCCAGACATCTTGTCGTTAAGCACGCCCTGGAACTCAATCCTCAAGTCCGCCTGCGCTCCCTGAGAAAGCTTGTCCGGAAACTGCAGGGTTGCGATCTGCTTCGTCTCATCGAGTGTGATATCGGTAGCACTGACCTGTTGTTCGGTCTTCTGTACGGTGGTGACGATGGAGGCTTTGGTGAGCTTCAACTCGACTGAGTTGATCAGGATCTTGTCAGTCGCCTCGGCGATGTCGAGTTTGATGGTCACGACACCTGTACATTCTTAGCCATGCTTGATAAAAAGGACATGAAGAAGTGTACCATCATAGGTAAACCCGCGTGCACCAGTGAAGTCAAAGTTGTAAAGCTTGAGGTCGTAGTGCGATGGCTTCACCCAGTTGGGCAGAACCTCTCTCTCAACAACCAAGTTCGCGTCTGTCAGACACATATCGCTTCAGTTGATCTCGCTGGTGACGTTTACCATCTCGAGTCGTGAGTGCCTGGGAACGCGCGGGAACCCTGGGGGAGCGCAGGTGCTGTCGATACGCAGTTCGATAAAGCTTTCTCGGTCGAAAATCCTTCATGGACAAATCAGGAGCTTCAGACGAGAGGACGACCATAACTCTAGACGGCGCGCCGAAGCTGCTTGCTCGAGGTGTCCTATCAGCCGGTGCCACTGATGAGCGGAACGGCCATTCAAGAAACAGATCAGCGACCTTCTTCAAGAGCGTGCAATGGTCGCCGGACGGATCAACATTGCTCTCCGTAATCGAGAATAATCATCTTCAAAGCTGGATTGTGTTCGTGCTCTCATCCGTCATTGTATGCGCTGTGCTGATCCGCTCCCGCTCTAGACCCCCAGACATCCTCGAACCTACAAACCTCACCACACGCACTCTATCCCCGTACACTACAACACGCTCCGCCGAATCAATCCATGCAGCCCTCTTTTACCCCTTCTACTCCCTCCAAAACCCCTCAACATGCCTCTACCTTGCCTCCTCCCGCGACCACCCCATCCACCTCCACAACTCCCTAACAGACCAAGTCGTCGGTTCATATCCAAACATCAACCACGTCGAGCGCTTTCTGGCGGCGAATTCGATGTGTTTTGCGCCTGATGGGGCACACTTTGTTGTGGGGACTATGGAGCGGATTGCGGTATTTGATGTGCATAGGTTGGGAACGGGACCAATGTCTGTTATACCCACGGTACGGAAGTTCGACTCGATGTCGCAGCAGGGTGTCATATCCGCACTCGCTATTGCTCCTTCTTCGCCTTCGTTGCTAGCTGCAGGTAGCTATTCCCGTACCGTGGGACTCTACGACATCTCCGCACCCCCACGCTCGTCTTGTGTCGCCGTTTACCCCGTCGAGTCGAAAAGCGGTGGAGTCACACAAGTAGTCTGGAGCACGTGCGGACGATACCTGTACGTAGTCTCGCGACGCAGCGACGGAATCGAAGTCTGGGATATCCGCGGTACCGGCGAAGTCCTAGGCTCCTTACGCGGCAGAAACGCCTTCACGAACCAGAGAATCAGTATCGACATCTCACCCGATGGCCGGTCCCTTCTGAGTGGTAGCGTGGACGGTAAAATGAGAGAATGGAATGCAGTCATTGATGGATCGGAGTTGTCTGGCGAGCCTGTGCGTGTGTGGGATGCCGCGAGTGCGGGCACGACAGTTGCTTCGGCGACGTATAACCCTGTTTATCCAAAGATGGTGGCAACGTGTACTGGGCAGAGATCTGAAATTGACCTGGAGGATTCAGAATCGGACTCTGATTCTGGAGTGGACTCGGAGCAAGAATTTAGGAAGCCAAGGCTGCGCCGACAGGACGTTGAAAGCCAGTTGGATTTATGGTTATGTGGTTAATGCCTGGTTAAGCGATCTGGAGGGTCGGATTTTGGCAGCCAAATTGCCTCCAGCTTTGCACAGCCGAAGGCCTTGCAAGCAGTCTCGGTCCTTCGTATAAGGGAAGACAAACGTTCAGCTCACGCCCTTGACGCCTACGACAAGACAACAGGGTTGGCCACTCGCGGTGAACGGCAGAGACAGTATACCATTGAGAATCATCGAGCTCAATGATCTAGTTCGTATGGGTTATGCTCATCGGACATCTAGACGTTTTAGAAGGCACGCTGCCTATATTGATGAGCATTCCCTACCTGATTAAGGAATTTCAAACAGAAAGCGAGATACCTAGAAAACCCAAAGAAAACAACGAAAGCAAACTACCAAACCCTTTGCGTGATATCGCCTACTGCGACCACGACAAATATCTATGATCTCCCAACTTCCTCGGCTTGATCAAATGTCTAGCCGTAAACAACGCTCCAAGGATGATACACAACCCCGCAACAACAAGGTACGCAATACCCAAGAAATCATTACGTCCGCCAATAACGGAGCGGGTGGAGAGGAGAATAGATTTGGTACCGTCGTACTCAGTTACCGGGAAGTCTGTAGGTACGCAAGTTAGCCATCGTAGAAACAAACGCGAAATAGGATACTTACTAAGTCCGATGGAAAGTTCATAAGTACCAGCCGGAAGGGAGTACGAATCATTTCTCCTCGCTAACTTGGAGAAATCCGGCAACCCCGCCGTGCGCATCCACACCATCAACTCCTCATCGTCATGAATCGAATACAAATCAGACGCACTGTAGGTGGCTCCGTACCTCCCCACCCAGTTCGGCGGCGGCAGACAGGTTTCGGGGGTGTATGTGGTGTTTTTGTAAAGATCCTTGTCGGAGGACCAGGCGATGTTGTTCTTAGTCAAGACGACGATCTCTGCCGCACCGCTTGGAGGGTTAATGGCAGTGAGGTCGGAGAACGTGTCGTTGAATTGAGAGTTGGCGATCAGACCACATGGATAGTAGGGAAGGTCTCCGTCCTTGGCGAGGGGACTGCAAGAATCGGTGCTGTCGACGTCGCTAGCGGTACGTGCGTGACCGGACAGTTGTTCGATGTCGACGGATTGGATGTAGCGACGGTGGTTCTGGTAGAAGTTGGTGAGGTGGTAGTAGAGGAACCACGGGGCACCGAATTTCTCGGGGAGGTTGAACCTGATGTTGCACACCGTACCGTTGCTACCCGGGTAGGGGTTGACGCTGGTGTTGGTGGAAATTGACCACTGCGCTTGCAGCTTCGACTTGTCAAACGACGCTGACAGATACTTGCTGGGTATCGTCGCGAAAGTTCCGTTTTCAGCTGACGTGATGCAGTGTGTGTAGTCAATCATAACCTCCGATACCACACGGGAGGCATATAAGAGCAATCCTCCGATCGGCGCAAAGATAATTCCAATAGCAAAAAAGATCGGAAGCACCGTCTTCGGTGTCAGGATAGGCTGCCATGCCTTTAAACGCTGTTGTCTGAAAGCCTACATGTCCATTTAGTCAACACGCGACGCAGAAGGACGCGAAGAAAGCGCGACGAACGGTGTTTCCCGGCTTCCTAGACTTCTCCTTCTTGCCGACATTCACAGATCTCTCGTCTGTATCTGACATTCTTGGCTGGATGTTTTGTTCAGCTAATCTTGGCGATATGTAATGTTGGATGCTGTCCCTGCAACAGTACTACCGGTGCGTGCGTTCGGCCCGATGCACTGTGCCGAATACGCTGTCAAATGACAATCAGAAAAGGCCATTCTTATTTAATAACGAAATGCTTATTCCCTGCAACATCCCAGCTCATAACAGGGCGAGTCAACGTCATCGTACACAGCCTCGCGGATCGGATCCCCGCTTAATCAGAACTACGCGAGAGCTTATATTCAAGGCTTCGCCTCCTTCAGCCCAATCTCGTTCAAACAAACCGCATACATCCCCAATCAATAACACAAAACACACAATGTCTCCTCCAGGACCCCCTCCAAACGACCTTCCAGAAGGCTGGATCGGTCAATGGGACGATCGCTACAATGCCTGGTTCTACGTGGATACCCGTACCGGCCAATCAACCTGGGAAAAGCCCCAGCGCTTTGCACCCCCGGCTGGACCTCCGCCTGGTGCTGCGGGCGGGCTACCTGGCTATTCCGGCGGCGGACAAGGATACCACGGTGAGAAGTCACACTCGCCTTATCCTGATCAGCAGCAACAGAGGCACGACGGCGGGTATCAACAGTCGCCTCAACAGTATGTCGGCGGATCTGGATCAGCATTCGGCGGCGGAACGTACGCCGGCCCAGTAAATCCCCAACCTCAGAAGAAGAGCGGACTCGGTGGTCTCTTCTCCAAGTTCTCTGGCAAGTCGTCATCGTCCTCCGGCGGAATGTTCGGCGGTGGCAGTGGCGGTGGATATGCGCAGCAGCAGTACGGCCAACCACAATACGTACAACAGGGTTACGGACGCAAGACGGGTGGCATGGGTGGAATGGGTATGGGCGGTGGACTTGCCCTCGGTGCGCTCGGTGGTTTGGCGGCTGGTGCTATGATGAATGAGGCTTTCGATGATGATCATGGCGATTATGGAGGAGGTGACGGTGGTGACTTCGGTGGAGGTGATGATATGGGTGGAGGAGACTTCTAGGCTTGAGGGCAGTGAGAAGATTGCTGTACGATAACGATTGTCACTGGTTTGGTTGAGGAATAGGAGTCACCCAAAGGCGTTGTCGGTTGGTATAATAATGCGCTATATAACTATTCGATCTGATCCCTGAACGATGAGATAACGGTATATTCGCCTTCCACCTTGAAGTTAATGTCCCATGGGCTTCACATCCAACGTCTCGAGCGCCTCCGGGTACCTAAAATCACCCTGCTTCCTAATCTCATCATACGTCTCCATAATCACCACACTTTCATCCAACGGCATAATCTCACTCTCCTTCTTTCCGTCCCTAATACAGAACGCGACCTCATCGGCCTCCCACCACATACCGTTCCCACCCTCAATAGGGAAGTCGTTCTTCTGGACCTCGCCATCACCGTTGGGAATGACGGTGAAGGATGTGGGGCGGTAGGGAGGGGAGGGGATGCAGACTTGGGCTTTTGTGCCGACGATGCGGACGCATGGACCGGCGGAGTAGTCGGACTTGGGGTCGCTCTCCAAGGAGTAGTTGCAAGTTGCAATGGCCGTCGTTCCGGGCCACGCCAGGATCGCCGTGGTAAACTTGTCAACGCCGGTCTTCTCATCCTTCAGAATCGCCGCCTTAACCTCTGGCTTTGTATGTTCGGGGTCAAGATGATACACCGTCTGGAAGATATGCAAGAACGAGTATACTCCCAAATCCAATAACGCCCCGCCCGCGAGGTTCGGGTTCGTGATCCGATCGATGTGTTCGATGCTCTTCCCATTATCAGAGAAAATTTGCTTGATATCGCCGAGTTCGCCGGAGGAGATCATGCGGCGGAGCTCGATGCTGAGGGGGAAGTAACGGGTCCATTGAGCCTCCATCAAGAACAAGTTCTTTGCGCGAGCAGTCTCGACGAGTTTGCGGGCTTGTCCGGCATTAACTGTAAACGCCTTCTCACACAAGACATTCTTCCCAGCCTCCAACGCCAGCATGGCATTGGCGTAATGATGCGAATGCGGCGTGGCGACATAGATCACATCCACATTCTCATCCTTGACCAATTCCTCATAAGATCCGTAGTGTTTCGCGTCCTTTGCTCCCGTGGTCTCGGCAAACTTCTTGGCTTTGTCGACGGAGGAGGAGGAGCCGGTTGCGACGACTTTGTGGATCACGTCGACGTTGCGGTGGGATTTTGGGTCAAGGAGGAGGTCTTTGGTGAAGGTTTCGGCGATGCCGCCGCAGCCGAGGATTCCCCAGTTGAGAGTGAAGGTCATTTTGAGTTGGGTTGGGGTATTGCTTCTGGTGTGGTGTTGAGCTTTATGGTGCAGCTCGGCCTCGGGGTGACGTCGAACATCTCCAACCTCGAATTCGCACGACCACACCAAAAATGCTGCACCAGAGAATATGTCGCTCATGCCTGACAAGAGATTCAATTGCTCATGGGCCTAGCCTCCTACCGAGACGCAACATACACAATGGGCTTCTCATGGCCCCTGTGGTCTTCGCCGGGGTACTCCTTCCCTCCACTGATCTCACCGTCGGCTAATCCCCCTTTCAGCTCTTTGTCACCCTCTACGCCTTCAAATCTCTGTCTATGGTGGTGTTCCAGAACTCCCTGATTTACATGAGGAGTGTGCCACCAGGCGCTCGACAGGAGACAATTGAGATGTACGCATCCGAATGCCGTCCAATAAAGTGGGAGGAAGTGCAGTTCAAGACAAGGGATGGGAAGACGCTTGCAGCTTGTGTTGGGGAGCCGGAAAAAGATAGGAAATTGCCTAAGGCTTTGTTGGTGTATTTTCAAGGGCAGGTCGAGATTCATCAATATTTCTTCATGAAATGTGATTAATCAGGTCTTACAGAAACGCCGGCTCAGCACCCGCCCGACTCCCCTTCCTGTCACAGATCATCACTTCGACAAAACACGTCGACCTAACCATCTTCGCGCCCTCATACCGCGGATACTGGTATTCCACCGGCCGACCCTCCGAAGCTGGCCTCCGAGAAGACGCCCGAGCTTCCCTCCAATACGCAAGGGAACGATGGTCCGGATCCGACATCAACAGTATGTTCATCTGGGGTCACAGTGTCGGTGCCGCAGTCGCCGCCCACGCAACAGCCATGGACACCTCCCCGTCAACACCAACATCACCCAAGGCTGAAGGGAGAGAGCTGGAGTTGAAAGGTGTGATCCTCGAAACTCCCTTCACCGACATACCAGACATGCTCCGCACGCTCTACCCCCAGAAATGGCTACCTTACAAGCATCTCGTGCCCTTCCTCCGCTCGTCCTGGAACAACCGCGCTGCGGTCCAGCGACTCGGTCAGAATGCCCCGAACTTCCCGTTGTTGATTGTGGAAGCGGGACGAGATGAGATCGTGCCAACCGGGATGGCGGAGGAGCTCGAGGAGATTGCGAAAAAGGCTGGAGTGAAGGTTGAGCGAGTAGTTAGCAAGAAGGGATTGCACATGGATGTTGCCATGAAAGGGGAGTTCAGGGACTGGATAGGGAAATTCATGAGGCACTGTATCAACGACAAAACAGATACAGACAAACTGAATTGACAACACGATACGCGTACGTTGCGCTGCTATGGCAGGCCAGAGCTATCAATACATTGCAAAAGAAAACCCAAAGTGTACTCCAAATCCGAAACCAAAAATCCTGACAAGTGCAATGTTTGTTAATGTTAGTAAGTTGTAATCCGTCCTCATGCTCGGCGCTCGTTATCCTCTAAACGCGCCAGTGGACATGAGCACAATCTTCTTCTTCTTGCCCTTCTTCCCAGCGCCAGCATTACTGACGCTGCCTCCGACATCGCCATTAGCGGCGGCGGCGGCGGCGGCAGCCTCAGACTCAGCAATAGCCTGAGCAAGCAACTGATCCTCCCAATTCCTCGCCCACCCAGTAGAATCTGACGTCTTCGTAGTATGCGAATACGTGCCCAATACAGCCTGCGTACCCCACACCGTAGTCTTCGACGGACTGGACGAAGTCCCATGCGACCCACTTCCAGACCCCGTCGAAGAATACGACGTCCCAAAGGACGTTCCGAACGGCGGTGACGTACTCGGCACGGGCACATACGACGACCCCAGCGGTGCAAAATCATCATCCCGGAACGGCTGATCCTCACTCTGTTGACGTCTCAGGGCAGCACCCGGATACTCCATCTCCTCAAACATCCTCTCCGCCCGCACCCTATCCCTCTCCTCCTTCGCCTCCTTATCCTTTCTCTTCTTCGTTCGCTTATCGATATCAACCTTAAACTCTTTGAGAACCTCTTCGCTTACGACATCTGACCAATCGCATTCGATGAAGGACACTTCGCAGCCGCGGGGGAGATGACCGAGGTACTTGGTGCGGCGGCGGATGTCGTCGTCGACGGTATGGCCGTTAGAGATGTGGTCGATGCGAACGAGGAGGGAGGTGGGGAAGGAGGCATAGTCTCCGAAGAAGCGTTTGAGGATGCGGATGTCGAGGGAGGAAAGGTAGATGCGGGAGTTAGAACGTGGTTGGTAGAAGTAGTATGGAGTGTTCGCGGCGTGCTGTGTTGAGACGGCACGCGACGGTGGCGGCGGTTTAAGTGACGATGTCTCATCAACAGCAGGCGTAGTCGATCCACTCACCGGGATCTCATTCCTGGCGAGGTACGCCTCCGGGGCACCCTCTACACCCAAACCAAACTGAATCTCAGCCCTCTTTCCCTTCTTCTTCGTGACCCGCTCCGGCTCAGGGCCCTTCCCAATCCCCTTAACGCCCTCCTTGTCTTGCGCAATCTTATCAACGGCTTGACGTGCCCATCCACTATCCTCACCAAACTGTGCTTGATCAACCGCCTCCATAGTGTTCAACTCAGACACTTCACGGTCCAATTCATCAAGCATGTAATCCTCCGTACCACGCATGATACGAGCATAGTCCCGAGCCTCACCACTGTAGTAATACGGGATCTCATCCGGCGACGCAACAAAATCCACCGCATCAACCGGCATCGCCAGCGAACTCCCCGGCTGCCGCTCCATGAGCCTCAGCACAATATCTGCACCCTCCCTTGGCGTAATAACATCCTCACCCGCATACCACTTAACAGGCCTCAACTCAGACGGATACACGCTATCATGACACATCGGACACTTCCTCCACTTTGCATTACTCTTCCCACCTGCACCGAGTTCTTCGCTCTGCAAATACTGGATAACACACGGTAAACAAAATACGTGGCCGCATTTACTCATCCGTGGCGCAACAGGTACGTCGGTTAAACAAATGGGACATGGGTTAGACTGAGTTTGTTCTGAAGCCAGGACCTGCAGAATATCATCCCATTGGAGGGGCATGTCCGGGTCGAGGGTTTGGGTGCGATAGTCGCGGCGGGGGTCGACGATGAAACGGTAGTTAGCGTTGACAAAGCGGGCTTTGTCTTCGGGGTGGTGGCCGGAGCCGATACCGTATGAGCGAGTCTTCGTGCGGGGGCGGGATGGGGTGAATGCCACTGGTGCTGGGCGTGGGGCCATTTGGAAGTTGAGGAGGTGGTTAAGATTCACACGGCCACGACGGTCGGGAGTGCCAAAGAATGCCTAATACATACGACGTTAGACTACGTTCTTGGTAAGTAAGAGCAGTATTTGACTTACGGTTTCGGCAAACTCGGCCTCGAAATCGTCATCATGATGACTCAGACCCGTGTGAGTCTCCACAGTGAGAGGACGACGGTGGTTTTTGTGGCTCCGTTTAGCACCCTGGTTCTGGTTTCCCTTCGGTTTAGGCAAGTTTCGATCTATAAAACATCATTAGAAACGACTTCTAACAGGTATTTAATATAAACTCACTCGGTGCCCTTCGTGGCGGAGTATTAGTCATAGGAGGCCCGTTGATCTGTACAGGCTGTGACATAGGAGCTGGGGTGCTGGAAGACGAAACTTGCTTTGAGCCGGCCATACTGCTTGACGTAGATGTAGAGCTGCCAGAAGGTACCCAAGGTTGTGCGTTGACGTTGAACCGCGCGGACATATGTGTTGCCTCCAGGGCAGCTGCTGTATATAAGAGAAGCGTGTCCGGTGCGTGACCGGCGAGGAATCAGTAGATAAAGACGGCTGGAGAGCCTTCTAGGCTATCGATGGAGTAGAATGGACGCGTTCAGGGTGGTTAGAGAGTCGAGGTTTGTATGGAGGAGCGTTGAGGTCTTTCTGGGGGAGTGAGGCGAGTGCGCTGCTTCGACCAGCGGACCTTGCATCTGCGTGACGTCGGTCTGCTGAGGCTCAGGAAAGAGAACGAGTGAACGACCAGCATTCATCCCTTGTATCCAGACATCAGTTGACAGCATCCTTCGTATATGCAGAACACTCCTTACTCTACGACGACGGGCATTGAAACAGGCGAACATGATCCCTTAATTTTGCCCGATCCTAAGCCAGAGCTGAGTCCGCTGTCGGGCAAGGTATGCTCTGCTCCACATTCTCAATTGCATCTTGTTAACTGCTTTATTAGGTACCGTGGTACAACACCGCTCCTCCATTCCCTCGACGAAGACGGAGACGAGCAAGGGAATCTCCACTTGCTCCCCCGCCACCAGCAGAACCCATACCCGGCGTGAAACCACCTACAGCAGAAACCGCTCCTATCCAACCTTGTCACTCTCGTAGAAGCTCATATGCAAAGTCTGAGACTTCGCGAAGAACGTCTATACCCGCTGCTATCCCTGCATTACCCAAAGATACCAGAAAACCTACGACACCCGCAAAACCTGCATCACCCACCTCGACAAAACCTACAGAACCATCAGAGACGCCAACTCCAGCGACTACAACTCCGTCGTCACCAGCGGTTGCACCAACGCCGCCTCCTAAACCAAAAGCATGGGGCGCTCCCAAAGCATGGTCAGAACTACTAAAGAGCCCGGGAGGTTCTCTCCCATCATCCACTAAAGTAAAAGCACAATCCATACCAGCAAAAGCCGCAAACCTCGGCGAAGCCCTCCAACAATTCCAACCCCAGCAAAAGGGAACACAAGCCCCCAAGATCCAGCCACGAGGGTTGATCAACACCGGCAACATGTGTTTCATGAACGCAATCTTGCAGGTGTTGATTTACTGTCCTGCATTCTATAATTTGCTGGATAGTGTAGGGAAGCAGGTCGCGCATAGGTTTGCGTCGAATACGCCGTTGATGGATGCTATGATTATATTTTTGCGTGAGTTTAGGGTGTTGGATGAGATTGCGAATGCGACGGGTCAGGCAGGGATTCAGTTGAAACAGGAAGAATTGGAGAAGTTCGGTGAGGTGTTGGTACCCGAGTATGTCTACGGTGCCATGAGAGGAAACCCCAGGTTCGACTCCATGCGCCGTGGACACCAGGAGGACGCAGAGGAGTTCCTTGGATTTTTGTTGGATGGGTTGCATGAGGAGTTCATTTCTGCTATGAAAAGCATCCCTACGACGATTGAGAGGTATGTCGATGATGATGATATCACCCATGAGGCATATGTCCCATTTGCGGATGGGTTGGGCCAGGAGATGAGGGTTGAGAAGGTTGAGAGTGAGGATGGGTGGCTCGAGGTTGGAAAGAAGCAGAAGACGAGTGTGACGAGGACGCAGACGGTGGTTGAGACACCGATTACGAGGATTTTTGGTGGAAAGCTGCGGAGTGTGCTCAAGGTTCCGGGACAGAAGGCGTCGGTGACCTTGGAGCCTTATCAACCTCTGCAACTCGACATCCAGCCTTCGAATATTCGCTCGATTTTGGATGCGATGAAGCATATTACTGAGCCTGAATCTCTTGATTGGATCAATGCTCGCGGTGAGAACTTGACGGCTACGAAGCAGGTGTTCATCGAGACACTCCCTCCTGTTTTGATTTTGCATTTGAAGAGGTTTATTTACGACATGACCGGTGGTACGCAGAAGAGCTGGAAGAAGGTTGGATACCCGCTGGAATTTGAGGTGCCGCCTGAGGTGATGAGCCCGGGTCTCAGGACTGAGAAGACGCGGTACATGTTGTTCGGAGGTATGGAAGTAATCCAAACAGTTTGAATCTGTCTTACTAACATGTGGTCGTACAGTTGTTTACCATCACGGACAATCGGCACAGGGAGGTCATTACACGGTTGACGTTCGGACGCAGGAAGGTACTTGGTTGCATGTGGATGATACCAACATTGTGGAGGTTCGGCCTGAGGATGTGGCTGTCAATGTTAACAAGGCTGAGGAGGATGGCATGAATGGGTTCAACCGACCGGAGCGGATGGCATACATTTTGTTTTTCATGAGAGTCTAGAAAATGGAGCAGGAGCAGGAGCAGCTGAGAGAGGGCATGTCGGAGTCGTGTGCTAGCATCTTGTCGTTTTTTCTACCAAAAGTTTACCCTTAATAATACGAATGGACTGAACATATCAGGTTTATCCCACCGGTCCCCCCCCCTTCTCGCGGGTCACGCCACGGCAAGCCCTACACAACATCGCGATCGGTACTCGAACCAAAACAACAACCGAGACGTCGGACGGTGCGCGCATCTCAACAACTTTAAAGCAAAGACCCTCTACGGGCACGGACCGCTTGCCGAGAGCTGTAAAGGAAGTCCTTGATATTTCTGACATCATGGTCCAAACGAGATCACAAGTTACCACGAAAACGCCCAGAAAGGCCGCTGCCACCGGGCTTCCGACTCAGACCCCAAGCCGAAGCACGCGACGAATGTCAACCAGGCAGACCCGTGTTGAATCCTCGCCTGAACCAAGTGACGACGAAGAAGTTAAGCCAATGCTACCCCTTTCCAACGGCCGCAAGGCGAATGGCTCCGCTAAAGAGCGTGACGAGATCGAGCGTGCTTTTGCGGGTGTTGGAGGTGTGCCTGAGGATCCCAAGGTCGACAAGTCTGGACATTTCGAGTTCGGTGGATCGTTTGGGTGTGCTTCCTTGATGGTTATCTTCCCGACTCTCATGTACTACCTCTGGATCTGCGCTACCTTCTACGGTGGTAAGATCGAGGGTCCCAAGACGTTCGAGACCTGGGAGGATTTCGGATACAGGATGTTGAACCACGTCGTTAAGGATGCCTTCCCTCATGCGGAGGCGTGGGCTATTTACTGGGTGTTCATGATTGTTCAGGCTATCTTCTACGTCACCCTTCCTGGTATCTCGACTCAGGGTCTTCCTCTTCCTCATGAGGGCAACAAGCGTTTGCCGTACTTCTGCAACGCTGTTTGGTCTTTCTATGTGACCAACGCTGCCGTCGCTGCCTTGCACTACTTTGACATCTTCCGCCTTCCTACTATCATTGAGCAGTTCGGTCCTATCATGTCTGTTGCTATCATCTCTGGCTTCATCATTACCTTCATCACCTACTTCGTCACTATTGCCCTCGGCAAGCAGCACCGCATGTCCGGCTACTTCATCTACGATCTCTTCATGGGCGCGCCTTTGAACCCCCGTATCGGCATCCTTGACTTGAAGATGTTCGTCGAGGTCCGCATTCCTTGGTTCGTTCTCTACTTCATGTCCGTCGCTGTCGCGGTCAAGCAGTACGAGACCTACGGTTCTGTTACCCCTCAGGTCTGCTTCGTTGTCTTGTGCCACTATTTGTACGCGAATGCTTGTGCTAAGGGTGAGGAGCTCATCGTTCCTACCTGGGACATGTTCTACGAGAAGTGGGGGTTCATGCTCATCTTCTGGAACCTTGCTGGCGTGCCGTTCACGTATGTCCACTGCACCCTCTTCCTCGCCAACCACGAGCCTTCTGAGTACAAGTGGTCTACTGGCTACAACGTCTTCTGCTTCGCGCTCCTTTTGACTGCGTACTACGTCTTCGACACTTGTAACTCTCAGAAGAACCGTTTCCGTCAGCAGATGCACGGTACCCTCAAGCTCCGCAAGACCTTCCCTCAGTTGCCTTGGCAGACGATCAAGAACCCTACCTACATCAAGTGCAAGAACGGTGGTACCCTCTTGACTTCTGGCTGGTACCGTTACGCTCGCAAGATCCACTACACTGCGGATTTCTTCCAGTCTCTTTCTTGGGCTCTCATTACTGGCTGTGCTAGCCCATTGCCCTACTTCTACCCCCTCTTCTTCTTGACTGTCCTCATTCACCGTTGCTCTCGTGACATCCAGAGATGCTCTGAGAAGTATGGTGAGGACTGGGAGGAGTACAAGAGGCAATGCCCCTACCTCTTCATTCCTGTAAGTCGTCCTCTGTTCGAGCTGTGGGAATCCTGCTAACATGTGTCCACAGTACGTCTGGTAAACATCCCAATTTTGTACAACAAAACGTTCTTAGTTTAGACTTCTAGCACACGCTCTCTCGTATAACTAATAATTAATACCCTTGTTACGCATTTTAATTCACGGGAGCCTACGATTCCCGTATTGACAGAGTTCTTACAGCAACGCACGAGGAGGCGCTGAACGAGTTTTGTGGGCCGCTATCCGTGATAAACAAGATTACCCTCACGTCATCTGCGCAGTCTGCTATGGCGACGTTTTTGGGCTATGCCTCAGCCGAAACAATCTCCTCTAAAGTCCAGCAACGCTTTGGTATCAACCTCGACACAAACCGAGTCGAATCGTATTCCTTAAAAAACGACACTTCGTCAGCGCAGAGCGGTGGCGACTGTGGTTGGAGATGCAGTTGGCAGAGGCTTCGACCGTTCAATCGGAAGGTAGTAGTGGAAGGCGAAGTTCTGGATTGTCGAAAAAAAAGTTGATGTGATCCAGTATAGGACAAGAGTCTGGTTTTCTATGTCAGTATAATGTAACCGTGCTTGAGCAATTGTACATACCGTCGGCATCTGCGTTGCAATCCACATCATTGCAAAAGACGCCATCCTCGCCGCATTCGTCAAGATCCTCTTAAACCTGCTCTGGTTTTCCGAACCCCCGTAGAGTGCTGCAGTGATCTCTATGTTTGCCAAACTCATGATTCCAAGCGCGACAGGTAAAGCCATCGTCGGATCAACCACGGTAAGATCAGGAAACCACAAAGCACCCTCCGTAACCAGTGATGGTTCCAGGATCTCCGGACCTCCTCCCCATGTCGGCCACCCAGCCATTCCGCGCAGTGTGAGGGAAGTGACGATGAACAACGGCATATGCACCAGTGGCAGTAAAAAAGTGATGAGCGGATTACATCCATTCCTTGAATATATCCGCCACATCTTCATCAAAAACTGTCTCGACACCCTCTTTTCCAGCACCTCTGGCGTGCTTCGTCCTTGGTCCTTCAATAGCTCCGTTCTCCGAAGGGTTTCTCGCCATGACATGATGATTGGTTTTAGGGTCATCATTTTTTGGGTTCGTTGTCGGACGCGGACGGCTATTGGGAGGGTTGTGGCTGTACGGAGAAGGATGGTGGTGAGTGGTATGGTAAGGTACCATGGCGTGTGAGAAACTTCATGGACTGTAGTGATGAGAGTGTGCGTTGCTTCGAGGATAGAACTGAGTTGTCTTGGTGGAGTAGTATGGAAAGCTGCTGATCGCAAAGAGGTCGCTGATAGAGCCTGCTTGAATGGTGATCTGCAGCATCTGCCAAGAATCATTGTGAAGGTATGAGGACCGTGCGGGTCTCCGGGTTTGCGGCGATGCGTTCGAGGAGTCCGCAAAGGTCTGTCGTCGTTACAGGGCCAAACGAATCCTCGAACGGAACGTCGTGCATGACTGAATCGACACTTTACGGCGCGGCGCGTAAACTCCACACGCAACGGCTGTTGCTTCTTCCTCCAACATCCCCCAACCCTACCAACCATGGGTGACATTCAATTGGATGCAAAGACCTTTCATAGGAGGGCGAAGCACCTTTTCGCGACCTGGAAAGTTTGTGATTGACCACTTTGGAGACCGGTCACAGTGCTGACGCGTACAAACAGGCTTCGGGAGGCGACGACGATGCTTTCGCTGGAGCGAATTCCCTTCTAGTTGTGTTGGGATCGTCTAACGAGGAGAACCCATACCAAAAGTCCTCTTCATTACACGTAAGTGCGGCTATGCCTTTCTCGTGATCGCTGTCCTGACTTCGCCTTATAGACATGGATGTTGGGATATGAATTCCCGGCAATGCTCATGCTTTTCTCCAAGGAGGACGAGAAAATCACCTTCCTCACCTCGGCCAGCAAGGCCAAGCTCCTCGATGGCCTCGAGAAGGCGAATGACAAAGTCAACATGGAGGTTCTGAGAAGAACAAAAGACGATGCCCATAACGAAGGTCTCTTCAAGCAGATCGTCGAACAAATCCCCAAGATCGGCAAGAAGGTCGGAATCTTCGCCAAGGACACCTTGCAGGGCAAGTTCGTCACGGAGTGGCAGAAGGTGTACAACCCCAAGGACCTCGACGTCGAGGAGGTTGACGTGTCCGCTGGTATGGCAAGTGTCGTGGCTGTCAAGGATGAGCAGGAATTGAAAGCTATCCGTGCAGCGTCTAAGAGCAGTGTGGTGGTCATGACGAAGTACTTTGTCGATGAGATGTCTACTATCATCGATGAGGAGCGTAAGGTGTCCCACATGAAGCTTGCCGAGCAAGTGGAGCGGGTGATTGAGAACGAGAAGTTCGTGAAGGGTAAACTTGCTAATGTTGCTTCGGACTTTGACGGCGATCAGCTCGAGTGGTGTTACACCCCTATCATTCAGTCCGGTGGGAACTACAGCTTGAAGCCTTCCGCGCAGTCTGACGAGAAGAACCTCCATGGTGGTGTCATCGTGGCTTCTCTCGGTCTCCGTTACAAGTCTTACTGCTCCAACGTCGGCCGAACATACCTCATCGACCCTAATGATAAGCAGGAGAAATACTACGCTTTCTTGTTGAACTTGCAGAAGAAGATCCTGGAGAGCATCAAGCAAGGCGCTGTCATCAAGGACGTCTACAACAAGGCTTTGGGATTGATCAAGTCCAAGGCTCCTGAGCTCGAGCCTCACTTTCCCAAGAACATCGGTTGTGGTATTGGTATCGAATTCCGTGATACTTCTCTTTTGCTCAACGGCAAGAACAACCGTACTCTGAAGGATGGAATGACCCTCAACCTCAGCATCGGTTTCGAGAACTTGGAGAACAAGGCCTCGAAGGATCCTAAGGGTAAGGTGTACAGCTTGTTGCTTATCGACACTGTTCGCGTCACTACTGAGGCGCCCGTCGTCCTTACCGACTCTCCCAAGAGTCAGAGCGACGTTTCCTTCTACTTCAAGGACGAAGGTTCTGAGGAGGAGGTCAAGCCTGAGGTTGAGAAGCCTCGTCGTGCCGCTGCCGCTGCGATCATGTCCACCAAGACTCGTGGAGAGAACCGTGTTGTCGACGACAACTCTGAGGTCAAGCGCAAGTCTCACCAGAAGGAGCTGCAGGAGAAGAAGCAGCAGGAGGGTATTGAGCGTTTCGCTGAGGGTAAGGAGCAGGGCAATGGGCAACAGAAGGCCGTGGCGAAGAAGTTCGACTCGTACAAGGGCGACAGGCAGATGCCTCCTTCCGTCAAGAAGCTTCAAATCGTTGTGGACCGCAGGAACCACTCTATCATTTTGCCCATCTACGGTCGTCCTGTGCCCTTCCATATTAACACGTTGAAGAATGTCTCTAAGAACGATGAGGGTGATTTCGTGTACTTGCGTCTCAACTTTGTCAGTCCTGGACAGGGTGTTGGAAAGAAGGATGACGGTACCCCTTTCGACGACCCTAATGCTCAATTCGTTCGTTCCATGACTTTCCGTAGTAAGGATACTACGCACATGGCCGAGATCTTCAAGGATATCCAGGACATGAAGAAGGAAATCACCAAGAAGGAAGCCGAACGAAAGGAGATGGCCGACGTCGTCGAGCAAGCCTCCCTCATCGAAGTCCGCAACCGCCGTCCCCTCCGTCTCGGAGACGTATTTGTCCGCCCAGGATTAGAGGGCAAACGCGTCCCCGGCGAAATCGAAATCCACCAAAACGGTATCCGATACCAATCCCCCCTCCGCTCCGACCACCGCATCGACATCCTCTTCACCAACATCAAACACCTCTTCTTCCAACCCTGCGACAACGAACTCATCGTCATCATCCACGTCCATCTCAAGAACCCCATCATCATCGGGAAAAAGAAGCAGAAGGACGTTCAGTTTTATCGGGAAGCGTCTGATGTGCAGTTTGATGAGACGGGGAATCGGAAGAGGAAGTATAGGTATGGGGATGAGGATGAGCTCGAGGCGGAGCAGGAGGAGAGGAGGAGGAGGGCGCAGTTGAATAAGGAGTTTAGGGGTTTTGCGGAGAAGATTGCCGAGTCAAGTGATGGGAGAGTTGATGTTGATATTCCGTTCCGTGAACTTGGGTTCCAGGGTGTGCCATCCCGGTCTGCGGTCCTCTTGCAGCCCACGACGGAATGTTTGGTTCACCTCAGTGATCCCCCATTCTTGGTTGTTACGTTGGAGGATATTGAGATTGCGCATTTGGAGCGTGTCCAGTTTGGGCTGAAAAACTTCGACATGGTCCTCGTCTTCAAAGACTTCCACCGCGCCCCGGTCCACATCAACACCATCCCCGTCTCCCAACTCGACAACGTCAAAGAATGGCTCGATTCCGTCGATATCGCGTTTTCCGAAGGTCCACTCAACCTCAACTGGTCCACAATCATGAAAACCGTCAACGACGATCCTAAACAATTCTTCGAGGATGGAGGATGGTCGTTCCTCCAGCTCGAGTCGGATGCGGAGCAATCTGATGACGAAGATGCGGAAAGTGAGTTTGAGGGTAGTGAAGGGGAGGAGGAGGAGGATGAGAGTGAGGTGGAGAGTGATTATGATGAGGATGCGAGTGAGGATGAGGGGAGTGAGATGAGTGAGGATGAGGAGAGTGGGGAGGATTGGGATGAGTTGGAGAGGAAGGCGAAGAGGGATGATGATGAGAAGAGGAGGGGTGGGAGGGAGGATGAAGATGAGAGGCCGGTGAAGCGGAGGAAGTAGGTTCAAAAGTAGGTGTGGTATGATTAGATTTTGAATGAATTGGGTATCTGTTCCTACTCCTGCCATGCAAATGGTATCCTTTTCCCTTATCCGATCCCAATAAAGAAACTGAGTCTTGTATAATGATCATGCGTCGATGTCCATGTCTCCTTCGTCTTCTTCCTCCTCATCCTCCTCATCATCCCTTCCAGCCGCGATCCGTCTAATCTGATCCATCGCTTTGGCAAAGAACGGTCTTATCTCATTAATCTCCATCAAGCCCAGGTTATCCATTTGTAGTGAGGACTCGTTAAGTGCGGTTAGACCTTCTCGTGCTTTGCCTTGTCGTGCTTCGCGGAGGTCTTGTATTAGGCGGCGGATTCGGTCTGGTTGTTGGAGGTCGTCGGATGCTCTGCCACCCTACACGTTAGCCTTGCGCTCGAAAAAGGAGGGGTGTAGAGTGAGCGTACACATCCAATATTGCCTGCGCAATCTCTAGCCATCTGAATGGTAATTCGGAGAACGGACTCTCCGCCACAACCTCCTTCTCCAACAACACCTCCAACCTCTCCACACTCAACCACGCCGGACACACCAAACTCGCCCTCCGCTGTTTCTTTAGCAACAACCCCAGCCAGAGCGGTACCTTCGCCCTTTGCGGTGGTCGGAGGTCTGGGGTGGTTGTGGAGATGAGCTCGAGGGGGGAGAGGCGAGCGCGGGGGATGATCTGGATTGTGGAGGTTTGTTCTGCGATAAAAGAGATTTCTGCGGGGGTAAGGGTGGATTGGAGGGAGGGGGGGAGTGACATGATCGTATGAGAAGGGTGAAATGGCCGAGGAAGTGTATGGTGGTGAGAGACGCGTTCGGGGACGAGCGTGTACGGGAGATGCAGGGCAGGTGCTGAGACAATGCCGTATATATACTGCAGCAGCTGAACCCACGAAAACAAAATGGAGGATTGCGAGATGGGCGAACAGGACCCTTCATTACCGTCTGTTTGTGACGCTCTCTATCACCTCATCAATGACATCCATGCTCTTTCCTCCGTTGGCTCAGTAGAACAGCCAGAAACGGACGAGTACTCCACCACCTTCGCACGTCACCAAAACGCTGCCCGCGACGACATCCTTCAAAGATGCAAATCGCAATTCATCACCCTACAAAAGCTCTACCCACAGCTCCTATTGCCAGCTCTCGGTCTCCTCGACAAAGGCCTCCTCACGAAATACAAGGCGAAGGAGCGTGCGAATCCACACCTTGCAATGGATGATGCGTCGTCAGAAGAGCAAGTAATGCCAAGCATCTACTACGTCAAGACCTCCTCTGGGGCTTCGTCACGTTACTCCTCCGAGAACATATCATACGAAGTCCGTCTTACGGCATGGCACTGTACCTGCCCCTCCTACACCTTCTCCGCATTCGCCGGTACCTCCGACACTCTTAACGCCCCTCCATCATTATCTCTGGAAACACCATGGGTATGGGGTGGGATGACGCTGGCGAAGTCACCACCATTGTGTAAGCACTTACTTGCGTGTGTTCTGGCGGAGTGTGGTGGGGTGTTGTTGGAGAAGATGAAGGAGGTTGGTGGGGCGACGAAGGAGGAGTTGGCTGATTGGGCCGCAAAATGAAACATGATAGGGCATTGGACGTAAGTCCTATCAAGGCACACCTGTTGGCGTATCACATCGATGACCACGATTTTCGGGGCTGAAAGACTGACTGCTTCGTCCTCGATCTTGCTATTAACCCTCCCCTTTTTCCGTCGATTGTTCGCTGACTGTGGTCCCTTTGTGGACTGCTGCCCGCCATCATGGTCGACCGTTCTCCACGTCACCCTTCTGCATGTGGTGCAGAGCTGTCAGCGCCGGGGCAAGACAAGAAAGCAGTTATGGTTGGCGCTGCTGCTGGGGGGTGCAATGAACCGACATAGCTACAGGTATAAAATTCTTATTCTGAGTCTTCTGTTCGATCTGCCTAGTATATCCGCTATCCGGCTAATATCCATAACATACTAGGACCTCATCTTTGTCTACCTTTAATCCCGTAGGTGTAGATCCCTCACAATTCCCTCACAATATAACCTCCCACCCCTCCTCTTCAACCAGCACATCCCCCCCAAAGACACTCGGCCCCCCATACTTTCTCCTAAAAGCCTCAAACACAACCAACCCCGCACTCGTACTCGGCACACTCCTCACCGCCGTCCCCGCAAAACCTCTATAAAGCCACCTCCACCACCCCCCATAGTTCGCGGCACTCATGTTGCACTGCCGGAATGTATCGCGGTAGGAGTGAAGGTAAGCTAGCATCGGGTTTGAGCCTTCGAGACGGAGCTTGTAGTCGAGGGTTTCGAGGCGGGACCAGTGGATATCTTGGACTTTTGTGAGGGGGTAGGAGATTGCTTGATGCGCCACGGACGCGGCCGCACCGGCGAGTACGACGAAGAGCGGGGGAACGATGAAGTGTGGTGGGTGTGTGTTGTGCATATGCCTGTGTTTTACGTCCTCGTGCTGGATCGGCTCATGTGGCTTCCCGTAAATGAGACGAAGGAAGGAGTAGTAGCCTTGTTGTTTGACGAATTCAAATGTCGCGAAAAACAATCCGTACCCCAATGCGTCCTTCGTAAGCGACAACATGAATCCACCCAAGATACTCCGTACCCCGACTTCGCGGAGCGTGGTACGGGAGTAATCCCACATACTCCGGAACTTCCCCTCTAGCATATCATTCATCTTGAACCTAACCTGGAGTGCATCGAGCGGTTGCGCGATAATCGCTTGTGCCGCACCCGCCGATGCTCCAGCCCAAAACACGGACTCGAATGGTGGTGGGGGCCATGTTCGGTTCGGGTGGTGGTATGATGGAGGGTGGTAGAGCGGCAAGGCGGTGATATATGTGGTATATAACACCACGCCAACAGCAGAATTCGCCAAGAGCGGTGGGAGAACGTTGTCAGGAATGAACCGTAGTCCGTGTTTCCGACATGCGTTGAACAAGAGTCCAAGTGTCGACGTCCGCCATGACCACGGTGCACCCTCTTTCGCAGCGGGCCCCAATGCCCGAGGTAAGGCCATGTAATCAATCCTCGTTGGTCTGAATAGCTTGACAGGCACCCGAAAATAAAATGCGAAGCCCTGTTGGATTATGGTTCGTGTGACGGCGGTGGACGTGCCGATCGCCGCTGTATTGCGCTGTGACGGCAACTGGGCATCCGCCGGGTTGGTGACCGGGAGTGGCGGAGGCCTTTCATGCTGTTGGCCTTTGGTCATTCATACGAATCAAATGTTTGGGAGAAGAACTTAGAAGGTGTTCAGTGCAAGCAGAGCTGTTCAGTGGGCACTTACCGAATGCGGAGCCGCGGAGGTACCTGCGTGGGTAATGAGGATACGAGACGGTGAATAGCCTCCTCGAGCGGTTTTCGAGAGGAGGAAGCTGAGTACGAAGAGGGCAGTGTGTGTTTTGATAGGGGTGTCGGAAAAATCAGCATAGTTTATTATTTGTTATTTCGTACAACGCCAACCATCTACTTGGACTGGACGTGTCCAGGGCCCTTGTATCCCTCGGAAGAGATACCGGTGATACTGCAAACACATCATTAGCAATGACCACCAAGATACCTTCTCGTGTGGCAACATACGGATCCGACTTCTGCTCCTTGAGGTACTCGTTCGTCGCCTCCTGCCACTCCTTGGTCATGGTGTGAGGGGGTCCAGCAGCTACAAACAAAAGTCAGTAATCAACCCAAACCTATGGCACAAAGAGATGAAACATACCGAAAGAACGGATGCCGAGGAAGAGGGTGATGGAAGCGGCCAAACCTCCCAAGACACCCATGAAGACCTTGAGGTGGAATTTGGGGGGGTGGAGGGGGGCACGGGGACCGTAGGGACCGAATGCGATGTAGTAAGCTATAAAGAGGTGTTGTTAGTACTTGTGATGCGGTGGACTCTGCGAGCTCTGGAGTTCAGTGCGGTGCGGTGCAAGGCGTTGACCGTAGATCGTGGAATGAGTCCCTGGCGAGCAGGCCGTGTTTCGCTAATCGACAATGGTGATCGAAACTTGACTGATCCGTGCATGTATGCTGTTGCCTCTGATGCTGCTTAGAGACTCATTCCCGATCACGCTTCACGCACATATCACGCATTGATCCCTACTCCAAAGCTCTCATCCACAAAAAAAGAATGCCACATACCAGCCTTCTTCTCAGCCAAGGTAAGCTCAGTCCAGGGACCCTTCTGCCTCTCAGCCAATTGGTCCATCAAATCCTTCTGCTCCTCGCGGGCCATAGACTCCCATCTCTTGTCGAGGTCGATGAGGGAAGGAGTGGAGACGGCGTGAACGGAGCGAACACCAACGGCGTTGCGAAGCGGAGTAGCACGGACGCTGCGGGCGAGGGAGGAGCGAAGCATTATGTGTGATTGTCACTTTTGCTGGTTGCTGTGCGGTCAGCAGAAAAGTGAGCTAAAGCTGTGGAGCGATTCGCCTGGCAGGCACGGCACGTATGCTGTCTGTCAGAATATCGATAATCTGGTTTGTCCGAAATCTGATGGCGAAAGAGTTCTGGAAGTTAAGTGTGGAAAGTCTGTTCCATATTGCGATAGACTGGGTAGCGTTCTGTTCTGCCTCATCCGCGTTGCCGTGGTCGTGAGATGAGCTCTTGCATACCGCGGCCTGTATGACTTCGCCGAGATGGATGGCTAAGGTGAGATCGAAACGAAAGGAGATGTGTTCGATCCTTGAATGCGTCGGTACACGTTCGCTTATTATGATCAGATCGGTTCGTCTCGCGATGCATCTACAGTGTACCTCGGAACACGACGGCAAATGTCTCGGGGTCTTGAACGATGTCGATGCTATCCTGTCCGCGCACAGCGCTATAAATGCTTCATCATCTAAACGTCCTACATACTCCTTCCAAAGATCGATTACTCCGCCATAGATTCCGCCGACATACTGGTATCAATGGTTGCTTGCCCCCGCCGCGCCGCGGCTGCCTTGTTGAGAATGGCTCCGATGAAGGCCGTTGCTTGTGCGTAGTTCTCTGATAGCAACTTGTTCATCTCGTTCGACACTGTGTCCGCGCTTTGTTAGCTTTCATTCACCACGAGTAGAGAGAGTATGTGAAACTTACCTCCTTTCGTAGCTCTTCCGTACATTCTCCTGATCTTCTTCCCCGTCTTCCACGCCGGATGATCCACGGCAGTGTACACAATAGATTTTAGGTAATACCAATCCTTATCCAAATCGTGCACCCAAGCCTTCAACGGCATGTTCATCGGAACAAAGTTGATCATGCCCTTGACTCGTGACATACACGACCGATTCTGGAGGAGATGAACGATACCAGGGTATCCCTCACCAACACCAATGAAGATAATATCTTTCGCGTCGGCGAGTTCTAGGTAGTTGTCCCATAAGTACAGACAAAGGTCCTTCGTCGCTTGTCGTATGTTGTAACCCTCGTTCTCTGGACCTGAGATCATCGCCGGTACGTTCACATCAACAAACGCATGTCCATTTGATACAGCCCAGTCGATATACATACTCCCTGAATCCAGAAGGTAAGACTGATGAAGTTCGGCGGCGCTCGAGAGTGCACCAGCGCTTAACCAAACATCCGGAGCGCTGTGGATCATGAAGATGAGTGTTTCCGCCGTCCACATATTGGGTGTGCATACTGCTTGCTCTCGATATGTCGGTGATACTTTGTTGCTGTAGATGGGCAGTTTGACCATACCCCACTTCTCGAACAACTGCTTAGTCTGGTAGCTGCGGATAACGTCGTGTAATCGCGCAACTGTCGGATCATCGCCGTCTGACTCTAGCAGCGTCGGGTTCATACACTTCCAGTACTTAGACTGCTCCTGAACCACTTTATGAACTGTATCCACCGCGGCTTCATTCGCATAGATACTATGCAGCTCATCCGGAGGCTCACCCATCAGCACCTTCGTGCACGCCAATGCCGATCGAGAGATAGAATCCAAATTATACCCTCCCTCCAGCAGAAGGACAACTTTCCCGTTCGCCAGACTCATCAGCATATGCGTCATATGCCCATACGCCGCAGGCGTCACGAAACACTCTCCCAGTTGATCACCAGCGGCAGCATCGAACCCAGCCGACACAATCACAAGATCGGGAGCGAATTCGTACGCGATTGGCATAACTGCCTTTTGGAATGCGTAGATGTACTCTCCGTCGCCCATACCTGCACATGGCCAAGGAATGTTGACGTTTCTAGGCAGTGTTAACGATCGTGTGAAAGGAGGAGGAGGATGGGAAAGCATACTTTCCGAGACCACTGCCTGCACCACATGATTTGTGGTTGGCAAATCCGTTTTTGTCTTTTGCTAGGTCGGGGTAAAAGTTGCCGTCTTCGTATCTGTGCAGAGAGATGTAGAGCACGCTGGGGTCTTCGTAGAAGATACGTTGGGTGCCATTGCCATGATGAACGTCCCTTTCATACGGTGTTAGCAGCCGTTCGCCAGGTGCAGCAGTTACTGAATTACCAGTCCAAGATCAATATCCGTTGAGAGCCCGGATACCTCTTCTGCATCACCCGCGCCGTGATAGCAGCATTGTTGAATAGGGAGAACCCACGTGCCTCATCAGGTTCAGCATGGTGACCCGGTGGTCGTACGATGGCAATGGCGTTCTTCACTTTGCCCTCCACAACTGCTGCAGCGGTCTCAATCGCACCTCCGCAGGATAGTCGTGCGCAGAAGGCTGATTCTCTGTTAAAGTACACTGAATCCGTCTCGTGCGTCAGGTCTCGCAGCTCTTGTTTGCTCATGGCTAGAATATTACGTTCAGCAAGAGGCGCAATCGTCACGGAGGGAGTGTACTTACTCGCTGTCCTCTGGATCCTGTCCCAGTGCTCCGAGGAATGACACAAGAGAATCTCTTCTCTGGTAGCTTCTCGTGCCCGGATACGCTTCATTAACTCCTCTTTCGTCCTTGACTTCGATCCTTCATACTCTTCCACAAACCCGGCATTACACAGCTCCTTGTATATTCGGTATATACGCAGTGGATCCTCCGGATGCCGATCCGAAGCAGTGCTATCATGAATATCGTCATGATACTGCATCCGGACATCATAGCACATTCCGGTTCTCAAACTCGAGACTGGCAGAGGGTTGTGCTCGGGGGCTAGCAGCTCATCCTCGACATCCTCCTCTATCAGCATCGACTGCTTCATGTGCGCCAAGCTTGTGGTAGATAGCACAGCTGGGATTACAGCTGAAAGCGGCTGCTCCACATATGGAGACCCGAACATCACCGCGTCGGGGTTAATTGTCGCGGTCTCCTTGAATGCAGTGGAGATATCAATGACAGTCCCTACTGGGTGCTTCTGATACTCCTGGGCATCTTCCACATCAATGTCCATCTTGAATACGCGTTGAACAGGCGTTGCTATTGGGTTTACACCTCAGAAATGTCCCTGAACGCGTTTATATAGCAGATAGTGGGAACGGTCGTGTATCGACGGAGACGTCTCGACGCACACTCCTTTGTTACTTACGTCCAAACTGCCGCTGAGACGTGGGTTACTGTGGGCGGCTCAAACGACTCTATGGACCACCAAAGCTCCGTGACAAAGCTTTCCAAGGCCTCTGAAGCTCTTGAAGGCGGTATGGGACTTCGCTGAGGTTGCTGGCGAGCTGCAGACACCACAGCGGCCTGCGTTTCACCCCTGCTGTGCCACCCTCGCCACAACGTACGGGGGGACTTGTAAACTCACCACCAACAAACAATCCTGATCGAGAACTGCTTGCTTTAGCCATCTCGCTTCCCTCCTCCTCCTCCGCCTCTCCAAACTGAAGCGTGCCTACGCTGCCGAGGAGGACCAACCCGACAGCAGCCTCCCTGTCTTCAGCCACTCTCGCTCAAATCAGCATCTTACCTCGCACAATGAGCCGGTCTCATCCCCTACGTTAACCTCACTCGCTAAACGACTACGACTCGATCCAGCAAGTCCGGCAGACTCTAGAGGGCATTCACCCATTGAAGACGAGGTACTGTGGGCGCCTGGTGCGCCACTTCTTCAAGGCCACTACGGAAACAATGCATACGCAGATTTGAATGGTCGAGAATGGGCAAATGCTGCGCCTTCCCTTTCGATGACGTCAACGCAAGCTACGGAGTCTTCATACAGTACTGGCATATCTGCCTCGCAGTCTGTCTCATCGATTGACGTCAACTCTCAGCTACGAAATGCACACCTGGAAGCCATGGAACGAAGGCAGAGAGCTCAGAGAGAGGAGATGATGCGCGTTGAAGCACTGTATGCAGAGCAGAACCGTCTAATGGGACGGTTGGCAACGGAACGGAAGAGGTGAAGGGTTTTCATTGTTAAATCTGTGCTTTTACTGTTTACTGCTTTGTTTGCTTTTGTTGATCTCGGACTTGCATATTTGGGCGTTGGGTATCATTATGAGGCTAATAGGCGTGGGAGAGCGTGGGAGTTTTTTTGCGTCTTCCGATTTGCATCTATATACCACTGGAATAAACGTGTTTAAGAACTGAGATGACTCGCATGCCGTTCACTGGTCATGGAACATGGAGTCATTTGACGACAATTTTCATTTCTCCTCATTGACACTCCTGTCTTCGAATGTTGAAACAGCTGTTGCGGACTCTGGAATTGACCCAGCTTCCTCTGGACGGGCCGGCATGAATACGGTCGACGGAGGTGGTGAACTCAAGATCTAGAAGGAGTTGAAGGACAAGAACGACGGCAGAGGAGAACAGTTCCATATAAAGCAATCATTATAACGTCTAAAAGCATTCTAAAGCAAAACATAAGAACAATCCATAACAAAAGAGCAATCACGTCCCCAACACCCACCACCAATCCCACGCCTCCCAATCAAAGAACAGAAAGGAGAAAAACGCCATGCCGGCCTCGCAAAGTGCCGTACCAATGACCAATGAAAAATATAAAAAAACTCCGCCATCCAAGTATCCATGTACTCATCCTTTTCCTTGTCCTTGATCCTCCCCAATACCGGTTTTCATCTCTCGTCTCGTTCTATATCGTATCATCATCACTCCTCCTCCTCCGCATCCTCAGTCGCATCGCCCTCGGCGTCAGCCTCAGCCCCCGCCTCAGCAGCGGCAGCTTCCTTCTCCTTCTCAAAAATATGCGTCAAAGGATTCTCCGTCCTCGGCCCAACCTGCAACCAATGCTCATCAAACCACCCAACCTTATTATAACAATCCCAAAGCTTACTAGCCTTGTTAACATCAACCTTTAAAGCCTTCTGCGCGTCCGTCTTGCGGAACTCTTTGTTAAGCTCAGTCTTGCACTTACGGAACTCGAAAAACATACGGACTTTGCAGTCCAGGTAGGTGGCGCAGCGCAAGCGGAGCGTAGCAGCGAGTGCGATCTCGGAGGGGTGGAGGAGGTGGGCGTAGGGATCGCCAGTGAGGTCGATGTTGGGACCCTTCCAGTCCGTGCGCATACCCTTGGGCTGGGGCCCGTCTAGGGTGGTGAACGGGTCAGGAGTGTAATCCAAGAGATCGGTCAAGTTCATCTCGTGGGTGTCAAGGGGGTCACCCTCCTCCTTCTCCTTGCGACGCGGCTGGCGCGGCTTATGCGTGGGACCATCACCATTAGCCTTCGCCTTCTTCGCCTTCTTGGGCTTCGGCTTGGGCTTCGGCTGGGTGGTGCGAGGCCTGGGCGCAGGCTCGGGGGGAGCAACATACGCCGCCGTATTGAACGGAGCATTAGCCTGCACACGGCCCGGAGTATACTTAGCACTATACGCAGCATTCGCGGCAGCAGCATTATGCCTCGCCTGGGCGGACCCGCGCGGTCCGAAATACGCATCCAAAATAATTCTCTCACGGGTGTAAGTTCCAACAGGATCACGAGCGACGTGATCAAAGTTTGTGCGGTATACGTGGTAATGTTGGGAATTAAGATGCTGCCTTTTGTTGGCTTGGAACTCAGGATCGTTGGAGAGGGTGGAGCGGATGGCGGACTCGGCGGGGCGCTTAGCGCGGATGGGTTGGAAGACGGGAAGGGGGCTCGTCTCGAAGGGATCGCCGTTGGGTTCGAGGAAGAGGGGTGTTTCGGCGTGGGCGGCATTGGCGGGAGGACTGCTGATGACAGTCGGGTCGCGCTCCTCCACCGGGCTGTATGCAGCCTCTTGTGCATTCTGGAAGTTGGGAACGCGCGGGGGACTCATGGGAGGAGAGAGCCAAGTCGCGACGGTGCCGAGGTTCTGTTTGATGAGCCTTTGACCGGGAACAGACACCTCCGAGCTCGGCGAAGCAGACGCGGCAGTCGCGAGCGTCTCGAGAGTCGCAGCGGTCGTGGGAGGAGTGTTGTGAACGTTAGCTGGCATTGTTGAGGGATTGTTCGATGAAAAGGTGTGAATAGACTGAGCGAGTTGAGGAGGGGAAAGATAAGGACTTGACATTCTTCTTTCACCGGATGTATGCCCGTTCAAATAGCGAAGAGAGTGCTGGTGGTCGATTTCGTGGAAGGTGCTCGCCGTACACACAATTTCCCGATGCGGATGTGATTGAACAGCGAAAGCGATGATGTGACTCGATCAGAAGGGCCAAAGGGAGTCAGTAAACAGTGGCTCCGAAGTGCAAGCTGCCCAATTATCCCGATGGAGCAATCTGACCAGGTCTTGCAGTTGCGAACGACACGATTTTGTTGTGGCGAAAAAGCGAGGGCAGCGGGTGCGCGGTAACGAAGACTGCGCTATCGATAACAATTGGCGATAAAAGAGATTCGAAGACGGTCGGAGGAGAGCAAATTGGGTGGGCTATAGGGGCTTGAAATAGAGGACAGGGGGAATTACACGGGTTTCCAACTTGAGGATGTACAGCTAGATCACTTCGCGGTCATGAATGCTCCGGGCTTCGACTATTTTTCGTGTCTCAGTCAATCGAGGCTTATCGCCGCTATCAAGCGTCACGCGCGTCGTCCGAGTGAGACTTTCTCGAACGGCAGACGATGCTCCTGCTTCAACTTCGTCGCCTGTCGCCTGTCGCCTGTAGCCTGTAGCCTGTAGCCTGTAGCCTGTAGCCTGTAGCCTGCTTCAAGTTTCCCTCCACTCGCCTTTGGACCCTTCCAGCTCGCCGCGGCAGTCTCGGCAGTCTCGGCAATCTGGCCAACCCCTCCCAACGTACACCGGTGCACCCCTTTCCTTCGGGTTTGAGGCAATCCGGGGCTGAGTTGTTTCATTGGCTGTGGCATTTCGGAACGGTGATTGGATCAGATCGCCGGGGCTCGAGGGCGAACCCCGGCTTTGAGTCGTGAGAGATCGGCTGTCTTGCCAAAAGATCTGCAGAGAGGTCATTCCGGAGCATCGATCTCGTCTTCCGTAATGAAGTTGTCATTTCTGCCGAACGTCACGAGGAAGATGTCACGAGCATCATGACATTTCGGAAGTGTTTAGGTATAGCGACATGGACTCCGAGACGATAGATCGCTGTCAGATAGACGTCAACGAGCTCGCGAGGGACCCTGCTCAACCGTTGCAGGAGACGTCCAGGAAGGACAGGTTAGATAACATAGTAGAGCAACATAGCATTTCTCATTCCTTCGTACTGACTAGGATATAACGCCAAGAAAACACCAGTAGAAAAACAAAAGATATCCCCGATTTCTGACATCAACATGTTCTTTTCCCGCGGCCGAAGCAGCTCGTCACATATCTTGACACTCTTTCCTTCCGTTATTTTCTTTGCAAATCGCGATAATAAACTACCCATCTCCTCCTCCTCACTCCATTAACCATCCATCAAACGACACGCTTAAGCAGCAGGGGCCTGCTCGTTGGGGCACTCGCGGGCGATGTGTCCGGGCTGGTTGCAACGGTAGCAAGACTTCTGCTGCTGGGGCTGCTGGCAGTCACGGGAAACGTGACCGAAGCCACCGCAGTTGTAGCACTTCTGACCCTGGGTGCAGTCACGGGCCATGTGTCCGAAACCACCACAGGTGTAGCAAGTCTGACCACGGGGAGCACCGAAGCCACCGAAACCACCCTGCTGCTGCTGCTGTCCGTACTCGTTCAAGGTGCAGTTGCGGGCGATGTGGCCGACCTTACCGCACTTGTAGCACTCAGCACCGGGGGCAGAGGCACCGAAGCCCTGTCCCTGTCCCTGTCCGCCGAAGGACTGCTGGGGACCAGCGGTCGGGCACTCGCGACTATTATAACATCATCAACATCAACTCCTTCGGGTATATAGGCACGAGGAATACATACGACAAGTGGCCGGTCTCGCCGCAACGGTAGCAGGACTTCTCCTTCTGGGGCTCCTGGCACTCACGGGAGATGTGACCCTCCTGGTTGCAGTTGTAGCAGACGGGGTTGCCGCGCTTGGGGCAGTCACGGGCCTGGTGGGACGGGTCACCGCCTTCAATAACAAACTCATCAGCACCACTCTTTCACCATTCAGGTTACGTGCAAAAGCAAAAAGCAAAATGAAACAAAGTTGTAGAGAGAGACGTGTTCTTTTTTCTTTGTATTTGATGGGTATAAGAGGGTACATGAAGCATAACACTTGCGCATTATACTCTTCGCTCATCTCTTCGTCGCGTCGCCGCATCGTTTTCTTTCGCCGCCGCCGAGTAGCTAACGTACTTCGTATCATCCGGGACATACATCTCATGACGATACCCTTCATCGATAAAGGAGCATCCAAAACTTTCAATTCGCAGACCGAAGACAACAGTTGTCATCCCGGCGGCTCATCGAATCGTTCGAAATACACAGTCTCTCTCATGCCCCCATGTCCCACTTGCAGAAATCACAAATAACAAAGCACGTAAAGGGAAGTTCACCCACAGTTGTAGCAGGCGCGGGGAGCACCGTAGCCCTGGGGTTGGGGCTGGTAAGATCCTTGAGCGTAAGAGTCCATTTCGTTACAGTTGTGTGGTATCGGTGTGGGTTGGGTTTGTCCTACTTTGCGAGCGCTGCACTTTTATAAGGGCAGGCGCAAATTTTCGGCCGCGCAAGGACGCGCGTTGGTCAGGTCGCCTTCGAGAATCGCCTCCGAAGCCCTGGGCCGCTCTCCTCGGACGAATCATAAAAATCAAACATCTGGCCTACATAGACATCTCTAAACCGTTAATATGTGAAGTCGTAAACAAGTATCTGGGTTCGCCTCGGTGCGCCTGGCATTCCCCGTCGCGATAAGATGATCTTGTCATCGTCGAAGCCCATGACAGCGACGTTCTCGTTACCATCTTCAGAAGGTTCAAATCCTTTCAAAACCAATTCCTTTCCTCCAAATTCCGCGTCCAAATCCCATACTCTTATCTCCCCGCTCCTCGCAACGCTCACAGCGCGACTCCGCCTATCAATAGCACACGACAATACACCACTTGTGTGCCCAAAGAGTTTGGTGTCTTTGACGAAATACCCTCCGTTGGCCGGGTAGACCTTGTACAACATCAACGTGTTGTCCTTATGAGTGGTCAACGCGTATGGATGTCGATAGGAGATGCAGGAAGGAGTCAGCGGATTGGCTTCGAATTCGGTGCTCCAATCGCTTGCTATCGAACCTTCTCTGCCGTACCTTAGCCCCATTGGTTTCGTTACCCCATCAATGTAGAACTCCTCTACCGTGAGTGACCAATGGCCACTAAGATGGCGGCAAGGGTACAATATAGTTGCCACTGGTAGACCATTTTCGGAGCGTATGTCCATTGTGATAGGCCCCGGCAATGGATATGCTTCGAGCTCACAGCGCCTTTGTATGCGTACCTCACTGCCCTCAAGGCGATATGCTCGGAAGATTCGACGCTCAAAGAGGACACTGACGTACGGATAAGTAAAAGCAATATGACTGATCTCATTCGCCGTGACTATAACGCCTTTGCGGCGGATATACTTTTCCTTTAAAAGTAAACGTTCTTCAAGCTGATAACTGCCATCCTCGTGATGAACAAGGCGCAACACAGCCATTCCTGCTGAGGCAAGTCCCAGGACGATATGAACTCCTGGATCAGGCGTAGGCGAGTCAGAGATGGCCATAGCAGTGGCGTAGTCTTCGCGAGAATCGTCAACAAGCTTCCCGAAGACGGAAGACGCAGCGACACAATCCAGAACCCCATCCTTGATCTTCCATGATTTAAGCTCAGACCCATACTCAACAGTGAACACCAGATCGGCATGATACACTATCAGTGGCTGGGGTATTTCCTTTTTGAGATGACTGGTGATGTGTGTAGGAAGGACCGTCGCAGTCCGACTATAGCGTCCTTCTTCCCAATTCTGCCGCGTCTTATAGAGACCCTTCCAGTTCTCGCTCTTCGTCACATCGTCTCCAACGCGGGTATAGAACGGATCATTCGGTCTTTCCATCCGGACCTTCGTAAGGAAATCACGGCGACGGCGAAGGAATCGTTCATCTGCCAACCCCTTCCACAACTGATTGTCGACGCTCAAGCATGCCCATCGTTGAGAGACAGCCTGACAGATTGCAAGATCCCTCTTATCGAGCCACCCAAAAACATAGATCAAGACCTCGTCACTTAACCCATCGATAGAATTCGTAATCCTCCTCCTTTGCTTAGTCCTCGAGCTCCGATCGGGATCACGTTCTTCCAATTCATCGGTACCGACAGACCGCTTGCTCATCCTGATCCACCCGGCGGACCTTCGCCGCTTAAGAATGGAAGGAGGACAGAAGGAGCACCTTGCTGATCAGCTGTGCTAGTGACGACCTTGTCGGTCGCCTCAGTGACTGTCGATTGCGTATCTGACCACCAAGGTGGTAGGTAGTGCGAGGGCTGTCGGTCTGGGGCAGCAACGCCACACGTACGTACGCTTGCATGGACCCGTGCATCCCGCGGACTCCGCTCACCTCGAAACCCAGTGCAAATTAATGGTATTAATGCCTTTCATCTGTAATGTCTATACTAACTATGGTTGTCCTCCACGATTCGCGATCGGGGGTATCACCTCCCCTCTCCTCATCTCGGATCTTCATCCTTTTTTCAAGCGAATTAAAAATGTCCCTTCTTCCTATCCTGCAACATCTCATTATACTTCAACCCAAAGTTCAACCCAAGCGCAACGAGTAGTGCCATACATACACCCAACGGTCCATAGAAGTCATCAAAATTTCCAGGGGACCGTTCCGCGATCTTCTTTGCTCTGCGCTTGAACAAGAAGTAACCCCATGCACCGGCGGCGACGGAGATACAAGCGTAGATGAAACCGAGCCAACGTCCGACCTTGTTCTCGTCCGAAGCGCCATTGAAGAGGGCGAGTGCAAGGGTGGAGAGGAGGGTACAAACGTGCATCCACTTGATGAACGTACGCTCATTCGCCAACCAAACTTTAGCCTCGACCTTAACAGGCCCCTGAGTCCTCAAGAGGTACTCCGGCTTTGATACACCAGGCGGAAGACGAGTGGGGCTGGGTTCCCGACCTTTGGTGATGGTACGGTAGTTCGACTTCTTGAACAGCGCAGGCAAGCCCCTCAAGGTTAGTCTGCGATCATCAGCACTCTCCTCATCTGTATCATCCTCCATAACGTAAGACCCGTATCTCTCGTCGGGCGCGGCACGGTTAACAGCCTTACCCTTACCCTTCTTGCTACTCGCGGGCTTGCTCCTATCCGATGCGGCATCCTCGTTGTCCTCTTCATTCTTCTTCTTGTTGTCGTAGGAAATGACGAGCTTGGGTCCATTCGAGCTCTGACCGAATCCATTCTGCCTGTTCGGGTCGTAAGCCTCGCCAGGATCCCGCCTAATGTCCTTCTCCACATCAGGCAACCAGAAAGGCAACAAATTAGGGTCGAACAACACAGCAACACCATGTGCGAACTTGGAGAAACGGGGTGCTTCGGTGACCAAATGGGACTGACGCAATTCGGCAGCCCACTTGGGTTCTTCCTCGTTACCACGGACCTGGACCTTGATCTCCAAGAGCGCGTAGGGGAAACGGTTAATCTCACCCTTCTTCAGCGACTTGAAAGGGTACTCCATCATGGAATCATCGATGTCAGCACGGTGCCAGTCATCCGGGTTACGATGGGGACGCTCCTCATCGAAATCGTCCTCCCGAATCAATGCAAGGTTGGTGTCGAGAGAGATACGAACGCTATCGTCACCGGGGATCTGGAAAGCGGTACGGGTGTACACCGCACGCATGACGGGACGAAGGTTGTGCTCCTTGATCATGGCCTGGACGTCACGGACCAACTTCTCATAATGCTCGATCGCCTCATCGCTCTGGACACCCGCATCGCGCATCTTCTTAATTTGCTTCTCCATAGAGTAGGTTCCATCAATGAAGTCCTTAATGTACTTCTCCTTGATGGCAATTCTGTCCTCGGTGTCCTCAGATTCATCAGTGGCAGAGGCGGTCTTGCGCTCGAGGAAGATCTCGGGCTTCTCCTTGAGATGGCCGGACCAACGGAGACGAAGGGACCGCGCATTCTCCTTGCGCTCGATCTTGTTCATGTAGAGGGACAAGGCTGAGTTGTCGAAGTAGAGTGAAGTGATGGAGGGATCGGGGATGTTGCCCTGGTTAGCCTTTGCAGTAGAAGGGTTATAGACCAATACAGGCAAACGACGCAAAATGTAGGTCTTGACTTCCATAATGTTGTCGGAATGTACCCAGAACTTGTAGGAATGCCTCTTGACCTGTTGGATACCGTTGATAGGGAAGCTATGCGCACTCAACACTGAGCTGGGTCCAAGACTCGAAGGAAGTTGCACCTTAGGCAACTCAACTTTGACGTTCTCCCTCAGCTTAGCATACATCGTCGACAATTTCCACAACAGTGGGGAGTAGTCCTCAGAGTTGAATGGACACATGCTCAAGCGGACCTGAAGCAATGGACGGACGGTGTATCCCTTGTGAAGCTTGTCATGCTTCTTTGCGATTTTAAGAAAACCGGTGAAGTTAATGCGAGAGTAGCGCTCGAGCTGGTTGACTTCCTCGGTGGTTTTGTCTAGGGAGTCTTGAGTTTGGCGGGCTTTGTCGGAGTTTGAGGGTTCTGCGGCAGCGGCATCCACCTCTGACTCCAATTGAACGATGGACGTCTTGAGCTCTTGATAGATCTTGTTTTGGAATGCATAGACCTGTGCATACACTCGTTAGCAAACGCAGTGTAGGTGACGTAATGTCACCAACAAACCTTCTCAAGCTCCTTATCCAAACATTCCACGAAGCGACTCTCGTCATTCTCCGTCCAGTCCTCCGGGTTGTCCTGCTTCAGCAGGGTCTTCAAGTTGGCATAGTTGATGTAACTGTCCTTCCACGACTCATAAACGGAATCTTCGAGCTGAGCACCGAACCTCATGGCGAGTCGATGTGGTGGTCTATATGCTACGGGAGTATGCTGCTCTTCACTGTCTCGGCTCTGATTGCTCTCTTGAACGAAGAGGTTTAATGTCTGGACCGGGTTGGCTGTTCCCGAATAATGCCTCACCGCCGTTGACTTTAGGTTGTGGGCGTGCATTGGTGTGGAGTAGCACACAGCCTTCCGCCTCTCGCGTAACTGCAGCGTACGCGTAGCAGTAAACCCTGCAGAGAAGATCGGACAGCCAGTTGCAATCAAGGATGCAGCTCATGCGCGACTTGAAGAATGCTCTGGATGTGATTGCGAGCAGGGAGGAGCATTACCTTCCATCGCCAAAGGAAACTCCGAAGCGTGCTTCAATTGCGTTGATCCTACGCGTACGCCCTGATCCCGCGCATCCCCCACCCTCGGACTACGATCCAAACAGCATTCATTCGTATGAGGAGCTCTTTGCGCAGGTATCATATCGTCGGATATGGCTCCAGACGCCGACTGACGGGTGATACAGGAATGGGTATCCCACGGCACACCTGAACTTCTCTTCATCAAACGCGCTGCACGAAAGGGTGACCGCTGGACTTCCCACGTAGCATGTCCAGGAGGCCGACGTGACCCCGAAGATGAATCTGACCGCGCAGCCGCAGAGCGTGAGACGTGGGAGGAGGTCGGCATTGACTTGAAGAAAGAGAATGCCCTGTATGTTGGAGGTTTGGATCAGAGATTGGTCACGACGAGTTGGGGACAGGTCGTCTTGATGGTTTTGGTGAGTATATGCTGGATAAATGCTTTATGTAGACGTGGCTGACTCGGCATACGCAGTGTCCATATGGTATATCCTTCGATATTTTTCGAGAAATCGACAATTCTAAAACGGGATACAGTGTACATCCTCCCAACACCTTCCGCACCAACCCTCAACCTGCAACCAACAGAAGTTGCCTCGGCACATTGGGCACCCCTCACCAACCTTCTCTTGCCATCCGCTCGAACATCTGAACATGTGGTACGTCTTACCAGAATATCCATGGCTTGATAGGCGTTGACGCTAATCTTACAAAGGACGTTTCGTCTCGCCTCGCTGGGAAGTACGGACCAGTAGCACAGTCGTTCTTCCGCCTAACGCTCGGCAAAATGCAATTCTGTGCCGTCCGTCTCAGCCCCACAGATTCTTCCTATTCCACCCCTCCACCGCCTCAAGGCGTGCCTCTCTTACTCTGGGGCATCACCCTAGGCGTGGTAACCGATCTATTGGACCTAGTACCTAGCGAGAAGAGAAGCGCAGAGCTATGGATGTTTCCAACGTTCGGAGCACTGGATGTGAAACTGATATTATGGCTCTTCACCTGGAATGCACGTCGGAAAGCCCAGGGTGAACTCAACCCAAGCGCAGTCAGCGAAAAGGCAGGGTACGTATCCCCATCTTGCTCCCCTCTCAGGGCCCTTTTTCCTCTGTCTTCTTCTCTGTCCTCCACTTCCCCAATTCTCCGCCAAGCCCTAGGCGGAGCAGAAGGGTGGAAACAGATGGACCTAGGCCGCACCCGCGCTCCAGCAGGATGGGATGCTGATCATATCGTGTACAGGAGTGCACGCGATATGAATTGGGTCGGGAGGAGTTTGAAGGAGTATTATGCGAAGGTGAGGTGGGCTGTTGCTGTTGCGATGTTGATGAGGGCGGGGGCGTTGGGGTGGGTCGGGTGGAAGGGGTGGAAGTATGTGCAGGAGAGGAAAATGTTGACGGCTTGAGAGGAGGCTGTTGAGGTGATTAGAACAGAGGAGAAGAGAAGGAAGAAGCTTGAGGCTGGTGTACGATACAGAAGAAGAACGTGGAGTAAAACACTAGTATGAGTGGTCGAGGAAGAAGTCATGAGTATCACGGTGGCCATGGAGCTACGCGGGATAATGTCCCAAAAACAATATCGTTGCGATAACCTGTCAGCGTTTTTCTACCATGCTGCTCCGTACGTGCGCATTCAGGCTGTCATTTCGCACGTACATCCCAGTCTCAGCCACAAACGCGTCGTCCTGCAAGTCGCGTCTTCCCTCCTAATCCCTGCCAGCACCGGGTACTGGCTTTTAGAGAGGCATGGCTGAGTCCCAGGACGCATTGCTACAAGGTTTCGACCAAGTTATCGCTCAAGCACGGAATGGTAAGTGTCATGATCGGTGCTGGAGGTGTGCACGTGGAAGGAAGGAATACTGACGTCAATCTTGGCAGCGTTCAAAGCCGATCTGAGCGAGTTGAAGAAGGAGAATAAGGAGTTGAGGGAAGTGAATGCTAGGTTAGAGGTCGAATTAGAAGAAAGGGGACAGCAGGTACGTTAATGACAGTCATGTGAGTGATGTATGCTGAACGGGGGCGGACAGGTTGAACGAGCGAACACTCTCGCAAATGGATATCTGATCCAAGTCCACAATGTCGAACAGAGATTGGAAAATAGCCGTACGGACTATGAGAATGAAGTGGAGAAGGTGATGCAACTGGAGAAGATGTTGACGGAGTCGAGACAAGCTACGCTGAGAGCAGAGAAGGAGTTGAAGGAGAGCATGGCTGCGCTGGATAAGTCAAGGACTGCACGACCACCACCATCTCTGCCAACACTACCTTCAATACCGCAGCTTTCGTCAGGTCAAGCAGCAGCAGCGGATAATGCGGACTGGAAAGCAGCATACGAGCAGCTCGTCGACAAGTACAACAAGAAGCATCAACGCATGCTGAACTACAAGGATTCTGTCGAATTGGCGATGAAGAAGCATCATACTGAGCGCCGAGCATGGAAGAAGTGGCATGAGTGGATGCGGGAGCGTGGGTACCTCAATGAGAAAGGTTCGTTACAGGAAGATACTCCTTTGCGAGACACGCCTCAACAACCCAAGACGGCAGAAGGCGATGCCGTACCAACATCGGAACATGGTAAAGATGAACCAATAAGTGAAGTGGGAAAGACATATGATCCAAATGCTGTCATGCAAATGTTACCCTCGTCGCCTCCACCACGCTCTTCACCAACTCTACCACCAGTGGAGCTGGCAGAGGCAGAAGCGATAGCAGAGCCGATGGAGGATGTTCAAGTGTCGTCTTCCCAACGGACGCCCAAAGCAGGAGGAGCCGGTGTTGGGAGTGATCAGACCGCTGAAGACACGGATGACGACGATGGTGCAGAGAATTATCGAAACCCGCAATCACTTGCTCTTGAACGCGACATTGCCAGAGGCCGAATTTCTTTGCCTCCAGCGCAGAAGGCCATCATCGTTGAGGAGAGCCAATTTGTCATGCCGGTTAAACCCGAACCGGATTCCGATGTCGTTCTTCCCCGAAGAAGTAGCTTGGTTGAGCCAGAGAGTGCGGATCTGGATGAGGTGGGTCCTTATGCCGCCACAACCCTCACAAAGACGGCAGGAGCTCCGTGGAATCCAATCACGCTGGGTTCATCCTCACCTGGTCGTCCTGTGGATGCGGATATCACGCCCAGACCAGCAAGCAAGACTGTGCAACCACGGATTGCCGGTCCCCGGGGTTCCGATGAACTCAGAAAGCAAGTACACGGTGTGAGACCTTTACAGCTTCCTACCCCAGTTAGCAACGTTAAGACAAACCCTCGTCAACCCCGTTCGACGTCGTCGGCATCACGGTTAGGAATGGGTATTGCTGCTATTGCTGAGGATGGTTCGGATGGCATCGAACATCTCAGTCAGAGAGGCCCTGGTTCTGACAGTCAGCTGCAAGCAGAGAAGGATATGCGTGATATGCTTGAAGCACCCGGCGCTAATACTACGCCTCGAGCTGCGGCTCGGCACCCTGCTTTTCCAACGGTGAAACGCATGCGGCCAGCTACCACTGGTGATGCGAATGTTGGTGAGCACGCCGGTATGGAATCAGATCCAGAGGATACCCCAAGTCAACGCAAGAGGAGGAGAATCGCTGCCGTTGACACGCCGGCTCTGAAGAAGTTTAGCTCTGACATCGACCCGAACTATTCGCCTCATCGTAACAGAACCGCTAACAGGCCATCAAGGCAGCCAAGGCAGCCATTGTTGGGTCCAGAAGTGGAGGCGACAAACAAGGGTCGTGGGAGGTGTGCGAAATCTGTGTCACGGCCAACGACGGCCAACCAGCCGGGTGTAACTGATTATGTTGTCAATCCGGCAGTGAACAACGGTGTGCCATTTGCTTATGCCGAAGTTGAAAGGTCAAGAGAGGCGAGGAAGAGGTTACACGGGAGTGGATGTCCATGTTGTACATCTTTCTACGAATTGGCTGGAATGCAACCACTTCCCACCCACGCTCCTCGATGGCGGTCACCATCACCACAGGCAGCTCCCAATCCAGATTTCATGAGCAAAGAGGAGGCGGTGCTGGCTCATATGAAGGAGGTCTCGCGGCATAGGGCGGCTATGCCCAAAGCAAAGTCACCACCTGGATTCTGGGAGAGTGACTTCCCTACTACACAAGAGGAGAAGACATACAAGGAGGAAGCAGAGAAGAGACGGATGGAAAGGCTTAAGATGATGGAGGCAGAGGCAAATAAGAAGGGTGGGAGGTGGATTAGGAGGGAGGACGCGGGAAGACCTGGTTCGAGAGGGTAAGGAGTTTCAAGACACTTGGAACTATTATAGCATGGAAGTAATTGGAGGCACTGGCGTTAGACTGAAAGTGACAAATGCATTTATCCAAACCCAGCCCATTCCACAGAGAAACATCTCCCCTCCTGTGTCTCTGGATTCTCACCACCAATTAACCAAGCTTTCTTCACTCCAGTTCCCAACCTTCCACCTCCAACCACATCCACCAACGGCACAGGCTCACCCCACTCCAACCCATTCGCGACGAAATGCGAGTGATAGCGTAGTGGATCACCTGGATATGCCAGATAATGTGCTCCAAATCGGAGACCTGGGGACGAGTAGTATCCACGGGCATGGAGATGTTTGTAGAGTGCATAGCGTGCTGGATCTGGTTGTGGAGGTGCTGCTGTAGATGATGTGGGAAGGTCGTGGGTTAGTGTGGTGGATTGGGCAGGGACAATGATGACTCTTGGCTCAAGTGCTGTTTCTGTGGGAGTTTTGGGAGTTGAGTCTTGTGCTGCTGAATTGAAGAGGTTCATCGAGTCTTCAGTCGTGTCTTCCATGATCTGTTTCGGTTCTGCTGTAGACTTCTCTTTGCCTGGCTTCTTCTTCGTATATGTCTCCCTCTTCAACCTCTCATTCTCCAACCACTCTTCATGCTGCTTCTGTGTCTCTGCCGCCCGCTCCGCCAAGAACGCAACCCGATCTGCTTCCTGGATACGGGCAGTAGCAGTCTGATGTGCCACACAGTCATCCACCACAAATGCATGCCCTTGTTCAAGGAGGAGAGCGGCTTCCTCGGTCATGAGCTCTAATGGTAGACCGAGGAAGAGATTCTGTTGGGGTGCTTGAGGGAGAGTACCAATCAGGACTCCGCACATTTGGTGGGAGATGCGGAGATGGGTGACAACTGTTACATGGTTAGCTGGATGTTCATGGACATGGACTGTTCACTCACTCTCTACATCGTAGACAAAGTACTTTGAGTCAACGGCGTGTATTGGAAAAGGGTGTGGAATGTCTTTGGCTGGATCATTCGGCGCTGGACATGGGCATGGGCACCCTTCCTGGGCCTTCATTTGGGTGGGGCTTGGGCGTTGCTTGTGTTGGTGTACGTACGGTATGTCCGTACGTGTGTCCGTACGTGGGATAAGGCGACAAAGTTGGTTCGGTCGGTAACGTTGATAACCCAGAAAGGAAAGACTGCCAAATGACACCAAAGTACCAGTGCGGAGGTTGTGGTAGCTTTAAAGATATGATTAGACTTCTCCACTTAACCTCATCTCAAATCCCTTCTTCCGTTGCTTTGGCCCTGCATCATCGTGCCTCGGTTCATACCGTACGAACTTTTGGACATTCACCAAAAGAAGTCGCACAAAAGACCCTATACGCTCTTTCGACAGCTCCCTAATATCCTCAGAATGATCACCAAATACATCCGCCAAGTCCACGCTGTTATCCAGCCCTTCTCCCCTACATCCAAGTCTGTCAGGTAAGCACTCCCCGAGAAAGTCGCAACTTCAATTTCCTAACCAGCGAACAGGATTTTCGTCTCCCAGATCAAGCCAACCCTCGACAACCCCATCAAACTCACCACTAAAATCCTTCCTTCCACCTCCATCGAAAAGCCCACGTTGGCCGTCACCTACAGTGATGGAAAGAAGGTCGAGTTCGAGACGCATGACAAGCCGATCGATGATTTGATCGTCTTGGTTGACAGACATTCTCGTGCCATCAAGGCGGCTGAGGTGTAGGTGTTGGGTGTACGTGAGTTATGTTTTGTTGTTGGGCATCTTGCAATTGGGTTTACAAAAACGGCGTTTATTTGTTTTTCTACATGGTACATTGGGATTTCGCGAGCGAGCAAGAGTTTGTGTTGTACATCAGATCAAGATCGAGGGTATTACAGAGACGTTTATCCTACACCACTTCCTTGTTACCACCCACGTTTACTCCTTCTTCCTCCCGTTCTCATACTCATAGAATCCTTTACCGCTCTTGACACCATGCCACCCAGCATCAACCATCTTCGCAAGCAAGATACTGGGTCTGTACTTGGTGTCACCAGTATCCTTGTGAATGACGTTCGCGATGGCGAGACATGTGTCGAGACCGATGAAGTCGGCAAGTGCAAGGGGACCCATGGGCATAGCACACCCGCCAGTCATGATGTTGTCAATATCTTCCTTCGTGCCGAGGCCCTGTGCAAACAGTCAGTTAACAGCGCATATTGGCATCCTCACAATTCTGTTATACCTGTTCGAGACAGATAATAGCCTCATTGATATACGGAATCAACATCCGGTTCGCCAAAAACCCGGGCGAGTCAACACTCGTACACGGCTTCTTTCCCATCGCCTTTGCTAGTTCCAGTGTCTTCTGGAGTGTCTCGTCGCTTGTCTGGATACCCCGAATAACCTCCACGGCCTTGCTCACAGGCACGGGGTTCATAAAGTGGAACCCAATCACCCTTGACTCGGCACCCGTCGCCGCAGCAGCGATTTTGGTGATTCCGATGGAGGAGGTGTTGGTAGAAAGTATGGCGTGAGGTGGGCAAATCTCTGCGAGTTGGGAGAAGATGGATTGCTTTAGCGCTAGGATCTCGGGGACTGCTTCGATTACGAAGTCGGCGGAGGAGAGTGCGGAGGACATGTCCGTTGATGTCTTGATGCGGGATCGAATCTCATCCGCCTCGGAGTTCGAGAGTTTCTGGCGGGAGACATCTTTCTGGAGGAGTTTCTCTGTTCGAGACGTTAGCTCTTCTATAATTTTATACCAGGACACAACGTTTGAACCCATGAACTTCATGCTCTTGTCGATTGAGGCTTGGTTACTGTCAACCAACGAGACCGGGATTTTGGCGACTCGGGCAGCGACCAACGCGATACCGAGACCCTGTATGGAGGGTCAGTTGTTTTGCATAACTCTACAGCCGTACCCGCCGTACCATTTGGCCAGCTCCGATGACTCCGATGTGCTTGAGCTCCTGCTGGGCATTGCGCGTGGCACTGAAGGAGCGCTGGGAGCCCTGGATGTGGTTGAGAGTAAGGAGGAGGCGACTTGTAGGCCTGAGTGATGCTGCCATTTTCAATTGAATGGGAGGCCAATTGGTGTTCCAAGGAAGAGGTCTGGAGAGGTATCGAGAGGTATCGAGAGATCGGCTGTCCAGCGTGGGGAAATCGCGGAGGTGGGGTCATGCAGCGCACGTGAACCCAGGGAGAACCAGGAAAGAGGACCACCAATAGATAAAAACCCAATTGCATTGACAAGGCCAGAGATATAGTAGGTGCAAAACAAAAAGAAACCACCGGGTAAAGTACAGCTATCGAAACAAAACACACGCTGAAAGGACAGTTTAACTCCTCATCATCGTACCAGCATCCACTACCTTTGAATATACTCTCCTCTTTTCCGCCCTCCAACTCCAAGTCTCCTCTAACTATGACGACGACACGTCTAGTCGAAAGCCAAAGACTTCTTGATCTCCTGGATGGCCTTTCCAGGGTTCAATCCCTTAGGGCAAGTCCTTGCACAGTTCATGATGGTGTGACATCTGTACAAAGACATAGAGTTCTGCATCATCGCCTTACGCTGAGGACCGGCCTGATCACGAGAATCCGCCATCCATCTGTAAGCCTGCATCAAAACCGCAGGACCCAAGTACTCATCCGAGTTCCACCAGTAAGACGGGCAAGATGTCGAACAACACGCGCAAAGAATACACTCGTACAAACCATCAAGCTTCTTGCGCTCCTCAATTGTCTGCAAGTTCTCCTGGCCTTCGGGGTGGGAGTCACGCTGAAGGTATGGCTGGATAGACTTGTATTGCTTGTAGAACTGGGTGAGATCGGGGACGATGTCCTTGACGACGTAGGTGTGGGGCAAGGGGTAGATCTTGGTCTCCTTGGCGGTGTCGACGTTGATACGGGACAAGCAGGCAAGAGTGTTTCCACCCTCGATGTTCATCGCGCAGGAACCGCAGATACCCTCACGGCATGAACGACGGAAGGTAAGAGTAGGATCCTGCTCGTTCTTGATCTTGATCAAGGCGTCGAGAATCATGGGACCACAGTTGTTGAGGTCGACCTTGTACTCCTGCATCTTGGGCTTCTCGGAGGGCTGGTCGGGGTTCCAGCGGTAGATAGAGAAAGTCTTGAAGCGGGGCTCCTGCTCGCGAGTAGGCTGCTCAGAGGTGGCGGTAGAAGAGGCAACCTCGGCCATCCGAGGCTGCTGGGTAGTAGAGATGTAACGGCTTGCGGGACGCTGTAGAACAAAACAGTTAGCACACATTGCACAGAGAATGTACAAAGTGCCAGTGGCAACTTCGGAAGGGTGAGAAGAGGCGACGTACCAAGAGGGAAGCCGCAGAGCGGGCAGCAGTAGAGCGGGTAGAGGCCAACATTGTGAGTGAAATGTGAATGGATCTCTTGAGAGTTGAGCCCGTGATGGGGGGGTATTTGTTGGATATCTGGAGGCGTGCGTCGAAATGCGACTTCAATTGTGGAGAGCGCCGGTCGTCCGCCCAGGGAGAATTCGGACTAATACGGAGTCGATGTGATTGGCTGGTAGCATCTCGACGAGTAGCACCGATGAAGAATTGTAGACAAAACGGATAGTATTTGAAAGGTCTGGATAACTTACTGGCTACATATGAGCTTAACCCGATGATCTCTCTCATGAACGTCCTCACATGACCTGCAGCTTTATCGAAGACGTGCGTGTCGAGGCAAGATAATCATACCCTCAAAAAAGAACAATCTGAGATGGCTACCGTATACAAGCTTCAGTCCGGAGAGAAGTCCAGGGCGTCTGTTGAGGAGGATGGCAAGCCCCAGTCTTGCAAGATCAAGAACATGGTCTTGGCTCTGTCGTTGAGGGCTGTTACATACCGGTAGGTTCCACCATTTCGCCAGCTGTTATCCGAGGGCGCCTGAACAAGATCCCAAGGCGAAGCGAAGGGGTGGTGACACCAGCGAGCTTTCCTTGCTGGAGATTGGTCCCCGTTTCGTCATGCCTGTTATCTGCGTTTTGGAGGGTTTGTTTGGTGGTCCGGTCATTTATGAGAACAAGGCGTTCATGTCGCCCAACCAGGTCAGAGCGAGTTTGAAGGCGCAGAAGGCGAGCAAGTACAGGAACAGGGCGGAGAGCCAGGCGAAGACACAGGTTATGAAGAGGGTGAACCACTTGCCTGCGGATGAGATGGCTGACGAGATGGACTTCGCGGATTTGAGTGATTCGGAGTAAAAGAAAGGGTACGAAAGCCCTATTCTGATTATTTGGTTTTGCATTCTTTTGGAGTTATGGTTATACAAACTCCTTCTTCGTTACCGTTCTGTCCACCCTCCTGTACCCTCTGCGGGTAATGGTTTGTGTGCTTTCAATTATCTCTGCACACTATTGTAACCGTCGCGATTGACTCTCTCGTCGTGTCGCTCTTGTAACCAAATGAGACAGGTGGAGCGAAGGTATAATGAGCAGTGCTAACGTAAGCCGTGGGAATGCAACACCACACGAGTCCGGGGCTGGGTCGCTTTGAGAGAAGCCAGGCAGAAGTTCAAACCTCCAATAGCGGTTCTGACGCTGCATAGCTTATTTTGCGGATGTAAATGTCTTCCAAGGTCGGCAGACAGAAAATGTAAATTGCGACTTGCTCATTAACAATTGCAAAGAGCAGGCAAAAACAAGCAAAGCGGTTATATCTGACCTGATTCTTGCTAACTTCAATTTACGGCAAACACGTTAAGCAGCCGAACTGCACCGTCACAGACAACCGCAGCTCAGGAACTCACATGCAAGCAGTCGATATGTAAATGTTGCATCTTTAACTCGTCTCGATCCATCCTACATGGAGAGAATAGCGTTGTGGTCCAGGATCTTCCTTCTCACGGGTCAACGAGATACGCTGTACTTCCCAATGTTTCAAGCCAGTCAAAGCCCCGTATTCGGGGATGTAGCTCATCTGGTAGAGCGCTCGCTTAGCATGCGAGAGGTACTGGGTTCGACTCCCAGCTTCTCCACATTCTTTTGGTTTTATTTGCTCTCACCTCCACAGCCATTTTTTGAATTTTCCGGATGGACGACCCTTTGTCACAGACAGTTCATCTTGGTTCTGAGACATGGGAAATGAATTGACAGGAGGGAGATGATCTGGAATGAACGCACAGTCTGACCGAGGTGTGCTTGCGCAGATGAAGGCTTCGATTGTCCGCTGTTTCCGCACTTTACCTCTTCATATTCTGTAATGAAGAACTGTCAACATCTCCTTGCGGATTCTGCGGATCAAAAATTGACATCTAGGTAGACGTCGACGTGAGAACACGATACTCATATCCCACCACCATCTGCCCCACCGCCGCCAGCTCAACGAAGAAAACTACGTATTGGGCTAGAATGAACGAGACGAATGATAAACGCAATACACTTTCAATGTTCTATATATCTTCCAACCTCGCATCGCACAGCGACTGGCGCGGTCGAATACCGTACACTCTGTACTTTTTTCAACAATAACTTTAAACACAGGCAATGAAAAGCAAACGATAAAAACTCCAATGACCCATTTGTATCTTACCACCTCTCAAAGGCTCTCAGGGAACATTTATCCCTCAATAGCACTCTCCGGAACAACAGGCGTATCCGTCAAACTCGGCCTCCTAGCCTCCATGACATCGACCTTCCCTCCATCCTGGGGGCCAACCAATCCGAAACCCTTTCCAAGCTGCTTCTCAAGCGCATGCTTAACAGCAAAGAACACATTCTCAAAGACACCCTCAGAAGCAGGGTTCTCCTTATCGTTGTCATCACCCTGGTGAACACCCGTCTTGACCAAACACGAGTTCCACCCGTATCCGTTCGCACCACAGATATCGGATTGAGGGTTATCACCGATCATGTAGACGTTCTCGGGGAGACGGTACTCGCCGTGGATCTCCTCGAGCCACTCTTGAAGGACGGTGTCAGCGAATTTGTAAGTGGCGGCTTCGGGCTTGCCGTAGATGACACGCTCGAGTTCGACGCCGGTGATGGCGTGGTACATCGCTTCGAGGGCGAGACGGAAAGTTCCCTGGGACATACGGGGTTTCCAGTGCTCAGAGGGACAGAGCAAGTCTCCGTGTGAGAAGTAAATCGGGATACGGGAGGAAACGGGGTCCTTGGCCATCGTTCCCAAACGACCGTTCTCGGACTGGAGGAGGTCCATGATGATTTGGAGGTCAGTTGCGTAGTCGCGGGAGTCGGAGAAGACCATGATTGCCTCGATGTTGATCTTGGAGAAGTCACGGGGACGGGAAGTCTTGCGCTCTTCGTCAGTAAAGACGCGGAAGGGAGCGAGCGTGGGGTCCCAGGCGACGATGTCGTTGGGGACGACGATGTCCTTGAAGCCGTAGAGCTCGGCGACTTCACGGCAGCGATAACCCTCACCACCAACGACCAAGACGGTGTTGTAGAACTCGGCCAAAGCCCTCATGGGGGTATGGGCCTGGATGAACTGGTGGGTAGAGATAGGCGCCTCGAGGATGTTGGAAAGCTGCTCACAACGAGCATCCTCAGGCTTTCCAGATCCGTTGGTAACGAAAACGTGGGGGATCTTGACACCCAACTCATTCTCACCGTTCAAAATACGAAGGACCTTGCGTCCCTCGGGGATGAATCGGTCACCGTGGACGAGCACACCATCGATATCGAAGACGAAAGCCATGTTCTTCAACTTCTCCATCTTCTCATCACGGGCCTGGTCGTCCTTCCTCTGCTGTGCCAAGCTCTGGACCTGAGCTGCCAATGAGTCGCGGTGAGAGAGGGCCTGCTTGTTCGAGGGGTCGATGGAACGACGGGGGATAGGAAGAGAAGCTCCGAATGAGTTCCTGGACCGCCTGCGGTCACGGAAGGAGGGAGAGATGGAGAGGGAGTGCATTCTCGAGGTAGAGTCGGCCAAGGAAGAACGAGAGGCGGGAACCTCGACGACATTGTCGTCACCGGTGCCTCCGGGGATATTGATGTTACCGAACTGGTGCTCATCGGCGGGAGGAGAGATGATCACACCACCGTCGAGGAAGTCTGAAGAGTCGAAGCCGGGCATATTGTCGTTGTACTAGTAAAAAGTCCTTAAGGAGGATATTGGATGGAAGAAGAGCAGGACGGAGGGGAATGGCCTGGATATAAATAGGGCCGGCTTCATGTGATAGCTAGGGGACGGGTTCCGACTTGCAATTGCCTCCTTCAGCTAGTCCGAGGGATGACGTCGACCAAGTTTTCCAGCAGCAAGCAAAGTTACATGGAGGAAAACGGAGAGATTGCGGGATGAATGCTGGCAGCCGTCACGCTGGTCGCCATCCCTTCGCCGGGCCGCCTCCGTCCATTTCCACTGCCCAACTGCCCGCTGCCAATTTACCTCCGGGCCGCGCGGTCAAATTAGCAGGCGGGTGCGAGATTGGGATCGACGTCATTCCAAGCCCCTGCAGCGACTCCCTGCCTGGAACCATTACAAAAGAGCGGCCTCCCACAATTATATTCACAATTACAACTACAATCAGCATGTCTCTCGGCCGTCACTTCACTCTCAACACAGGCGCAAAGATCCCTGGCGTAGGCTTCGGCACCTTCGCAAACGAGGGCGCAAAAGGCCAAACCTACACCGCCGCCATCGCTGCCCTCCGCGCTGGGTACCGTCACCTCGATTGTGCCTGGTTCTACAAGAACGAAGACGAGGTCGGGCAGGCCATCCGTGATTTCCTCGCCGAGGACAAGTCCGTGAAGCGTGAGGATCTGTTCATCGTCACCAAGGTCTGGAACCACTTGCACCGTCCCGAGGACGTGGAATGGAGTTGTAAGAGCTCATTGAAAAACCTGGGATTGGACTACCTGGATTTGTATTTGGTGCATTGGCCTATTGCCGCTGAGAAGGACGAGCACAATGAGCCCAAGATTGGTGAGGATGGAAAGTACGTCATCCTCAAGGACCTCACCGAAAACCCCGAGCCCACCTGGCGCGCAATGGAAAAACTCCAACGCGACGGCCTCACCAAAGCCATCGGTGTCTCCAACTGGACCATCCGCCGCCTGAAGGAACTTCTCGCCATCGCCGAAATCCCCCCCGCCGCGAACCAAGTCGAACTCCACCCCTTCCTCCCCCAACCCGACTTGGTCAAATTCTGCCTCGACAACAAGATCTTGCCAATCGCCTACTCCCCCCTGGGCTCCCAAAACCAAGTACCAACGACCGGCGAACGCCTCCTCCAAGACAAAACACTCATCTCCCTCTCCGAGAAACTCAATCAGCCGCTCGCGAACATCCTTATCTCCTGGGCCGTCCAGCGTGGATACGCTTGTGTTCCCAAGTCTTCTACGCCTAGCAGGATTGCAGCCAACTTTCAGGATTTGGAGTTGAGTGAGGACGATATGAAGGTTATTAATGGGGTTGCGGAGGGGAGGAATGTTAGGTTTGTTAATATGAAGGATACGTTTGGATATGATGTTTGGGAGACTGAGGAGCAGTAAGCGAAGCGTGAAGAGTGTAGGATAGCAGCATACAAAAGATGATGATACAGTAAGTCAGAGAATACCAAGGTGTACACTATGATCTTCATTGAGCGCTCACATATCCAAATTTCGAAGTTGTCTCCCACCTGTTGCCGCCATCCGCGATTACATCGTCATCACCTATCAGACTCCATCGAATCTTCAACAGACAACGGATATCGGGTATCAACGACGAGGAGGCTTGGCTACATGTACGTAGCTGGACCCTGCCGCGGCCGCTAGTACGCGGAATGGTCAACCCTAACTTGCACTGCCATCATTCCTTGGGCTGTGGCTTCATTCCCAACATTTCAGATGAGAGATTACGGAAATGCCACTGAAGGTGTTGCATCTGGCGTTCTAGATTGACCGCGGTCGAGAGAGCTCGCGACGGGAGGTCACCGGCACTTTCATGGGTGTATGCAGCTAGCCGAGGAATGACAGGTGTGCCGGCCGAGATGAAGCCGAGATTGAATGGGTCTCGGAGTGGTGAGGTTTGGGGCGAATCGGATGAGCGTTGTTCTTCTCGGCTCATTCGATGGAGAGAGGCCGCTTGGATTGGGATTGTAAGGTAAACGGATGACGCCGGGGAAGAAGCAAAAAGATACAGCACCCGAGTATTCCCAGCTGGTCTCCCACGCTAGTACTGACTGGGCCCTATGATGCTTAACTTAGGAGATCGGACGGGATCCTGTGCTTTCATCATGGTATGGCCGTATCTGTTTGTTGTAGCTTTCAAAACCACATATAGCTCTACTCAAACACAGGTCCGAGGTTGATAGTTCGTGTATTCTCAACGTTCATGCATTACAACTGCTCAAATTGTGGGACAGCACTGTCTTTGGCCAGAAAGCTTGATCAGAGCCTCAAAAGCGCCCGTACGTTGGTTTTGTGCTTGCAATTTCGTCGTGCCGTGCTCAATGTAGTTCGACTCCAGCTGGTATCCAGGAAGCTGCGGAGGACAGCGGCCAGTGAACGGACACCTTGGGATACCCAGCACACTCAGATGAACCACTTTCGCGGATTTAAATAGCTATTGCATGTAGAGCAATGACGGCGTGGTGAAATAACGCCCTTGATCAAACATGTTCTGTCGTTCCTCTTGTCCGGTATTGATCTCGGATCCGGACGTTGGCTCAAGCGCTCCTGCGTGTTCGCCATCTCGCTGATCCTGTGCACTAAAGGCTAACTTCTATGATACAATGATGTTACGGCTGAATTGATGATTGTACATTGGTCTTATGAGGGTACAACGCACTATGTATCCGGTGTACGAATGTCATGGAGGACAAGGAGGAGGTCGAGAAAGAGGACGACAACTCATCGGACGAAACAGCAGAACAGCCGGGACAACGCAGTTCCACAGAACTCTGGTGTGTAGGGATGCAACTGAAACATGCCGTAATGGCGCGGATTTCAAGGGTGTCGTCGGCAGGCGTCGAAGGCAAGAGTGCGCAGATGTCAAGTAAAAGAGTTTGATTTCAACTAATCGAGTCGCACAAGTGATGTCAATCCCCTGGTAAGGAACAATACCTCCTCGCTCACCCCCCTCTGCGTCGAGGGAAGAGGACTAAGCACGCTCCAGCTGGGGATTAATGCTGCTAAACATCCCTCTACGAAGCTCGGTAGAGAACAGAAAGCATGGGTCTTGATACTAGATCTGCCAGCTGCTCTACAATAGAGTTCGAGAATACAATTGGGGATCAGTTGTTGGCGGGCGTGCGTCGGGTTATTAAGTTTGCTGGTGTGGCGGTGTGTGGGAACTGTGCCTTGCTGACCAAAGATGCCGGTTCTTTCTACGAGAAGTAAATGTGTTATTTTTGCAGTCTTAAATGATTCTTTTCATGGTGTCTGTTTTCGAGTCTGCTCTTATTTCTCCATTGTCAAATACGCGGCTCTCATTGGGCGACGGCTGACCTCCACACTTGTGCCTCCAAATTCGAGCACTTGGGAGGAACCTACATCAACGACATCAACCGTTACTAATCAGCAGGCCTGTCACAGCCGTCGGCCTTCCCTTATATACCCGTCCGCCTGATTCGCCGTCTCTATCTGAAGGGTTTACATAATGTTCAGCCGTATTGCGTCTAGGGCTGCTCGCCGCGCTCTGCCTTCGGGTTAGTAATCCCGAACACCCGGTCATTGAATGACTTCCAGGAGCTGGAGCTGACTGTCGTTCCCTATAGCAAACCGTGCTTTCTCGACTTCCCGTGTCGCCCGCGCCGAGGTTGAGTTGACTATCGATGGAAAGAAGGTTTCTATTGAGCAGGGATCCGCGTTGATCCAGGCTTGTGAGAAGGCCGGTGTCTCTATCCCAAGATATTGTTACCACGAGAAGCTCCAGATCGCCGGTAACTGCCGTATGTGTCTTGTTGAAATGGAGCGCGCACCAAAGCCTGTCGCCTCTTGCGCCATGCCCGTTCAGGCCGGTATGGTCATCAAGACCGACACCCCTCTCGTTCACAAGGCCCGTGAAGGTGTCATGGAGTTCTTGCTGGCCAACCACCCTCTCGACTGTCCTGTCTGTGACCAGGGAGGAGAGTGTGATTTGCAGGACCAGAGTATGAGGTACGGAAGCGACCGGGGGAGGTTCCACGAGATCACCGGAAAGAGGGCTGTGGAGGACAAGAACATCGGACCCGTCGTAAAGACCAGCATGAACAGGTGTATTCACTGCACACGTTGTGTCCGTTTCGCCAACCAGATCGCCGGTGCTCCTGAGCTCGGTAGTACCGGCCGTGGTAACGACATGCAGATCGGCACTTACATCGAGCAGGCCCTCGACTCTGAGATGTCCGGTAACGTTGCCGACCTTTGCCCCGTCGGTGCCCTCACCCACAAACCCTATGCTTTCCGCGCTCGTCCTTGGGAGTTGAAGAAGACCGAGTCCATCGATGTTATGGACGGTCTTGGTTCCGCTATTCGTGTCGACTCTCGTGGCGTCCAGGTTATGCGTGTCGTGCCCCGTTTGAACGACGATGTCAACGAGGAGTGGATTTCCGACAAGACCCGTTACGCTTACGACGGTCTCTCCGCTCAGCGTCTCACCAACCCCCTCGTTAAGAACGGCAACCGCTTCGAGCCCGCTTCCTGGGAGCAGGCCTTGAACCAGATCGCTGAGGCCTACAAGCGTTTGTCTCCTAAGGGCGATGAGCTCAAGGCTATTGCTGGTCAGCACGCCGATGCCGAGTCCATGGTCGTCCTCAAGGATCTCGTCAACAAGCTCGGTTCCGAGAACTTGGCTCTTGACATCCCCAACGGCTCCAAGCCTCCTGCTCACGGTGTTGACGTCCGTTCCAACTACCTCTTCAACGCCACCGTCCCCGGAATCGAGGACGCTGACCAGATCCTCATCGTCGGCTCAAACCCCCGTCACGAGGCTTCTGTCCTTAACGCCCGTATCCGCAAGGCATGGCTCCGCGATGGGATGGAGATCTCCCTCGTCGGTGAGAAGATCGACACTACCTTCGACTATGAGCACTATGGAGAGTCCGGCGCCGCCTTGAAGAAAGCCCTCGCTGGTGACCTCGGCAAGAAGCTCGCTGGTGCCAAGAAGCCCATGATCATCGTCGGTTCTGGTGTCACCGAGCACGCCGATGCTAAGGCCATCTACGAGATCCTCGGTCAGTTCGTCCACAAGAACAACGGTGTCTTCTTCAACGAGGAGTGGAACGGATACAACGTTCTCCAGCGCCAGGCTTCTCGTGCCGCCGCCTACGATATCGGTTTCGTTCCCCCATCAGAGGCCGTCGCGCAGACCACCCCCAAATTCATCTGGTTGTTGAACGCCGATGAGGTTGCCGCTGCTGACCTCCCCAAGGACGCTTTCGTCGTCTACCAGGGCCACCACGGTGATGTCGGTGCTCAGTTCGCCGATGTCGTTCTCCCCGGAGCCGCTTACACGGAGAAGTCCACCACCTTCGTTAACACTGAGGGTCGTACCCAGGTCACCCGCGCCGCCGTCAACCCCCCCGGTGTCGCCCGTGTTGACTGGAAGATCATCCGTGCCGCCGCCGAGGTCCTCGAGGTCTCCCTCCCTTACGACGACATCCACTCCGTCCGTGACCGCATGAACGACATCGCACCATCCCTCTCCAGATACGACCTCGTCGAGCCCTCAACACTGGCAGCACTCGGTGTCAAGGCACAGTTGGTTGATGCGAACAAGGGCAGCAAGCCTACGGACGCACCAATGAAGAGAGTGATTGAGGACTTCTACATGACTGATGTTATTTCGAGGTCTTCGGCGACTATGGCGAGATGTTCGGCGACTGGATACAAGCACAACAACCCTGACCTGAGAGATCCATCAGTGCAGCCTAAGCCTGAGGTTGCTTACGGTTAGATGGTGAAGGATGTTGTGTAAGAAGAAGGGCGTAGACGAGATGAGATGGGAGGAGTTAATACGACTAGTGTAGTTTTTGCTTTTCCGGCATGGCCATGGGTTTGTTTCTTTGCGTTCGTTCTTGTTTCATCGATATTGTATTTTACCGGCCTAACGGCCGAAAAGGGATATTACCACATACTTCCACTAAGGTTTGCTTTCACATTTTTTGATTTTCTAGATCTATAGTCCCAGCCTGGCTCGTAACTTCCTTAATCTAGTCACCGGATCTTCTTCCGGTGCGTCTACCTTCCCATCTTCCGTCTCAGCTTGCGAGACCTCTGCCCCCTGCCCACTCTGCCTCCGTGCTTCCCGCTCCTTGGGCGTCGTCTTCTCCATCATCCGCAACAACTGCTCCCACCCCGCCACCGGCCCCGCCTGGGACGCCGCCGATATCCACGGACAGTAGCCCCGATGCTCTTCCACTAAGTCCAATTCATCGCCGGCTTTTAGGTTCCAGAGGCCACGGCGGCGGTGGCAGGTTGTGCACGTTAGGGTTGCTGTTGCTGTGTCGCTGGGGTTGGTGGATGTGGCGGACCAGCCGAAGAGGGCGAGGGCGAGGATGGGGGGTGGTATTGTGGGTTTTCGGAGGAGGGTAGGGAGGGTGTCAGGTGATAGTGTACCGGTTTTCATGTCGATATTCAAGGACAAAGTGTCGGAATGTGATAAAAGGGATTCGACTCGTGATTCCAAAGCTTCCCGTGCAGATTGTGGATCTGATAACGGTAGTCTGAAGATGGTTTCATCGCATCCTCTCTTCCGCCAGGGACAGTTCTCTTTATGTGATGTCACGATCATCTCGGCGTACTTTTCCTCCAATGCCTTCTCGGTCGCTTCCCTAACCTCCTCATCGACATCACCCTGTGCTTGTGATAGTACGAGGAGAGTCTGACTGCATACTCCGCATTCGACTGTGTCCTTCTGGGTGCCGGGGCAGATCCATCCGCGTTTCGCCCACGCGACTTCGTCGATAGAGGTAGGCTTGTAGGACCACACCGCTGGCCGGAACATCCCGAGTCTCTCGAGGAAGAGTTCTCGAGAATAGGGAGCATACAGTGATCCAGGCTTCGCCGCCTTCTTTGGTGTCGGTGTTCCCTCCTTTGACGATATAGCAGCGACCTTCCTCGGTGTGCTGGCAGGCGAGGGAGAATCAAGGGAGTTCAAGAGCTCAGAGAGCTTCCGTTTTGCTGCCAAAGACATTGTAAAGTTTCCAACAGGACCGTACTCAATTAAGGTTTGCTTGACGTCAAAGTGCCTTGGGTGTACGAGAGCCCGTTCGTTCCTGGGAGGTTGAGGTTCAACGTACGACGCACCGAGCACCAAAAACCGAACAATAATCACCGAACAATAATCAAATGCAGTTATCCTCCCTGCTCGGGCTTCTTGTAGCCTCAGCAGCTTCCCTTGCATCCGCTGCTACGGTGCAAGGTCGCATCGCAGCGAACCAACATCTCCCCGACATCCATGCTCTCCCTCCAACGACGCTCATCACACTGTCCGCGGCGGGTGTGAGTAAGAAGACGCACCCGGGTCCGGAGGGAAGGTTCGAGATCAAGAATGTGTCAGAGGGGGCTTATCTACTTGAGGTGTGGGCAAACACGCATATCTTCTCCCCCGTCCGGATAGACATTTTGTCCGCCGACGAAGCCGCTGCAATCGCAGCCAAAGCCTCTACCGACGAAGTCACCGTTGCACCCGAGGATATTGTCGTCCACCAAACCTTCCGCGCAAACTCCTTCTCCAACAAAGGCGCAAAACTCCCTTACCCCCTCACTCTCCGCCCGAGCTCCCAATCTTCTTTCTACATCCCCCGCGAAAGCCTCAACTTCAAGGGACTACTCTCCAACCCAATGTTGCTGATCATGATCTTCATGGGTGCTATGATGTTCGTTATGCCCAAGTTGCAGGAAGGAATTGATCCGGAAGAGTTGAAGAAGTTTCAAGAATCTGGTGGGGCTGGGGCACAGATTGCTTCGAATCCGCTTGGTGCGCTCGAGAACTTTTCGATGGCGAGTTTCTTGGCGGGACAGGGTGGGACGGCTCAACAACCGAAAGGGCCTGCGGTTCCTATTAAGCAGGGTGGAGGGAAACAGGGTGGGAGGAGATGATGATATACTACAATGGAAGAGACACAGACACTTGGCATATCGTCAAATTAAATTACTAGCTATGAAAGGACGATCGCAGCTGTTATGGATCATCCCAAGTGTCCTTCCATAACATCACTTGACGATTCCCCAACTCAATATCCGCCTTCCTCTATCACTCTCCTGACTCTCTAGTTCAATCACTTCTCCTCGACTACTATCCCTCGTCTCATCAAGCTGACTTCAATCTCGTGTGCTCTGCATCCTATGTTAGCCACAGTTCATCTTTTCTTCGTTTTAGGGTGGTTCTCACGCCTCCGTCACTATCCACCGCAATATCCATGAAATCATCCTCCGTAGTCACATCCCAAAATTTCCACACGTTATACACCGCAACCAAAACCGACAACGTAGCCAACATGGATCCGTCTATCCTCGCATGTGTACTCCGACAAATATCATCGCTGACCACGAAGGTAAAGATGAGAGCGAAAAGGGAACCCGTAAAGGCGTACGCGAGGGGGTCTGTACGTAAAACTCCAGTCAGCGAGCCCCCGGTTTTGAGGGAAAGCTACTTCTCAGGTCATTCACGTACATAAGGGTTTCGTTTCACCGAGGATGTGGAGTGAGATTACGGCTGAGATGATAAAGTAGGTGATCACGGTGAAGACCGGCAAGACGATATTGAGGACGAAGAGGGTATGGCTCTCCCATGACGATCCAGGCGGGCCTGGATCATGACCAGGAAAGTCAAAAGCGCTTTGTAGACTGGGAACGCGATTAGCTCCCGCCTAGGCTGTAAGTCCCTAGGCTGTAAGTCCCTAGACTTGTGTCTCCGCTTCACCTTGCGATGGTTGTACCCACGAAGAGCAGAACAGCCGTAGCCAGGGTACGCAATAGCATCAAAGAACATCAGCCCCTTCGCACGTTGGATGTAGGAATGTCCATCTGTTCCTACCATGAACAATACCACCCCTTTCATCACCTCATGCGTAAGTCCCGCAATGGCGACAAACATCAGCACCCACGCAGTTCCTACAATCGCCGCAACATCGAGAGCCGAGAACCACTGCGTGCAACACCATATCAGAACACCTACATGTATTTTCTAACCCAGTTTGCATACCTTTAATACTGTTCGATCAATCAACCACCCCCCGATACTGAAGACCTGGAGAAATGTTGCAAGGAAGTATCCAAAGAGGAATAGTTGTATTTCACGACCTCCTGTACAAGGCGTCTTAGCCCAAGCGTAGTCTTACACAAATGACTCCCGTACCTATAGTTACGCTCTTCATCCTCGTCTTCCATACCAGCTTGAGCGTGAATAGGAGAGCCAAGATACAGAGGCATATATCCCCTGTACAACATCACACGTCAGCAATCAGCATTCCGGAATTGCCAGGATACAGTTCTACCGATATTCCGAACCTTCCCCCCGGCTCCTCGCAGTATACACTCCTTTACCGGAGCTCCTGGAAAGAGGTTACACACCGGCAACGTCGACGCACGACACAACCGCTCAAAACTACCCCATTCGCCCATGTTGTCGTTCTATAAAGGCGAAGAACGTAGACATAGTTGGTTGGGAATGAGAGTGCGGGTGAGGCGGATCCGTCGTTTGAGGGCTCCAGAGTGCTTGTGATTGTTTCCTCTATTCCGTGGCTGTGGAGGGTCTGAGCGTGTGAAGCGGAACCGCAGGGTGTGCGCAAAAGCTGGTGCGTTCTCAGCAAAAGTACGTGACAAGCAGAGCAATGACAACCTCAATCGCTAGATGTAAGTGCTCAATGCATAGATATCCCTGGTATAACAATGCTAGCAAACGACGAACACCCATTCCCGGATGCAAAACAGCGTTCGTATCTTACGCCTCCACAGCCGTCGTCGTCGTCGAAGTAGTCCCGTTAGCCTGCTTCGCAGCCTCCATCTCTGCCTTCTGCTTCTCCGTAGCTTTCTTCGCCTCCTCCTCCTGCCTCAACTTTTCCTTCACCAACCTCTCCTGCTGCTCCTTCTTCAACCGATCCTGTTCCTCCTTCTGCTTCTGTCGCTCAAGTCTATTCTGCTTCATCATCTCCAACGCTTTCTTCATTTTATCGTCCGCTTCCCTATTCGTCTGACTTTGACCTGGCGAGAGGGTGCTTCCGGTTCTGGAGCGCTGGGCGTCGGGGATCCATTCCATTTTGTCGTAGTCGAAGGTGTGGCCGTGGAAGCGACTCAGACTAACACTTTTCCGGCGGTACTCTTGTACGAGGACGCTTTCGTAGTCGTATGGGACCCATGCTGTCATGCCCTCGTACTCCGATTCTCGGAGGGGCCAGATGTCTCCTTTCGCGTATCTGTGGTTGTTCTTGCAGGAAAAGACGTTGGGAAGCCAGAGGGGGTACGTCTCGGCGATGGCGGTGATATCGACGTAGAGACCCGTGGTTGTGTCGATAAACCGTGCGTCAATGACATTCCTCCCATCGCCTTTGACGCGTTCAGAGGAGTGCGGGTTCACATCCATCAGATACGTATACTGCCCCTCCGTTGCCTGCAACCCACCCAAATGCTGATCCAGAGATTCAGGCGTGTGGTTATGGGTAGTGTTCAGAATCTTCGGGATGGCTTCACGATCGGACGAGTCGATGGTCCATGTTGTGTAGTTGAGCTTCGCAAGGTGCAGGATTCCTCCGTGGGAAACCTGTGTATCGAGATCTTCGTCCCAAGGGAGGATCTTTCCATTCCACCACCATCTAGCAAAAATGCCTCAAAATTAGCACGCATGCTCAAAACATCCGCGACAACCTTAAACCGCTCCGACGATGCCGACGCACCACGAAAAAGCTTAAGTCGAGGAAGGAGAAAGACTCACCCTAACAGTGTTCCATGCGCCAACCAAGTCTCAACGTTCTCCGTGTTGCATACCCGCAAGTATGCCCTCATGATTCGTCTCAGTGTATCTTTCTTGCCGTCTTCGGTGACTGTTGGGCCGACGCCGGGACCTTTGAAGTAGCGGATGTCGAAGTGTACGAAGCCTCTGGGTTCGTGGAAGTACTTGTAGGCGGAGGTGAGTGGTGAGGTGAGGAGGAGAAGGAGGGGGATGAGGATATGCATGCGGTAACGTTGAAGTGAATCGAACGAAGAAATAAGAAATGTAAGTTGAGGACCGTGCGCTCTGAAGCTTGGTCGTGAATGCCGATGTTAGTGATACTTGAACGCTCTTGTATGCTGTCGCAGTCGTGAAGTCAGGATAAGAGAGTGGATCTACCAGTGATCATATGCCTCCGGATATACGCGACGAAAGAGCGCAGTCACGGGGATCGTATGGAACGAGACGTATGCTGTATGCTGTATGCTCGTTGAAGAGGCTGGAGTAAGGTTGGGTTCCGAGAAAAGTCGTCTCTACACAGGTATATGAAGGCCTGCCACCGAAGGTTACAGCGTCTCCTGCCAAGCTTCTCCGGTCGAATTCCGGGCCGATGCACCTACGTATGCTTCTTCGTATGGGAGTCAAAGTGAGGCCGTCGGTATACGAATGGCATGGTTCGTCGTCGCCAAGGACGTTAAGGCTACGGAAGAGCATTGTCTTCGGCGCCATCATCACCGCTACCAAAGGTCTTTCTTGGCGTACTAACAAAACAGCTGCTATAGCTTGTCGGCTAAATTTGCCCAGGAAAAGGGCAGGCTCTAGTCTGTCTATGCACGGTGCAACGCCGCTCCCGGTCGATCGGCGCGCCCGAGACTTGGCAGTTGGCGGTTTCAGAGGTGTGCTACGACAGGGATGGAGGGATGAAGGGACCTATATCGCACAAACAGCGCTGGCAAAGGAGTCAAACTGTGAGCTGTTTGTGCCCGATGAACATTGTCCGTGTGATGGTAAGGTTGGGCCGTTCTTCTAATCCACCGTGGGGGGTTCGGAAGGTTTCGGTCCGCCTTCCTAACCTTAATGCCCAGTCAGGTCATGATCATGTGCATACATCCGCTCTCCTCCCGCGGCTATCATCTGATAAAAATAGACCTTCGGATGATGTCCGAGTTCTCCTCGCTTACATCTCGTGTTCGTTATTGTATCCATACGTAACACCCGATCGCAGGCTTGGCCATGACAACCCCCGGGCTCCTCGTACCGACCTCGTTCCGAGCCCGGCACTGAACAGTCCGTGACACCAGCGATTATCCTACTCAGTGCCTTCTTCCCCAGAAACAACCCTTGTTTCTACGCTTTGATCCCAAGCTTCTTCTCTCTTTTCGTCTCCTTACCGCCTCACCAGCCCATGGCGCATGGCTGAGAGACGTCTGGCTTGGCGGCTCCGCAGAGGGCCGTTTTGGTTGCCGTTCGATCCGGTGGGAAAACCGGTGTGATTCCAATTGCAATTGCGGCTCAATTGCAATGTTGAGAGATGTCTTTGTGTCGAGATTACAAGAGGGGTTGAACGTGACAGTCGTATCAAGAGTCGTCATGGAGGTGACGACTGTAGGAAATTACCCGCAAAGCAGGAGAGGTGATGCGCGCACAAGGTCCATGAGAAAATCATTGGTATCTAGATATAGCAAAAAACAAAACAATCCAAAATGGCCATTACCTCCGCTGGCAACATCACGCTTTTCGGCTTCCCTCCCGTCCTTAACGATATGCCAAACCACCTCGCTAGCTCTTCCTCAAACTTAATGACCAACCGGGTTCTCACCCGTCATCTTCTCGATATACCCCCTCGCAATATCCGCAAAACTAACCATACAAACCGTCTGCCAAACACCCAACCCAATCCTGGGCGTAACACCCCGATACAACCCCTTCACACCATTATTCTGATAAATATACCTAAACGCACTCCCAACCGTCATCTTCGCCGGACGATTCGGGTCAGCCTTCGCACTCTGCATCTCAACCCTAATAACCTCAATCGGCTGATTCCACGCACTCAACCCACCACCAATAACACTCGCTCCAATCCGTTCGGCCGCAGACAGCTTTTCGCCGTGTTCTTTGTGCGTGGCTTTACGGATCCAGCCTTCCGCGAGACGCGAGAGTCCGATACGCGAGCCCCAGTTTGTGCATTGTCGGATGGCGACGGCGTTGACGCCTTTGTTGATTCCGCGGATTCCTTCGCGGCGGTAGATGTCGAGGAAGGTGTGCATCGTGCCTGGGGGTTTCACGCCTGCCGCGGCGACTTTGTGGCGGGTGATTTCGACTGTTTTCATACATGTGCAGAATCCCATCTATGTGTCATTGTGTTAGCATTCACGTCCTTAGTAGAAGGGAGAGAAGTGTGACGAACCGTCGCGTAGGCCTGCGCGATACCACCACCCATACCACCGAGCATACCCGCCAAGAAGGGATTCGCACCCGCAGCCTTCGCCGCATACTCCAACTCACTCGCAGTAAACAACAACACAGCTCCCTTCGTCGAAGCCTCAATCCAGGCCCATGGGATCAAACCCTGGTAGAAACCCTTGACACCACCACGCCCCCAAGTCTTCTTGAACGCGGTAACGATGTTGTCTTGGCGGTTTGCGGCCATGTGTGTCTAGAAACACGTCAATTAGCGTTTTGAACATTATAGAATAGCAACTGGACCAAATGCTTACCTTCAAGACCTCGAGAGGCTGACCGAGTGTCGACACCCTATTACGTCACACGTCAACACCGACCGAGGTTTTGAGCCATTGCAGTGCGGTACGTACTCAAACAAGTTCATTCCACTTCCCAAAAGCAAATTGGAGTACGAGACGGGCTTCTTCTTTGTCGAGTCGCCTGGCGCGACGGGTGCGGTGGTAGCTGGGGGTGCCATTGCGTGATATCTTCCAATGCCAATTGATCCGCAAGCTCCAGATGGATCGCTTCGTCCGATGGTATATCAGGGTCTGTCCGTGGGTATAGGGCAAGCTTCGAGGTTATATACACCTCCGTCCTCGGTGGTCTGGTTGGGCTGTGCAGCGTCAATCGGTTGAGTGGATCTGATTGGTGTTCCCCGCAACGAGTACGGCCCTCATAGCGTCGTTGCGTCCGCGCGGGTCCAGCGGCGGGGTGACCCACAGCGCTCCGAAATCGCCCGGTTGTCGTGACGAAGAAGGGGAGGGAGAAGCCCTAGGAAGGTTGGTTGAGGATGGCGGAGGATGTTCCGTATATTCCGATCGCTTTCCGGGTGCGGTTGGGGGTGTTCGGCAGGGATCCGGATGTGCGCGGAGCCTGACCTCCGCGAAGTCTATTAAAGCTTAAATCCTATCGCTATGCCAGTTCCACTGTAGCCGTAACTGTAAACGGTATCCTCTATGCCAAATGCCCATTTCCCTTCCCCTCCTTAACAACATCCCCCATAACCATCGGCAACCCGGCCTGCTCCCCCATAACAGCATCCTCAACCCTCCTCTCCCCCCTCCCCAAATCCTTCCTAACCTTACTCCGATCATACATCCACAACCCCACAAACGTCAACACGATCCCCACCCCTTGAATGGTGGAGGTCGGTTGCGAGAACCAGAGGATGGAGATGGTGATGACGAATATGCGTTTGATGAGGGATGCGATGGAGTAAGTTACTGGGGAGGTCGTGCCGAGGAGTGTGAACGCGAGGAGGTTTTGGGCAAAGTGCGCGGTGCCGTTTGCCCAAAATCTAAGCTGTAGCGTACCCGTCGTGACGCCGACTTCCTTTCCCTCAATTCGGCCGTTCGTAAGAAGGGCGTATCCCTCATACCTGATCCACAACGGGAACATGACGAGGAATGCCATCCCGCTGCTGTAAAACATCAAATTCAGCTTATCCAGTTTTTTCCGCTGGTCAGGATGCAGCGGTTCGTCGTGCGTCAACAACTTCTTGCTAAAGATATTCTGCGTGACGAAAACGAGGGTACTCCCCAACGCACAACTCAACCCCACCAAATTCACACTGAGCTGGAATGAGCAAGCTAACATGACGCCCAGCGTGAGCGGAAAGAGTGACGCATACGTCGCGGGCGTGTATTTGATGTTAAAAATCGTGCGATAGGCGAGGACGGTGAAGAGTGGTGACAACGCTTTGACCGTATGCACCGTATGCACCGGTACCCTACCGGTGGCCACACTCCCAAACACATGCCCCAAAACCTGAAACCCCGTCAACGGCCCCGTCGTCATCAACACCTCCCTCGTCGGCCACCTCAGACCGCCCCGATTCCCCATAATCCCTTTCCCCGAAACCTTCGATACCGAGGCCGCGATCGCGCACCACGCCGCAACGAAGAAGAATTGGATGAAGGTCAGGGTGAGGGGGTACGGAAATGCGTTCATGATTGATTTCGAGGACATGTTTGTTATTGTTGAGGAGGTGTACCAGAGTGCGCAGAGAGTGCAGAACACGACCATGTGGGATGATATCGATAGTGAGGGTGCGACGGCGGTGAGGAGGGAGAGGAGGGGCGCGAAGGGGGAGCGTTGCATTTTCGAGGTGGGTATTGGGGGTGCGGCGAGGAATTCTGCGTTTGGTGTTCGGGATTGGAAGAATTGTTGGTAGCGGGCGTGTCTGTCTCCCTCGACACCCACACCGGAATTGTAGGGTAACGGCGCCGTGGAACTATGTGAGAACGTCCGCGGTCGATGCATCATCTTGAACATGCAATTGGTCGCGGATCAAGGAGTGTTTTGTCGAGGTGTTTTGAGGGGATTTTTTGTGGAAGGTGACAGCGTGGAGGTGCAAGCGTTCGGTTGCATCGCTCCGTGAGGCTGCTGGGGCCGTGTGCGCAGGGCGGTGTCCCGACGGCCACACCTTGTTTGAATTGTTTACAGACGGGCAATCAAGAGTGACAGATAGCTTTGTGATTGTGAATTGAGCAGTCTTTCCCCCTTCAATTGATTCCCGGCTCGAGGTCTTGAACGGAGCTCCTCCGGATTTCTCGACTCGCGTACTGCAGCACTGTGCATACGTGAACTCACCGCCATACACACTGACATCCAATCCAGCACACACCTCCACCATGGTTTCCGAGCAAGCCCCCTTCGCTCACCAACTCCCCAACGGCCAAACAGCAGGATCAGCTTCCGACATGGGTCTTCCCGCAGAGGGATCCGGCACGAGCAGAACAGACAGTATCGCACCGAACATCGGTAACGTGGATGCACCATCGATCCCGGCGGTTCCCGTGTCAGGTTTGGAAGGAACGCCGAGTAAAAAGGCGGTAAAGAGTAAAGCACAGTTGAAGAGGGAGAAAAGGAAGAGCAAGAAGTTGGCTGGGAGGGAGGAGAGTATGTCTGATATGTCTGATGTTGAATCGGTATGTCATGTCAGCATTCGTTGTGTTCGATGGCTAACTGTTTTTAGGTCGCGAATACCCCCGCCCCGAAATTGCGAGTAGAGAATGTGGCCAAATCCGACCCCGACACGATCCTAACCACCTTCGAAGTAAGCGAAGACGACCCCGCCTACGCCGAATTCAAAAAAGTCTTCGAACGCTTCAACGCATCCGAATCAGACTCCACCGCTCAAACCCTCACAACAACTGAAGACAAAGGCGAGGTGATGTACAATGACGATGACGATATCCCATCGGAAGATTCAGACAACGAACAAGACCAAAAAATGTCTAAAAAGAAAGCGAGAAAGATGAACAGATTAACCGTTGCCGAGCTGAAACAGTTGGTCAAGAAACCCGATGTGGTGGAGTGGACGGACGTTACGGCACAAGATCCGCGATTGTTGGTACATCTTAAATCGTACAGAAATACGGTCCCCGTCCCCGCACACTGGTCCCAAAAACGAGACTATCTGTCGAGTAAGAGGGGTATCGAAAAACCTCCATTCGAGTTACCAGAATTCATCAAACAAACCGGTATCGCTGAAATGCGCTCAAACGTCCAAGAAAAAGAAGCAGCCCAATCCCTCAAACAAAAAATGCGATCAAAGATGCAACCAAAGATGGGTCGACTGGATATGGACTACCAAAAACTCCATGACGCATTTTTCCGGTTCCAGACGAAACCACATATGACGGAGTATGGAGAGGTATATTATGAGGGGAAGGAGTTCGAGACGAACCTCCACTCAAAACGCCCGGGCGACCTCTCGGACGATCTCAAAGAAGCACTCAACATCCCCCCCGGCGCACCCCCACCCTGGCTTATCAACATGCAACGATTCGGACCTCCGCCATCCTATCCCTCTCTCCGCATCCCCGGGCTTAACGCACCGATTCCGTCAGGAGCACAATGGGGATTCCATCCGGGTGGGTGGGGAAAGCCGCCTGTCGATGAGTTCAATCGGCCGCTTTGGGGAGATGTGTTTGGGGTTCTGGAGAAGGGTGGGAAGCCGCTTGATCCAGGAGAGCCAATCGAACGCAATCTCTTCGGACAACTCGAGGAGGTCGAGGAGGACGACGAGGAAGAGGAGGAAGAAGAAGAAGAAGATGGGGAGGAGGAAGACGAAGAAGTCGACGGAGCGAGCATGGCCGGCGGCCTCGAAACTCCCTCAGGGATCGCGACACCCTCCGGCATGGCCTCCGCTGTCCCCTCTGGCCTCGAGACACCGGAGTTTATCGAATTACGGAAACAGCGTGCGGAACTCGAAGACGAAGAAGACCATTCAGGACGAAGTTTGTATGCCATCCTACCGGAACAAAACCAGAAAATCCGTGGCTTCATGGGTTCGCAACACGGCTACGATATTGCCGCCGCCACTGGCCGTCCACCCATCCTGGGCCAAGAAGAATCCCGAAAACGAAAAAGTATGGACGGGGTGAACGTCGCTCTCGACCCCTCCGCCCTCGAAGGCGGGGAAGACCTCAGCGAGGAGCAGTTACGTGCGGCGTACGAGAGTGAAAGAGCGAGGCAGGCGGTTGAGAAACATGGCTTCCAGGAGGATTTGTCGGATATGGTTGCGGAGCAGGCGGCGAAGGCTGCGAGGAAGAGGCAGAAGACGGTGCAGGCGGGGGACAAGAAGAAGGAGAAGTACAAGTTTTAGGCCCGAAATATCGGGAAGTGGCATCGGGATGGAAATAGGAGTGGAAGTGAAGCATTTTGTCTTTTCTGCCTGCTCTCCACAAATGCAATCATGTGCCAAGAAATTAACTCACCCTACCTCACCAAGTTCCATGCTTATGCCTACTGCTGCTGCTGTTGCGGCTGCTGCTGCCTAGGAGGCCTGTTACCACCCTGCTGACCCTGACCTCCCCTACCTCCTCTCGGTCCTTGTCCTTGTCCCTGACTCTGTCCTCCCCTTCCACCACGTCCACGACCCTGTCCACGGCCTTGACCCGGGTTCTGGTTCTGTCTCTCTCCCTGACCCTCGCCATTCTGCTGACGAGGTCCCCTGTTACCGGTTTGTCCTCCATTACGACGTCCGCCTCGGTTCTTCTGGCCACCGTTCTGTTGCTGCTGCTGCTGCTGTTCTTGAGGAGCAGCTGGGGTCACCTCGACAGCGGTGGGGACAGGTGGGGTGCTGTTGGTGGTGGGGTTTTCCCATCCCTCTGCAGCGAGATTAGCGCCTCCGTCAGCAGAAGAGAGGGTAGCGGTAGCGGCGACGTGTTGTTGCGCACCCGTGTCGTCCTCAAAGGACATCGAGGGAGCGGTAGGCTCCGTCACGTTAGCATCGAGCGCCTCAGCGAGAGCGCCTTCGGCGTAAGAAGGGACGGAGACGGAATCCTCATGGGGTTGGTGGGCTGTGAGGAAAAGTTAGCAAACAGTTCTGACTCGTCAAATCTTCCCCTCACCTCCAATCTCACTCTCGTTCAAGAAGGAGATACCGCCAGATGGGACGACAGCTTCGTGAGCGATCGAGGAGGACTCTGAGCACACGCTCCCAGTCTCAGCTTTGTGGTCTTCCTCTGGAGTCATCTGCTGACCTTGTGCCTCTGTAAGCTGCTCGGCAACTTCGGATTCAGGCTCGGGTTCGGGAGCCATGACTTCGTCGACGATGGCCTTGAGTTGGGCATCTATGCGAGGCTGAGTCAGTAACTAATCAAGACAGTCGTCCGGCCTCACACACATGTAACGGAGCTTTCGGGGATAGCCTCGGTGCTCTCGGATGCGATCTTCCTCACAATCTCGCAACTCTCCTCGTTACCCTCGTAGACCATACCCAACACCGCCTCACTCGCGTCATTCTCCGCATCGCTGCCCCTAGGGTTGACACGGACATAACTAGCCGTCCTCAGGAACCTAACCAATACCAGCACATCCTTCCTTCCCTCCTCGCGACCCTGTTCGCGGGCCTTGACGACGGCGTTAGCAACAGCGCGTTGGACCGAACGAAGACGGTCGCGGTTAGTGGATTGAGATTCTTTAGTGAAAGTAGTGAAAGGCTCGATAAGACTGGAGAGTTCGGCAAGTGCGGTGGTGACGGCTTCTTTGGAGTTGATGAGTGCGATCTGGTCAGCGTTCAACGCAACTTTGCCCTCAGCCTTCTGCTGCTCGTACTTCTCAATGCGTTCCTGTGCCGATGTTAGAAGACGCTACACAGCATCTTATACGTTTGGTAACACACCTGCTTCTTCCTAAGGACCCTGATCCTCTTCTGTACTGCCTCAGCATACGGACTCGCAGTCGAGTCCTCCTCCGGAATCTGGAAGTCCTCCAATTGCAGCTCCTCCGGAATGGGCTCAATCTCCTTCACGGCCTTCAAAGCGTCTTCGACGGTGGTAGCCTGAGCAGCCGCACGCTCTGCCTTCAAACGGCGCTTGAGAGCACGCTTTGACTCGCTGGCAGAAGTCGCAGAGGTAGTGGGTTCGGTAGAGACGACCGAGGACATAGTTGGTATTCAATTGGAGGTATCGATTGTTTGTGAGACGATTAATTGACGAACTTTTGAGATAGATCGAGGAGGATGGAGCTCGAGGTCAGCTGTCGCGTGCACATAAGGTTTCGGTACTATGACGGAGTGCATCTTGTAACGAAGAATTAAACTCAGCGAGAATGAGCGAAATAACTATCATTGAAAGAAAATAATTTACTTTGCAGACACTTTAAGCTTTGCGAGATTTGTGCTGCCTCCGCCGTGGGAAAGACCGACGACCTGGGAGGCATCTGTACAGTCATCGTCCATTGCCCTTACACGGCTCGAATCTGCTCTTCACATGCAAATACACCGGAGAAAAGTAATAGCAAAACCCGGGACATTTCAATAACGCTGTGACCCACGGTATGCAGGCAGTATCGGGTATACGCAGGCGAGGCCGGGTGCACGTGGTTCCGTCAGCTCTCCAACCTTGTCCCCTTAACTTGACTCCTCTCACCGACCGCCGTTACAATTGCAGGTCGATGAAATCAAGGTAGGTCGGTATTTGTGAAGGTCATGACCGCGTGGAGCTGGAACTTTCTTACAGCCCTACCAATCTTCGCCACCAACATGTCGCACCGACTTGAAGCCGACGATAGCGGGATAGTTCTGACAGACACAGCCATCGAAGACATAAAGGTTCGCACTTGGATATACGGAGCGCTCATCGGGGTGTTTGGCTGACTCGTCGAACAGGCCGACGACATCTGTCCCCTCTGCCACGAACTCCTCTACAGACCCATAACCACAACCTGCTCCCACACATTCTGCGAATCGTGTTGGAAGCATTGGGGGGATGTTTCGTTGGGGCAGGTTGATGGGGATGAGATTGTTATGATGGAAATTGATGAGGAGGAGGAGTTTTTGGTTACGTGTCCGTTGTGTAGGTAAGCCGAGCGCGGGTTCAGGTGGAGGAGGGAATTGGCTGACAACGGGGATAGGACGAGGACGCGGTCGAGGCCAGCGACGGAACGCACGCTACAGCTCCTAGAAATGTACCCAGCGACCTCAGGAATCCGACAACGAGAACTCGCCGAAGAATACGAAACCGACACCGACGCCGACTTCGCGGCTCAAGAATCCTCCGGCGAGTTAGTCTCAATCTACATTGGCAATACCCACCGCCCAATCACTCCCCGCCCCTCCTCCGCAAACGCTCACGAATGGACCTTTTTCCTCCGAACTTCTCACGCCCACATTATCGATCACGTCCACATTCGTCTCCACCCAACTTTCCGACCCCCGGAAGTCGTGTTCTACGACCCTCCATACGAAGTCCGACGGATAGGGTGGGGGGTGTTTGAGATTAGAGCGTTTGTGGTGTTAAAAGCTGGGTGGACGTGGGATTGTGAGGAGGCGTTTGGGCCGGATGGGGATACGTTGCCGGTTGAGTGGATGTTGGAGTTTGGAGGGGTGGGGAGGAAGGCGAGGTACAGGGTGCGGGTGAAGAGGACGGAGCAGCCGATGGATCCATTCTAGGGGTAGGAGTATGCAGATAAATCTAAGGGATCGGAGAGAATATGCATTTCTTGTGGGAGACTCGGCGTTTACCCGGTAAGTTTCTCCATGGATCCTTGAATGAAACTCCCATGACATGTGTACCCCAGCCGCCACGTCCGAGCCGCACACCTCCAACCCTTTGTCGTCCATTTTTCCCGAAGACACGGAAAATCCAGCAATATCATCCACATTCCATGCACATTTTCGACCGTTTGACTTTCCTTACGCTTAAGTGGATTTCGGTTCGGCTCAAGTTCGCTACTGCACGCTTAAACGGTTAGCGAAGCCGCTTCGGACAGTTTTGGTGCGACAAGTATCCGAGTACCTTTGGAGTCTTGACGAATGGTTACGGCTACAAGTACCATGCTTGTCCCCCTTTTTTTACGAAAAGATCTGTTGTTTAGACGACGACGACAGCCGGGATGAGTCATAATCACGGGAGCACGGGTACTACGACGGGCAGTTCGAGTGGTGCTTCGACGACGGTTGATTTGGCGGATAAGGTCGCTTACGGGCTGCTCTACGCTTCACAACATGAGAAGCACATCATGTATGCATGGATCATCTGGGTCCTCATTGCATTCGTCCTCGGTGCGGGTTTCATCCTCCGCCTGACAAAAGCTCACCGACAAATCCCGCTCGCGTCGGTATCTCGCCGACTCTTCCTCAAGCAGACTTTCCCGTGTACAAACTGGCGTATGTCAGTGGCGCGTGGACATGTTTTCGCCCTCTTCTTGTACATCGCTTACAACTTCGTCTTCACCTTCGCCGACATCCCCTACGGTCGGAAGTACCGTTACCCGTCGAAGCACAACGGCATGATGCAAACCGCAACAACAATGCAATTCACCGCCAACCGCACCGGGTTCCTCGCCTTCTCCGGCGTCCCGCTCGTCTTCCTCCTCGCTGCCAGGAACAACCTCGTCTCATGGGCAACGGGCATCCCTTACAACGCCCTGAACTTCCTCCACCGCTGGGTCGGCCGTGTAGTCTTTATCCTCTCCTGGCTCCACATCATCCTGTGGTCCCTCGAACTCGACATCAACTACTTCCCAAAGGGCAAACACTCATACTACAACACCCGCTGGACAATGCGCTACTGGCTCGGGGGATTCGCAGCAACGGTCTTCCTCTGCTTCCTCTGCCTCCACTCCCTCCCCTTTGTCAGGCGCTGGACTGGGTACGAGTTTTTCCGCTCGATGCATGTTTTTGGGAGTTTGTTGTTTTTGATCGGGTGTTGGGTGCATTGGCCGACGGCGTTTCAGTGGATTGCGGCGGGGATTGCGATTTTGTTTGCTGACCACATGGCCCGGACCTCGCGGATGCTTTTCATTCAGCTCCGCGGACGTGGGAGTGCGGAAGCTGTTGTTGGAATCTTCTCTGATGAGGATGAGGTCGACGTTATGCGCATCACCATCAAAAACTGTGGCATCAAGTCTTGGAGGGCTGGACAACACGTCTTCCTCTGCTTCCCTGCACACTCACGCTTCCAAGCCCACCCCTTTACCGTCGCAAACTCGAGCAACAAAACCCACAACCCTGATGGGGACCTCGTCTTCGTCGTCCGTCGCAAGAACGGAATGACCGACCGTCTGTGCCAACTCGCCGCAGAATCTAAAACCCTCAAAGTCTGGGTTGACGGGCCCTATGGCGTCGGTGCTTTATCCCCCGAGATTTCTGGGCGACACATCCAACTCGTCGCAGGCGGAACCGGAATCTCGTTTGCACTTTCCGCTGTCTCCGAGCTCACTGGCCGTGACATCCCGGGTACGATGCAATTGGACTGGTATGTCCGTCGCCGAGCAAACACGGCCTGGTTCGGTAATGATCTAGCGAAACTATCACATTTGTTCGGAAGCACCCTACGAATCAGCATCCACATCACCCGCGAATCCCCCCTCACCGCCTCCTCCACCGAGAAAGATACCTCCAACTCCTCTCTCACGGCCATCGAGGGTGTCACATATTCTTACGATAAAAACTCTTGTGCTGAGGTATTGAGGATGTATGCTAGTACAGTGGACCCGAGACAGGGTACGTCGAAGATCGCGGTGTTGGCTTGTGGACCGGGGAGTATGGGGCCTAATGTTAGGAATGCGGTGGCGGAGATGAATGGGTCGGTGGATGTTAAGTGTGTTATGGAGGATTATGTATGAATATGATATCGTTATAGATGGAGAGGGTGGGGTAGAAAGGTATGATAGTAGTGGGTAGATGTATGGATATTGGTACTTCTTCACTCCTCCTTCTCCTCCTCCTCCTCTTTAGCTCCGTCGTCCTCCTTCATCTCATTTTCGTACGCTTCCTCGACTTCGACATCGCCATCCTCCTCCCCGCTCTCTTCCTTCTTAACCCTCTTCCTTTTGGTGCCACTACTCCTCCTCTCCCTCTTTCCCACCTGCACCTCGTCCACATCGTCTTCCTCCTCCACCATCTTCTTCCTCCCCTTCTGCGATCCTTTGCCCTTCCCAGTTGACGTCGTTGTGCCCATCACCGAATCAGTCAACCTCTTCAACTTCTTCCTAGCCGAATTCACCGTGATCCCCTCCCCAAACCCCTCACAGACACGGTGTAAATTGACTTTATCGGTGGATTTGATACATAGGAGGAGGAAGCGGAGTTCGTTCTCGCGGCTCCAATCAATGTTCTTTGGCATTGAGGGTGGGAATGTTTGTTATATCCCAAGAATCCCTGTTCTCAATTGCAATGGAAGACAATTCGTCCGATATGTGGAAGTTTGTGAATCGTCAAAGGAGCCCTCATTGCAGGCCCGGTCACGGCGGCTCTCATCCGCTCCCCACCGGCTTTCTCAAGTCCCCGGGGTCGCTCAAACGCCATTGTGTCTCTGCCCACACCAAACCCGGTGAGGTTACACTGCCCGGTGAAGACTATGGACATCGAACAAGGGTCCACTATCACATGTCCTCTGGGCCCGGGTGGGGAACGTCAGGAAGAGATAGCACACGCATGTCCCCCGGGTCTCCCCACTCAAGTTATAAAACAGGCAGACCAACCCTTCCGTTGCTGTGATCAGTGAAGCAGCAAACACCTATTTGAGGCCAAAAGCTCCACCTTCCGACGTGCTCTAACGAAAGACACTTTTTCTACGTCGATTTCTCTTCTCAACAGTCAACCATCTCCCGGATGTACCCGTGGGACGAAACCTCCGAACGCCGCCTCCTCCTCCTCTGCCTCGCATCGGCCAAACCGGACTTGAACGAGGTCGCCGAACAGTTCGGTGAGGGCGTTACAGTTAAGGCTATCAACCACAAGCTGGCGAGGTTGAGGGCGAGTGTCGCTCTCGATCAGGCTGCTACCACGTCGACAACGAGCCGCAAGGGCAAGAAGAGGAAGTCGGACGCCAGTGAAGAGATGCCATCTCCAAGGAGGACCAGAGATGTGAAGAAAGACAAGGAAGTCGGTGGTGAATCAGACGAGGTTGATGAGGAGGAACAGGTAGTTCAGAGCGGAGGGAATGATGATACGGACGTGGTGAAGGAGTGACAAGAAGTGATGTGACTACTACTTACCTATAACATCAATATTGCCACATACGTATTTAGTTATTAATCAAGGTTAGGGATGCATCTTCCATTCCACATTAATACTGCACAGCCTCGTTGGTAGTCGGAGGCCGCTCTTTTAGGTAGACGAAAACGAGGTCCCCTTGGACGTTTCGAATGAGGTTTCAACAGGCAGATTGGTACCATTATCTGTATTCCTGTTACACTTTCTCAACCGAAATCGGGTATCAACCAAACAAAACGCCGATAAAGCCTTCCCAAACCAACGACCATTCTCTACTAGATCTCCGTTTCTCCAATATACTCCAAGGTATTCTTCATCCTTTAAATCGCTTCAAGGTTTTCTACACGCACACATTAGTCACCACTCTTTACCAACACGACACACACAACCTACCTCCATGGCTATCTGCACATGCCTCCCCCTCACCGTCTTCTCACCCTCCTCACGAGCAATAAGCGAAGCCTCTTTCATCAATGCTTGCTGGAACAACATATAATCCAAGAAGATCTGCGCGCAACCTCATTAGCCCACCGTTCATCCGCGACTGTCCCAACCGACGCTGAGGATGGAGCAGACTCACCATCACGTCGGCGTTCTTAGAGATACTGTACTTCGGCCCCGCATGAGCCTTGATGATCTTCTTGACCGACGACCTTGGATACAGCGGCATCCTCCTTGCCTTCAATGCCTGGGTGTATCGATACGGGAGTTCTGTTGTACGACGTCATGCAGGGTCACGCAAAACAAACACGCCCTGGCAACCGGCCCAGCGTGTGAAACGTCCGCACCAACAAATAAAGAACGGAGAAGAGATAAAAGGTATCATTCAAATGAAGAACCCAAACGCATGAAAGAATAACCATAGCAAACCACGAACCAGCCGAAAAAAACAAACACAAAGAAAAGAAGACACGCCAGTGTCATCCGTAAACCAATGATCAAGGCCCGAATCCGACCAATAACGTCCTTCTCATGCCATTGCCAACACTGGTCTCTCATTTCCATTCCAAAACTCGCACTTTCGTGACCTACACATCAAAGATGTTGGTCCTCCAAGTAACCTTCCGCGCAGCCTCCTCCTCCAACTCCAGATCCCTCCTCCACACCTCCTCACCCAAACTCCCAGGCGGCCTTACCCCAGGCAACAACGTCTCACTCCCCAAATTGACCGCATACTGTCCCTTCTGCCCGCCTCCTCCGCCTCCGGTGAGCGGACCAAAGACCGCACGGATCCAAGCCTCAGGGGAGGCCTGTCCGTTGTTTGCGACGGTCGCGGCCTTGATGCGTTCGGAGAAGAGACGGATCTGGCGATCGAGACGTTCGAATTCTTGGGCAATGTACTTTTCGAGGAGGGTGGAGACTGCGGTTTTGATGAAGCTCGAAACGAAAGGCTGGAGGATGGTCGCAAGGAGAGCGTGTTCGGCGCCATGAACCGCATACTTGAACTTGTGAATCGTGACGTCGACCTTGTCGACGTGGAAGTACTCATAATCCAAATCATCGTCAGTCGAGTCAGACTCGAGGGTGATCTCAGCCGAGACACCATCCCCATCCATGAAGATGTCAAGGAATCCCTTATCTTCAAGCTTGATCAACCCCGTCTTCTTCTTCACATAAAACGCAACATCCTTCGCAAACAGCGAGAAATTCCTGATCTTGATGTTGGTGGTGTGGCGATACTTCGACGTAACCGTATACGCGTTGATCATCTCCATCATGTTACGATCATCGATGAAGATCTTGTGCGGCAAGAAGTTGTCGGATTCGAAGATGAGGTTCTCGACGACCAAGTCCACATTCGCATCTTGGAACTCGATACGTGGAACGGGGACGTACTTGACGGAGGAAATCAACTTGGGGAGAACGACATCGACCAAATCGCGCCAGACCCGCTTCTTGAAGACGGGACGACCGTGCTTGTTCATCGCGACATCTTCCCAGCACTTGACTCCCAACTCCACAACACGCCTTGACGTCTTGTCGGTGCGGATAGAGTCAAAGAAAGAGGTGACCTCCTCGAGGAGGTTATCCATGTCATGCTTATACTGCTCCTTCGTGGCCAGCTTCTGTCCACGCTCGTAGAGGTCGTGAGCCTCATGGTCGGCGGCATCACTCATGACATAGCCCTCCTTCCTCAGGAGACGCTGCAAGTAATCACCAATGTCATCGAAGAACTCGGACAACTCATCATCGGACGAGACGTCATCAACGACCTTCTTGGCGGCATCCTTGACAGTAGCACCATCGTTGCCTTGAGCAAAGTTGAGAAGGATGGCATGAGCCTTCTGAAGGGCAATGTCGAAATGTGAGTTCGTCTCAGCAGAGGATGCGGAATCAACAGCCTCGTTACCGGTCTCCTTCAACTTCTGCGAGTACTTCTTCAACAACTCGAGCAAGAAATCGATCGAATCCGTGTACTCCGGACTCTTCTGAATGTCCAGAACCATCTATCAACACCCTTACGTCAGCATACATCCTGCAAAAACACTTATGAGGGGACGAACATCAGGCTTTCGCCCAACGCATATTAGAATAACGGGCAGCAATGGAACCATACCTTTTTCAAACGGTTAATCACCGCATCCTGCCTCTGCTTCGGGAACTTGCTTCTCAAATACTCCTCAACATCATCCCTCGCCTTCTTCGCCTTTCCCTTTCCCTTTTTATACGCATCGGCCGTGCTCTTGGGCACCTTGACGGTGGTCTCATCCACGTTGTCGTCGTCACCGTCGTCCTTCTTGTCGTTGGTGGCGGACTCAGAGGCGGGCTTGTCAATGGCATCGAGGTCGGATTTGGAGGGGCGGACTGTATCAGCGGCGGAGGATGCTAGGCCAGCAGCTTGGGAGGCTGCGTCGGCGAAGATGTCGCGGGCGAGGACGGATGCGTCGGAAAGGAGTTTGCGGAATTCCGGGTTACCGTAGATCAAAGTTGCGAGTTGGCCCAACGCCTTGGAAGCTGTGGTGATTCGTTAGCAAGCTTACTCGGACGGAAGACGCACGCATTAAAACACCACCTTTTGCGGCATCCTTGGCACCGGTGACCTTGGCTCCAACCGAGGAGGAACCAACAGAAGTATCAACATCAACATCGGACAAAGCCGTATGCCAAATCAACTCCTGAATCTCGTTGTTCCCATTCTTCTCCTCCAAAAGCTGAGTAGCAGCCTCAACCCACGCCCTAAAATCCCTAATGAACGTCCTACCCTGCGAGCTCAACCTCCGACTCCTGGGATCAAGGACACCACTCCTCAAGAATGCATGAGCATGTGCGATGATTTGAGGAGTAGTGGGCATGAAACCCTCGGAGAGGGCACGGACTTGCTGGTAGGTCTGGAGTTTACGGCGGATGGCATCCTCCTTCTTGAGACGAGCGGGAGACTTCTTGCCAACAAGGGGTTGGCGTTCAGCCGGGGCGGTAACAGGAGTAGGCATCTTGGATTGTTCAGATGTTCTTGGGGGGGTGTATGCTAAGAGGGAAGGAAGGAAGGGCAGGGGGTCTATTTGTATGGGCAGGGCTTAGCTTCGCTGCAGAGCCAAGATAAGGTGTGCGCAGTTGCTGCGTGACGGCAGGGCATGACGACATGACGTAATGACCGCGTGTGAACTCATATATTGGGACGACCTGACAGCAAGGTGCTCCGGGTGATCAAAAGTCGCGAGAGCAACGACGGGCGCATTCACGAAACAGCTCTTGTCTTGCGCTCCTCTGTCGACCTTGTTCCGTTCTGTTCTGGGAGCCACGGGTTTCTACCCCGGAGCCGTACCGGAATCCCGTAACGCGCTTGTGCCTTGTCCAGCTGGTCAGGGTCCGATCTCACGGAGGGACAGTGTTTTCAGCTTCAGAACGGCTGGCGTATCACATTTGCCGTTGCTCGGTTATTGCGCAGGTTGATGACAGCTACGGTAGCTGGGAGACCGGCAGTTTTCAGCTTGGAGTGAGGGCCCCACACGTGATTATCACTCACATTTGAATCATGATACCCATCGATCCGAAAAGTTTTCTCGTATTTCCTGACCAATCTAATCGCTGATCGTCCCTTCCCCTTCCCCTGTGCGCCGTCGAAGTCTCTCGTTCCCTCCAGACTCGTCGGTGCAGTTCCATCATCACCCGCGCAGGGAAGGTTCCACAAGAGTCCTCCCGAAACTGGCCCCGCCACAGCTCTGTTAAATATCAACCGAGCAGTCCCAACCCAGGAATCCCCATCACACAAAGTCAGTAACTCTTGAGTTCTACTTTACAAAAGGTACAAACAGATCAAGTCAATCGACTACTCGCGAACACACAAGCTTACAACCCACACACACAGACATATATATACATACAAAATGGTTAAGGCTGTTGGAATTGATTTGGGCACGACCTACTCCTGTGTGGCAGTATGGCAGAACGACCGTTGCGAAATTCTCGCCAACGACCAGGGTAACCGTACTACTCCCTCATACGTCGCTTTCACCGACACCGAGCGTTTGATCGGTGATGCCGCCAAGAACCAGGTCGCCATGAACCCCCACAACACCGTCTTCGACGCCAAGCGTTTGATCGGTCGTCGTTTCCAGGACCAGGAGGTTCAGTCCGACATGAAGCACTGGCCCTTCAAGGTCATCGACAAGAACACCAAGCCTATCGTCCAGGTCGAGTACAAGGGCGAGACCAAGGAGTTCACCCCCGAGGAGATTTCCTCCATGATTCTCGTCAAGATGAAGGAGACTGCTGAGGCTGCTCTCGGTGGTACTGTCAAGGACGCTGTCATCACTGTCCCTGCTTACTTCAACGACTCTCAGCGTCAGGCTACCAAGGATGCTGGTTTGATCTCTGGTCTCAACGTCCTCCGTATCATCAACGAGCCCACCGCTGCCGCTATCGCTTACGGTCTCGACAAGAAGGCTGAGGCTGGTGAGAAGAACGTTCTCATCTTCGACTTGGGTGGTGGTACCTTCGATGTTTCTCTCCTTACCATTGAGGAGGGTATCTTCGAGGTTAAGGCTACTGCCGGTGACACCCACTTGGGTGGTGAGGACTTCGACAACCGTCTCGTCAACCACTTCATCCAGGAGTTCAAGCGCAAGTTCAAGAAGGACTTGTCTTCCAACGCTCGTGCTCTCCGTCGTCTCCGCACTGCCTGTGAGCGCGCTAAGCGTACTTTGTCTTCTTCCGCTCAGACTTCCATCGAGATCGACTCCTTGTTCGAGGGTGTCGACTTCTACACCTCCATTACCCGTGCCCGTTTCGAGGAGCTCTGCCAGGACCTCTTCCGTGGTACTCTCGACCCCGTTGAGAAGGTTCTCCGTGACTCCAAGATCGACAAGTCTTCCGTTCACGAGATCGTTCTCGTCGGTGGATCTACCCGTATCCCCCGTGTCCAGAAGCTCGTTTCCGACTACTTCAACGGTAAGGAGCCCAACAAGTCCATCAACCCCGATGAGGCCGTTGCCTACGGTGCTGCCGTTCAGGCTGCTATCTTGACTGGTGACACTTCCGAGAAGACTCAGGACTTGTTGCTCCTCGACGTTGCTCCTTTGTCCATGGGTATCGAGACCGCTGGTGGTGTCATGACTCCTCTCATCAAGCGTAACACCACTGTTCCCACCAAGAAGTCCGAGACCTTCTCTACCTACTCTGACAACCAACCCGGTGTCTTGATTCAGGTCTTCGAGGGTGAGCGTGCTCGCACCAAGGACAACAACCTCCTCGGCAAGTTCGAGCTCTCTGGCATTCCCCCTGCTCCTCGTGGTGTCCCCCAGATCGAGGTCACCTTCGACATTGACGCCAACGGTATCCTTAACGTCTCCGCCCTCGAGAAGGGTACTGGTAAGACCAACAAGATTACCATTACCAACGACAAGGGTCGCTTGTCCAAGGAGGAGATCGAGCGCATGGTCTCTGACGCCGAGAAGTACGCTGATGAGGACGCTAAGGAGACCGCCCGTATCTCCGCCAAGAACGGCCTCGAGTCCTACGCTTTCTCTCTCCGCAACTCCTTGAACGACGAGTCTCTTGCCGGTAAGCTCGAGGCTGACGACAAGACCAAGTTGTCTGGTGCTATCGACGAGACTATCTCCTGGTTGGACGGTAACGCTACCGCCACCACTGAGGAGTACGCCGACAAGCAGAAGGAGCTCGAGGGTATTGCCAACCCCATCATGTCCAAGGTCTACGCCGCTGGCGGTGCTCCTGGCGGCATGCCCGGAGCTCCTGGTGCCGCCCCTGGTGGTTTCCCCGGTGCCGGCGGTGACGAGCCTCAGGTTGAGGAGGTCGACTAAACATCGTTTGGTTGATCAGGAAGAAATTGGAGTTGAAAATGAGTAGAGTTGGCATGTTAGAGGCAGGATTACTATAGTGTGCTTTTTTTTGCTCTTTGGGTTTCTGGTACGTTTTTGATGTTTGTACGATGGTGCGTAGTAGGGTTGGGTTACGGCATATCTTAATCGAATTTTTCTCGCAAGAGCTCAATCGTCCACTTCATCATACATCCCAATCTTCTGATACGATAATCGCCTTCCCCAACTTTGGTGTGCATGTAAATGTTGTAGCGGCTTTCTCACGGACGGATAGAATACCGGTAACCCGAGGCCAGATGAACGTGGAGTGTAAGTCAATTTTCCAAAGAGAACAATGCTCTGGGTCATGTACAACACAGTGATATACGTACAATGGTTGCGTTAGGTGAGAATTGTTACTTCAATAGATTGGCCCAGGGTATATTGCTCGTACGACATCAGAAAAGAAACAACAACACCAGGGGATTCCTCCGTTAGTCCATATCAACTCTCTCCACATCCCCGCCCCTTCTCTTCGACCTCTTGGCAATCCATGCTCCCAAGCACGCCAAAACCGCAGCACCCACCAAAGCCCTCACAACCTCATACACCAAGAACCCCAATACAACCCATACCAGAAACCACCATACTCGCCACCACTTCATCTCGAACCTTCTCTCATGACAAAATCCATCGACGAAGGAGTACATCCCCTTGCGTTCTTCGTAAAGCCAATCGAAGGAGACAGAGGTTAGTGGGGCGTATTTGTCGTAGGCGGGGTTCGAGTGGGTCCAGGCACGGGGGGAGACGCCTTCGGGGATGATGAGGAAAGAGGCGGAGGTCGAGGAGCGGAGAGCTTGGACGACTGAGGCTTGGGTCGGGCGAGATGAGGAGGGAAGGTTGAGGAGGGTGTAGCCGCGTGGGGGAGAAGAAGGGCCGTGGATGTCGTTTGCGGCGAGTAATGCCCATTCATTTTTCTGAGCGAGTCGTAAAGAACGGAGATCGATTGTACCTTCGTGTGCGGATTCGATCCCGTCGACGCCCCATTCGACGATTTGTTTTAGGGTTGGGTGGGTTGGGAGACGTGGTTGATCGTAGTGATCTTCAATATCCGCTGACCATGCTCTGTGGTTCACAATAACTAAGCCACCAAGTTCGTGGGCCCAATTGATGGCTGAGTAAAGGTCCTCGTCTGTTGGAAATGGTGCGGGTGGTTTAATTGTTTCGTTGATCCCGATCAGGTTCATATGGATTCTGCAACATGTGTATTCCACACCGGGGATGACAAGCAACTCATCCGGGTAGTGCTTCTCGGCGTATGTTTTTGCTGCGAGACCACCTTCAATTGTGTTGTGATCCGTGACGAGAAGGATGTCAAAGTCGTATGCCACGGCCCACTCAACAAGCTGCTCCGGGCTCATCTGGCCATCCGATACGGTAGTATGAGCGTGAAGCTCCGCTTTGTGTGTCCACTTGAACTCCGGATCCCACTGCTCAGCATGCAACGACGACAGATTGACTTTAAAATCGAATTTTGCAGAGGAGGCTTTCTCGCTGGGCGGCTTCGGAGAGTAGCGGAACTGAATGAAGAATGCGATCAGGGCAGCTAGTATCGCTGCGAACTGCAATGCTCTCAGGAGTATTGGTAGTAAAGCGTATAACCATCGACGAGAAGAATGAGGCCTGACGAAAGTGCGTTGGTGTGTAGGTGATTCGCGATCCAGGAGAGATCGGAGGAGGGAGGATGGACGGCGGACCGGGATTGGGTCCGAGTATACGTCGTTCACCGAGTTCAGCAGAGTATCGGTCTCAGCCGCTTCTGACATCATATGGAATGATTCTACTGGACGGTTGGGAGTCGCCATGGATCGCGGGTTGCACGGATCAAAGCCTGGACGTACCGCGGCCACCGGAGGTTCTGTCAGCGCCGGCTACCGCCCGGACGCACTGCCGATGCAGGGTTCAACTGGACGCCGTGCAAACGCTTAGCGAGAGGACTGCCTGAGAAAGAGAGCAACCAACGAGAACGGAGAGCTGGGGTGAGGCCGGCTGACGTCCCTCCTGTCTAAGTTACCGTTCAGAGCAGCTTGGCCCGAGCGTACGAATCGCGCTAGTGACAGCTGGTTTCCAGCATACAAAAACCCCTGACCTCCCCCGTCCATCCTCTCCACCATACCATAGCACCGGCTTTGCTATCCTGCCAGGCTTGACGACCTTTGCTTCTTTTCTGCTTTACTATTAACCTTAACGTTACTGTTTGACGCAGCATACAATCATGCCTAGCTTTCTCAACCCTTTCAAGGTCCTCGCCAACGCGCGTTCCACTGTCGCTCGTGGTCACCACCGTCATCATCACCACCACCAGCAGTCTCCCGCTGCTCCCTCGCCTACCCCTACCTCTTCTCCGGGGTCTTCTAATGACAGTATCTCGGGCCTGGCGTTGGATGACCCTAACCCGCATCCTGTCACTGATGCCCCTACCGAGGGTAAGAATAGTGCACTGGCATTTACCCCGGCCGATGCCGCTGCTTTTGGTATTTTGCCCGCTCCTCCTCTTCCATCGCCTCCTGCCATCATCCTGAGTGAGCCGTTGGACCCCAACTCCCTCCCTGGTCGACGCACATTCACTGCTTCCGCCGCTGTCGTCGTCACCCCTTATTCCGTCACCGTCGCTGCCGAAGCTGGTCCCTCTCGTCCCTTCGCTCCGGTCTTGCCGCCTCGTCAACCGAGTGAACGCAGGCTTAAGGCTGACCATGCTCATGATGTCGCCGAACACCTTCACATGGAGCTCGATGGTGTTGCTACCCCGACGAAGGAGTACGATACCCTCGCTTTGGCTCCGGCGTTGTATGCTAAGGGCAGCCTCTCTCCTCGTCACTTCTTGAAGGCTCAGGATTCGTTGGTGGTTGCGCACCACCGTCTTGAAGGAGACACCTCCTCTTCTTCGTCCTCTGATGATGATTCCGAGATTGAGCGTCTTCATGAGGCGGAGCAGACCCTTCACGATATCACGCGTGCTCAGGCTCTCGAGGCTGAACGTGAGGAGATCGAGGCATTGGATGATGAGATCGCTCTCCTCGACCACGATGCTTCTGACGTCGAGGAGCGTGCCGTCGCCCAGAGAGCCGAGGCGTTGGAGTTGGAGAATGCTGCTGAGAACTTGGATGAGGAACTCGAACGTGACATTGAGCGTTTGCCGTCGTCTTCGTCTTCTTCCTCCTCGAGCGAGGAGTCAAGACCGCAGTCTGCACAGACTGCTCCTGAGACGCAACCTCAATCCGCTCCCTCCGAGTCTATTACTTCTGCTCCCACCCCCGTCGCCTCCCCCGCCCCTGCTACTTCCGTTCCCGAGCCCGAAGAAGTCCAAACCAGCACCGAAGAGGAGCTCAAACTGGACCAAACCACCCCTAGTGAGGAAGCCAAGCTGCGCGACGTGATGAACCCCAACATCTGCACCGCCGAGAATGAAGCCGTCCGGGCTCTTCGTCACGTTGACCGCAATGTCGCCTACAAGGAGGATGAGAGACCAAATAATAAGCGAACGAGGACGCATGCTGCGGATAGTGTTGTCAGTGGGCGGAGTGGAGCTAGTGGGAGGGATGTTCAGGAGGGCGGGATGAGTAGACGGGAGAGTTACTAAAAGATCATGATGGATGAGCGTATGTTGGTGTGGGTTTGATATTGTGCTTTGAGGGCTTATGGTGTTTGATTGTGTGCGAGCTGGACTCGTACATTTGTGTTACCTTTGTTGTTTTTTTATGATGATTGTTACGAGGAGCAAGGCTCCGTGGGAGTTTTTCTAATTATGATTGTGATTGACTCGTGACTGCGAGTATAGTCTGAAAGTTGATTGTAATGGTGACACTTCGTTTTCATTCAGCTGCTGTGCTAGTCGCTGAGTCCAAAAAGCCTATCCTACTGGTGCTGGGTATCAAATGGTCCCCATCGGGCCTCTCCTCTCCAGCTCGTACTCCCTCTGCCCGCTACACGTTGGCTTACCAACAGCTGTAACCACCATCCACAACCAACTCGTGTCCAGTCATGAACCTACTCGCATTACTCGCCAAAAACACCACCGGTCCCCTCAAATCCTTCTCCGGCTCCCCCAATCTCTTCATCGGCGTATTCTCAATCCAAATATCCGACGGATTCCCAGGCAACTCCAACACTTTATCAAGCAATGCCGTATGCATATACCCCGGCGCCAAACAATTAACTCTGATCCCGTTCGTTGCCAACTCACAGGCCATGGAACGAGCGAGATGTGTTACGGCTGCTTTGGAGGCGTTGTAAGCTGCCTGTGGTTGGGGCTTATTGACGATCCCGGCGGACATGGAGGAGATGAAGATAATTGAGCCGTCTGTCACGTTGTTTTCCACCATGCTCTTCGCGACAGCTTGCCCACAGAAAAAGAGTCCGTTGACGTTGATGTCAAAGACCTTGCGGAAGTCAGAGGCGGAGTATGTTAGACAGGGGATATTTTGGCAAATTCCGGCTGCGGCGACGAGGACGTGGATGGGCCCCAGGTCGGAGATAATTTGGTTGATTGTGGTGGTGACGGCTTCTTCGCTCGTGACGTCCACCGCATACGGCCTCACGTCCGGAATGGGGGCTCCGGGGTGTTCGGACGCGAAGGTGGATTTGATGATTTCGCAGGACTCGGTGGATTGGTCTTTGTTGATATCGAGACATGCCATTTTTGTCGCTCCGGAGTTCGCGAATGCGTGCAGGAATTCGCGACCGAGGCCGCGAGCTGCACCGGTTACGATACAGGTTCGTCCGGCGAGGGAGAAGTCTTGCATGAGGATGTTGGAGGTCGTGGCTGAGGGTGTGGGGGCGGAGGTAGCGGAGGAGGAGTCGGTCATGGAGGAGTCGGAGATTGACTGGATGATCCGTCTGGCGGCTGCTTCGGACATTGTCTTGGTGCGTATGTCTGTGGGCTTGACAAAGGTTAGGGATCAAGTGTGAGGACGGTGGTGGTGACGGATGGTATGGGTATTTATGGGACTTCCGGACATCGTTTCATGTCCGCGGGGGGTTTGACGTTCACAACCGCATGCGCAACCGCTGCCGTTGAAGCGCAAACACAAGCGACACAAAGCCCTAGAGAGACGGCTGCATGGCTGTCATACAAGGCGACGAGAATTGAGTTATGATTGGCTGCTTAGGCGGGGAAGTTTGGCGTCTGGGGTCTCGGACTTACGCTTCGACCGGAGACTTGCATGGGGAGTTCATCCGAGGTGAAGAAGGCACAGGGAAGGAAGAAAGAATTTCCGAGACTCGAGACGATCCGTGCAATTACTGGACAGCCAATTGAACGCTTTCTTGGGAGCCATGGAGGAAAGCACATTCACCGTCAGTCCGGCCGCCGCGGAATTGTCGGTAGCGGAAGCGCTTGCGAATGCGCGGAAGCGTTTTCGGGATTGAAGCGAATTGACGTCGCGGAAGTTCCAATCGACCCGTGCACGACCAAGACGCCATAGAAAGGTTCGGAGTATTTGGCTGGACCATTTAAAACGGTTACTTGTGTAGATTCTTTGTGACACGACACGTGACCAGATCGCGCCGAGACGCGCCCACCCGCAAACACGCGTCTCGTCCCTACGCAACACCTCTCACCTTCCTCCTCCACCAACCACCACCAACACCCTCGCAACTATGTCCGGCAAATCAATGGGTGGAAAAGGAAAGTCCATGGGCGGCAAAGCTGGACCCATGAAAGATGGCCGCACAGCCATCTCGCATTCGGCTCGTGCGGGGTTGCAGTTTCCTGTTGGTCGTGTTAGGAGGTTCTTGAAGCTGAGGACGCAGAATAATATGAGGGTTGGAGCTTCGGTATGTCTTCTTGGGAAAGGATTGGGTGTGCGACGGGCGCGATGGTGGACGTTTCGTAGCTTGTGATTGGTCGATCAGCGCCGTCGCATCCTATCTCACTCTCTATGTTATGGAGCGCATTGCTAATACCGTGACTAAAGGCCGCCATCTACTCCACTGCCGTCCTCGAATACCTCACTGCAGAAGTCCTCGAACTCGCCGGTAACGCCGCAAAAGATCTCAAAGTCAAACGTATTACCCCCCGTCACCTCCAACTCGCGATCCGTGGTGATGAGGAGCTGGATACCTTGATTCGGGCAACGATCGCGAGCGGAGGTGTGTTGCCGCATATTCACCGGGCGATGCTTGGGAAGGAGGGAGAGAAGAAGAAGCAGTTGTAGAGTGCACGTGTGGGGTGGGGTAAAGTGGGATTATGAGGGAGTGAGGGTGTAGATTTATGGGACGGACTCGGCGTATTGGTTTTTCGTTTGTATTTTTGTTTGTTAATGGATGGGACCCTTCTTTCTTCTTTCATTTCGTACAGCGTTGATTTATCGCGAGCGACACTGTCTCGACACACACACCCGTTCCGCGCGATCCCTGCGCATGGGGCTCTAAACGCGATCTGGGAGAGATCCAAACTGCGCCTGGTACCCTTGCTTGAACGCCTCGTACACCTTCTCCTTCTCCCCCACATCCGACCGCGCCGCAATCCACTCCCGCAAATCCACCCAAAACTCCTTCGACGTCGTCTGAGCCTTCACCTCTGCAGTCCCCGTAGAACCCTGTAACACAGCCTCCACATCCTGCGCACCCTGGACCTTCGTACCACCCACCTCCTTCACCGGCTCCGGCACCTCCTCTTTAGCCTTGGGAACAACACCACCCATTAACATAACCTGTACCGTACCCTCCGTGACTCCCTCTCCCAATACCTCGCCGACAGTCTTACTGACAACGACGGGTTTCGCTTTGACCAAGACGCGGACTTTATCGGCTTCTCCGCCAAGCCCGATCTCGGCGGCGACTCGGTCACGGATGTTGAGCCATGTCGTACGTGCATCAACATCATTCAGGACCACATTCACGGCAGGACCGCGGAGGGATTTCGCGGTCAGTGTGACGGTTTGGGAGGTGGGGTTGGTAGGAGCGGAGCGCTTTCGCTTGGAGGTTGGCATGGGTGGGAGGAGGGCATTGGTGATGGGGCGGGAGGTGTTGTGGGATGGGGTTGATTTGAGGGCCTTTGTGGTGAGGGAGGAGAGGAAGGATTTTGCGAAGGTGAGTTCATCGATTTGGGTTGACATGTTTGGCGTTTGCTATCGTAGTTGTACGCGAGGGAGCTTTGATCTGGTGGTGACGTTTGGTTTCGGCCGACGGTGCACATGTGGCCTGCATCTGCTGGTGCACGCGCAATTGGGGGTCGCTTCATTCATTGCCGTACAAAAATGAAGTCCTGAGTTTTATCTCTACTTCTTAATCCATCTACCGACCAACAATCACGATCGAAGAGCATATTTTCATACTTCAGTATGCTTCACTACCCGAGAATGTGCGATGGCAAGCGTGGGAATTCTGGGACGACGTAGCTATCACTGATTTCGGCTCTTCCTTGAGATTTGCCTAGTCAAACAGCTGTGTCCGCAAGTCGTCGTGCCTGTTTTCCCGAGCCCGCGGGCCGGTGCCGGTCTTAATGATTGAGTGCATCCCACGACACCCCAACAATCGTTGCTCTGCTCTCACACTCACGAGGGCTGCTTTGCAACAAAAATCCTATTCTGAAACACTCGTGTACAGTTTCTTGGTGAGTTGACCTCGTTTCTCTTCGCTGTATATAAGGCTCATAAGCTTACATTGCGCATGCTAAGCTTGCAACGTTAACGTTAGCAGACATGTCGTCCAGATACAACTGGTCCGCAGAAAACGAACGTCGTCTCCTCCTCCTTTGTCTTAAGCATTCCAAGTCTACCGATATATCCGCTGTTGCCGAGGAACTTGGAGATGGGCTTACTAGGAATGCCGTTTACCTAAAGCTGTCCAAAATGAAGAAAGCCACGGGGATGTCGGAGGAGAAGAATACCATCAATGGATCCCCAAACCATACTACAAGGAAGAGGTCGAAGGTTGTCAGCCCTGAGGAGAACGATGAGGAAGGAGAGAAGAAGCCTGTTCCGAAGAAGACGTCAAGGAAGGTCAAGCACGAAGCGGATAAGGAGGAGGAGGAGTGACCATCGATTTGCTTTTGGGAAAGGCATCACGCTTATTTGTTGTACGGCCAGTCGTCACGATCGCAACCGTTATATAACATATTCAGTAATCAATAATAAGGTATCCTTAAGGTATAACTCGTAGCAAACTCCACCCATGTGAATGCCCCCAACAACTTTTAGCCAAAACCCGACAACTGCATGTCGTCAGCAGTAAACATATTCCCGCATCACGGCACCCCTACGGATTCAATCTAGGATCCCTCGCTTTCTCATACGATTTCACCTCCACAGCACCCCCCATAATCGTCCTCGGCCTCATCTCCTCCACACTCGGCAACACCCTCCCCTGCTCCTCAATCTCACAACACAGTTTGTGCGCACTCGCCATGACACTACTCGCACCCTGCAACGATAGCTTCCCCGCCAACAACAACGGCCCCATCGCCATACCGACCACTTGCACAAGTGGGTAGGTGGTCGGCAAATTGACCCAGGTCATGAACTCCCCGATTCCTTTGTAGTCGACTGGATGGGACATTGCGGGAAAAGGGAGCGCGTTGAAGGCTTCGCGGATGACGGAGGCGAAGGGGACTTTGCCTTGAGCGAATAACTCGACTTGGGCGCCCACGAGGGGTAGGATGACGGCACATTGGTCTGCGATGATGTTGATCCTGGTAAAGACGCTCCACAGGTCGACCTCACGACCTTCACGGGGCTTTTGACGGTGTGCTTCTTCGTCTGTGTGGGATGTGGAGACTTCGGGGAGTGGGTCAGACTGATTCAGGATGGCTGTGCCACCAGCTCCTCCTTCTGCCATCGCTGCGGCTCGCTCGCCCTGGTTCGGGATATCCTTCATGCGTCCGTATTGAAGTCTGAGTTTCCTCCCCCAGAAATCTCCAAGATCATGCATGCTCAATGCACGCGTCACAGCCTCCGTCGTCTCGAAATACACAAATGCATAAATCGTGTATCCCCTGCTCTGCTTGTTTTTTGGTATGTTGACGTGCTGAATGGCGCCCGCCTTGCCAAAATGTTCTCTCAAATCTGTCTCTTTGGTTTCGAAGGGGAGGTTGCCGACGAACAACACCCTCGTGGAGGTTTGGGTTGACTCACCACCGGTATTATGTGCTGGTGCTGGAAGCCGATTAGCCAAAACAGTGTTTGCTGCTGGAGAAACAACAGGGGTCTTGATTCCAGGCGGAGACGTAGCACGCGGTGCTACTACCGGTTTGACCGAATAATTGCTTCGATCGCCCTCCCGCGGCGGACGAATTGAATTCCTTGTCACCGTTGGCCCAGTGTTCGGCTGCATGAACCTTTCCGAGTGGTAATCCTCCCGAAGGTTGCGTTCACGACTGAGATGCATGCCCGGGCCATCGCCGTAGCTGTATTGGGGACTCATAGAACGCTCCTCCTTTTCAATCTTCAGAGCGCGAACACATTCTTCACGGTGACGACAAGACCCGTAGTTCCTGTAATGTTCTACACGTAGAAATGTTAGCACAAGTACCCACGAAACACGTTACAGTAGTCCACACTGAACATACCACAAGCGTATCCAGGAAACTCCAATGGGTGTCGATGAAGTGCGACTGGAGAGAGTGCATGGTCGTTTTCAGTGCGGAGTGCAGGAGGAATGCGCGGTGCATTTGCGACAGAGGGGGAAATACCGCGTTTTAGTGGGATGGAAGAAGGCGGTGCGGTTGTATCGAGACGAAGGCCTTGAGCAGGCCGTTGCACTGCTGGTTGCTGTTCAACACCCTGCTGTCCCACACCCACATCCCTCACTTCCCGTGCCGGCATCCTCGGTACCCGATCCATCCCACCAAGCTCCTCCTTCAACATCTTGTGCAAGTAATTCCGCTCCTCGAGTTGACGAAATCGTAACGCTTCATACTCCTCCACCATCGATGAACGGAGACTCACTGCGACAGCACCGAGGCGAAGGGTAAGTTCGTTGAGGGAGAGTTTGTCGTCGGAAGGTGTGTTGGTGGGGATGAGGGTGCAGATGGCGGCCTTGATGCTGCTTAGATCCATTGAAGAATTCGTCGAGATTGTAGTGTTGAGCAAGGCCTTCGTCGATGGTAATAAACACATACTCTCCGCCGGCCTCCCACTCGAGACTGCGTACTCCACCGTGTCTGGATCCCACTGCTCCGGCAACTTCGCATAAAACTCCTCCAGCTCCTTCGTATGCTTAGCGAACAACTTATTTCTCTCCAATTCTTCGCGCTGCGGGAGGCAGATCAGGTGCTTATGAGCTTTGTGCTGCACGGTCTTGTGCTTGGGAGGGAGGTCATCGTAGTCCGGAAAATCGGCGAGAGCTTCGAAGAAGCCGGGCGGAGGGCACAAATACTTCCTACCGTCGGGATCTATGTCCATGGCATCCATTGCGGATTGTGCACATCCGCTGATACGAGTTGCTTGAATGAATACTGGGGAATCGAATATTACGCACGTTACGGTAGGGCCGAGGCAGGCACTGCAGCAAACCGCAGCCACAGCTGTCCAGCAAAGTGAGGGTTTTCAGGGATGAATGCGTCTTTATAATTCATGAAGTTGTCTTCTGCCTGGCTCAAGAAGCGTTTTCCGCAGTTCTCTGATCTTCGACGGCCGGGCATCCTTCGCCGCGCTCTGGGTGCAGATGGCTGCTTCGGTGCGAGTCCAAGGCCCCGGCGCGCCCTGGAAGTCGCAGCTGGCAAGTACGAACCAGCCAAAACACAACCTCAACACCCCCCCAGCCTCTATAGCCCGTCCAGTGCATTCAACCCGAACGAGCTACCAATACGGAGGACTCACAGCAATGGAAGCGCCATCTGCTGTGCCCGATACCCTCATGGTGACGGTGCAGCCCGAGTCTCCCATTGTCAACAGCACCACCATCGAAGGAGTGACTCAACCTAATCAACCTGCATCCACGACCGAGAATGCCGAAAACCCTACCGAAACGAAGAAAGAGGAGGTGAAGGAGGAACCTATCTTGCCCGATCACTATTACGGCGGCGGGAAAGTTCCTGTGTTTAAGCCGGTACGTACTTCGTGATGTTCCCGCCGATCGCGGGAGTCAGCCACAGCTAACCTTCTATCTGCAGACCATGGATCAGTTTCGTTCCTTCCCCGATTTTGTCCGACGAATTAACCACTATGGAATGGAAACTGGTATCGTGAAGGTTATCCCGCCTGCGGAATGGACCGCTGCTCTTCCCGATCTCTCACAAAAGGTCAAGTCGATCCGGGTTCGGTCACCCATTGAGCAGAATATTGTTGGGTCGGCTGGGTGGTTCAGACAGACGAATTTGGAGAAGAGGAATAGCTATTCACTTGTGCAATGGAAGAAACTTTGTGAGGGTTCGGAACACCAGCCCCCGGCGAAGAGGGGTGAGAAAAGAGCGGAAGGCGCACGCAGGAAGAGTACCAGGGGTGTTCCCAGGGAGGAAAGCGAAGAAAAGGAAGAAGATGCGACTGCTTCGACGACTCCGACGAGATCATCTACTGCTGCTGCGGAGGAACTCACGCCGCCCATGACTGCTGGACAGTCCGAGCGTGCGGTTTCTTCTCAGGCGGAGACCAAAGCTACGTCTCGCCCACTTACGCCGCCGACGCCTACTACACACGGGTCTTTCGAGGAGGAAGAGGGACCTAAGATCACGAAGGGTCCTGGTGTCAATGCTGCGCGACGTGCGCGATCGGCTGCACATACAGACAAGGCGTTCGCTGACTTTGACTACCGTCTTTCGAAGGAGGAGTTGGCGTCTTTCACACCCGAACGTTGCGAGGAACTTGAGCGTATCTATTGGAAAACACTTACGTACAATGACCCGCTCTACGGTGCTGATCTTCCGGGATCATTGTTCGAGGATTCGACGGAGGCGTGGAACGTCGCTAAGCTTGACAACATCTTGAACAGGATTGGAAGGGTGCTGCCTGGTGTCAATTCGGCATACCTCTATCTGGGAATGTGGAAGGCTTCGTTTGCGTGGCATGTCGAGGATATGGATCTTTACTCAATCAACTACATCCACTTCGGTGCACCAAAGCAATGGTACTCCATCTCTCAACATGACCTTCCGCGCTTCGAACAAGTCATGAAACAGCACTTCCCCCAAGACTACAAAGAATGTCCCGAATTCCTCCGTCACAAAACCTTCAACGTCTCACCCACCGTCCTCGCCCAAAACGGCATCAAAGTCAACAAACTCGTCCACAACGAAGGCGAATTCGTTATCACTTTCCCGTTCGGGTATCACGCGGGGTATAACCTTGGATACAACTGTGCCGAGTCTGTGAATTTTGCGACGGAGGAGTGGTTGGAGTATGGGAGGCTTGCGAAGCCCTGTCAGTGTATTCCGGATGCGGTTATGATTGATGTTGATGAAATTGTAGAGAGTTTGAAGCATGGTTATGATATTCGGGCGCCGGTTCCGGGGGAGGGGGAGGGGAGGATGACGAAGAGGAAGAGGAAGGCGGAGGGTGGGGAGGGTGGCGAAGGGGAGGGGAAGAAGAAGCTGAAGATTAAGTTTAACGTGGAGAAGGAGGAACAATGTGAGTTGTGTCCTGCTATTGTTGATTGGTATGTGGGTGATATGCTGCCTGTCGGGGAGTCGAACAAGATGGTGCATCGTCTTTGTGCTACATATATCCCGGAGACGTACTTCACCACCGGGGAGGATGGTATCGAGAGGGTCATGGGCGTTGAGAATATCTCGAAGGATAGGTGGAAGTTGAAGTGTGGACATTGCCGGAGACAGAAAGGTGCGTGTTTCCAATGCGCAAACCCGAAGTGCGTGAGGGCGTATCATGCTACATGCGCTTCCCAGGCTGGCTGTCTAGTTGAGAGCTACGAGAAGGACGGCGAGATGATCATCAACGTCGAATGCAAATACCACCGGCCGAAACGCGTGGCTCGCGAATACTTGGAGAACAACACCGATATCTACGACTACGCCCGCAGCCTCCTCCTCGGCGATGTCGTCCAAATCCAACTGCGCAAAGGCGATATCTTTGCCGGTCAAGTCGTCGAGAACAGGCATACGGAACACTCTCTCGTTATTGATTTCGGGGGTATTTCGGAGCCGTTTGAGATCGAGTGGAAGTGGGTGTTGGCGCCGCCGAGGAGGGTTAATGGGGTTATTCTGCAGAGTCCGTTGCCGACTCCGACGTTCAGTCCGAGAAAGGTGAAGAGTGTTCAGGTGCAGCCCGCGGCGTATTCACATGCTGTTCCGCCGATGCAGTTGCCGTATCCGGGGATGGGATACATGCCAATGATGGCACCACCGCTGCCGGGTACTGCGCCTATGGGGGGTCCGACGCCGCCTGTGGGGATGTATGGTGCGCTGCCGCCGATGTATTATCATATGCCGCCTGGGCAGAACCCGTATATGATGTACCATCAGCAGCCAGTTCCTGGGGCGTATGGGATGCCTGGTGCACCTGCCCCGGTACAAACTGCTCCGGTTACAGCTCCTGTTCAGGGTCAGCAGTGAAGGTACGAGAGAAATCATTCTTTGGAATAGGGACGGAAAAAACATGAAAGGAAGGAAAGGGATATGTTTTGTTATGGTATGATTAGGGAGTTTCTTTCGTTTAATGAGGAGCATCAGGTCAAGGTTACATTACTACTCAGCTATATATAGCAACCTCCTAGATAACGAGTTTGGAGATTCACGTTGGACATGACACAAAGTACTCTGGTATGGTGATGTGCGAACGTTGCTTGACATTGTTACAACCCGGAAAGCCATGTCCAACCGTATTGTTGTTGTGCTTCGGAGTGTATGCTGCTGGAGCGTATTGTTTTGATGTATGCGAGACGCAGGTGTGTGCCGGGAGCAACGAAGCTATGTAGTGCCTTAATCCCAGGCCTCCCCCGGCAACGAAGGAGACCCTTATGGTTTTTTGAGTGAGGAGTGTCATCGTATCCCTCTTTTTTGATTCGCAAATATTCAAAATTAAATGATGAGTGCTTTAGCGGGGTATCTCAGTGTTCAAGAACGCCTTCATCCGTACTTTTCGTCCCGTCGCGTTTTCTAGTGAAGAAGGGCTATCGATTTCCGGCCTCTTCGCATGGCAGCTGCCCATTTGGGCGTGTCCAACACTCCCTGTTCATCTCCAGGTTGGAACAATACCGGCTTTCCAACATTCAACTTCGTCACTGATGTCCATCGTGAAGGAACCTCACTCTCATTCACCCTTATCTCCCCACCCCCCTCACCAGCATTAAACCCCTCCGGCACCCCTACTTCAACCCCCACATCCCCCCCGAAGAAATCCGTAATCCGCACTTTATCAACATTCCTCGCAAACCCCTCCGTCCTAACACCCGCCGTACTATGTATCCTCTCCCACGTATAGCCCTCAAACAATTCCCCCAACGTCTCGCGGCCTCCTCTCTCAACCTTCTCCAAAAACTCGAGGTTATAATAAGTGTAGCGATCGATTACGGCGACACCAATGTCGGCGTCGGCGTGGTGGGAATAGGAGGATTCACCGATTGCGGAGGAGCCGGTTGCGAGGATGTTGGGGGAGTAGAAGTGGGTGTAGAGAGTGTTTGCTTGACAGGTGTCGGTCATGAAGAGGAGTTCGTGGTATCTGTCGACTCCATTAGTCGTTGCTCACCATCAAGAGAAAGAATGAAAGGGGGGTATGGAGTACACACCTCTTCTTCTCCCACATCTGTGCAAACGCATCCGCCAAATCCCAAGCACTGATCTCCTCACTATCCTGAAACTTCAAAAACTCATCACCCCCATGTCCCGTCATATACACCAACACATTACTCCTCTCATCACTCCCCAACCTCTTACTCTTTGGGACACCTTCTTCATGCCTCCCCGTCAAGAGCCTGATAAAGTTTTCGACGGTTACTTCGTAGCCACGGTAGTCAACTTCGATGGATGGGCCGTAGAGGTCGAGGGAGCGGGATGCGGAGTTGAAGATAGAGGCGGGAAGGACGTTGCGGGGGTTGCAGGCAATGTCGTCGGCGAGCATGAGGATAATTTGGGAGTCGGGGATGCCGAGGCGTTTGACGGTGCGGTACATTCCTAAGGTGTTTGCCATGTGCTATCCCGCAGTTCAATTAGCGATGTGTAAAGATATGGAGACTGGACCACCAGATACCCTGTAGTTGAACCAGAATCTGGAGGTGCTGACGAGTACGGCCCAATTATTTGTATGACCTCCCTTTGAGAGGAACTCCTCCGCACGACCCTCATCCTGACCATCCGCCAGACACACACTCAGAACACACAAAGAGACCCACACACATCGTATCCAGTATCGCAACCCGTACATCGTCGAGGATACGGTACGCGGGGAGGCGAAGCGAAAGTTTCCGGACTTCCTTTACGTCTCCACTTGGCTCATACGATATTTACGTGCACGGTCGTACGAACATACCGTATACGTACGGTGGCGCAGTATCCGACATTGTGGCGAGTGCTGCAGCTCATCGAGGCAGCGTACACTTCATCCAAACGCGAAGAAACGGTAAATCCAATTCAAAATGGTATGCTGATTCGTGTTGCTCTTGTCAAAGCAACCTTACTCACGTCTATTTTCAGGCTAATATCTCTACCGTCGCGGAGTCCAAGGACATCACCAAGCTCGAGCGAACTGGTAAGAACTTCCATGATCCCTCGGTCGCGTTCAACTGCTGACACTCCATTCTTTCGCAGGCGCTCACTCCCATATCCGCGGCCTCGGACTCGACGATGCTTTGGAGCCTCGGGATACGGCTCAGGGTATGGTCGGCCAACAAAAGGCACGAAAAGCCGCCGGGATCATCCTCCGCATGATCCAAGAAGGCAAGATCGCTGGCCGCGCAATCCTCATGGCTGGTCCTCCCGGAACTGGTAAAACCGCCATCGCGATGGGTATTTCTCAGTCGTTGGGCGAGAACGTCCCTTTCACCATGCTCGCTGCGTCCGAGATCTTCTCGTTGGAGATGTCGAAGACTGAGGCCCTGACGCAGGCGTTCAGGAAGAGTATTGGTGTCCGTATCAAGGAGGAGAGTGAGATTATTGAGGGAGAGGTTGTTGAGATTCAGATTGATAGATCGGTTACTGGTGGTACGAAACAAGGAAAGTTGACGATTAAGACGACGGATATGGAGACGATCTACGACCTCGGAAACAAGATGATCGATGCGTTGAACAAGGAGAAAATCTTGGCTGGAGATGTCATTTCTATTGACAAGGGTTCCGGAAAGATCTCCAAGCTCGGCCGTTCCTTCACGAGAGCAAGAGACTACGACGCCATGGGTGCCGACACCAAATTCGTCCAGTGCCCTGACGGTGAACTCCAGAAGCGCCGCGAAGTCGTCCACACCGTCTCCCTCCACGAAATCGACGTCATCAACTCCAGAACACAAGGCTTCCTCGCCCTCTTCTCCGGCGACACCGGCGAGATCAAACCGGAAGTCCGAGATCAAATCAACACCAAAGTCTCCGAATGGCGCGAAGAAGGTAAAGCAGAGATTTGTCCTGGAGTGTTGTTCATCGACGAGGTACACATGCTCGACATCGAGTGTTTCTCGTTCTTGAACAGAGCACTGGAGGATGAGATGGCGCCTATTGTCATCATGGCCTCAAACCGTGGTATTTCCACAATCCGCGGAACAAACTACAAATCCCCCCATGGCCTCCCCATCGACCTCCTCGACCGCGTCCTCATCATCTCAACAACCCCCTACACTGGCCCCGAAATCAACCAAATCCTCTCCATCCGCGCTGCCGAAGAAGACGTCTCCCTAACCCCTGACGCACTCGCCATCCTCACCAAAATCGGAGAAGAAACGAGTTTGCGGTATGCGATTCACCTGATTTCTACTAGCTCGTTGGCGGCTGCACGACGAAAGAGTACGGTCATTGATGTGGTTGATGTGCAGAAGAGTTATGCGTTGTTCATTGATCAGGGGAGGAGTGTGCAGTTTTTGGAGGAGCATGAGAAGGAGTTTATGTTTAATGATGTCAGTGCGGCGGGACAGACGGGGGCTACGCCTATGCAGATGTAAGGAAAATGTGGTTGCAGAATCGATATATTCCCGTGCGTTTGCACACCTTGGTTAGGTCATTAATAGAATTACCATAATGCCAAGCTCTCGATCTTTGCTGAAATCTCGTCTTCCTCCTCGTCTTGTTCTACTGGCGAGGCTTTGCCATCTGCCTCAAGCTCCATTGACGCTGGCAGCTCCTTCTGGATCTTCCAGTCCCATTGCAGACATATGTCGTTGAATACGTTGTTCCTGTCGAAATTCGTGGGCAGCCGCCTGATCTCCATCCCCTCTTCTGTTACTCTCTGGATACTCGGGTATGTCAAAGCCATTTCCTCCTTCGTCTTCGCTTCCGGATACATCTTGAGATTGTTCCCCAGTAATACCACGTTCCCCGCCACAGAAGGACTCGCCGACTCCACCATCCCCTTGCACAAGTTCTCATACATCCCCGTCGGACAGTGCGGCATAAACCACACCGTCCTCACCCCGACATCAAACTCGAACCCCTCCCCGCCCCCGATGGGGGGCGTACTAACCTTAAAATACCCCAACAGCGCCTTATCCTGCGCATTAAACACGGGATCGTATGCACGGATCGGGATCATCCCTTCCACGCCAGACGCGTACGCGTTGAGGATGTCGTAGAGTTCGAGGGCAAGCGCGAGTTGGTAGGTTGCTGTTGGGGAGGTTGTTGGGGAGCCGAGGCCGAGGATGATGAAACGTTGGATGTTGCGGGGGAGGGTTGAGGTGGGTGGTGGGAATTCGGGGTCCGAGTCAGAGATTAAGGGACGTTTGAGGTGGAGGAGGTTCATGATCATTGATCGAAACTCTTTCCAGAAATCTGATGATCTTAACTCCTCCGCTTTCTGCTCAAATCGCTTCACGTGCTCCTCGAGTGGCAGGTTATCCGTCGGTGCTGGACGGTACTCGTTCGCATTGTCGGATTCCAGCTGCCTACGCGGAGGCTTCGGGTAGACTTTTCTGCCTTTCTTGTTCCTGTAGGGCTTCTTGTGGGTTACGTAGGTGAAGTCGTCGTTTTCGGCAGACATTTTTGGTGGTGTACGGTAACGAAGATCGGGGTTCGAATTGGATGCAAGGGCTAAACCTTATTTTGGTGAGTGCGTGAGCCCTCTAACGTAAGAAATTGTCATGGACTGCATTTATTTTCGGTTTCAATCAAAACGTTACGTCCCTATTTGACCTCCAGTCAGTCTCCCCAACCTTCCTCGCCTCGATACCTTCGCCAAAATATCCCTGAGCGCTCCAGGCTGCCATATCCAAAGCCTTATACGGTCCATATACCTCGTCCTTTCCGGGCCATCTGTATTCGTACAACGCGTTATCATCGTCTTCGACTTCCTCCTCCTTTTTTTCTACCCAAGCATCCCCCGTCTCCCTTTGGTACCTCCGAATGAGCGCCTCACGTGTCTCATCGTAAACGTCAGATTCCCCAGTCTGGAGGAACTTGTCTGCGTACCCAGTAATGGCAGCAATCTGCTCCTTCCTCTTCTTCTCCGCTTCATCGTCATCCCCTGGTACTTCCGTGACCTGCTTCTTCTTCTGCCACGCCTTAACCTTCTTCTTCGGTGCCGCCGCATTCAGCCGTTGCAAAGCCTCCAACACCGTTTCCCCAGCCTGCAAACCCTTAATCAACCCTTCCAACGCCTCCGCAGTCGTAACAGCATCATCCCTCCTCGTCCTCTCCCTCTCTTCCCGTTCAGCCTTCGCCTGCGCCTCCCTCGCCCGCTGAATATCCTTCCTACTCACACCCTCGAGCCAGGCATCGTGCTTCGCGCCCTCATCCGGCGCATTTCTGATGAAGTTTCCTGCTTCGTCGAATTTGCCTTCTTCGAGGTCGTCTTTCATGTTGAAAGCCTCCACCTTTGGGGCGCCCTTTTTCCGTCCTCCAGCGCCGATTTCGGGATCAACCTCACCCTCGTCATCCTCCTCTGCTTCAACCCCCGAACCACCTCCGTGGTCTTCGTCGATGATGTCGTCGTACGTCCGTCTCGAATCCATTTCCTGCCCCTCGATCTCGTTAATATCAAGAAACCGTGGTTCTTGGCCTGCTTTGCGTGTATCGGTGTTGAGTGAGGCATTGATTGTGGGTTCATCCGCGAACATATCCACTTCGCCATTCGCATCTTGTGCTGCTCGTCGTGCTGCATCTGGCTGTGTACAGTCAAGTCCATGTCCTTCAGTGGAGGAGTCACTGTCTGTACATGCCTCGTCAGTTTCCCCATAACAAGTGATGATTCGTTCGGGACAATGTACCATATCCGTCCAGATTCACTGCGTTTCTCTTCGTCCCTCTCTGTCCACCATCGAGGTCATACTCGAGGAGATCACCGGCGCCGGTGGGGGTGTCTGGTGCGAGGTTCGCCGGGCGTGCTGGATCGAAGCGTGGGCGTTTTGCTGATGGATCTGCGGCCCCCGAACGAATGAAGGGCTCTGCGGGACGCTTTGGTCGGCTTGGATGGTGCGACATTGCGACTTACTATAAACTCTGTTTACGGTTGCGTGAATTCGAAGTGACGTCGGGTTCGGTGCCTCTCACGTAGAACTGCGGTTGAAGACCGCTGTAGACGGCCAGAGAGGAATGTATGGAGTAATAGAATTAACTGGAAGGATGAAAGCTTAGGCTCCGTTTTATATAGCTCCAAGGTCGTTCAATAAGGTGTGGCTGCCTATTAAGGCGGTTGCCATATGGTCGATCGAGCCAGCGTGTCCAAAACAATTCAAACCTCCATTGCGACTGCTACCTGCGAACTCCATATAGAAATGCCAAGATGAGCTCAAGCACAAGGTCTGTAGCTTTAGCCCATCGTCAAACTCATTGACTGACAACAAGCGACGGACAGATACAACCCAACCCTCTCGCACCGCGAAGCTCGCTCCCAACTCTTCACCCCTTCCGCAAACAACCCCTACCTCTCCTCCCGCACACCCTCTCCCGGAGCCTCAACATCTGGCTCTGGCCCCTCCTTCCGCTCAGCAACACCAAATCGAAAAGGACAGTACAGTACGAGTGTGTTGGAAAGTCTAGAATCACAGAACGATGATAAGATCGAGGGGTTGAGTGCGAAGGTGCGAATGTTGAAGGATATCACTGTTGCGATTGGGGAGGAGGTTAGGGAGTCTTCGAGTTTGATTGAGAATATGGTCAGACCCTGTAACGGAAGTTCGGTAATACGAATTGCTAACACGGGAACTGACAGAACGACAAATTCGCTTCGACGAAGGATTATTTGGGTGGGACGATGAAGAGGATGACGACGATGGCACGGAGACAAGGCGTGGGATGGTTTCACTATATGATGTTCATATTCTTTTGCTTCTTCTTGTTCTGGCTGGTACGTTGGTTCTAATGATTGGTGTTGCTGGAGAGGGGGTTGAAGGTGGGTATTTATGGACATGGCATGGGAGGTCAGCTATGTCGTGAAGGTATTGATATCCGGGACTACAAGCGAACGCTCTGTTCATTTTGAGGAAGGCGGAACGCCCATTAATCAACTGCAAGTGTACGGATCATGTTCTTCGCACATTCATCAATGCAAACAAGATTCCACAATTGATATTCTAACCTAACAAAACGCCCGCAAACATGTAAGAAATTCGACAATCTTCTCTCATCCTCCGCTTTGCTTTCAAATCGCCTAATTGTAGGCATCCTCCAACTGCATCTTCACCGTGATGTTCATACTCAACAACTCCTGGAACAACAACTTCGCCGCGTACGGAATCTGAATTTCCGTAACATTTTTGCTAGTCTGGCATCCACCACACCACTTGTTGTACCCCATCAACCCACATCCCTCACAAACATCAACCTTGAACACATCCGAAGACAACATGAGACGCTCCAACAACAACTGCGAAGCACCATACGCGATCAAACAATCACGCTCCATCTCACCAAGACGAAGACCACCATCACGGGAACGACCTTCAGTGGGCTGACGAGTAAGAACGGCACGAGGACCACGCGCACGGGCGTGCATCTTATCCTGGACCATGTGCTTCAACTTCTGGTAGTAGATGGGTCCGAAGTAGATGTATGCCTGGAGACATTCTCCAGTGATACCCGACGTCAACATGTCCTTTCCTGAATACGAGAAGCCGTTCTGGATGAGGATACGTGACATATCCTCGACCTTCGATCCACCGAACGCGGTACCATACTCCAAACTTCCGTTCACGACACCAGCTTTCCCGGAAAGCAACTCGATCATCTTTCCGACCGTCATTCGAGACGGGAAACCGTGAGGGTTCATGATGATATCCGGAGTAATACCTTGGTCGTTGAACGGCATATCCTCTTGTGCGACCAAGAGGCCACAGACACCCTTCTGTCCGTGTCGTGACGAGAACTTATCACCCAACTCCGGTCGTCTGGTCTGTCGGATCAAACACTTTACCAACGTCTCATCCTTCTCCGTCGTCGAAAGCATGACTTTGTCGATATACCCATGTTCTGGTGCCTTGAAGTTCATCGGTGCCGCCTTGTACCCAACTTCCTGCGTCGCACCCCCAGTCAGGGTGTTGTCGCCAGCATTCGTCGGGATATGCTTGTTGATATACGTCTGACCAGCGTAAATCCTCTCTCCGGCCGCAGCGAGACCATCGCTTTCCAAAACCTGTGCCTTCCACAATACCTTTCCACTCTCATCCTTCGGCGGATCACCAACACGGTCGAAAGTTCCGTTGGGGTACTTCTTCAACTGCGTCGCGTATTTCTTGAAAACCTGACACCTTCCAAACCCACGGTCACAAGAAGCATTGTTCAAGATAAGCGCATCCTCGATATCGTAGCCAGAGAAGGACATGACTGCAACGGTAGCGTTTTGTCCAGCTGGGAGTTTGTCGTACCCGATCAACTCAATCGTCTTGGTCTTAACCATTGGTTGTTGTGGGTAGACCATCAGGTACAACAACGTATCAATACGCAACAACTGGTTACTCGCAATCGCTCCGATAGCTTGTTTACCCATGGCACATTGATACGTGTTTCGTGGTGACTGGTTATGGTGGGGGTAGGGAATCAACCCCGCAACAGCTCCCAACACCGTGAACGGCTCGATTTCGAGATGCGTGTGGTTAGATTTCAAGTCCATATCCAGCGAGATGAATGAGTCGTTTTCTTCGTTACAGTCGAGATACTCAACCAACCCCAACTCCAAGAAGGTCTCAAACGTCATCGTACCCGCCTTCAACTTTCTCAAATGTGACGGCAGAACCTTTGAACGGCCCTTCTCCACGATGATAAGTGGTCGACAAATTCGGCCACCGTCGGAGGCGATGTAGACGGAGTTGTGGTGGTGGTTGATATACACACTCACAAACTCCGAAACGAGTCTCTTCCTCCTCAATGCCCGAAGGTCATGCACGAACTTTGCCGGGAAACGCGTAACGCCAAGGATCTCACCGTTCAAGTAGATCAAGTACGCACCCTCGGCATAAATCTCGTTTCCAGAAAGAATGTTAATGTCCTCCGCACCGAGTGTGAACGCCAACCTCTTGATGGGTCCTTCGTCATCATCAGTCGTGATATGTGTCATAAGCGCCAAGTTCTTGACGAGACCACATGCTTCACCTTCAGGTGTATCAGAGGGACAGAGAAGTCCGAACTGTGATGGTTGCAGCGCACGAGGTCCGGAGACTTTTCGAGTTTTTTCGAATTGGGAGGAGATACGGGTCATCATTCCCAATGCCGAGATGAACGAAAGACGAGAAAGGACGTGTGTGACACCTGCCCTCTCCATCTTGAAACGCTTCAATGACCAGTTACCCGTTGAGATGGCACGTGCCATACCCTCCGAGATCATATTCACACCGGTCATCTTCAGCGACTGCAACGCATCAAACTCCTGCGTCCGGTTCTTCTTCGACAATGTTTTGTCAAACACGGTCTTCAAATCCGAGTTAAACTTCTTGAACAAGTCCTCAAACAACAACGCCAACAATTGTCCCGCCAACTCCAACCTCTTGTTTCCAACGTAATCTCTATCATCCACAAGATCGGGGTTCGACAGTGCCATAAGGACTCGACGGGTCATAGTGGCGATGTAGATTGCTTTCGGGCGGAAATCGAGGTTTTGAACTTCGATGTGGGCGACAACGAGTTCGGCGAGGGCTTGGAGTGCTTCTTCGCTTTTGGGGCGGGGTGTGGATCCGGGCGGTGGTCTCTTGGATTTTGTGCGTAGACCGATATACTCCAACGCCTGTTCCCTTGTTCTGATTCCAAGCTTCGAGGCTTCTTCGATATTGGGGGCGAAGAGGTCTTGGTAGGCTGAGTCCGGCCCGGCGACGAGGTTGTAGATCTCGATATCGGATTGGAGACCCATTGCTTTTAGGGCGATTGCGATTGGGATATCTTCGGTGAAGAAGTTGTGTTTGAGGTAGATGAGGGAGTTTTTTGTTAGCACGTAGGTTTTGGATTTTCGTTCGTGGGAAGACGATGTAACGGATGCTTGTACCAATCCTTTCTTTGGTTCAGCTTCAACAATGATACGGTTCTTGGATAGTTGTTCTTGAACGAGGATCACCTTCTCGGTTCCTTTGACGATGAAGTAACCACCGGGGTCGAGGGGACATTCCATCATGGACGCCATTTCGCGTTCGGATTTGTTCCAGAGGTGACACTTGTTTGAGCGGAGCATGATTGGCATACGTCCAATTGGTACGTTCTTCCGGCGAATGACTTGTGAACCCCGGAGGTATTCAATATCGACGGCGATGTCGGCAGCGTAGTGGATATCTCTCAACCGACACTCATGCGGAAACAAATGATCATTCATCGCCTCCGAACTCAACCTCGTCGGCCGTCCGACCCTGATATCCATATACCGCAAGTAAAACTTTGGATCGACTTCTGACCGGACATATTCGTTCGCTTTGACGATCTTTTTGATGTCGACGTCGACGAAGTAATTGAAGGAATCAATGTGTTGTTTTACGAGACCCTTAACTTTTAGGAAGGCGGGGAGGAGGTTCCATTTGTCTGTTGCGGTTTTGATTTCGTCGGTTAGGTGTTTGCCTTTGTAGACTGGTTGGAGGAGTGGGGCGAAGGAGTCATCCTGGCCCAGGGTACCGTGAACATGATGCTGATACTTCTATATTTCCGTCAGCCTGCTTCCCTGTCCCTTCGAGAGTGAAGGCTCACCTTTCCCATTGCTCCTTCCTCGACTCGACGGGGTGGAATCAACGTTACACTTACTTCACTTCGGTTCCGGTATGTAATACACAAATTCACGTGCACCCAACCCACCGTATGACCCCAGCCACACCTGCTTGACCCACCAGCCACACCGGTCCCCTCGTGCGAAAGTCGATGACCGCATGACTTGTAATCGAACGTGTATTGTATTTAACCTCGCGTTGTGTCGTTCTGTGATCCTGTAGCACACCCTTAATAATTGACTATTTCGAAATGTCAGGCCGAGGCTTCAACGATCTAGCCTCTCGCTTCATAAGCTTCTCCTCCATCACCACACCAGTAACACTCCTCCCCGTCTATGCCGTCTCAGCATCACGTCCCACCACATTCATCCCATCGAGATTGCCCGCTTTGCGGGCAGCCGTTGAGAAGCCAACTCCAGGGGGACAGAGGGATGGAAGGTGGGCATCATCAAAGTATAACGGGAGTTCGAAGACGACGTTTGTTACTCGTGAGTGTGGCTTGGCAAGAGGAAGTGAACCACGTTTACTGACACGAAGGATAGCACCTGCCAGTAGGATAGGAGAGAAGATCGGTTCGTCAGCCCATCTATTTCTCCAGTGAGCGTGGATGAGGGTTGGGTCGTGACATACAGCAAGGACGAGTGTACGATACGTTGTAATCATATGAGTGCATGGATAAATTACATTGAACCCAGTCGTCATCCGATCAACCAGAATCACTGAGGCTGCCAATAAGTCACGGGGGGAGCCAGTTAAATGGCGAAAATGACAAACTGGCACCAGCAACACGAGACCACCGTGGGCACACTCCTCCGATAGGTCCATCTGAAAAGACTCGTAACGGCAGTCAGCGCCAAAACTTTGATTAATCTCTTTTCTTACTATCAAAATAGAATTCACAGAATGTCATTCATGTAGGTGTTCACTACTTCACTCCCCCCGACGTCAACTCGCTTTAATTCCAGCTCGCCCAGCGCCCTGCACCTGACTCCAATCAATCACCAGCAGCAGCCAGAAGGTCCGAGCGTTGATCAACCGCAACATCGAATCGACGACGATTACGCCTATCATCAGCATATAGACAAGGGGATTTTGTGTACGATATTAGGTGTACGATAACGACTTGTGCTGAATACTTAAAGCTTGAAGAGCTCACTTTCTTTTTGCGTGTGGTGAGTTGCGGTGTTTGCGCCCCTTTCCTCCTTCGATGTTTGGGGGATGGTGGATGATGTGTGAGAATGAATGCTGACTGTGATGAACAGACTTGATCCGGCTACGATGTCTCTTGCCTCCGATCTTGTTCGCAACCTTTCGTCGTCGTCGCTGAATCAGCAGCAACGACCCACCAACCCCTCCTCTCCCTTCGACCACGGTCAACATCCCTCGCTTCTTCAGAGCAATAATCCTCGGGACTCGTTCAGGCGTCACTACACCTCCGATGGTCTCCGTCCCTCCGCCTCGGCTACGAACTTGACTTCGCACCGGGCTACCTTCGATTCGGGCTTGACTTCGCCAACCGACCTCGCAGCCCTCAACTCCGAGTCAACACCGATTGATCCCGCATTTGATGGACTTCACACCTCCCGTTCATCCGTCAACCTCACCAAAACCGAGATCCTCGAACGCAAGCGCGCAGAGCACCAACAAAAACGTCTCGATGCCCTCCGCCAATTCGAGCGCCAAATGCAGATGTTGGAGGAACAGCAGAAGCGGGACGAGCAGGAACTCTTGGCGGCTGGACATGCGGTCCCGGGTGCTGTTGGTGCCATCGGGCAGAGGACGAGCATGAGTACGACGGGGAGTATGAGTGTTCCTGCAACTCCGCCACAGAGGTTGAGAACCGTCGGAATTGCTACGACGGGAAATAGTCCGTTTGGGTTGGGTGTTGCGCAGCTTGCTACGCCGCCTCCTGATCACGCCTTCCCTGCTACGTCAAGATTCGCGAATTCGAAGAGTATGCCCGGCACGCGCAGGAATTCCGGAGACCGCGATTTTGGGCTGGAGTTTGATGATTTCCCGGTTATGCTCAACTCGCGCCTCTCGATCTCGAACACGACGCTCAAGTCTTCGATGAAGGGCGGACAGCAGGGTTACGGAGGACAGGGACCAACGAGGAGCGCGGGACCTACGAATGTCAAGTTTTTGTTCGAGGATGATGATGAGACGGGATCTGGACAGAAGCAGTATTTGCAGGTTAACACTACGGATGACCAGTTCCCGATTCTGGTTCGTCGGGAGTCGTTGCCCGGGTTTTTGTCTGCGTCTTCGGCTGCGCTTGATTTGGCACATCCTGTCAGTCAGTTGCCTGGTCATGTTCTCGAGCGTGCACATGCGCAAGCTCAGGCTCAGGGCCAACAAGATGACTGGCCAACCGCCTTCTCAGCTCGCCAGTCTCGTCACCACTCCCGCGAATCGTCCTCGCATGGTCTGTCCCCGCCCAAGCCATTCGAGCAAACTGCCGCTGTGCAGAACTTGCGTCCTTCGCTGGCTAAGCACGCGAGTTTCTCGACGCCTGAAGTGCCGACTTTGGCGCATTTCAAGATGAACCAGAACCAAGCACAGATGGGACAGAGATCTATGCCGAATGGGGTGCAGGGTAGTGCCTACACCAGTCTTCCGCCGCCGCGTAGTCCCTTGGGTGTCGATGCTCATGCTCAGCTCGCGACTAACCCCGCTGCCCTTGGACGTACGGGCGCTAGTCCATTGCCGAGCCCGAGCTTGGCGGCGTTGTACAATCAGCAGGGTGGGTATGGATTCCCTACTGTCAACGATGGCGTGCCGGGCGTTGTGCAGGCGCAGGTTTCCCAGGTTTCCCAGGTTCCTGTGCAGCATATCCCTGTCCAGAGCCCACCGTTCGGTATTGGTTTCCCGGGTGGACCCCTCCCGCCACAGGATGTCCGTCAGGGCCCGGCTCACTTTGCTGGTCCGCCGATGGGTGCGCCGTCCCCCGTTCACCAACACCGTGGACCTGGTGGCGCTCATGCCCAACAAGCCGCCGCCGCCGCCGCCGCCGCCAGGAAGAATCATGATGCGGAAGCATCCCGTTTTGCTGGGGTGTTGTTGGAGAGCTTGGCTGGCGAGATTTTCTCGTTGTGTAAGGATCAGCATGGATGTCGATTCTTGCAGAAGAAGCTTGATGAGCGGAGTCCGGCCTATCGGGACATGATCTTCAATGAGACGCAGGCGCATGTCGTTGAGCTCATGACTGATCCTTTCGGGAACTATCTCTGCCAGAAGCTGATTGAGCATTGTACCGAAGACCAGAGGACCGTCATTGTCGAGAAGGTCGCTCATGAATTGGTTGGGATTTCGTTGAATATGCACGGAACCAGAGCGATTCAGAAGATGATTGAGTATTTGACTACGCCGAAACAGATCACGATTGTGGTTCAGGCGTTGGAAGCGCATGTTGTTACGCTCATTCGTGATTTGAACGGAAACCACGTTATTCAGCGAATTTTGTCAAAGTCGACGTCGCACAGAGTGTCTAGGCTGAGCAGCGATGACGTGCAGTTCATCTATAATGCTGTATCATCTAACTGTGTTGAGGTTGCCTCTCACAGGCATGGATGCTGTGTGCTTCAGCGTTGTATCGACCATGCGTCTCCGGAGCAGAAAAACCAGGTTGTTAGAAAGATTACGGAGAACGCTTTGGCGCTCGTACAGGACCAGTTTGGTAACTACGTCGTCCAGTACGTTCTCGATCTTGGTGAGCCCGCTTTGATGGATGCTTTGATCCGCCAGTTCTTGGGCTCGATCCCAATGTTGAGCATGCAAAAGTTCTCGTCCAACGTGATTGAGAAGTGTATCCGCGTCGCCGAAGCACCTACTCGGCGACTCCTTGTCGAAGAGTTGACGGACACTGCCGCATTGGAGAAGTTGTTGAAGGATTCGTTTGGAAACTACGTTGTTCAGACCGCTATGGACTTTGCCGAGGATGATCAGCGTAATATTCTGGTTGATGCTATTAAGCCGATCATGCCTTCCATCCGCACGACTACGTATGGAAAGCGTGTCCAGTCTAGAATGGCTGGTGGACAGCATCCTCCTGGATACGCACCTCGTCCTGCTTTCATGCAGAACAGGCCTCCGGCTGGATTCCACCAGGGTCCGCCCCCTCATCTCCAGGGCTTCCAAGGACCTCCTCGTCAGGGTGTCCACCCTCACGCTCAGAGACCTCCTTTTGGAGGATTCTATCAGTAGACGTTATGTTTGTTGAGTGCAGCGTTGTACTTCTTATTGTACGATTGAAAAAGATATTGAGGCGATTGAGATGTGTATGATGTTTCTAGTTGGAGTGTATATTACAGAATCGGAAGAAGTTGGACGATAATGAGTGGATGTACGAATTACCTTGAGTATTTGACGAGTCTTGTATGAAAACCCCCGAAGGACGGAATAAGTGTATGCTTTGCAATTGTTTGATATAGATCTTTCTCGTTTTGTTTGTATTCATAGAATTAATGATATCTTGGTACTTGAATCAAGGACTCCAAAAATTGTCTCTTCTGCGCAGGACGAGGACCTAGGAAAAGTCGCTGCGTTTCCTCACACACCACAGCACTCTCATGGTTTTGACTTCTCTGACTTCTCTTGAGCAAGCTTCAAGTTCAACTTATCCTCCTCGCTCAAAGTGAAGAATTCCTCCTTCTTCTGCTGTGCCCACCTCTGAATACTAGAGAAACACTACAACAAGAGTCAGCATTGGTTTCACCCCATACAGGTATTGTTGCTGATACTTACATGGTCTAGTCTCTCTCCATCTCTTCCAAAGCTGTCCACGTTGTAGTCGGCAGACATGACGCAAAATACACCCAAAGCTTAGAAGTCACGTTAGCTCTTGATATGCCTTGATGGACCACTGTGTTTCTTACCTGCGGTGACAACGTATGTTCCGATCTTTAGCCGTCTCATCTGCAAATTCGGAGGCCTGATCTTCAAGATCCTTCTCGTGTACCTCTCTTGTGCGGGTGTCCGTGTCCCTGGTGCTGACATTGTAATTATAACTGCTGCTTTCTGATCTCTGATACAAATGTTGTCTTCGACGTATGTAGTCTACGTTACAGATTGTGGCGCAGAACTCATATACCGGTACTGTACCCGTGGCCCAAAAAAGTCGGCCGCGAGAGCCGGCGAGGAAACCGGTCAAGTTAGAAGTTGGAAATTCGCTGAAACGTTTCAAAAACGTCTTATTTAAAGCAAAATAAGCACATCTTTAAGAGGACAACTCCCCAACTACATTCGCGGGGGACCTTCCTGATTCGCCAGACTTTAGATCATGACAGTAAGCTCACGCTAATCGCCTCTGCTGCAGCTGTCCCAAACCCAGCACCATACGCGAAAATAAATCGCAGTCACGTTGGCCCAATATATCATCTTTCTTTTCAAGGAATTGCAACTAAAGGATATAAGATAAAGCATAGAACGCCCATTGCCACACTTCCCGCGTAAAATATACCACCATTACAACCAAGAAATATATCTCTTCCGTCTCTGACCCTGACCCTGATCCTCATTCTCATTTGTTTCCCGGTGTGCTGCCTAGTGAAAATCCGATCGACGAGATTTGATCTTCAGAAGCGTCTGTGAGCAAGTTGTTAGCGAAATTATCACCAATTCCATTCAACTGTTCACCTCAAGCACAGCCCAAAGATCCCTCCGTTCCCTCCACGCCTCCCCAATATGCCCCTCGACAACATCCTGCCAAACCTTCTCCTCATTCTTCTGGAACCGAATAAAGTTAGGTCCGAGATCAAACTCCTCACCAACAAAGAAATCTCCACTATGACCGAGTCCAGCTCGGCCTACACTCCCTCGCCATCCCTCTTGTGCGGTTTCCTCACTCTTGATGTCTTCAATGCCTTCGAACGGATCCTCGTCCTCCGAGTCTTCCCCATCTGCGTTCTTATTGTTAACCCACCGTAACTCTTTGGGATCCCACACCATCCCGCCGACAATCTGCCTCACCCCCGCTGCTCCCATCCCTCCCATCCAATTCGATATCAACGCCGGCCGCGGACTCGCACCCTTCTCCTTCGCACTGAAGCCCACTAGCGTCGTATCATCGCTGTTCCCTTCCCACTTAAAGGTGCGGGGATTGTAGTGCATTCCGTTGATTGTTTTCGCGGTATTGGTCGCGCCGAGGTTTTGTATGAGTTTGGGGAGTTTGTCATTCGGGAGCTTACCCACCGCCCGGGGTCGTGAGGGGCGTGGTTGGATTGGGGTAAATGGTAGTGTCGAGATCTTCGCCGGAGAAGGTACCCTCGCCGATTGTGCCGGTGGGGGTGGAGCGCGTTGTGCCACGGCGTTTGGTGGCACGGCCGGCAGTGCCTTCTGCAGAAACCCGGATTTTTTGGTCCGAAGTTGCGGAATAGACTGCTTCGTCCGCAACTGCTGCACACTTGCCTTCTTCTCCAACCCACGACTACTAACAGTCGACACCATGAACTTCCTCTCCACAGCCGGACTAACAGCCAAATCATCGAACCGATCCAACTCTGTACCATCCCCGTACCTCTTCGGCGGGGCTAACCTCAACGATCCCGCACCTTGTCTCTCGTTGGGGGAACGCATGCTCAGCGCGGATGGTGCTCGATCCCGATCGTAGCTCGGCTCACGATGTTGATGCCTGAGTGCAGCATGATGACTCCTGCCCCCCACAATCCCACCCGCAAAGAACAACGGCGGCCTGCTCTGCGTCGGTGTATCGGTAGCGGTATCCACAATCGGCGTCATACTCCTCGCAGGCGTAAACCTACTACTCACACTCCTCTGCGGGACCTGGACTGTCGGGACGCGAGAGGGATTGGAGGCGTGCGAGGCGGAGACGGTGCGGAGAGAGGAGATTGAGGACGAGGCGCGGAGGTTTGGGGTTGAGGTGCGGGGGGTAAGGGTGGGTTGGCGGAGGGTTAACATTGATTGTTTCTTTGTGAGGGGTTTTTGGTTCTCTTTTGGTGGTGGTGGGACGAGGGGGCCACCTGAACTTGAAACCCGCGTAGCCGGAGGTGGAACACGAGTCGTGGATAAGGGCGTGCCCATCCCCCAACCCCCTCTTGCCGCACTCCTCAAATCCGGCGTCGAGGCCTTCAACTTGGGTATACGACTCGGTCCAGGAGCGGGGGACGGGGTGAACCTCAACTCCATCTGCACATTCTTGACCAGACTAATCTTCGCTGCTCCACCATCTCTTCTCGTAATTTTCTTCTTCTCCAGCTTTGCCGGGTTGAAGGCATCTTCCGTGATCTCTAGCCCACTCTCCAAATCATCCTCCTCCACATCCGGTGTCAGTAGCGGACTCTTCACCCCCAAGGCCTCCACCTTCGACTGTGCCTGCCTCTTAGCCAACGCAGCCCTAAAATCAAACCCCGGATGCGGCAACAACAACCCACCGAACACCCCCTCATCATCACTCTCACTCATCGTATTATTCCCCGTACTCAATCCGGGACTAAACCCAGCTGCGGATGTCATCGAGCTGCGATTCGAGCGGGCTGTCCTGATCCCTAAACTTCCCTCTCCCCAATCTTCTCGTTCCTCGTGGTCGGGGTCTGAAGGTGCGGGGTGTTTGGGGGTGGAGGAGGAAGGCATTTGTCGGGTTGAGATGGCTTTCATGAGGTCGAAGTCGGGGGGAAGGTCGAATTCGTCGGCCATGTCTTCCACTTCTGCCTCTACCTCCACTTCTGCCTCTGCCTGCATTGCCTTCGTGGGAATAGTCCGTGGTCGGATACTCTGTAATCTCTGGTATGCCGCACTCTTCGGACCCGCTGGTTCTGTGATCGGACTCCCGAACGAGGTGGTTGATGCGACAGACGCCTGTCTTGACCGTAATCCTGGCTTCAATTCTAGTGGTTCGAAGGCCGATAACTCCAATCCTGATAAGTCGATTTCTTCTTCCCAGTCATCATATTCGAGTACCGGCACCTTCACGTTCCCTGATCCGAGTTTTGTGATTGTACCGGAGGTAAATGCTGATGCCGGGGCATTTACCGGTAAGGAGATCCCGACATTCCTGGCTTTCTCCACGACTACAGCTGCGTTGATACCCGTGACGGGTAACTCGAAATCTTCCTCGAAATCGCCGTCGTCTGAGTCTGGGAAGTCGTCTAGGGCATCTGCCTCCAGCACAACCACTGGCGCTGCTGGTGGTGATGAAGTCATCTTGGCAGGTGGCAGCGTCGGCGGAGCTTGGGTATCGAGCGTAAAGTCTTCGTCGTCATCCCAGGACTCAATTGCCAAGGTTGAGCCTCTGCGGAGGTGGGCTGCCATGTTGTCGAGCTGAAAGCAGACCTGAGCGAACACAACCAGCTAAGATGCCGATGCCGATTGCGATTGCTGGATGAATGCAGCGCTGTTGGCACCGAGTCTCGGTTATAAATGCTGAAAATGCTCCAGTCGTATCGTCGTCGTCGTCGTCGTCGTCGTCGTCGTCGTACAGTATGTACATCACCCGCACCCCTGAACCCTGCAACCCCACCGCACCCGACGCGATAACCTAAACTGACGTCAAAGCACCCATCCCATCCCATCTTCCCCACCAGTGGTCCACCTCAACACACTGCCGCGATGCCAACCCAACTAATCCGAATTCCAATACGAGGAACCGATGACAAATTCGCAATCGCCCGAGTCACAATGGATGGAGGAGGGAAGCTCGCCAGTACGAAAATCGTGGCGACGGATGGGGTGGAGGCATTTGCTGTGACGCGTATGTTGCTGTACATCCGATCTCTCGTGTAGAGATACTGATGGCGGTGTATGTGCGCGTACAGTTACCGCCAAGGATGTCGATAAAGCCCAATCCCCCGCCTCAGAGATGGGACGGAATGAATGGCGCGCAATCGTCAGCGCCGTCCTCGAAGGTCGGAGGGCGGGAAGGGGTGAGGTTGAGGTCGATGCGGTTGTCAAAGCTGGTGACGGCATGACTGTGATGTTTCGCAGAAGTGTTGGTCACGCAAAGGTACTCATTCATTGTGCACACGAGATAAGTGATCTGACAGCTAACTCGAAAGCACGTGTACAGATCCGACTTGGCGACATAGATATCCTAGCCTCTGAAGCTGAGGAAGTGAGTCTGCTTGATTGGGTGGGAGAGGGATGTCTCATGAGGGAGGAGGCAATGGTATGTGACGAAATGGGTATCCGGTGCTTGAGGTTGACACTGACTTGTTGTGCGTAACAGGCCCAACTTGAACACCTCAGTGCACGAATCGAGAAACACGAGGAAACGATCAAGTTACTAAAATCACAACTAGATGATTTAACAAAAGCAAAACGAGACCACGAATCCCTCCTCCTCGCAAAGGTAAGCACGCTCTGAGATCATGACGCGGACGCAAGTGCTGACCGATGTGGATACTACTACTTACAGTTCACAGCGATCCTCAATACCAAAAAACGGAGAATTCGAGCTATGAAGTCGGCGCGGCCACTTTCTGAGATCGAGACGTCGTCACCACGGGGTCAGAGAGGGTCACGAGGGAAGAAACGACATGTGGACGATGAAGAGGACGGGTCGGATTTGGAGATGGACGGGGATTCGAGGGCGTCGAGTCCGCAGGCGGAGAGGGAGGATGAGGATGAGGCGCCGATCGTGCATCGGAGGCAAGTCGAATCGCTGTCACGGCATACGGGGTTACGGACAATAGAGGAGGACGAGGATATGGAGGAAGTTAAGGACGAACCACCGAGTTCGAATACCGGTGTTATACGACCGGCGAGCCCAGCTGCAGACGAAGAGGAGTACGATTCCGATTTAGAACTCTAATCTTTGCGTTCCCGTCGATATGGAATAAATTAAATAAATTCCCATTATTATTCATTTGACCCAGAAATGCCGGATTCCACGTGGCTTGACGGTTTCATACGGGGCCAATCTACTGCGGCTGGGGATGCACCTACGCTACAACGGCCGGAGCCGTCCTGGACCTCTCCACCAAGAAAGCTGAGCAGGGACCCTGTGTGGAGCATTGATCCAAGGACAACGAGCAGCATACATCCCGGGAAATCACCCTGAACGATCTGAGCAGTTGTCGACAAGTGAGCATAACAACGGACAAGATTAAGAGTCAGTGAATGTCCGCCGGCTTCGTGCCGTGAAGCTTATCGGGCAAGCAAATCAACCACGACCACTCACGACAATATTGCTCAGCACTACACCGTGCATCAGCTACAATCCACAACTTATCTACGCTGAAGAAAGGTTCCACGTAGCACCAACACTCAGCAATGTCAACACCCAAAGACAACCGCATCCCAATCTCCCCAACCCTCTCCTCACCCCCCCTCGACTCCCGCCTCACCCAACTCCTCTCCACACATATGCATCTTCCCCGCATCCCATATCCAGCTGGATTTGGTGATTATGGGTGGAGCTGGCGAAGTTGGGTTGTTAGGCCGATAAGGAGGGGGGAGAAGATTGGGGAGGGGCAGCCGGGGTGGATGACGGCTTGTGTTACTAGGAATGATGTAAGGGATCCGGTTGCTGTGAATCAAAAGCCGAGTCAGAGTCAGAGTCCAATATTGGGGAAGGTTGAGGAGAGGGAGAGGGAGCAGAAGAGTGTACAGGAGATCATTGCGGGGAAGAAGGGGTTTAGGATCAAACCGCGCTCGGGAGCCGATGCGGGTGTTGCCGCACGATCTGAGACGCCAGATACGCCGACTATCACTGTTCAGGTTCGTTTGCGGATGTATAGGGGAGAAGAGAGGGTGTGGTGACTAATCCTGTGGGTGTGTGTAGGATAAAGCCGCGGCTTCACAACGGAGGATTTCGCCATCGCCGGCGCCAAAGCTAACTACGGCATCAGCACCTCCTCCCACAACCGCAGCTGAGCCAACACAAACAGCACAGGTGGATCAGAGCAAGGACGGCCAGGATCATAAAGCACTTTCGAGCCCCCTCGACCCAATCTCCCCCCGAATCCCCTCCATGTTCATAAACCCACCAACACCAACCCACCTCGACTCCGGCATCAACATGCAATTCCACAACGAGGACGCGGATGAGGAAGGGGATGATGATGAAGGGGAGCTGAAACCTATTAGCCCAAGTCGACCAGCCATGTTTGAGGATATGGATATAGAGATGAGGGATTCGGGGGTATCTCTCGCAGGAGAGGACGGGGGGTGGAGTCCGTTGTTGCCGGTTAGTCCCAGGTTGCCGGAGATGTTTAGGTGTTTGGCGGCGCAACCGACGTCGACTGTTCCTACTACCAACGCCGGGACGAAGGTAGGTGCGAAGAAGGAGAAGGACGATCCTCTCGCATTCCTTAGGAATCCGGGGACGAGGGATATGCCGACACCGCCGGAGAGTCGGAATACCGTCAAGGGTGTCGTGACCAAGCGTCCTCGGACCATTACTTCCGACAGTTTCAAGTCTGAGCCCGCGACGCCAGCAACGCCAGCAACGCCGACAATCATAGAATCACAAGGGTCTGGGTCTGAACCGATCAGAAAGAGTCCAAAGGGACTTGTCGTGAAGAAAATGAAGAGGAAGGTCGTTGAAGATGATGGTTGGGTTGAGCGGGATGATGGTGGTGTGAAGAGGAGGAAGAGTGATGGCGAGGAAGAGGAGGGTGAGAATGAGGGTGGAAGAAGGAAGAGTTTGATCGTCGCGTTGAAGTTGCCGAGGACGAATGTGATGCTGGCGGACAAGGCGAAGCGAGATGATGTTGAGGTCAAAGCGCAGACTACGACGCAGCAGGCTATTCTTGAAAAGAAGGCGGTGGGGCGCGAGGCGTCAAGAGGGCGGAATCAGGTCAAGACTGATAAGAAGGAAGCTATCAATAAGGCTGAACCCACGAAGGAGGTGGTAAAGAAGTCTGTATCTTCTGCCCGGTCTGAGAGCAAGGGTAGTGAGGCTGGCAGGGGTCGTAGTCCTGAAAAGCGCGAAGAGGAGCCTGCGAAGGTTGCGAGTGCGGCAAGGACGGGGGGTTCCTTAATGTTATCAGACCTTCTACGAGGGATGTCCACTCTCACCCCCGAACAGCGCGAGACACAGAATGCGAAGACGGCAGCGGTTCTGTCCTCCGTTAGAGCGAGGGCAATGGATAAGCCTGCAACCTCCACAACGACTGGAATCACTCCGGCGAAGAAGGTTGTTCCCGCCGTGAAAGCTGCTGTAGCCCCCAAGAAGATGGAAGCTTTTGTTGACAAAGCTGCTTCAACACAAAGCATGGAAGCCAAAGGAGAGTGGAATGCTAAGGCTGTCACGGCTGCCACTGCTGCCACTGCTGACAAGTGGTCGAAGAATAAGGGTCCTGTACCCCCGCCTAAGGCGACACTCGCAAGCCTGGGGTTCAATGTGAAGACAAATCCGTTGCCGGCACCGATTGCGAAAAAGATTGCGAGTCCCGCGCCCGTATCGCTTGGCAAGCTTGGTGGTGCGAAAGCGTCTCCTTCGCCGGCGCCGATTTCTAGGAGTTCGAAGGGTGAGGAGAAGCCAAAGAAACCGGATGTTATCGACAACAAGGAGATGATGGAGAAGAAGAGGAAAGCTGTTGAGGATGATAGCAGGCATGGTGTGAAAGACGTCAAGAGGATCAAGAAAGACATTGCTGAGGAGAGTAAGGCTGGTCCTGCTCCGAAGAAGGTCACGGAGAAGAGAAGTGAGGGTACGCACAAGCCGACGAACACGACTAAGGCAACAGGTAAGGCTCAGTCGCCTGTCAAGGAACAGGTGGCGGCGCCTATGGATTCTCCAACGACTCAGAGGAAGAAGCTCAATCTGGACGAGTATCGCGCCGCCAAAAAGAAGATTGGGGAGTCTCCGAAGACGACAGATTCCTACGATTCTGGCTTTGGATCCGGTAACTCGACCGTGTCGTCGTTATCGTCACCGGAGAACAGGACCTCTGACGCGCCTGCCGGCAAGACACCGGCGTCTTCATCGAAGGCTTCTCCTGATCCTGTCGTGGCCGCGCTGAAGACGAAAATCAAGAAGTATACCGCACTCGCCGGAGACTCGAAGGCCCAGAGTGACGAGTTCCTGAAGCAGGAAAAACTCAACGTTGTAGCTGCCACGCTTCATGGACTTGCTTGCGTGTTGCACTACATGACTTATTTCGAAGCCGAGAACGAAGGGAGAAAAGCCTTTGGTACGAACATCACCGTCAAGCATTGGCAAACCCTTCCTGGTTTCATTGAGAGACGTATTTTGAGCTCGACGGTGATGCGAAGGCGTGATTGTGTGCCGTTGGTGGCTTTGGGCCGTCAACTACTTGCTCTTGTCCACCAAAAGATGGCAGACATCGAGAGAGAAATCTTGGAGAAGAACAGTGGGAGTATGTCCTCGGAGGAACAATTACAGGCGTACAAACGAATCGCAGAGTACCGCGATAAATTCAAGGAGGTCTGGGCGAGCAATCCAGTCCCTGCTGAGATGATGAAGGAGCACTTCCCGGCTACGATGGAAATGGGCGAGAAGGCTGGTCAGGACAGAGGTGGCTTCCGTTGGCCGTTGAACGTCGTCGCCCCTGTTAAAGAGATCGTTGCGTACGGCAAATCTGCCGTTGAAGAACAGGCTATGAAGGCGAATGTGGTATTGAAGTGGTAAGGTATCATGATATCAAGTTATCCCCTGTGACGTGTGGTCTGATACCCAGAAATACGAATGACGACGTGACGGAGCGGTAGAAAGCACGGGATTTGAGGTGGCAGCGGTTAATGGATACTGCAAAACGGCGCTTGACAGAGGCGCGTACCTTCTTCGGTTGGTGACGGAGTGGTTTCGGACAGGAACCAACTTGGTTTATTATGATATCAAATCGTCCAACGTGACGTTTATGGACGGTTGTATGTTGGTTGAAAGGTTTATATGGCATAGTCGGGCGTTACATTCTTACTCACACGGCTATAGCATCACACACAGGCGTTTTTTGGAGGTCTTGGTTCAATTACCAAAATATCATTAATTCTATGAATTCAGACAAGAATTGCAAAGCATACACTCATTCCGTCCCTCAAGGTTTTTCGTAGATGCATTGGCTGGGGTTCAACGTTCGAGCCTGCTTCTCACGCTCCCAACTCGGCAATGCCAGCGCCTGCACGCCCATGCAACGTCAAATATTTTGTAATGTAGACTGTAACGAAGATATACGGCTCCTCCACCAGGCCATTGGATGTCCCCCACCCTTATCCAACGCCAAGCCTCCATCCTCAACGACCTCTCCCTCCTCGTCGCCCTCGGCTCTCTCACCCTTCACCTCCCCCCACCTCTCCGATTGCCTGGCCCAGGGTGCGAAGCGGGTGATGGCTGGTTATGGAGTCCACCGTTTGAGTGGTGTGGTGCGGAGTATCGCGCAATGATGGAGGAAACGGAGAGAGAGGTTTTTGGGTTGTTGGGATGGTTGAGTGAGAGGGGTTGGGTGCGGTATACGTATCAGATCATACCACGGGAGGTTACGAGGGCTGTGGTGAGGGTGTACGCGGTCCCTGAAGATGTTGATGGACGACGGTTCTTACCTGGGCGTACGGCAATGGAGGAGAAGAGGGGGCGAAAGGCGTTGAGGAGGGTTATGGAGGTGCTTGATGCGTCGGCGGAGATGTGGGTGGGGAATGTGTGAGGTTGGGCACGCTGGACACACTGGACACACTGCCAGTGCTCGAGACACTAGGTTGATAGGGTGCCCAGGGTCCGCTCAGGGTCCGCTCAGGCTGTTTTAATGGCCAGGTTCGTTTCAGCTCCCATTAAGAGGACCTTTGGGTATCAGGCAGGGTACTTTGGAAAATCCCAACAGAGGCCGCCCGCCAAGCTGTCAGCTCCTTCGTGAGTTCGTCCTGCATCCAGCCCACCAAAACAGTCCACCCCGGTGGCGCCTTCATAATGGGCAACTTGCCTAGCCGACAAATTCGTCCTGATCCCCAGAAGTATCCTCCACAATCGGGAGAGGGATACGAGTCAAGGTTTGAGGTGGGTCTACCGTACACCCATGAGCATCTCAAATTCTTGAGGGGGAGGATGTTCATGGTGGGAAGACCGGTTTCAGCCGGAGGACGGGAAGGAGGGGTCTACGAGGTTGTCCGGGTAGATGTATGATATTGTATGAAAGATAACGCCGACGCCTCATGGAGTGACAAACACCGGTATCACTGCTGTCCCATCGTCCGTACCCCAGAATATATAGTTCAGATCTATCTCGATCCGAATCATGATTCACCAAGATCGACGAAACCTTGTTACCCTCCTTCTCGTGCAGTTTTGATGAACCAAACCGGCGGCGTTGTCACCGACTCATTCTCTTCTGCAATTCGATGGAGGGCTGGTGACGGTGAAGGTGAAGTTATGGGCGCAGCTGGGTGTTGGGTTTGTACTGCGAGGAGGGTCGGGTGAAGGGTGGGGACTATTGGTAGGGATGTAGGTGTGGGCGTTATCTTCGGATTTGTCGGTTGTGAGGGTGGTCGATCAGGAGCTACTTCAGCTACCGGATCCTGCCATACTGCCTGATCTCCCGTCACCGTCTACCATGCCCTCTCCGCCCTCCCCCTTCTGCCTCTCATACTTGTCCAAATTCTCCCACGGCACCCGCAGCCGCGTACCGTACATACATCCCCATGACATAGCACTGAACAAGAGTGAGAGTACGTAAGTGATACGTCGAGAGGGATTGTACATTTGGTTCCCTCAAATGCACGACTATGCTAGTTTTCTGCCTTTCCCACTAGACCGGCCTTCACGTTCTCATGCGCCTTTCTCTCTTTCTTGTCCGAGCCTCTACCCGCTCTCTCCATATCTTCGTCCACCAACTGCCATGCTGGTCTGAATCCTTCTTCACCATTCTCCCTCTTTAGTGCTGGGTTGGGATGTGTATCGTGAACATCACCCAGCGAGGTGTATCCTTGATCGTACAACTCACAATAGGGAATCTGTAGTGCTCTCAGAAACTGTACGATGAACCAGATCAGTATCCCATTCAAAGCAAAGCATTTCACGGTTTTGATTAACTCACCTCCCACACCTCTGCATATCTCCACTCCAACACAGGATGCACCCTCACGAAATCCGGCCACCCTTGATCCGTCCTCTGACACGTCCTCAACCCCTCTCCATGTGGGTCCCCTCGTCTCGTACCAACCATGATCGCCCTAACCCCCGTCTTTCGTCTCAGGTAATCCTCAAATGCAGCTTTCATGGGTACCGGAATGCGAATGAGTTCGAGCCCAAAGGCGGCGGCGGATTCGTCGACAAAGGATTCGACTTGTGGGAAGGGATGTTTGGGGGTGACGTATATTGAGGGTGAGGGGAGAAGCTGGGCGGCGGGGGATGTTGATTTGGGAGATGGTTGTGGAGGGATGAGGGAGTAGTATAGTGCGAGGAGGACGAGGCAGTCTTTTCCGCCATTGTAAGAGAGTGCGAGGCCTTCAGGACTGTATGAAACTGATCAGCGAGCGCACTTGGCTACCCTTCGACTGACGCATACCCGTATTCATCCAGAGCTTTCTGGATCACCTCAAGACTGTCTCGCACCCGCTCTTGTGTTTGCGCTCGTAGGTCAGAACTTGGAGGTTCATTGAGGAAAGAGTCTATTGATTCACGAAGTTCTGCCGGTGATGCTGGATAAGTATATGACTGGAGCTGGCTTGCTGGATCCATAGTTTGTTGAGTTGTAGCTAATGTTTTCCTGATGTTGTTCTCGAGGGATCGGATTGCGGAGTAAGTGCGGCGGTGTCGTCGGAACACAAGCCGGGAGGGTACCCCAAGTGAGAACGTTGATGATGGGACAGCTGGGTCAATGGGTCAAGTATTGCTTTCCAGATGTGATTTATAAACTTTTCCTCGCTACCTCCTACATAGATTCCATGCCTGAGAAAAGCACCTGCATCCCCGGACATCTCGAGGCCTGAGCTGAACAACGCGACGCATCTCGACCTCACCACCACCACCCCCAGCTCCAATTGTACCTCCTACCATGGAATACATCGGCGCAAAAATCTCCCTGATCTCCAAGTCGGACATCCGCTACGTCGGTATCCTTCACGAAATCAACTCCACGAACTCCACCGTCGCGCTCGAACAAGTTCGTTCGTTCGGTACCGAGGGACGCCGTGGAGGTGGATTGGATGAGATTCCGCCGAGTGATAATGTTTTTGAGTATATTATCTTTCGGGGAAGTGATGTGAAGGATTTGCACATTGAGGAGACTGCGCCTGCTACGAAGGAGGAGAAGAGTAACGTGTTGGATGATCCGGCGATTGTTGGGGTGAGTCTTCTGCCAATCAAAAATTATGATGTGTGTAAGAGGGAGAGCAGAGAACCAGAATCGTTCGGGTGATGAACCATTTCGGATGTCAAAACACAAATTGTCTCCGAGAGCGTTTAACCCCATGTGGAGATTGCCGTTGCCTTCCTTCTAATATCTATCGATTCTGGCTCTCCCTCTCTCGCACACCCATACACAGTACTCACACACCTTCCCCCGAGCCATTGGCTAATGTTGTCAACCAGTCCTCCACTCCCGCCCCTCCAACCCCCCAATCTCAACCCGTCGCCCCTCAGCAGCAACAACAGCCTCCCCAGCAACCTCCCTACCCACCCCAGCAGTTCTCCGGCCCTCCTGGACCATATGGTCCCGGTGCTCCTGGTCCTGGACCCTACCCTCCCTACTTCCAGGGTCCTCCTGGCGCACGTGGTCCCTTCCCGCCTCAGCCGTATGGATACCCTCCCATGGGTGGACCTCCTCCCCATATGGGCGGTCCTGGATTCCCGGGTGGGCCTCAGGGTTTGATGCCCCCTCCTCCTCAGCATGCTCCCCAGCATCAGCAGCAGGTTCAGCAGCAGGTTCAGCAGCAGGTTCAGCAGAGCCCGGAGGTTCCGGCCGCGACGAAGCCTGATGTCGTTGTCGTGCAGCAGCAGGAGCAGCAAGCACAGGAGACCCCGGGTGCGGCGGCGAGGAGGATCGTCCCCGCTATGCCTCTTTCGCGTCCCTCGCCTGCTGTGGCTGCGGCTCAGCCTGTCACTGCTGGTGTGGAGGATGTGACGAATGGGATTGCGGATTTGAACACCAACACCAGGGGTGAGGCCCCTGCACGTCAACCCATTGGCCCTCCCTCCGCCGGAGGTGTCGGTGGTATCCCCACTGGCCCCCGTCAACGTGGTCCTCCCCGTCGCACTAGTCAGCCTGTGCAGGTTCCTCAGACCGATTACGACTTTACCGCTGCGAACGAGCACTTCAAAGACACCACCAACGCTACTTCCCCCAGCATCCACGACGATAACTTCTACAACAGAAAGTCATCCTTCTTCGACAACATCTCTTGCGAAAACAAAGAACGCGCTGAAGGCGATGCGGCGGGTGTTGCGCGTCCGGGCGGTGCTGTGTGGAGGGGGGAGGAGAGGAAGTTGAATTTGGAGACGTTTGGGGAGGTTTCGATTGGGAACAATAACTACCGGGGACGTGGGAGGGGGAGGGGGAGGGGACGGGGTGGGTATGGTTATGGGAGGGGAGGATATCAAGGACCGGGATTCAGTGGGCAGCAGGGTGCGTTTACGGGACAGAGGCAGTATAGGCCGAGGGCGCCGAGGCAGGAGCAGGAGGCTCAGTTCTGAGTTGAAAGATGAGGGATTGATTGTGTGATTGAGCGTTTGAACGCAGCGATGATGGATGGCCCGCCCTTCTTTATTGTGATGACGAGAGTGTACTTTTAGTTATTTGAGCATACCAAAGATAAAATCGTTCTTTCTATCGACCATCCCGTCCCGAGCTGCCTATTCGAAAATGTATACGTACGTCACGTGTATCGGGTCCGAGCGTTGCATTGCCGCACACAAGCGTCGTACACCCATTGCCCAACCCAGCCAGATTTCAAACCCGACCAACTTTAAATTCAAATGGATCATTTGGTAAGTAACCTCCTCGGCCATCTCTTATTCACGACTGACGCCATGGATCGCAGCTACCACCAGATCACATCTTCGAAGTCTCGGCCGTGAGTCCAGCATTGCTGTCTGAAGCCGCCACCGTCGGCGTCGGCGTCGGCAGCGGCTTCGACCAGCTGGGTGTCGGGGTTGGGGTTGGGGTTCATGGACAAGGAACATTCGTGGGTGTCGGTGATGAGTCGCATAGTGCCAATCTCTACGAGGCTCTGTCTGGTGCTTCAAGTGTACACTTACAGATGCCTCTATCAACCCCAATCTCGACGCAAACTGGACCAGTCCGCCGAAAAGGCCGAAACCAATACACGAACCACCTCCCCCACCTCTCCCTTTACTCCGACCTCGACCTCCTCACCGACCCTTCCTCGTCTTCCTCTCTCGACCCACCACGCTCCCGCACCCGCACCACATACCACGGCTTCCCCACCCCTTCCGCCTTCGACAACTTGCTGAACACGTACATCGCGTCTCTTAGTCCAAAGAAACGGGAGAAGAGTTTGATTACGCAGAGGATGTATGATGTGATTATCCACGTATTGGAGAACCCGACCGAAAAAGCCATCGGGAGCGCACAATTCCGGTTTTGGGTGCGGAAGATGTTCGAACTGCACCACATCAACACACACCCTTCAAACACACCTCATGCTCATGCTGCACGTCCGCAGTCGCAGTGGACATTGTGCCATGACGGCAAACCCGTCGTGGTCCGAGAGGGTTTGTATGATATATTGTGTGAGGCACATGCGATGTGTAGACATGGTGGGAGGGACAAGACGTGTACTCAGGTGAAGAGGTGGTGGAGTTGGGTGCCGAAGGAGGTTGTGGCGAGGTTTGTTGGGATATGTCCGACGTGCCGTAAGAGCCAACAGAAAATTCAAATTCCAACACAAGCAGATGGGGAGGGGTTGGGTTTGGTGGAGTCACACACGCGAGAGCAGGTCCCGGTATTCGGGAATCCAGGGGGGATGATGCTGCACACTCTTGATCACTCTGGTGTTGGTGTTGATGTGCTACGACAACCCTTACCGCACCTCACTTCAGACCCGACGAACGTCTCTACTGTCCCCGATTTCGGGGCTGGGATGGATCTACAATACGGACTCGGTCTCCCGGTGGCGGGTGAGTTACCGCCGGAGTTGAATGTGCCGGCGACGGAGGAGTTGGGGATGGGATCGGGGTTGTAGACCTTTGGGTACTGGAGTGTTGTTTTGGCCTTGATGGTATGTGACGGCGTTCTCTTGATTATGGGTGGTTTGCTTCTGCAGCTCGGGGGTTGCAGTCCGTTGAATTGGTATTAAAGCGTGGCATAACGAAATATACCTAATACCTACCTACCTGGTAAACCACATATCGAACATCGTTATCTTACTCCTCCATGACAATGACCTGCTTCTTTCCAAAGCCAGCCTGCGACTTCTCCATGGCACCCTTGAAAGCCTCCCACAGCTCCTCATCGCTGGCGCTGGTCTTCCATGTAGTCACATCATTCATTGCTTCCTTGAACTTGCCTTCCTTGACCCATCCGAAGATCTCGTCCAACATCTCCTGACGTTCCTTATCATGTCCATTGTAGAATCTGGTCATCCAGAAGCCATGCGCTTTGATGTCCTTGAAGATTAGGAGTGACGCCGGGAGGGAAAGAGGTTGACGGGCCATGGCACCGTATGTGACAATGTGACCGCCGTTGCCGAGAAGAGCAGCCATTTTGGTCGAGGGCTTGCCTCCGACACAGTTCAAGGCAAGCTTGATAGGCTTTCCGCCCGTCCACTGTTTGACCTTCTCACGGATCTCCTTGTTCATGAGTTCGTCCTCGGTAATGACATAGTCTGCACCCAACTCCTTCAAATAGCTCTTAAGTTCATCGAGATTGGGACGATCGCGGACGATGCTGATCGACTTCAAGCCCCACTGCTTAGCGATCTGGACAGCAGCCTGACCGACACCGCTGTTACCTCCATTCTGAATGAAGAAGTCTCCCTTTTCGAGGTTAGCAAAGTCCTTCAACATGCGATAGGCAGTGGAAGGGTTGACGGCGACAGTTGCGGCAGCGGTGACTCTCATGCCCTTCGGCACAGGAAGGAGCTGGTCCTCCGGTACGGTAGCATGGGTACGCCATGTACCAAAGTTCACTCGACGCATAATCGCCCAGTCACCCTTCTGGAAGCCCTTGATACTGCTCCCAGTCTCGAGGACCTCGACCAGACCTTCATTTCCACCGACGGCGGCGGGTTCCGCAGTGCCGAGAACGGTTGATTTTTCGGGTTTGCTGGGGTAAACTCCTTCGACTTGGTTGATATCGGACGGATTGATTGGTGCTGCAAGAAAACGAACGTTGATCTCGTCTGCCTTGGGTGAATCGATCTTGTAAGAGTGAACCTTGAGCACCTCAGTGGGCTTGCCGTGCTCGGAGTACACCACTGCACGAGCGTTTATGGAGGCGAAACGGCGGAAGAAAAGAGATGCCGAGGCATTACTGTAAACAGCTGGCTTCACAGAACCTGTTACCTGGCGGATCGAACGAATTGCTTGTCGTCTAAACATGTCTGGGTTGTGGTATATGGGATGCGGCAGTTTGTCGGGTCCCAAAATGACGTTTAATATCTCTGCGTCCACACAGCCGAACATGCACGGCCACTTGGACGACAGTGAGCAGTTGAAGTGAACTGGACTCGGCGAATCAACCAACCGTACAATCTCACCGTCAGGAAAAATCTCCTCCATGACCTCGAGCGACCAAAAGACCCTTGGGTTGACGCCGGATCAGCTAACACAGTTCCAAAGGGATGGATACCTCCTCATCCCAAACTTCCTATCCGAGGAGGAAATACAAGCCTTAAGGGCACGGACGGATACGATGCTCAACAAAGACTTCGATCCCTCTACACACCCCGGTACACAATTCACCACAGGCGACGATAAAGGCGAAGACCACATCGGCGACCAATACTTCCTAACCTCCGGCTCCAAAGTCCGCTTCTTCCTCGAACCCGACGCAATCGATCCCATCTCTCACAACCTCGTCCGTCCCCCCTCCCTCTCCATCAATAAAATCGGACACGGGCTCCACATGCTAGATCCCACCTTCGCCTCCGTGACAATCAACGAGAAGACGAGGGCAATTGCGGAGGGGATGAGATACAATGATCCGAGGGTCTTGCAAAGCATGGTCATCCTCAAACAACCGGAAATCGGCGGCGCGGTACCAAGTCATATGGATTCGACATTCCTCTATACTGATCCACCCTCCGCTGTCGGGTTCTGGATCGCGCTCGAAGACTGCACAAAGACGAATGGGTGTCTGAGTTTTGTGCCGGGGTCGCATCGGTGGGCGGCAGTGACGAAGAGATTCGTGAGGCAGGGTGAGGGGACGGGGTTTGAGGATGTGGAACCTGTCACGCCAAATCGACCCGTGATTCCGGAGATGGAGAAGGTGAAGCCTGGCGGTGAGTTCGTGATGGGGGAGAGTAAGGCTGGGACGTTGGTTTTGATTCATGGGAGTATCCTTCACAAGAGCGAGAGAAACACAAGTCAAGACTCGAGGTGGATCTACACGTTTCATGTCATCGAGGGCGAAAACGTATATGACAAGAAGAACTGGTTACAACCCGAGGAGGGTCAGGAGTTCACGAAGCTGTACGATCATGAGTAGCTTGACAATAAAGACATAGGCAATCACGTTTCATTCTGTATTAACCAAACGCATGTCATTCCCTAAATGCTACTCTGAGGGTATAGATAATATGCTTACAATGCAGCAAAACTCTGCATCTTATCAATGACAGCCGCCAATCTCCTCAAAATCACACCCCTCATCCCCTTCGATGCGAGCCTAGCATATGCCTCATCTAACCTCTCGGCGACCTGTCCAAGAATCTTCGGTGCAATTTGCTGAATCTGCGCATCTCCGTCCTTCAGCAGTGACATCGCTTTCTCGAACCACAAAAGACGCAACTCGGGGTGGTCATCCATGTCGAGCGAGACAACATGCAGGAAGGAAAGGAGATGGATCTGCAACACGTCCTGCAAAATCGCGGGTTGGAAGCGCGCAGCGACAGCGCCGAACAATCCACCGACATTCTCGGACTGGATCCACAAGCTGAACGCATCCTCCCACGCTCCGGCGGCAATCAAGTCCTCCAACTGATCCGCCTCGGACTTCTCCTTCGCCGGCATCGCAGCGGGAGTCGCAGTGGCTTCACGCTCCAACAATGACAGTAACATCCCCTCCATCCTCCCTACCGAAGCAGTGAGTGCATCGATCTTGACACCATCCGCGGCACTCTGCTGCTCAGCCTCAGCCCTCACAGCCTGAATCTCCCGCAAAGCCTTCTGTTCAATATCACCAACGAGCTTCAGCATCTCTGCCTTGAAACTCGTCTCCACGGCGCCGACGAGCGGTTTCCCGACAGCGGCGGCGATGGAGGCGGTGAACTCGGGTTGTGTCAGAGCTTGTTGCACGGAGGCATTGATAACGGCAAACAACTCCTTCGGCAGCGCCTTCTCCAAGGGGTCTTTCAACGCCTTGGTCATGTTATGTTCCAAACTCGCTCCGACAAGCGTCGACAAAGCCGGCAACACTTGCTGTTGGATAGTGTTGTTGATGGTGGTCTGGATCAGCTTTCCAGTGTTCTTACTCAATGTCTCACTGACAACCTTGAGGATCGTCTCTTGGCGCGCCTGATCAGCCGCAGCCTGTACGAGACGGTCCTCCTCCAAACGACGGGCTTGGGCAGCGAATGCGTTGTCGATCTTAGTCTGGAGGTTGAGCTCCAACGCCTTCAACCCCTCCGTGACAGCCGTCATGTCGACATTCGTCGCAGTAGCCGATGCAATTACCGGAGGCACACTTGCAGACTCAGTCTCCTGAACCGCCTCCTTCTCCTCCAACTGCCTCACGACCTCCTCAACCAACATCTCCGGCCCCTCCGTCGCACTGACCCCAGCGGCCGCCAACACCAAATCATCCGGCTGCGGCGTCCGTGTCGCAGTCGGGCTACGGACTTGTTCCACGCTTTCGGTGATCATGATACTCGACCTTCTCCTCTGCAACTCCGCTTCAGTCAGCTGGGACTCGGCGGCGGAAGAGGAGGTGGGGCGGGTTGCGGAGATGGAGGTTGTCACGCCGAGGTCTTCGTCGCCGGGGGCGACGCGGCGGTGAAGGGCAAGTTTGCGGGGTTTGTTCTTACGCCTTGCGGGCTCGGCTTCGGGGTCGAGCTTAGTGCCTTGCAAGGTTGGAGCAGCAGCAGGAGCAGACAACAATGACTGGCATCCAAAGGCCGTGAAACCACCCTCATGATACACAAACATCTCGAACGCGTTCGCATCATCATACGACTCCTCGATCTGGAATCCGAAACACGTGCTCGGCGCAGAAGTTGCCGCAGGATCTGTGTCGAAGCGGTACTCAGCAACGTACTCAAACGCCGCGGACCGAACATTCGCATCATGCACCGTAATCTCCTGTGCCTTTTTCGAAACATGACGGCAATACTCCGCCTGGCTCATCCCCTCCTGACCTGCCCGAGCAGGCGCAGTAAGGTGGAGGAAATACAACGACTTGCGAGCAGCGCAGGAAATAACAACAGTCTGCGTAGCCTGATGATACCCAACACACGCCATCCGGTTCGTCTCCTCACTCGGGAACGAAAGTTGCTGTACACAAGTCCCCAACTCAATATCCCACAACTGCAAATCATGGTTATGTCTCGCCCCAACAAGCAAATACCTCGCCGGTCTCTTGTCGTCGACATCAATGAACCTCACAGAGGTGAGTTTGTCGGAGGTGATGGCGGTGTAGGCGAGTTCGGGGACGCATTGCATGATGCGCTGGTCCGAGCCAGAAGTAGCGTCTTGTGGCCAGAGCTTGATTGCGAGTTTGTCGACGGTGGCGATGGTTGAGCCATCATCGGAAAACGCGAAATCCTTCAATGACTTATCTGCGCAAATTACCTGCACATCACCCGCAACTCCCTCCGGTAAACCATCTCTCCTGATAACCTCCCGTGCGAACTCGGGGATATTGTAGAGATACATCCCAAAAGAGACACCAACTGCGTCGGAGTTGATGGGGTTCCATCGCGCACGAGGCTTGACCGCAATTTCGGCGGAATCACCCTCAAACCCAAGTTCGACCACATACGGCTCATTATCCCCTTTCAACTCACCCGTAATCTTATACACATACACCGCCCCGACCGAATTCGTAACCCTCAACCTCGCAACAATTCCATCACTCTTCCCCTCCCCGTGCCAAAACGTCAAATTCACGATCTTCTCCTTGTACTCAGACCGCAACAAACACATCGCTCCATTCTCCTGATCAATTAACCTGATCCCGGGGGTTGCGGAGGTCTCGGGGAGAGCGTAGGCGACGTAGCGGATGGTTGCTGCGATGATCTGGCGTTCGGTTGGGTCGTAGGTGCGTTTTTGGCGGGTGATGGGGCGGACCTCGGTGTGGGCAGTCAGAGCTGGAATGGAGGTGGAGGAGAGGTGAGGCAGGGTGTAGGACATGAAGGCGGTTTGGGGGATGGCGTACTTCTCGGACTGCTCAGCCGGGACAGCAGGGACAAGAGGAGCAGAAGAAACGGCAGCGTTCTTGCCGTCGAAGAGGAAGGAGTCCAGCAACTGATTCCTTTCCGCGCCGACTTGTCCCTCATGTCCGTTGATCATCTCCGCAACAGGCGCGGAAACAGCCGGCAATGTCTGGCTCTTGCTCAACCCACTGCGTCCTTCATCTTCAGATCCAGTCTTGGCTCTCTTGGGTTTGGGGTTAGTAGCGGAGAGGTGGTCGAAGGGGTTAACGACCTTGAACATAGCGGGGTTCAAGTCCTTGCTCGTAGACGGCGCAGCAGCAGAAGCACCAGCTCCGAGCTCAGTTCCAGGAGACTCAGGGGCATCATCAACCTCGACATTGTACTTCGGAGGTTCAACGGGTCCGGGAGATGCAAGTGAAGTCAGCTTCGCCACCAAATCCTGTGCACTTTCAAGGTGCGGAACAGTCGGTCTCGAACCCTCAGCAGCCGCAGGCTTCACCGGGGTAGTATCCTGTGCCCCAGTTTGCTGCAACAACGCCAACAGACTCGATTGACCCGATCCACGTCCTCCACCGGCGGCAGTGACGGCAGCAGGCGAACGCGGTAAAGGCGAGGCAATTGGCGATTTGGCTTGCGGACTCTTCTGGAGGAGATCCAGCAATGATTTATTGAGGTCCATCTCCAATTCAATTGTCAGATGTCGGGAGGTGGATCTTCTTGGTGGAGCGGTTTATGAGGCCCGAGCTCGTCGACGTCGTCCCATGCAGGCCTTGAAGGTGGAGTACGTCACCGCACAAAACAACCAACACTCCACGACGATCGACGATATAGGAAGGTTGAGATGTACTGCTTACGACTTTTCCTGCCAATTTTACTGTTCAATGCGGTTACTTCTCCGCTCTTTACCGTGGTTTTTTTGGTTTGCTTTGGGATGATTCATAAGCCATGGTTTGTTTACCCTTTCTCCTCGTGTATCGGTAAATATTGACTGTGGACTAGCATGTACTGCACGATCATCCTTTTCGGGCTCTTTCAGACGTCTCTATTCTGGTCAGATAGACCTTTCTTGCCGTGGAATGGCGGACGCGTACTGGAAACAATTCCATTATCAGAGCAGATGGTGTTGGAAGGGAAGCGGGTGGTTGGGTTGGGTTGGCTGAGAAGTTTGAGTGAGAAAATTTTGGGGGCGAGTCAGTGGATATTGCCTGGAGTTGAGTACACGCTGAAGATCTGAGTTCTTAACAACAAGAAGGGAGGAAGTGGGTGACGGGATGAGAAAGCAACTGACAGCGACACAGGTTGATACAAGGCAAATTGCAAGCAGATTTGCATGGGCGTTATGGGGTTCATTCAGACATACATCATTCGACAAAAGATAACAAGTCGTGCACGATGGCATTACGATAGGTATCAACAGATTATCTAAACTCAAAACTGGAGATCAAAAATCAACAAAATCGGCCGGCATATCCATACATGGCCTATGCTTACATCCACCTCCTTTCCCCTTCATCCTTAACAACTTCATCCACTTTTTACTCCTGCCCATGAATCCTCCACGTCCTCAACCACCTCAAATACTTATACTTCTCCGCCTCCCCCTCCATACCGAACGTAACCGGACTAAAGTACACAAATACCCCCACAACCGCAACATACGCAGCCCCATACACCAACACCTTCGCACCTCCCGGAAGACGTCTCGTGAGCCAATCAAACACGAATCCAAACGTGAGGATCGCAAACCAGAGAGCGGGGAAGTAGTGGTGGACGTAAAGGACACGACCCATGATAAAGAAGGGGATGTAGTGCAATGCCCACCCGAGGACGGGGTAGAAGCCTGCGTAGTGGAAGTGGTCGAAGTCTGCGCGGGTCAGATCTTGGTAGGACCGCTGCCACCTAACCAAATACCACAGAACCAACAGCCCAAACGCGCCCAGCGAAGCAGTGGAACCCCAGTACACGATAGGGTTTCCAAGCAGGAAGTACTTGACAACATTCTTATCCCACGAACACATCCTCAACCCAACATGCGCCAACGGCCACTGCCACGCCTGACTCGCCAAATCATCCTGCTTATCCGGATCAGGAACAAGGGCATTATTCGAAGTCATCATCGCAACATTCAAATGCACAAAATCACGCCAGAACGGAGATTTGTAATCTGCCGCCTCGCCGATCGGAAGTTTATCGTTCCAGTGGTTTTCGACGTTCCAGTGCGTGTGGACATCCTTGGGGTCATTTTCTTTCGTGCAGGTTACTTCGACTTGTTTGAAGCCCCACTGGGGTAGGTTGACGTTCGCGGCTCTCAGATAGCATCCAAGCGTGGGATGGCGAAGACGGAATGCGGAGGTGAGGGTTCGGAGTTTGGAGTGATCACGGTGCTTGAGATCATCGATGATCTCAACCTGCCAATGATCCTTATCATCCCCAATCGTTAAATTCCCATAACAAGACACCTCCCACGCACTCTTCGTAACCGGCGCCGCAACCTGATGCGAATGCAAATTTCTCCCAGTCTGTGCGTGGATCAACCTAATCGTAGCCCCATCCCTGACATTCCTCAACTCCCCCTCCGACGAAAACTCAGGCTCATACCGATTCGGGTAGAAAAACCACTCATTGTTTGCGTCTTTGTGGTGGTAACAGGTTATTTGCTGTTGTTGCGATCCCTCCGGATAAGTTTGAACGTGCGAATGCAAGAGACCACCGCCGTAGCCCATGTTTTTGATAGTGGCGCGGGAGCCGTACATGATTTCGACGGGGGAGGAGGTTAGGTCCGTGCCCTTGAGGTTTGCTTGGAAGAGGGATGACATTTGGGCGTCGCCTGGGCCGGAGTTCTCGAGGATGGTGAAGTGGAGGTAGAAGTTGAGTGCGTAGATCAGGAAGGGCCAGACGATTAGAAATGCTCCACGGGCAGCCCAGTGTTTGGCGTAGGCCACCTTCGGCATCTTCAGATCGCCAAACTTTTGCCAGAGGTCGTCGATGGTATAGATTCCGACAAGGGCCGTGGCGAAGAGTCCGACCCATTTGACGGAACAGACACAACCGATGGAGGTCCCGGTAAGGATGAGCCATTTCCACCATTTGCGACCAAAGGGCTTGGGTTGTTGGTTGTGGAATTGGACGAGGCAGAACATTGTTGTGAAGGTGAAGAAGAGGAGCATGGAGTCGAGGAGAATGAAGCGGGAGATGGTTGCGTACGAGTTTTCTGTCACCACCATTAGTATATGATCTGAAAAGAGGGAGAAGGAAGGTGAGACGAACCACACAGAACCATCAACGTAACCAACCAAACAGCCGCCGGCGAAAAGCCCAACCCAGCCGCAGTATAGTACGCCAACGGCACCGTCAGCACCCCAAACATGGCATTAAAAACCCTCATGAAGACATAATCCAATTCCTCCGGATACTTCTCCCCACTCTTAAACTCGAAACTTCCATTATAATTCGCCAAATACCCGCTGAGACCGACGAGCATCTTGCCGAGGGGTGGGTGGACGTCGAAGTAGAATTCGCGCTTGAGGTAGTGGGAGCCGAATTTACCAAAGTGGGCTTCATCCCAGGTTACGATGTTTGAGCGGCCGATGCGGTAGAGGCGGGTGAAGAGGGCGAGGGCGGTGAAGAGGAGGGGGAGGATTGGGTTGTAGACATCGGGAAGTGATGACTGTTCGCAAGAAGTTAGTCGCTGATAAACTCAACAGCGGCAGCTGATGCGAACCTCCTGTGCGATAGCATTCATAGCCACCTTCGCGTACTTCTTCTCGTCGTGATCCATGGCCGGAGCGGCATCGAGCTTGGTGACGACAGCCTCACCTGTGCCTGATCCGACTTTCCGCTTCTTGAGCTCGTGTTGTTCGACGTTCGCCATTGTCAATCGATCCCTTGTCAAGGTTCAATTGCGTTGGTTCGTCGAGGTTATATGCTGCGTTGGAGTCGTACGTGACAGCTGGCATGGACGGGCCCCTACCGAGTGTGCGCTAGGACCGAGGCCGCATCGAGCAATCGTGACACACCTTAAACAGCCCACTGGCAAGGATGATGGATGCTGTCTGTATGGAGAGGTAAAATGCTTCGGAAGCCTTTACGTAAGTTGCTGGACAGTCCTGGGCTCAGGCGGGCCATGTTAGGGGTTGCCAAAATCAGGATGGGGAGCAAAAAGGACGTTCCGTTACGGGGAATCGAACCCCGGCCTCTTCGGTGAGAGCGAAGTATCCTAGCCCCTAGACCATAACGGATTTGGATGCCAACAATTTCTCGAGTGTACACACATCTACTTTGTCACGAGTTTTCCGCCGACCGCCTACCGGTACATCATTCAACTCCATGCGACTCCGCAAACATTCAAAGGACGGATGATACCGACAGCACAACACCAATTGGCATTTACACAGCAGGACAACGGTATACCCCCCTCGTAATCGATTCTACGATACACCCAGTGAATTGCCTCGCTTCAATCCCGTTCGTGCGAGGCCGAGTCGTTGAGGAACACAACACATCACTCACCCGCGACTCCTTTCCGTCAATTCACCACATACCGCCCATCAAACACAGTAGCCCACCATGAAGCCGTTCGCTAACGGTCCATCCGTCTCTACAACCACCGCCAATGGCTCCACACCATCCCAATCCGCCGTACCACAGTACACCCTTCAAGGCTCCATCCACTTCCTCTTATCTGAACACCGACGATTCGAGCGAGAACGGAACATGTGGGAAATCGAAAAAGCAGAGATGAATGCTCGGATTGCAAAGTTGGAAGGGGAGAAGAGGAGTGGTGAAAGACTAAAGGGATGGTTGGAGAGAAGGGTAAAGATGTTGGAGGAAGCATTGAAACGGGAAAGGTACGGAAACAGGTCACAAAATGTCGATTTTGACTTTACTGACAGGTTCTCTTATAGAGGTGGAAAACCGATTGAGGAGTTGTCTGAGGAAGCGTCTATGGTTCCGCCGGGTTTGGCACAAGCAGACAAACCGAACGTACGACCACAGAACCTGGGACACTCGCTCTCTTTCTTGGAGATCATTGACCAGACAAGGGATTTGCATTCGAGTACCGAGCGGGCTCGGTCTCGGGATTTCTTAGAGAAATGCTTGACGGAAGTGACTTGCCTCCTTTCCTCACCTCTTGTTGGACCTGCACAGGCTGGTGCTCAGGCAGCTCGGGCTCAACCTCCCACTACCGCTGGTGCAATCGTTCAGCAGAACGGACAAGGGCAAGGTTGGACAGGTGCGGCACCTGTCACCACAACGGCAGTTACCTCTTTCACCGCTCAGCCATCACTCGATCTCCCACCACCAGCACCAATGCCAAATGGAATCATCCAGCGTCCCGCACCGCCACCGCCTTCAGTAGCTGCAGAGCCAACCCCACCCTCATCGACCTCAAACTCCGACGACGAGGAAGTCGAAGTCGAAAGTGTCTCGTACACCGTTGACAGGTACGGACGACCAGCTGCTCCTGCTCCTGCACCCAATACCTCACTTCCATCCATCCCAATCCCTGAACCCGTCGTGATCGCGGAGGAGGTGGAGAGCCCTAAAGACGAAATCGAGTTGTTGGAGGAGAAGGGCGATATCGGCACCAGTCCCGCTACAGGGACGAGTGGAGGCGAAGGCGAGGGACACCCGCTTGGATTACCGCCCAGCTACACCCCTAGCGTGGACAAAAAGGAAGAACAGGGTGAGGATGTTGAGTGGGATCTTGAGGATGATGAGGAAGAGGTTATCGAGGTTGAGGATGCGCAGGGTGCACACGAAGGTGGTGAGGAGGATGATTATGATGCGGAGATGAGGAGGGCGATCGAGATGGAAACGCAGTCGCAGGCTTCGGATGCGCCGACGGAGGTGGAGGAGGAGGTTCCTGCTACTGAACGATGGGAATGCCGGTTCGAGGGGCGAGCGCATTTGACCGGGGTCAGAGCCGTCGTGTGGGTTCCCGAAACTGACGAGGTCGTGACTGGTGGTGAAGACGGGGTAATCGCTCTCCAGGGTTTACCAGTAAGTGGCGGCAAAGACCTAAAAACGACCGCCATCTTCCGCGGCCACCATGGCTTCGTGACATCCCTCGCCGTCAGCAATGGCAAAATCTACTCTGCTGGGACTGACGCGACGATTCGTGTCTGGACCCTTCCTGAATACATTAACATCGAGGAGACGGATGACGACGTACTCCCCGCTACCCCGGACTTGATGAAACACGATATTTTGGTGGGTCACTCGAACGCGGTTTGGGATGTGAAGGTTTCGAGGGATGGGAGGTTGTTGGCTACTGCGGGTGCAGATGGGATGGTTAAGATTTGGGATGTTGAGGGTGGGAGGAATAAGTTGAAGTCGAGTTGGAGGTGGAAAGATAACGAGGAGGAATGTGGGGATGTTGTTCCGGTTAGTTTGGGGTGGGTTGATGGGGAGGGGATCGTGGTTGGGTGGAGCTCGTCTGAAGCACAGGCGGAGGTTAGGGATGCGGTTAGTGGGGATGTTGTAAAGACATTGACGTGTGAAGGAGCGACGGGTGTTAGGAAGATTGTTGTGAAGAATGGTGGTGAGGATGTTTGGGTTGGGTATGAGGATGGTGTTGTAAGAACGTTCAGCGTGTCATCAGGTACATATCTTGTTCGGCACCGTATTGTGAACACCGCTAACAGCAATTGTACAGGAACACCTGAAGAGGTTGCGAACAGCAGCACTGGCAAGCCCATTACCGCTCTCACTGTTTCCGCCGATGGTGAGACTGAGATCGTCGCGGAGGACGACGTGGTTCGGTTCGTTCATAAGACTGATGATGGCGAGGTTGATATTCGGGAGTTCATTGAGCATGCGAAGAAGGGTGGAGAGTGTGTTCATGATGTCGCCATCTCGTGCACTGGAAACAGAGCAGCGAGTGTTGGAGCTGATGGTTCGGTGAAGATTTACGTAAAGGAAAGGCAGTGAACGGCTCATTTGCGGTGAGGACAAGAGAAGATGGTTGCATGGTTGCACAAGGGATATAGGTATGCTTACCGAAGCCATGGTTGCAATTGCAGTTTTGCTCTGGGTTATTTTTAAGTTCTGTTACAAGTCTTGCACGGGGTTCGAATTCGTTTTACTTAGGGATTGTTCGCTGGATTTCGTGTTTGGGTTTTTTTCAGGATATCATAGAGAATTTGCTTGGAAGGAACCAAAAGTATTTGATTACATTCACGGTCTCTTCTAATCATGCTCATAACCTCCAGTATGCGTATCACACCCATTCACAGCATGTCAACATTCCCCATTACCCTCTCCGCCTTCCACCCCAGCCTCCTACTCACCATCTCAATCCCCTCCAACACCGTCTCGGGTACTGTACACAACACCTCCAAACTAACAACCTCCTCAACCTCTCTAACATACATCTCCATCTCCATCCGCGAATCCAACAACTCCGCCACCTCCACCTCCAAATCCAGCGGAAAGCGGACATAACCCTGCAGACCTGGTCCCAGTCTCGTCCACATCCAGTTCAGATAAGATTCTAGTAACTCTACGTACCCTTCTGCGAAGGTTCGATACTCTTCGTGAGCTGTGTTGGAGGCGTAGAAATCTGGTGCGGTGGTGATGATTAGATCGAAGCCTTTGAGCAGGGTTCGGTGGAGTTGAGTCATGTCGAGCCAGAAGTCGAGGGTTGGAGAGGTGTAGCAGAAGGCTTCTGGGTTATTGCTTTTGATGGGACTGGCCACCACGGCATCTCTGATTGAGCGACGGGTGGATCCTGACCGCCGGGGATTCAGCTTGCGTAGGGTTTCCCACGGTCGGGGCTTGAAGGACTTTGAGCGTTTGCTCGTGGACGAGGTTTTACTGGACGGCGGAGAGGGTAACGACGCCGCTGCATCAGACGTGGATAAGGAGGATAGATAGACGCTGTCTTGCGAACGCTTTGAGGTGAGGCGGGGGGTGAGTGTATGTGGGTTGATGACGAGGTATTTGTCTGATCCGGCGTCCGAGGTGGATGATTTCTTGGTAAAGGACTTGTGTGAGGGCATTGTTTGTTTTGTTATGAGGTTTGAAGTATTTGTTGTTTGTGATTGTCAAGTGGAGGAAGAGAGAAGACGTGTTTATATACCCTTATTGTGACTGTATGGTGGTCGGAAACGTAGCAACACGGCCTCGGTGTCGGTATCGGCATCGGTGTTTGGTTCCTCGACCTCCAATTCCGACCGCATTTGCGATTCCGTAACCCGTATCGCTTAGCAAATATTGGAACTTTAATTCAGTTATAAATGCCGACTCCGCGACCGTGACGTTGCAAACAACGGCCCGCTATAAGGTTGCGTATGACTGACTACCTTAGCTTCCCTTATCCTTCAGCATGTGATACGGGCCGATTCATGTTACTGGCAAATCAAATGCCGTCATTGGATCCGGACCTCGGCGTTCGGACCGGATGTTGCATCCCTCCGGCTGGCCTACAGTCTCGGGAAGGTGTATACCTACCTCGTAGCTGTGGTTAACGGGTGATGTGAATGACAGCAACGGCGTACACAAGAGTGCCAGTGCGAGTCGACACACAGACAGCAGAACGAATCATGGACCTCAAGAACATAAGAGTCTTCGGTCTTGGGTAACATCGAAATCCGTTATGGTCTAGGGGCTAGGATACTTCGCTCTCACCGAAGAGGCCGGGGTTCGATTCCCCGTAACGGAACGTCTTTTTGTCCTCTTTCCAATTTCCCTGCCAACAGCTTCGGTTAATCTGGACGTAATTGTCTCACTGCAAGGGAAGAACATGCCAGTTCCGAGGATCCTTGCATTCGGAGCCGGCGCCTTCGGGGCACCTCTTCCCCACTTTTGGCTCGCGATCGGGACCGCCTCCGGCAGCGGGCGGGAGAAAATGTCGGCGGAGGAGTTGACCCCGCCTTCGATGCCCATCTCGTACGCCATTTGCAGTAGAGATAGAGTGCATCGCATCCCATCTTCCAGCTCTTGACACTCGTTCTTTCACGGTGTGTGCCTGCCCGACGTCGACGTCCTTTTCTACGCGCGCAATCCGACGCGACCGACTGCGGCGGGTGCGGACCGTAAACCTTCTGTAAGTGGCAGATCTAAGCATGAGCCCAAGATAAAGAAGAGGACGCCGAGTTGACCCGAAGCCTTCGCTTGGTCAATTGGAAGTAGAGGAAGCCTTCGCTTGGTCAATTGAGGATGTTCGGCTGTTCTCGCTGTGCAATTGACTGATCCAATCCATCTCCATTTCGTTCCTATCTCGCAACCCACAGTGTTCTTATCAGTGATCAGTTGCGGGGTTGACCAATCATCGGATGCGCTTTCACACAGAGCCTGTAGACTTCCCCCCCCTCGTCTCGTCGCATCCAATATAGACCTCCATCCCGTCCGATCCCTCCTCCTCTTCTTTTGACTTCACCCACAAACTTGAGAGCTTGCCGCACAATAGCAAAGCAAAACGAAACGTGAGAACGAGCTCTCTCCGTACGATGGCCATCCCGAACGATGGCGACTTGATCATCGAACCTCACGCCGACGCTCCCATCTACAACTACGAAAACACTCCCTCCAACCCATCCTGGGCTGGTGCGCTTCCCACCAAGCAAGGGCTATATGATCCAGACTACGAGAAAGACGCCTGTGGTGTGGGATTTACATGTCATATCAAGGGTGTTGCTAGTCATAAGATTGTTAGTGATGGTAAGCTCATGAACCTGTTCCTCGGCAAAGGAAGGAGACTAATTTGGTGTTTCACAGCTCGCAACCTCCTCTGTAATCTCTCCCACCGCGGTGCAGTCGGCGCCGATTCCCGCGATGGTGATGGTGCAGGTGTGATGACATCCATCCCCCACGGATTCTTTGCCCACGAATTCGCGTCCTCGTTTTCCTCTTCCTCTTCCGCTACGTTACCAGCTCCAGGTCAATACGCCGTCGGTAACGTCTTCTTCTCCCCCGACGCAAACGTCGAAGCAGAATCAAGAGCGACATTCGAGGGTATCGCAGAGGGTTTAGGATTACGAGTCTTAGGCTGGCGAAGAGTTCCGCGTGATTCGACCCTCTTGGGCCCGAGCGCTCGTAGCCGCGAACCCACGATTCTCCAACCCTTCGTGGTGCTGGAGAATCTTGGCGACGAGGCATCTTTTGATGAGAAACACTTTGAACGACAACTCTTTGTCCTCCGCAAATCCGCCACCCACCAAATCGGTCTCCACAACTGGTTCTACATCTCCTCCCTCTCCTCGCACTCTATCGTGTACAAAGGACAACTCTCACCCTCTCAAGTTTACGCTTACTACCATGACCTAAACTCGTATCGGTATGAGGCGCATTTCGCGTTGGTGCATTCGAGGTTCAGTACGAATACCTTTCCGTCGTGGGATCGTGCGCAGCCGATGCGGTGGGCAGCGCATAACGGCGAGATCAACACCCTCCGCGGCAACAAAAACTGGCAAAGAGCTAGGGAGGGCCTCATGCACTCCCTCGAACTCGGAGACAAACTCGATATGGTTTACCCCATCATCGAAGAAGGCGGCTCCGATTCCGCTGCCTTCGATAATGTGTTGGAGTTATTGGTCATCAACGGCGTCCTCAGCCTCCCGGAAGCGGTGATGGTCATGGTACCGGAGGCGTGGCAGGATCAACCCTTGATGGAGGAGAAGAAGAGGGGGTTTTATCAGTGGGCGGCGTGTTTGATGGAACCGTGGGATGGACCGGCACTCTTTACGTTTGCGGATGGAAGGTATTGTGGTGCGAATTTGGACAGGAATGGGTTGAGGCCTTGTCGATATTATATCTTGGATGATGATATCATGATTGTCGCGTCGGAGGTTGGAACGATTTCTGTCGAGCCTGAGAGGGTCGTCAAGAAGGGCCGACTCCAGCCCGGACGGATGTTGTTGGTCGATACACTCGAGGGTCGCGTGGTCGATGATTCAGAGTTGAAGAAGCGCGTGAGCGAACGCTGTGATTTCCAGGCATGGGTGGAGAACCAGTTGGTTACTATGCCCGAAGTCATCAGTACCCTTAAATCACGCGACGACATGTTGTTGGCACCGCTGTTGGATGGGACTGGGGTCGCGGAGGATCCGAGGATGTTGGCGTTTGGGTATACCCTCGAACAACTCAACCTCATCCTCGCCCCCATGGCCGCCTCATCCAAAGAAGCTCTCGGGTCGATGGGTAACGACGGGCCGCTTGCTGTTCTGGCGACGCAGCCGAGGTCGATCTATGATTATTTCCGTCAGTTGTTCGCACAGGTTACTAACCCACCCATCGATCCCATCCGCGAGTCGATCGTGATGTCGTTGGAGTGCTATGTCGGACCTCAAGGTAATGTCCTGGAAATGAATCCTGAGCAGGCGCATCGGTTGCTCATGCCCTCCCCCGTCCTCTCCATCGAGGATTTCAACGCGTTGAAGAGGATTGGAGAAGTCCATGATGACTGGACCGTTCGTACGATTGATTGTACGGTTGCGAAGGCTGAGGGGGAGGACGGCTATGTCCGTGCTCTTGACCGAATCTGCGAGGAAGCTGGAAAGGCGATTCAGGAGGGGATCAAGGTCATTATCTTGTCTGATCGCGAGACGGGACCGGAGAGGGTCGCGTTGAGTGGGCTTTTGTCGTGTGGAACTGTGCATCACCATTTGGTCCGGAACAAGTTACGTGCAAAGGTCGCGCTTGTCGTGGAGACTGCTGAGGCGAGGGAGGTTCATCATCTTTGTGTCCTGCTCGGGTATGGAGCTGATGCGATCTGTCCTTACCTCGCTATCGAAGCTATCCTCAAACTTCACCGTGAGAATGCGCTCAAGACCAACTTGTCGGTCGAGGAGTGTATTGAGAACTTCCGCCATGCGTGCGATGGAGGTATTTTGAAGGTGATGTCGAAGATGGGTATCTCGACTTTGCAGTCCTACAAGGGTGCACAGATCTTTGAGGCGTTGGGGTTGGATCATGAGGTTATTGACAAGTGTTTTGCTGGAACTGCGTCCAGGATCAAGGGTGCGACATTCAAGTACATTGCTCAAGATGCATTCTCGTTCCATGAGCGCGGTTGGCCTACTCGTGATACTGTCCATGTTAATGGTTTGCCGGAGAGCGGTGAATATCATTGGCGTGATGGTGGTGACCCCCATGTCAATGACCCTGCGTCCATTGCGAACCTCCAGGACGCCGTGCGTGCGAAGAACCAGAAGTCGTACGAAGCGTACTCGAAGACGGCGTATGAGAGTATTAAGGCTTGTACGTTGCGTGGTATGCTCGACTTTGACTTCGAGGGCGCCACTCCTGTTCCGATTGAGCAGGTCGAGCCTTGGACGGAAATCGTGAGTAGGTTTGTTACGGGTGCGATGTCGTATGGATCTATCTCAATGGAATCGCATTCTGCACTCGCGATTGCGATGAACAGGCTCGGTGGAAAGTCTAACACCGGTGAAGGTGGTGAAGACCCTGAGCGATCCATTCCTATGGCGAATGGAGATACCATGCGTTCGGCCATTAAGCAGGTCGCTTCGGGTCGTTTCGGTGTTACATCGTACTACTTGTCCGACTCTGATGAGTTGCAGATCAAGATGGCTCAAGGTGCGAAGCCTGGAGAAGGAGGTGAGCTTCCTGGCCACAAGGTCTCGCAGTCGATTGCGAAGACTCGCCACTCCACTCCCGGTGTTGGTTTGATCTCTCCGCCGCCTCACCACGATATTTACTCCATTGAAGATTTGAAGCAGCTTATCTATGATTTGAAGTGCTCCAATCCTCATGCACGTGTCTCCGTCAAGCTCGTCTCCGAGGTCGGAGTTGGTATCGTCGCTTCTGGTGTCGCCAAGGCTAAGGCAGACCACATCCTCATCTCCGGACACGATGGAGGAACGGGTGCTTCTCGTTGGACTGGTATCAAGTATGCCGGTTTGCCGTGGGAGTTGGGTCTCGCCGAGACTCACCAGACTCTCGTCCTGAACGACTTGCGTGGTCGTGTGGTCGTCCAGACCGACGGTCAGATCCGTACGGGACGTGATGTTGCCGTCGCCTGTTTGCTCGGTGCCGAGGAATGGGGGTTCGCTACCACGCCTCTCATCGCACTTGGTTGTATCATGATGAGGAAGTGTCATCTCAACACTTGTCCTGTTGGTGTCGCTACGCAGGACGAGGCGCTTCGCAAGAAGTTCGTTGGACAGCCTGAGCATGTGATTAACTTCTTCTACTACGTCGCAGAGGAGTTACGTGGCATCATGGCTAAGCTCGGCTTCCGTACGATCAACGAGATGGTCGGTCGCAGTGACAAGCTCTTTGCCAGGAAAGACAACCGCAACCTCAAGACGAGGAACATTGACCTCAGTCCTATCCTCACACCCGCTTTCAAGCTCCGTCCCGGTGCTGCTACGTACAATGTCCGCAAGCAGGACCACCGTTTGTACACCCGCTTGGACAATAAGCTCATTTTCGAGGCTGAGGAGAGTTTGGAGAAGGGTTTGCCCACTCGCATCGAGTGCGACATCTTGAATACTGACCGTGCTCTTGGAGCTACCCTTTCGAACAAAGTCTCGAGGAAGTACGGTGAAAAGGGTCTCCCCGCTGATACCATCCACGTCAGCATCAAGGGTAGTGCCGGCCAGTCCTTCGGTGCATTCCTTGCTCCGGGTATCACACTCGAACTTGAGGGTGACGCCAACGATTACGTCGGTAAGGGTCTTTCTGGTGGTCGTTTGGTGATCTACCCTCCCAAGGCATCCACGTTCTTGTCCGAGGAGAACATCATCATCGGTAACGTCTGTCTCTACGGAGCCACATCCGGTAGCTCTTTCTTCCGTGGTGTTGCCGCCGAGCGTTTCGCCGTCCGTAACTCTGGTGCGACGACTGTCGTCGAGGGTGTCGGAGACCATGGATGTGAGTACATGACTGGTGGTCGCGTCGTCATTCTCGGACCTACTGGTCGTAACTTTGCTGCTGGTATGTCTGGTGGTATCGCATACGTCTTTGACATGACGCAGGACTTTGCCTCTAAGGTTAACTCTGAGATGATTGAGTTGTCTGTTCTCGATGATCCTTCTGAGATTGCTTTCCTTCGTGGTCTCATTGAGGACCACGCTCATTACACCGGCTCCGAGGTTGCCCAGCGTATCCTTGACCACTTTAGCCACTACCTCCCTCGCTTCGTCAAGGTTCTTCCGACCGACTACAAACGTGTCCTGGCTGAACAGGCCGCAAAGGCCGAAGAAGCCAAGAAGGCCGAGTACCCTCTTCCCTTGCTCCCCGAGAACTCCATCCGTGTCCAACACGAGAAGATGCAAAAGGCGGAAATCGAGGCCAAGAAGAAGAAGGAGGAGGCAAAGGTCATGGACCTCGAAGACAGCGTCCTGGACGGTACCAACGAGAAACGCAAGGTCGCAGTCCTCGACAAGACACGTGGCTTCATGAAGTACAAGCGTCAACTCGACCGCTACCGTGACCCGAAGAAGCGTACCAAGGACTGGAACGAGCTCAACGCCCGTCTTCCCGACAACGAACTCAAGGTCCAGACTGCGCGCTGCATGGACTGTGGTGTCCCCTTCTGCCAGAGTGATTCCGGGTGTCCTGTTTCGAACATCATTCCCAAGTGGAACGAACTCGTTTTCCAGGATCGTTGGAAGGATGCGTTGGATAGGTTGCTCATGACCAACAATTTCCCCGAGTTTACGGGTCGTGTTTGTCCGGCGCCTTGTGAGGGTGCATGTGTGCTTGGTATCAATGAGTCTCCGGTCGGTATCAAGAGTGTTGAGCTGGCTATCATTGAGGTTGGGTTCGAGCGTGGGTATGTCAAGGCTTGCCCGCCGCAGCACAGGACTGGTAAGAAGGTCGCTGTCATTGGATCTGGACCTGCCGGTCTTGCTGCTGCTGATCAGCTTAACAAGGCTGGACACACCGTCACTGTCTACGAACGAGCTGATCGTCCTGGAGGGTTGTTGATGTACGGTATTCCGAACATGAAGCTCGACAAGGGTATCGTTCAGCGTCGTCTTGACCTCATGTCTGAGGAAGGCGTCACATTCATCACTGGTGTCGAGGTCGGAAAGGATCTCGATGTCAAGGACCTCAAGGCCGAGAGCGATGCTATTGTCGTCACCACTGGTGCCACCATTCCCCGCGACTTGGGTATTCCGAACCGCAATTTGGATGGTATCCACTTCGCCATGCAATTCCTCCACAAAAACACTCAGTCCCTCCTCGACTCCAAGCACGAGGACCAAAAGTACATCGACGCGAAGGATAAGCACGTCATCGTCATTGGAGGTGGTGATACGGGTAACGACTGTATCGGAACCTCCGTCCGTCACGGCGCGAAATCCGTCACGAACTTCGAGCTCCTCCCTCAACCCCCACCGCAGCGTGCGAAGGATAACCCATGGCCGCAATACCCACGCGTGTTCAAAGTCGACTACGGACACGCCGAGGTCCAGGCGCACTACGGTAAAGATCCGCGTGAGTACTGTATCATGTCAACCGAGTTCGTCTCGGATGGGAACGGGAAGGTGAAGGGTGTTAACACCATCCGTGTCGAGTGGACCCAGAATGAGGCGGGACAGTGGTCGATGAAGAAACTCCCGGGTACCGAGAAGTTCTTCCAGGCCGACATCATTTTGTTGGCCATGGGTTTCTTGGGACCCGAGGAGACTGTCGCGGAATCTCTCAACCTCAAACGCGATCCTCGCACGAACATTGATGCGAAGTTTGGGGAGTTCTCGACAAGCGAGATGGGTGTCTTTGCGGCTGGTGATTGTCGTCGTGGGCAGTCCTTGATTGTGCATGCGATTAATGAGGGACGACAGGCGGCGAGGAGTGTTGATTTGTATTTGATGCATGATTCGAGGTTGCCCGCTGCTGGCGGGATTGAGAAGCGTGATTTGTTGAAGATTGCGGAGAACGAGATTGCTGTTAGTGCTTGAGCGTGAGCGTATGATTTTTTGTTCTCCAAAAGTTTTGCTGCGATGACAGAAAATGAGAAGAGTTTGGAGGAGTTTTGTGGGGTGGGAGGACGGTCTGTATACATATGAAGACGTGGGTTTGTATTTGGTAAACGTTTTTGATTTGGTCTTTTTTGGATTGATTTGGTTAAGTTATACCAGTATCTATACCATCGATAAGTTTTTGTTTTAGCAACGCAAAAATGGATAGCATCTTGTTTTTCTGAACGTCTTCTCTCTCCAAGTCTTCACATCACCTCGATCATGATCGGATGCTCATACTTGAGATTTCGATTCAGACTCTTCGGATCACTCCGTGACAGTCGTCCGGTTTGGGGTGCGCAGGCTCATGTCGCGACCGTTACCGGCTTTCTGGTACTTCCCTTTCTTCGACGCCGCACTTTGGGCTGCACGGCTGAGAGACGCCGTCGGAGGCAGCCATGATTGCGGGTGGTGGAGAGAGCTGATGTCAGAGCTTTGTCGGTGTACCCTTGTTCCCGCCGCCATTGCCAAGAGATCGAGGATTTCATTCAGAATCTTCTTCTACTACGATCAGTTGCAGCTGCCATGTTCCCTCTCGTATTGCAAACGTGTGCATGGGATGTTGTTGAATTGACGTCGAATTGACGTTAAAAACGGTATCACCGGCCATCCTCGACGAACGGCCTTTATTTGTCATCCCAGACAACAGCGAAAATGCTCCTAAAGCTTCTCCCTCACCGAAATCATACCAAAGTTCTCGCCTCATACATCTTATTACCGAATCCGGCCGGTCGTGGATTTTCTGCATGAAACAAATTGGGCCCGTGCGCGAATGGAAGCAGAACAACGGGAGAAGCAATTGAGGCAGAATCAAAGAGAACTGAGGGTAACGGTCAAGCCAATTGAGTTGCCAAGTACACTGGAGGAGCAATTGACCTCAATTGACAAGAATCCAAGCCGTTACTCCCTCCCAATTCGGTCATCCACGACGAAATAGGCCAATTCGGTAGCGCCTCCCAACGGCGCCAAACGGCCTCGATCGAATCCGGCGGCATAGCGCAGGGATCAGTCCATGAAGCCCAACGCAAATCCGGGGCGAAAATCGCGATGTGCCTAGCTGTGTACGAGAAGCATGGCAGCGACGATCCGTATCCGGCCATGTCTGGCGTGGTTGATTGAGGCGGTCGTGAGCGGCGATGGCACGGGCCTGATGAGGATTGGACGGCGAGCTAGGGTGAAGGGTCCTATAAAGACCTGGAAGTCGCCTGTCATTTGAGGAGATCCAAGGGTTCCGACCAAGTTATCTCTCCACTCTCTCTTGCGACTTACAGTCTCTACAATGGTCTCCCTCACCACCATCCTTACCTTCCTCGCCTCCACGGCACTCATTTCCACCGCCGCTCCCACCGAGCCCCAAGGCCTCACGATCGAATTAATCAAGCGCGGTGCACCTTCCTTCACTGACTCTGACGGCGTCGTCAACCTTACCTCCGTCTCCGGCTCCGTCGCCAACGTCGCGGGCAAGTACGCTAAGATCGACAATAACGGACACAAGACCTTCGAGGATGGCGCGAAGCAGTGGATGTCTGGCTGGGACGCAAACTCCGATGCCTCATACCAGACATCGCGCAAGAAGTCCTCGTACGGGTACAAGAAGGGAAAGCGTGCCATTTCTTCCAAGAAAGTCACCGCAACCGAGTCGTTGACGAACTACGGCAACGACGGGATGTGGGCAGGTCCCATCACCATCGGTGGAAAGACCTTCACCATCGACTTTGACACTGGGTCCGCCGATCTCTGGGTTCCGTCGGTAAACTGCACCTCCACCGCCTGCTCCGGAAAGAACCTCTATAACTATACCAAGACATTCAAGTCCGTCACCCCTGGATTCACCGCAAACTACGGCATGGGCTCCGTCTCCTGCAACAAAGGAACCGAGACCGTCACGGTCGCTGGTCTTAAGGCAACGATGCAAACTTTTGGATACTGTTACTCCCTCGACTCTGGCTTCGGTGGGAACTTTGCTGCAGATGGGTTAATGGGCATGGCATACCAATCCATCGCACAATCCGGCGGCAAGCCATTCTTTAACACCCTTATCTCGCAAAACAACATGAACGGAATTTTCTCCTTCCGCCTCGCACGGGCTTCGGGAGGACAAGCGTCGACGCTCACTCTGGGTGCTGTGCCGAGTGGATACTCTGTTACTTACACCCCCGTCGTTTCCAAGGACTATTGGCGTGTCAACCAGTCTGCGGTGTATGTGAACGGTATCGCAGCCGTCGCATCAACCCAAGCCGCAATCGACACTGGAACGACTTACGTCGTCGCTCCCTCCGCTGACGCCGCCGCATTCTACGCCGCCATCCCCGGCTCCACAAACCTCGGCTACATGGGCTACCCCTCCTACTACGCCTTCCCCTGCGACGTTAGTATTCCTACCGTCCAGTTCAACTATGGCGGAAAGAACTTCACCATGAACTCTGCGGATTTCAATTTGGGGCTGTTGGCTGCGGGAAGTAATATGTGTGTGGGAACGATTGTTGCGAGTGATATGTTTAGCAATATGTGGGTTGTTGGGGATTCGTTTTTGAAGAGTGTCTTGACTGTGTATGATTTCACGAACAACAGGGTTGGGTTTTCGCCTGCCGCCTAAGCGACCTTGAGGGAGCTTAGCTGGAGCGGGGTTTGGAGATGGAGCGTGATGGAGTGGATCTTCTAAAAAGCATACGGGACAGTTGTTCTTGGACGCTTCCTCTTTCTTGATGGGCAGTGCCCGGGGTTTGATACCTTTTTCTTTAGATAGCCTTACGGGATAGTGTCCCTAGATGAGCTGGACTCCTATATTCTTAGCACATACCGAACATAATCTCATCGAATACCTGGCCATGGATTGTATCTCTGTGAGTGAACCATTCTTGCTCCAGATGCAGGGTTCACGTTCTTCGCGAGTAAGAAACCCTTGTTCAAGGGATTAGGCCGCGGACGATACCCTCTGTTCACCAACTCCAACGCGCATGACGATGACTCTCGCAGAGGCCGTGATGTAGGTCCTCGCTCGGAAAGCTCATGGTTATCGAGCGACCTAGGCGCCAATCATATCTCATGTTCCAATCTCGAGTATCTCAAACGTGTTATGCTCTGATGCATAGCTATCGTCCTCAGTTTGGCTTCTCTCACCCGCCTCTCGCTCTCACTTTCACACGCTACCGAGACATACTCAACCACCGTATCGATGTCTTCCCAAGGACATCCTGCCGCAACTTCTACCTCCACCCCTTACCTTTGATCATCAAATCTCTCCAAGTAACCCACATCCCACCGCCCGAATTTCCTTAACCCCTGCGGTAATCTATCCGTACTCGCTTTCAAACCTTCTCTGATCACATGCAAGACATCATTTGCATACGTCAAGCTTTCCACATTCTCCTCCGGAGCAGTATCCGTATTCTCGCCATCTACTAGACGATATAATACCTTCATGACTCTGGTGGGGGCGGTTACGGCGGCCTCGTTTGTCAGGGGTGTATTGGGATGTGCGACACCTAACGTGATATGTAACGACGGGTTGAATATCCAGATCTGATGATAGGCGCATTGTTAGTCAAATGTACCTTTGACAAAATGTTCCACTTCACTTACCCTCAACGCCTCGGGACCGGTACCGGTACCGTCTTCAGACCGTAACAAGAAGTGGTATGTAGCATGAGCATCAACACTCTCCAACAACTCAGCTGCAACAAACTTGGACGCGGGGTGTTTCGCTCCATTCACAGCGACGTTCCATTTGGGTACCCGTACACCGCCCGGAGTCATCGCACCTAGCACTTTCTCGCACTCTCGACAAGCCACAGCGGTGCCTTCATCCTGGCCCCGGACCTAAGAGAAAAAGAAGAGATGTCAGCTCATATCAGTGCCGTACAATACTATCTCACGCGTATCGTCCAGGTGAAAAATAAAGCCATCACAGCAATCCGAATCCTTGCACTGCGCTTCGCACTCACTCATCGAATCCTGCTCGAAGGCGGATAAACTTGAGGAGAGGGCGGGGGGAAGGATTGGATGTGTGTTTTGATCTTGGGCAGAACTTTGTATCGACGGACTTGGCTATGGAAGAACCCAGGGGGTTCAGCTAGTCGTCTTCTTTTAGGCCCGTTTTTTTTTTTTGGCGTGACGCCTGGAGGACATAAAGCGAGGATAGATTGAGCTTCACATACCTTGGTGTTTTGGAGGTCCTTGGGAGAGATGAGGAAGTATGTCGAACCAACGAAACCAGCGCCAGGCTTTGCCCAAAACATCTCCCCACTCGGATTAACTGGTTGTCCGTCATGTTCATGATCACTGCCTCCACGGTGACAAACCCAACAATCCATCATTTCGGCCCAGAACTCTGATGGTAGATCTTTCCATTGCAGATCTTCCGTGTTTGTGAGTAGTGTGCTTGAGCAGCCGGAACAGGTGATTTGCGCAGACTTCAATGAGGATGATTGCCATGGGATTGGATCAGAGGTGTTCGTTTTGGCTACTTTGCTGGAGACAGGTAATCTCAGGCTGAGCATTCCATCTTGTTTGGTATCGCATGTTGTCTGAAGTTCTTGGGGTACATCCGGCAGCGGGATGGTGATATGTGCATCACCATGATTGACATGTAAGACGTTTGAACTCCCCGCCGACACCGCGACGGACGCCGAACGAGAAAGAATGACAGTTACGGTCATAGCATGTAGCCGTGGCAATAGTTCAGCAAAGTATGGATACGCAGAGCTTCCATTCCCAGCCGTGCCATCCTCTCCCTTCCCATTCAATACCTTCGCCATTCGGATCCGAGGGGTCGGAGTTCCAGCTTATCGAGTACCGGCGTGGCTGGTGGGGTGGCGGTGCACGTATGAAGTAACCTGGGGTGGCGACGGACGACGTCGAAGACCGTAGGAAGCTGATGAGCTCAATAGACATAGACAGTACGATATACGAGATGTCAGCACCAGCACCACCGTCAACACCACCGCCTACGAATGGCCCGTCCGCGCCGCAGCTCCAGTTGACTCCGGAACAGGTGAAGCAAATGGTACAAGCGCTTTCATTCTGCCTTTTATAATCACATGATCAGCCGTATTAACATAGCTTTTGTATAGGAAACGAATCGCCTCAAAGCCAAGGCGAAACAAATCGAAGCAGAACGCCGCGCCGCACTCGCGAATCCCAACTCCTCCACTAACCCTTCAGCAACAGGAGATGGATTGACGAAGAGGAAGGGAGGAGCGTTGGATGATATTCAGCCGGCGAAGAGGTTCGCGAGTGGGTATATCGAATACGATTTCTCCAAGATGAAGGATACGAAGGCTGGGTTCATGGTTGATGAGTCGGAGATGCCGGGGGCGGGTGGACAGACGTTACAGGAACGACTCCTCGAACAACAACGACGGAAGACCATGCACGCACCCGCTCCACCCATCGATCCCCGCTCAGCCCCGAAATGCGAAGCATGCGGGAAAAGCACCGACCTCGACCCACAATTCGAGGAGGTATTCGGCGTGAGAGTCTGCTACATCTGCAAAGAAGCCGTCCCGGAAAAATACTCCCTTCTCACCAAAACTGAATGCAAAGAGGACTACCTCCTAACCGACCCCGAACTCAGCGACACCTCCCTCCTCCCCCACCTCCTCCGCCCAAACCCCCACAAACCAATGTGGTCCTCAATGCAACTCTACCTCCGCTCCCAAATCGAGGCGTTCGCGAACACCAAGTGGGGAAGTCTGGAGAAATTGGATGAGGAGTTTCAGAGGAGGGTGGAGAGGAAGAAGGAGGCGAAGGATAAGAAGTTTGAGGGGAAGTTGAGGGAGTTGAGGAGGAAGACGAGGGTTGAGACGTGGAAGAGGAAGGGGGGTGGGTTGGGCGGTGGAGGAGGGAAGGGGGGCAGGCATGAGCATGAGTGGGGCCAGGAGGCGGAGAAGGATGGCGTTGTTACGAGGAGGTGTGTGGAGTGTGGGATGGAGACTGAGGAGATTGTGTTTTGAGAGATACGAACTCGAGAGGTTAGAGGACAAAGTAGAGATTGACGAGGGATAATCAAGAGGTAGTTGCGACCAGGAGGGGACAGGTGTAGATATCACTAAGCGTGTCATTGTACGTTTATCATATTGAAAGAATTTTGACATCCAAATCCGTTATGGTCTAGGGGCTAGGATACTTCGCTCTCACCGAAGAGGCCGGGGTTCGATTCCCCGTAACGGAACATCCTTTTTGCTCCCCATCCTTGTGTTACCTTCTTCCTTTCGCTTAATGTTAAATCTCGATTAGTTTCAATACCGGCGACAGCGTATTTGGCTGATTCGCACGCATACGGTGGGTGCATTTGACGCCAGCATTGCACTTATCTACAACAAACACAATGCCGTCCAAAATTCGCATCACCCTTGTCCACTTATACCAACTTGTACAGCCCACCAGCTCCCAACTCAACCTTCCAAGAAACTCCTCAACTTCGTAAACTTTGATCGTAAACTTCAAACTTCTCGTAGGAGTTCTATTCGCTTCCATGCCAGCCTCCCCCAGATCTCGCGGCACGGGTGACACGTAGTACGCCAGCGCGACGCGCATCACTTGGGACGTCCTCGAACTTTACGACAAACACCAACCCTAAACTCAAACATCCAACAGCAAAGATGGCCATGAACTCTCAGATCGCACAGCTTGTCATCGTCCTCGGAGTGATGCAGCTCTCCAAGAAGTTTGACTGGGAGGACCCCCAGACCGTCTTCTACGCTCGTACTTTGTACACTGTGTCGAATGTGATTATCTTTGCGATCTACACCTGGATCGGATGGGGAATCTCCAAGAAGAATGGTACGCATGAACAGTAGATGCTCCTTGTCAAAGACATGCTGACAAACGTGTACAGACCTCACCACCTTGAAGTACGTCGAGCCCGCCTCCCCCATGGGCGGCTCCACCACCGAAAAGGTCATCACCACCACAAACCGCGACTACGACTCCGCCGAACTCGCCAAGCTCCGTAAATCCCAGCTTACTGGTGTCGCCATGATGGCCGTCATGCACTTCTACTTCAAGTTCTCCCAGCCTCTCCTCATTCAGTCCATCCTCCCCATCAAGTCCGCCCTCGAGTCCAAGTTGGCGCAGATTTACGTTTTGAACAGACCCGAGGTTGGAGATTTGGCTAGGCCCTGGAAGGTTGCGAGTATGTTTGGTGCGGCGGCTGAGGGGCCCAAGACCGACAAGGCCTCCATTAAGGCTGCTGAGAAGAAGGCTGGTGTTGGTAAGAAGGACGAGTAAGCGTTATTGCGTTATAAAAGGATACTTCTGGAGAGTGTACGTTTAGGAGGGAGTGTAATATAAAAACATTCATGCAATAGGACATCGATTATGCTTTATCTTCTGCCCCTATGCCTATCCTGATCACGATCGTCATGTCGTGGCCTTTCCCTGTCATGATTTTTCCCCCGCTCCCTATCGTAACCACCACCTCCACCCCTATCCTGTTTCCAGACGCCTTTTCGTTCGTCTTTCTTCGCTTTACCGGCCTCCTTCAATGCCGCCGCTTTTTCCCTCGGATCAATAACCACCAAGTTCTCCTCACCCTTCTTCTGTCTCGTACTACCATCCTTGCCCAGCCTATCCTTCTCAAACACCAGTTCGTGCGTGAGCCAGTCATTTGCTGTACTTGGATCCTCGTCATTCTGCTCACCCAGACGGTCGAAGCATGACATACACTTCGGCACCTGATGAAGCTCACAAAGCACCTCCATCTCAGGCGCCTGCGTCACCTCCTCCTCCTTCTTGCTCGGTGCAGCTGTGTGTAGTTTCGACTGAAACATGTTCAAAGCAGCAAGTGTATCGTCCTCCCCACGCCGTCTCTTGCGACCACCAACGATAGCCTTTGAGCGCTGCATGTATTTTGCACGTTCCTCTTCCAGAGCGGATACTTTTGCTTTCTTTGCTGGTCGGGAGTCTTCTGTGTCGCGTTTGTCGAGACCGCGGATTGAGGATTTGAGGGCTTCGATTTGAGAGGCGAGGTCGTCTTTCTTCGGTACAGCCGCAGGCGCAGGTTCGTCTGCCGCAATCTTCGGAAGCGTAGGTTTCTGTACCTCCACCGTCTTCGACTCTTGCTTTTCTGGTTGTCGTTCTGGTAGTGCGTCCACATCCACAGCGACCTTCTTCGCCAACCTCTTATCATCCAAAACATCATGCGCACTCTTCCCCTTCCCCTTCGGCTTAAACTCAACTTCTTCCTCCTCCCCCTCCTCACCCGCAAAACTCAACAAAGTCTTGTTCTTCGTTCCCTTCTTCTTCCTCGCTTCAGTTTTCTTCAACGCGTCTGCCTGTGCTGCGCGTTCCGCCGCCGTTGAGCGAGGGACGATGTCAGGGAAGGGGTTGATGACGACGGAGGCGGAGGTGATTTTCGCTGGGTAGAGGGGTCTTTCGTCGGCGTCTGTTTCGAGTTGGGAGATGCGAAGGAGGTTGTAGATCGTGTCGCCGACCATTCTTCCGAAAAGCGTGTTCTTCCCCGTTAACTCTGGCGTCTCTCCCAGCGTGAAAAAGAATTGACTCCCGTTATCGTCCTTGCCACTGTTTGCCATTCCGACAAGTCCGCGTCGGTTATATCTTATTCTCGTGTGGAACTCATCCTCGAAGGGTACGTCCCAAATACTTTGACCGCCGGTGCCGGTGCCTGTGGGATCACCTCCTTGCACGATGAAGTTGGGGACGATGCGGTGGAAAATGGTGTTATCGTAGTACCCCTCGAGACATAGCTGAATGAAGTTGCGACATGCCTTTGGACATTCTTTGGACCAGAGTTCGATCTCGAGGTCGCCTTTTGTGGTGTGGAGGATGACTTTGCCTCTGCAAGCAATGTCAGCATGATGATCATGGCGGTAACTTGAGGAAAGGGAGAACGTACTCGGTGGGAGGCTCGATATTGTATAGGGAAGCCATCACAACCGAATCGGCTCGTTGACTGAAGTTTCTACCTTTACGAGAGCCGGCAACACTGAGTGCGACTGCTGCGAGCTTGCGCAGGACTCGGTACGTATTGCAGAAAATACTCACGGTAGGTGCAAGTGTATTGGAGATTAGAAGAGGATGATTAAAGTCCTGTAAGATGACGGTTGATACTTCGAGAGCTCTCCACTGACTGGCCACGTTGAACCTACAATCCAACAGCGAACTTGAAACAAATAGGAGGCCAGTTGGCGACGAAGATTAGACGGCGACCTCATCATCTTCACCTACAACAGCATCTTCATGACCTTCAATATCCTCCTCAGCACTCTCTTCCTTCGCGACCGCCTTCTTCCCCTTCCCTTTTCCCTTCCCTTTGCCCTTCCCAGCAACACTCGACCCCCTCCTTGGCTTCGCCGGTTTCTCGTCCGGGTCGCCCTCAACCGAAGCCTTACTCTCCCTCCTCTTCTTCGGAGACGGGGGAGCACCCTCATCTTCATCGTGCTCCCCGCGATTCCCACCGGAGGTCTTGTTGGCTTTCTTCATACGAGCGAAGATGGTTTCGGCGCCAGAACGGGTACGGCCTTCGGGGAGATCGATTTCATCCCAGTTGGGTTTGATGTTGGATTTCGTGATGATTTCGAGGAGCAGGGAGTATTTCTCGCCGTCGGTCCAGGCGGTGGTGTTGTGGCTAACCATTGCGAGGTGGTACCAGATCAAGATATTGGTGAGGATGATGCTGGAACAGTCCTCCTGAATATCAGCTGCTTTGACGAGTTGGAAAGAACCACCTACTTGAATAAATGGCAAAGAAGTTGGGTTGCGGCCCAGTATCTACTTCAACGGGACTGATGGGGTTTTATAGGTTTTGTATCAAGGACCGAGTGGGGCATCACGTCCTGCCCATCAATCCGCTCAACCAAGCAAGGATGCAAGAGACTTGGCAGACACATTCAATGATTGGCCCAGATCATGCTGCTGCAAATGCTTTGCCGCAACCCTGAAGGGGATCTGCGAAGGGTCTGTCAGACGACCCCAGGCCCGCGCGAGCGCGTGTGAATTGGGACTTTAAACTTTCAGTGCGAACGTCAAACGACAAGATGTGCTCCCCAAGATATTTGTTTCGCCATTGCAAAGCGTTCAAGAGGATATCGATATACAGGCTGATCCGGTACAAAAAACCAAGATATTACTTAAAAAAAAGCTGCTGCAGCGACCGTCTGAAGCTCATTATGCATCAAGACCCATGGACCTCCGTATCACAGCTCCGAGCCGAGAACGTCATGGTTATTGCGTACATCAAATTCCCCTACCACACCATTCAGGCATCCTCAGCATCATCAAATCTTCCATTCGCGTTTTTCAACATAGCAAACCGTGGCCTTGGTTCTGGCGTTTCCAGCGTGACATGTATCCTACGCATGTGTTTGTAGCGATCTGCATCCCATCTGAAGGGCATTCTGCAAACAATACACTCTGTGATCCGTGGTAAACCCAGCCTACTAGCATGACGGGCTTCCTGATCCTCGCGTATAAGCAATTCAATCGTGTCATCTGGGTATATGGCCTGATCGTCTTGCTCCACAGCACACTCCTTCATATGTCGATCGATATAACTAGACGAATAATCTTTTTTGCAGAACGAACACGAAACCCGCGTGTGCTGCGAAGGTGAAGTTGTAACTTCTGGCGACGCCTCGGTATGATCTGATTCCACGTCATGGTCTGATTCCATATTTTCATCTGATCCCGCATCATTGACAATCAGCATCGCCTTTTCGCGAAGTTGGGTATTCAACTGTGAAATACGCGAAACAGATGAATGCAGTTCCTCGTGCAGATCAGGCGGACCCACTTCCACTTCCACTTCCACTTCATTTGACTGCGGCTCAACTGGCTCCGCCTTCTCGGAAAGAGTTGATTCATGTTCTCCTGTCGCAAGCTGCTCCACATGACTCTCGGCAGCCCTCGCTTGACAAGTTCGAACTTCCTTCATAGTAGCAGGCTTTATGTGTTGCGATATGTGATGAATCAACAACCGGTCACCCATAAATCGGCGACCACAAGAAGGACATACAGCCCGCTTTGATCTCCATTTGGGTTTCTGTGAAAGCATGAACAAGTTTATCTCTTTCCTCAGGGTCACCAGGTCCTTCTCCGCAGAATTTTCCCCTATAGAATGGCACCTTTCTTCAGTTTCATAATTGACGTTCTTTATCGGAACCGCAGATGACAGGTCTGCACCACCCACATTTGCCCGGCTGGATGCAGAACCCCCAGGTAGATTCGCGGCAGCAGGATGGTTCTGAACGCGCTCAAGATCCGTCACAGTTTCACGGCAAGATTCAATTCCAGAGAGAGCTCTCCTCTTCGCTCCTGATCTAGTTACACGAGGACCCTCCATCTCTGCCGCTGGTGCCAATTTCTGTTTGTGTGCAAGCTTCTGCTTCTGCTCAAGAGCTCGAGCGCGAGCGGCTCGAGCAGGTTTCATGTGCATTCTTTCGTAATGCCTCAAAACATGTTGACCACGACTGAAAGTGCGACGACATGCCGGACAAATGGCTGGTCTTTTTCTCCAGCCTGCAGGCAGCTCAGCAACGAAAACATTGAGCGCAGCCCCAAGCCCCCTCGGCAGATTTTCCTCATCATCTGCAGCATTGTCGTTGTTATCGTGCGTATCATGACTGGAAGACTGCACCGAAACCGGACGCGAACTCTCAGCAGCCTTATTTTCGGGGTTATCAGACGCGGAAGCGGTCTTTCTTGGAGATCGCCGCAGATACTTCTCGGGTTGCTTACTATGCAGCGAGCCGACATGCTCCAACATCATGTCTTGGTCATCGAAAACCTCGCTTTGGTCACCGCAGACACGACAAGTCCATTCTGTAGCCACAGACGGAGTACCCTCAGTCGTCCTTCGTGATCGAGCCAGCACACCGGTCTCCTCCTTGCGGATATCGACTGTTGCATCAGCGGCGTCTTGATCAGGGACGGATCCAGCTTTCCTGGCTTCCTTATGGATTGCGTCCATATGCTCCAACAACGCATCAGGACTTCCAAATGCGCCAACGTCATCCCCACAAATAGAACAGCTCCAATCCGGCAGCTGGACGCCGTGAACAGGTTCCTTGTGCTTCACCAGTTCGTCGATGATGAAGTTCTTAGCATCGCACAAGTCGCAACTCCACGTAAGGTCCTGACCGGTATGACACAAGGAGTGATGATGCGTCAAATCGATAATAGTGCCAAATTCCTGCGCACATAACCCACCATCATCAGTGGTGAAGCTACAGATGATACTCATCTCTGTTGCTCTGCTTTTCTTGGTTTGCGCAGGAGCGTCCAAAGGAGTAGGCGTAGCAGGACGCTTGTCACCTTGTTCGCGATCGAGAGTTTGAACAGCCATACTCACAGTCGTGTACGTACAGCCTGGGCAAAGCCATGTACCATCTGGCTGCCCACCGATGGATTCACCATACCACTCAATACTGCAAGCGCATTGTGAACAGGCAGCTGATGTGTCCTTGTCACACCTATCCTCGCTGCAGTCAATGTTCATTTCCGCAGGATTGACGGTGAGGACATCGAGCTTGGGAGCATCATCCACTGCCGCGAGGAGCGCAGGAATCTCGTCAACCCTGCCGTTATCATCTTGCACAGAGCCTGCCAAGGACCGAGGTGCAGTGATGTAACCGTGGACGACCCCCTGTTGGCCTCGCGGGAATGACGGGATCATGGGAGAACTGCCATCCGTAGGAAATTGCAACACCGATGACAACACCGATATCTCTCCTAATGTTTTCAAGCCAGCCTCACGTGTATTTTCATCAGAAACCATAGCATCTTCGTCAGTGCACTCAACGGCTGTTTGGCTCGAGGTAGGCTCCTCAGGCTCCTCAGGCCTCTCAGGCTCATCCACAACCATTGGCGCCTCAATAACCTCCACCACATCCTCATCCTCATCCTGAGTATTCGGCAACACCAACTCCCCAGAAAGCCTCGCCATCACCGCCTTGATATCCCTTCCCACCCCAGTATATCGATTCCGCAACCCCCACCCCTTCACAACCTTCCTCATAAACCCATTCATACACCCATCCCCCGACGCCTCCATATAACACTGCGTCATCGAGTCCTTACCCGCGCGATTCCACCTCTTCTTCGTCTTTTCGACGATGAGCCCAAACGGAGCCGGCGCAGGGACTTTGTTAACGCCTTTGAGGATCATGCGGGGTTCGAACTTGGCGTCGTCGAAGAGGCAGGAGGTGTTGTGGATTGCGAAGGTAAGGCGTGGGACTTTATTGTAGGGACGGCCGCGGGGGTCGCGGGCGATGTCGTCGTCTGAGCCGTAGCGTTCGATGTCGATTTCTGTGATGTCTTGTTGTGAATTGCGTTTTGGAGCTGGTGCTGCGTCTGCCGAGGAGTCATCCACCACCTCCTCCATCTCGAATTCCAGTTGCTCAACTTTCCCATACCGATCCGACTTCCCAATCCTCCCCTTCAACTCCATGCCACCCTTCTTCGCAAACGCCATCACAGCCCGTTCCAACTCCTCACCCAACCTCTCCTCACTCTGAATCGCATACGTAACCTCCCTCGCCCCACACGGCCTCGCACTCTCACCCTTCAAAACCAAGTGAACCGTCGGGTAATCCACGTCAGTGGAGTAAACGAGGCAGTGAATGTCGGAGGGGTAAAATGTGAAATCATCTTGTATACTTGATTCGTAGAGTTGGTTGATTTCGGGCGGTGAGGTGAGGGTGGAGATGCGGAGGGAGTAGTTTGGGACTGTCCATGGTTTGGACTCGAGTTGCCAGGAAAAGACGGGGAGGTGGTAGACCCCAATATCAATATCCAGCGGGACGCATTTGGCGACTGGTTCAATCGGAAAGGGTTCTTGTGCTGGGATATCGACTGCTTGGACCTCTTCCGTTGCATCTGCCACACGTACACGCCTCGGAGATGTTCTTTTCACAACAACCTCCTCGCTTTTCTTTAAACTCTTCTTCGAAGTTGTGGGAGTCTTCGGAGTTTCTACCTTCGCCTCATTAGGTTGACGACGATTGGCACTCCTCAACCCAAACTCCCGACTAGCACTCGGCATCGCAATCACCGAATGGGCCCTCTCCTTCTTCCTCCCCTTAGGAGTTGCTTCCTCCATCTGCACCTCATCAGGCTGGTGACTAGCACTCCGCAGCCCAAACTCACCTTCTACTGTACCAAGCTTGCGAGGTCTTCCCCTCTTCCTTAACGCCGTCGGAGTCGTATCGTTCGGCGTCGTTTCCACCGCCACGTTGGACTGTTGACTAGCACCAGCACTCCTCAAATTCTCACGTCTTGATGCCGTTATTTGGGCCTGCCCCGGCTCGAATTGGAAACTGGTACTCCTCGACATAACGATCCGAGATCTCTCCTTCTCCCTCCTCTCCAACATCTCCTTCAACACCCGTCCCGCAACCTCAGAAATGATACCGTCAGGTAAAAGCACCCTATCCCATTCCGGCTCAACCTCGAAGTCGCAAGATGCGATGACATCTAACAAGAAGTCGAGCTGCTTCTCAACAGAAACAGACAACCCGGTCGTCGATGACGGTCCGGCCACGTCACCATGGCCAGCTGTTTTAGGCCTCGTAGGCATCTTGGGTGTATCTGTCCAAAGTCACACTGCAGCAGCTGGGTACCGGGTTATGGTGATGATAATAATTCGCGACGTTGATGCGATTGGAAGAGATAATAAGTGCTGCTCTCCTCCAAGGTTGTATATGGATGAATGGGACCCCACTTGATTCCGTGTGACATGGGTGCGAGCGTTTCATATAAGATTGATTGAATTACGGCACCGGACCGCGCCAGAAACGGGAGGGGATCAGCTGGTGAGACGGAGGCTGATTGGTGATTTGACGACATGTTAAGAGAAGATGTCATGATGGTAGCAGAACGACAAGTAGCTGAAGCTCAGTAGGACGTTGATGGCACTTGTGGTTGTTGGTGTTTGTCGAATGGCGCGGCTGTTTGCTGATTTCGTGGGAACACTGACGACCCAGTACTAGTAACCCAGAAATATCCCATTGTAATAGCTATAACACCTAAACCCATGTCAATCTCAATCTTCACCTCAAAGTATCACAGATATACGTTCTCAAGAACGAACGAGTTTGAAAACAGAAACCACACATCATCTCAAGTCGACATCATCGACCGTCCGTCCGTCCGTCCGTCCCTTCCTGTCCATATCCATACCCTATGCGTATCAATATCAGTCACAATCACAATCACAAGCCATTCACATCTTCTCCTCTCTTATCTAATCCCCGAGAACATCACACACTTGTGTCCACAGTTAAACACAAACAAACTCCTCCTCACTCCCCTCCTTCTTCTTCCCCGCCCCAGCAACCCTCCAATTATCCGCACGATCAGCTCTCTCACCCTTCTTCATCCCCACAAACCCTTTACTCCCATCCGGACCCTTCGGCTGACGCGTCGGGGTTCCTCCAGCACTGACATTGACGCCTGCGACCATAGTGGACGAAGCGGATTCGGTGGGTGTAGGGTACGCCATCGCCGCCCTCAAATCCGAGAAAGAGCGGGTGGCTTTCAAGGCGGATGGGGTAGCGAGTGAGCGTTCGGGCGTTATGTTGGTCGAGATGGAGAGATGCTGATGCTGAATCCCCCTCGATCCCATCGGCGGCGTGTTCTGGACATGGCTGCTGCTCCGCGCCGACTCCTCGTACCTCCCGAGTCCGGCGTACGGAGCCTCGATCCTTCCGACAACGACGATTCCATCAGCCTCGATGGCGTCCAAACCCAACTTGTTGGCAAGGAGCAACAACACCGTACGCTGAGCGTGCGTCAAGAGGGGAGAGAAGGCACACGTCGTGCGAGTGGGGTCATCGCGGAACAAAAGCAGTTGGGAGTAAAGAGCCAACGTCGCAGCATCATTCATATCGATAACAGCCTCCTGAGCCTGGGGCTGAGGCTGAGGCTGCGGAACATAAGACGGGGCCACGGCTGGAGCCTGAGTGAGACCAGGAGGAGCGTACTGCCCAGCGTGAGCGCGAACAGAGGCTGAGATAGAGGAATGTTGGTGATGAGCGTGGTGTGAAAGAGCATGTTGGTGCTGGTGTTGGTGGTGTCCATTCGACGTCGACGACTGGGATGTCAACGACATATTCGACATATTCGACACAATCGAACACTGAGGGGTCATGTCCACACTCCCAACCGAACCCTGCGCCGCATGCTCATGCCCAAGACCATGTGCACCAGTCGCAGCAGCCGCATACACCACCGGCATCCCATTCGCCACCATCTGCGCATGCATGGGGATACCCTGCCCTGAATGCCACTCAACACTCTGCTTCTCCCTCAACATCATCCTCCTCTCCCTCTTCTCCCTCTCAACCCTCTCCCTCTCCCCAACCGGCAAACACTTCTTAAACTCAACCCTCAACCCCCTCCCCATAACCTCATACCCATCCAACCCCTCCACCACCCTCCTCGCCTCCTCCTCGGTGTTGAAGTTGGCGAAGGAGAGACCCCGGAAAACGCCGTTATCGAAGTGGTAGTTGAAAGCGTAGGGGAGGGGGAGGGAGAGGGTGTGCAGGAGTGAGAGGAGTGAGTCGCGGCGGAGGGAGAATGGGATGTTTTTTATGACGATTGCGGTTGGGACGATGGAGGAGGTAGGAGTTGGAGTTGGGGTCAATTGACGCTGAGTTGCGAGGGGAGGGATGGGGAGGGATGTCAAGTCCATGTTGGAGGAAGCGACAGCAGTGGCGGAGTGAGGAATTGGGTGATAGACCGCTGGGGGCGGAGGACCGTGAGCGGCACTGGGTTGGATGTGAATGGTGGGTTGTTGCTGGTGCTGTTGACCGTGCATTCCCATTCCCTGCCCATGCATCCCCGACTCGTAAAAATGCTATACCCACCAACAGGTTAGCATACATCCCGTACAATCGAGCATACACCCCGCAAACGACGTACCTCAGACCTCCCCTTCTCAACAACCGGAGCCGGCGCCCAAATACCCTGAATATCCGCCAAAGACCCATGTCCACCATGTCCACCATGTCCCCCATGAAACTGTTGGTGCTGAGCCTCGGGTTGGTGTTGGTACATCGAACCAGCGGCGGGATGGAAGACGGCGTAATGCGTTGGCATTATCGTATTCTTCGTCGTTTTTGTTATCGGTCAAAAGCAACGAAGCTTAGGTTATAGAAGTTGAAGTGGAAGATTTTTTGCTGAAAGACGTAGTATCGTTATGCAAATGCTGAACAGGTAGACCGTTCGAGCTCGTTCGTAGTGTCGTATTCGTAGATAACCTTGACAAAGTTGAGGTCGTTCGGACAACTTCTCGACACAACCGGCGGGGGAAGGAGCTGTCTTTATACTGGGTGTCCATTGGATAAGGGGGTTGATGGTTCGACATGGGGTAAGGATGACGGCTCGAGCTCGGAGAGTGTGACACCCTCTGCGCTCGGGCCTCCCCGCTAAAAATATCACGGATGGAGAAGCTTGAGATGAAGGGGACGCGTAACGGAGCGGGTAGGAGCTGAGTGGTGCATGACAGATTGATGGTGCAGCAGACAAATTGTTCTTTCCGGTGGGATCGGTGTTCAGTTGACAAGTTATATGAGAGGAGTGGTAAGGTTGGGGTGACGTGAGGTGGAGGTGAAGAGACGGGTAATTGCAGTTGAGGTGAACGATGGACTAAGATGAAGTACACGGATTGAGAGAGTCAATTGAAGACGCTTCTGTCATCCCATCCTATCTCTTAGTCACCGTACCCACCCCTCAGACCCCCCGTGTCAGGAGACGCTCTTAGAAGACGTACGCACCCCCTTCGGCAGTTCCCGTGTCGACACACGTTGCGGCCAAGACGCCGAAGCTTCCATCTCGAACGGCACGACACCGTCGATAGATCATACATGCAACCCCGTCATACAAGCCTTCTCCCTTAGACGTGCGAACGGACAAATGATAGGGCAGCGTCGTCAAGTCTTCTCCGGATCTTCGAAGCTTAAGGGCCGGCGATAAAACCGCGGTTGGATCGCGGGTGTGTGCATGGAGGTGCAGGATCTCGCATACGTACGAGAACAAGAGAAGAACACAGATTGATCAATTCATATCAAAGTCGATTCAAAGTCCCAGAGTCATCCGAGCCTGGCTTTCAAGTCGTCGCATAAAACGGAGAACGAATACTTTGTCTTCAGCTGCGTCAATTCATACCCGAGCCAACTGTAGCGGACCATTCGGCGAACTGCGTGCTTTTGCCCGCCTCGACCTCCTATGGTTAAACCACCGGTAACAGCGCATTCCCGTAACTCACAAGTACAACCCTAACAAATCAATTCAAATAAAATGCTTCTGACCGGTATGTAGTCCACAACAACGTTCGTAGCTGTTTCAGCAGGGATCACCGGTAGGTACCCGCAATACTCCCAATCTACCTTTCCAAGCCGGGACGTCACATTCTCACATTATCTTCCTTAATAAAGACTCGTAAACCCTATTCGAACTTTGTTCATCGCTTCCCAATGATCACGTTCCCCTCGTCGGATGGCTTCAACTTGGGGCGCGCTGGCACGGGCTGCATCATCGGCGGCATTCGAGCGAGACGACGACGAGACAAACAAACCACCAAACACAAACACCCGTTTCCCCCTTTTACCAACTACAAAACTTTCATACAAAATGGTATGTGGATACTGAGAGGGAATGGTGTGGGGTGATTGAGGTTGGGAGGTGTCAATGGCGCTCTGTGCGGGTGCAATCGATTGAGGTTGACGGATCACTCCCCTCCCTTCACTCCCCTCCCCCCCATTCTACTCTCAATTCGATGCAGAATGCTAATGAGTGCGTTCCCACAGTCCCGCTCCGGTGTTGCCGTTTCCTCTGACTGCCAAGACGCCTTCAACGACCTCCAGTTCGGCAAAAAAACAAAATTCATCGTCTTCCGCCTCAACGACGCCCGCACCGAAATCATCGTCGAAAAGACCTCCAACTCGGCCGATTACGAAGAGTTCTTGGCGTGTTTGCCGGAGAATGATTGTAGGTATGCGGTTTATGACGTGGAGTTTGAGAAGGCTGGGGAGGGGAAGAGGAATAAGATTGCGTTTTACACTTGGTGCGTAAGCCCCTTCACCCCCGTATTCGCAGCGCTGATTAGTGGGATAGGTCTCCTGACACCGCTCCCATCAAGTCCAAGATGGTTTACGCTTCCTCCAAAGAATCTCTGCGCCGCTCATTCAACGGTATCGGTGCCGAAATTCAGGGAACCGAGTTTTCTGAGGTCTCGTGGGATGCTGTGTTGGAGAAGATGATGAGGGTGTAAGCTTGTGCTTTTGTTACGATGAGGAGACGATATTAGAGGATGCTATGATAATAATCTTTTTCTGCCGTGGACACTGACTGCGAAAAGTACAACCATATAAGGTCGAGGAGGACGAGGACGAGGGGTTCACACGAGAGGAGGTTCGACAACCCCCGTCTGCCCCAGAATCCGTCCATAGTGTTCAACCCTCCTATGTCTCGCAAAATCAAACGTAGTAGTCTTCCCTTGCTTACACACCCCCAAATCCACCTCCGCAAACACAACCTCATCACCCTCCCCTTTCGCCTCAGCAACGATCCTCCCCTCGGGATCAACGACACACGAACCCCCAATCAAATGAAACTCCCCATCATCCAAGCCCGCGCGTGCGGCACTGACGGAATAACAGGCGTTCGTGTAGGAGTGCGCTTGCATGCTGAGTTTATGCTGGAAGAGTGCCAACGAGGCGGATTCGGTAGGTGAGAGATCGAAGCGGCCCCAGAGGTGGGGAGCGTAGGAGGGAGTGTTGTACCCGCACAACACAACTTCGACACCTTGAAGCCCGAGGACGCGCCAAGATTCTGACCAGCGGCGGTCGTTGCAGATTAGCATGCCCATAATGGGAGCTGCTTCTTCCTCGGTGAGGAGAGATGGAGCGCGGAAGGCCTCGAAACCGAGGTCGCCGGGGAGGAAGTACCGTTTTTCGAGTTGGTTGATCGCCTTGGGATCATCAAAGGGTTCAACCGTCCCCGGAAGGTGGATCTTCCGATACTTCGCGAGAATGGACCCGGTCTTCGCACAATAATAAACACAAGTGTTGAAATGCTTCCCTCCTGGCCCCTCTTCACTCTCACCAAACCCAACGCAAACATCGACACCAACCTCCCTCGCTCTGTCGAACAACGCCTTCGTCTCCTCATTCTTCGTGATATCCCCGCGCTCGTACCATGATTCGAGTTCGGTGGGGTCGTGGATGAGGTAGCGGGGGAAGAAGGTGGTGAATGCCAGTTCGGGGTACACGATGAGTTGGGTGCCGAGGGAGGCGGCGTGATCGAGGAGGGAGATCATGCGGGAGAGGGTGTGGGGGCGGGTGTCGGTGCGGTTTGTTGCACCCATTTGGGCGGCGGCGATGCGGAGGGTGCGAGGCATGATCGTTGACGGTGAATCTGTTTAGGGAGGGGGAGAGTATTCAGAGGCTGCTCGATGCATGTTTATGGAGGATATTTTGAGGGTCGGTTGGCTCGGCAGTGGTGGTGGACTGGTCGATAGGGCCCCGGTGTAGTGTTTGTGGGGTTAGCCGACGTCGCGACCCGATGAGTCGTGAACCAAGGATATGTAATGTCTGGTATTTCCCCTACTGCGGATCCGCCATGTAGTCTCCCCCATTAACAAACTCATTCCCGTCCTCCTTCTCGTCCTCCTCCTCGTACTCCTCTTCCTCTACTTCCTGCTTCACCGATCCTCCCATCTCCTCTCCAACACCTTCGTCATCCGTAACAAGTTCCTCATCCGACTCAACCTCAAGACCAATAAGTTCAGCATAGTTGACCTTCGTCGACCCACGCCTCGGACGGGTAGCGGAGCTTTACGAATAATTAGCACGAAGCGTTTTGTCAACGACTCGTAGGGTTTATCAAACATGGTGGGCTCAGTCTTGACCTCTTCAGCTTCGGGTGTCTCATCCGCGTCCGCAAGAATTTCTTCTTCTTCTTCTTCTTCCTCTTTGTCCTTCACGTTCTTACTCCTCTTCGGACTTCCTCCTTTCCCTACACCCTTCGTCGAAGCTGGTGCAGCCCTTTTCTTCGGAAGAGCAGAGCCGTTTGCTCCATTGCTGGTGCTGACCGAACTGCCAACTTGTTTCCTTAACTTTGAGATCCGCTCCGAGATCGCTTTGCTAGTGACGTCTTGGCCAAAGTAGGTTGCGATAGCTTTGTAGTCAACCTTTTGAGTGACAGCGAGGATCGCGAGCAGGAGACGTTGGTCATTGGTTGCGTCCCACTTGATCGTCATTTTTGGCTTCGTGAGAGTGCGTTACAAGTTGATGGAGGAGTCGATTGAAGTTTGGCGAAGTTGCTTTAGAGGAGAGGAAGAGAACGGAGGAGGAGCGAAGGAGTCAAGTTAAAGACAGAGCTGGGATCATAGCAGAAGAAGGAACCCACTTCCGATCGGACCGGATATGCTTGTTAACAGATTGGGTTGACCGGTATCAGGGTCTTGATTACGGCTCATCTCCACAGACTGTTCACATGCCTCTCTACCCACAAGATTTCGGCAGTTGTGTGAACGGTTGCGTGAACGGTTGCCTCAGTTCTCCCCGCGCGGAGAACACGCTGAGCTGGCGGACACAACAACGATGGAGAATATTTGGGTCCGTTAAGAGACAAGTGTGCTTCTGGGATCGATGGGTCCGAAACTCTGGCTGCAATATTATAATATTCCATGTGGTCCGTCGCGACTCTTGAATACCAGACTGGAGGTGATTCGAACTACTATTGGATTGATATAATACACCATAAAACAAATGTCTCACTCATAAAGCCCATCCTCAGGATCATACTTCACCACCACCTCCTCCGCCTCTTTGAAATAGGCCAAGCCAGGCTCCTCCTTTACCTTCCTCTTCTTCGGCACATGCCTGATACTGATCTCGCCCTCACCCTCTCCATCCCCATATTCATTCTTCACAGTACTGAATTGTTTGTTAGGAGGGCGGTAGCTGCCAGTCCCCGCAGCAGGAGCTGCACCGTATTTCTTGAGGAGGCGGGTGTAACGCATCGAGGCAGCACCAGTCTTGATTCCGATCTCATCAGCAACAGATTTGAAGTTCGGTTTGCCGTTCGTTGCACATCGGATGCAAGTGACCAGGAATTTTACTTCTTCTTCGGCAGTAGGCATGATATGTGGTCTCAGGTGTTGTTCGGAGTTTCGTGGTGTGAGAAAGTGCGAGGAAGTGTAGGACCAGTTTGGTTTCGGCGTGTTGGGGAGCTGGAGATTATAGGATGTGAACAGATGATGAAGAAGCGTCCAATTTGATACCGGGGCCAACTTAGTGGATCACTCGGGTAAAGTACAGCTAACAATGAACGGACATGTGGTCTCTGCGAGAGGAGAAGGGAGGAGGAAATATGTCTGCCGGATCACAGGCTTGCTGTGCTACCCGACCAGATATGAACCAATCCATCACATGTTGCCCACCTCCCTAATATCTGTTAAATTTGGTTCCGGTCCGGTTGTAGCACCAAACTACGGGGGACAGCCGTCTGGTCAGTACATAATTCAAAATGAGTAAGGCGATTGTTCGCTATCTTCACCAGATAAACCACTACCATCAGTGCAAACCCAATATCGTAACGTCTCCAGTTTGCAGAAAGTCCAGTAGGATCAATAACAATAATTCTTACAACAACCGGCCATCGTCAATTATGCCCGGCACCTGGACCGCACAAGAAGACATTCGCCTCCTCCTCCTCGCCATCGACATTCTCGGCGGCACCCCCTCCTACGACAAACTCGCCCAAGGCATGGGTCCTCAATACACACGCGAGTCCGTTCGCCAACACCTCGCAAAGCTCCGGAAGTCAGTTCCTCCTGTTGAAGGAAATAGGAAAGCGGGAGTGTCGAGGGCGAGCAAGGCGAGCTCGAGCGCGAGCGCAGGTTCGAAGAAGGGAAAGGGGGTTAAGGAAGAGAGCAGTTGGGCGAGTGATGAAAAAATAATTGAAAGGAACGAGGAAGATGAGGAAATGGAGAAGTCGGATGAAGAGTATTGCCCATAAGGAAGCTTATTAGTGTTCGCGTGGGAATCAGAGGCATATTTATGCGAGGAATGATAGCATTCTTCAAGATCGGACAAGTACATCGTGAGCCCACGATGGTTAGTTATCGTCCTTTGTTTCCTTTGAATCTTTGCTTGTACCCGTCAGATCCTGGGTCGCGTGCATCATAGCCCACACTTGCTCCCCCCTTGAGTACTTTCTCGGATACCTAAGAATCCTCATAACCTCCCGGAATAGTTTCATACTGCCAATTCTCATCCACTCGTTACGCCCATTGGCCTCTTCGATTACTCTCAGAATGACCTCGTGGACCAAGTGAACAACATCACCCCAAACACATCAATATGAAAGTCCACTTGATGAAACAGAACTCTTTGAACCTAGGGGGCTCAATCGTGAGGAACGCGAGAAACAAGCAGTTGAGGATAAGGGCGATATGGTGCTTAGGGTAGTTTAGAGCTTGACTTTTGGGATATACCGTAGGACAGATCGTGTTTGGCAATGCCTTTCGCGTAACAAATGTCCAAGAAGATCTACTCTATGCTGTCACCTATCCATATGGATTTGTGAAAAATATCTAAGCACCCTTGTCCTTTGAAACCCCCTTCGCAGAAGTCCCGCACTCAGCCTCTGTCCCGTCCCACTTCTGCTCAGTCGCCCTCTTGATATTCTCCATCTCCCGTTCCAGATTCTTCGATATATCATGCAGCCCCAAGTCCTTCATTACACCCTCGAACAAGGGATCCCTCACCACGGGTTCCAATCACTCCAGAGTCTCCCACAATTAAATAACTTTCGCTTAGGCAAGGAGGGATGGCAGCAGCGAGTGGAAGCACGGTGTAAGTTAGAAATAGATTGCGAAGGAAGATGGGCAGGAGAGAACTTTGAGAACGTGAAGAGCCGACACACTGGATCGTCTGTAGAATTGGTGAGTGCGGCACAGAGTTCATCGAAGGGTCCGATCCGTGAAGCCGGCTTCCACGTTTGCGTCCAAGCAGCAGTGCTCGAAGATTCGTCCGTTGAAGATACTTGATGCGATCTTCTGCCAAATGTACCTGTTCACTTGACCTACCGAGCAGAGCTGCTCCACACCCGCTCGATCAAAACCATCGACTTCGAGCTTGGATCAAAGCTATCATCAATCACCCTGGCACCCACCCGCAAATCAGACCCCGCAACGGAACATCAAGGTTCAGATGGGAGTTGCGAACTGCGTCGCCGCTCCGTTGCCATGCCCAACAGTGTTTTCTTTTCGAGTCGGCCGGGTGACCTGAACTATTGCGCTCGGGCCCTTGCGAAAACTAACATGGGTTAGGCGAGATGTATGATGAGGCAAAGCTGCGTTTGGGAAGGTTTGAAATACATGAATGATGATAATATTCATGTTACGATTTCCTAGGACCTTTTGTCCTGTTGTATAGCCGCTACTGCGGAGCTGCTCGAGAGTGGGTAAGTTCCCGGCTTTCCAGGAAGCTCTGAAGCAAAGACCAGATCGCAAGAGGCAATGAGCCTGCAACATTCTCGTATTACAGTGCACGTCCAACCACAACAATAGCCTACAGGTGTATAAATATCGAAGCTCTGGCTCTCCTCGGATACGTAGTCAATACTTTGCCATACTCATCATACCGTGAACCCCGTCACTCATATTGCACCACTCTACTGCATCAGAAGACTGTGTATAGACGACTTCGTACTCTCCTTCGACTGTGAATTGTTGTCCCATCTAGAACCAGCACCCCTACGAGCCTCGGCAGCAGCATCTTCCCCGTCCTCCTCTCCTTCCTCATTCCTCGGCAAATTCGCTTGAATCACCAATTCAAACTCCGCCGGCACAACACTCAACCCAGCAGGCTCAACATGCTTCGACGGAGGCAGCGCAGTATCCAATTTCTTGGTCCACGGCACCTTCCTTAACTGCTCATAATCCGCAATAATCTCCGTCTCCCTGATCAAGCCATCCAAAAATCGATCACGGAACGCCATACGGATATTCACGATCCGCTCCCTATCCGGATGTCCGAAGTTCTCGCCCTGCTGGACGCCGCGAAGGATGATGAAGGAGATGATGGTGTCGCCCTCGGCCGTCATGTGCTCGATGCGGGCGTGGAGAGAAGCGAAGCGAGACCGGAAGTATACTATTGCGTTACGCTTGTGTTCGACGCCGATGCCGGTGAAGATGTGGTGGATTTGGCGGTGGTCTGGGTGGATGATCTCGTAGATTTCGTCGGAGTTGGAGCCGTTGTTCCAGTAATCCATGTAGCGTTGTATGGTGTACTTATTACGAGCAATGACTGTGACCGAATTCAGTAAGACCTTTAGACCTCAGAACGCAGTAAGAGTTTGACTTACTTGCTTCTCTTGTTAGCAGCCGATCCGGAACGTTCAGAGGCGCTATGTAAACCGGCTCCTCCTCGACCGACCTCGGCACCTGCTTCCTCGCAGTGTTCATCCCCATCAACGACGGGCTTGATCTCGGCTGCGGCAACATCACAGACACTTTATGAGAGGGCATAGAAGCGGGTGTCACAGTCCCAGTTCTCTTGCTGATTGCAGATGGTCCATCCTGTGCGGGAGGAGAAAACACCGGTGTCCCCGAGGTCGATAATGAGGGAAGTGTATCGGTGTCATTGTCATCATCGGGTGCACCTCGCTTGGTCTTAACGTGAATGGGGTTCATTTGTCACGGTTTAGCTATTGAGGAGGCTGTTCATTGGTTTTGATAAGTAATGAGGATCAAAATGTCATGATCATATCTGGACACCAGCCGCTGCAGTTCATTTCATGTACATGCCGATGCGAGAGTGTACATTGCACAGGTCATACCTGAGCCCTGGAATTTGTGATCCATTCAGCCGTGTATAATCGAGATTATCATACAGTGAACTGCCGTACTGGAGTGCCTTAGGGCGACCTCCGGTTTACAATATCAGACCACCCTTTATCACTGCTTGACGTGGGACCGTTCTTTGCTCCATCTCTACTTGGCTTCCCGTGTACCGTCCTTATATATCTACATCGTATCGATACGCTGCATACGCCCGAACGCGTCTCCTCGAACTGAAGATCAAAAGGCAAAGGCCCTTTCCCTCATCCTCAAAAGATAGCACACATATATACCCCATCACATACCATCTTACATTATCGTACATACACCACTTCCGCCCTAACCGTTCGTCTCCACATTCCTGAATATCGTGCAATCGTACCCGATACGTATCACCAACACGATTTCTTAGCACTCGCCTGCATACTGGAAACACCCTACGCACTATCCGTCTCAACCTTCCTCTTCTTCAACTTACGTTTCCCATCAACCGGATGCCAGCTGGTGTCATACAACGGGTTCGACGCTTTGGTGGAACGGCTCGGTCTTGATGTCTTCCTCGGTTCAACGTCCGGTTCGGGTTTAAGGGTTGCGGCGGTTCGCTTCCTTAATGACCTTCCCCTCGGTGTGGACTCCGGAGTGGGAGGTTTGGGCGGGGAGAGGGGGAGGGAGCGGGGTTTCGAGGTTGGGGAGACTGTGCGGGAGATCGGATCGGAGGGGGCTGAGGTCCTGGGTTTCTTTGGTGTTGTCGCCAACGGGAGTGGGAGTTTGAGACGCGGCGTTGAGGATTCCCCTTTCGCAGTTTTGTCTCTGGGCGCAGACTTCCTCAACGGTGGTGGGAGCTTCGAGCTCGGCATCGGTGGCTTCGTGGTTTGCTTGGACTTGGGCGGAGTCGCCGGCGGTGCGGGTGTTACGCCCAGATCGAGTGACATCTCTTTCGTCGATCGTAACAAGTTCAACGGTGGCGGACGCACTTTCCACTTCGGCTTCGGCTCCGGCTCTTTGGGCGTGGGGTGAGGAGTGAGGGTGGTTGGGATTGTGTTGGCGGTGGATTGGGAGGCCGCGATGGAGGTGGAGGAGCGGAGTTTTGGGACTGGCTCGACCTTGATCTCTGGACCGTTCTTGGATGCTGATGTCGACATTTCCTTGGGCTTTGCGAGCTTCGGAGGGGGCATCGGTTCGCTCTCTCTCTCGCCCTCGTCGCAGGATTGGTCAGAGGCGGAATGCTGTGTAGCAGCTGTCTGCACGGCGTGTCCCCTAGCAAGTATACTCGCTATATCCTTCTCATGAGCTACCTCCTCACCCAATTCCGCCCATCTCTCGCGCATAGAACGATGACGATCATCATCGCACCCCAACGCTCTCAGCGATTCACGTACTCCCTCGAGATCCAGTTCGAGATCTGGGTGTGTGAAATGAATTGCCTTTAGGAGGGCCATGTCGATACTGTGCTCCAGAGTCGTGTGGCGCATTGGCATTGTGGTGTTGAGGTGAGGAGTTTGGTGGAATGTGTGAAGTGAAGCTCTTGAGAGGGATTTAGATATCAGAAGCACTCAGTGATGATGTCTGAACTTATCTGTTCAAGGGACGGAATCATACGACTACTCACAGGACGAGCGGATATTGAGACTGTCGGGTGCCAGCCGCACCCGGGCCGTGATTGATGCGTGACAGGTATTCGCCGACAAGGGCTTCAACGAGACACAGTCGACGTCGAGAAACTATTTCAAGACAAGAAAATACATCGGAACTGCCATTAACGATTCACAGAACCAGGCCGTGGAACATGTCACTGAGCACTGTCAACAGCGCGAGGAGATCATTGACGCTTTCGAAGCAACCCGGAATTTACTAGCTGCGAAGGAGGAGGAAGGCGAAACAGAGGGACTTGCGGATGTACGACAAATGAGCGATGAAACGACTATGAAATTGAAAACTGCCATAGGCCTACCGTGGACACAGGCGACAAGAAGTTGTTGGGTGTTCTTCAATCGAAAGGATTAGGATGATGACAAGTAGTTTGGCCGCGGTGTTTTTGATGAACGATGAAGAACTCTGAGCAGTAGCATCTTGCCGAAACTGCACCCGTGCTGGGAATTCATATGAGCGGTGTGAGAGAGTAGTTAGCCAGTCGTTGTGATAGTACTTTGCATGGTGGTGCGCGAGTGGACGGCTTCGAACTCTCTACAGGTAATACAAATGTGTAATGACGATGTTTTTCGATCTTCTACGATGTAACCCAACTTGCACTCCTATATAATGTAAATCGAGAAAGGCACGATGCATAGTGAACGGAAGGGTTTGCTCCGCTGGCCAAGGTTGGCCCATGTTTCGTAATTCAATATCGTTACCGTGCGCTCGAGCTCGTTGTACACATCGAAGGATACCACATGAGCTTTGAGCATCGACGACGACGACCGCCTGCCCTGATTCTCCGGAATCATTTCCGACAGCTTTCGATGACCTTACAACATGAGATCAGAAGGTCATACCAGTTTTTCTATACCTGTTGCCTACACAGCTGGCATTCTGGACGTGTCGCGATCGACCCGTTTGGGAAACCACGCTAATTTTTAGCGTAGTCGAGCAAATATTTACCGAGAGCGCGACCGCCTGTCGGTTTTCCCCCAAACCAACTACCCACAACCAGATACAACTGCACGATTGTGGTTACAGGACGATGTTGAGACCAGAGAAGGTAATGTAACGATCTCCCGTGCTTCCTACACAATTTCTGACCTCTTCGGATAGTTTCCTTCGCACATTCCAATTTCGGTTCGCGACTCGATAGCGACCGGATTGGGACAACAGCGCGACCTTAGCGAAAAACCTTCACTGAGAAATCGCCACCCAATCCGCCGCGCTATGTTATTAGCTGCAAAACTAAAAACGAAGAGATTTTCACTGGCCTTTCGACTTCAGTTCAGACTTCCCCCCAACCAACACACCCCCAACCACCGTCGAACACCACCACGACCGATTTTCAATCCTTTTCGAGCCTAAGACTGACGAGTGAGCTCTTCTGTGTTCCTAACATGTGCCTCATATTAACTCTTGCTTTTTCAGGTACTTCGAGCGCACTGTGTCATTGACATGGTCCCATGGCGGACCCCCTGTCAGTAACCATGGTGTGAACAAGTGATCGAGAGTCCTACTGGATGAGATTTGCTTGTGCTCGCATACTTCCCTTCGAAAGGTTGTTTTACAACCGCAGCATGATGTTCCAGACATAGAGGATGGCTAAATGTTTGTATCTCCGTCTGAAGGCTTACGTCCGACCATTGTGGCGGGCGGAGCTGTAGATGACTACGGCTTGCTCGAACAAGCTTGAAGGAGTGCGAGCATGATGAGACGCCTGGCTTCTGTTGCACTCTGTTTCGCCAGAGTGCAGGAGGCCAGGAGAGGTAATGTCCTTGCGCTTGGTGGCGTGACCCGGCGTGAGTTGTACATCGATTTTGGGGCTGTATCTTGGTCGTGCATGTGGCGTTTCCATTCGTTGGTTTCTGAACCTGGCACATCTTGATAGAGCTCAGGGGGGACTTTGTAGCATTGCACAGTGCTCTGTCCCTTTATGGCGTCTGAAACTCCTCCTGGACATCGTGCTTAACGAAGTGAGTTACTTATGTGTGGTTTTAATTGCTAACATGCTTTATAGGGAAATCGACTTTGTTGGCAGTTTCACATGAAACCCTGCATCGTCCTTCCTCGGGGATTAGCAGTCGTTTCTTGGAGCATAGCGGACAGGGGTAACCTCCCATGAGGCCCGTGTTGGATTGGTCATGAAGGTGGCTCTTTCGATCAGACTCGTCTGATTGTTAAGGGTCTGTGGGAAGGGTTTCGTAGTCGATAGACGCGGATAACTTCCCTGGGAATGCTAAGCTCGTTGCTTCATTGTTGGTACATGCTTTGTTTGTCAAGCTGATGACCTCTTTGAACGCTGGTTTGGGCGCCCGGGATTGCACGTGACATTACGGTTTTGTACTGTGACAGTTCGCGTCGACCTTGCACGGTTTCTGTACCGGAGGTCGTCTCCAGATTCACAACCCCTTTGCTTTTGACAAATGACTGACATGAACGCGAGGAGAGGAAAGAGGCAGAGACGTTGTTGCGACGACTAACTTTTTACAACTGGTTCACATGAAGGAAGCAAAGTGCGATACTTTTGTCTGGAGATCCAGAGCTAAGGCCATGCTTACCATGCTGGCTCGAAGAAAGTATTGTACGATGAGATGCCTGACCATCCCTTGCTAAGTCATATAGTATGGGAAGGCCAGATGTGAGCATACATGATATGCTCGGTGGATTGCGGTGCTCTTCTCTTTGGATAGGAGTTTGTAACCGTACCCGGGAACACCATGAAGCACTTGGTGGCCCCATGGCATCTGATATCCTGAGTCTGAACTGGTTTGTCTCAGTTGGGTTGTGCGCGGCGATGATTCTGTCTTTTGTACTGCGTGTTTCAAATCGCGGTACTCGATGTCTGGGGAGTAGTCTGGAGCTGTGGTGATCCGGTTCTCGGATTGAATGAGGAGGGAGAGTGATTACGGATCATTCTCCTGCTGCTGTTCTTGACATGTGTAGTGCATGTCGGGGAGGGCAGGAGGAGCTTGAGCTATCAAGCGCGCAGGTATGTTGTTCCTAGAGGAGTTTTGAGGAGATGCGTTGGGGTCTTGTTGAACGACTGTGTGGTGCAATGGCATAACGAGGGCTTTGTAGGCATAACGAGGGCTTTGAACCGAGTACCCTTTGTTGGTGATCACCTCAGAGAGAATTCGACACACAATTTACCCGAGTTTAATGGAGTCTGGAGGCGTTTCCGACAGTGCCGCGTGCGTTCATGGCCCCTGGGATGGTGGAGTTCGAGAGGAGCTGGGAGGAGTTGCGATCGTGAATATGTTACAAGCTAACCCGGACCCACCAGGGTCATGTTTGCACGGGTTATGTGCTTGTATTTTCGCATCTGAATTCCATTCTGAATTCCTGGGCGAGCATGCCTGAGTAGCTTCGTGTGCCCGACGAGCTTTCGGTCATGGGTCTGGTCCCGTTCTTTTGGGCAGAGCACTGTATTCACTCCAGTTTATGGGATCACGTTGGTATATATGTATGTCTCCGGTGATCCGATTGACTGCAGCTGCGAGGAGACAATGCTATGCACATCTCTACTAATATAATTGGATAGGAGTAGGGTAAACGCATCGACTCGGTGAGGGCCGGGCACGATCGATTTACACGATGAATAAGAACGGGTAATGAACACGATTACTTCAGGTATTTCGAACAGTTATTCTCCTCGTCATTGGATTCGTTTCGTACAACACCCACGCCCACGCTGAGGTTGAATCCCACCTGTTACGTGCACCCCGCTCCAAGCTCCTCCGTGCTCCTCGGATCGCAGCCCAATAGACCGTTCATGGTATCGTGCTCCGGTGATCGATGCTCATGATTGGAGTTTCTTTGTCCAGGAACCTTGTCATAAAGAGTAGAGATTTATCGTTCAATTTGGTATCGTACATTAACACCTTCCTCGACATGCCGTGCTTCGTCGAAAATTCGTCCCGCAACCCCCCTCACATACGTGGTCGTTGTCATACATCCAGGCTTCCTCCACAATAGTATTTCCAACGCCTCGTCGTCTATAACTCCAAACTCTATGCTAAACACCCTTCTCCATCCGTTCGTTTCTCTTTTAGTAGCGCGTGGGGTGCAATTTCACGAGTTCTCCTCGATCTCCGCCCACTTCTCCTTCACTCTCCGTTTCTTGTCAGCGACTTGTGCTTGGTTCGCCTTCTGGTTTTGGAGACGCTGTACAAAGACCCTGTCAGCATACTTTCTATCCCACACTACTGCCTCTCCCACCCAGTCGCGCGCCGCACACGGCAGCTGGCAAGATCAGAGGTAGGGCGACCTGGTTACAGACCTCAGCCCTCAAGCACAACGTCAACTCCTGCTTGTAATCATTACACCCCCCCGAGAACTTCTTGACCCAGTCTTTATGACAAGCTTCCAACTTGTGAATGATTTCTTCGCAGCCTGGGTGGCGGTGGATGGTGAGCGGCGGGTGCATCTTCCATAATGATTAGCTCTTGTAGCATATAACCACACGTAAGGGAGGAGTGGAGGTACCGTTGAGGGGGGGGTGGAGCAGTGCGAGGGGAGATTGGGGGAGTACGGATGGGGATATGTAACGTAGACACACGGGTAAAAGTGGCTGGGGGTGGCTGGTGTATATAGATGACGTGCTGTCGTAACACCTCACCACCAAACCCCCTCCCAGATCAGCCAGCATTTATCCAGCAAGATGTTCTCCAGCTTCGGCTTCGCAGACCCCTACGCAACAGCTCCGCGCCCCTCAAACCGCCGCTTCAATGAATACTTCCGCTGCTACTCTATCTCCATGCTTCCCGGCCCTCCTCGCCCCTCTCTCAACCACGGTGGGAAATTGATCCTTCCCTCGACTGCACTCGATAAACTCACCCGTCTCAATATCTCGTACCCGATGTTATTCGAGTTGGAGAATGCGAGTACGGGATTGAAGACTCATGCGGGCGTGTTGGAGTTCATCGCGGAGGAAGGAAGGGTGTATATGCCTTGGTGGATCATGGTGAGGTTAGGACTCGATCAGGGGGATTTGGTCAATTTGAGGAGTACGACGCTCATGCTCGGCACCTTCGTGAAGCTCCAACCCCAGAGCGTTGATTTCCTGGACATCTCGGACCCGAAAGCCGTTCTCGAGAGTGCGTTGAGGAATTTTTCGTGTTTGACGAAAGGTGATGTTTTTAGTATCGAATACAACGAGCATGAATACCACATCGCCGTACTCTCCGTCAAACCTGGACCATCCGAACCAGAAACCGACGATGACGAAGACTCAGATATCGAAGAACTGGATCCACCCCCCGGCATCTCCGTCGTCGAAACAGACCTGAGCGTCGATTTCGCCCCTCCGATTGGGTATGTCGAGCCCACGCCCCAAAGCAGAGGGTCGAATGGCGCGAGTGGGACGTCGACGCCGGCGAGTACGAGTGGGCAGGGGAGTATGCACGCTCGTCTCGATTTCGCACGTCTCGCTGCCACGAACTCGGGTCGAGCATCACCCTTTGCTGGTACAGGTCAAAAGTTGAGTGGGAAAGCGGTGCAGGAGGGGCATAAGGTGCATGATGCGGCTATCAAAGCTCAGGCGGGAAAACCTGAGGACCGTGGTGCGCCGGCACCGTTGCGGTTACCGTTTGGTCAGCTGTTCTTTGGGTACGAAGTCGTGCCTGTTAAAAAGTCTGGTGAAGCGGAGGGGGAGGTCGAGGTCAAGTTTTGGGGGGAGGGACAGTCACTTCGTGGAAAGAAAAAGGGTGCAGACACGGCTGTGAAGAAGGAGAAGGAGGAGGAGAAGGCGAAACCGAGGGTTGTGGGGCGTACGCTTGGTGGGAAGGAGGTTACTGAGATTGATTGAGCCGAACGTGAAGCTGGAGGAAGGAAGCTTAAGGGATGGAGGGAGAAGAGATGATGACTTTGCATATTATTGGCGTTTTTGATTGCTATTGAATGAGATGATACCCTTCACCTTTATTTGAACGACGAATCGTGTATCAGGTATTTGGCGGGTGTGTTGGTTGCTGCGCGCCCTGCGTTCGATCGCCCGACGTCATTGCCGAAAACTCGGGATTCTGATCTGACGGAAAAAAGTAAACTCAGACGAAACGACAGAGATCAATTGAACAAAATGGTCTGGATTCAAAAGACAATCAAGCTCTCGTAAGTCCCATTCGTCGCCATAGCTTGCTGCCGGGTTTGTCACTGCGAACGGAAAACTCACAGCTACACAGTCCCCGCTCAAAAGGCTGCTACCTAATCCAAGATGAGATCCTCTCCGATCTACCAGAGCTCAAGACCATCAAAACCGGCCTCCTCCACCTCTTCATCCAACACACCTCTGCCGCCCTAACCCTAAACGAAAACTGGGACTCCGACGTGCGCTCCGACATGACCCGCGCTCTCGACCGTCTCGCGCCCGAAGACAGAAAGGGAGAACTCTATGATCATTCAGCAGAGGGGTTGGATGATATGCCGGCTCATGTGAAGAGTGTGTTGGTGGGACCTAGTGTTAGTGTTCCGATTGGCGGGGGAAAGTTATTGACGGGGACTTGGCAGGGGGTTTATTTGTGTGAGTTTAGGGCTGCGAGGCATACGAGGAAGGTCGTTGCGACGATTCAGGGGGAGACGATGTAGGTTGTCCTACAATGAGGCGTGTGAGGAGGTGGGGTGGATACGATGAGCGTGGGATCAAGGCGAGTATGATCAAGTTGCAATGAATAGACGGATGCCCTAGCAGAAGAGCACGACTTGAATCTAATACATTTGAAGAAACTATGTGAACACATCCTTGCGTTTCCAGCCCTCGCATCTCATTAGAAGCCCTCTCTTGACTCCTCACCTCCGGAACGGGATGTACGACGTAGATGCGCAAATCTCAATCGATACGTGTCCGCGGAAACCAAGATGAAGATAAGCCGTTGTCAGCCCGGTTCTTGAGTTGTTCTGAATACCCTACGGGGCTCTATTTGCGCTTTTACTGCACAATACCCTCCTCTGGCCTCCCCAGCACCGGACCTGGCTCCCTCGCACGACACCAACTTCTCGAGCCAGCCAATGGAGATTGACCTGCTGCAGAAAACCAGACCAACCCTAATTCGACGAGAAGAAATTCTATACCCTCATCTCTCTCCTACTGTCAAACTTCCCTCAAACCAACCACCAACCACACCTACCACCCCCCTCCATACACCGATACACCCACACAAGGACCCAAAGACTTATTACCCTAGCTATTTCGAAAAGAGGCACGACGATATCCGAGTTTCGACCCAGCGGGATGCTGGCAATCAAACTCCCAAAAGGATATGTTGGGCTGCTCTACCTGTGTCTTAATGGAAGGGTCATTTTAAATTCGTGTGTTTGTGTATGTGAGTGTGTTGATCAGAGAAGCCTGTTAACCTACCCTAGCATGTCCGCTACGGCGGCAGACGTAAAAGTTAGCGTGTCTTCTAATCCATATGCTCTATGGGAGGGTCCTGGCTTCGTGTTTGTGTGTGTATGTTGTGTCCCGCTGCTCTTACAGAGTCCTTCATGGGAGGGTCTTTGTGCCTGTTTCTGTCCGCGGTGGATGATGTACGGTGCAAAAGATAGATTAAGCATCGCCATTGATGGATGAATTTGCGGATGTGGGATCTCCGACCCTCGGAAGTACCCCCCTCGTTGCCACAGGTCATTCTACGACGCCGAGACCTACACCTGATGGTATAAAGAATAACGTGTTGTGCGCTGCAGCGCAGTAAACCATAAAGCATACCTTGATGACGAGGATGTGTGCACAGATTCCAAGAGAGCGAGTAACAGGATAACTCCTAGGTCATTGTGAGGTCCCCGCTAGTTGCCCACGCTTCTAGGCGACTAACATAGTGCCAGGCAATTGGTCCAGTTCACGTTGATCAGCCTTGCTGACACTGCACAGCTGGAATGACCGATTCGCTATACGCTTTTCTTCATCGATTGTAGCTTGTACATGCTTCCTCCAGCTGCAGCACGGTAGGATGATATTACGAAGGACCAGACATATTCCATTTACCTAATTCTTAACTATCAAGACATCTGATCATAACTCTTCATCACTGAAACATTCATCATACAACCACTGTGCTGTCCACAACAAAAACGAACTCATGGCCCTGCAGCCTGATCCAACAAATAATTCGTAGCATCACCCAGGTGATAGTTGAACTTCTCCAACGCACCGACACTCTGCTCACGACTGAACCCCATGTTCAACAGCTCCTTCAAAGCAGGATCGTCGTCAATTGAAGGTTGTGTCTGGACGCGAGGACGGGAAGGTGGGGGAGCAGGGGGCTGAGAGCGTTCGGCGATGGTGGTGAGGGGAAGACGAGGAGGAAGGGAGGGTGCGCCAGGAGCTTGCTGGACTGGTGCTGGTGATTGGGAAGGCGCCAAGACGGAGCGGGTCCCGGGAATAGTGACAGCAGCAGGTACAACTGGTGGTGCTTGCACAGCAGCCGCCGGGGCTGCACCGAACCCAGTGCCAAAGTCGGGCAGCGGGGGAGCGACAGCACCAGGCTTGTCAAAGTCTGCAAAGACAGCATCGAAGTCGTTCGCCGTAGCAGGCTTGTTCGCACTAGCAGCAGCGCTGCCAAAGAAATCATCGCCTGCAGCCCAGGAAGGCTGGTTAGAATGACTTTGATCGAAGCTGTTGTCGAAGGTGGGGTTGAACTCCGTGTCGTCGAAGCCGGACCCGGTACCGACATCGTATGCGTCATCAAAGTCCACATTGGCAGGCTTTGCGCCACTCACAGACATGTCAGCGAACGCACTCTCGAAGTCGTCAAAAGGAGCAGGGGCGGCCTCGGCAGGAGGAGCAGCTGCGACACCGGGGTTCTCGAGGTTAACACGCTGCTCGTTGGGTGCAGTCGGATCACCGCGAACAGGAAGCAAACCAGCATAGTCCGAAGAAGCCGGCTGCTCGATAGCAGGAGGAGGGTGGACCGGAGCAGATTCGTCTGAAGGAGGCTGAGCAGTTGCCGTGGAAGGAACATCAGCGACCTCGTTAACAGGAGGCTGCTCTGTAAACTGCGTGGCGGAAGAACCAGCCGGTACACTGAAGTCATCGTCGAACTTCTGGGGCTCCTCGTCGTCACCAGATGACTCGTCTACGACTTCGTGCTCCATGATGGGAGGGAACTCACTGTCGAAGTGCTGGGGGCTGAAGGAACGAACGGGATCCTGAGGCTTCGCGTTTCCGAATCCAGCGAAAGCAGAGTCCAAGTCCTCCTTCGTAGCTGCCTTCGCGGGTTGCTCTGACCGAAGAGAGAAAGGATCACTAGGCTCCTCCGCCTTAGGCTCCTCAGCCTTCTCGGGCTCCTTAACCTCCTTATCATCCTTAGCCTCCTCGGTATCAAATTTGGGCTCGTCAGACTCCAAGCCAACAGCTTGAGCGACGTTGTGCACAACACCTGAAGCAGCCTCAGCAGCCCTCTCGAGGAACGACTTCTCATGATCCTCGTGCTCCTCCTTTGCGGTAGCGAAAGTCTCATCACTGGCAGGCTGAGCTCCGAGCGCCGTCTCCTCTTCCTTGATCTCCGCAACATGCTGCTGCGCAGGCTCCTCGGAAGAAGGCGTAGCAGTACCGGTAGGCTCTTCTGAGGAAGTCTCCTCCAAAGAGTGACGGACGTCCTCAACAGACATGCGTGTCTGCTCCTCGATGTAAGCCGGGGTGATCTGCAATGCCTCCTCGTTAGGAGGGTTCGTCAGAGTCTCCTGAACAGTCCTGGCATCCATGGGCGGGCTAGCGATCTTGGCACCGTGCTCAGCAGATGGTGGTTCAGGGTGCTCGTCCGAGAAGCTGAAACTACGCTCACGCGGCTGGGGAGAATCGTTCTCGGTTAAGTCCTCGACGCTACCAGCGAGAGGGGACGTAATCCTTGACAAGCTCTCCTGTTCAGAAGCAGCATACTCGACAGCCCTGGAGGAGGTAACACTACCCGGACCAGCCGTGACGGGCGGCCTCAACTCCGCCACAGAAGGATGAACAGCGGGTGGGAGGGCAACCTCACTTTCCTCCGGTCCAGGGGACTGACGGTAACTGGGCGGCCTGGTCGCGTTTTCCGTGATGACGACAGGCTCCGGCGTCGCCGCATGCACAGCAACGGGCGCGTGAATCTCGTTCTCCTGGACAACGGGCTCCTCAACATGCTGAACCTCAACCTGCTCAGGAATCTGCTGCTGACCCGCAAACGGACTGGCTCCGAAATCAGACGAAAACGCATTCTCGAAACTCTCCGCCTGACCTCCCTGTCCGAAGACATCGTCGAAGTTAGCCCTAGGTCGCTGTGTATCTTGACCGAAAGGAGAGGTGATGGCGGGCAACCCGCTAGCAACAAATCTACGGTCAAAGGGGCTCGTTACGATAGGGAACGTCTCACCAGTCGGGCTCATACCGCGATGGAAGGGGTTCGTACTCGCGCTAGCAACACTCAACGCCGGACTGACGACCTGTCCATCACTGTGCACCACCTCACGGGACTGCTGGACGGCATGCTGTTGCTGTTCCAGTTGCTGTTGCTGCTGAGCACGCTGGGCCTGAACCTGAACCTGCTTAACTCTTGCCTCCTCCGCCTCTGCCTCGAGTGTCCTCCTCTGCTCCTCAACCTCTCTCGCCTCCCTCTCCGCCTCAGCCGCAGCCCGGTTCTCCTCCTCGATCTCCTTCAAGATCCTCTCACGCTCCTGCTCAGCGGTAGCGAGTTGCTTGCGGTTGATCGCGACCAAGCCCTTCTGCTGACGAGCGTTCTTCTTGACTTTCTCGAGTTCCTCGTTGAGACGTGTCATCTCGGTTCCAATCTGCGCCATCTTCGTCTTGAGCTCATTGTTCTCTGCTTGATCCCGAGCCAAAGCCTCAGAGCCCTCACGATGCTGCTGCTGCAACGCATGGTAACTCGCCTCAATCACAAAGAACTCCTGCCTCAGCTTCTGCGTCTCCGTCCGGCTCTGGTTCAGCTGTGCCTCGACAGTGTGAACATTCTTGACCTCCGCATCGTACAACTGTCTGATATCCGCCAACTTGGCCTCGATCTCCTTCTTCTGGGCTTGGACTTGAGTGAGGTCACGTTCGGCGGTTGACCGCTTGTCGGACAGAGTGGCGGTGTTGGCGCTCATTTGGCTGATCTGGTTGGAGAGGTTCGCAATTTCCGTTGTATCGGCGGTAAGGTTTTTGCTCTCCTCGGGATCATTGTCACCAAGAAGATCCTGAGAATCAAAGGCCGTAGTAGGAGCAGACATGGCACCAAAAGGACCGGGGCCTGGCGTAACGGGGAACGCACCCGGAGCACCGCCGAATGCAGTTCCAGCACCACCCGTAAGCTGCGGCGCGACACCCGAGGCGAAGGGCCCAGACGGAGCAGGCGACTGCGAAACTGGACTGGGTCCACCGAATGCAGAAAGGGATACCGGGACCGCAGTAGGAGCCGAACTACCAATAGGCGGTACAGCCATGACCCCCGGCGCAGCAGGCGGACTCATCGTCCTCTGCACTGCACCTCCATTCGGACCCGCGCCGCTGAGCGACTGTCCGAAAGAACTAGTTGGCACGAATGCACCGCGCATACCAGTTGCCTGAGGCACCACGGGCGAAGTGGCGGCGGATCCAGTAGTTTGGTGCTCGAGGAACGGCGCAGCTGGAGGCGGCGGCGAACTGATCCTCGACGCAGGCGGTGAAAAAGCGTCGTTCAGTCCAAACAAATCCTGCGCAGTCGAGCTAACCTCCGGTTTCTTCTCCTCACCCTGCGCCGGCGCAACAAGCTGAGCTGGTGCCGGAGGTTGTTCGGCTCTCATACTCGGCGGCACCAACTCCGCCGGCAACGCATCCGGCACCGCACGCCCCGCAACAGCCTCCCGAATCAACCACATCGCAACACAAAACTCCTCGAAACTCAAAACGCCACTTTGGTCGATATCCGCCAGATCCCAGACTTTGGCCAGGGTCTCTTCGGGGAGTTGTGATTTCAGGAAGAACTGGACGGCGGAGGGGCCGGAGATGTGGGTTTGGGTGGAAGAGTCGGTGAGGGAGGTGAAGTAGATGCGGTATTCGGATTGGAGGGGGGGTGGGATGAGCCATGGGGCGCCCGAGGTGCCTGTTTGCTGGGGAGCAAGGGGCGGAGGAAAGGGTTGACCGGTCAGCTGGGGTGTGATTTGTGTAGGTGGTTGGGATGCTTGGGATTGACCTGTCCCTTGGGGTCGGAGAGGTTGTTGTTGACCGGTCATTTGACGAGGGATGGGTGTTTGGCCGGTACCTTGTCTCGTAACACTTCCCTGTCTTCTCTCACTCGTGCTCCTTCCAGCGCCAACGGGTCGCCCAGCAGCTGCGTCGAAAAGACCCGGTGGGCCGACAGGTGGAAGTCCGCCTTCCTTGATCTCACCTGACATGGATTTCGAGATCAGGTGCATTGCGACGACGAACTCTGTAGCATCGAGGGCTCCACGGCCAGATCGATCGGAGATTGTCCAGATTTGAGCGAGGGTGGGCACGGGAAGACGTGCGCGCTGGAAGAGGTTGCGGGCTGAATCACCATCGAGCACTTCCTTCCCAGCTGCTGCTTGTGCGAACATGTTTAGGTACTTGGTGCGGTCTTGGGGTGTGAGGGGTGGGATCGTAGGCCGTCCAGCTCGTGGAGCAGGTGGAGGTGGCATGGTAGTCGTCGGAACAGTAGGGAACCCTTCTAACTGCGGCAAAGGTCCAGGTTGTCCAGCCAATCCCGGCGATGGACGCGCACCAGCCTGACAATGACCGATCAATCGTAGGGCGACGCTGAACGCTTGGTGGTTTAAGAACCCATTGTTCTCGGCATCTGCGATTCCCCAGATTTCACCGAGGGTGACTTGAGGGAGACCTGATTTCTCAAAGAATGGGACGCAGACTTCACCGGTGACGACGCCTAGGGATTCTTTGTCGGCGGCTTTGAAGAGGGTACCGTATAGACGGCGTTCGTCGGATGTTAGGGTAATTGGTGGAGCTGAAAATGATTAGCTCTTAAGCGGAAGAATGAGAAGGAGCTGAGACGTACTTTTGTCTGCTGTAGACATTGCTCCAGGATTGTTGGTTGGTTGGTTAACCTTTTGGTGTTGTGTTTGCTCGGGCTTCGCTGTGCCGGCCGGGTGCGCTCATGACGAAAGGGCCGCCTTGCGCTTAAAGGGTTAAATAAGACCAGCATAAATGGAAACCAAACTTAATTGCAATTCAAGTGGTCAACGAGTGAAATGGCCAACGACGATAGCTACCTTCCAAATTGAACTCTGACCACTGCGTAGTATGTGGAATGAGACCGACAATTGATTCCGGCTTACATGCAATCCGTTATGGTCTAGGGGCTAGGATACTTCGCTCTCACCGAAGAGGCCGGGGTTCGATTCCCCGTAACGGAACATCCTTTTTGCTCCCCACCCTTGTGTTCAGGACTTTCGTTCGGTTAATGTTAAATCTCGATGAGTTTCAATACCGGCGACAGCGTATTTGGCTGATTCGCACGCATACGGTGGGTGCATCGTTGTTACAGCTTCGTTACGGCGCGGTGTGACGTCGAATGAATTCGAGCCCCGGATGCCTCGGGACATACGCAACACACCATGAGATCACTCAACATAGTCCAACAAGGGAATCACCCTTTTGGGTCACGAGACGGAAGTTCCCACGTTCGTTTACTGCACAGACTTCGCCCTCGGCAGCTTTCAGCGTGCCCAGTAACGTCGGGAGCGTTGCAAATGGTCTTGGGGTATTCCCATGTTGCTACAGCGCTTTTCAAAAGTTTAGTCTAACGCGGGTTTTCTCAAGGCAGGGCGCGCCAGGTCGACTCCACCAACTCGACATTCACTGAAACATAAAAAACCTTGTATCTCAAGCTACAGACCAGATATTGATAAACGGACTTCAGCAATAACTTTGGGCAATGCCAAGCGTCCAGGCCGTGCCCGTAAAACCCCGGCTCAGCCACAGGATGCAGAGCTTGAACCAGACATAGCCGTGACTGATCTGACAGACCTACCTGATGATGCAACTACGGAGATGATTGAAACTGCGGCTTTACCCTTGCTGAGCCGTGCCTTCAAGGTCAGGCTGGTTGTTTCACGCCCAGGCCAAAGTGCTTATCCGGAACTCCTCACGGAAATGAAACTGCAATGGGATTGGAATGTAGCGGGCCTGCATATCAAGGATAAGGTCCGAATGCGTCTCAATCATGATCAGACCTTCAGCACTGAGGTCCGTGAAGACGACTACACCCTCGAATTTGCCTACAGAGTTGTCAGAGGTAACTTCCGCCTAGGTCCTACAAGGATTTGGGGGATTGATAAATGGCGAGCCTTCCTTGAGGAGATGGAGGACATGCGTACTCGCTGGAAGCTGAATGACTTCATCCCTGCAACCTCATGACTCATTGTACAATCGAAGAGTCCGGAACCCCACAAACCCTTGGTATTAGCGTTGACCCACTGGTTAGTCAGACCGCCTGGAAGAACCTCGCTCGATTGATACGAAGAGTAAATTGCGTCGGTGCCGGTCCTTTGTCCATTTGTAACCATGACAGCTGGCCAGTTCGCCGGCGTACCCAGTGGTGACCGGAAGTCGTCCATGGTATTTGCATAGCTTGTGAGGTCCTGAACGGTGATGCGAATTTCTGGCTCTTCTTGTGTACATCGCTATACAACGCCAGCTGCAGAACGAGCTCCCAGCGCCAATGCAGTCTTGCGCAACTCTATTCAGACGTCAAAACATAGACAAAGGTCCTATACCTACCCTAACCTTCCACCCGAAAGCTATCATGTTACCTCAATAAACTCTCGAAATCTCTTCTTCCACTTCTTTGTCTTGGCTCATTCGGCCGGCAGTTGCGAGCCGCTCCGGGGAACGTGCCACACCCGTGCATTCCTTTTGATCCTTGCCCGGCCGGCCCGGACCGGATGTGACAAGAGTTTGTTCTATGTTGACCGTAGCTGATCATGATGAAACTCAAGAAGAATGAGGGGTCCTAAAAGGTGTCTGAAGACGGTGTTCGACCAAATGTTTCTGCCCGTGAAACCGGCGCCTCCTCGACGAGATCTTCTCTATCGCAATTTGACATGCAGCAGCCACGAAACCTTATTTGATGAAGGATATTTTAGAACCCCCAAGACTGCAATCTCCGAAGAAATTGTCGAATTTCATATCCAAAGTCAGAATCTCCGCTTCTTTAACGAAGCCGTACGCCTTTCAACCGACCTTGAGCTCTTCCCGTCAGGATGTCAGTGAAGCTCGTACCCGGATAACTCGCGGTCTTACATAATCACCACGTACGACCGAGACGAAATCTGCGTGAGGAGTTCGGAGATTAACGCTCAGACCTACAGATGTCGACTCCTCTCATCTCCACTGAAAAATCTCTATCAAAGCCTAACCTTGGCGGAGTGGGGAACTATACGCCGTGGACACTCGTACACCTTTAAGAGCAATAAAGGTTGAAAGGCGACTATGAACGGCACCAAAGCTGACTCTATAGGTCGCAATCTCTTATGCAGGTGCAGGCGAGGAGGCGAGAGGTTGTTGAGATTACGAAGACTTCCGTTCGCTATGGTTCACGGCGATTGAACGGCAGGGATGCTCTGGATCCAATCTCCACCACTCTCGTCGGAGAGAGGGAGTACGGCAGAACGTAGGGATTGGACTTTGCGCTCCTCGCACGCGATGGAATGGAACACTCGAGGAAGGGGTATAAAGAGTCCGAGTCGACACCTCCTCGAGTCACCATCAACCCACAGCTCCTTCTCCGAGCAAGCCAACGATATCTGATACCCCGCAACACGACACAACGCATCACATCACATCACATCACAACAAAAATCGCTATGCAACTCTCTCTTACCTTCTTCACCATGGCAGCTGGTCTCGCCCTTGTCACCGCCGCTCCCCTCCAAAAGCGCGCTACGATCCCCATCACCATGTCCAACGGATCGTCCAAGACCGCTTCCGTCACCGTTCTCTACTCCGGTGGATCATACCCCTCTTTCAACCTTGCCCCGGGATCATCTCACACCACCGACGTTGATGCCTCGACTCAAGGCTTGAACTTCAAGGCTGTCGCCAGTGATTCCTCTTCCGGACCCGTACAGTTCGAGTTCAGTCTCGGAGGCTATGCCGGTGCCGACTACTACGACATCTCCTACATCGACGGAAATGGCGGTTTCGATGGCGGATCCATCACTTGCTCTAGCTCGGGAAGCACTGGTACCAACTTGGACTGCGCGAGCTCGACGAACTGTGATGTTGCGTACTACAACCCTGATGATACGCAGACGCACGCAGGGAGTGGCTGTGGAGCCTACAGCATTGGATTGTCGTAGATGGATAGATCTCGGGAAGATTGGGGTATCGAACGATTGTGCAGGACGCTGAGTATTGATATTCGGAGTCGGAGGACATGATCAGAGGGAAAAATCGTATCGCCTGGAACGTATATCTAAAAGTCGATAGTCATTACAATTGGAAGTATTTTTACACACATTCGTTCAGAGCTTCTGTTCTAGTCAGGCAAACTTGGAATTGCTCGACCCTGGCCTTCTCTGGCTTCCTCCCGAGCGTGTGACCTCCGAAACATTGCACGTTACATCGCAAGTCCGTACCGGCGCTCACCGCACACACAACTACATAGAAAGACCACGCCCGAAGGTCCTCTCGCCGCCTTGCCTACCATCACAATGATCATCTGGATCCTCTTCACCCTCCTCCTCCTGGTTTACCTCTACCCAAACCGCGCAATCTTCACCAAAGCCCGCCCCGACCTCCCCGGTCGCCGCGGTTTCCCACTCATCGGACACCTCCCTTATGCCTTTTCCTACGCCCACAAACCCCACGAAAGCGAACTCGAAGGGTGCCGTGAATATGGCCCTGTCTGGTCTGGCACGTTACCGTTCATCGGACGGATCATCACGTTCGTCGCCCCGGATAGTGTGGAGCATTTGGTGAAGACGAACATCGGGAATTATGTTCGAGGGAGCTTGTTTAAAAGGATGATGAATGAGATTCTAGGGGAGGGGATTTTCAATTCGGATGGGGAGCAGTGGAGGTGGCAGAGGAAGGTTGCGGCGCAAGTGTTTATGGATAAGAGGTTCAAGATGATCACAGCAAATACCTTTGCGTGGCAAACCCAGAAGTTCATCCATCTCATTCAGATGAATCAAGACAAAGCCCTCGACGTCCAAGACCTCTTCTACCGCTTTACCCTCGAGAACTTCGGACAAGTCGCTTTCACCTCGAGCTTCGGCTGCTTGGACAGCATCTCCTCCTCCGTCCCCTTCGCAGATGCCTTATCCTTCGTACAGCAATACTCCGTTCTCCGTTTTAACACCCCCCTTTTCTGGCTCCACGAATGGCTCAAACCCTCCTACTGGCGTTTCTGCCGCGACCTCCGCATCATGAACGATTACGCCTATTCCATCATCCGCTCCCGTCGCTCCTCCACATGCCCAACACCCATCCGTCCAGACCTTTTGTCATTATTTATGGACTACCGGGACGAAGATGAGAAAGAATTGAGTGATAAATATCTCCGCGACATCATCCTCAACTTCATCTTCGCAGGCCGCGACACAACCGCCCAACTCCTCTCCTGGACCACGCACAACCTCCTCGCGAACCCCTCCGCACTCAGCCAACTCCGCTCTGAAACCGTTTCGCTGCCACCCATATCTGAGGACACATTACACCTCCACACGTACGCTCACGCAGTGTTGTATGAGACACTTCGGCTCTACCCCTCCGTTCCCACGAACATCCGCTGTACCCTAAAACGAGACCACATCCCCTGCGAAGGCCAATCAATCCTCGTCGAACCCGGTACGATCGTGCAATGGAGTACATACGTCATGAATCGCCGTCCCGAACTCTGGGGCCCAGACTCCCTCACCTTCAACCCCTCCCGCTTCATCGACCCAAACGGAAAACTCATCCACGTGTCACCGTTCAAGTTTCCAGTTTTCAATGCGGGCCCGAGGACGTGTTTGGGGAAAGGGTTTGCAGAGCAGGAGGCTGTTATGGTATTGGTACCGTTGTTGCAACATTTTGAAATTTCTCGTGCCAGTGAAATCCAACGCGAGGAGGAGGTTCGGTATGAAGTCTCCATCACGCTTCCCATCCGCCACGGGCTCTGGGTCAAATTCAAGGAGAGGACACAGTAGGCTAGCCATCAGAGTATTATTGATATCACATACCCTGCAAAAGAAAACAAATAGCTAATCTAGCTCGGCCTCCCAGAAAGATACAAGCAGCACAAGCACTAAGATCCCTAATCAAACGCCAATAAACCCGTATTACCCAGATAGAACCCATAATAGTAAAACCCGAAGAGTGGTGAACCTCCTCCTCCTCCATCCTCGCTCTCACCCGGAGAACGTTAATCAAACTCCACAAACCTCTCCAACTCCCCATCCCCATTACTCCCTTCCCCCACCCCCTCCTCCTCGGGCACCGTAACCTCCCTCTTCCTCTTCCCGACAACCGGCATCTCCACTACCTCCTCCATCCCTCCAATATTCCCCCCCACTCCATCCAACCCAGCCAAAAACTCGTCAACACCGGCATCCTCACCCCCTGTACTCGTCGGCGGACTCGGAGTAAGACCCAGCAACAGCGCAAGATCGGCAATATTCGCATTTTGTGCAGCGATGGTCGACGCCAAATGATCCGTATTAATGACATGAGCTTGGAGTGCCGCATCATTCAAACCATTACTCGAAGTCGTGGCGGGGACCAACGCACTCGTACCATCGAACCCCGCAGCCCCCGTGGACGTGGTGTCGAAAATGGGGATATCGAGCGGGTTGGGAGCGGGGGTGAGGGGTGTTGACACGTTTGATAGTGCGGGTCTTGCGTCGAGGAGTTCTTCGATGTTGGGATTCGAGTCTTCGATCATGAGGCGGCGTTTCTTGCCTGCTACCGTCCCCACGTGTCCCTTCCCGAGTTCCATTCCAGTCTGTACACCCCCCAATCCCCCCCCAACAGCGCCCAACCCCAACGCAGCCCCACCCCCACCGCCCAACCGCGCCTCATCCCCCCCGTAAACACTCGCCAGAAATCTAAGGATCTTGTCGATCGTCTCCTGATGCCGCTCATGCCGTGCCCTGGACGCCATCTGTTCCGACCACAAGAGCGCAGAATCAGTCTGGAGGCGTGAGAGATCGGACGTGATTTGGGATTGGGTTTGTTTGATTGTGCGGAGTTCGTCGAGGAGGAGGGTGAGGTCGAGGTTGTTGGTGTCGGTGTTTGAGGTGGAGGTGGGGGCTGTGAGGGTACCGGCTTGGGCAGCGGTTGTTGCTGGGTTTCCCTTTTTGCGAGTAACGAGCGCCAGGAGGTCTGGACGACCCCGTTGGAAGTTCTGATTCGAAAACTCGAAAACCTCACCCCCACTCCCCGACCCCGCCAACACCCCCTGAGTCAAATGCGGAACCTTATGAAAGCCATACATATTCAACTGTCGCACGAAACTTGAGAAATTATTGTGTTTGAAGAAGCGTGGTAATACGTCGCGGGCGAAGTCTTCTTGGCGGGTGACGAGAAAGGAGAGGCCGGTGGGTGACCATTTTATGAGGGAGGAGGTGGAGGGGTCGGAGACCATGTTGTACAGTTTGTTGAGGAATTGGGGGACGGCTTTGCTTGGTGGGACGACCGTCGCCGCTGGGGTCGTAGTGGGAGCGGGAGTTGAGGTTGCACTCCCTAGAGGTTGCGGTGTCGTCGCTGCTGAATCGGTGGTCGTCGACGTCGTGGTGCCAGGTATAGCGTACACACCGATATCCATCAACCCCGGACTCGGCGTCCCGAACGCATCGGATGGAATTGCTGCCATTGCTTGTCGTGAGCGTGGTGATAGTACCAATCCCAGATTGTCTGTTGTTGTGAAGGCTGGGTCGATTGGTGGTTGTGCCATTCTCTGTCCGTTGGTATTTTCGCCAAGTCCTTTTGAATTTGGTGTTTTGTAACGATGATGAAAATGTTCGTCCGGGTCATGCACGGGCATGCATAGTTAACCGGCATCGAATTAATGCTTAATGTAAATGGTATTTTATGTTAAATGCTACTCGAACAAGTCTTATGCCTCAACCTTCTCCTTCGGTCCCTTTCCCTTCTTCGCTCCCCCAGCCCTCACATTCACCCCCTTCTTCTTCAACAACTTCTTCCTACTCTCCTCAATCAACGCGCGATCCTCCTCCTCATCAAACTTGTACCCATCATCCCTCTTCACGGCCTCATCGGCCTCCTCCCCATCCGCACCAAACGCCATAGGTACATCATCTTCCTCATCACCTCCCTCATCCTTCGCAGGGGCCTTATACGGCCCCATAATCTTGAACTTGGCGACGTAGAATCCGTCCATGTTGTGAACGTGAGGGTAGTACCGTCTCGTGTGAACAACCTTCGGGTTAAACGACTTTCCACGGAATTTGGTGAACCCCTCCCGACCAAAATCCAGACCGGTGGGGACGAGTTTGACGTTCGGCCTCTTCCTCAACGCATAATCCACAACCGCCTCATTCTCCTCCACCGTAACCGAACAGGTGGAATAAACAACATACCCACCCGTCTTCGAATGTGGGTCCACCGAGTCGATCGCGGCCAATACCAGTTGTTTTTGGAGATGACTCAACAACATGAAATCCCGCTCCGATTTGTTGGTTTTGACGGAGGCGTCTTTGGAGATGACACCAGTCCCAGAACACGGCGCATCCAACAACACCCTATCAAACCCGCCAATAACCTTCGGAAACTCCCTTCCATCATAACTACACACAACCGCATTCCTAACACCCAACCGATGAATATTCGCCACCAAACTCTTCGCGCGGTCTTTGTTTGAGTCATTCGCAAACACACATCCAGTATTTTTCTGGAGTGCGGCGATATACGTGGTCTTTCCACCCGGAGCAGCGGACATGTCGAGAACGCGTTCGTGCTCCTGCGGCGCAAGTGCCATGACAGGGAGGAACGACGAAGCCGCCTGCAACATATAGTGTCCAGCCAAATATTCAGGCGTAGCCCCGATCGGGACCGGACTCTCGAAAATCTGGAGTCCGACTTTAGTCCATTTCCCGATCGGCTCCAAATTGACACCCCTGTTCAGAAGGGCCTGCGCGAGGTCACGTCTTCGGGTTTTCAGGGTGTTTGTACGGATCGTCACGGGCCGGGGAACTTCATTCGCCTCGAAGAATTCGATGGCTTCGTTGATGGAGAAGATGTTGAAAAGTTTTTCGGCGAGGTAGGTGTTGTAGCCATAATACGTCGCGATATCCTGGATGATTTGTTCGGTGTATTCTGACCTCGACCGGCCTTCTTCGCCGAGTGATTTGAAGTCGTTGAGGACGCGGGCGATTTCGCGGATTCGGGTTTGGATGATTGCGAGATCGGGAGTGAGCTCTTCTTCGGTCGGGAGAATGCCTTCGGGACGAGGTGGGACGATGTTGGTTTGTAGAAGTTCCGCTTCAGCATCCTCTTTCTCCTTCGCTGCTTTCGCATCCAAACGAGCTGACATTGCTTCCAAGTTGGCCAAGCGCAATTGTTCGAGATCGCCCTCGTCATCGGAAAACATCGCACCGCCGCCCTGAGAATCATCGTCCTCCATCTCTGAGTCGAAAGCATCCTCGTCGTCGTCAGAGGCCATCATCTCGTCTTCGTCGAATTCGTCTTCGTCCATACCGGAGCCCTCGTCGGAGTTATCGAACAATGACGCCTTGGCTTTACCCACATCCTCGCCAGCGGAGTCGACGTCTTCCCAGTCATCCATGTTCTGAACACCGTCGTCGGCCCCGGCCTCAACCTCGGAATCCTCCAATCCCTCGAACTCGTCGTCGTCGTCCTCACTCTCCGGAGCGGGAGCTGGGGCTTTCTTCTTCAAGGCAGTCTTGACCGGAGCCTTCGCGGGTGCAGCCTTCTTCGCCGCCTTCGGGAGTTCCTCCTCGGCATTCCTCTTCCTCTTCGCTCCAGCTCCGACCTTCTCTCCGCCAACACTCCTCGCGGGTGCCGGCTTCCCACCAGCACCAGCCTTCTTCTTCGATCCGTCACCGAACGCAGCGGGGTCACCTTGCTTATTTCTCTGTCTTCTGCCCATTGGAATATAGAAAGGGAGAGTCGAGGAGTTCGAGGTTATTTTTGGTGTGGTGGGTGACTTTCGAATTTTTGGTGGGCGCGGTGTGGCGCGGCAGGAGGGGATAAGGATAAGCTGGGGAGGAGGGCATCGATGAATTGACATATGTTGATGACTGACGGGTGTCCGTTTGGACTGAAAGGTACGATAGATAAAGGCTACAGGCATGTCACTTCAGTCAGGACAAACAGAGATTCCGGGACATTAAAAAAAAGCCAAAAGGACGTTCCGTTACGGGGAATCGAACCCCGGCCTCTTCGGTGAGAGCGAAGTATCCTAGCCCCTAGACCATAACGGATTTGCATGGCAGGAGTGCCCGTTAAGCCCTTATGAACATGAACCGTGAGTCGAACGACAGAAGTCTTTCTAAACCCAGCAGCCTCTCAAGAGGAAAAAGACGTGAGAGTTTCCAAGACGTGAGGATGTCAGGGGCAAAGAACCGTCGCAACCATACGCCAGGACTGGTCGGAAATGTCTTCTTCGACATTACTCGTTTGACTGGATGCTCCGAACTCCCCGCGCCCCCGGTGAGGATTGCGAACTCGTAACGGTTTCGAGCCCCTTTACACCAAGAACCTTCGTGTAGAACAAACCTTCCCAGAATTTCAAGCAAACTCAAATCTGACTTTGCAGGATACCCGCACCTTGGGAACCTGAAACACCATTACCATCCCAAAGAGGCAATTCTCGTACGTGGATGCTGCCACCAAGCTCCAAACAACCCCGGAGTGGTGTCACCGACAAATCAAACAGTGGATGAGGTGGGACTGACAATGAGGTCGGAGATTGGGCTTATGGGTGGGTATAAGTAAGGCCTTTGAGGGTCGTTGTTGCTTCAGTCCATTCTTGCATACGTTACCCAAGACCAGCAACATGTCTGAAATCTCCCGCTTCTCAGTCTCCACTGTGGATGTCTCCTCCCCAGCATGGTCGTTATTCCCAGATGAACCTACGCCGACCGCATCTGACTTTCCCGGATCGAGATTCTCTGCTATGACTGCTGTGACGACCGCTTCCTCTGTGTACTCCCGCCCCACAGTCTGTCTAGAATCACCTTCCGTCTACAGAGGCTTCTCGAGGGCTGAGTACGCCTCGACCCATCTGGACAGTCGTTGAGGTACATCGAAGAGACCGAGTTTGAGAAGGAAGAGCCGGAGACGGAGGATGAAGAGGAGATGGATGTGGAGAGGAGTCTTGATGAGGCATTGGCTTCGCTGACGAGTTTGTCGCATACTCCTCCGCCCAACTATACAGACGAGGTAACACCACCAAACTACCTCGGAACTGCATCCAATTCCTCCAACGACGCGGAAGGGCCGGAGAACTGGATCGACGAGAAGAAGGTGGAGGAGAAGCCAACGGGGTTAGCATACGTTGCAGCGACCATGGACAGGCGTGAGATAGTCAGCGCGAGACGGCAGAGGAAGAGATCAGTTACATCCCCGACGAGGGAAGAGCTGTTCTGGACTGCGTTGAAGAATGTGCGGTTTGTTGGAGGTGGAGGAGGGGGGATGAACCGTGGGCCGGCAGGGGTGGACGGGCAGTGTGTGATTTGTTGAGCACGCTGGTCGTTCTCCTTAAGCTCCTCGCGTTAGTTATGAATCGTAAGAATATGGCCAACATACCAATTTCTTTACTCTGTGAATTTGCGTCTCCTCACGAAGCTGCCAGCTGACGTCGAAGATCTCGGGGTCATCGGGACGCGCAACTCCCCGAACACGACCTCCAAACACGATCCTCCCATAAAATGGACTGAACACCTTCTGGATTAGTCTCCAACGCAATCAACATGCCATCTAAAGGCGACTGGAAGCTGAAGCCAATCGGATTTACGGATGTCCTCTTCTTCATGGGGACGATGGTCCCTCGACTCCTCGTCCTCCGGCCGATCTACGAACTAATTCTCCTGGGCCTGGGGTTGATTGCCTATCTAGGTGTGGACGGGGTTTTGAGGTAGTGTAAAATTGCTAACGGGCGTCTACAGTCCTCGTCCTTCCCATTCGACTCATCGCCTCTCGACTGATCTCCTCTACGCCATACTCGCGACGTACGCATGTCGCGCAAGACGCCGCGCTGAAGGTCGTTGGGTTCTTATTCGCGTACGCCCCCGTATCTGTTGGTCGGATATTCTTCTCCACCTCTCAATCAGTGCCATTCATGAAACGCCGCTTCGACTTTAATCGCTGGGTCCGCCGCGCCGAAGACTCAGGTATCCAAGGCTGGTGGGTACGCGATCGCTCATCGAACGCTGGTCTCAGTGAGTCAGAATGTGTGGTGATGTATCTACATGGTGGTGGGCTGGTAATGGGCTCCGCGGCGTTTTATCTGGAGTTTCTGGCGAATATGAGGGAGGTGTTCGAGGAGCAGGGATTCGCGAATCCGGCGGTCCTGGCGGTTGACTACACCCTTGTTCCGGATGGGAGGTATCCGACGCAGTTGCAGGAGGTCGTGAGGGCATATACGTATCTTACTCAAACCCTCAGTGTTCCTGCTGAGCGGATTGTGTTGATGGGCGATTCGGCGGGCGGGTTGTTGATAACGGGGTTATTACTTCATATCTCGAGACCTGACTCGACGATTGGGATGGGGGAGTTGGAGAAGCCTGGTGTGGCGGTGATGATGAGTCCGTGGTTGAATATGAAGGGTGAGAGTGTTACGATGCATACGAACGATGGGACGGATTACCTCGACCCTGGGACATTGGATACGTATGCGAGGGAGTATACGGGTCCGGAAAACGAGGGACAGAAACATGACGAGGCGCTCACGGATCCATACCTCAATCCAATCGCCTGTGATTCACAACAATGGCTCTCCCAAGCCCTGCCCGTCTACGGTCTCCTCATGATGATCGGCTCAGGCGAGATCTTCCGTGCGGATGTAGAAGGGATGTACAAACGCTTCCTCTTTGCCGCCGATACCCAACCGGAATCCGAAGGCGGGGGGAAGTGTGTGGTGGAACTGGATGTGGAGGAGGGGATGGTGCATGCGTGGCCAATGGCGTTGTTTTATTTAGGAGGTGGGGAGAGGGAGAGGGTTTATGGGACGGAGAGGATTGTGGGGTGGGTGAGGGGGGTTATGGGGAAGGAGGAGGAGGGGAGCGAGGGTGTGAATGGGCGTAGAACGTTGTGAACGTGGTGCAGGCAGACAAGATCATCTTTTTTGTATACCATTCTCCTCTGGCAAATGACATCACTCTTACTATTTGTCTCAACGCAGCGTATGCATAGCACAAACTTTAAGGGTGTCGTCGGCCTAGCCCATATATGCACGTTCCCGCGCGCAGGCGAGACCTCAACCTCCTCACGGCTCGTCTCGAGGGCATCCCAGTTAACCGCGTTTCATCACGGACCATCTCGAACACCAAGCTTTTGCAAGCCTCGGGCCGAAGCTCACTTAGCCCTTAACGACATGGGGTCCTGCGCACTGTTAACTGCGGGATGTATCAGGGCGTAAAACACCAAGCTTTTGCAGTTGTGTATGAAGATGTGAAGACGGGAAGACGGGAAGACGTCAGTATCCCGTTATTTAAGGGTTGGTGAGGCGCAGCTACGTACTGTCGTTCTGGCCGTGCAAGCAGTACAGTATGAACACCCCTAACCGCATATTCTCTTTCAGCTTGCGTTCTCCCATCAATCCTTGAACTCCTTCCTGATATGATAGCTACGCTGACTCTGTCCGATGAAATTTTAAGCAAAGCTTGAGTAAGGACCCACCTTAATCTTCGTGTGCCATGGTTTAAGCTTGAGCGGGACGAGATGAGCATCTGTATGCTCGTTGCCGCTATCCCGCGCGGGCCAGCCTTAAGCTTTACGCTCGTCTGTGTCAGATTCTCCAGTAATTACGTCAGCGAACTGTTATACAGTGTTTTGATGTTGGGTACGCTCGCCTCGACCATTGCCTTCAGTGTGACGGGCGGGTTCCGGGGTGGTTAAGATGGCATGGCATGACTTCTTGTGGTCTCGGTAAAGGGAAGTAAAATGACGATTACCGAGGCTCGGTTGTACATCAGGCCTCGCCATGATATTGTTTGTGCTCGGCTGAGATCTTTAAGGATTGTCTCTCGTTCGTTCCCATGACCGTCTTGTGCTCCTAACCACCAAGTCCCTGCCCGTCCGTCAGCAGCTGTGTACCGTGCCGCTCGACTTCCCGTTCCCGTCTTGGTCGAGCTACAGTAGCGGAGGTAATCGAAAGTAGACAAGTCCAGTCCAGCTGACTACATTTCGAGGTGTACCCGTACCCTCACCGCCCAGACAGAAAGTCTATAAAAACCCCCGTCTGGTCCCCCCAAATCCTTCTCACCATCCTCTCAGACCAACAACAACAACAACAGCCAACCAAACCAACCAATCAATCCACAATGCAGATCACCGCCATCGCCACCGCACTCATCGCCGGCCTTTCCCTGGTCTCCGCCAGCCCCGTTCCCGAGGCCGGCCACGATAAAGCCCCGCCCAAGCCCAACACCCAGGTGGGCGGACCCATCTCCATCGTTGTCGCTCCCAACATCGCCACTGCGGTCAACATCGTGAGACCCCCCCCCCCCCCGCAAGACTAAGGCTGACGATTTGCGATCACAGTGTACTCAATTCGGCGGAAAATACAACAAGCAGCTTCAGCAGTGTGTCATCCAACAGAACCAGGCCAACAACATCGGTAACAACAATGGTGGATACCAGTACAACGACAACTCTGGCAATGTCCGCCGCGAGGCCGAGGCTGAGGCCGATGCTGAGGCTGGAGGTCCGCCCCCTAAGAAGGCGCCCAAGCCGACACCTGGAACGGTTGCGATTGTTGTTGCCCCCAACACTGCTACCGTTGCCCAGATCGTAAGTGTCTTTCTAGAAGATTGGTTGAAAAGAGACTAATCATCGAGTGATAGTGCGCCCAAGTCGGCGGAAAATTCGACAAGCAGCTCCAGCAGTGTATTGGCCAGGTAAACCAAGCTAACAACATTGGCTCCGACAACTATGCTGGGCAGAGCAACTCCAACTCCGGTTCCGTTGGCGGCTGGTGAGCGTGTGGTCTTGAGTGGAGGTCTGGAGGCTTGGGTGTGAGATTTCGTTTGCACAGGCTGGATCTCGGGCTTTTGGTTTCTTGCTTCTCTCTCTTGGCTGCTCTTTGGAAGTGTGACTTGGGATGTACGAGTAGAGTATCTTTGTGTACGATTTGGACTGAATGGATTTTTTTTTTTCCTTTTACTCCACCGTTGCACTCGGTTACCGTGGGACGCGCTTCAAACGCTGGTCGTCGACGAACCACGTCCATCCCGGTTTAGCGCCGTTCACATTGTTCATCTCGCAGCATCTCGCATCCCTCGCCAAAATCTTCGAAAATTACCCAAAGTAGAATAGTTTGTGCTCCTTATCCGGCCAACCATCTCCTCTGCTTTTCTCCTGCACGTGCACATCGCGTTCCTCCGCAGAAGAAACACCTTACTCGCTTCATCTCACCTCATCTCGTCGCCTTTCCGCCGCTCTGTCGGAAGAACCTTATTCCTTGACAGCTGGTCGGAAAGATCAACCGAGATGGCCAGCGCAGAAAACGCAAAGGTCAATGCAAGTATCGCCTTGGAGCAGCGAGAGACGGATCCGTCGCTTACGAGTTCTTATGATCCCGAAGGTCTTAAGGTGTTGAATCGCGGGAAGAAGACGTCGGAGGGTGTTCAGCGTCGTCTCAAGGCTCGTCATTTACAGATGATCGCGATTGGTGGGACGATTGGTACGGGTCTCTTCATCGGTATCGGAACCGCAATCGTGAATGCTGGTCCCGTGGGAGCGTTGATTGCGTATATCTTTATCGGAACGGTCGTGTACTCCGTTATGCAATCCCTCGGTGAGATGGCGACGTACATCCCCGTGTCGGGTGCGTTCACATCGTACGCGACGCGGTTCATTAGTCCCGCGTTTGGATTCTCGATGGGGTGGCTGTATTGGATTAATTGGGCGATTACGTTTGCGGCGGAGTTGACGGCGTGTGGGTTGGTTATTCAGTATTGGACGAATTTGAATGTGGGCATCTGGATTGGGGTGTTTTGGGTTGTGTTGACGGGGGCTAACTTTCTCGGTGTCGAGTGGTACGGGGAGATTGAGTTTTGGGTTGCGTCGGTTAAGGTCGTTACGGTTGTTGGGTTCCTCATCCTCGGACTCATCCTCGATTGCGGAGGAGGGGACGATGGTGCCGTTGGGTTCAGGTACTGGCGGAATCCGGGACCGTTCAACAATTACCTCGTCGAGAGTCACGATGTGGGCAAGTTCTTGGGATTCTGGGTCACGCTCATCCAAGCCATTTTCTCTTTCCAGGGAACCGAGTTGGTCGGCGTCACGGCCGGCGAGACCGCGAACCCGAGGAAAAACGTACCCAAAGCCATCCGTAAGGTGTTTTGGCGGATCTTGCTGTTTTACGTTGGTACGGTGTTTTTTATTGGGTTGTTGGTTCCGTCGAATGATCCTCGATTGGGAACGGGTGCGTCGGATGCTTCTGCTTCGCCGTTCGTGATTGCGATTCAGAGGGCGGGGATTAAGGCTTTGCCGGATATTATCAATGCGGTTATTCTTATGACCGTTATCTCCGCCGGTAACTCGAACGTGTATGCCGGGTCGCGTACCCTCCTCGCCCTCGCCAACGTCGGTTTCGCACCCAAGATCCTCGGAAGGACGGATTCGAGGGGTGTCCCCTACGTCGCTGTCATGGCGACTGCTTCGATCGGGTTGTTGGCGTTTTTGAATTTGTCGAATGATGGTATTACAGTGTTTAACTGGTTCGTCAATATCTCTGCGTTGGCTGGGTTGATTTGTTGGGGATTGGTGAATTGGGCGCATATCCGGTTCATGGCCGCTCTTCGTCACCGCGGCGTCTCGCGAGGGTCTTTACCGTTCAAAGCGATGCTGCAACCGTGGTTTGCGTATTATGGACTCTTTTGGTGTGTACTCATCACGATTACGCAAGGGTTTAGTGCGTTCTGGGATTTCGATGCGAGCAAGTTCTTTACGGCGTATATCTGTTTGATCATTTTTGTGGTGTGGACGATCGGGTACTATATTTATGAGAGGCCGGAGAAGGGGAGGTGGTTGGTGCCGGTTGAGGAGATGGATTTGGATTCGGGGAGGAGGGAGGCGGATGAGGATGTTTGGGTGGATGATGCGCCGAAGAACTTGTGGGGGAAGTTCTGGGAGTTCGTTCTGTGAGTGTTGTTCAGGAGTGTATGTTGCCGCGATGGGTTGAGGAGCGAGGTTGGGTTAGGGTTAGGGTTAGGGTTAGGGTTAGGGTTAGGGTTAGGGTTAGGGTTAGGGTTAGGGTTAGGGTTAGGGTTAGGGTTAGGGTTAGGGTTAGGGTTAGGGTTAGGGTTAGGGTTAGGGTTAGGGTTAGGGTTAGGGTTAGG